TTGCTGCAATCCTTACCAAGTGTTTGCTGCATCCTTACCTCAAGTGTTTGCTGCATCCTTACCTCAAGTGTTTGCTGCATCCTTACCTCAAGTGTTTGTTGCATCCTTACCTCAAGTGTTTGTTGCATCCTTACCTCAAGTGTTTGTTGCATCCTTACCTCAAGTGTTTGTTGCATCCTTACCTCAAGTGTTTGTTGCATCCTTACCTCAAGTGTTTGTTGCATCCTTACCTCAAGTGTTTGTTGCATCCTTACCTCAAGTGTTTGTTGCATCCTTACCTCAAGTGTTTGTTGCATCCTTACCTCAAGTGTTTGTTGCATCCTTACCTCAAGTGTTTGTTGCATCCTTACCTCAAGTGTTTGTTGCATCCTTTACCTCAAGTGTTTGTTGCATCCTTACCTCAAGTGTTTGTTGCATCCTGATAATTATGCATAAATCGAACTACATGAATAGTATCCTATGACCTTATAGCATCGCACCGCGCTTCTAGCCTCTTATCTTGGTTTTCCCTTTAAGAAGTATGATGGCTTTAAAAATTTTTGGAAAATTACGTAAAATACAAACAAGTTCGAAATAATCAAATTGAAAAAAAAGTCTCATATATCACAAAGCTCGTATTAGCTTGCTAAACTTGCTTTTCATTATTTATCTTGCTGTAACATTAATTGATTGATGGTAAAAAGATGATAAAGATGTTGCTTACTTTCAGCAGTGCGACAAAATTATCTCTCGCCCTAGATCGAAGGCGCCTAGTACCAACGATTTCGGCTTATACGTCAAAAACAACATTTTCCCTTTGAGATAAGTAACGAATCAATAGAATTCAGCGCCTTGAATTATATACTCCACTTACTTCAATTCATAAATTTCCAAAAATTATTTTCGAGTTGTCATTTTGGCATTTTAGCAAACAGATTATATTTTACTTAGGGCCATGTTTTTCAATTATACAATGGATTATATATATTAAACCTTGATGTAAAGTGTCTGACTTGTTTTTACATGATTTGGATTAAATTAGAGAAATTTTGATCTTAAGTATGAAATTGAATAAATTGACCTCATGAATGTTGCATCCTTACCTCAAGTGTTTGTTGCATTCTTTACCAAAGTTGTCATTTCGAATTTCAGATATGAGTTCAAAGCCCCAGAGGATATGGGTAAAATTGAATTACCAACTAATGAAACAATTGATTGTTACTGATGTTTTAAGTTTAAAAGAGTACAGAACTTTTTTTAGATTATTGACTCATTTTAGAATCGTTCCAAAGAGTATGTTCCTTACAAAATTAGGTGACCATGAGGATGATTTTGATGCTACTGAAGACTACTTAAAATTGATCATGAGGACAATAATTCAGAGTATGGAAGTTCTGATTCATATGAAGAAGGTATTCATTTTCATTGTACTTAAATCCAGATATTCAACAATAACAAGTACTCTAACTAACGTGATGTGGAGCTTCTAAACTTGAATGTTATTCTGATATATGATTCTACTGTCTGTAGATTGTAAACTTATGTTTAAATTGCTTCCTCAATCTTTTCCCTTCAACTTCGTATTATGTGCTTCAAATTTTTCAATCATTGAGGTATTCCTTTAGTGCATCTCCCCATTCATGTCTTTTCTTATAATATGCCAAATCATCGGGTAAATTATCAATCGCAAATATTAATTCATTTCCGATTTTTTCTTCATTTTTAATATTTTCCATACTTGTTAAATATGTTCTTATAGTCATTACTAATGCATTACTTTTAGGTAATCTTATAAAACATTGTCTTTCATTCCTTAAAAAACATCCATTAGCAAAATCAATATCTTTTCTATTTAATTTTTTCATTGTTTCACCTGGCCTTCCATGATTATTAAAAGTAAATAAATTTGAATGAGTTTGGATTGACCAATTAAACCTAACCCATAAATTTTGACTTTTTATATTATTGAAAAACTTATTCATTGAAAATTTCAACTTGTTATATTGTGGTACAGGTTTATGAATATATGAAATTGTTTTATTATAGTTTATACTTGGATCAAAACCAGCCGGAAATCCAGTAAATGAGCTTTTAACTCGATATTCAGAATCTTCATCTTCTTTAAACATAATTAAAAAATCTTCTTCAATGTTGGATCCTAAAATTTTAAGAATTTCAATTGAATTTGATTCATTAATTGAAAAAGATTCATTTGTTATTAAATTATGGATAATACCATTCTTTAACTTGAAATATTTTGGATACCTAGATAGTAAAAACTGACATACAATTTGAAAAAACTCTGCTAAAGCTAATTTTGCTTTTATATCTTCATGAATATATAAAACTTTCGATTGATTATTTTCAATTGATGATTTTCGTACTTTAATATTTTTCAAATATGTATTTTCAATCAATAACCAATCTTCTGGAGTTGAGGTTATGTTTTTCAAACCTATACTTGGATTGAAATTTGTTTTACCAATAAATGGTCTAATTTTAAGTGGTTGTTGTGATTTCCAATTAAAATTTGAATCAACCGGTGAGACTTTTGAAGTAATTGAAACTTGGATCTTCTTCGAATACTTAAATCTGTAATAAATGAATAATACTATGGCTACTAAACCAATAAGTAAGATATACATAACTTGAAAAACATTGTTGATTTTATCTTATCTATTTATAAAATATTTGCAGCAATTTTCCAGAAGCGCGATCTGTCCTAATTAGGAAATTCTATACCAGGATGTAGATGATTTAAGATTACAAAAGTAATATAAAAGTAATTGAAAAAGGTCTAGCATAGCTTATTAAATCATTTGTTTTCTTTACTATGTAACCGTGGAAATTTTTGCAAATGCTTTTGCGAATCAAGCTTTATTCGAGGTAATCGAGTTTCAATTTTTTCCATATTGATGTGTGGATAGTAAGGTTCTCTCGAGATGAGTCCTTCTGATCTTGTGAGTTGATGTGAATTAATTGATATCATGTCGTATAAATTGAGATCATAGCATCACCAGTAAGTTCTAGTAGTTCTAAATTGGATCTTTTTGGATTGACTTCCATGGTTAGAGCTAGATTTTTGTAATTTGACGTAAGCTGAAATCTAAAACTTTTGATCATTTGTTTAAATCTAAGATTGAAGAGTTTTATGATAATCAATGCTGCGAGAAAGGTTTCAATCATTTGTTAAATCAAAGATTAAAATGCTTTGACTAAAAATTGTGGTCTTAATGTCATTATAAGCAATTGTATTGATGTTCTTAGAGTCATGGATATTTAGTTTGTTGATTGTTTCAAAATCAATGAAATTAGGCATTGCTGCTTACTTTAATTACCAAGATCGAAATCTAGATTGCATATAATAAAGTTCAATGCCTAGGTCTGTGGTCTGTGAATTTAAAACTATACTCCGTATTTAAGAGAAGGAAGATTAGTCAATTTTTCGATGTGGCTCCGACCTCGTTTGAAATTTTGCCCAGGTTAGCACCAAAGAAATCTCGGTTAGGCATGATATTAGTACCATGCGCGTGCGAATTGGCATTAAAATTTCGTAAATTAAATCATTAATAATACTATATACATTGCACCAATTAACATTATTTGACGATCAAACGAATATCTAGCAATAATTATATCAGTGTAACATTTAACATTTGCCAGCTATTAAATTTATAAAACCATTATTCCAAATTTCAAAATCAACTTTTACTCAACAACATCTAAATCAATCAACCTATAATCAATTCCTTTGAACACCTATTCTATCATTTCTACTTACACTTTTATTGCTTGTACCTTCTTTGACAAATTCATTTGAGTTATTCATAAATTGTTCTTGTAAAATTGAATTTGAACCAAAATCTTCAGAATTTTGTTGTTGTTGTTGTTGCTGCTGCTGTTTATCAGATTTCTGTATTGAATCGTCATACTCTAATATATCTTCTGGTGATAATTTAATAGTTGTAGCTTCCCTTCTTAACATTCAATCAATTTTATTGTTGACAAAAAAAAAAATAATCGTTATCAGATTTTCTCTATCAATGAAATCATCAGATCAAATTATAACATTATCACAATTAAATACATTGTCTGATCAATCGATTGATAAAAAACCATTGATTTGGAAAGAATTTGGTAATTATATTGATAAAAAAGTTGATATTAAAACTGAAATAAAATCACCCACCCCGAATTTATCAACAAATTTAAGTTATAAAATTTGTAATTCTTGTCAAAGACCAATAGGTATTCAAAGTCTATCAAATCATTATTCAAAGTGTATTGAAATGAAATCAAAAAAAGATACAGTCAAAACTAAAAAGAGAACATTTGAAATTGATTATTCAGATGATTCAACTAGAAATAATACACCTGCATTACCATTATCAGAAGTTAAATCAGAAGAAAATGGAGAAGTTAAACCTAAGAAGAAGTATAAAAAATCTCAAGCTCAAAGGGAAAAAGAAGCTGCAAACGCCGCCGCAGCAGCAGCAGCAAATTCAAATGCTGAAAAACCAAAAAAGAAGAAACAACCACCTAAAGAATCTGCAAAACCAAAAACTGTTGCTAAACCAAAAGGTCCAGTTGATGTAGAAAAACAATGTGGAGTAGCATTACCATCAGGAGGATTGTGTGCAAGATCATTAACTTGTAAAACTCATTCAATGGGTGCTAAAAGAGCAGTGCCTGGTAGATCTGCGCCTTATGATGTATTGCTTCAGCAATATCAGAAAAGGAATCAAGCAAAGATAGCACAGTCAAATGCTTTGGCTGCTCAACGTAGAGAAAATGCAGCATATGATGAGGATACAATTACAAATAAAATTTTGGATCCAGATGATGAGACTCATTTAGTATTAGAAGGTTTATCGAAAAATAATCCAATGCCATTAGAAAGGAAAATTGTAATGCCAACTAGATATAGACATAAGTTTCTACAACAAAGAGAGTTTTATGCAAATGCTTTAATAATATCACCACATCAGAAAAGAGAACAACAACAACAACCAGACGGTACATTAGCAAATCAAGCGATATCGGGTTCGATAGGTGGTTTGCAAGGAAGATGTGCTTTAATAAATGTTGATGCTCCACCTTTACCTGGTTCAGATTCTCAAACTCAATCATTTCTGGCTATACCTGGTGAAATTTATCAAGTTAGAGCTCCTTCAAAAGCAATTTTATTAACTGCTCAACACAATAATATGCAACAACAAGCTTTCCAACAACAATTGATGAAATTTCAACAACAACAATTAATGATGAGACAACAACAACAACAACAACAACAGCAGCAACAACAAGCTAAATAGATATATATGATAATAGAATAATGAATATAATGTGGTTAGTTCGGTTTTTCGAGCGAGTGTCAAAATTCGAAGCTCTGCGATTGTAGTAAATATAAGGTTTTAGCAGCTATTGTTTAATAATTGTAGAATGAACACCTAGCTATCAAATATGTTCCGAACATTATCTTAGTTTCTTGACAGTCGAATATGTGGTATTTGATCAAGTGTTCAATTTTAAGTAGTTTATACCGCAGAATATTAGCTTTTAGAGCAAGAGAATTAGTTTACAAGATAGATGACATTAGTATTAATCTCTGCTCACCATTTCAAGAGAAATCTTTCCTCTGTAAGAATCCAGTCTCCAATGATGAGTTTGAATATCATCATGGTTTGGATTTCAAAAGCATTGATGAACTAGATTCATTAGTTGAAGCTTCAAGACAATATTTATTACTCGGAGAATATGCTACTTATGATACAGAAACTAATAAGTTTCAACTTCTGACAATGCTAGATTCAGAGCTGTTGATGGGCTTGCTCAATATTTGAGACAATTCATTAACAAAGTCGCTAGTTTAAAAAAGAACCAAAGCAGTTATGTCATTTCTTTGATAAGGATAATAATTGTCTATTTTGGCCAAATCATAATTCTCATTTGCTTGGAAATGGTCAATGTTCAGATTTTAATTAACAATTGTGGTGTTAAATGCTATAAACGTGGATATGAAGTTGAATTTCTTCCACAAACTTCGGAGAATAGAGTATCATATCAATGTAAGGAAAAAGTCCAATATGTTTTATTTAATATACGACGTTGTTTCTGAGTTCCAAGAAGCTTTACAAATGATTTTCTATCTTGAAATTGTTGACTTGATAATTCCTGGAAGCAGTCAAAGGTGAATAACGAGTTGTGATACAGTTGGATAGTATTGACCCAGGTTTTAGTGCATTTGCAATACTTCTGAGAACATTCAACAGCTTTAATTCAAAGACATGGCACAAATAATCAATTAAACTCTCACAGTTTTTCTTCAAAAATCTAAGTAGATGTATATTTAGGCCAATTCACTTTATTCTTTACTATCCACTTATGCTGTAGCACTTCTTTCAAATCTAATCTATTTTCAGGTACTTTAATTAATAATTTATCAATTAAATCAACTGCATCTGGATCCAAATATGAAGGATAGTTTATATCCACATTATATATCCTTTTATAAGTTGCATTTGTATCTGGTTCTTCAAATGGAGGTTTACCAACTAAAAATTCATAACATAATACACCTAATGACCATTTATCAACATTAAAATCATGTTCTTTAGTTTCAATCATTTCTGGAGGTAAATAATCAACAGTACCACAAACAGTCAACCTTCGATCATTTTTCATTTGTACTGACCAACCAAAATCACTCAATTTGACATTATTATTTAATGTTAACATTATATTTTCTGGTTTCAAATCACGATGAATTATATTTTTCAGATGTAGATAAATTAATGCCTTTGTAACTTGATATATATAATAACTTGCAATTGAATTATCGAACCTCTTTAGTATTTTTAAGTTGTGATAAATTTCTCCATATATTGAATATTCAAGTACTAAATAAACATTAACATCATCGAAAAACCATGTAAATAATCTTGTTATATTTGGATGATATAAATTTGATTGAATTTCAATTTCTCTTTTAAAGTTGTTCTCCAATTTATGTTCTATTAAGTCATGTTTGGACATTACTTTTAATGCAACTGGATATCCAGATGCTAAATGTTTTGCTAAATAAACTTTTCCTAATTTACCTTTACCTAGTATTTTACCCAATTCAAAATCTTTAAATTTCAATTGTGAATTTGTATTTCTAGTTGGTGAAACATAAGATTTTCTTATACCATTTCGTATTGGAGTTGGAGTTGTTATATCTTTAAAATTTTGTTTATTTGATTTTAATGAATTTTGACGGAGTTTAAATTCTGATTTATTATTGGTTAGTTTATTCAATGGTTTTCTAATCTTATGTAGATCTGGTTTACTATTTAATGTTTCAGACATGAAACACTGATGATAAAAACTGTTGATAAATGGAATGTTTTTATTTCGATCGCGTTTTTTATCAACACGATTTTTGATTTCTAAAACCAAGACCAGTGCCAGGGTCATAATATGTAATGCGACTTACCACTCTCTACTTACTTTATATCTGATCAGTTATGTTGTACTGTAGTGTTTCCGTTTTATCGAGTTCTTTCGCTCTTTCATCTTTTTTTCATCATGGACAATTTTTACAATTTCTTATCAATTAGAGGAATTAAACGTATACCAAGATCATTAACAAATAACACTAATAGGACTAGAGCTGATAATGTGAATACTGTTATAAGTAATATTAGAAATGAAAATGAAGTACAAACAGATGATTATACACCATTAATTCAAATTTTCAATGATGATGAGTTAGATGATCAATATATTGAGTATATTTATAAAGATGATGATGATATAGATAGAGAGTTTGAATATATTCAAGTTGGTTATCCTAAAATTACAGATAATTATATCCCCAATTGTTTAGAATTTCCATTACTTTCTGATTTTAAAAAATTTGATTATCATATTGAAGATATTGATCCTTCAAAGCTAATTACTAGTCAGCCTGCATCTCAATTCAATGACAGTTTAAAATTAAAACATCTTGGTATCACTCATTTGTATGGTTTTGAAGATTCAAGAAAATATAAAAATAATTTATCAACCATCATATCTAATTATTTGATTGTTGCTATTAATTCAGAGCTTCTACTTTTTGAATTTGACATGTTAAATCATTTACCAAAGGAAAAATTGTTGTTTAGATTTGAAACGAAGCCTGTTTTTACCACTAGTACTGATCGATTAATTTCAACATTTCCTTATTTCCCACATACGATAAATTATGTAAAGTCTGGTGTATTTTTAGGTAAAGAAGTGTTATGTGCTTGTACTGATAATGGTAGTTTGTTAATATGGTACACTGAAGATATTCTGCAACATGTGAATGATAAAAAAGAAATCGTCAAGATTGATCCACAATTCAAAATCAAACTTGAAGCATCATTATGGGGTCTAGATTTTAAAGATAATGTCATAGTTGTATCCGATAACTCCCAGAGTATCACATTATTAGTATATCATGAATTAGATGAAAGATTTTATCATGAAAAGTCACATCAAATATTACACAACATACCAGATGTCTCAATTGTAGAGTATAATAAGTTTGAAGTTTCTGTTGCTTGTGTTTCAATATCTGGTGAAATTGTAATATTTAATTTCAAATTTAAGATATTTCAAGGTGCTTTAAATAAAGAAGATTATGAGTATTTCAAGAACGAGTCATTATATTATACTGATTCAACAATGGAGCATCTAGAAAATAGGAATAACATCCAACCAGAAGAACTACTAGAGTTAAAACTGAGGAAATTTAAGCGTATCAATTTTGATACTCCTGAAATTATTTCCCGTTGTGTTTTAAATGATGATTGTTGGACAGTTGAATCAATTGATAAAAATTGGTTTTTGGAAGTTGGTTCATTAGCTACAGTATTTGGTGATGATACAATTAATGAACAAGAAGAAATGAGTAAAATACAACAAGAATCTAAAATACTAGGATTTCCTTCAATTTGGCAATTTCATGAGTGTAAAACAGTTAGTTTTGAAAATAACAACTCAGTCAAATTAGTTTCAGTAGATGATGAGTATCGAAGAATACATAAAGATATGAGATTGAATAAATTGAAGAAGATTTTAATGATTTCAACAGCTTCCAAGATTGCAATTTTTAATTATCCTTCATTATATTGTAATTCAAATACAAATAAAGTTTTCAATTTAAATATACCATGTTCTGAAGAAAGTCGATTTGCAAATAGAATGTCAATATCATTAATAATTCCTAAATTATCTTGTTTTATTTCATGTCTGCAACAAGGACTAATTACAATAATGAGATTATGTACTTATAAAGGTATTTATGGAATGCGACAAGAATATATTTTTCCGAACGCATTAAGATTAGCATTGGGATATCATGGACATAGAACAATTATTGGATTATCAATTAAAGATCGAACAATAACTGATGCAAGATATTTATTATATATTATATATAATGATGGGTTAGTGTTAACGTATGAATTAAGTCTGTCTGGTACAGAATTGAATATATAGTTGTTTCATAATGTTTTGAACCCTGTGTTTATTTTTGTTGCAACCATTTCTTTTTTTTTTTTTTCCGTTTTGTGTGATCGAAATAAACTAAACAGATTTTACAACCAGATTAACCGATTAATATTGAAATGAGTGGTATAAAGTTTGGTTGGAGATATAATTTAGAAATACCAGAGATAAACTGTAAGAAAGATAAATATGATATGGAAGATGTTGATGAGTTTTGGAATAATTCGGTGTTTAACCATTCAATAAAACTGGTTGCAAGAATCAATGATTTAATACCGAGTAAGGATACAACTCCTAAAACACCAAGTGCACAATTAATATTAAAAAGTCCATTAACTGAAAAAACTCTACCTGCTGCCGACAAGTTTTTTCCAATAATTGCAAAGAATGATGATGTTTTTGATTGGAGTCAATTTGAAGATAAAAGTGTGGAAGATCTACCTATAATACGATCTCCGAAGAAATCAAAAACACCTGAAAAACAAGAATCGGGTGTGTATCCTAGTCCACCATATATCAAAAAACGCAATATAAAACGAAAAAAAGTTTCAAAATTTGATTCTTTAAAATTATCGCCATCTAAGGCTTTACCCATTAAATTAAAGACAAATAGTGGAGAACAATTAATCGCGTTTACTAAATTTCATGGTAATTTCAAAAGTTATAATGGTTACAAAGTTGCTACGGAATTTGATTATAATAAAGATACATTTGCATCAGGTATACTAGAATTAACAAAATTCAAACCAAGAACATTAGTCTCTGGTTCCACATATATATTCACAGTATTAAATGGAAATGTTGAAGTTTGTTTAAATGATGAAATATTTCAAGCTGAAACAAGTTGTAGATTTCAAATTCCGGATAATAATGAATATTCCCTAAAAAATCTTGGTAAGATTGCTTATCTATCATTTACTCAAATTAGATCTAATAAATAGTCACATTTTCATCTATATAACTTCCAATTAAAGGAATTTTAAATTCTGAAGCAGCAATACCAAATTGTTTTAAAATTAAAGTTTGTGTAACATTTAATATATCATCCTTTTTACAAACTTCAAAAGGTTCATCTAACCATATTTTACCACTTTTAATCTTTGTAGGTATTTTATATTTATTTCTAAAAGTTTCTTCTAATGAATGTGACATTGGAACATCTTCTTCAATTGAAATTTGACCACCTCTTGAATATATAATACCTTCAGGTATAGTAAAATCTATTGGAGATTTAGTTTTAATTCTTGAATAATCATTCTTGACAAATGTACCAAAATAATCTTCAACTGTTGATTTATCTTCATTAGTGAATAATAAACCTGGTAAGAAATTTTCACTCAAAGTTTTTGATAATTTATGTAAATCTTGTTTATATTCTTCTTCAATTGTTTCTCCCAAGGCTTTTTGAATTACTTTTTTTTTACCTAATATGATTTTTGAACCAGTCCAGTTATTTCTTATATCTTGTAATATTGGTGTTCTTATATTATCTAATTTTAATATAAATAAATTTTTATATTCATCTAATGCAGACCTAATATCATCAAATAATCTAGTTTTATCTTCTTTTGTTTTCTTTTCTGTGTTTGATAATGTAACTAATTTAGAACGTTTACTTCTAGGCATTTTGGGATGGTGATATTGATAAGATGAGATGAGATTTGATCTGAAAAAATATTTTGTATGAAGAGGTATTTTGGTAGCGCAGATTTTGCAATCAATTTAAAATGAAGCAGAATCAACTAGAACTGTATCAAAAACGAGTAGATGGTTTGTAAAGAGTAATTTACTGATCAATGGCTTTGAAGAACAAATAGTGCACTTACTGAAAGCCCAATCCCCAAATATATACCTCAAAATTGTTTATTTCCTCTTTACTATCCAATTAACAACGAAGAGCACAACAATTTGGTCATAGAAACAACGTTCCGTCACAGAGATGGAGCTTACTAAAGTTCTTTTCAATATTGGTAGTCATAAATCTACCATTTTATCATTATTGTACATTAATACATTATTATCTAATTTAACACTTTGTGCAGATTAATATTCCGTATATCTTAAAATATAATCTAAATCATTATCATCAAACATTAATGAATCATTAGTAGATGGAGGATCAAATAAACTTGTTATAGTTCTAGTAGTATTTGAATTATCATTTTGATTACTATTCTGCATTAAATAACCAACAGGACTTTGACCCAATAATGTAGTTTTATAATCGCTTGATAAAGTATTTGATGGTAATGAAGTAGTTGGAAATTCATAACTTGGTGATAATAATTCATCAATTGATAGGGCGGGATCATTTTCATTATATACTGGACTTTCAATTTCTTTAGGTGGCTGTAGTTTTTGTTTTGATAATAATAAACATATTCCACTAGTTAATAAAATCATTAACGTCATATATATGTAAATTTCATAATTTAAATCAGTTATTGTTTCTTCAATTGGATCTATTGTTTTGTAAGATATATCATCATTTGTACTTGCAGTAATCCTTAATTGTGTTAACTGTTGCTTAAAATCATAAAATAAATTGTATACTATACTTGTCAAAATATTATATAGATCTATTATACTATTATCCATTTGGTAATTGATTTGTTTTGGTTCCAAAATTAAAAATACACAAAACTGAATAAATAAAAAAAAAAAAAAAAAAAAAAGAAATAATTGGCAACGGGTTTCAGTTTCACAATTCAATGATAAATAATGGTAATAATTCAAGAAGACCATATAGTAGACAAGGTTGTAGAGAATGTAAAAGAAGGAAAATAAAATGTCCTGAAGAAAAACCTAGTTGTTCGACTTGTGTAAGATTAAATAAAACTTGTTCATATCCATTAGCTGGAGAAAAAGTATTAAGAATATCAAGGAAATTAATAAGAGAAGAGATTGAAAATACTATAAAACCAAATCAAATAGCAACTACTCATTTCTTACCTGTTCAATATGATATACCAAAAAGAATCAATTTGGATAAACCTTTGAATATTCAAAATTTATTAAGTACGGAAACAAATATTGATTTTTCAGATTTAAATAATTTAACAAATGATTTAAATAATTTAGTTAATAATTTAACGGTTAATATAGAATTACCAGATTATGATTTTGATTTTTTGAATGATTTTTCAATTTTAAGTGATGAAATTACGAGAAATTTACCAATTGATTATATAAAATTAAAGAAAAAACATGAGATATTTTACCTTGAGTCATTTTATAATAATTTTGCTAATATTATAGAACCTTTTGGTGCATATCATCAAGATAAAACAATTTCCAACCCTGCAAGAGATATAATTTTGAAAACTGCATCAACTGAACCGTTTTTATTAGCTGCTGTATTAGCAGAAGGTGCAAAAACATCATTTATACAATATTCACAACCAGAAGATGAAAAAGCATATGCTTTATACCTTTCTAAATGTTTACAATTGTTAGAACCTGTGAAAGATTTAAGTAATTTAAATTCAAATGTTGAAGCTGTGCTATTAACTTTAATTTTATTGACTGCTGCTTCTGCTACTTCAACTCAACAATGGAGACCTCACTTAAATGGTGCAAAAGAATTATTAATCAAAATTTATAATCAAAATGTTTCTAAAATTTTCATATTTTGTAAATATTGGTTTATCTCAATTGAAATTTTAGCTGGTCTAAGTACAAATCTAGGTGGAACTTTACAAAATGATTATGAAATTGATAAAATAATGACTCCAACAGAATATGAAATTAATATACTAAAAGAAATGGGTTTGGTGACGGTGCAAGATTTTAATATCTTGACTGGTTATAGTAATCTGTGTTTATTGAATTTTAGAGATCTACTAAAGGTATCAAATAAAGAAAGAAATGGAGTACCTGTTGGTATTGAAACACTTGAATTATTATCAAAGTTTTATCAACAAAGTCAAATTGTATATATCGATGCAAAGGGAATAATACCCGAAAATGAATTGAAAAGTTATACTCCTGGATTACCTATAGAAGAAATTAGAATTAATAATCAAAGTTTCTGGCTCAGTTGGCAAGATATAAGTCATCAATCATATGTCTTGGGCTCAATAATACTAATATTAACTAAATTTTATCATGTAAAAAGTGAAAATTCATCATTATCACAACTAATTAACAGAATACTTTCATTTATCACATATATACATCAATTTCAAGATGTTTCGCAGCATGCGTCACCATTCATGTTATTAATGATTCAATGGCCATTATTAATTTCAGGATATCATGTTTCTTTAGATTTTCAAAAAAATTTATTAATTAAATATTTTAAAATGGTGGAACAAATAGGTGCAGCAACTGCAAATATTGCAATTAAAATGTTGAATCAACATTGGAGAGGAAGTAAAGATGATGATCATGATACACTTATATATTAATATATATTTACCAATCTTCTTCTATAACTTTTCCCTTTACTGGAATATTTCTTTCGAATTTAGTACCACCTGGTCTACTTGGAGGAATATAAGGATCTGGATGTTTCCATTCTGCTAATTTTTCTTCAGTTTTTTTAATTGCAATTTCTAATTCTGTTGGATCTGAAATATGTTTATTTGCTTCAAATTGTTGTCTAACTGCTATTGTTGTATTTCTATAAGCTTCAAATTTCATAGAATGATCATATGCTGTTCTTAATGCTCTTCTAAATAATGAGGCTACTCTTTTTGAATTAGCTTCTGTGAAAGGTAATATTTGAGACATGGTAAACTTAGTAAGTGCAATTTTTCATTGGTCGAAAAAAAATTATATTGGCGTGAAAAATACGAAGATGATCAATAAAACTACTGCGAAAAACACGTTAGAGTTGACCAGCAGCTACTGAACAAAAGTGACGGCTTCAAACACCGTGTTTTTAGTTCTTATATTATTCTATCTATTTTTACAATATTCTGTATTATTTGCAAGTACATCTTCAATCAGTTCTTTAATTGGATTATATTTTAATGTATATGTATCTCCTAAATTATTCATCTTAACCAAAAAGTCGTCTATATCTTCTTTTGTTAATGCCGATGATAAACATAATCTAACTCTAGCGGATAATAAAGGAGTAGCAGGATAACTTACAACAACAACAGCAATACCTAATTCATACAAAGTTCTTGATAATATTGGCATCTTCGTAGGTAGGAAAATTAATAATGGTATAACTGGAGAATCATCAGCTCCATAAACAATAAAACCTAACCTCTTTAATGCACTTCTTAAATATCGTGAATTAAATGCTATTCTTTGCAATCTTTCCTTACCTTCCAGTGGGTTTAAATCACCTTTTATAATTGATAAACTAGATATAATTTGTCCTAATACTGGTGGTGGTACACTTTCAGCATATCCTTGTGTAATATAATCTAATCTTAATTTATTAATTAATTGTTTTGAACCAGCTATATAACCACCAGTAGCACCAAATGATTTAGTTAATGTCCCCATTAAAATATCAACTTTAGAAGGGTCTACACCAAAATAATCACAAATTCCTTTTCCATTTGGTCCAATTGCACCTATTGAATGAGCTTCATCTATGAATAAATAACATTTGTATTTTTCTTTTATCCTGATTAATTCAGGTAGGTTACAAATTGTACCTTCCATTGAATATAATCCTTCGACTGCAATTATAATCTTACCCCAAGCTCTATGAGATTTTGGTCTACCTTGAGCAATCTCATTTCTGATCAATTTCTCCAAACTTTTCATATCATTATGTTTGAATACCTTAACTATAGCCCCTGATAAACGAATACCAAATCTAATAGAAGCATGATTTAATTCATCTGATATAATCAATGTTTTTGAATCAGCTATAGACATGAAAAAATTTGCATTTGTTCCATAACCTTGTGATACAATTATTGAATCATCTTTGCCTACAAATTGAGCAATAACTGATTCACATTTTTTATGTAGGTCAGTACCTGAATATAATCGAGGATTACATCCAGAAACACCATAATCTCTTAAACAATCTAATGCAAAACTAGTACAACTACCTGAACTTTGAGCAAATCCTAAATAATTATAACTTGACAAATTTAAACATTCTTTTGATGTCCCATTGTATAAGTAACCGTATTTTCCATATCTAATTCTATTGAAACAACTAATATATCTTCCAGGAACTCCATGGATTGGTCTTGCAAATAAATCATCAATTCTAGTTTTTAATCGTCTAACGAAAAAGGATTCAAATCCATCATACCATGGTGCATATCCATCGACTTCAATTAAATCTTCATATTCATGAGGTTTGAATATTTTACCAAAAAAATCTCGAATGTGACCTATTACGATATAAATCAAAAAGTTAATCAATGTCAATGTGTAAACTAGGAGTGATGGTTTTAACTCCTCTGGTGCTTTTAATGGCTTGTTAATTGGGTGCTGTGATAATAATAAATATTTTGAAGATGTTAAAGTTCCGTACTCATGTTCTTTTTTTAATTTTAATGACCTTGTATCTTTTGGAGCATTAGGTATCGATTTGGTTAAAACCATCTCAAAAGATGAGAAGTTGGTTGTTTCATGTTGCAATTGAGAATAAATTGAAAATAGTGTTTTATTCTTGGAAACATCGGATCAAACTAAAAAATCACATTCAGTAAACAAAGTTAGTACCTATGAAATAAGGTACACATTTAATAACTCTGAAACGTCTAAAACGTGTTTGGTGAATTGTGTTGACTAAATTTTAGTAAGTTTAGTTTAATTTGTCATACGATGATAATTGACATTAAATTAATTTGTAAATCTTTTTATTCGTAATGGAAATCCGGAAAATATACGACCGTAAAATATGAAAAATTAATGAAAATTTTAGCGACTATTAAGCACATAAACCAATTATAGCATGATGAGCAGCATATAATTTGATAGTTTGTTGACTGAAGGAGCCTTGATTTAATTTTGGATTTTTCCAATTGTTGTAATTTTTGAAAAAATTGGACGAATTTTGAAACAAATAATAAAACTAAAGGTGCTACCAAGTACATTTAAATTCAGTCAAGACTCTTGCACTCTTAATTGAGAAGCTTTGAAGACTGGCATCTCAAATATGGGTGTATGTAATAATGATTTTATGGAGCTTTTGCTTTGTTAAATTCATTCGTTGAACTTTCACTTACAAATGCTCAAGTAGGAAATGTTGCAAAATTCAAAAACTTTGCAGCCAAATTACTTAAATAGGAAATGTTGCAAAATTTTTAAAATGCGCATACGTATGCTCAAATAGGAAATGCTACAAAATCTGAGACCTAGGTATATGCAGTACCACGTAATATGATTTTACATCTCCATATTCGGTCTCCGAAGTATAATTAAAACTCCTAATGAATATAAAATAATATAAAATATCACTTTCTATCATGCTACAGGCAAGCTACTTAGTTCGGAGTACTACCATAGTGAAGAGGAAGGATAGCTCTATATTATAATCTACTTTTCTACAAAGGTCATCTTACAAAAAGCATAATTTACAGAATCAACCAATCATAGTTAATTAAATTATGATTACTCTACTCCATACTAAATTAGTAAGTGTAAGTAGTCATTCATTTTGTACAACAATACACTACCATATATATATATATTAATTTCCTTCTATTTTTTCTATTTCAAAAAGTTTACAACATATTTATTAATCCATTTTTGATTAACAGTCATCTCATTATTTATTCATTACTATAGCATTTACATTATTATAAACTAATAGATTATTATACAGATTACAATTTACAATGTTATCGAAGAGTATACTAACATCACAACAACTTACAAAAAGATTTTTATCAAGTGAATCAAAAAATTTAATATTGACTAAAAGTAAAAGATATATGCAAACTATACCCATTTCAACATCAACTTCATTACCTCCATCATTTATAAAATCATCTACTGCACCATCATCAATTAATGAAATTACTCAAAAACCAAGAGAATTGAAAAAACATAGTCTATCTTTTTCTGAACAATCTAATCAACAATCACAACCGATAAGAAGATCACGAACATCAAGGTTCAACACTAAAGAAAAAGATGGTATAATAAATATAACATCGGATCCAGAAATACAAAAAGCATCACTGAAAATAATACCTGAAACAAAACCAATAACAACTACAACAACAGAAACACAACCTAAGAAAAAGAGAACCTTACGTCCTAGAAAAGCGTTAATTACATTATCACCCAATGCAATTTCCCATTTAAAACAATTACTCAACCAACCGCAACCAAAACTTATAAGAATAGGTGTAAGGAATAGAGGATGTAGTGGATTAACATATAATTTAGAATATGTAGACTCACCTGGAAAATTTGATGAAACGGTTGAACAAGATGGAGTCAAAGTATTAATTGATTCAAAAGCATTATTTTCAATAGTTGGATCCGAAATGGATTGGTTAGATGATAAATTAAGTTCAAGATTTATATTTAAGAATCCAAATTCAAAAGGTACTTGTGGATGTGGTGAATCTTTCATGGTATAACCAATTAATATATATTTATTTTTATTTTACTTAATTTATCTTTCATGGTATAACCAATTAATATATATTTATTTTTATTTCACTTAATTTTTCTACATTCAAAATATGTAGCATCGATATCATCAGGTAATGAACAGAAGTAGTCGAACTTTTGCATTGTTTTAAATAATTCAATTGAATTCATTTTCAATTTAAGACAAGTTTTGCCACCATCATTTGAATTATTTGTACATATTATTGATTCTTTTGATTCTTTTTCACCATCTATTATAAATACATTAGATTGAGGAAAACCAGAAATAAAATTTGAAATAGTTGAATCATTAGCCTCAACTTGTTTTATTTTTAATTGTGCTTGTTGATCTTTATCTTGTAATTGATTTAAAGTAGTTTCAATATCACCACCATGTTGTAATGAAATATTTTTACCTAGCTTAATTAAATCATGAGATCTTTGTTCAATTGTAGTTGGTGGTAAGTTATTAACGTGCTCTTGCTTGTTATTTGATGAAAATCCGAACCAACCCATATCTCTAAATTGTTTGCTATAAAAATGAAAAATATGAATTGGTAGTGTTCTAAATGCAAAGTTCTAAATTTTCATTGAATTCCATTAATTTTATATAATACAATTTGTAATTTATATTGGATGACATATTGATCAATTGATACTTATAATCATATTTAATACTGTTTGGCATCTCATAATCCATTCTTAGTATAGTACTCAATATTCTTGTCTCAGTTCTATCTATATTTGTCTTTTCGATATCTGATTTAGTCACTATTGGATCATCTATATGGTTATTATCTAATGCTACGCTTGAATTGAATACAAATACAAGTGTGTTAAATAATCTAATTTCCAACTCCTCCTCACTCAACTTTTCTCTCAATTTCAACACTGTCTCTCGTTTAACATTATAATTTTCATTCCTAAACTTTCTTCTTAGTATAGTTACATAGTCCAATGAAGTTATGTCTGGTATCTCGTATGGTCTATCTCTAGTTTTGTAAAATTGTTTGTCAATTTCAAAATGGCGTAGCTTATAAAATCGTTTATAATATGCTAATAACTTGGACTTAAAAGTGGGTAATTGACTTATTTGTATTCTTGAGCTATCTATATCAATCAATGGATAGTTTAACACTATTCCTGGGGTATTCATTCTTATTTTAAATGGTTGTATCTTTTTCATTTTAATTCTGAAACATTTTGATAATTTTTTTTTTTTTTTCGTTTCAGATTTTTTGCAACCAATTTATATTATGAATTCAGTTGCAATTAGAGTAGCTGATAACTATTACAAATTAGAGTTTACTCAAGATAAAGTAAGTCAATTGGCTATACCATCACCTAGTCTGCTTAAACTTCAAATTAATTTGATTTTGAATGATAAGAAATTGAATATTATGGATTCTGAATACAATGAATTGATCTATGAGATTGCCAATAGATTTAAGAAATTCTTCACATTCTTGTCTTATAATATTGCTATAAATATCAATGAGAATGATAATGACAGATCATTTGGTTTAGATTGTCTGTGTCAGGTTTTTAACGAACCAACTATTACTGAACATTTGAGATTATTAACGATCAATTTATATTTAGTTACGAGCTTACCTACTTTTGAGTTTGATGATTTGATTGAAAATTGGAATTATTTATTAAGTTCTTGGTATTTATACATTGAAACACAATTTCCATTTTGTTTTTCATACATTGGTAGGAGTTACACCAAAATGAATTTATTCTGGTATAAAAAATTAATGATTGATGTGTTTGAGATTGAAGATTTTGAAGTGGTTAAGATTTTAGAGATTTTATATAATGAGATTATTGAAAAGTATACTGTTGCTAAGTTATTAACTACTAATAATAAATTATCAAGATATGATGAAACTTTTAAAAGGAGGGATAGGTATACGACTAGTGTTGTTAAATCTTACCCAGTGAGAATATTGAAGGATGAAGAGTTAGACTAGACGAAGCTGTTTAATCTGGATTTGCTGGTCAACCAGTTGCTATTGAAATTGTTGTGTTTGAAATTGTTATTGCTTATAAATCTCAAGTTTCAGGTATCAGAGTATTATTGGACTCAATCACCACTACTGTAATGTATTTATGACAAAACAGACTAATAAACGTTGAGCAAAAGGTCTTAATAGCTTGTGTTTCAGAGAGTATTAATTGAAAACTTTAAGGAGATTTATTGCCATTATTTAATACAAAGTAAATAATTAATAGTCAAAAGGTTAAATTGTACAGATTGAATTCGCTACTATATCTTGTTATTAGTCAGCGGTTGTCAGATTTACCTTCTTTATGAAATTCAATTTTTAAATTTGGGGGATCAAAAATTGGAGGCGGGGAATCGGACTAAATATATAAATTCAACAATAATTTCTCCGAAGCAAAAAAAAAATAGAACCAAACCAAACTTTTATTTCACCATGGTCAATTTAGCTATTGTAGGAACAGGTATATTTGCAACAGACACTCATTTACCAACAATTCAAAAAATAAATGATTTAAATCCAATTGCAACTTATAATAGAACAAAATCAAAAGCTGAAATATTTGCAAACAAGGCTCATATTAATTCAAATAAAGTTTATGATTCCCTTGAAGAAATTTTTAAAGATTCAGAAGTTGAATTTGTTGATGCTTTATTACCTGTTCAATTTAATCTCGATGCTGTTAAATTATCAATTGAATATAATAAACCAATATGTTTTGAAAAACCAATTGCTGCTAATTTATCCCAAGCTAAGGAGATTGTCCAATTGAGTAAATCTACAGAATTGCCAATTATGGTATTGGAAAATTGGTGTTACTTAAAAGCTATAACAGTGTTAAAAGAACAAGTCTTGCCTCAAATTGGAGAAGTTGTCGGGTTTACTTATAATGCCACTGGTCCATTTAATGATACAAATAAATATTTACAAACTACATGGAGACAAAAACCAGAACATATAGGTGGATATTTAAGTGATGGTGGTGTTCATCAATTAGCTTTATTAACTGAAGTTTTAGGAAATGTTGAATCTATATCTGGATTAACTAAACAATTGAGAGAAGAATCAGGTACTGATGATGTTTTATTTTCAACTTTAAAGATGAAAAATGGTGTAATTGGTACCTTTACATATGGTTCAGCTTTTGGAGCAACTGATAAATCAACAAGTTTTATAATTTATGGTAAAAATGGTTCAGTAAATTATGATTGGTCTCCTGGTCATAAACCAAGTATTATTTATGAAACTGGAACTTCTCAAGGAACTAGATCAAAAAAGAAGACAATTGAATTCGAAGAAGTTGATACTATTGAGGAAGAATTTAAAAATTTTAGAGATTCAGTGGTTAAGAAAGATAAATCTTTAGTTGTTGTTCCTCCTGAAAAGGCATTCCATCATTTGGCTATTATTGCTGCTGCTTTAAATTCTTCAAAACAAAATGGTGCAAGTGTTAAAATTGAATTACCCTAATATAAATTTAAGGATGAATATATATGTAAAGATGCCGTAATTTAATTATATTTTCTGTGATCCAGATTTATATTGGCCTTCTAGTAATAAATATAATCCAGAATTCTAAGATGATGGTTATAAGCTTTGAAAAATATAACTTGACCAACAAAACTGACGTTTTTTGTCACAATTTATCATGATCTACAACATCAGTAGATGTTTTAAGTAGATTAGCCACCAATTTTGGATTTTAAGCTGTCTACCAAGTGCCAATATGAGTCGTTGCTGCATTAAAATGCCGTGAAGCACTTAATTTTCTCTCTTTGCATCACAATTTCACAATAATAGTTGCTGATTCTACCAAATTATCTACCCTAATCAGCACTGTAGCTATTTTAGAGTATTAAAGGAATTAACTGTTGTATCACGATGTCTGTAACAACCTTAGTCTTCCTTACTATATCACAATTCATCATGAATCACAATATTAGTAGCAGTTTCAACCAATGTATCCATCAATGTTGACGTTTCCAGTAAACTTTTTAATGTAGTTGTTGCATCTAGTGTATCTATAGTTACCATCGGCACCACATTTTGATCAATTTTTATCTTTGACGGACCAAATATCCAATTAAAAATATTAAAGATCTTAAATAAACTCCAAAACAATATCCTCAATGGTCTTCTTAATATTCTTCTATAAATCACCCAACAACAACATAATATAAAAAACCCCATTGCCATATAAATTCTCTTCCTATCAGATTTATCTTGTTTTTCGATAAATTTTATAATATTTTTCAGTTTCATTAATAAATCATTAAATTTTATGAAATTTTCATTTAATTTAAATAAGTCCTTTGCTTGTTGATCAATTGAATCTAAATTTAATTCTGATTGTAATATTGAACCTTCTAATAATTGACGAGATGTTTGTAATGATGCCGTGATTTGTTTATTTTGTTTTGTAATTTGTTGATTCACTGATAATTCTTGAAGCTTTTTAGTTGATCTATTTGAAAATAACTCATCACGGATATCTTTATCATTTGGGGTGGCTGATTCCTTGGTTTTATTTAATCCATATTTTTCAATTCTTAATTGCGTGAGTTTCTCCTGTTGTAGATCATAAATATATAACTGTATGTTTCTGAATTTCTCTGTAAGAATCTTGTACTTCAATTGATAAAGTTGTAAATTATAAGAATATTTACCATCATTGATTGAATAATTTTGAAAAATTCGTATTAAATCTTTAAATTTGAGTAGTTCATTATTTATTAAATCTAATATATTTGTATCTACCAATTCACTCTCTTTTGAACTTTCAACTAATAAGTCTAATGATTCATATATTTTGTATGTTAATTGATCAATTTGGTTATTTATATTTGCCATTTGGTGATAATTTTTTTTTTTTTTTTGGCAACCATTTTTGATCTTAATGAAGAATCATGAAAAACCATTTGATCCAAGTAAATTAACACCAGAATATATTGAAGAACAAAGAAGAATACGAAATGAAAGAAAAGAAAAAGAAAGAAAACGTAAAGAAGAATTGGGATTAATACCACCACCTGAACCTGAATCATTTATAAAAAGACCCTTTATTAAATTAAATTTACCACTGGTGACTGATAAATTGGCTATTACAATCATGAGTTATAATATACTTGCACAAACATTAATACGAAGAGAATTATACTCTACTAATGGTAAAATATTAAAATGGCATATAAGGTCTAAAGTTTTATTAGATGAAATTACTCATTACAACCCGAGTATTTTAACCTTACAAGAATGTGATAAAATTCAGTACAACTCATTTTGGAAACAACATTTAACTAAATTAGGTTATGAATGTAAATATTATCAATTTAATACTAAAAATCATGGGCTAGTCATAGCATACAAGTCAAATTTATTCAATTGTAAACATCAATCATTTATAAAATTAGATCAAGACTTTGAGGAACTTCCAGTTTCAAGAATATATACTAAAAACGTTGCATTTATAACCTATCTAGAATTTACAAATGAAATTAGACAAAGTTATCCATATCTTAAAAATGGGTTAATGATTGGAACTACTCATTTATTTTGGCATCCTTTTGGTACTTTTGAAAGAACAAGACAAATGTATATGATATTACACAAGTTTAAAGATTTTCAACATACTTTAAGCACATTGTATAAAGCTTTTAGCTGTTATCTGTTTTTAACTGGTGATTTTAATAGTGAACCCTTTGATGCTCCATATTTATCAATAACTTCAAAACCAATAACTTATGAAAATCAAATGAAAAATGTACTTGGATGTAGTTTAACTTATAAATATTCAAAAGAAAGATCGATGGAAGATGAAGATGAAGAAGATGAAGCTTTTGAAAATGAAAGAAAGAATAATCCAGATGATCCAGAACCTTCAAATTTTCATGCAAGTCCAGAACAAGATCAGATTATGCAAAAACTACAAGATGCTCATAATAGTTTAAATCTTAGAGCTATTTCATTATATTCAGTTGGTTATAAATTTATAGATTCTAAAAATTCAACAAATCATAAAAATGAACCAGTATTTTCAAATTGGGTAGATAAATGGAATGGAATGTTGGATTATATATTCTTACTAGTACCTTGGAATAACACAGACAATACAACAGTTGAAGAACCTCATGAATTAACTCAATATGACATACAACTTACCAAGTTATTAAAATTACCATCACCTGAAGATATGGGACCTTTCCCATCTGGACAACCAAGATTATATCAATATCCAAGCGATCATTTATGTATTATGGCGGGAATACAATTACTTTAGTTATTTATTTAACATTGTATCTACCAAATCTTCCAATGGTCCATAATCTTTTTGACTTATTAATTGAAATTCATTTGCAAATAATACGTAATGTTTTAAACTTGTATTTAAATGACTTTGTAATCCTAATTCACTAATTTCATGAAAATGATGACAATAAATATGGGCATAAATTCTAAATAATCTTTTAAATATAGTTTTAACTAATGTTGGAAATTGATGTGGAAATGGTGAACCAATTTTTGAAGGAAATATATTATCATTATCAAAAAAATTTTGTACCCAATTCATTAAATTTTCAATATATTCACAAGCAGGTAATGAAATTGGTCTTTTTGGTGATGAAATTGAATTATTTAAATCTGTATGGTTATTTGTATTTGATTCTTGCCATAAATATTCATATTCTTCGGTTGCTATCATTCTTGGACATGTTTTTGGTGAACAAAATTCTGTGATTGTACCATATAACATATTAATTTGATTATAAAAATCAACTACATGAATTGCTAACCATTCATTTAAATCTTCATCTCTTGGCAATTTTACAGCTTGAATTAATGCATTATCAGATCCTAAAGTTTGTTCAGCATAATTTCGAATATCTTTATGTGTTGAAACTTGTTGTGTTGAAGTTGAAGGTTGTAAATTTATAGTTTGATATGGATTTTGATTTTGGTTATTTGAAGTTTGAGGTAATACTGAATTATGAATTGGATTTGGTGATGATATTGGTGATGTTTGTTTTAAATTAAAACCTCTGGTTGATCTTAATGAATGTGTATTGAAATTTTGGAGAAGTGCCATGATAATAATAATAAGTGATATGGTTTAATTGTATCTATTGATTATAAAGTTATGATTTATTAATAAAATTAATGTATGGAATATCTTTTTTTTTATGATTTATGTTTTGATTATTACCTAATTGGGCTTATTATATATTTTATATACAGGATTGCTTAAACTATAGTGTTTTGCAGCCAAATAAGAGATCTTTAAACACCAGTTCAATAAGCTTATACAACTTAAGGAAGCTAGAAGGGAAACTGAGATTACTGGAGAGTGTGCTAATTAGATTTTGTTAGACATTTCCATGAATGGATTCAGTTTATAATGATTTATACATTGTAAAAATTTCACCACACAAGCAGCTACGTTATTGGGTGACATGAGCTTTGGCAGCATGATTTCGATAATGAGAAATATGGTCTTCAGTTTTTTGGATATAATTTGATACTGAAAATTACTGCAAAATGACTTAAATTCTAAACCTACCAACTAATGACTATAATCCCTTATTCTCTTTCAAACATCAAGTATGCTTCATGAGCTATCCTCATAGATACTATTTATTCTTCTGACTTTTGTTCAAAATACGAGCTCAAACCAACATTACTAATTCATACTTTCTAATTGTTTCTTGTGTTTTACTATGAGTGATATAAAAGTGTTTAGCTTCTAATTCAAAATTATGTAAAGGTTTAAAAAATACATAAGCCCAAATAGTTAAATTATCTGCAAATTGACCCATAAGTTGATAAATCTTTAATTGAACAATTGAGATTTTGTTGATTTGAAAGATTAATGTCCTAATCTTAGCTTTGATGAAGAATAAATGTGAATTTCAGATTTAATACGACAAATTATAGTCATTCATACTTTAACTCGAGCAACAGAAGTGGTCTTGTTTGATGTTTTTGATGATGAATAAAAAACGCAAATAATGTCTCACATTTTGTGCTTTAGTAAATGTCACAACACAGAGCTGAAAACCTTTGACAAGAGATTGCCATAGGGAGATGTTCGAATAATCAACAGGAAATGAACTATCTTGTTATCAGATAGCTATATGTGTGTATTACTTGCAAAACAACTTAAAATTATTAAGCTGTATACTCCCTGAAACCATGCTCTCACTCGAAAATGCAATTGGAAGCTCCTTTAGTGGATCTGATTCTATCCAGTTATTTTGAATTGGTCATATTCTCAAGTTATTGTAAATTGGTGTTTAACTTATTATTGGCTAATTCAACACCGCCAAATTTCACTATTGCATCCTGTTTCACCAACTGATAATACTAATCAAGACCAATAGCTTCACATCTAGCATAAATTGTCTCCTCATACTCCCAAACTTCTTCATGTGGTCTTGTTAAATATAATAAATCTGGTCATTTAAAGGTCTAATTTAGTCAACATGATATTAGCTAGAAGTAAATCAAACAACCAGCAATACCTAATAATGCACCCAATTTGCTCATTAAAAACTCATTGTCGAAGTTGTTAATAGTTAATTCAATTTGCAACTACTTAGAAAATCATACAATATGTAAGTCGTGTACTTCTGTTCAATATCATTTTTATTATTTTTATTCAATTTTCTTTACAATACTTGTATCATCAATTTATATTCATTATTAATATATTAGTATAAATATTTACACAATGGAAGTAACGCCGGTAAATATCCATAAACATGATGAAGTAGAGAAGCAAGACCTTGAAGTTAAACAACAAAAAGAAGTTGAAAACTCTGAAAATAGGTCCACTGTTAAAGAATTATCTGATGAGCCAGAAGCCAAACATGAATCAACTGAGGAAAACTCTGCTAAAAGTGAATCTGGTACTAGTATTGAAGATAATGAACCGGAAATATCAGTAAATAATGAAAAACCGGTTATTGAAAATGAACCCGAAGATGACTATACACCGGATGAAGAATCTGACAATAAACAATTACCAGCTAAACCTGAATCAACTAAATCAATTTTAGAAAGTTTACCTGCTAAACCTGAATCAACTGAATCAATTTTAAAAAGTTTACCTACTAAACCTAATCTTCCATCAAAACCTCCCGTGGTTAAAAATATTTCACAATCTTCTACATCTCCAACTACTCAAATTGAATCTTTGAAAGATGCTTTTGAAGCTATTAAACAAACTGAAATAATGAATGATCCTAATTTTCATAATTTATCTCCTCAAGAGCAAGCTGCTAAAATTCAAGATCAATTAAATAAACGTGGTATTCACATTAATAGACCAATGAATTATAATCAAGTTTATTCATTTAATAAACCTTTTAAAAATTTAAAAGATCCAATTCCATTAGTACCTATAAATGAATTTTGTAGAAGACCAAATATTACAGCACCAATGACACCAGAAGAAGAACAAGAATATGAGGCTTTCATTCAAAGAGAAAATCATTATTTAAATTTACAAAATTGGGATGAGTTTCCTGATAAACTGAGATTATTTATTGGTAATTTACCTGCAAATACTATATCAAAACAAGATTTATTTAGAATTTTTAGTCAATATGGTGAAGTTATTCAAATTGCAATTAAAGCTGGTTATGGTTTTACACAATTTAGAACTGCTGAAGCTTGTGCGGAATGTATAAAAGGAGAAACTGGTGTTCCATTACATAATAAAATTTTAAGATTAGATGCTTCAAAGCCTCAAAAATCAAGAAGACCAGGAAATCCAGAAATTAATAACCCAAATTTTAGTGCAAGAGGTAGAGAACGAGAACTTGAAGGTGAACCATCTCGTAAAAAAAGAAGAGGAAATATTGATTGTATTGTTTATGTTACTGGTAAATCATCAGTTTTTTTCATAAGAAAAGTTAAAAAAGCATTTGCAAATTTACAAATTACTGTTGATACTGAAGATGTTACTCAAAGAAATATTACTGATGTTTTAAGTGAAGCTGCTTATTCAGGAGTTTTGGGTGCATGTGTTATAAAGGAACAAAAAATTGATTTACAAACGTATGAAAATACCTCAGATGGTGGAATTAAATTTGACGAGTATGCAGATATTGAACCTGAACAAGGTGCTGAAATAATGTCCAAAGCAAAATTTAAAAAATATGGAAATAGTCCACCACCATATATTCAACAAGAATCAAATTATAATGATAATTCACCAAATTATGGTAATAGAGGTAATTCAAGAAGTGGTAGAGGAGGTGGAAGAAATAATAGAAGAGGTAATGATTATGGTTATGGTCGTCGTAATGATAGATATCATAAACCTCAACCACAACCTTATGGCTCTTTTCCTCAACAACCATATGCTCAACAACCACAAATACAACGAGTTCCATATGGTTCACCTCCACAACAACAACAGCCTTATGGCTTTGGCTCACCCCCTCAACAACAACAAGTTAATTCTTTTAATCAACCATATTCTCAACCACCACCTACCAATAACAATTTGATGCAAGCATTACAAGGATTAAATCCATCTCAAGTACAGAATCTTATTAATGCTTTGCAAAATCAACAGCAACCAGCAGTACCAGCTCAACAACAACCTTATTCTTTTGGAAATTATAACCAACAGCAGCCTACTCCTTATCAAGCTGCTCCTCCTAATCAAAACCCTAGCAATCAAGTAAATGCTTTATTAGCTCAATTACAACAAACTAATTCAAATTCAAATTCAGCTGCAACATATCCTCAGTCGTCAAATAATCAACAATCCTCTACAACAGAAGCATTTCTAGATACATTAAAGAGATTGAGCAATAAATAAGATTCTATAGTTATTTATATTTAATCTACTGAACTTGAATTATTTGATATATCTGTTTGACCTTCATGTTCTTCAAATCCAGCTGATTTGCTTTCTCTTTGTAATTCTTGGAATTGATCTTCATTTTCCAATACACCATTTATACCTAAAACTCCACATTCATTAAAAATTTCCAAGATTTTTTCAGCATCTTCAAGTTTTAGTTTAGCAAATTCATTATTTACTTCATCAATACTACCTGTTTTTAAAGCTTCTTGGAAATTTAACGGTAATTTATCATTAAAAATTTCATATTCTTGTGTACCTTCTTCTGGTAAATTTACAGTCAATTCAGTACCTTCATCTAATGCTCTTAATTGAATCAATTCTTCTCCTTCTTGTTCATTTCTTTCATTTTTAATAACTTCACATCTTTGAACTATATGATTAAATGTATTTTTAACTTCTTCTTCAATTGCTATTCTTGCCGGTGATGAGGTATCATTAATTTTACTGAAGAATAATTTAACTGCTTTAATTGCATTATCTTTTATCATATTTGGACCAGTTAATTGAGCAGCATATTGTAATAATATAGATTGATGTACGATTTGTTTTGCTTCCGATGAATTACCATCCAATTGATAATTGAAAGCAGTCATAACTAAAGCATCCTTTTGTTGTTGGGTACAAATATGATAATTTTTAATTAAATATTCAGCAGATTTATTCAAATCTGTAGATGGTATTTGACCAAATTTTTCAGTTTCTGGTAATAATTCCAATTCATCTAGTATATCCTTTTCTGGTTCTTTATGTTCAACTGGTGTATTTATAGTTTCGATTGTTGTTTGTTTAAGAGTTTCTTTTTTAGGTTCATCTTTATCTTTATTTATAAATGAAGTATCAAAACCAGTATGTAAATCTTCATTGGTAATCAATTGAGCTTTTTCATTTAATAATGAATCTAATTTAATAGTTTGTTTTGATGAAACATCATCAATTCTTTGTCTATGATCTTTTATATATTGAATTAATTTATCACCATCAGTTTTTGCATCTTCATGATCATCTTTAATTTGAATAAATAAATCATCAATCATTTCATTATAACAAGGAGTATTTTCAATTTCTTCCTTATCAAATTTTAAATCTGTTAAACCTTTTCTAACTGAATCACCTTTACTTTTAATTAATTTTTCATAATCAAATTTCTCCTTTGGATCAAATTCAGAATCAAGAGTTTTTAAAACTAATTCATTATTTAATAATTCTGACGGTGATAATTTATTTAATAAATAAACTAATCTATCATTTAATTTTGCATACATTGTTAGTTGAATTATTATCGATTTAATTTCAATATTTCTTTGCATTCTTTTTTCATGAATATCTCTTTGTTTCCATCGAATAAATGATCTTTTATCAACATTTGGATGAACTTCAACATCTGAATCATCAGATAATTCAATCTTATCCCATTTAGAATAATCGATTGGCATAATTAATATTGGAGTGGTTAAATTTTTCCATAAAATTCTGGAACAAAAAAATTATTATATCGCGAGATTTGATGAATGAAGTAATATATATTCTATATAATACTCTATAACTCACCTTCTGGTCTTAAGCCAGTAAAGAAAGCTAAACCATAACCAGTGGTTTCAAATGTAATAGTTGTATTTTTTTTAAAATAAAATACATCACCTGGACTAACACTAACTTTATAACCAGTTTCATCACTTATCCAATATTCACCTTCAACTTCTAATATAATTTTCATTTCATCATAACTATATTTATAAACTAATGGTTCTCCTTTTTCTTGTTTATAGAAACCACATGTAATTTGTTGATCTTTTGGTGCATCTGATGTAAAAGTATCACCTAAAAATGAATTATTACCCAGTGATGGAATTTGAGGTGGTTTAATAGCTTTTCCTTCAGCAGCAGGTTTATATAACATAGGCATATTTAATTGAATTTGGTTTAGTTATGTTAAATTATAAAGAATTAATTTGAGTTTATATACTTTTATTTGGCTGCAAAACATAACCTAAAATGGATTAAAAATCCAGAATGACACAAAATTAAATAGACAACAAATATAGATAAAGATAGAGCTATCCAATTCAAGTAAATGTTTATTGCCGTGTTTATGTTTCTTGGTTGCAAGTTTAAACAATCGAAATGTGAAAGAATCAATGTATTTTCATTAGAGAGACGCGGTATAATGAGAACAATAAGTAAGTATAACGTATAGTAATTTAATTATAGACTACTCAATGTCTATCGAAGTATTTGATGAAATTTTGTTTTTTACCATTTAATTGATGGTATGAATTTGGAAATTTTGGCGATAATGGTATAAATGTAGCGCACATAGTTACTTTTCCAAAAAGTATAAATAGACCCAGCTCCCTCGTAATGTGTCATCAAAGAGCATTTTTTCATCTAAGAGCATCTAAGAGCATCTAAGAGCATTGGGCAATTTTTACTTGGTTGTGTTTTTGATACTGTTGTAATTAAGTCATTTCACTACGTTCATCGGCTTTTACATATGGAAACATCATCAAATTGGAATTTAGGTTGTTTCGTTAAAATTCCTGAAGATCAATTCTTTAAAATAGATGTCTGAACATTGAAAGTCAGCATCGTGTTTATTTAAATTAACAAGAGTCTTGTCAAATGTTTATTTGATTAAGATTCAGAAGGGCTTAATTCAATTAGTTTGGTAGATATTTATGATCATCAAATTGATTGGTTGGCCTACCTTATTTATAAATAGTTCATTATTTTACAACGGTTAATATATATTCTATCTCTACTTTATATTCTAATTTCTCTATATTTAATAGGCGTTCGGAGATATTTATTCAGCACGGACTGATTGAACGAGTTAAATTTCTCTGGCGAAAAATTAGCGCGACTTGTCGTGTAATTTAGCACGAGAAATACATTTTTCGCCCTAAACTTTGAAAGTTTGGATGTTTTTAATTCTGAAACATTCCGCCGTTTTTAATTGATTTGATTGGATAAACCTTCAATGATAGGTTACTCCAATTCATCAAATCTTGAAGATACCAAATTGGTCCATATACATGCTTATTCTTTCTACTCTTACCATATCAATTTTCAGAATTATAAGTTGAGTAGATAATGGAATATGTAAAAAATTAACTCTCAATGGTAGCATTTTGGTAGACGTCAGAAGATTCATCAATTTTGTAGTAAAGGACAAGAATATTGGCAAAAAAGTGAAAAATCTGAGTAATAACATAACGTGAATTATAAACTCGAGATGATTCCGATTAGAAAGATCAGAGTTGGGAAGCTAAGCTCAAATATTGCAGTTTCATCAAAGGTGAATATTTCCAGCAAAATATAATGGTTGCAAATTTCAATCATTTCAGAAATACGATTCTAATATTGTAAAATTTGACAGAGTCATTTGATATGTCATATACATTGTCATGAGAACAGATTATAACGTAAATAATTAAAAGCTACTTAAATATATACAGGCTTCATTTAAATCGCCTTTATTTTCTATCAATTGTTCTTTTAAAACTTTAGGATCCAAATCTATAAAAATCTCCTTTAATGTATTTAAATTATCTTCTTCTTCTTTAGTTAAAGTAATATCTTCAACTGTTAAATTTTCAATAAAATTAATTGCACCTTCAATTGATGCCATATAATAACTTGTTTCACCATGTAATAACCATTCAGGTCCTCTAAAGTTTTTAATGTATGAAATGTTTGAATGTAAATCATCTATTTTACTCTTCATTATGACTAATATTAAAATTGGTATGAATGAATCTGCATTTGTTTCCTTTTTAGTCAACTTCAAAAAGCTAAATATTATTTTACATGAATTTAAAATACATATAATCTTATCTCTTGGTGCCCTATAATTATTTATTTTAGTCAATTCTTGACATGCGTATTCTAGAAAAGTTAAATCATCTTTAACTTTTATAGAATTAAGATCACTATTGATCTCTAAGTGATCAGCTTTGAGGTAATCGTATTTTTCCAATTGCTTTTTAAATTCCTTATCTTTATTTAGATCTACTTGAAAACTTTCTGGAATGTAGACATTTGGACTACTTTTTACAATATCAGGTGGAAAACATAAATCATGAATCCTGTTCATAATTAATTTCTCTAATCCTTCTCTTGAATTTTCTAAATCTATTGAATCCATAGAACTAAATGGTTCATATAATAAAAACTTTTCATTCATAAAAAGTTTAAAATCTTTAATTATTTTTATACGTTGTTCTGCTGTAAATGTATGACCTTGTTTAATGTATGATGCTAAAAATGATCTAATATATCTTACAATTGGATCAGCACTTTTCTTACGTAATTGAGCTAAAAATGTTTGAAAATCAAATGGTTTATGTGATTGTTGATGTTGTTCTGAAGAATTAATGTTGAATTTTGATTTTTTATGATCTTCTTTATTATCTATTGATTCTCCTGAAGTTCCTACTGGTTCAATCTGGTATTCTTCTACCCCTGTTTGTTCTTCGGTATTTCCAACTAAATCAACAATTTCTCCATCAACTTTTGTCTTTTCTTGACCATCATTGGAATTTGAATTAGCCTCTGTTTGATTACCTAAGGTACTAGCTACCTCATTCTTAGTAGTATCTTCTTGCTGGGTCAGAACTTCCTCATTTTCAGTATGTTTTTGTTGTACAGCATTAACATCCACATTTTCAATAGTATCTTTTTGTTGTATAGCATTAACTCCCTCATTTTGAGTAGCATCTTCTTGCACTTTAGCTACTTCCTCTTCTCCATCTTCAATTTCATTTTCTTTTGAATTATCTTGATTTGTTGATGAACCTGTAATTATTTCTTCTGGATTATAAGGTTGTATACCAATTGATAAATGACTACTAGCCGATACTTTTTGTATAGTTTGAGGCTTTGACAGTTTTTCTTCTATTGGTTCATCATCCTCATTATCCAGGGTCATTTTCTCCAACTTTGTTTCATGTTCTTCATCATCTTCATGACTCAATTTCTCATTATTTAAATTATTTTCACCATCTTTATCCTTATCAGCATCTTTCTTAACATCAAATTTATCAAATAATTCAATTAAGTCAGTTTTTGAATCTGGTCTATGCGGAGAAGAAGTTATATTTTCATCTTTAGTTAAAATTGGTTGTATAATTGAAGAAGTACTTTCTAAATTTGTTTTTAAAATATTAGATAATATTGGTTTTGGTGATGCTGGTATATCAGACGTTGTAAATGTAGCTAATGGCAGTGATGGAGTTCTTAAATCTTTTCTATTATCATAATCATTATCATTATTATTTTGACTGTGAGTGTGGGAAGTTGAATTTATTGAAGATGTTGTATTTGTATTATTTGTTGAAGTGGTTGGTGTTGATTTTGATATATTAAAAGCAAGGTTATTAAATGACATCTTCTTTTAAATCAATCGGTTTTTTGTAATTTAAATTGACATATGGTTCTTTATTATAATAATTTGATAATAGTTAATATTTATATTTCTTGATTTTGATCGAACAAAAAAAATAGTCATATTAATTAATTCCGACTTACAACAAAAACTATACAGAAAGAGTAGAATTATTATTATTACAGTTGTTTATTTACTAATATTACAGTATATAATTGTTCATAAGTTCTGGTTTTCATCTCCATTTCTATTTTCATTTGTTGCTTCTGGAGTATCATTATTTGATTTTTTCTCAGAATCATTCTTTGTCAATTTGAAACGTATTTTAGGTAATTTTGGTTTCTGTACTTCATTTGATTCATTGTTTTCTTCTTGAGGTTGTTTCTGTGGTGATTGAGTTGGTGTTAAGTTTCCATTGGTGTGATTCTTTGAATTAAGCATTACATTGTCTTTTTCTTCAATGGTAATCGATGCTTCCTTTTCAACCTCATTTGCTTGACTAGTATCAATGGGAGTTTTATGATCAGCCTCATCCTCAGGTACATCTTCAGGAACCTCTTCAGGAACCTCTTCAGGAACCTCTTCAACCTTGTGTTCAACATTATCTTCAATTGAATTACCACCAGATGTATCTTCAGGTTTATTTACAACTTTAATTTCAGCGTTATTAGAAATTTTCTGTGGTGGTTCATTAACAATACTTGTCCCATTTGATTGATTAGCTTCGTTATCTGCATGATTTAAATTACTAGATTCATCTGGTCTATTTTCAGTATTAATTTGACTCCTTTCATTTTCATTTTCTTTCTTTATATTATCACCTTGATTCTTATTCTGTTCCTCATTATCTAACTCCATAGTTTCGATATTATTTTGATCAGTTTTCATCGATATACTTTCTTGATTAATTGCAGGTACAAAAGTTGAACCTGCTGAAACTAAATCGTTTCTAATATCGTCGGTTTTTATGTATTTGACATCCTCATCAAAGGGATGTTTTGACCTTTCAATAATTCTTCTTTTAGTATTAATTTTAATATATCGATGAAATGGTTCAATTCTCAATTGTAGAGATTTGATTTTAACAACAAAATTTGAAATATAAACATTTGAAGATTGATATATTCTATTTTCAGCATTTTGTTTAATTATTTTTAGTCTTTCTTTTGGTAATTTTATAGTTATCAATCCTGCATTATCTTCAACTAATGATTCACGGGTTACAATTGGAGGTGGTGGTGGTATTTGTTCAATTGATGATCTTAATGATACTCTTAATGATTTTTCTTGTTTTACAACTGGTTTTGGTAAAAATCTACTTGCTAATTGAATTTTAAATCTACCTTCTCTTCTAAATACAACTTTACCATCACCTAAATTCTTTGCAACTATTTTCTTCTTAAATTCTTGTATTGGAACATTTGGAACAGATAATTTAACAATAAATGAATCAATATTATTATATAAAATTTGTGTCATAAGATAAATATCTCGTTTTTCATTAATTGATAATAATGAAGAATGAATTAATTCCCAAAATACCAATTTTAATCCTTTTCCAATTGAAAAATCTCTTCTTAAAATTTTAATTGAACCTTTTATAGATTCTCTAGCCATTAAATCATGTTTATTTCTCATATCTTTATTTGAACCTTCATCTATTATAATCATTTGATCGGTTTGAACTTCTTGGTTTTGTTCAGTTCTAAATTCAGGATCATCTAAATTTGAAGCACCACCATGAATTGCAGCTGAAACTAATGATTTAATTAAACTTTCAATCAATTTCTTTCTATATGATGGTCTTGTAAAATTTAATAAACATAATTTTAAAAAATAATTTAAAATTGTTTTATTCTTCAATCCACCCAATTGTAATAAACCTCTCATTGATTCAACTCTACTTTCCATTGGATATTTATCTAATGTTAAAATTAATAAATCTTCAAATGATAATTGAATAGCACCAACTAGTGCCATTTTAATCTTAGCTTTGATGCAGGTAATTTCGATAATATTATGATATGACGGAGTCCATTGATCTAATTTTTGTAATCTATTTAATTCAGTTAATACTAATTGAACAAATCTTTCATTTGAATCTTCATTCCAACCTAATATAGCACTTTTAGTTAAATTTTTAATCAATTCAGAAACATATAAACAATCATCAAATTGATTCATTGAATTATCATTATATTTAACTAAATTTAATAATAATTGTTGAATTGCCTTTGGCACTTTACCTTGATTATCTTTAACTAATACTAACATACTTGGTATAGATTTTAATAGTAAATAACTTCGAAAATCATTGAAATCATTAGATTTTGGAATTGAACTATCTGGGAAACAATATAATGATTTAACAGTTGCAATTAAATAAGGAACACCAATAAAATTATTTGATTCATTTGAACAAGTAGCTAAAGCCTTTGCAGCAGCAATTCTAACACCATAAAAATATCTTGGATCCATTATTGTCCTTACTAATGCAGTGCAATATATCTTTGTTGGTTTTTCAACTTCTCCAAAATATCTAATAGCTTCCATTTGTGCATCGACATCTCGATCATAAATTAATTGTGAACCATACATAAAATCGGGTTGTTTAACATCAATTTTTGCAATCCATTCAGCATCAACATCACCTCTAATCCATTCAAATGGTTCAGAACTTAAAGATTCTTCATCTCTTTTATCCCAATCTTGTAAATTCCATTGATGCATTTCTTGTGGATCAATTAGTACATCACCAAATTGATTAAAATCAATACCTGGATCAATACCTTCATCTTTTTTCTTTATTTTTCTAAATTTTGAATTATATCGAATATCTAATTTAACATTACCATCTTTTAAATCAACTATATGTTCATATGGTGAACCATCTGATTCATGAATTCTTACAGTCATTGGACCAGTAAAAATTGGTTGAATTGGATAATCTTGTAAATCATCTAAATAAGAAATTGCATCATCAATATATGTTGATTCTTTTAAACGTTTATGTTTATGTTCATGATGTTGTACTTGACGAATATTCATTTCAACCATACCCTTTTTCCTATTAAATCTTTGACTAATTCTGAATATTGGACAACCAGCACCAAAAATCCATTGTTTAAAAAAATTATCAAGTTTATTTCTATTTACTTTTTCACAAACATATTGAAAATGTTCAGTTGATAAAGTACCATTTGGTAAATCTCCAGACATTGCTTGAAGAAATAATTTAGGTAAAACTCTTGATAATCCAAATGATTTATCAGTTTTAATCATTCGATTATCTAATATATATAAAACAATTGGAGATTTTAACCATAAAAATTCTAAGTCTTTTTCAAAAACAGGGAATTTAAATAATTGCATTGCAATTGGTTTTTTACCAATATCTTCTTCCACTATCTTATTCATTGTATTTTTAATTTGATAACGATATTCATTTGTACCCATTAACTTTTTTATATATGATGTTGCCATAAAACCAGCAATTCCAATGGTACACCACATATCATTAAAAGTTTGTGGAACTATATTTATACCAGCCCATTGTGATGCAATACTTTTCAAAAGTATATCAGTTGTTGTAAACATTGGTTCTATTAAATTTGGAGGGTATAATAATTGATCTGATAATATTGATAAACCAGCAAATCCATTACTCATTATTGGTGAAAATTTAACAAAAACCATACTATAAGAACTAAACGGAAATGAACCAAATTCTTTCAGAAAATAATCCAATGCTCGATTTGCTATAATACAGGTATTTTGAGCTATTTCTAAATCTTGAGGTAATGCATAAATTGTAATTGGAGAATTTGTACCATCTTTATCATCAAAATTTGTATTATCTGATTCTTCCTCATCATCTTGATTTTCAACTTTATCAATTATTGGAGCTAATGTAAAACTTGAAAAACAACCAATTGCCCAACCAACATGATGAGCACAAACTGGATTGAATATAGACCATGAAACTATTTTTTTGGAAAAATCGTGGGGGTGTGGAGTTTCTTTAACATTGTTGAAATCACCAGAACATACAGTTAAATCTAAATCGTCATTATCTTCTTCTCCTTCATCATCTTCTTCCATATCTTGATCTTCTTCATGTTGTGTAGAATCCATTATTCTTGGATTTCCTATATCTTTTAATGATCTGGGTATATTTATTTCTAATGACCATGTACATCGTTCCCAAAAATTATCAATACAAGGTACCCATGAAGAAGTTGAAATATTATAATCTGAATTTAAAGTATATGCATGCCATGATTTTTTATCAATATTATCATTCGTTATAAAATTAACACCATTTTGTGGATTTTTTAAATAATAATTTATTTTAATTGTAATTGGAGTATAAAATTCATTTACTGTGTTTTTTGATTTTAAATGTAATGGAGTAGCTGTATTTGGATGACTTCCTGGGGTATTTAAACTATTTAAATCAGTTAATTCAAAATTCATATTTTCAGGTAGTAGAATTTTCAATTCTTGAGTATTTGACTCTTCATCATTTAGTATATAATTGAGTTTTTCTTTAATAATATGATGTTGATGTATGCCTATATTTTCTGAATATAAATCCATTAAATTAATTTTATTCTCATTTATAGATTCTTCAAATATAGATGGATCATTAAGATATAAAATATCATCATAAACATAATTTGTACATGGGATATCATTAATTATAATATCTTTAATATTTAATTCTCGACAATCTAGTTTAATTAATTTTAATGTATTTGAAGTAGGTATAATAGTTAATTCAGTAAAACCATTTATTGAATTATCAGATAAATCAATATCTATATTTATCCTTTGATGACTTAGTTTGAATAATTGTTGTGGTTTAACTGATGGTTTATTAATTGTAGGTAATTTTGCCCTAGGCGTAACAACAGATTGTAATGATGGTTGAATTAAAGGTGGTTTTGGTGATTGTATAGAATTAGATCCTCCTATATTAGATATACTTCCTTGATTAGGAATCAAACCTTTATAAGAAGATGTAGAGGGCATAATCCTCTATTTAACAAATTGGTTGTCAAATTTAGTTGGTATACAATTTGGTTTATATTTATATTTTTTTTTCTTACATTGCAGTAAACTACTTATATGCAGTACTATATAAGCTACTATAAATTATTACTATACTTATAATAATCAAATCTATTGGCCTTTAATGACCATTCAACTTGTAGTTGACTATTTACATTTATATTCAAGGTTGGAAATAATATTATTCTGTCATTGTACAACACACATGGTAAATTATTATGCAACTTGTCTCTAAATTGAATCAAATCAGAATGAAGTATCTGTTGATGTGATTTACTATAAGGTATAAGTTTGATTGCCATGTCTATTGAGGAATTAAACCTTAGCCAAAATCTTGAGTCAAATAACTTCCAATCACTCCATAAATTCAGCACATTTTCAGTATACGAAATATTTGGAATTTCAAATCTTGCAACATTACATCGAGATATATCAATTGAAACAAAATCATGATCCTTCTTGATGATACACTCACAGTTCATTATACTTAGCTTCAAATAGCTCGACTCTTCCTCTAAAAATTTTTGTATTTTAGGAATTAATTGTCGTTCAATTTTAGCGTAAATCCAATGATAATGTTTTGATGATGATATAGGATGCAATTTCTGATATAAAAATCTACTTGTTATCAATTCATTCTCTTTATCAAAACATCTTCTTGGAATTTGCATTTTGATCATACCCAAATGTGGAAATTCCTCATACATTGAATTGTTTTTCAAGTATTTATACAAATTATTAGCCCTTTCCTCGAGTAAGTCAGTAAACTCAGTACATTTCACTTGTAAGTCTATCAAATCAAGCTTGTTAATTTGCCCCGCGTTAATCAAATTTCTAATATAATTTCTTCTTGTTAAATTTACATCATCATTAGTTGGATCTTTAAAATAAGGTACATCTTTGACCTGACAAGTTTCAGTTATAGATTTCTTATCAAACTGCCATAAAGGTCTAAATAAGTGTACTTTTCTTTTTGAAATATCTGGTGGCAAATCTTTTGAAATTGGTAAACTAGTAGTTTTTCTAGTACCCGATAAACCAAAAATTGAAGAATTACCTTGTAACCTTTGTACAAATGTTTCCAATTGATCATCTAGATGATGTCCTAAAAATAATACTGATATATCTCGTTTTTCACACTCATCTTGTAATTTTTCGTACCTTTTAATTCTTGCAACTTCTTCAAAATTGGAAATTAGCGTAGGGTCCTTTTCATATTTCAATTCAGCAACAGTATGAGACACATTCCAACCTTCCAAAATCTTTGTTATACTTTTAGCTTCCAAACTTGAATCTTTTCTATACTGATGATCAATTGTTATAGCATGTAATGATAAATCTTGTTTATAAATCAGTTTGAATTCAGTTAATAAATAAGTTAATAACATAGAATCTGGACCACCAGATAATGCTATAGCCAATCTATTTTGTACTGGATAGCCATTGAATAGCCTTAGCAACACTTTCTCAAAAGTTTGACTAGTAATTATCATATAAACAACATTGGTTAAAGTACTGGTCGTGTGTTTAAAAACTGTTCATAATTTTGCAACAAAAAAATTTTATTTTTCAATTTGTTAGTCATAAATTAATTAGAGGAATGGCTGATTCAAATACTCCCATTGGAGCATTTAGCTTTCCAAAAGAAGAAGAAGAAGTTATTAAATTATGGGATGATTTAAATGCTTTTCACAAAACTTTAGAATTAACTGAAGATTTACCTCCATTTGCATTTTTTGATGGTCCACCGTTCGCTACTGGTACTCCACATTATGGTCATATACTAGCTTCTACAGTCAAAGATATTATTCCAAGATATGCTACTATGAATGGGTTTCATGTTGAAAGAAGATTTGGTTGGGATACTCATGGTTTACCCGTTGAACATGAAATTGATAAAAAATTGGGTATAACTTCAAAAGAAGATGTTTATGCAATGGGTATTGATAAATATAATGCTGAATGTAGATCAATTGTTATGAGATATGCTGATGAATGGAAACGAACTATAAAAAGATTAGGTAGATGGATTGATATGGAAAATGATTATAAAACTTTATATCCTGAATTTATGGAATCTGTTTGGTGGGCTTTTAAAGAATTATATAAAAAAGATTCAGTTTATAGAGGTTTAAGAGTTATGCCTTATTCAACTGCTTGTACTACACCATTATCAAATTTTGAAGCTCAACAAAATTATAAAGAAGTTAATGATCCAGCTATTACAATTGCATTTCCTTTGGTAGATGATGAAAATACTGTTTTGGTTGCTTGGACAACTACTCCATGGACATTACCTGCAAATATTGCTTTAGCAGTCAATCCAAAATTTGAATATGTTAAAATTTATGATGAAGAAAAGAAGAAACATTTTATTTTATTAGAAAGTTTAATTGGTACATTATATAAAAAACCAAAATCAGCTAAATTTAAAGTTGTTGAAAAATTAAAAGGTACTGATTTAGTTGGATTAAAATATAAACCATTATTTGATTATTTTTATGAAGATTTTAAAGATTATGGTTTTAAAGTTATTCCTGGTGATTATGTTACAAATGATTCAGGTACTGGTATTGTTCATCAAGCTCCATCATATGGTGAAGAAGATTACAAATGTGCTTCAGAAGCTGGAGTTATTACTGAAAAAAGACATCCACCAGATGTTGTTGATGATTCAGGTAAAATGAGATCAAATGTTGAATTAGTTGCAGGAATGTATTTTAAAGATGCTGATAAAGTTATTATTAAACATTTAGTTGATCAAGGTAGAATATTAGTTAATTCTCAAGCTAAACATAGTTATCCATTTTGTTGGAGATCTGATACTCCATTAATATATAGAACAGTTCCTGCATGGTTTGTTAGAATTGGTGAAATTATACCACAAATGTTATCAAATGTTGAAAAAACAAATTGGGTTCCATCAACTATTAAAGAAAAAAGATTTAGTAATTGGATTGCAAATGCAAGAGACTGGAATATTTCAAGAAATAGATATTGGGGTACACCAATTCCATTATGGGCAAGTGAAGATTTTGAAGAAATTATATGTGTTGGATCAATTGAAGAACTTAAGAAATTGTCAGGTAGAGATGATATTACCGATATTCATAGAGAATCTATTGATTCAATTACAATTCCATCACAAAATGGTAAAGGAGAACTTAAAAGAATTGAAGAAGTTTTCGATTGTTGGTTTGAATCAGGTTCAATGCCTTATGCATCAAAACATTATCCTTTTGAAAATGAATCTAAATTTTTAAATGCATTCCCAGCAAATTTTATATCTGAAGGTTTAGATCAAACAAGAGGTTGGTTTTATACTTTAACTGTTTTAGGTACTCATTTATTTAATACAGCACCTTATCAAAATGTTATTGTTTCAGGTATTGTTTTAGCAGCTGATGGTAAAAAAATGTCCAAGAGATTGAAAAATTATCCTGATCCAAGTTTAGTTTTAGAAAAATATGGTGCTGATGCATTAAGATTATATTTAATTAATTCACCTGTTTTAAGAGCTGAAACTTTAAAATTTAAAGAAGAAGGTGTTAAAGAAATTGTTTCATCAGTTTTATTACCATGGTATAATTCATATAAATTTTTTAAAGATGCTGCAAATATTTATAAAAAAGAAAATGGTAAAGAATTTGTATATAATATTGAACTTAGATCTACTAATGTTATGGATAAATGGTTATTAGCATCAATTCAATCATTAATTAAATTTATTCATGAAGAAATGCAAGGTTATAGATTATATACTGTTGTTCCAAGATTATTACAATTTATCGACGATTTAACAAATTGGTATATTAGATTTAATCGTAGAAGAATTAAAGGTTCACCTGATGGAATTGAAGATACTGAAAAGGGATTGAATACTTTATTAGAAGCTTTAATTATATTATCAAGAGCAATGGCCCCATTTACTCCATATTTAGCTGATGGTATATATCAAAGAATCAAGGAATACTTTAATGAATCAGAATTAAAAAGATTTGCAGTTAATCCAAAACATATAGATTTGAGATCAGTTCATTTCTTATCTTACCCATCAGTTAGAGAAGAATTATTTGATGAAAAAATTGAAATTGCAGTTGGTAGAATGCAAAAAGTTATTGATTTAGGTAGAAATATTCGTGAAAAGAAATTAATTTCATTAAAAACACCATTAAAGGAACTTGTTGTTTTAAATTCAGATCCTGATTATATTGCAGATATAAAAACTTTAGAAAATTATATAAAAGAAGAATTAAATGTTAGAAATGTAACAATAACAAATGATGAATCAAAATATCATGTTAAATATTCATGTGTTGCTGATTGGTCAATTTTAGGAAAGAAATTGAAAAAAGATGCTAAAAAAGTTAAAGATGCATTACCTAAAGTATCATCAGAAGAAGTTAAAAGTTTTGCTTCTTGTGGTAAATTGAATGTTGATGGTATAGAATTAGTTGAAGAAGATTTAGTTGTTCTTAAAGGTTTAGATGATTCAAAAGATGTCGAAGGTCAAGAATATAGATCATATCAAGATTTATTAGTCATATTAGATGTTCAATCACATCCTGATTTAATTTCAGAAGGTTTCGCAAGAGAATTAATTAATAGAATTCAAAGATTAAGAAAAAAAGTTGGTTTACAAACTACTGATGATGTTGAAGTTGAATATAAATTAATTAATGATACTATTGAATTTGATAAAATGGTTAACGATAATGAAGAAATTATAATTAAATCAACAAAATATCCAGTTAAGAAATTTAGTGATGAGTTTGACAAGGAAAAGTTAATAACTGAAGAAGAACAAACAATTAATGACACTGTATTTAGTTTAAGATTATTAAAATTAGAATAAATATAATATATAATTATAGATTAGGAAAAACCTTACTTCTAATATATATTTACATAATGAATCTAAACCGTTTCTTCTCTATAAATTCCATAAACTTAAACCAGCACCACCAATAACTAGAATCTTTTCATTATTGATTTCTGTAATATCCGAACATCCAGTATCAGCAACAGTAGTAAATTTCTCAGCATTACATTTTAATGTTGTATCTTTGAAACTCCATAATCTAACAATTTGATCAACTGAAGTGACCACGAACTCAGTATCATTGACTTTTGAAATTGAAGTAATGGTGGATGAAGCAGCAAATTCATCACGATCAATCAAATCTATACTTAACACATCTCCTTTCTGGTTCAAAGCATTTACAGTGATTGCATTATCATCCCCACCAGTAATCAAAATATAATGATCATCATCTCTTTTATATAAATTAATGGCCTTTATTGAACTTTGATGTAATTGAGTCCTCAACACCACTGAATGATTTTTATAATCATTAGTCAATTTGTAAACTGAGATAAATCCATCAGTAGTAGCAATCAATAAATAAACAACATCTCCGAATGTACAAAATTGAACATTTAAAACACAACAACTTTTATAGATCCATTTTGAAATCAAATTGAATCCCTTATTGTAATTCCAAATCTTTATTTGTGAATCCGAATAAACTGTTGCTATCATAAATGTGTCTGAAGTTATTTCAATTGAATCAAAATCCATAATACGTAAATCAGGAACATCTTTAGTCTTTTCCAATCTTGCAACTTCATATATAGTAGGAATGTCATCCATAGAGTTCAATTTCCAAATTATGAATTCTTCATTAGCTGCAGAGCTACCCAAATAATTCTCATTCATGAATTTAATTCTTTGCATTCCGGATATATGATTATTCATTGACCAATAATGTTTGACCCCACCATTGATAATTTTATTTAGACTAATTGTTGAATCTTCAGCAATTATGGCCAATAATCCATTTTCTCCAATTGATAAATCTCGAATTTCTCTACCGTGAGTTCCTTGATTAATTAATCCATAATCTTTAAAACGATGTTGAAATTCACAAATGCATAAATAGTTTTTGAAGTTATATATGAACCTAAATCCATTATTTTGTTTTATGAATTTATATTGACGATGCCCATTACCTCCACAATATTGATTCATTATCTCAATTTGTCTAGTCTCATTCCAAACATAAAAATATGAACTTTTGAAACCATAGAGGATTAATTCATTGTTTTGAATGGATCCACCTTCGATGAACCCTCGAGTTAATTTATTCTGTTGATAGATTTCAATTGAAGAGAGATTTGTTCTTAGATAAGTATAGATTCCATCTCTCGCTAATATTAATAAATCTAGATTGTTTTTAGATGGGTTGATTATTGATATTTGACTTATTGTGTCCCCTTGTGAAATTCTTCTGAATACTTTGGATTCCATTGAGTTTAAATCTATTATTCCAATTGTGATTTTCTTCGTTGCTAATACTAACCAATTATTTTCAAGATCGAGCGCAATTGATGATATAGTAATGAATTTCTCAGGCTTGGGCACTTCTTTGACTTCAACAATGTTAAAACTATCATTGAATTTGTATAATATGTAAGGAATGTTTGGATTTGGACAGTCCATGAGGATGAAGTACTGATGTTCTTGTGAGTATGTGAATATGTTTGAAATTGTGCGGTTAATTTTACTATCAATCCATTCGGTCCTGTCACCATCAGTAACCAATAAGTCACCTTGTCTATCAGCAATAACAACAATACCTAATTCCTTAAAACCTTTAACTATTCCAAAATTTATCAAAGTTGAATAATGACCCATATACCTAAATTCTTTAATCTCCTTTTCAAATTTAATCAAATGACCATTAGAAGTCAACAATATTAAACAAGTTTCCAACTCATAGAAGTCCCTTATAAACTCATTCTTCATCAAATCAAACTGACAGGTTTCTGAAATTTCGTCAATTGAATATTTTTCCACATTTTGATTATCTTCATTTAGGTCGTGTATTCTTAATTTACCATCAGCACCACCAGTAACGCAAATATCATCATCTACATCACCAGACCATATATGTTTACCCCTATGACAGTTTTCATATAATCGTAATTGTACTAATTGATCAGTACCATCAAATTTCCAGATACGTAAAGTACAATCCTCACCAATTGACATAATCTTATCATTCTCAGACTTAAAAAACAGTAATCCCCATATTCTACTACCATGTCCCCAACCATTAGCTAACAAATTGCCAGTTCTGAAATCATATAATTTAATTGATCGATCATCAGAACATGAAATGATGAATTTACCAGTTTGATCAATTTTAACACCAAAAATAGAGCCTTCGTGATCTTTAAGATTGTATACTATCTTTCTTGTTTTTAAATTCCATATTACTACTCCATTCATGACTGTCCCTGCGGCGATATAAATTTCACCATCATTTAAAATGTTAATTGAACCAGAATATAAAATTGATTTCTCATTACAATGAATCTTCTCGTATGTATAATCTGATAAATTAATCTGATAGACGTTATTATATGCATTTAATAATAATATAGTTGAATCATCTGAAAAACAACTAGTAATTATCCATTCATGTATTGATTTTTCAATATATTCTGCCTTTTCCTCAAATAAATCAGATAAATTTGCTACCATGAATGATTTTTCACCACTTAGGAGTACAGATTCCCCATTTGGACTAATATCTATACTATGTATTTTTCTTCTTTTGAATACCTGCGTTTGAAAAACAGATTCCTGAGTTTCAATGTTGTATATTTTCAAAAGTGAACCATATCCCACATATATATAATTGTTATGTATTTTTATTGCTGTTATTGGACCATAGGGTGTTACTGGTTTAAATTTATCTTCATTTAAACATGATATTTCATTATTCATTTATGTTTCAAATTTGGCTGTAAAATTTTTTTTTATTTTTTTTTTTATTTTATTTTTTTTTTTTTTTTGTTTCAGATTTTTAGATCGCTAGAGATTTGACACTTATCGTCTATTAATTTATATATTAGTAGTATGCAATTAGGTATGGCATGCCATGAGAGATTAGATATGATGAACTGACTGTACTCATATGAGTTCATTTGAAAGTTGGTCTAATAAATAGGCTTGCTACCCTTCTTTCTTTGGTTCTTCCTTTTTCGGTTCTTCTTTGTTTGGTTCCTCTTTGTTTGGTTCCTCTTTGTTTGGTTCCTCTTTGTTTGGTTCCTCTTTGTTTGGTTCCTCTTTGTTTGGTTCCTCTTTCTTTGGTTCCTCTTTCTTTGGGTCTGCCTTTGATTTTAGTTTCTCCTTTTTTTTAAATATAGCTTCTGTTGTACCTAATCTAGTTTGTTCTTCACCAAATTCTTTACAAAATTCTTTTGAATATTTTAAAACACAACTCATTAATTCATTATGATCACCTTTTTCAACATCATATTTTTCAATTAATTCTTCCACCATTTGTTTCAATCCATATATATGTATCAAACTATTATTTTCATCAGCAACAGACAATGTCAAGGTTAAAATATCTTTTTTAGTTTTTGAATCAATTTCCCAATTTGATATACCATTTGGTATTAATACATTTGGATCTTTTTCAGCACATAATAAATGATGGTTTCTCCATCCAGAAACCGGTATATTAAATGAAATAGATGATGATAAATAAAGCACCTTAAAATTATCACCTTCTCTTTTAAGGATGAAAAAATTTGGTCTATACATTGATCTTCCACAACCACAATGATTTATATGTGCTCTCAATATCCCCATCCAATAATTTTGTAAATTTGGATTTATTGTAGTTAAAGGTAAAATTTCAGTACCGCCTCTTATTGGACCGACTTTTTTCGGTACCTTTTTATCTTCTTTATATATGAAATCACATCTACTTATATCACCTATTTTAAAATCACTAATTTCACATTTTAAAACTTGTAATACATCCCATTGATAAACTAAATATATAAATTTATCTTCACCATTAACTCTTTCCAAAGGATCAATGAAAGGAGTCCAATTTTTTTCGATCCATTTCCTTTTTTCGTTCCATATTTTTAATTCTGCAACTTTATTATACCTTATATTATCAAATTTTTCATTAGATGCCCCATCTGTATTTACTTTACCTAATTGATATCTAAATGGCCAACCAATAAACATTGATCTATGAAATTGGAAGTTTATAATTGTTTGATCATCTTTTCCTTCTGGTTGAGTTACATTTTTGATTGATCTATGATGAGAATTAAATATAATTATTGGTTCTTCTTTTCCAATTTCATTTTGTACCAACATTATTCTTGTATCTTCAGGTCCATACCATCTTCTACGAACTTGATTATGATCATAATAATAAGCAATAGGTAAATATTTTGGAAATTTAATAGCTTCATTATGTCTAGTACCATCATGATCCATCATAGGTATAACTAATTCAATATCTTTTAATTCTTGCCAATTTATATCGAATATTTGTGCATATAATAATGAAATTTGTGGTGACCATTTAATACCTTTTCTACTAAATAATACTCTACTAACCATTAAATGTATACCATATTCTTTTAACCAGACTGAAGTACCAGCAAACTTATAAAAATGAGGTTTATATTCGTCTTTGGCTAACCAACCAGGTATTTTACCTTGGAAAAATCCCGATAATTCAACAAATGCTCTATCGTGGTTTAATTGATATAATAATTTTTCAACCATATATTTAAAATCTTCATTAAATATAAAATTATCAGATATGATTAAATCTCGTTCTTGTTTTATTTTAGAGCAATATTTGGATTTTGAATCTGCTCGAAGGAGAGTAATTGGATGTTTCGTAGTGTTGTAACTTAATTGATCATAGCTTATTGCTGAAGAGTTACCTTGATATCTTATAATTTCTTTATTGGTAAAATTATGTTGTTCATTTTGATTTTCTTTAAACGTTGTAGGAAATAATATAATAGGTGATTTATTTAAATTGACCACGGCTTGTGAATTACCATTATTTTTGTTGCTGTTATCACCAAATAAATTATTAAAATATTGTTTACTTGAATCTAATGGATAATAATTATATAAGTAATGTAATGGCCATAATAATAAAAGGAGTAATAATATACCAATTAATGATTTTCGAATAGATGATGATCGCAATTGAAAAAGTTGCTTCATTATAAATTATAATGACTTGCTTTCAAAACTTCTTGTAATGATGAATAGTAGATTATTGATAGTTATTATACTCACTCTGAACTATAAACACCAAAAATAGTTCAACAATTATACAGAATATTTGCTTGATTTAATAGATAATTGATAAAAAATTGATAAAAAAAAAAAAAAAAAAGAAAAATTCTGCAACCAAAATCAATAAAGAAGAAACTAAGCCATATATAAATTGCTTAGTTGAGACTAATGATTGTTATTAGGTGATAATAAAGTAGTCTCGTGAGATCAATCACATGTGTCTAATTTAATTAGCTTGAGGTAGCTCAATCTTACATTAGATTATTATAGTAGATCGTTTTCGAGTTACCAAATCTTAAACGTAAATTCTTGTCTAAATAATTTAATTATAAGGCACACGTTAGTTGAGTCCTTGTTTCACTTCCTAATAATTCTTGGTAAAGCAATTACTTGAATAATAAAGGAGATGCTAATCTATGTACTCATCTGTATGTATAGAAACTTCTATTATATAATAGATGGACAGTATGACAAGAAAATAAATGTATTGCCACACAAATGGCAATCCATTTAAATGTTTAAATTTAAACTTTTGTTTTTCCGATGCGTGGCGTGTTGTCGTTTCTTTTTGTTTGTTGCAGATCTTGAACTTAGGGGAAAATTGTTTGAATTGCCTCACACGACCAAATTTGCATGACCAAATTCACACGACCAAATTCACACGACCACGACCAAATTCACACGACCAAATTTACACGACCAAATTCACACGACCAAATTTACACGACCAAATTTACACGACCAAATTTATGACCTTAACATTAGTTCAAATATATAAACAGCGATAGTGCTAAACATATCATCGTATTAGTAGGTAATTCTTCTAGTAGATTTGCTTAGGAATCTCCGGAGTGAAGTAGGACTATTGTGTACCATAGATTTTTTGAACTTGGGTTGAAATTTCGAGATTTACCACAACTTACTTTGCGAACTAGATTCAACTAACAAGATACCTGAATGATGAACAGTAATCCATGATCAATTTTTTGAGCTAATCTTGTGTACGCGTGCGCATTATTTTATGCTGTTAATTTAATATTTGTTAAGTGCAGGGACAGGGACCTAAACGGGACCTATTCAAAATTGTCGAAAATTTTACTTTCAATCTCGTACAATCATGCAAATCATATCAGCAGAATCAGAAGCTTATTCTGAGTAAAATTTGTTAGAGCAATTATTGCTCAATTTCGATGTATGCATCACTATGGCTCTCACTTAGATTCAATTAAGTAACAATTTGGTAAAAAGCATAAGATTAACCCTTCTGCTAATACTTGGTTTCTAGAAATTAAACAAGTATAGAGATCCTAACAGACTCAGCTTAATCGTATATAAATCTAAGTATTCAATTGACTCTTTTAACATATTTACTATTCTAATCAACCGAAAATAGCATTAATAAATAATGTAAAATAAAGAAAAAATGAAAATTCTAATCCTCTTGAATTGTTTTGACTCGATCATTGAATAGGAGATTAACTTGAATTGTTTCACCCATTGAAAAAGTTTCATGACTATTCACCGAAGTTCTAGATAATTCGATCACATCAGTTTGACACCAGCGAAATAAAATGATACAGAACCATTAACAGTCGTGAATGCAAAATCAATACTTGTGTCTCATAACAATACTGTTCATTTGAAGTAAACATTTTAGATGCAATTAATTCAGGAATCGAACCTATCCAAATAGTTGGATGTTTTGCATTGTTGAAGTTCCATTAAGGGTGTAGTTGAATATAATTTATGTACTTCAGCTGGGGTTAACACTTAAGTTTTCTGATGGATTACAGACTATTGGAAGACTATTGGAATAATTGAAGACATTGTTGATGAGTTTGAAAATCAAGGGAATATGATGTTATTTATATAGTCGTAATTTGATTTATGTCTTAAAGCGCAATTTCATGATGAACAATAGATGACTTTAATAGATTAGTCGTCATGTAATATGTGTTATTTTTGAATCGAATTGAATGAAAAAGTGCTCAAGATGAAGCTTTCTTTTGGTCTGAGGTAATGATCATCGTGCTATCACTAATTAAAGTGTAAAGATTAATTACCTTGAGGATCTGAATATCAAGAATTCTTTGTAACTAGAGATAAAGATGATAATTCAAAGCCTGGATCAACTTAACTGATGCCTAGAGCAATGTGTAATCAATATTCAAAAACGCAAAAACGCAAATAGACGGCTGTAAAATTTCAATTCATTTATATAGACCAGTATAAGGAGCTCTGATCGTATCAGGCATGATGCAATGAATTTACAAGCTCAAAACGACGGCTATAATTTAAATCTTTTCAACCATAAATTTCAATCATATATATTCTTCTATATCATTCTACAAGTTACCTTTTCTTACATCAATAATTTGTTGTACAGAATCAATAACAGAAGTTTTCAAATCAATCAATTCAAATCCTAAAATTTTCAAAGTCTTTGAATTATCAACTTTAGCCAATTGAGTAGCAATAATTTTTTTATCACTACCTGGATCACCCTTTGGAATCTTTCCTCTTAATGATTCAAAATTTTCATTAATTATATCTATAATAGATTGAGTAGCAAATCTTGATTGATTCAATAATAATCTTTGATCAATTGCTGAATCTTTCTCAAATGCAACAATATGAGCCTTTGCAACATCTCTAACATCGACCCAACCACCTTTAAATGGTGGTAACTGTCCATCTGGACCCAATTTCAAAATATTATTAATTACTTCACTTGATGTGTTTAATGTAGCTTTCACACCATCTGAATTGAATTGAGGACCAAATATGAAACTAGGATTAACGGTAGATAATTTCCACTTTGGCTTATTTTCCTTATAGAATTCCCATGCTGCTTTTTCCGCAAATGTTTTTGAACCACGATATCCTGTAACTGGATTACTTAAAGCTTCTTCCCAAGTAACTAAATTCCAGTCATCTTCCGTGATTGTATTTTTTGGATCAGCATCAATTGAAGCAGTACCAATCGCAGCATATGAAGATGTAATAACTACTCGTTTTATATTCTCACCATACTTTGTAATTGCTTCAAGTGCATTTTTAGTTCCATTAATAGCAGGTAATAATAATTCTTTTTCAATATCTGTTGCCCTGAAATGAAATGGCGATGCAGTGTGTAAAAATACTGTAGCATCTTGATGATTTTGTAATGTCTTGTCAAATGCACCAGCTTTTTCAACATCTTCAACTATTTCAAATTGAAAATTATCATTATTAAATTTGGACTTGAGGTTTTGACCTTTTGATTCTGATCTAACTGTACCAATTACTGAATAATTTGATTTCAATAATTGTGATACGATATGTTGTGCTACGAACCCAGTAGCTCCCGAAATTATAACCTTAACCATGGATACAATAAATGTAAGGATGTAGAAATGAATCAAATATTCTTTTCCAAGTCGGAACTGTGGAGCTTAAATAGATTTTTCAGATTTTAGCGCATATTACCAAATTAGGAAATCGTAAAGCGCTTAAATATTCCATATTCTCGAGACCTTATTTATATTTCTATATAACTTTTACTATATTTCTATATTCTTACTTGCATCCTTACTTTAATAAGTCACCTTTATTTATAACAAATCCATTTATCACAGCAATTGCAGCATATAATCTATTTTCAGCTTCTTGAAAAACAACCGAATTGGGACTGTAAAATACAATATCATCCACTTCTTCAGGATGTCTAGGTAAACAATGCATAAACTTCCAATTTTCATTAACTTTACCTTTTTCAATTAATTCTTTTGTAATTTGAAAACCATTAAATTGTTTCAATTTTTCAATTTTTTTAGATTCATCACCCATTGATACCCAAGTATCAGTGACTAAAACATTAGCATTATTTAATGCCTCAATGGGATCATTAAGAATTTCAAATTTAACACCTGTTTCATTAGCCAATTTAACAGCATCTGATTCAACATCACTGTCAAATTTAACAGATTCTGGAATTGCTATACTTACATTAATACCACTTTTTAAAGCAGCAATGGCCAAATCATTAATCACATTATTTGCATCACCAATCCAAGCTAATTTTAAACCCTTGGTATATCCGAAAGATTCTTTAATTGTCATTATATCAGTTATAGCTTGAAGTGGATGATATTTATCACATAATGAATTTATAATAGGTGCCGATGAATCTTTAGCTAAATCCAAAATATCTTGATGCTTGTTAACTCGAGCAAATATACATGAAACCATAGATGATATTACTTTTGTGGTATCATACATTGATTCATTTACACCTAATTGAATATCATCTTTTCCTAAAAACATGGGTTGAGCACCAAAAAAAGCACTAGCACCCTCACTACTTATTCTTGTTCTAGTCGATCTCTTAGAAAATAACAATGCTATAGTTTTGCCTAATAATTTCTCATGATTGGATTTAATCTTAGATATATTTCCTGATTTATATATTGTTTTAAAATGTTGCGCATTATTAATCAATGAAATGAATTCATCATTTGATAATGACGCAATATTAACTAAATGTTTTATATTTGAAGTTGACATGTTTCTCTTTATAATATTAATCATTATGAAAAGAAGAAAAGTTACGAATGGGAATATGACTTGGTATTTATAGTGAAGAAATATAAAATAAAAATTTTCACCCAATTTAGTAATCGCGGTTAATTCAGTCCGTTTATACGCAGGATGACTCAAAGTCGTATATTATGATGACTATATGACTAATTCATTTAACTTCAATAGTAATTCATTCTTGATTTGTTTGATATGATTCATTTCAGTTTCTATTTGTTGTTTCCTCGAGATTTCTATCTTTTGTTTCATCTTTAATTCATTTATTTCTGATTGAATTTGACTCATTTGTTGAGACAATGTTAATATTTTAGGTAGTTTTGTTGATTCTTCTTTTTGTTCATCTTCTTCTAATTCTATTTCATAGTTAAACTTGTTTTTGAAATCTATTGTATGATTTAGTATTCCCATATCTTCATCATTTAATTCATAATCATCGTCTTCGTCAAGTTCCATGTTGGTAGATTCTTGTTTTTCTGTCCCATCATCATAATTCTTACTCTCAGAGGTGTACTCAGACACTATACTATTTAAATACTCTCGTTTACTTTGATTTGGTTCTCTATTTGATTCAATGGGGACAAAATTTGACTCTGAAAATGCTACTTGTGGTTCTGGTGTTGGAGTTTCTGAGACATGCCGTATTTCCGTATGATTATTCTCCTCTATTTTCACTTGTTTATACTTTGATATGTCTATTTTCTTGATTTCGGTCTTTTTAAATTTAGTTGATGTTGATGATTTTAACTGTATTTCTGGTGTTTCTTCTTCATTTTCTAGAATCGATTTACTTCTCTGTATTCTATTACCAATTGGTTTCTTCTTAAACTTTATCCTACTCTTCTGTTTGGTCTCTTCTAATGCTTTTAATAGTTCATCATCATCACTCATTGCAGCCAAAATTTATACGAGAAAAAAAAAAAAAAAAACCAATTAAAAGGAACCATCTCGTATTAACAAATCAATACCAGTGGTTATTACTTGCATCCTTACATATTACTTTGCATCCTTACCATGTCAATCTCAGACCAAGCAAACCTACTCCATCTCAAAATGAGAGATTTAGGTAATAATAAATTATTTTCACAATCTGAATTACAAAATCTACTAGGTACCACCACCAAAGAATCAGAATTAATGATGTATTTACAAGAATTAATGAATAAAAAATTAACTAAATTATCTAAGCAAGGTGATGAAATTAAATTTCAAGCTATTAGTTCAGAAGATGCTGCAAAAGTATTTAGTATGAATAATGATGAAGCTATGATTTACGAACACATTGAAGCTTCGGGTAGGGAAGGTATATGGACAAAAACATTAAAAGCAAAGACAAACTTACATCAACATATTGTCTCCAAATGCTTAAAGTCCCTTGAGTCAAATCGATATATTAAAGCAGTCAAATCTGTAAAATATCCAACTAGAAAAATATATATGTTATATAATGTTCAACCAAGTATTGATGTTACTGGTGGTCCATGGTTTACTGACTCTGAATTAGATACTGAATTTATAGACACGTTGGTGGAAGTAATATGGAGATTTATTGCAAATAAAACATTTCCAAAACTGGATGATAATAATCCAGTTCAAACAAGTTATATATCACAACATCCAGGTGTTGATTTAGATGATGTTACAAATATGATTAATCAATCTAAAGTGTCATCTATTGAACTTGGAGTTAGTGATATAAGATCATTATGTGACGTTTTAATATTTGATGATAAGATTGAAGAAATTACAACTGGGGTATTTAAAGCTACATGGCAAAGCGTAATTGAAAAGGGATTGAATAAGGATATTAAAGATTTGCATATTCCACGTGAGACTATGGAGTATCTTTTATCTAATCAATCTTATTCTATATTTGATTATAAATCAACTATTGAAGATTTAAATGAGGAACTGGATTTAATATATTTAGATAGTTGGATTAATGAATAAACGATGATGCATAAAGTAGCGAGTTATTGATACAACCACTAGATAACTTAGATTCGTCTGATAATTATGATCAATTGAGCTTTAGTTAATTATAAAAAACAATTGGTAGCGATAATATTTTTCAATTTCTTTATATAATGAATAGTCAATCATCAACACCAATATTATCATATAAGACACCATCAAGTGATGTTAACTCACCCATATCTTCACCGAATGTGTCTTCTACTAATTTAGAAAAGACAAATAGGAAAGTATCTAGAAGAAAAGCATTACATGATTTTTATCACATCAAAGAACAACCAACGCAACCAGTCGAAACAGAAGAATCAAAGAAGGACAGCATAGAAGATGTCAATTTGAATGATCCAGAGAACATAAAGAAGTTTATTAACAATGCTTCCAATCTTGAGTTATTAAAATTTAGAAATATGCTTAGTTTGAAACTTTCATCTTCAAATCAGACTAAAAAATCAATAATTTATGATAATTATTATGAATTGATTAAATTATCTAATACACTTGGTGAATTATCTGAAATAAAGCCGAAACTGGAGTTACCGAAGAGTAAATTGAGTGGGTTTGGAATATATGAAGAACAACCTGAATTAGATCAAAATTATATTGATGATACTTTGAATGAATTATCTAATTTTATCCAGAATGAGAGTGTGAAATTTCAAGGTACTTTTGAAGATGTTGTTAAAAAGCATGAGTCTAAAGAGTAGGTGTTTTGGATTTCAATCGATTTTACATTGAGTAAATTATCAAATCTTATGAAGAATGAGAGTGAGAAATTACAGGGAAGCTTTGGAGACGTAATTACAGAGTATGGGTCATTAAAGTGTAGATTTGGAGGATTGGAAAAGTCATAAAAGCTGAATCGAAGTTATTTGACGATTCCTTGATTGGATTTTCGAGGTTTAAAGAAAATGAGAGTCAGAATTTCCTACGTTGTCATAGGATGAGATTAGGAGCCATGAAACGAAGTCTTAAGTATGACAAATATACGAAGAATTAAAATTAAATGAACTATTAAATTTCAGGGACCCATAGTTTAAAAGTTCAAGGCTTTGCAGCTTTGATTTAAAGAAGTCTTTCATAATCTCATTAATAAATATTATAAAATATCTTCAATACTGTGATTTTTAAATTTCTTACTTGATCGATCAACACTTTTAATTTCGAATCTTGAGCCAATTATACTAAATTCTAATACTTCATTAGTAGTAGGTATCTCTATCTCAAAACTGAAAATTGAATGATGTTTAGGTATGATTTTAAACCCACCTACTAATTCATTAGGTGTAAAATTTGATTTTCCTTCATTCCATTCTCTACTTAATTCTTCTCTTGGAGTCACTATAATGAATGAATGTTGAGTATCCCAGACTATAATACCTCTCAATCCAACAATATTACAATTTTTACTCTGTTTTACAGTTATTAAACATCCATTATAATCTGCAGATGAAAGTTTGGTCAATACTTGATTCATTGGAAATTGTAATTTTGTGTAATCATCAGCACTAAATATTAAACTTCGAATATACATTTGCCAAATATTATGTAAATTAATAAAATCTTCAAATTTGGGTATTTTATAATACTTTAAATTAGCTTCGAGATCTAATGACTTGCGTATATAGTTATAATATTGTATTTTTTTAACTAGTTTCTTTTGATTCAGTATTGTTTTGTTAAAATATTCTTTTAGTTCTATTCTTGTGCCCTTTCTGATTCTAGATGTCTTCTTAGGTGGTGTTGTTGTTATTGTTCTTCTTAATGGCTTGAATAAAATGTATGGTTTTTGTTCACCCATTATTGAATATCTTTCTTCTAACATTTCAACAATATGAGAATGTGAATCATATGATCTAGTCAATAAATGTTTTTCTAATTCGTTGTCTTGTCTCATTGTAAGGACACAAGTACAAGGATGCTAATAATATATAATCTCTTCTCAAATCAATCTCGTAAATATTTTTCGCCATGCGATGAAAAATGAAAAATATGAAACAATTGATAAAATTATCACCATGGTTAAAACGACTATATTCAATACAAGTACCATTCCAAGATGATTTAGGAGCAATGGATTTAGATGATTTAAATCTTGGAGATTTTAAATATTACAAAGAACTGGAATCATTAACACAATATACATCATTAAAACAACCAATTATATTCATTTCAAAATTAAATAACCCATTCACGAATCTCGCAATTGAAGATTATATCTATAATGCCATGCCATTATCACATAACAGACTTATGTTTTATATTAATTCACCTTGTGTTGTAATAGGAAAGAATCAAAATCCATGGCAAGAAGTTAATTTGCGAGTATTGAATGACTTGAAAATACCATTGTTGAGACGGTTTTCAGGTGGTGGAACGGTCGTTCATGATCTAGGGAATGTGAATTATTCATACATGACAGAAAAGTCCAAATTTAATAGATTTAAATTCAACCAATTAATTATAAAAAATGTAAATAGTCTACCTAATAACAAATTTGAAATACAATTGAATGAAAGGGGTGATATTGTGACTACTGATGGATTTAAGGTAAGTGGGAGTGCTTTTAAGTTATCTAAGGGGAAAAGTTATCATCACGGGACATTTCTACTAAATTCCAAACTAAATGTCTTACGAAATTTACTAAGTAGAGATGATGAAATGGGAGTTGTTCATAGTAAGAGTATAGATTCAGTCAAGTCTAAAGTTCAAAATATGGAATTACAAACTGAGGAATTTATAGAGTCAGTTTGTAATGGATTCATCGATGAATTTGAAACTGATGATGATAGAGTTAGAGTGGTTGAGATTGATAATGATATGATCTTGCCTAATGAAGTGTATACAACAGTTGAGAAATTAAAATCATGGGATTGGATATTTGGACATACGACTAAATTCAGTCATACTTTTACTAAAGATGATTTGGAATTGGTCTTTCATGTAGATAAAGGGTTACTTAAACAAGTAGATGTGAATAAAACTGAAGACGATTTTAAGTATTTGATTGAGTATGTGAACAATCATGATTTGAAATATACTGGAAGTAATGTAGCTGGGTATGTTACAAATGATGAGGTTAGTGATTGGATTGGTAGTTGTATAGATGGAACGATATAGAATAGAATACACATAGACTTATAAACCAATTAAGATACTACAAAGGTTTAGTGTTGCTTATCATGTCTTTTTTACAAGTTTTTAAACAGAATACGTGAAAAAAAGCAAGGGTTTGGTATTTTCAGAAGATTTCAATATTAAATTACTCCAAACTAACTGAAGATATCACTGAACTAAGTTTGAGGAGACCTCAAGTATCATGAATTCTTCCTCCCCACTCATTGTGACGAGCTTCCATTGTGTCATTTGTAATTGTGACCGTTGACCATATTCGATCTTAGACAGTCAAATGAGAAGAGCGAAAATGTCTTAGGCGGCTCATCCAAGCCTTCATTCCAGATGTTTAGATCTGCGACCTAAGCTCCATTAGGTGTTGTTAATCGAATAATTGATTTTTTTGAAAACTTTGACAGCTAATCCATTTCTAGCTTGACAAATATGTTTCTCAATCAATGTTTTAGGTGCTTCTGCTATCTTGGAATATAATTTCCTATTAGCATATAATGTTGAGCCAGGATGAGGTTAATAAACAGGTTTAGATTTTGGTAAACCATAGTTAGTTTTGACTGGGTTTTGGGATGAAATTGCTTCGGACATGAATAAGAATGATCAAAAATGGTGAAAATAAGAGCTAGCATTTATAATTAGGTGTTTACATATTCTGCTTATTCTGTCGTCGAGTTTTGAACGATTCAACCGCGGTTTAAGTTTTAGTACTTAATCGATTTTTAGTTTCGCTTCTTTTCCCAATTAGGAAATTGCTGCAACCGGTAGCGCCCTATTTTTAAACTTCCACCCTGCATTTTTCAATTTTGCAACAATTGAAAATTTAATATACAAACGAGCTATAATTAACAACATAATTAACAACAATGTTAGAACAAGATTTAAGACTTGAAGTACATGGTTATTTATAGTGTAAGTGTGATATAAAAGTCAAAAGTCTAACTAATCGGTCAATTTTCTACGTATTAAAATCTGCATGTTCAATCAATTGCTGCGATTCTTCATCTTAGATGTCGCTAAGAGTACAGTTAGAGCAAAATGCTTATTACTTTGATGCTATTAGGTATAGAGGGTGATGATTTGAAAAGTACAATCAAAAAAGATAGAATAAATGTTTACCCAACATTTTGATTTAACCAACATCTTTCTTGGTTAGAGTACTAGTTGCTCAGGTCCGGTAAAGATCATATATTTCAAGATAATGCGCTATCTAGATTCTAGTTTATATTCTATCATCTGGACCTTGAATTGGTGAAATCAACAAAATGATTTGAAAATTCCAATGATGCGTATAACAATTTACCCAAAAAAAAATATAATGCGGAGAGTAATTCACATGAATAATTAAAATATAATAACAAGTTCATACCAACAATTGATATAATATATGTATCTAGCTGGTCAAAGTATTTATTTGTTTATTTACCATTTAGATTCATCAGTAAAAAAAGCTAGAGTTTGGGAAATTTTAATTCAAAGATGGTTAAATACGCATTAATAACAGGTGCCAGTTCAGGAATTGGATTTAGTATTGCCAAAGAATTATCTAAAAAAGGTTATACAGTGATTGGATGTTCTCCAGAGTCAGACATATTTGGTCAAAAACCATTAGAAAAAGATTTTGGATTAATCTCAATTCCATTGGATATAACCAACCTTGAAAACATTAAAAAGGTCAGAGATCAAGTTGAAGAAATCACTGGTGGTCAATTAGACATCTTATATAACAATGCAGGGATTTCTATCGCCGGTATAGCGTTTGAAATGGATGAAGAAAAAGTGAATAAATTGTTTCAAGTTAATGTAATTGGTCATATTAACATGACTAAACATTTTGCACCATTTGTTATAAACACTAGAGGGCACATTCTTTTTACATCTTCAGTTGCTGCTATGACTCCATTATCTTGGGTTAGTATCTATAATGCTAGTAAAGCTGCCATAAATGCTTATGCTCAAACATTACATGGTGAATTAGCTCCATTTGGAGTTAGAGTACATTCTGTGATTACTGGAGGAGTAGATACAGGAATTTGTGATACTAATGTTATGACTTCTGTTGGAGACTCTTATTATGATGTTCCTGAAGTTTATAAATCAATTAGAAGTTCAGCTATGATGTCAAGAAATTTAAATATAAGTCCAGATCAATATGCAAAAGAAATTGTTAGAGATATTAAATCTTGGAGAGATCCTGGTTTTAATTTATATCATGGTGCTAGAGCTTATTTATTAGCTTGGTTTAGTAGATGGTTACCTTTATGGTTATTCGAATTTGGTGTTCAATGGCATTTTAAACAATATGGAGTATTGAAGACAATTGGTAAACTTGCAAAAAAGGGGAAATATACAAAAAGAAATGTAAAATAGAATGTTAATACATACTGTTTGTTTAATCTATTGATGATACTCTATTCATTCTATTTTTAGCAACATATAGTTTTGGAAGTAACTAGTGAACCAGCAAAGCCAAAATAAAATACAGAGTGGTATCACATACAATCAACATACAATCTATTCTATTGTAATTATAGCATCCTCACATTGTTATTGCATCCTTACCGTATATTTTGCAGTCATTCAATTCTCACTTGGTAGCTTGCCCAGCCACTTTAAAATTTCATTTTTCGGTTTCACTCCTTTTTATCAACAACAAACATTGCCAATGAATGTATTAAAGTTACAGAAAAAGTTCCCTATATTAGATCAATCTGATATATTTACTATAATTGAAGATTTTAGATCAATTGATTTAGATGAAAAAGGTTGGGTTGAAAAAAAAGATGTTATAAATTCAATTTCAAAAAAAGGTAAATTTACTTACGATCAAGCAAGAGAAACTTTAAAACATGTTGATGTAGATGCTTCTGGTCATGTAGAATTAGATGATTATGTCGAATTAATTGCTAAATTAAAAGGAGGAAATGAAGATGACTCGTCAAATACAAATGATAATATTGTTAGCCCTGGCAAAATCAAGAAAAAAGCACCACCTATTCCAACTGCAAATGCTAAAAATAAAACATATATTGAAGGTAAAACGTCAGGTACTACTCATACAATTAATGATGAAGAACGTTCAGAATTTACAAGACATATTAATTCGGTTTTAAGTGGAGATATTGATATTGGTGATAGATTACCTTTTGATACTGAAACTTTCCAAATTTTTGATGAGTGTAGAGATGGTTTAGTATTATCTAAATTAATTAACGATTCCGTACCTGATACAATAGATACAAGAGTTTTAAATTTACCAAAAAAGAAGAAATTAAACAATTTTCAAATGAATGAAAATGCAAATATTGTTATTAATTCAGCTAAAGCTATTGGATGTGTTGTTGTTAATGTTCATTCAGAAAATATAATTGATGGTAAAGAACATTTGATATTAGGTTTAATTTGGCAAATAATCCGTAGAGGACTTTTATCCAAAATTGATATTAAATATCATCCTGAATTATATAGATTATTAGAAGATGATGAAACATTGGAAGAATTTTTAAGATTACCTCCAGAACAAATATTATTAAGGTGGTTCAACTACCATTTGAAGAATGCTGGAAGTCAAAGACGAGTTGCTAATTTTTCAAAAGATGTATCTGATGGTGAATGTTATACTATTTTATTACATCAATTAGTTCCAGATGTCTGTGACTTATCTCCAATGAAATATCAAGGCTTGGAAAGGGCTGAAAAAGTATTAGATAATGCTGATAAAATTGATTGTAGAAAATATTTAACACCAACTTCATTAGTCAGTGGAAATCCAAAATTAAATTTAGCTTTCGTTGCTAATTTATTCAATACCCATCCTGGTTTAGAAGCATTAGAAGAAGATGTTAAAATTGAAATTGATGAATTCGACGCTGAAGGAGAAAGAGAAGCTAGAGTATTTACATTATTCCTTAATTCATTAGATGTTGATCCAACAGTTATAAATTTATTTCATGATTTACAAGATGGTTTAATCTTATTACAAGCTTTTGATAAAGTTGAACCTGGTACAGTTTCATGGTCTCATGTGAATAAAAAAACAGGAGATAGAGATTTAATGAAATTTAAAGCATTGGAAAATTTAAATTATTCAATCGAATTAGGAAAATCTTTAGGTTTTTCATTAGTTGGAATTGAAGGTGCAGATATAAATGAAGGTAATAAATTATTAACTTTGGCTTTAGTCTGGCAATTAATGAGAAAATCAATAACTCAAACTATTGGAGATATATCCGATGCTGAGATTTTAAAATGGTCAAATGCAAATGCTGGTGATTCTATTAGATCATTTAAAGATCAAAAATTATCCGACGGTATTTTTGTTTTAAGATTATTGAAAAAATTTAATAATTTTGATTGGGATTTAGTTCATGAGCCAGCAAGAACCGATGATGAAAAATATGAAAATTGTAAATTGGCTATTTCCGTTGCTAGAAAAGTTGGTGCTTTAATTTGGTTAGTTCCTGAAGATATAGTTGAATTAAGATCAAGATTAATTTTCAGTTTCTTTGGTTCAATCTACAGTTTATATAATTGATATGTTGTAATATAAGATTGTAAGGATGCTATTGTTGATCTATTGATTTCAATGGTATATTTATAGTATTCTGTAAGCCGCACCTTGATTAGTATTTCTTCACAATAATTAAAAAAAAATTGGAAACACGATATACAACAATTTGTTTATATGGCTAGAATTGCATTTATACATCCTGATTTAGGAATAGGTGGTGCCGAAAGATTAGTAGTTGATGCAGCAATAGGATTACAAAACCAAGGAAATCAAATCACAATATATACATCACATTGTGATTTACTGCATTGTTTTGATGAAATAAGCTCGGGGCAGTTAAAAGTTAAAGTATTTGGTGACTTTTTACCAACTAATATATTAAAGAAATTCCATATACTATGTGCTATTATAAGACAATTGTATTTAGTAATTAAGTTAATCATAACGGGGGAGATTTCCCAATTTGATTTTTTCATAGTTGATCAATTAAGTTTCTGTATTCCATTACTTCAGTTATTCAATTCATATCATTCACGAGTTTTGTTTTATTGTCATTTTCCTGATCAATTATTAACCAAACGTAATTCAACAATTAAATCAATTTATAGAATTCCATTTGATTATATTGAGGAATATTCAACGGGGTGTGCTGATAAAATAGTAGTAAATTCAAACTTTACAAAGTCCATTTTTCACGAGACATTTAAATTAAAAATAGATCCAGGAGTAGTTTACCCATGTGTTGATTTGAAAAAACAAGAAAATACAGAAGATATAAGTGAGTTTTTCAAGAATTCAAAGTTTTATTTATCAATTAACAGATTTGAAAGGTCGAAAAACATAGAATTGGCAATTAAAGCATTTGCAAAGGCTCGAAAATTGATAACTGGTCCTAAGGCGAGACTTGTTATTGCCGGTGGGTTTGATAGTAGAGTCATCGAGAATGTTGAATATTTATCTGAGTTGACTTCATTATGTGATGAGTTAAAATTAACGAATTTTACAATAAGAGGTAAATTGATAGTCATGCCTCCTTCTACTGATGTTTTATTCCTTCCTTCAATATCAAATAGTCTTAAAATTTCATTAATTAAAAATTGTGAATTGCTTTTATATACTCCTACAAGGGAGCATTTTGGTATTGTTCCATTAGAAGCTACTTTGTATAATAAGGTAGTTGTAGGAATAAATCATGGTGGTCCACTAGAAACAATTGTAAATTATGATGGAGAGAATATTGATGAAGCTACTGGATTTTTAGCAAGTAATGATTCTGAAATTTGGAGTAAGATAATTTTAAAATATTCAAATGAAATAAAACTTGAGGTTAAGGAACAATTAGGGAAGAATTGTCACAATAGAGTGGTTGATAATTTTTCAAGAGATGCTATGACTAAACGATTAATTGATAATTTGGAAGAAGCTTCAATAAAACTGAAAACTAAAGTATCTTTAAATATCCTATTTATTACAGTAGCATTTTTAGCTTTTGCATTATATAAATTCATATAATTAATTGAAATATCAAGAAGAATTGTTATGAAACTCATCCAAGCTGGAGCTATTGCATGTATGGTTTTCATTTTATATACCAGTCGTAATCGAATTGAGGACTTAAACTCATTTTGATGGTTATCGAAAGCTTTCATTGTGTAGAATGTATATTCAAATAGAATTTGATATAAATGTAATCACCCAGCCGCATTTCTCAGTTAGTCATTTATCTCGTATTTTATGAAAAATTTTAAAAAGATATTGATTAAGCAGATTACTTTTATACCATGAGTTCAAATGAAATCATACTTACAACTTGTCTTGTATTCTATCTTATATCTGGAGGTAGATGGACAGTTGTACTATTTACAATAGTATTAACTTACATTCTAAAACAAACCAGAATGCAACGTGAAACACCACCTACAAAATCATCAAAATCTAAATCATCACCTATTTATGCCGTTGATTTCACAACTTCAGCTCCAGCTAAACCAAAATCAACAATACGATCAAGAGGTAAACGTACTCCAAAAGTTATACAGAAGAAACAACGTCCTAGTACTCCTACACTTACCAAATCGATAGATTTATCATTATCAAACATATACATCTTTTACTCAACCCTTACTGGTTCTTCCAAAAGAATCGCTGAAAAACTTCACTCTACTTTATCAACTTCAAAAAATTCAAAATTGTTATCCTTAGATGATGACGTCGACGATCTTGAAGAATATTTTTTGAAATGTCCTGAAAATGCCATATATTTATTAGTAATCCCATCATATGAAACAGATAGTCCAATAGATTATTTCATAGATCATTTAATTGACGTAGCTCAAGATTTCAGGATTGATAAATATCCATTGTCTAAACTTATCGGATTTTCAGTATTAGGTGTGGGAGATAGTGAATCTTGGAATGATAAATTTTGCTACCAGGGTAAACTTATAGACAAATGGATGGGTAAACTTGGTGGGAGAAGAATATATCCATTTGGTGAAGTTTGTGTCAAGACTTCTTATGAGAAATCTGAGTCTTGGATTTCTGGGTTACATCAATCTTTTAATGACAATGAGGCTTTTTATATTGATGAAGTTGATTCTGATCTCGATTCAGATTCAGATGAATCAAATTCAGATGAAACATTAGTTGATGTTGAAGAATTAGGAAAAGGTATGAGAAATGAATCAAGTAAAGAAGTTAAAGAAATGGTAGCTAAAGATTCACCTACTTTTAAATCTTTAACTAAACAAGGATATACTATTGTTGGATCGCACAGTGGTGTTAAGATTTGTAGATGGACTAAATCAGCATTAAGAGGACGTGGATCATGTTACAAGTTTGCATTTTATGGAATTAAATCTCATTTATGTATGGAAACTACCCCATCATTGGCATGTTCAAATAAATGTGTGTTTTGTTGGAGACATGGTACTAATCCAGTTGCTAAATCACAATGGAGATGGGCATTAGATCCACCTGAAAAGATATTGAATGGCGCTTTAGCTGGTCATTATCAAAAAATCAAACAATTGAGAGGTGTTCCTGGTATACAAATGGATCGATTCAATGAAGCATTTAAAGTTAGACATTGTGCTTTGTCATTAGTTGGAGAACCGATATTTTATCCTCATATTAATGAATTTGTTAAAATGTTACATGATTTGCACATATCCTCATTTTTGGTCTGTAATGCTCAACATCCAGATGCATTAGCTAAATTATCAAAAGTTACTCAATTATATGTTTCAATAGATGCACCAACCAAAACAGATTTGAAAAAAGTTGATCGTCCATTGAATAGTGATTTTTGGGAAAGATTAATTTCATGTTTAGACATATTAAGAACAACTCAATCACATCAAAGAACAGTGTTTAGATTAACATTGGTTAAAGGTTTCAACATGAGTGATATTGAAGCATATGCAGACATGGTTGAACGCGCAAGACCTTCTCAAATTGAAATTAAAGGTGCTACATTTTGTGGTACTTCTGCATCTGGTGGAAATCCATTAACAATGCAAAATATTCCGTTTTATGAGGAATGTAAAGAATTTGTAATTAGTATAGTTGATGAATTAAAAAGAAGAAATTTGGGTTATGATATTGCTGCTGAACATGCTCATTCTTGTTGTATTTTAATAGCTGATGAAAAGTTTAAAATTAATGGTAAATGGTTTACTCATATTGATTATCCAAAATTCTTTGAATTATTGGAAAGTGGTCAAGAGTTCAATGATTTAGATTATGTTAAAGAAACTCCTGAGTGGGCTATTTGGGGTTCTACAGAAGGTGGATTTAATCCAAAAGATACTAGATTTATAAGGAAGAAGAAGGGTAATAAAACACAAGACCTGTAAGGATGCAACAAACATTTGAGGTTCATAAAGCGAAAGAACTGTGTTAAATAGTATTGTTTATTTAAATATATCTTTAACAGCTTGCCAGAAATTTAATTTTGTGTCTGTTGATTGTATATGTGATGGCCCATTTGAGTCCCAAAGATTAAGGAAACCAGATGAGCCTTTACTTGAACTATTTACAAGTGTCGATTTCTTCTTATTCGTATTATACCAAGTTTCTATCTTGTTTGAAAAATTCTCTAGTGTTCTTTGATATGAATTTTTGATTTCTTTATCTAGATCAAGTTTAAATTTATGACTTGTAGTACTTGGACATTGTAAATTATAATTCCTAATTTCTTGATTTATTAAATCTACTTTAGCTTTGAGGTACTCTTTATCAGGTAGTTCATGTTCCTCACTAAATTGCCATTTGTTTTCCTCAAACCTCAATAGTATACTTTCTAAATCTAGATGCATATAATCTTTAAAAAATGAATGATAAATTATCCAATTAAACCATAATTTATCCAAATCCAGTCTGAATTTTTCCACTGATTTATTTATATTCTGTTGTGATTCGATCCATGGAGGAACCACTTCTTGTTTCTTAAGTATCTGATTCATGAAATAATTTGAATCAGTACAATTTTTTAAATGTTCTTCACTTATCCTTTTACCTCGAACCAGGGACATCTCCGGATGATCAAATTGTCCAGTTTCTCTATTTATATAAGAATTAATCTTTGCACTAGCTAGACTATTCACAATATCAGTAGCTGGTGAATTTGGATTGAATGCCAATGGACCCAATAATCTTTCTTTATACATTTCTTTGAATCCGTCATCCGGTTTGTTGATTTTATAATCTAGAGTTATATTCTTTGCGTTTGAGAGTTTTTCCATAGGGGATAATTTTCGTTTTGGAATGTATTCTATTGGTTTTGGTTTTGATTCGATTATCATTCGCAAATTTGCATCTTCTATTGATTCCTCGCCTGTCCATGGTTTGGAGTTGTATAGGTCCTTTGCATGTTTGTTATGGGCTAGTAGTGGTTCTGATTTTATATATGATGATGCTTGATTTTTAGTTTGATTATAATGTTTGTTGATTGATGAATCTGTGAATGAAGTACCACTTGCATTGTGGATTTTTTCTTCTAGAATTTGTTTCATTCTTCTTGTCATTGCTGATTCCTCTTCATGAAGAAGTCTTGAAGTTGTAAATGATCTTATCAATGTTCTAGATCTCATATTTGATTATTTTAACCATGGGTGCAAATCAAAGAAAAAAAATTTGAAACCCGATTTGATTAATTTAATGATCAGACGATGATTAGACTCGTGAATTGAAAGATATGATACTGATTCATACGAAGAAAAAGGTGTACCAATTCGAGTAAAAGTAAGATTTGGTTATAGGTATTGCAAGAAATAGACAGGATTTGATCATTCTGCAATATTACAGAGTTAAGTTTTCAATAATCTGCTGTTGATTCAGCCCTATCTACAAAACTTTCAATATTCCTTGTCTCTAATTACGTATATGACGGGCGGTCTGCTCCACCCATTCGACGGGCTTTATGTAGCTGTTCATGAAAGATTAACCATACTCAATAATTTACATACTTTAAAGCATAAATCTGAAACAAATTTGCTTATATGTAGTCTCGTACTGGTTAGTCTTGAAATTTACTTTGTAAATAACTTCATCAATATTTAAGATTTTTCTCTCAAACTTAATTCATTAGAAACTTCCGCTCAATTAGAGTAAGGTATAAAAATTTGGTTTGTGGAGAACCAAATTTGATCTCTATATACTTCATTTAAAAAATGACAAAAAGCGTTAAATTGCGAGATAATCAATACTTAGAATTTGGTTGGCAAGTTCTAGTTTGGCTGATTCGGTTTACTTTCTGTCACAAATGTTAATTATGAAAGTTTCCAGATGCCACAATCAGTTTGAATTTTTTTCGAAAATTTCGACCACTTTTGAAAAATTTATATTTTACTTTTGAATACCTTGACACAAAAAATTCTGAGGTTTATCAGGTTATAGGTTCTACAAGACTGGATGATTTCATCATACTCTGATTACAATTTGAATTGTGGAGTTAAATTTTTTTAAAAGTCAATTTATTCGATTTTCCCCATACTTAACACAAAATTTTGCAATTTCTCAATTTTAAAGTAGGTCTGCTAGAATCAGATTCAGCACCCTAATTTGAGGTGCAATATAAATAATTGGACTTTTGATTGAAGATTATGGACCTAATTGCAACATATCTTGAGCTATTACTTTCAACAAAAATTTTTGTAAGATGAAAAAAGGCCAAAAAGTCAACTCGAAAAAAAAATCTTCAATTTTAGAGCTTGAAATAGCGTGTGTAATTCAATGCTCCGAAACTCATACAAATGGTATCTATCTCCAAAGAATTTGTTGTTCTTGACATATAAGCCAATGAGTCTGATACCACCGCCTCAAAGTTGGAGCGAGAAGATTTTTGTTGCGCCCAATCGTCGCATTGAAAAAATGCGTATTTGATGATAATTTTGAAACAAATTACGTTATATGCAGTCTCATCATAGTTGATCTTGAAATTTAAAACGTGAATAACTCTTTCGGTATTCAGTTTGTTACTCTCCAATTTTTTCCGTCAAATATTCAATTGTTTAGAAGTATGTTGATGATCGTTTTTCTAATAAAATGCCATAATAATTTTGAAATTTTTTCAATAATTTCGAACCACTTCTGAAAAATTTCTTTCCCAATTTTGGGTACCTAAACACAGAAAAAGATTTATTGGCTTATAGGATCTACAAAACCAGCTGATTCTATCCTGTTTTACTTTGAATAGAGAGAGTAGACTTAAATTTTTAGTGAGGGCGATTTAATCGATTTTCCCCATACTTGATAGAAATTTTAGAAAGTTTTCAATACTGATTCAAATCAATTAGAATTACATTCAACACATTAGTTTGGCGTATAACATATGTGATCGGTTGTTTGATTGGAAGTTATGGCGCTAAATAAAAGCATAAACAGATTTTTATTTTTTGCAAATTCTTTGTATGGTGAAAAGAGCCCAAGATAACTATTCAAAAAATAAAATTTTCAATTGCCGTAGTTTAGCATATGTAAAGTACATAACTCAAGATCCTGATCTCATATAATTGGTACTAATTCTGAAAGAATGTATTGTTAGTGACATATGAGCTAAAACACTTAATACGGGTCGCCGTAAATTTAAAGCGAGAGTATATTTTTTTCACACCGAATCGTGGCATTAAAAAATATATACTATGTCGCAAACGAATGTCACAATTTTCGTGAAAACGTAAACGAAAAAAATCAACAACTATTTTTTAATCAATTGAATTCGACTACACAAGCATGTGGATTTTTGATTGGTTCCAAGACATATTAGCTTCATTAGGTTTATGGAATAAACATGCTAAACTATTATTTTTAGGTTTAGATAATGCTGGTAAAACTACTTTATTACATATGTTAAAAAATGATAGATTAGCAACTTTACAACCAACATTACATCCAACATCAGAAGAATTAGCCATAGGATCAGTTAGATTTACTACATTTGATTTAGGTGGACATCAACAAGCAAGAAGATTATGGAAAGATTATTTTCCTGAAGTTAATGGTATTGTATTTTTAGTTGATGCAGCTGATCCAGAAAGATTTGCTGAATCAAAAGCAGAGTTGGAAAGTTTATTTAAAATTGAAGAATTAAGTCAAGTTCCATTTATTATATTAGGTAATAAAATTGATGTACCAACAGCTGTTGGAGAAATGGAATTAAAAAATGCTTTAGGCTTATATCAAACTACAGGAAAAGATTCTGGTAAATTACCAGAAGGTTCTAGACCAATTGAAGTATTTATGGTTTCAGTTGTAATGAGATCAGGATATAGTGAAGCATTTAAATGGTTATCACAATACATTTAATTTAATATATAAAAAGCCACTCACTACTTTTAGTAATTTTCTGATGAGATAAAAACTATTTCTATAGACAATTATTGACAATGGATAATAAAGTACCTTTACATCCTGAACCAAAGAAGTTCAAAGTTCCAAAGGGACCAAAACCTATTCATCATAAGAATAAAAATTTAATAGGTTTAGGTAGAACTATTGCAAATCAAAGATCAAAAGAAAATGCTATACAATATTTACCGGACGGTGAAATGAGATTTACAACTGATAAAAAAGAAGCTAATTGGGTTAAATTAAGATCGGTCACTCAAGAAAACTCTCTTGATGAATTTTTGAATACTGCTCAATTAGCTGATACTGATTTTACTGCTGAAAAATCAAATCAAGTTAAAATTATCAAAGTTGGTAATACTAATATTATAAATAATAGTGGTTTATTAAGTGTTGACGAAATGTTAGCATTAAGGCAAAAGCATATGTTATTTGAGAATAAATTAACAATACCAAGAAGACCAAAATGGAACAAAAATCAATCAAGTTTAGAAATCAACAGACAAGAAAATTTATCGTTCCTTGAATGGAGAAGAGATTTGGCTAATTTAACAGAAAACAACGATTTATTATTAACTCCATTTGAAAGAAATATAGAAGTTTGGAAGCAACTTTGGAGAGTTGTTGAAAAATGTGACTTAATTGTTCAAATTGTAGATGCCAGAAATCCATTATTTTTTAGATCATTAGATTTAGAAAAATATGTTAAGGAATTGGGTGATAAGAATAATTTATTATTGGTGAATAAAGCTGATTTATTAACTAAACAACAAAGAATAGCATGGGCAAATTATTTTAAAACAATAGGTATAAATTATACATTTTTCTCAGCTGCAAAAGCAAATGAATTGTTGGAAAAGGAGGAGGAAGAGTTGGAAGAAGAAGAAGAAGAAGAATTGGATGAATCAATAAGGATATTGAAAATAGATGAACTTGAGAAATTATTCATAGATGCATCACCCAAGACAGAAGAGAAATTAAATATTGGGTTAGTTGGGTATCCAAATGTGGGTAAATCATCAACTATAAATGCTTTAGTTGGATCTAAAAAAGTTTCAGTTTCTGCAACACCAGGTAAAACTAAACATTTTCAAACAATACATTTATCACCAGATGTTTTACTTTGCGATTGTCCTGGTTTAGTATTTCCAAATTTTGCATATACAAATGCTGAATTAGTATGTAATGGTGTTTTGCCAATCGATCAATTAAGAGAACATATACCACCAGTTTCTTTATTATGTCAAAGAATACCTAAGTATTACTTGGAAGCATTATATGGTATTCATATACCTATACAAAAGATTGAAGATGGTGGAAATGGTGAATATCCAACAGCAAGAGAATTATTAAATGCATATGCAAGAGCAAGAGGCTATATGACACAAGGTTTTGGTTCTGCAGATGAAAGTAGAGCTTCAAGATATATTTTAAAAGATTATGTAAATGGTAAAATGGTTTTTATAAATTCACCACCACAACAGAAAGGAGAAGAATGGGAATTGCCAAATTTACAACAATCAAGAGAATTTAATAAAGAACTATATACTTTGAACAACCTTCCTGCTTCAAGACAAGAGCAAATCAAAGCTGCAATGTTGCATAAAAATTTAAAAATTGATGAATTTAATTTGTCTAAAGATTTATCAAAATTAAACTTTTCAATGCATATTGGTGAAACAAGTGATGAAAAAGCAAATACTAAATTTTATGGTGGTAAAAATGCTGAATTAGAAAGTGCTGGTGATGATTTAGATAAAGAATTTTTTAATATGAATAATATTCAAGGTAAAATTGAAAGTCCATTTCATAAAAAGATAACATTAAATAGTAAGAAACATAATAAGAAGAACAAGAAAGCTGATAAAAAGAAAAGGGTAGTCAATTAATGTACGACTTAGAATTTGAAAACTTAAACTCTGATCTCATAAACAGTAAGAAGAATATTTACTTTATAATATTATAAAGTAATTAAATATATTCAAAATCTAATAAACTTAATAGATTCTAAATGATGGACCCATAGTTGATTTGATAACTAATGATCCAACATTTTGCCAGTTTTTCTTTAATAATGAAACTAAGAAATTTGAAGCCATCATAATTTGATTAACTAAAACATCTTCTTCCATTTCAACATTACCAATAGCAACAGCTAAACATAAAACTTTTTTCAATTGGAATTTAATAGTTGATTTAACATCTTGAACTTTTGAGTATAAATCATCATTATGAGAAACTGGAGTTGGGAATTTACCAGCTTTTGATAAAGTTGGACCTAATAATCTTGGAATTTGTTTAATTAAAACTTCTGAAGCAATAAAAGAATTATATTTTTTAGCTAATTTTTTGATTAATTTCTTGTTTTTGTTTAATTTTTTTAAATCATCAACTGACATAGCATCAACACCTAATGATTTAGCTCTATCAACATCAAAAGCATCACCAAAAATACAAATGGTCATGTTTGGTCTTGGGACTTGAGGTAATTTTAAAGTACCTGAGAAACGTTTATCTCTTTGAGGATCATAGTTTTTTAAACCAACTTGTAATTCAACAGTTTCTAAAAAGTTTCTTTTTTTAGTTTCGTTTGAATGTTTTAATAATTCTTTAACGTTTTCTCTAACGTGAGCTGAAGTGATTTTAGACATCTTGAATGATTAATTACGTCTCCCAAAAAGTTATTTGGTAAGTTTAATTGATTCGACGAGGATAGTAGGTAGGAGGAAATTGAAAAATTATTTTTTTTTAGACGAGATGGTTCCAGTTTCAGAAAAATGTTGTAGCCCTATACATCACGTGTTACGCGCATTTATATTGCGCTTATCGTTTAATTGATTATCAATATGTCAAGATATACTAAATATAGAAGATATGATAGAATATACAAGCAATTGTTAAGTTTGGATACTGAATTTGAAATATTCAATGTCAATCAAAGAAAAATACTTAATTTAGGTTTTGCTCCTGGGTTGTGGTTAGAATATATGATTCAAAAATTATCAAGTTTGCAAAATATTGATGAAGATAAGATATCTACAAAATGTAATATATTAAACTTTGATATATTATTTAAATCTGTACCAGTTGGTACATCTACAATTCAAGGGAACATATTTAGTAAACGAAGTCATGAATTAGTTAATCAACATTTCAAAGATGTATCAGTTTATGAGACTTTGAAGTTGTATAATGATGAAAACTTGACATATTTTAATAAAGAACAACAAGAAATAGCTTTAGAGAAAATTGCACATACTATGAAGATTCCAGATTATAGAATTGACTTAGTGCTAAGTGATTTATCACCACCACTTCCGCAAAAAAGTGGATTTTATGATCATACAGGAACCAATCCATATTTAAGGTATAATAATAATAAAGGGCTTAATCATTCTATATTAGATTCAAAAGCAGTATTTGATTTAGGTGATGCAGCTAACATATTAACGTTAGGACTACTAAAACCGGGGGGTAAGTATCTAATCAAATTATCAGATGTGAGTCGATCTTTTAATGAACTTGATTTATTCTTTCAAAAGATTAGTCCTTACTTTGAGGATATTCGTCATTTACCAAGAGGTAATGATTCATTTTATTTATGTGAACATAGGAATAATGTTAATATTAAATATAAACTCTAATCTTCATTTGATTCTTCTATTTCTTTATATTCCGTTTCTTTTTCACCTTCTTCATCTACTTCTTTCTCTGTTTCATCTTTTAAATCAATTAATGAATCACCATTTATTTTTAGATCTCCAATTAAATCAGCTACTTTCCCCTTATTTTTCTTTATTAATGATGATTTCCATTGTTCAATTACATTATTCAAATTTTCAATTCCATAATTTTTACCAAATATAACTGCTTCTGTATATCTTTCCAGTTTTACTAATAATTCTAAACATTTCTTTGTATCTGCAGTTAACCACCAAGCTTGAAATGCTATATTATATTTACCTTTTTCTTCACACTCCTCAGCCAATTTAGTTAGTTCAGTTTTATTATTTGTAGATGATAAAAGTAATAGTAAAGATGAATAATCTTTTGAAACCCAAAAACATTCTTGTGCTAATTTCAAATTCCATTTTTTCATTGATAAATCTCCTAATTTCTTCCATTTATGAGTATTTGCTATATTGTTTTCTTGTTTTAATAATTCATATGCTTGTTTCAAATTATTTTGACTTAATGAAATTTGAAATTTAGAATCAAAATCTTGTGATAATGTATATGATATTGATAAATAACCCAATTTTTCAAAAAATCTAGATAATTGATTTAACTCAGTTTTGGAAAATTGAGAAATCGATTCTCTATATTCTTCATCTAAATCATCAATTTGAAATTCAGGTTTATTTTCAATTTCTGGATCCACTCTCATTATATAAGTTTGTAATATTAAAACATCAGAATTTACAAACCATGATATAACATCAAATGATTTATCTATCAAAAATAATTTACCTTGATTATATCCAATAATATAATATTTATGATCAAAATGTCCTAAATTTATTATTTCACCACCAACAAAATAATTTAATCTATTTGTAGATGAAGTTGTATAAATCAATACATCACCAATAAATTTCCCTGATAATATAGAATCATTTATAGTATATAAAACATCAAATGCAACTTCGCAGCCTTCTTCTGGATCTATTTCATTCTTTTCCAATTCTTCTTCATCATAACTTAAGAAATACGATTCATTAGCAGTAACTATAACTAATAATTTCCCATTATCTGACCAATATACATCTAGTATTTCATCATCGATATCAACACGTCTAACTAATACACCTTTTTCCCAATCATAAAATGATATACAACCTTCAGATTTGATACCTAATAATTTACCAGTAAAAATTTTATCAGCTTGATAAATTAAATCTAAAGCATACAATTCTTGAAAATTTTTAAATATTTTCATTGATGTTACACTTTCTCTAATTGCAAATGATGAAGCAGCTGAAGTATCATAATCATTCCAAACAAATTCTAAAGCTTTACCATAATTTTTCGATCTCCAGGCTAATGCAGTGTATATGATATATTCTCCATCACCACAAACAGCAGCATATCTACCATTTGGTGAATGAGATAAAGATTGTGGGAAAATTTCAATTCTACCCAATTCTTTTTGTTGTAAATTTAATGATTCACCATCTTTAACATTTAAATTTGATGGTTTTATAATAGATTGGAATACTTCTGAATTCTTTGTATAAATTAATTTATTATTTGAATCCATTGAAAATAATGGTTCTTCGTTACCTAATTTAACAATAACAAATCCAGAATCAAACCCACATGCAATTAAGTTTGATTTTGATAAATCACCAATACACCAAGCTCTTTCTAAACTATAATTTATTGATTTTTCCAATTTAAAAGTATTACTATTCCAAAATCTAATTGTACCATCTTCAGAGCCTGAGATTATTAATGGTAATTCAGGATGGAAAATTGCAAATGAAACATTTGATAAATGGCCTTCTAATGTAGCAACACATGATTTTGTTTGATAATCCCAGACTTTAATAGTTTTATCATCTGATGAAGTAAGTAAATATGGTTTATCAGCTTGTGGGTAATAATCAACATAATTCACACCCTTTGAATCATGTGCTACTAAAGTAAAATTTGGCTGTGATGATCCTAATGACCATACTTTAACTGTTCTGTCTAAACATGCAGATGCAAAAGTATTTGGATCTTTAGGGTTAAAATTTACACTCATAACATAATGTTGATGACCTTCAAAAGTTTGTTCTAATTTCCAATTATTATCCCAATTCCATAATTTTATAGTTAAATCATCTGAACTTGTTAAAATATATGGTTTTGTTGGATGTACAGCAATACTTCTAATATAATCTGGATGTGCTTCAAATTGAGTAACTTTTTCACCAGTATTATAGTTATAAACTCTAATTTGAAAATCATCTGATCCAACAACTATCCAATTTTTTCTTGCAATAAATTTACCTGTTCTAACTGGTAATTCAGTAACTTGAATTGATTTTACCACGGCATTAGTTAAATATGACCAAATTTCAATTTTACCATTATACAAAGTAGTTAAAATCCAAGGTTCAGTTGGGTGAAAATCAATACCTTTAACTCTATCTGATCTAGTTGAAAATTGTTTTACAACATCCAATTTCATACTGATTTTCTATTGATCTTTGGTTGTAATTATTTTTACTTTTCGTTGATTTTTCAATTTTAGAGAATTAAACACGTTAACTACTTACACGACTCCAATATGCTACCATGTGTATATTTAATAAACTTGTTCCAATTTACTTCTTCTTTCTTCTCTATACTTCTTTTCTAATACATCTAATTCATTTATATAATTAATCCATTTGATATTAAATTGTTTATTGGAAAATTTATCAACTAATTTTAAACCATTAGATGAAATTTGATCAAAATTGATGTCTTCGATAATCAACAACTCAAGTAATTTACTAAATGTAGGATATGACTTGTTGTCAAATTGTAAAAATCCATCCTTTTCAACTCCTTTAAAATCTGGGTCTTCATAACATTTAAAGAATAAACCTGCTTCATTATACCAATCTTTAATTTCTTCACCTGTAACAATATCTAATAATGGCCCAGCAGATGCATGTACTATTGGAATACAACCTTTGGATAAATATTCAACTACACCAATACCAAAATGTTCATTCCACATTCCATTAATTCCAAATTTACATGTAGATACCAATTCAATAATTTTGTTATATGAAGAGTCAACAATGAATTCAACAAACTGTGATAATTCTAATTCATCAACTTTCTTTTTGAGGTAATCTAATGTTGTGAAGTCATTTTTAGTTGAACCTGCAAATACAATAGTTGGTATTTCATCAGTTGGTTTATCAATATTTGGAAATTGTTTTTGTAAATATATCTTATACTCTTTTAGTATTAAATCGTGACGTTTTTCAGGACGAAACTGAGCAACATATAACAATCTATTCAATTTCTTGTCTGATGTAGAATCAATGAAATCACCACATGGTGGATATAAAATTTCAATTTTTTTCTTGTAATATTTATTCCATGACCAAATCTTACATAAATGATTATAAGTCCAAGTTCCATTAGCTAATGTTATATCAATCTTCGTACCCAAATAAACATAAAAATAGTACAATAATTTCCAATAGGCAAACTTTATCAAATTTTTCGGTGAATTAACTTTTAATTTATTAAACATATCTTGCTGTAATATTGGATAATGAGTATATGACATTATTGGAATTTTCAAATTCCATGATACTACCAAATAACTACTTGGTAAACCTTGAGTATCAATAAAAACATCAGGACTTAATTCAAAGATACTTTCCAAAGTTAATAAAACAGTACCCAATAACTGACCAATAATTGTAAAATTTTTCCAGTACTTACCATCAATTAAATTATTAAACTTTCTAGTATATATAAACACAATTCTAGATGAATCAAATTCCAAGTTAAATTTTTCTTTAGTTTTATGTAATATATCTTTTGGAGTTTCATGATTAACAGTATATACAACACATATATTTTTATCATTTGCCAATTGAGTTGCTTTTATAGCTTGCCATAATACTTTTTCACCACCACCTCCATTATTTGCATATGGATGAAAGAATCCAATTAATAATTTCCTATTAGGATCATTCAAATCTCTTCTTCTCATTTCATTTATAAAATCTGCAGTATAATCATCTGGATAAATTTTGAGTTTATTATTTGTATAGTTATTATAAAAACTTGGACATTTACTAGCTAGTATTAATCGTCTTCTGAAACTTGATCTTTTATGACCAACTTTTAAATATATTGGTTTTGGATATTCAATTACTTTTGATATTTTTTGTTTCCAATCTTGACTTGGTATTAATAAGTAATGGGGTATCAATGTATTTATACTTTGATATGTTAGTATTATAATGAATAAACCAACTAATAAATGTATCATATTGAATTGATTGAAATATTTTGCCAACTCATACGTATCAATTTTTCGTATAAAAATTTTGGTGCGATACCAAGTGTAATTTACAAATGGCTGCAAATTTTAAATTAAAACTAGATCAATGCTTAATTATTGTTAGTTGTAGCTTAACAAGACTCTTCATAAATTACAAGTTTAGTAGGACAATCAAAAGAATAATTTTACAAACGGTGAACGTTTTCATTTTTTGCAAAAATTCGACAACCCATAAGAAATCTAGGAAATGTTAAGCTGAATACATCCCAGGTCAATCTTCATCACGTCAAACGATTATATAACAATAACAAAAAGCCAAATAGCAATCTTATAGAGTTTTACGGAAAAACAGGACATGATTTTGGAATAGTATTTGAATAAGTTCTATAACTGAAAGTCAATCTAAACCGAAATTACACGGTTGAACACGATATTACACGGTTGAACACGATAATACAAGTAAACCTTGGTCTAATTCTGATAAGATCTTTATCTTAAATGTCATATCTTGTATGAAAGCTAAACAGTTGATGATATTACAATTAGATTTCCTAAAATGGACAAATTAATTAAATTCATTGACGCGAAACGCAAAAAAAAAAAAAAAAATAAGAAATATAATTTAAACTATTCCCATCGATATAATAGATTTGTTCATTATTAACCACTACTCCTTTCAAATTTAACCAACGAACAAGACATTTATAAGTATTTTACTTGCTTAGTATCAAAATATAATAACTAATATATTATTAAGATTAATATTAATTGTTATTGAAGATTTCATTTGCTAATTTAATTTACCGTTGCAATACTTTAATCATTAGATTTCGATTTACAACAACTTGATTCATTCTACTATAATTCAGCAGTTTCCCTATTATGACCTCAACTACTACCACCACTAAATCTTCCAATGGTCAACAACAACAAATTAAAACTCCATTAAAGAAAGAAGAACTTGAACAAATCGCTAAACAATTGAAAAAGAAATTATCGAAAGCTGGTTTAACTGCAAAACAATCATTATCACCAACTAATTTGAAATCAAATAATAATAATAATAATAATGGAATAAATTCAAATAATACAACACCAATTTCATTACCTAAATCATCACCATTAAAAAGTTACATAGTGAATAAAAATAGAAATTCAAGTCATTCAAATTTAAATAATTTTAGTCCAATTTCATCATCTCCATTATATTCACCAAATAATAAATCACCAACTCATATGAAAACTCCTGCTGCTGCTATGTATTTATCATCATCTCCATTGAAAAATCAAACTATAAGTGAAGAATCACAAGAATCTTCACCAACCAAGAAAAGGAAAACATCACCTAGTAAAATGATTCTTGAAGAATTAAGTCCAAATAGTAAAAAAGAGTCAAGTATATCATCATTGAAACCATCAATAGATTTAAAAAGTTCACCAATTGAAAGAAAACAACAAGAAAATCAACAACAACATCCACAAACAACTCCCAAAATGGCTAATAAAGAAATTTGCAGTACTCCAAAGGCAAGAACTAGAAATGACTCAGAAGGTGCTGATTTATTGTTATATTTAGCTACTTCTCCATCACCCGCAAAACAATCATATTATAGTAATACACCAAAACAACAACATAAATCACCACCACCATCACAACCAACTCAAACTGCGAATACTAGTAATGTACCACAATTTGTAGTACCTCCACCACCAGTTACACCAAAAAGAGTAGGTTCATCATCAATAAGTAATAATTTATCAAAAACACCACAAAGATTAACTCCATTCATGAGTATTGCAAATAATAATGGACTACCATCATCTGGTTTAACTTTAACACCAACTGGGTTTAATATGTCTGATTATGTTAATATTTTTACTCCATCTCCAGGAAGTTTATTAAATAAAAATTTATTAAAAACTCCAGATTTTAATAATTTATTAAATGGTAATCAAACACCAAGAGGTAGTTCAAAGGTAGATGGGAAATTGTTAAATTTTAATAAAATGCTATTTAGTAATCATAGTGATTCAAAGGAATAAAATAAACATTTGTAATATAACGTTCGAATTTTAAAGTTTTATAATTCTTCAACATTAATTTAATATATATAATTTTTGGAAACAGTCTATGATCCATTATTGATTGCCTAAAATCTGTTAATTATAATCTTGTAGCCTATTCTTAAATTGTTGATGCTTTATGATGTTTCAGAAATTATATGCAGAACTTTTAGCTGCAAAATTTGATTACAGTTAATAATTCATACTTGTGATCAAACAAAGGAGAAATATAAAGGTGAATCAGCTAATCATAAATTACATTATCCAGCATACGTCAATTCTTTTATTCTTAAATGGCTTTTGCAATAAATTATAATTCAATATACTTTTGATATATATGTGATTCTGATTATTTGAAACTCCAAGATACTCGATTCTTCTACCTTTGAACTCAGCAATAAAATGCAAGTACACAGTTTTGATTTCTAACTCTTTAATATTTTTCAATCGTTTGGCATTCTCCAGCCATAGACCAATTTTATTCAAAGTCGCATGGTAGCGTTCAACAGTGACCGTTCCTAAAAAGGAAATTAATTCTGAAGCATCAATTCCCAAAAATAACATTCTATTTAAATTACACACGACATTTCTGTCAAAATTTACGAGAATTATAACCAAGATAAACCAACAAACTTTAAATAATGGATCATGATGAAGCTACAATATCAAATGGTCATGATACAGGTCTTAAGATTAAGCTAAACATTGATAGGTTATACCATAACATTGAGATAAATTCATACAATTATGAGATAAATTTAATTTATGAAATTATAAACCAACGTTTCAAATTTCTTTGTAAAGCATTATTAAGTTTATTCTTCATTATGTTATTAGTTTTATTTGTTTATTTTATACAAGAGAATGAGAAAGCGTTTGTTGCAATGTATCTTTATTATTTAATGAAATTAGTTCTCAGTTGGCTAGACATAATGCTCAAGGCTTTAGTTTTGTTGTGGGTCATTTCATTGCTTTGGATAAGACCATTGTTTAAAAATGTGCTGGGTGCGTTTTGTGCTGCAATTGCTATCAATATGATGCTTGCCTTTGTTGTTGGAGGAATTGAAGCTTAAAATTGAGTCCTTATTTCAATTCAGGACAAGCCAAATTAGGTGTCTAACATCAATTGCAATTTGTGTTTTTTTGATTAATTCAAAATGAGTTGAAGTCGTAATAATGAGATATACCTTAATTGTGCATCTTTAGTCATCCGAATTAATCAATATATTGCTGCTTGTTAACGAGGGATATGTACTTTGACTGACTAAAATGAAAATACCAGCCTCAGCCTATTTAACGAAGAACTATATGGTACTTGATGAATCTAGATGTGATATAGCTATTAAAACGTCCATCAGACATAAAAAGTTCTATTTTTGTTAATCAAGCTGTGATTTCTGGTTAAACTTTCATCCCAAACCAAACTAGAGAATAAAAATAGAAAGGTCTTTAGTCGGATCTTCTCTCAATTCGATCTACAACCATCAACACACTCTCTCTTAACTTTTGCGATCATTTAGTCCAGTCGTGTGAACTCTACCACCATTTCGGACTGATTTTTTTTTTTTTTTTCAAATGATGTAACCGATCAATATTACTTCAATGCCCGAAGAATCAATTAAAATAGAAGATTTAAAGTTGGAAGAGAAACCACAAGAAATCGACGATGAGGAAATAAATGGAGAGGAAGCTAATGAAGAATCAACAACCTCCTCAACAGATAAGAAAAAGAAGAAGAAGAAAAATAATAAGAAAAAAAAATTGGTATCAATCGATCAATCTTACCCCGATGGTATATTCCCAGAAGGTGAATGGATGGAATATCCATTAGAAATTAATTCATATCGTACAACATCCGAAGAAAAAAGATATTTGGATCGTCAAATGAATAATAAATGGGAAGATTTTAGAAAAGGAGCTGAAATTCATAGAAGAGTACGTAAAAAAGCTCAAAGTTCTATCAAACCAGGGATGAAAATGACTGAGATTGCAGATTTAATTGAAAATTCAATACGTACATATTCAAATAATGATCATCCTTATAAACAAGGTATTGGGTTCCCTACTGGTTTATCATTAAATCATGTTGCTGCTCATTATACACCAAATACAGGTGACAAACTAGTATTAGGTAAAGATGATATAATGAAAGTTGATATTGGAGTGCACGTTAATGGTAGAATTTGTGATGCAGCATTTACAATGACATTTAATGAAGATGGTAAATATGATAAAATTATGGAGGCAGTTAAAGAAGCTACCTATACAGGTATAAAAGAAGCAGGTATAGATGTTAGATTAAATGATATTGGAGCTGCTGTTCAAGAAGTTATGGAAAGTTATGAAATGGAAGAAAATGGAAAAATATTACCAATTAAATGTATTAAAAATTTAAATGGTCATAATATTGGTGATTATATTATACATTCAGGAAAGACAGTACCGATTATTGCAAATGGAGATATGACAAAGATGGAAGAAGGTGAAACTTTTGCAATTGAAACATTTGGATCAACAGGTAATGGTTATGTTTTACCAGAAGGTGAAGTATCACATTATGCAATGAATTCAAATATCGATGATATAAAAGTACCTGAAAGAGCTAAATCATTATTAAATACAATTAAATCAACATTTGGAACATTACCATGGTGTAGAAGATATTTAGAAAAAACAGGAGAAGAAAAATATTTATTTGCATTAAATCAATTAGTTAGAGCAGGAATAGTTGAAGATTATCCACCAATTGTTGATAAAAAAGGAAGTTATACAGCACAATATGAACATACAATATTATTACATCCACATAAAAAAGAAGTTGTTACAAAAGGTGATGATTATTAACTTACTTATACAATCAAACCTAATTGTCGCAAAACTAATCAACTTAACTGTAAATAAACGACAACTTACTTAACATGTGTATTATTATATATTCAACAAATATATTAAGTGGGGTTTTAATATTAAATTATCTTCACAATGTCTTATTCTTCAATTGGCTTTGATTGCAAAATTTCATATGTTAAATAATAAAGAAGAAAAAAAAAAAAACTACCAAATTAGGCAATGAATATTAGACTTCAAAAATCTACTATACTAACTAAACATTGTGCTATCAATAACTTTAACAGTCAGAAGAAGTTAATGAAGATCGACATTACTCTAACTGTAGTTTCTTGTTCTTATATAAATCATTTTGAGGGTCCACTCTTATAGAATCAATTTTTATTTTTTTTGCAATCAAATTATTATTAAACAATCTTCTAACTTCAATCTACAACCATTAATTTGAATAATTGGTAATAGATCTATATAAAAAGGAGAGAGATACAACTGTTATATACTTATAATCAGCGGTCATAGTAATTGTATATAAATTTCACAACCAAATAAATTTCAACTTCAGCAAAAAAAAAAAAATAAAATTCAAATAAATTTCCATACATTTTTATTTCCAACACAAATTTCCATCAACTTTTCATTTATCAAATCAACATCCAATTGTATATTTATTATAAAATAAGATGGAAGTTCAACCTCAAGTATTAGAATTTACTGGTATGTGATTTCAATTACAGGTCATTAACTGTGTGGGATCAATTCGGTATATCAAAATTTCACCCTCCCCAGTTGTTCCATGCATGGTCATGATTTTTCATTGATACTAACAAATTATAAAGGTTCATTTACCAAGCAAACTACAGAATATTTAACATTATCAAATCCAACCAATACTCCTTTGGCTTTTAAAGTTAAAACTACGGCTCCAAAATTATATTGCGTTAGACCAAATGCTTCAATTGTTCAACCTGGTGGATCATTAGATATTTCAATTATTTTGCAAGGTTTTTCACAACCATTACCACAAGATTATAAATGTAGAGATAAATTTTTATTAGTTTCATTACCTGCTCCTCATTTAACAGATGCTTCAAAAGTTGGTGAACAATGGGCTCAATTAGAAGCTCAACATAAATCTCAATTAGTTTCAAAAAAATTAAGAGTTAATTATGTTATTGGACCAGATAAAGAATCTACAGGTCATGGTCTTGGTGCTGGTGCTGGTGCTGGTGCTGCAGCGGTTTCTCAACCACCTCAACAACCTGTTCAACAACAACAACAACAACAACCACCACCTCAACAACAACAATTTCAACAACATGCTGCACCACCTCAACAACAAACTCTTCAACAACAAGCTGCTCATCAAAATAGTTATGATGGTGCTGCTGCTCTTGCTGCTACTGGAATTGGTGCTGGTGCAATTGGTACTGGTGCTGGAGCTGGAGCTGCTGGAGCTGCTTTAGCTTCAGATAATTCATTTACTAATGATAGATCATTTGATACTTCATCTCATAATGGTTATAATTATTCTTATCAACAACAACAACAACAACCTCCAGTTACTCAACAATATCAACAACAACCACCATTACATCAACAACATAGTTATCAATCTCAAATTCCTCAACAATCATATGGTCATCAACAAGTTCAATCTCAACCATCTCCAGAATTACAAAGAGAATTGGAAGCTTTAGCAAGACAAGTTCAAACATTATCTACTAAATTAGATCAAAATGAAAAAAGAGCTACTGGTGTTTCAAATCCAGTTTCTAATTTAGTTACAAATGAAAATGGTGAAATTAGTGGTATTTCATTACCTGTTGCTTTAGTATTAGTTTTAATTGCTTTCTTAATTGGTTGGTTAGTATTTTGATCTACCAGTCATATATTTTTAAATGTGTTCAAAAATATATATTGCTTGTTTTAGTTTGTATACTACTACTACCCATCTAATTCATTTTACAAGGGGTTTTTCAACAGTTTCTTGTCGGATGATAATTATTTCAAGATTTTCGGGATTTAAATAAATTAAATTGAAACGTGCCTATGCATTAAGATGCGAATTGTAACGTTACATTGATTTTTATATGGAAGACGTCTTCAAGATCACTAAAACGTAGTACAGATCGTTAAAGTTTGATAATTGGTACAAAACTCATAGTATGCACGAAAATTTAAGCATAATCTAAAAGATCAAATTAAGGACCACGTTGTAAGCGAAAGTAAAAGAAATTAAACTATGAGGTGCTTAACTGATTTATCTACAATATCCCAACTAAACTGATGGCGGCGTAATATTTTTGTTACTCTCAACTTCTTCTTCTTGAATAGTCATATCTATATACATTAAGTACCAATTTCATATCGTGGTCGTAATCTATGTCAAGGTGGTTTTTTTAGTTTATCCGAATTCCAATTTGTAGCTCTGACTTGTTTAAATTTTTTATTTGGCTACTAACCACATTTTAGTAAAGTCTTTAAATGTAACTCTACTAGAATCAGGGCACTAAATCTATATTGATAATGATCTAAAAAGTATATAAACTGTTAAAATCTTGATCACAATTTCAGAAACCAAGATGTCTAAGGATTCTAAAGATATTATTGAGGTTGCTGCTACTTCGTCATCAATTGAAAATGATTCAGATGAAAGAAATGTTGATGCTGAAATTGATGAATATGTTTCAAGCTTCTTGGAATTATCAAATGAAGCCAGAAACGAAGATTTGAGAGATAAAAAGATGACTTTCAAGGAAGGTTTTAGAATGTTTCCCAAGGCTATTATGTGGTCGATGATAATTTCAACTGCTATCATAATGGAAGCTTATGATTCAAATTTATTATCTAATTTTTATGCATATCCTGCTTTTGCTGAAAGGTTTGGTGTTTATTATCCAAAATTAAATAAATGGGAAATTCCAGCAAAATGGCAATCTGGATTATCTATGTCTTACCAATGTTCACAATTGATTGGTTTATATTTGGCTTCTCATTATGTTGACGTAATTGGATATAGATGGACAATTATTCCAACTTTAATACTTTCAATTGGGTTGATTTTTTTACAATTCTTTGCACCAAGTAAAGAAGTGTTATTAGTTGCATATGTCTTAATTGGTATAATGTATGTAAAATATTCCTTCACGGTCTAAATCATTACTAATACAGTTCTTTTAGTTGGGGCTCTTATCAAACAATCACAATCAATTACGCAGCTGAGGTTTCACCTTCATCATTGAGATACTATACGACCACATGGATAAATATTTGTTGGATCATTGGTAAATTAATAGCTGCTGGATGTGTCAAGGGTATTTCACAAATGGAGAGACCGGATGCTTATAAAATTGCATTTGCAATTCAATGGATATGGCCTGTTCCAATTATAATTGGAGTTTATTTAGCTCCTGATTCACCTTGGCAATTAGTAAAAAGAGGTAAGTTAAAAGAGGCAAAACATTCAATTTGTAGATTAATTTCATCTTCAAATAAAGATGTCATTGCAGATAAAATGGTGACTAAAATTCAAATGACATTAAAAGAAGAAAGTTTAAAAGATAATGGATCATTCATTGAAATTTTTAAAGGTACTAATTTTAGAAGAACTGTGATTGTTACTTTAATTTGGGTGTCTCAAAAAGTTACAGGTATGGGTTTAACTAATTATAGTACGTATTTTTACGAACAAGCTGGTCTTTCTGTATCTAATTCCTTTTCATTCACGATTGGTGAGAATTGTTTAATTTTAGTAGGGACATTGATTTCATGGTTTGCAGTTAGAAGATTTGGTTATTTCACACTTTATATGTTTGGTACAATTATGATGTTCATTTTGATGATGTTGGTTGGTGGTTTTGGTACTTACAAAGGGAGTTCAGCAAGTTGGGGTGCGGGATCTTGCTTATTGATTTATTCTTTGTTCTTTGATTTATCTGCTGGACCATTATGTTATATTATTGTTGCTGATATTCCTGCAGTAAGATTGAAAATTAAAACAGTTATGTTTGGTAGAATCATTTATAATATTTCAGGAATTGTAACTAGTATTATGACACCTTATATGCTTAATCCAACGGCTTGGAACTGGGGCCCATTATCTGGATTTTATTATGGTGGTTTTGGATTCATTTTGATCGTTTGGTCATATTTCTATTTACCTGAAACTAAAGGTTTGACCTTTGCTGAAATTGATTGGCTATTTGCTAATAAAATTCATGCTAGAAAGTTTAAATCTACTGAGATTAACTTATTTGATGTAGATACAATGGTTCAAAAATTTGGAAATGATGGTGTTAAAGATATTGTTGATGAAAGAGAAAATATTTACAATGAAAAAAATATCGAACGAGAAATTGTTGAAATTAAAGACTAACAAATCTTATACTTTAGCAATGTTTCGTTAGAGATGTCGATCCATATTTACGTTTATAGTTTGTTTATGCTTCAATAATATACCAAGTTTTGTGTGAAAAAATTCTGAAACAATTCTGAAACAAATGATCAGATTACACGCCCTTTATGTTATAAAAAGCCTGTAATCTTACTTGCCGTTTCTTCAAAACACCATGAACTAAGCTTAAGTATAAGTGAAAAAATCAATGTAACGTTACATTAAAATTTTGTACAAAGTAGAAACTCCTTAATTTCAAGGCGAATGTAAAAGAGGCTTTAATTAATTATCTAAAGAAAACGTGGGATAACGAGCAAATTTGATGGTGAGCTTATGTACAGCGGGACTCTTGGATCATCAAATATAGTTTTTTTATAATGTGGTTTATTGCAATTCATAACCGTACAAAGTCTGTCTTTTTTTTTTTTAATTTTTTTTTTTTGTTTTGTTTTTTTTTTTGCAACCAAATTTTGCAGCCAAATTTTTTGCAGCCAAAACAATTTTTTTTGCAGCGAAAATTATTTAAAAAGAACAACTTTATTGAGACTACAAGATTATTCCAATGAACCTTGTTTACACTTATAAATATAGAACAAATAAACTTAACTCTAGTATAATTTAGACTTTCGCATAACACTAATCCACTGTGTATAGAATATATTTGCTCACCAACTATAAACTCAAAATACCACTATCAATCTAATCTCTTTCTTTCACTACATCTTTAACTCCATCACTTCCGAGTTTTTGAACTAATTTTTCAGCATCAAATAAGTTGACTTTGGTTGATTTAAACTTTCTAGCATGAATTTTGTTTTCGAATAACCAGTCAATTTCAGCGAACGTTAATCCTTTGGTTTCAGGTAGACAAAAGATCGACCAAACGATGAAGATGAAACCAAACCCACCATAAACTAGAGCAAATTTGTTAGTAAGATACAGATAAATTTGATCCTTAATTGTGGAAATTGCCACCTTATTTTGAGGAATAAGATGAATGATCAATTTCACAGCTAAGGAAAAAACTGAATTAAACAAACAATAACCAGTTTTGGCTCCCCATGCCCAACTTGCAGGGTTCAACATATAAGGTGTGATAATACTAGTAATTATACCAATTACCAAATAAGTTAATCTACCGAACATAACAGTTTTATTTCTTAATCTGGCAGAAGGAATTTCTGAAACTAAAATGTATACCAACGGACCAACTGAAAGATCAGAAAAGAATGAAAAAATTAACAAGGAAGATCCAGCACCCCAACCAGTTGAATTCCCTTTATATGAACCAAAAATACCTGCAAGCATCATACAAATAAACATCATAATTAGACCAAACAAATAAATTGTATAATAACCGAACTTCTTTATAGCAATCCATGCAATGATATTACCAAATAAACTTAAACAATGTTCTCCGACTGTGAAAGTAAATGCATTCGATACCGATAAACCAGCTTGTTCATAAAAATATGTAGAATAATTACTAATAGCTCCACCTGCCAATCTTTGTGAATTCCATAGCATCAGCACAATAAATGTTCTTCTCAAATTATTTCCTTTAAATAAATCTAAGATTGAAACTCCTTTTGTTGTTATTGATTCTTCAGCAAGGGTCATTTGCATTTTAGTAACCATTTGATCAGCAACTACTTCATTGTTTGGTGTTGATATTAAACGACAAACTGCTTTCTTAGCTGCTTGTACTTTACCTCTTCTAACTAATTGCCATGGTGATTCAGGTGCAAAATAAACACCAATTAAAAGTGGAACCGGCCAAATCCATTGAATTGCATAAGCAATTTTATAAGCATTAGGATTTTCCATATTAGAAATACCTTTAACAGTACCTGAAGAAATCAATTTTCCAATTACCCAAACTATAATCGTTAGTATTGTGACTTTAAATATTTTTGTTCTTACTTACAAGCATTAACAAGTGATGTTTGATAACCTCTTAAAGAAACAGGTGCAACTTCAGCAGCATAAGTAACAGTGATAGATTGAAAACATCCCCAGAATAATCCGAGAAACACATAAGCTACTAACAAAACTTCTTTAGTTGGTGCAAAAAATTGTAAGAAAATTAATGCAATACTTGCAACTAATGGAAACATTATAGTCTTTTTATAACCAATCTTATCAACAAAATGAGAAGATAAATATAATCCTATAAGTTGAGTCGTTTGGTAGCTCATAGCCCACCCCATTTGCCATTTAGCTGGAATTTCCCATTTATTTAATTTAGGATAATAAACACCAAATCTTTTAGCAAAAGCAGGATAAGCATAAAAACTAGACAATAAGTTTTGATCATAAGCTTCCATGATAATAGCACAAGAAATAACAGTTGACCAAATTACAGCCTTGGGAAACATTTTGAACCCTTCTTTTAAAGTCATCTTTTTATCTCTTTCATCTTCAGATCTAGCTTCATTTGACATTTCAAAAAAACTGGTAATGTAATCATCATTGACCGTATCCTCAGCATCGACCTCAGTAGTGTTTTCAACTTTGCCTTCACTCTTATTATCAGTGTCACTTTCAATGAAAGTGGTGGAGATAATTTCAACTTTTTTTTTATCGTCTGAATTGGTATAATCTGACATTTGGTTTAATTATCAAAAAGATTATGTTTAAAAAAAAGAGTCAACTCTCAATACTATTTATATCTATTAATAAATTGTTTGAGAGAGGTATGTTAAGTTTAATACTATAATAGTTTTTCAAAATAACCGAATTGCATTTATGTAAAGAAATTGCGCTTTTTGCAAAATAATTTAGACAACAATGGATCCGCTTCTTTTGGCTTCAAGAGAAGTATTAGCAAAACGTTAGTTGAAAGTGAAAGATATATGAGAAGGCTAGAGAAACGTGGTACATTTAAAATCAGACAGGAACTAAAATTAACTTTTTAGCCATGCGTAAAATGCTGAAGGTTTCGGCGTCTAATTTAAATTATCATTGAAAAGAAATCAAAGTCATTAAAGTATGGCAAGATCAATGTAACGTCACAGAATTTTGATAATCTAGATTAGAGAGGTTTATATTCTGCAATATGGATAATAACTTTGCATTTACTTGAAATTCAAAACAATTATAAAAACAGAAATCTAAAAGCCGGCCCAAGCAGTTAACTACAGCTCTACATTAGTAAACTGTCCATAATGTCATTGGCTCTACAATCTCAATTTTTGCTTCATGAATCTCCTAAATTTAATTTCCAATTGCACACGTGTACAATTTAGTGCAAGTATATAGAGAAACCATTTTACAGGGTATTATGAGGCAAGTTTATCAATCGATCCAACAAAAGCTCAGAATGATTATCAAGAGTGTTGTTGTTATAGTTTTGACTACAGTTTTATTTCTTACCACTCCATATTTTAAAAATTTCATCGGATTTAACACGATTTCGGATTTAGTAGTTCCAAGACCAATAAATCATAAAGATGTGGCTAGACCAACAAATCATGATCTTACTGATGAGATAATTAAAAGTTTAGACATTGAAGAGACAAGTTTCATATATCATAATTTAGATAAATTATCGAAATTAAAAGGTAACAAATGTGATCAATGCAAGCAAAGAATGAAATTTGCAAAATCATTAATTGATGAGAACCCAGATATGAAACATTTAATTACTTTAATGTTACATAGAGATCATTTACGAGAAGGTATTTCAACTTATGACTGGTTCAAAATATATCAAAATTTCTTTGTTACTACTAATTCTCAAAACTTTATTAAATTGGGTGATAATTTAGAATCTGGATATTCTTTAGAATCAAGTATAAATTTCTTTGATAATGATTTTTTAAACCTTATTAAACATTTCAATTTATCAAGTGATTTGGATTTGGAGTATTATTGTTATTTTAGAGAACATAAAGCATGTGAATTACCTAAAACTCCAAATTTACAAGAGTTGATCAATATTGAAAGCTGGTTTCCTGCTAAAGATCCAAAATATGGTCTTCAACCAAGTTATAAGAATAATAGTGAAATTTTTAACGTTTTACATGTTTCTGATTTTCATTTACAATTAAGATATCAAGTTGGTAGTGAAGCTAATTGTACAAATTTACCATGTGCATTACCTGAGTCATTTAATGAATATTTACCTGATAATTATAACTTCACAACTTATAATAAGAATTTAGAACCTTCAACTAATCAGTTTGAATTTTCGTTTTATCCTAGAGGAAAATATGATAATTTGAATTATACCAAAGGTGAATATTTCAATATAACACATTATTTAGGTTGGGATTTCCATAGTTCTCCAGCTACTCCATTTGGTGCTTATTTGGCTGATGCTCCTGAAATTTTAATAAATAGTTCATTAATAGACATGGCAAAGTTACATAAAGAAAAGAATTTTGAAATTTTTTTATTCACTGGTGATTTAGTAGATCATGATGGAATTCATTGTACTGCAAATGTAACAAAATATGTAGAAACCAGAGTCTTCAATTTGATTAAAAATTATTTACATAATATGACAATTATTCCAAGTTTAGGTAATCATGATTCTTACCCTTATGGACAAGTAGCACCATTAGAATTTGATGAACATAATCATTATCAATATAATACTGAAGAAATTATAAAGAATTGGATTAATAATGAATGGTTTGATGAAAAAGATGCAAATGATTTAAAAAAGCATTATTCTGGTTTTTCATACATTACTAATCGTGGTTTAAAAATTATTTCATTAAATTCAAATGCTTATTTTCGTGATAATTTATGGGCTTATATTGATCAAACTACAAAACCAGATTTATTTGGACAATGGAAATTTTTAATTGATGAATTGGTCGAAAGTGAAAAGAATAATCAAAGAGTTTGGATATTAGCTCATGTACCTCCTAATACTGATACATTACCTATTCAATCACATATTTTTGCTAGAATAATTAAAAGATTTTCACCTTATACCATTGCTCATTTATTTTTTGGTCATACTCATAGAGATCATTTTTCAATTTTATATGATGTTGATTCAATAAAGATAGCAAAAGAGGAAAATGTAGTTAATATGGCTTATATTGCTCAATCGGTTAGTCCTTTTAAAAACTTTAACCCTTCATTTAAATGGTATGAAGTTGAAACTGAGAGTTTTAATATCAGAAATTCATATAATCAATTTACGAAACTAAATGATACTTTTGTAAACGATGGTAATGAACCAATATGGGAATATGAATATTCAGCAAGAGAATTATATGATCCAAATCATGAATGGCCAAAGAATGCTCCGTTGAATGGTACATTCTGGCATAGATTTGTTGTTGAAATATTATTAAATACTGATGATATTGAATTTGCTCAGAAGTTTATAAATCATCAGTATAGATTAAGTCCATTGACTCCTAAATGCGATAATAATAATAAATTATCAAATGAATGTTATAATGAAAATAATTGTTATTTAAATTTTCATTCTGATGATGTTATTAATTGTTTAAGATCAAATTAAAGAATATACGAAATACGTGATAAACATTTTCGTCAATTTTAAATGATCATGGAAACTAATAAGATCTGGGAGGCACTAGTAGAGTCTCAAAATCTAAAGCCTAATTCTCCAGTTTCAAGCACGTTGTTCATATACTAAAACTTAAGAATGCAACGTTACAATCAGATCATTTAACTAAGCCAATGTAGTCGCTACAAACCATAAACTCAAAATTTAAAACTAAAATCTTCTCCTAAAGGACAACTAGAGTCGTTCCACGTTTTATGCTAGGGAAAAGAACCACGTTTATTCAATAATATACACTCTACCCTCGTAAGGTGATAATTTTTCATCTAATATGTCTTTCTTTGAAACATTGGTGACTAACAAATTGAAATTTCCTTCAATTAATTTTTCAAACTTCACCCATTTTGATGAAAAATTCAAAACAACATAAACTTTTGGTACTTCAAACTTTGGCAGTTTTTTAACATAAGTAAATAAAATTGTATTATCATAATCTAATACTTCGAATTCTCCATAAGTAAATAAATCTTTAAATTGTTTTCTTAATTTTATCAATTGTTTGTAAAATGATAAAATTGAGTTTGGATCATTCAATTGAGATTCAACATTGATTTCACTATAATTATCATTGACCCTAGTCCATGGTTCAACTGTTGAAAACCCAGCAAACTTTTCTGAATTCCACTGGACAGGAGATCTAGCATGATCTCTAGAACAAAATTTTATAACATCTATTAACTTCTCTTCTTTTTCCTTAAAATCTGCATCTTTACCATATTTTTCTTTAAATTCATTATAATAGTTTATAGTTACTATATCTTTATATTCTGAAATATCCCAACTTCTAGGCAAATTAGTCATACCAATTTCTTGACCTTGATAAATAAATAATGTACCACTTAATGTACTTTGAAGCATTGTTAATAACTTACCACCTTCAACTCTGTAGTTTGTATTTATAAACTTTGAAACACATCTTGGCTCATCATGATTTTCTAAAAAAATTGTTGACCATGCATCAGTACCTTTAATAAGATTACATTGTTTATCAATCGCTTTTTTAAAATCAATTAAATCCCATTTAGTTTTTTGAAACCTGTCATTCTTTTCATAAATTAATTTAACAACATCAAATAATAAAATTGCATTCATTTCATTACGAGATTTTCCAACATATTTTAGAGCTTCTTGTTTACTACATCTACCTACTTCACCAACAACAAATGCATCATATTTAGACCAGCATCTATCAAACATTTCTTTATGAAATTCATGAATTCTTGGCCCATTTAAAGCTAAATTTCCAACTGGTTGATAAAATGAATCTTTTAAAATAATTGGAGCATCTTGAAATGATTCAACTTTTGAAAATTTCCCAGCTGTATCAATTCTAAAACCATCAACACCTTTTTCAAACCACCAATTTATAACAGAATCATAAATTGTATTTCTTACTTCATAATTATTCCAATTTAAATCTGGTTGATCTTTAGCATACAATCTTAAATAATATTCATCTGTTGTTTCATCATATTCCCAAGCAGATCCAGAAAAATAACTCATCCAATTATTTGGCTCAATACGATTACCACTTTCATCATATCTTGGTTTCCTCCAAAAATACCAATCTCGTTTAGGATTATTTTTTGAAGATCTTGATTCTTGAAACCATTTATTCTCTGAGGAGGTGTGATTTGCAACTAAATCAAGTATAATTTTGATCCCCTTATCATGACACTTATCTATCAATTCTTGCATATCGTTTAATGTTCCATATTTTGGATATATTTTTTGATAATCACTAATGTCATAACCCATATCAACTTGAGGCGAGTCATACATTGGACTTAACCAAATCATATCAATACCTAAGTCTTTAAGATAGTCTAAAGTGGAAATTACACCTGGCAAATCACCAACACCATCACCATTTGAATCTTTATAAGATGGTACCCAAATTTGATATACAACTGCATCTTTCCACCAGACACATTTTTCAATCGTCATATTATTTGAAAAAAATTTGGAAATTGAAAGCAAAACATATTTCTACCTTTATATACTAAAACGTTTTAGATTTTTTCAGATTTGCACTTGCACATAACCATCCATTTAAACTAGACAGTTCTCGACCCCTGTTATCTGGATAGCAAAAACAGATTAATATTAATGTATTAATGTTTAAAGCACAAAATTAATAACAATGAAATTTCAATAGTCAATGCAAATTGACTGCAAAAGTAATAAATATCTGGAGTTCTAGATTTGAAACAAAAACTTGTAACCAACCAACCAAAAATATAGCACAGATGGAATAGACACTGGCGATCAAAATATCAATAAACCAGCAAGACGTTCGAGTGTTTAATCATGTAATTTGTAGCTTACTTGGACCCTAAATTAATAAACTATACCAATTTTAGCAAACTTTCACCAGCAGAAATTAACACTACATAATCTAATCCTTACCTTTTAGCAGCATTACCATCCATTGACTAAGTTAGTCCATTCTAATCTATTGTACTACTCATCTTCTAATAATACTAAATTTGTTTGATAGAAATAAAATTAAGTTTGACATAAAAAAAAATCAAAACTTAAAATTGTTTGGCCCTACGAATTACAAAACTATATACATTGAAATTATATAACTACAATACTGTTTAAACAAGCATAATTGACAAAAGTGTATCATATTGGAACAGTTCGTATACCAGAACAACTTTGAATTCATTTAAAATCATTTTCCACACCCAAATTGTCATTCGTTAAAAAATGGGTAGAGCTACAATTAAATCAGGTAGTATTAATCTATTAAATACTATAATAGGTGCTGGTATATTGGCAATGCCCTATGGTTTAAAATCAAATGGTGTATTATTTGGTTGTATACTAATTATATGGTCATCTTTAACTTCGTCATTTGGTTTATATTTACAAAATAAAGTAGCTAAATATACAAATCAAAGAGATCATTGTTCATATTTTAGTTTAGCACAATTAACTTATCCTAAATTATCGATTGTATTTGATTCAGCAATTAGTATTAAATGTTTTGGTGTTGGTGTATCATATTTAGTTGTTATTGGTGATTTAATGCCAAAAATAATGGAAAGTTTAAATGTAACAAATCATATTCTTATGCATAGAAATTTTTGGATTTCAATTTTTATGATTTTAATTGTTGTACCATTAAGTTATCTTAAAAAATTAGATTCATTAAAATATACAAGCATATTGGCATTATTTTCAGTTGGTTATTTGATTTGTTTAGTTTTACAACATTATTTTACTGAAAAAGTACAACATAAACATATTGATTGGTTTGGTCCAATATCGATAAAATCGACATTATCTTCATTTCCAATTTTTGTATTTGCATATACTTGTCATCAAAATATGTTTGCTATAATTAATGAATTAAAACCAAATGATCAAGATGGTAGTCAAACAAGACAATCCAATTTAATTATACGGAATGCTATTTCAATTGCATGTATTTCATATTTAATTGTTGGTATATTTGGATACTTAACGTTTGGTAATATAGTAAATTCAAATATTATAACAATGTATTCGAAAGATTCAATAAGTTCATTAATTGGTAGATTATGTATTGTTATAATGGTTAGTTTATCATATCCTTTACAATGTCATCCATGTAGAGGATCAATAAATCATGTTATTCATTTTATAATTCATGGTGTTTCAGATATTAAAAAAAGACAAAATAATCAAAATAATCACAATCATGGTTATTCATCATTAAATTCAGATATAGAATCATTAAATTCAATTAGTGAAATGTCAATTCAAGATGAATCATTTATTTCAACTACTCCAATGGAAGGTGCTCAAGATACTGATGGTCATGATCCAATAATTGTACCATTAACAACTAAAAAATTTTATATAATAACTACTACAATTTTAATCCTTAGTTATATTGTTGCAATAACAGTTACAAATTTAGCTCATGTTTTAGCATTTGTTGGATCAACTGGTTCAACATCAATTTCATTTATATTACCTGGATTATTTGGATATTTATTAATTAAATCAGATCAACCATTAACTAATTTAGAAAGATTTTGTAAATTTGGTGGATTATTTTTAGCAATTTGGGGTTTTTTAGTTATGATTGTTTGTCTATCAGCAACTATATTTTTAGGTACTACTCATTAATATATATTTAGACCTATATCATTAGAAACTTCCATTAATTTAGATTTATCATCTATTGAATAATGTATATCTTTTAATATTTTAACATGACCATAAATATTCAATTTATAATTCTTTTTAAAATTAAAATATGAAATTGTAAAATCTTGATCGGATAACTTTACTGGATATTTAATACTTAATTTATAAATTTCAAAATCAATTGATTTTAACCATTTCCATAATTTAACAACTTCATAAACTTGATTTATTAAATTATTTTGTTTCTTTAATTTGAAAAATTGAATTAAGGATTTATTTCTTAATATATTCTTTAAAATTCTGTATTCAAATTTAGATGATAAATCAATTTCAATAACGTTATCATAAAGGAATGTAGTTGTATCAGATTGAACAAGGTTTGGTATTTTTCGAAGTGGAGTAAATTCATCTTCAGGTTCAGTTACTTTTTTATTATTTGTATTCATCAATTCATCTTTAAAGTTGTTATACTCTTCAATTGGTAAAGCTTCTTTTTTACTTTTCAATTGTTTTAATTTGGCAAGTTTTTGTTTCAAATATCCCAATTTTGTATTGTTGTTACTTATATCATGTTGAAGTTTATCAATATTTAATTTCAATTTATCTTTATCAGTGTTTAATGATTTTATATCATCTTGTATTTCTTCTACCACATTATTAGTTAATTGACTTCTCCAATTATACCATGTTTTCCGACTTTGTAATCTTGTATAATCTCTAATTCTAACTATTTTAACTTTCATTGAAGATTTGTCTTCACTTGAATTATATTTTTTAAAAATGATTGGATTATTATTTTTAATAATTTCTTCATATTCATTGTATACTTTTCTACCTTCAATTATATTCTTATTTAATTCAAGACAACTGAATTTGTAAAGTTCAAAAATTTTTAAATTAGGTCTTAGAAGTATAAATTCTACTTCTGTTGGATCTTTTGAACTGGATTGATTGGTAAATTTTAAATTTAGATTTGAATTTAAATTCAAATCATAAAATTGTATATTTAGATCCAGCAAAAATTCACTTAATGTATAATTATTTTCTTCGTCATCAGAAGTATTTTCTAACCTTTTCTCCATTTGTGAATTATACTCTTGTGATTGAGTATTTGGAATTTGAGATACAGTATTTTGTTTTTCAATTGCTATAGGTGGTTCATCTTCATTTGTATTCACATAGACTGGTGCTTCATTTAAATCATCATCTTTTGAAACTTGAGATAGCTCATCATTATCTTCTTCTGAATTTTTTTCTTTATTTGAATTAACTGTTAAGTGCATTGTTTCTTTTTTTTCACCTATAATTGGATCATTATTATTTAAATCTGTTTCTTTTATTATCAGCGGTGTAGTTTGTGTTAATTCAATTGGAATCTCTTCTTCCATAATTATTGATAAATCATCATTTTGATGATTTCTTTCACGAGGTTTAGCAATATTCAGTTCACAGTTTGAAATTATTCTTGGAACATTTTGAGTAAGCTCCATATTAACTTGAGTAGGAACATTTTGGGTAATTTCCATTTCAACGTGATTTGACTCGCTGTCGTTTCTTTCTAATTTTGCTGTTGAATCTTTTTCTTGTTCCATGTTAACTTGAGTAGAAACATTTTGAGTAAGTTCCATATTAACTTGAGTAGGAACATTTTGGGTAATTTCCATTTCAACGTGATGATTTGACTCGCTGTCGTGTTTTTCTAAGTTTGCTGTCGGATCTTTACTTTCTTGTTTCATGTCAACTCGATTAGGAACAGTTTGAGTAAGTTCCATTTCAACCTGAGTATTTGACTCACAGTTGATTGTATTTGATTTTGCTGTTGGATCTTTATTTTCTTTGTTATCATCATCTTTATTACTTTCTAAATAAGTTATCTTTTCAATTGGTGTAGTCAATTCCATTTCTTTATCTTCGCCTGCTTCTCTATCAATTTTTGATACTGCATTATGGTTATCATTACTTTCTAAATAAGTTATTTTCTCAACTGGTGCGGTCAATTCCATTACATTATCTTCACCTACATCTCTCCCTATTTTTGATACTACTTTACTATTATCCTCATCTTGTAAATGTATAATTTTTTGTATTGGTTCAGTAATTTCCATATCTTGTTGTTCTTCAATTTCATTTACATTATTTACATTAGTTATATCCATAGTTAATTCTTGTTGATTTATTTCATTTTCTTCATCAGAGTGATAAATTTTTGGAATATCTTTAAACAAATTTGAATCTTCATCTGAAGAATCTACAACTTTATCATTTTCATTACTTATGAAATTAAATTTCATATTATCAAAAGTCACATCTGGAGCTAATTTTGACAATTCTTCATGTTCATCATCTTCATTATCATCATTATGTTGTAAATGTTGATGATTTTCTACACCTTGATTTGTTTTCCTTCTTTTATTATTATTTGAAATATAATCAATTTTATGTAATGTAACTTCCGATTTAAATGACACCCTTCGCGAACTACTATTATTCAATGGTATTGTTGTATCATCTTTCAATATACTTTTATTCATGATAAAATCAAACAAAATTGTTTGGTAGTTTGTTTACAAATTATGAAACAGCTTATGTGATCAGTTGGTATATGTATTATGTAATCAATTCTATACTTTTCCTATTTAGTCTCAACTTTGATGATAACAAATTATCACCATTATCGCCAGGACCAGTACCAGGGCCATTACCAGGGCCATTACCAGGACCATTACCCGGACCATTACCAGTTTCTATATCAAATTGATTTATAGTTTCAAAATCATTAAATTCATTATTTATTAAATTATCAAATTTTAAATCAATCATTTTATTTAATATAAATCTATCAATAAATCCACTTAATAATTGTTCATTTATATTATTTTGATTTAATATAGTTAAATAATTTAAATGTAATTTTTCGAATTCTTCTAATATTAAAATAGCTGGTGATAAATCATTAACTATTAATTTTGATTTTTCTATATTTAAATGTATTTTTTTGAAAATTTCTAATTTTCTTTCATAATGTAATTGTATTGATGTTGTAGTTTTATTTAAATTGGAAATTTGAAAACTAATTGGAAGATCAGTATATTCTATTCTTTTTAAAATTTCCACTTTAGTTACATATCCAATATATATTGGATTTTCATAATTAATAATTATTGGATATCCTTCATGATTATCATTAAGAAATTCATGAATAAAATTTAAAGTATATGGTACATCAGGTATTAAACATAAACATTTAACTTTTTTTAAAGGTATCATTAAGTGTTTAACTGTTATATCTGGTAATTTTGATTTTAAAGTAGTTGTTAAATTTGAAAATGAAACTAAACCTATTCCTTTACCTTTATTAATATTATTAATACTATCAATACTATCATTAATATTATTAATATTATTAATTATTTTATCTTTATTGAAATTATTTTGTAACCAAGTATCATAAATATTTATAGGTTGTAACCAATCATTTACGAATTTTGAGGTCATTACACCACACATGATTGGTAATACATAAGATACTGCACCTGTCATTTCAAACATTATAACCACTACACACATTGTTAATTTTGTAATTCCAGTCATGAATGCAGCAGCACCAATAACAGCATATGAAGAAGGATCAACTAAACAAGATTTTTCAGTACAAGTAGCTAAAGAATCCCAATTAAATTTAGATTGTAAAATTTGAAATAATATACCAAAAAATCTTCCAGTTGCAGCACCAAGAACTAAAGATGGCATTAATATACCACCAGGTAAATCAATACCAAAAGTATATGAAGTTAAGAAAAAACCTTGTATAATTATATAAAGTAATTTAATAGCTGTAATTGAATTAGTTGGGAAATAATCAGATTGATCCTTAAACATTTCTTTTAAAAAAGCATTTAAAGCAAGTTTTTGAACTGGAAAATTAAGTAAAGTAGTAAATATAACTAATAAGATATTTTCATAATAATTTCCATAAATTGGATGTAATTTATTTTGTATTTTATTTCTTAATTTTGAAAATTTTGAATTTAATCGAATTGCAATCCATCCATAAATCCCACCAATAAATCCCAACATTATAAAAGGTATAATTTCCATAAATAACCAACTAAAATTACCAAAATTAACTGAAAATAAATCTTGTTCAAAAAAATTTCTACCATCTGTAATTACTTTAAAACCAGTTAAAGCAATTACTGAAATTGTTGCAGAAACAAAAGAATTCCACATAATTTTAGTAGGCATAAAATAACTTGGAAAACATTCTAAAACAAATAAAACACCACCAATTGGAGAATCAAAAGCAACAGATATACCAGTTGCAGTAGCTGCACTTAAAATTTCTCTTCTTATTGCTTCATTATTAAAATTAAATAAATTATAAATTATATTAAAAATTGAACAAGATATATGAACCAAAGGACCTTCTTTACCTAACCATAAACCAGATCCAACAGCAAATATAATTCCAAAACTTTTAAAAATTAAAGTTTTTAAACCAAGATATTGATCAATACTTAAATTAAAACCAGATATAATTAATTTAATTTCAGGTATACCAGATTGTTTAATTAAATACCAATAATTTGTAAATTTAGTACCAATTAATACATATATAATGGCAATAATTAAATAAATAGGTAAATTTATAAATAATTGACTAAATAAATTATTTGAACCAAATAAAATTTGACCCCAATGATTCCAATCAGGACAAGTTTGATAAGGATTTAATAAAGTCCAGTCAATAGTATTACTAAAACATATTCCTTTTTTAATATCATTTAAAGAAATGGAAATTAAATCAATAAAAGCAGTAGTATAACCTAGTAAAATAGCAGAAACAATTAATAATAACCATTTTCTATAATTCGATGAATTATTTGATATTGATAAACTTTGTTTACTCCAATCAATGAATGTATTCTCTTGTTGTTGTATCATAATTCATTCATTCTTTATTATTCAATTAAATTTTCAATTCTGAAACACCGAAAGAAAAAAAAAATATATATACATATATATAAATTATAACGAGAGGCCAATACAAACAATTACTATTCACTATTATTAGATGTCATTTCTTGGTTCTTCTTCAACTGCTGGTGCTGGTGCTGCTACTTCTTCTGCTGCTACTGGTCAAGAATTATTACAAGATATATCTATAAATAATCCTCCAGATGATTCAATTGAAGATTTATCATTTTCACCTCAACAAGATTTATTATCAGTTTCAAGTTGGGATAAAAAAGTTAGAATATATGAAATTGATCCAAATTCTGGTCTAAATCAAGGAAGAGCTTTATATGAACATGATGGTCCAGTTTTTAGTTCTAGATGGTCAATTGATGGTACAAAAGTTATAAGCGGTGGTGCTGATAATCAAGTTAAAATTTATGATATTCAATCTCAACAATGTCAACAAATTGGTATTCACGATAATGCTGTAAAATCTGTTAGATTTGTTGAAGTTGGTAATTCGAATCAATCTGTAGTAGCTAGTGGATCATTTGACAAAACTTTAAAATATTGGGATTTAAGGTCACCACAACCTATTTCAACTATAAATTTACCTGAAAGAGTTTATTCAATGGATAGTTCACAAAAGCTTTTAGTCATTGGTTGTGCTGATAGACATATAAGTATAATTGATTTAAATAATCCTCAACAAATTTTTAAATCTTCACAAAGTCCTTTAAAATGGCAAACAAGAGTTATTTCTTGCTATCCACAAGCAAATGGTTTTGCAATTGGTTCAATTGAAGGAAGATGTGCTATCCAATATATTTCAGATAATGAACAAAAAAAATTTGGATTTTCATTCAAATGTCACAGAAAACAAGGAAATTTATCTAATACAACTACAGCAAAACCAGTAACAGCAACTACTTCAACTTCATCAAATGAATCTAATGCATATGCTGTTAATTGTATTAGTTTTCATCCAATTTATGGGACATTTTCAACAGCTGGTTCTGATGGTACTTTTTGCTTTTGGGATAAGGATGCAAAACAAAGATTAAAATCATTTCCTGAATTACCTGGTACTATATCGGCTACTGCTTTTAATAAAAATGGTACTATTTTTGCTTATGCTGTAAGTTATGATTGGTCATTAGGTTATATGGGTAATAAATCAGATTATCCAAATTTTATAAAATTACATGCAACAAAAGATATAGAAATAAAACAAAAGAATAAAAGGTGAGTGAATGGGTTTATATAGATGTAATATAGTAAATATATTTAATGACATTGCACAAGGTAAAGTTAAAAAAAATAAATCTCTAACTTCTTAGTTTTAAAGAAATGTTTTGGTTTATGTATCTAACAAATTTCAAATATACGAAATTAAAGTACAACACTATTGATCACTTGTATATTAATGAAGTACATAAATAAGGGTAAGTCAATCGTTTGATGATTTGATCAAGAATTTAGTAAACTTATTGGATTAAACACCTTTTCGAATCCAAATCAAATATCCTAAAAATCTACTATAAAAATGCTAATAACGTCAACATTTTTTCGATCAATAAATTTAGTATTATTTATTCTATAACTTGATCCCAATTTGTTATTTCTTTCATCATTCCAATGACCCATTATATTATTGACAAATTTTTGAAATTAATTAAAATAGATTGATATTAATCTATTCTAACAAACCCCAGAAAAAGCGAGACTTCAATTTAAATTCATTGAATCCATTGATAATCTCTATAAAGACATTTCATTGATATTCTAGATAAAATGGATCATTTGAGGTAATCTCAATCAAAAGTATTTGTTATCACATCTTCTAATGATTATAATTTATAATGACAGGAACCTTCATAATTCCATATAAATGATTATGAAACATGGGCAGAATCCCCAACGTCGACATAAACCAATAAACCTCGTTAAAGCAAAAACATCTTGTAAATTGGCCTCAAATCAGGTTTGAGAATTGTCCGAATTAAAAAATGATCACATTCTTAAATTGAACAACCTAATAAAAGACAATACAATGTATTGGATCGATTGATCTGGACTGATCAAGTTGATATCGGCCAATATTGAAATAAGAATAAAGAGTCAAGCATTAATCAGCTTACCTTACCTTACCTTACCTTTATCGCTGGCCCAAAAATAATATCTGAATCAAATATCCTTCGGAAAATTCATTTTACTATACCATCAATACGTTGATTCAAATAGTAAAAATTTAATTTACTTAATGCAAAATATTCAATTACTTAATGCAAAATATTCAATTAATTTACTTAATGCAAAATGTTCAATTAATTTACTTAATGCAAAATATTCAATTAATAACTAATGATATTAATATTAAAAATATCTTTATGTTTTTAATGTCTTATTAACATTGGCCAATTTTCAATTAATATCATCATGGCTTTTTTAACCCAACAAATTGGTTATTCAATCAAATAATATGTTAGTAATTGCATTTTAATTGAGTTGGGAGTAACAATTACAGAATCGATCTTTCTGAAGATCATTCCATATAAAGACCTGCATATAATATTTCAAAGCTTTTCCAATTAGAATCCACACGGACTTTCAAATATACAGTAGGTGCCAACCAACTTCCTTCAACTAAACCAAACCAAACCAAACCAAACCAAACCAAACCAAACCATTAAGACAAACCCAAATACATTCCAACTAAATACAGATACAAAGAATTTCAAATACGCGAAACTCTCGTGCTGCAATCTTTTTAAATTTTGAATTTTTCTTTCTCCTTATTTATAGTTTTATTGTTGATTAAGGTACACTACTAAATCATATTTCTACTTTTGGTATATTACTTTTAAGTATCTGTTCTAACTTAAAGCTTTTACTGTTAACTACAAATTAAATTGAAGAGATTTGATTTAAACAGAATCATCAATAATTGGACTACTACCCAAGATCTGATCTTACAAGACAAAAAATAAATTAATTAAAGATCAATACATCATCAAATAATCAAAACCATTTTTGAATAATAGAATAATTACCCTACCCTTTGTATCCTTACATTATTGCAACAATATAAAGTAAGTACAATCAAACAAGTAACCAATTGGCAACCAATTTGCAACCAATATCCTTTTTTGCAACCAAATATCCTTTTTTGCAGCCAATATTTTTGTTGCAACCAATATTTTTTTTTGACAGCCAATGAATTTTGCGACAATAGTAATAAAAAATTGATCATTCATGCACGATGCTATAAAAAGAAAATTAGACGAAAAGAAATCAATTTTTCAATCTTTATTAATTTCTACGACACAAAGTTATATTTAAAAGATCATTATCATTATCATTAAGTTGATTTAAGATTTAAGATTTAAGATTTATCATGATTAGTTATCCTAAAAGATCTATCGATACTACACCATTCGTAAATCAATTAAACATAATAGAATCATCTAAGAATAACAATAGATTAAGTCAAAAATCATCACCTATTGTCGATCCATATTGGATTAATAGATCAAGAAAATATACTAATTTACATCATCATCAAGAACAACAACAACAACAACAACAACAACAACAACAACAACAACAAGTACAGCAACAACAACAACAACAAGTACAACAACAACAACAACAACAACAACAAAAACAAAAACAGAATAATAATGTTCAACCAACTACTATTAAAGATTCTTTATCATTTGAACCTTTTACACCAATAGTCATATCAAGTCAAAAGAATATATGGAGTTGTAATAATAATAATTCAAATAATAGTGGTAAGATGACAACTATATGGGGTTAAATATAGAATATTAAATGGGATAAGGTTAGTTAGTTAGTTGGTTAGTTTCATTTCAGTGGTTTTTTTAGATAAAAGTAACATTGTAGTTATAAATTATATTTCAAGGTTTTAATGTTGGATTTTGGATTTTGGATTTAACAAGTTATAAAGGGTATTGTTATTATTAGAGTTGGTAAATAAATACATTTCAGTATAAATAATGATATATTCTTCGCACAAATCAGCTTTTGACATTTTTACGCATACAACGTTTCAACATTGGGCCTATATCCGTACTACGAAATATTAGTCTTCGCTCTACAGGATGGGGCCTCTAGCCATCTCCGCAACCCCACCTCACCCCCACTCCCACTACCACTCCCACTACCACTCTCACTACCACTACCACTACCACTACCACTACCACTACCACTACCACTCTCACTCCAACTCCCACGCCCACTACCACTCTCACTCTCACTCTCACTCCCACTCCCACTACCATATGGTAGCGAGTTAGGTATATTATAGAAAGACAATAAAAAAAAAAAAATAATCAGCCTTACTTTAGTTCAAAAGAAATCACAACTGTCTTATTTTTTTAGATCTATTAATTAACTTATAATAAACAATAAAACTAAACATAACTATTGATAAAACTAACTTAGATTTCAAGATTTAAATTGGTCCACTTCTCTTCACAACAAATTCTCGTTTAATTAAGAAAAGAACTTTAAAACAAAAGTTACCAAAAGTTACCAAAAGTTACTTTACACTGCAATTTATTACTTTAGATCCATTAGTTTTCTTTAACCATTTCAATATGGAATCTATGAAAAAAACTGTCAAGAAAAATTAAAAATAGTCATAGATTGTCACAAATTACACGACCATATCAAAATTAATTAATTTTATAGGAAAAGACCCTTCAAAATATTATAAATTATTGGCAAATGTTTAATGATCATCATCATCATCACGCCAAACAAGAAATGAATTATCCAACCAATAAAATAATCAAATATGTTTCATTGGCTGATTTTAGAATTAACTAATAAGAGAATTCATTTAAGGAGAAAGAAATTTGAGAATAAAAAGGGGAGAAAGAAACCATAATAATTTTAACATTGATTAAGAATATATTAAAGAAAAAAAAAAAAAAAAAAAAAAGGGTCAATAAATAAATAATACTTGAATCTGATTGGTCCATGAAGCATTTATGATGATAGTGTAGTCAATAAATGGTCAATAGATGGTCAATAGATGGTCAATAGATAGTCAATAAATAGTCAATAGAACATCTATTCGCTCTTTATCACTTTATAAGTTCATATGTCTTCTTTCCTTCGTTCGCTTTTTATCAATTATTTTATCAATTTTTCAACTCGTACAACTCGTACAACTCGTACTATTGTGGTTGATAATTATTTTTTTATTTATTTGATTGTATATTTCTTGTAATTGACACGACTAACTGTTTTTCAAAAAAATCTATATACACGACCAAACAATATATTTTGTTTTTCCTATATTATAGAAATCCTTACTCGTTCTATACTTTAAAGACAAGAAAACATAGCAGATTTAATGTATCACATACATATATATAATATATTATTTATTATATATTATATATTATATATGATATATATTATTAAATCTATATTAACCTTTGATTGATCTATAATCTGGTCTTTACAGTATTAATTTTTAGCAGCCAATTTGTTGTAAAAGAAATTAAAACATTTAATTTTATATTTTTTTCCTTGATCAGAATTACACGACCTTATATATATATATATTTTTTTTTTTTTTTTTTCTTTCGATAGTAAAAAGTTTAATATCAATCAATCAATCAATCAATCAATAAATCAATCAATCAGTCATTTATAACTATAGATATATAATTAATTAATCATTATTCATATTGTTGTTCTTTTTATTAATATTTGATAATATCATACTATAGATGTCTCAAAATTGTACTCCAAATTTATATAATAAGAATACTCCCAATTCATTTGGTGATAATTCAAATAATTCAAATAACAATAATAACAATAATAATAATAATAATAATAATAATACTCATGGCACTCCCAATAATACCAATCATTTTAATAAAAGAATATCAGATTCTCATGCAATTAATGCAAAACAATTATTAAATGCTTATATTTATGATTTTTTAATTAAAAGTAAATTGGGTAGAACTGCTCAAAGTTTTGTATCAGAAGCTGATTTACCAAGTATAGAAACAACGACCTCAACAACAACAACTAATACTAATAATAATAATAGTCATAATTCACTGAAAAATTCTCCTAAAATATCTCCAAATGCCTCACCAAATAGAGATAATAATCTTCCTTCTATTTCTTTGGCTATGGATGTTCCACAGGGTTTTCTATATGAATGGTGGCAGATATTTTGGGAAGTTTTCCAATCAAAAAATACTACCATTAATAATAATAATAATAATAATAATAATAATAATAATAATAATAATAATAATAATAATAGTGATAAACCTAACTTAGCATTACAATATTATCAATTACAATTATTAAAACAAAGGCAAACTCAACAAGATTTACCACAAATTCTAAATACAAATTTAATGCAACAACAAAACCATCAAAATCATCAAAATCATCAAAGTCATCAAAATCATCAAAACCATCAAAATCATCCTCAACATCAACAAATAAATCAACAAATAAATCCAAATCATCCTCATCAACATCATCATCAAATGCAATTACAACAACAAATAAATCAACAGCAGCCACCTCATCCTCATAATCACCAAATGCATTTACAACATCATCAAATGGGTGTACCACAACCACCACCACCACCTGTACCACAACCACCACCAACTCAAATTCAACAACCACAAATTCACCTTAATCAACACCACGGAGTTCAAAATCAAATACCACAACAACAAATGTTTTTAAATCAAATGCCCCCAAATGAAAAGATGATGTATTTATTTCAAAAACAAAGACAACAACAGCAACAACAACAACAGCAACAACAACAACAACAACAACAACAACAACAACAACAACAACAACAACAACAACAGCAAGCTAACACTTCAACTCCACATATACAACAACAACAAAGTATGGATGTTATTCATCAACAACAAAAGTTGATGTCTGCTGCTGCTGCTGGAACTGCTGCTTCCAAAATACAGCAACAGGCACAACAACAAATGAGTCTGTTGCGAGCACAACAGATTCAATCTAAGGCTCCTAACGCATTAACCGAATATCAAAATCAATTGATGCATTTGGAGCAACAGAATAAAAAGAGATTAGAAAGTGCTCGCAACAGTACCCATTTGGATTTACCACCATCTCAAAAGAAAACAAGAAATAAAAGAAAACTTTCTAGTGCTGGCACTGGTGAGTTTCCATTGACTCCAGTTTCTGAACCAACAACTGAAGCTAAAAAGAAACAATTGAAGAAAGAAGATAATAAAAAAGATATAATTAAAGAAGAAGCTCCTCAAGCTCCTGTACCACCACCACCTCCACCACCACAAGCAGCACAAGCTATCACATCAAATTCAACTACTACTAATGAAATTTTTAATGTTGACTTATTAGATGGTACTTCTCAAACTTTAGCTAGCAATGGTACTAATGGTAATCCTAGTGCTGGTGGTGGATTTGAAGATATAGATTTTGATATTAATGAATTTTGGAATGATAATGGTAATACTGGAAATAATGGTAATGGTGTAGCAGGTGAAATTGAAAGTATTGGCTTTAATTGGAATGCAATTGAAAATGGAGATTGATTAAAGATAAACTAGAGAAAAAAAGATAGTAGAATTGTGTATTATAACTTGAAATAAATAATTAAATTTAATAATGTAGTTTTACCTATTTAATAAAATTGTAATATCTATTCATTCTTTTTAACTATTTCTTTATCATTTAAACTATTTTCAATTATTTTATCGAAGTTAAACCAAGATGAAATGATCAATCCAGACAAAATTGTAATTAATAATCCACTAGACCAAATAGTACTTGGAAATACAAGCCAACATGATTCATGTAATATCCAAATAGACATTCCAATAAATATATTATTAACATTTAAGTATATGATAGCTGGTAATTGAAAATTATACCAACTTAAAAATTGATAATGTAATGATCTAGCAAATAAAATACCAATCAAATTAGTTAATGTAAGTGTATAAAAAATCAAACTTGGTCCGACTTTAACATCAAGATACATATTCATGGAACTTTTCTTCTTCCATTTAAACACATCTTTGAACAATTCTAATCTTGATTTCCCAATAACTTTAGGTGACAAAAATTTACCAAAAATGAAAATTAATAAAGTTACCACATGTAATATAAGTAGTATGGTTGCAAAAATGTCTGAATTAAAAATATCTTCATTTAAAAACTTCCAATTCACTGTCCATTTATATAAAAATTTTCTACCAAAATTAAAAGCATTCTTTATGTAATTCCACCTTATTTTCTTACTCAATTCATCATTATAAAATATTAATAAGAATTTCCAACCCATTAAAACTTGAATAATTGGAATGATACTCAATATTCCAATAGTCAATAATGCATTTTCTTGAGTTAAAAAATAAGTAATAATAATGAATGCCGGTAAATATAATAATGCATTCATTTTAATACTTATTGCAATTGAATAAATATCAGCAGCTAAACCAAGGAATAAAATACGCAATTTAGGTTCTTGATTTGCTTGTTGTAATAAAATCATCATACCTAATATACAAATACTAACCCAACAATCATTAAATAAACGTAATACAAAAATTGATAATGTTCTTTTACTCAATAAAAATAAAAATATAACCCATGGTTGGACATTTAAATAACTGTATATTACACATGTAAATATAACACAAGCAACAAATAAATATCCGAATATTGATTGAGCATATTCAATTGATCCCAGGGTAAAATATCTAATCCATGAATAAATCGTCACAAAACCACCAGGATATACAATTGGTCCACTATCTCCAAATATTTTAGTATAGTCTAGTACCTTATAATCTTCAATGACTTCAATTTGTTGTAAATATGTTTTATAATCTATTTCTGTATATGAAACATAATAAATTATCACTTTAGTTATAATTGAAGATAAGCATATTATTATTGGATATATGATTATATTAGCTTGTGGATTAGTTGATAAGAATATAATACCATTGTATATATCTAATAATACGTTTTTAACAGTAAATGGAGCTAATTGTTGTTTTGGTTGTTGGTTTAATTCATTCATATTTTCATGATTAATTGCAAAATATATATATTTTTTTTTTATATATATATATTTTTTTTTCCAAACAAATGGCTGCAAATAGTCTATTGTTAATTGGAATGTACTGATTCCTCGTGTTGATGCATATACATCGCTTATATGGCTCTATAATATCATTAAATTGGGTTACTGTTGTGTTTTGGTTATTTCTCATCAATTTAGTATCAAAAAAAGGCTATATTTTTAGACTCCATGGGCTAAAGATTTACAATTTACTGAATTGAGTTTTATCAAGAGGTTTGATGTGATGCAACAAGGTTAAAAATAATCAGTTAGATTTATCGCGAAATCAGCATATTGATTTTTTGCCTACTTTCCAAATATAGCGAAAGATAATGCAGGTAAGAGTGTAGAAAGTGGATTTAAGAAGAAGAAACAGACGATGGTCAGCCATGGATTGACCAATTACAATTGGGACACCTTAAAGAGTTGTATTGGAGATAAGAATACAAAATTTAGATTTGAAGATGAAGTCAAGATTAGTTGAAGAAACAGGTGTTTTATTCAACCATTCTGCATCGAGTAGTATCAAAAACTAGATGAAAAGGAAAAAAAGATGAAAAGGAAACGGTTGAAAATTATTAGATAAGGTACATTGATCGTTACACCATCACATTAATCATTCGTTGAGAGTTTGCTAAAGATAAAATAGGCAAAACTGCAGTGTTTAAATATTCAACCATTCAAAATTGTGTTATATCGACAATTTGATGAATACGACATGATTAAAAATAATCAGGTAGAGGGATTGTTACGTGTTCCGATTAACCATCTATTGAGAATCTGTTAGACATATAAATGGCAGAATTGCTGTGTTTGGATTCAAAGATGAAGAACAAGTTTTATAAAATAATTATCGTCAATTAAAGATTGTCAATTATTTACTTGTTCAAGCTAATGATAATTTGAAAGAAACTACAGTGGCTGAATTCCAAGAAATGCTATCAAGAAATATATAATTCCGTATTATCTGGCTTAAATATATGGTAAATCAATTCAAAACCTTAGCGTCGTGATTAATTTAATTTTAAATATACTTGAATACATTTAAACCTAAGCGTCATGATTAATATTTAATCAATTTCAATTTCAAGATGTTTAGAAAACCAAAATATCATTTGTTTTCTTAAAAATTTTGAAAAAAATACGAGTAATGACTTACTAATTTAGCAATTGAACTTAATAAAAAAGCTCCAACGCCAACCTTCAATGACTTTTTTGAGGGGAAAACAAATACTGATAATCTTAGGTGGGAAAAATCACATTTGTTGAAGATTATGATATTCTTTGGTGGAAATTATCATATTATAATTACCCATTGTTGCAAAATAATTATTGATTATCAATTGTTTCAGAATAATTATTAATTTTCATTGAAGTTCCGCTAATTCACATTTTTCCATTGATTTTGAGTGTTCTAACCTCTTTCACTGACACAATTATAATGTTGATCCAAAAAGAAAAGTGGTAAAATTTTGAAATTTTATTTTTGTTTATATTTAGGAGCTTATGTACTAAAATTTCCTCTTATTAAATTTTTTAATTATATCACGTTTTCTAATTTTGCATTCTCTTGAAATTTCTGAACGTTTAGACCAAAACCAATTCTCAAATCCAGATTCACCTGAATCTTTATTGTCTAATTCTGGTAATTGAATCTTGTCTTCACTAGAACCAATTTTTGATAATTGAGATTGAGTAATCAAAAAAGGCGAATTTGAATGATACCAAAATAATCCAAATTTATTAGCATTAATAGGAATAGTTTCAACTATCTTTTCTTCTTGTTTTTTATTTATTGGTTGTTCTTCCATTATATTCTTAAACTCGTCTATATCTTCATCATCTGAAGATAAAGCTAATTTAAAACCATTTGAAGATTCATTTAATAAAGATCGAAGATTTTCAGTGTTTGATTGTGTATCCTCTTTTGATTGTTCTTCTACTTCTTTTATTTCTTCTTTATGTTCTTGTTCATAATTTTTAATAATTGATTCAGTTGTAAAATTTTCATTTATATTTTCAATTTCATTACCTTCATCATCTTCATCATAATATACTTCCTTAATTGGATTTTGTAATTCTAATTTAGATTTGGATATAATTTCATCTGGATTATCAACAGTTTCAAAAGCTCTATCATTTTCTTCATTTTCTTCTTCTAGTTCTTCTTCATCATCACTTAATTTCATAGGTTTATCAAAATCAAATTTATTCAACACTGAAGCCAATACTGATTTATTCTTATTCAATTCATCTAAGATCTCATCATCAATGATCTCCTTTTCATCTTTATGTATTAAATTTGCTCCATATTCAATTGCTTGTTTTCCTGACATATTACATTTTTCTACTACATGATTATTTCCACTTAACCATTCACCATTACTATATCTATATGATAAATCATCAAAATTGACTTTCTGATCCACTCCCCATAATTTAGTCTTGTAAAATTTGTCAACCTTTATTAAATCACCATTAATTAAAATTCGTAAACTTTGATTCTTTAAATTTGGACCTTTACGTGGTGCTTTTCTATGTGTTCCTTTGATAACTTGACCCTTACCTGAAGTGTACTTAAAATTTGAATCTAAAGTAGCTCCATAAGAATTTAAACCACTGAGTCTTTTTTTGGGTATTGATAATTTTGTATTACCACTTGTATTATTAAATGTATGTTCTGAAAGTGAAATAATTGAAGATTGTAAAGGAGTGGTAACTATATTTTTAGTAAATCTATTAGCAGGATATGTAGTATGATATTCTTCAATCTTTTCCAATCTTGACTTATTCACTTTATCTTGTATAATTTGTTCTTTATCTTCTACTTCCTCTTTTATCCTCTTTTTATAACTAACCTTTTTTGCTTTACTTATGTTTAGTTTCATACCCATAAACATAACTCCATTTAGACTTTTCTTTAAATTTTCAAATTGTGAATCAGTTGCAAAAATATTTAAATAAGCGAAATATTTATATTGTAAAGGTTTTGTATGAATTTCTAATTCATTTTCAACTTTAATACCCAATTTCTCTATTCTTGATATAAGTGACTCTGGTTTCTCTTTCAAATTTGGTGATATATTCGATATATGAATTCGTATTTTTGACATGGCCATAAATTTGATCTGATATAATTTTTTTTTTTTTTTTTTAGTGATGGATGAAACAATTGATAAAATATGGTTAAAGAATTACGAAAAGTATTGTTTAGAAAATGGTTTAAATGCTGAAGAAATAGTGAAAAAGGAAAGAATAATTGGTGATAATCAATTTAATATTGATATTGGTAAAGAAATACCCAAATTAAATGGATTAATTCAAAATCAAAATAATAAATATGAGTTGCAAAATGAATTGAAACAACTTATTATGAAATTTTATTGGGCTGGGTATCAATTGAGAAAAGATTCGGAGACGGGAAGAGTTGAAAAAAGTGTGGGAGAAGAATGAAATTGAGCTGTATCTGGTTTGGTTTAACATTGAATACGAAAATTTGAAATTGAGCTGTATCTGGTTTGGTTTAACATTGAATTCGAAAATTTGAAATTGAGCTGTATCTGGTTTGGTTTAACATTGAATACGAACATTTTCGGAGTTGATTAATGTTTCAGATTTCCTTTACTTGTGATTTGGCTGCTAATTTTTTTTATGGTTACCAGGTTAACAAGTTACTAGATTGACTAGTGGTCCTTGTTTCAAATTTTCCTCACCGTTTAAAATAAAAGGGTCGTCATTGATGTATTTAATGCTTTGACAATGCTTTGACGTATAATACTTATTTGCTTAATGCGTCTACACTCAGTATGAATTTACGAGTTAACGAGTTAACGAGTTCTAATTAATTTTCATCTTATGAATAAATATACTAAATATATAATGTCTAAATTTAAATCTTAATATTGAAAACAATAATTATTCTTATGGTTGTGCTTTCCACATATCTTCTAAACCCATAAGTGAAGTTAAAACACCAGCTAAACCAATATCACCTTCGGTGAAATGTAAAATATCCAAAGTATTTAAAGCAATAAAAGCATCCAAAGCATCCCAAATTAATTTTCTCTTCGCAGAATATAATTTATTTTGAATTTGTTTATAATCAACTTGTTCTTTTTCATCTTTAACTGAAGATTCATAATTATTTAATGAATAAATAATTCTTAAAGAATTTATAATACCTGCAACTAAACCAATTAACCAAAATCTACTTGCATATGTAGCTAAATTTGGCCATTTTTTACTATCAATTACACCCAACATTTTAAAAAATATAATTCCATCAAGTGTTAAATAACCAGCATAACCTAAATTTCTAACAACTGTAGTTATTTGCAAAATTGGATCCATTAATTTATTATCAAAAGTTTTAGCAACAGTTTGCAAATGATTAACAGGTTTAAAGAATCTCATACCTTTTCTAATAAAACTAAATTGATTTTTTAAACTTTTAAACATATTTACAATATCAGCATTATAACCTTTTTTATAAGTATAAAATGATAAAAATCTCGATAAATAAGCTAATAATCTAAAAGTTTTTTCTCTTTGAGGCGTCGAATCCCAAAATCTAACTAATTTAGATAAAGTTGGATGATAAATAAGTGCATCAGCGACCATGGTGAAAAATCTATAATATAATTGTTGTTGTTGATAACGGTGTCAAAATATCAAATTCTCTCTTAAAAAAAAAAACCTGAAAAACCGCTGAAATGAAAACTGAGATTATTTAATTATTTAATTAACAATTTCAAATTATTACCAACTTTCAATTACGAATTATAATCTAATTGATTGGGTTTGGTTTTCTTGTGAAAGTAATAAAAGAATTTTTTTTGTTCAACGCAATAAATTTCCTTAACAAATTTTAGTGTGGGGCGTGGAAACATGGATAACATTTTATAGCGTATTATACTATTATAGTAATGCGGCTTGTTTTTTCGCTACCATTTGAATATAGAAATTTCAATTAAAGCCAAACATTCACATCAAAAAAGAGCAGTCATGTACCATATAAAGAGTCAAACTTTTATAACTCTATAGATGTTAATTTTTACTCTAGATTTTCAAGTTCATCATCGTAAACATATTCCTAATTGGTAAATTCAGTCTCAAAATTTTTATTATTCACATACACTTATAAAAAATTAAGCGCGCATAATTGAAAGATGCACCAATGAAAGATAATAATATAATAATAAATGGTTATAAGGAAGTTAATTAAAAAACTATATCTATTAGATTCAATTGTGATGTCATTAATAGTGATAGCAAAGAAGTTAGAGACGATATTTTGATACACAAATGCAATTCCATCGTTTGTATTCCATGTAGTGACGAAATTAACGTTTCGAATCAATAATTGGCCTCGGTGATAAATTTTAGATTTTTTTTTTTTTTTTTTTATTTTATTTTTTTTTTTTTTTTTTTTTTTTTTTTTGTTTTTTTTTTTTTTTTTTGGCTGCAAAATTATTTTTAAGCGGTAAAGATTACGAAAATTTTGTTTACATCGATTTAGAGTCAATTATATACATTTATTGCGCATGAGATGAGCAGTTTAAGATTAGAGACGTTCCAATAAACATTTTTCTTGATTCAAATCTACAACAATGTCAAAATAAAGTAGATATCAACTGAACTTCATTCATTAAACCAATAAAACTTTGTATTATACATCCATTAATTAACTTACATCCATTAATTAACTAACTTCCATTAATTAACTAACATCCATTAATTAACTTACATCCATTAATTAACTGACATCCATTAATTAATCTACATCCATTAACTAACTAACATCCATTAATTAACTGACATCCATTAATTAACTTACATCATTGTTCGTTGACAAAAGGAATTCATATGCTTGTCTATATTCTTTTTTTTCATTATTGTTGATCTTTTGCCATTGCTTGTTTATTTCATCTAATCTCAAACCTTCTTCATTTAATTTAACATGTTTGAAATATTTGTAAACATCATCTTCAGATAAATGTCCTAACACTTTAACAATACCATCCTTCGCAATTTTCCTATACTCATTATTCCTTTTCAAAAATAATGATTTCTTATTAACAATTCGTAATTTTAGTAATTTCTGGACTTTTTCATTATTTTTGATCTTCTCAGATATTGACACTTCTTTCCCATACAACAAATCCTTACCACTTTTCAATAATGCTAAATACTCGTCTCCAATTTTCTTTCTATCTTCCTTGTTCATCATTTCCCATTCATTTTCAATTTCAACTATTGTTTTATATGGTAATTGTTTTCCCATGTAATAATTATAGTAATACCACTCGTTCAAGGGTTTTAATATCTCTATTTTATCTGTTTCAGAATCTACTATGTATGGAATTGGTAATACTTCAGGTATTGCACTTGTTGAAAGTTCTGTAATGTAAACTTGTCCAAAAATTTCCACTATGTATTTCTTCCTTATTGAATTTGAAAGTTTAAAATGTTTATTTGATATTATATTATGAATTTTGTCCTGAATTGAAACCAACTCACCCAAATATATATCATTTCCTGATTTTAATAAGTCTATGTATTCTTGTAGGAGCGCTTGTTTATCTTTCTTTTTTAATTTGTTCCAATTAAGTAGGTTACTTTTATATTTTGCAATATAGTAATCTAGAGCATCTTGTTCATCTATATTTTGAATTATAGGTAGTATGTAACCTGATGTTGAGTTTATAATATATTTTGGAGTTGAATATCTATCCCGGTTAAATTCAAACTTGATTGGATGTCGATAAATCAAAGATCGGATAGTTTTATTAATAATTTTGAAGCTTTCTAACTTGCCTTGTAAATAATAATGACCACTTTCGATAACATTTGAAACTTCATTCGATAACTGAGCTTTATCTAAATCAATATATTCTTTCTCTATAATTTTCATCTTTTCTGAAAATAAAGACTCATCATAACTCATGTCATTTAATCTTTTAGCCAAGTAGTAATTCCAAATATAATACTCATCTATATCTCTAACTTCACATTTACCAGTATTTATATTAATTTTCAAGTCCAAATTAGGAATCTTCCGCTCCACTTTATATTGATTTGGTGGTAGATTCAAACCAATGACATTATTATATTTAAATTTTGCAAATTTGTTACCTATTATATCTTCACCTTTTGAAACATGATCAATTAATTCGAATTTTAGCCTCTCTCGTTCCTCCAATGTTAGACTATTATGAAATTGTTTATTTGAACCATTATATTTATACTTGAAGTAATTTAAAAGGTTAGTTTGGGTTGGTGAACATTTATTAAAGTATACATTTTGTATAATTGAACGACAATATTGAACACGACTAGCATTATCTGAAATCAATTCCGATTTCAACTCATTATCAAATTCAACTTCAGGAGTAGGTAATTCTAGTTTAACACTAACTATTTCATTAATTATATTAATCAAATTCCTTCGTAATTCTAGTTTAAATTTATTTGATTTTTTGGCATAAACTGAGTCAAAACCATTTCTATATTTCTGTTTATTTTCTTCCAATTCATATTCTGATTGTTTAATTAGCATGTAATATTTCTTTATATCTTCATTTGTTAATTTAAGCCTAGGGTTTACTTTATACGAGCACCATCTTCTAAACATATAAATTTACTAAAACGAGAAGTGAAAAAAGTGAAAAATGTGAAAAATTATTACCCTGCGATTACAATACTTATGATTACACAATTATATACTAGACTACGATGTAGTCGATATAACCATAACATTAGATTCATCACATACAAACCATCTAGAATGTTTACAGAGCAGGAGAAACAAATACATAAAATTAATCAATCATATATTGCAGAGTTAACTTCCAATTTTCAAAAATATAAAAATCAAACAATGGTAGTCTATGTAAATGATCAATGGTGTTTATTTCCAAAATCACCAGATGGATCAAAAGAGATAAATAAATTCATTGTTTCAGAAACAGAGGGTAAAGTTTTTTCATCTCATGAAGAACTTCAAAAATTTGTATTTGATATCTTTATATATAATTATGCTTATCCATATAAGGAGAAGATCAGTATTGAACCTATTTCAAACTCGTTAATATCAACTTATCCAAATATGGGAGCTACTGATGAAGAATACGAAGAGTATAAATTAAAAGAAAAGAATGAAACATTATTATTAATGAAAAATATGGGACTAATTACTAAGTTAAAAAGAGATGAACGTGTAATACCTCATTTTTTCAAATTTGATAAAGAAAAGAATAATTGGCAAGTATTGGGGATATTAAATTATCATCAAGTTATAAGATATCTTAGTTTTTTCGATGGTGAAAACAGTATTAAACAAGCTAAAGTTAAATTTGCAAATATGACATTTAAAGAAAAGTTAGAAGTAGAACAAAAGGTTGTTGAATTTTTAAAAACTGGGAAATTATTGCATAATAAGAAAATCATAAATTTGGAAGATAAATTTAGACCTAGTAAAAAGGACAAGTATGAAGGTTGGCATAAATTGGCTAAATCGTTGTAAATAGGGTTAATAGGTAATATAAAGAACAGATTTTGATGGAGATTTATAATTTTATTCTCAGGTGAAAGCTAAAAAAGTTCCTAAATTGAATTGTAAAGTAATTGTTGAACAAATTATGATGATTATATTTTGCAACCATTTTTTTTTGTTTGCAAATAATTAGATCTAAGATTGAAATTTGAGATCTCGAATATTTTGTTCAATTTTGATTTTAATGAAACGTCTCATATAATTAATACTCAGCTCTACCACCTCTATTCAGTTAACTAGTCGTCATATAAAAATTAGAAATTTATTAAAATTTTCGTTTCATATTAAAAAATTTGACCACTCAGTGTATAAATTTGTCAAATCAGAGAATTGTATTTCAAAGGCCATATATTCAGTAAATCAAATGAGAGTTTGTTGAAATATATTAAATTGGTAAAAAAAGATTTAAATTTTCAGAATGTCAAAAAATTTTTAAGAGATGTAGAAACTACAATTAATGTTTCAAGAGTGACATTAAAGACTTTAGTTAAAATCATAATTGAAAAATCTCTCACGTAAAGTTCATTAAGGATTATGTTAAAATTATAGTAGCAGTAAACTTTATTAGATTGAAGAAAAGCAGTTCCATCAACAGTTCAATCTCAAATATAACAAGAAGCAAGAATTGATGAACCAGATATTACAAATTTTACAAATGATATACTTGATGAAATTCCTGAAGATTTATGTCATTTTGATGTGATCATGATTCATATTATTCAAAAATTATTAGAAATTTATGATAAGGATGGATTTTATCTAGTAGAATTTAGTCAAGAATTATAAAGAATATTAATGACAATTCTTATCGTAAAAATCTTCAGTTTGGTCCAACTTTATCGTAAATTTATTTTTTGCAACTAAATCTTGGCGTATAATCAATATACGAGTAAATTAATTTTTTGGCCAATTTTTGATTGTTGAATAAAATGATTAAAATTATGTTTTATCAAAAAAATCTAACTTTAGTTTAATCAGAGTGTTTGATCTTTTCAATCAACTATCTTTGACAACGAGAACATAAATATTGAAGGAGTTATTTACACATTAAATTACGAGGTTACCACTGTAGGACTGCATATAATCGAATTTGTTGGAAAATTTTCTATCTGAAAAAAAGCAATCGACCTGCGCGAAACGAAAACACGGCCAGAAAATTTTTAAACGAAGGCGACAGCTAGTATTATTTAACGAGCGAATTTTAGACAGCATTGCTACCAGGCTTATCAATTTACAAAATTATAAAGTTTTCAACTAAAATTAGATAGCAATTTTTACCTATAATATAAGCCTTGGAAGCACGTATAAGTTATTACAGAATCTACGGTACGTATTTGTATATATGTTTTAGTAATACTCAAAATGTGTACATGATATGATGTCTGATGGATGGGGGGTAAAAACAAATTTTTTCGTACTAGCCTTGAGGGCCTTGAGGCGACCTCGTATTACGTGTATTGACTTATTTTCTTGAAAAACGCAGTTGCTGGAGATAAAAGTTATTTAAGTGACTCCATATATCTATGTTTCTGTACCATTTTATGTGTAAAATCTTAAAGTTCAAAATTTTTTTTTTTTTTTCGATTTATAATATTGGCACTTTTTCACCATACAAAATTTTTCGAAAAATAGAATGCAATGTAGTTTTCAATTTACAACCATAACTCTCAATTGAGCGAGTAATTATAGGTGCTATAGCTCAAATTAAGGTTCTGAACACAATTCGAATCGAAGGGAACTAAAATTGAGAAATTCAAAATTTTCTCTTAAGTATGGGGAAAATCGAATAAACTTACTTTCAAAAAAAAAAAAAAACTAACTCCGCAACTTAAATTGTAATTGAAATATAATAAAGCTATTCAAATTTATAGATCCTATACGCTGATAAATCTTAAAGTTTACCGTGGCAAAGTGTTAAAAAATGGAATAGATGGAATAAATGGAATATTATTTTTACTATAATAGTACTACATAAAAGGAAACTTGTTTCAGATTTGTTCTTTTTTTTTTTCTACTGTAGATGGGGATTTATACTGTATTTCTAATGCAATAGATCGGCGCGACAGAATATTCTTTAGGGCAGACATTAGTGCCATATCGTACTACAGAATATTCTTTAGGGCTGTCTTTAAGGCCATATCGTACTACATATGTTTAACTATCAAATTACATTATGAAACCGAATAACTATTAGAATCCTAAAATTCATACAAGGTGTAAATACAAAAAAACCAAATTTTACAAACGAAGCCTTCGAACATATCTTTTACTAAATTTTCGTCAAATAATCAGGCTAATGAGAACCAGTTCTCCATTAAAACTTAGATTTAAAATCTAGAAATCTAAACATTTGATTTTGGCTGCGAAATCTCTACCAAAAAAAAAAAAATCAATAAAAGCGCAAAATGTATTAAGCGCAAAATCTATTAAGCGCTCTACTAATAAATACCGAAATCTTCTAAGTTATGATGAGATGAATCTTAAATTTTAACCCCCACTAAATATACAAATTGGTATTACATGCATATAATTTTCGTAATGATTAAAAAAGAGAAAAGAAACTAAAACCTAATTTGTCTAATCTAATCATTAGGTTATGAGATCCCATGTAATCCGATGATGATGAAAGAAAAAATAATAATGCCTCTCTTTTTGGTTGGGTCTCTGGGTCTCTGGGTCTCTGGGTCTCTGGGTCTCTGAATCTCTATAAACAATATATCAATAATCATAGTTGTATGTAAATTAAACAGTGATAATTAATAAAGGTTAGAGTGGCTAATAATAGAATAAACTTTTAGACTAATTATAAATAAGGTTTCAAGTAGAACAGTCAAGAACGGTCATTGTAAACTCCAGTTATATGATTTTTCTTGTTGATTGACAATATTATATTCTCATCAATTACTACGAAAATTGCAACCTGATACAAATAAATAGTTCTTAGTAAATAGTTCTTAGTTCTTAGTTCTCAGTTCTGAGTTCTGAGTTCTTAGTTCGCAGTTCTTTGATAATAATAATTTGTATATAAAATAAAAAATAGCAAATTTCACTACGAAAATAAAAATAAAATAAAAAAAAAAAATAAAAAAAAAGAATCGAAAAAAATCAAAAATCAAAAGATTAACATTTACAACCAATTTGCCATTCCATTCTTTATTTATTGATTATTATTGTTTTAGACTATATTTATTAGTCACAGTATATTATTAACTTGATATTATAGCTAAATATTTGTCATCTTTCATTAGTATCAAATTTTGAAGGAGTAGTGATCCCTTACGCTTAATGAATCATTAACAAGATCTTATCATGCAATCACCTTTATTCCCTCCACTGCAGCTAACAAATAACCAAACTTCTGAATGTTCAATATTTATTCCACAATTACCTTCTACAAAACCTCAAATTAGTACTTCTTCTTTGCAATGTTACATAATACCAAGTGAACAAAATTTATTTGTTCAAGGTTTTGAGTCATTTGAATATTTAAATAGACCGCCTACTTTATTAAGAGGATGTTTATGTTTAAAGATATTAAAGCCGACTAAAATTAAATCAATAGTTTTAACTTTTAAAGGAATGCAAAAAACTGATTGGCCCGAAGGTATACCACCAAAGAAAAATGTATATAATGAAATTAATGATGTTATAACCCATACATGGCCATTTTTCCAATCAAGTAGTGTAAATACAAATAAAGAAAATAATGGTGCTGATTTTTTTATAGGTAGTAATAATGGTAATGGTAATAATAATGGTAATGGTAATGGTGTTCATGATTCTGATCTTTTATCAGTTGTTAGATCAAATACTCCACCTCCAGTATCAAATAATCAAGATAATTTCTTTACAAGAAATTTAAGTCCTAGTTTTATAAAAAGATCGAAATCTCCATCAATTTCTTCAGGTAATGGTGATAATTCGTCTACTTTTTCTGATTTAACTGCTATAGTGAGTCCCAATAATAATAGCGGTTCAGGTTCTGGTTCTGGTTCTGATTCAAATATGCAATTTTTACCTGGTGATTATATTTATAATTTCGAACATCCTTTACCTTCTTCAATACCTGAATCTTGTGAAGTTACTTTTGGTACTACATATTATCATTTAGAATGTAATATAAATCGACCAGGGACTTTTAAATCAAATTTACTGGGGAAATTACCTATTAATATCATAAGAACTCCATCAGAATTAAATTTAGAAGAAAATGAATCTATCGTAATTAGTAGAGATTGGGAAGATCAAATTAAATATGATATTGTAATTGGTGCAAAATCTGTTGTTTTGGATTCTTATTTACCTTTAGCATTTAGATTTGTTCCTCTTTATGGCAAAGTTGCATTACATAGAATTCGAATTTATTTGACCGAAATTTTGGAATATTATTGTTGTAATAAAAAAGTTCATAGAATGGAACCAAGTAAGAAATTTTTATTATTAGAACATAAAGCTAAAAAAGGTAGATCTTTATTTCAAAAAAATCCTCAAGATGATTCAAATATTGGTTTAGATCAATATGATGAAGATATTTTACCAAAAGAATTAGAATTTCAATTATTTGTACCAAGAGAATTAAATGGTAAAACAAATGCAAAAATACATCCTGATACAAGTTATGAAAATATCCAAGCTCATCATTGGATTAAAATATGTCTTAGAATTTCTAAAATTGATCCAGAAAATCCTGAGAAGAGGAAACATTATGAAATTTCAATTGATTCTCCATTACATGTTTTAAATCCATTAGCAGCTCATAATAATACTTTATTACCAGCATATGATGATTTAGTACAACAACAACAACTACAACAACCAATGAATGTACCACTACAAGATTTTCCATTATCTCCAGGTGTTACACCTATAGAACATACAAATAATAATAGTACCACTAATATTCGTGGATTATTCAATAGAAGTAGATCAACATCAAATCCAAATAGTGAATTTCCTGAAAGATCTTTATCACCAATTGAATTTCATCATATTAATTCTATAGATAATGCAGTTGAAAGAGATGGTGATATGCATTTAGAAGCAAATTTATATAAACCAAAAGATGAAGCATCAATTACAGTTATTAATTCACCACAAGCTCAACCTCATCCAGATACATTTATAAACAGTCCAATTCAGAGACCAATTCATTTAATTAGAAAACCTTCAACAAATCCACCAACATTTGAAATGGCATCTCAATCAAAACCAATAAATCCTCCAGCATATGAAGAAACAAATTCAAATCATTTAGAAGTACATCATCATAATCATCATAATTCATTAAGTTTATCACCATTAAGAATAGACGATCCTTCAATAGATGAAACAACTACAAATACAAATAACAGTACTAGTAATTCATTAAGTCTTGAACCAAATGGGACAGTTCGTGATTTGTTAATTAAACAATTGAATGGTGGATCAAGTAATAATAATTTAAAAACACCAATTCATTCAAATGGTCATTCAAGAACACCATCTCACTCAAATAGATCAAGAAGAGCATCATTATCACCGATTCCACAACCATCTCATTCACAACCATCTCATTCACAACCATCTCATCCACAACCATCTCATCCACAACCATCTCATTCACAACCATCTCATTCACAACCAACGGTCATAATTCAACCTCCACAACAAGATATTTCAGATATACCTATTCCACTATCTCCTAAATCTCCTAAAAAACGTAATTCACATTCAAGAAATTCATCAATATCATCAATGAATTCAAATGAAGAATTACCAATAGAATATACTATGCCATTATTGAATCTTTCAGAAACATCATTAAATCAACCACAACAACCACAACAACCATATAATAGTAATAGAAATCAATCAGTTAGTTCTTCAATTTATGATTTATCTTATAAGAAATCAATTACGAAACCAATTGGATTTGTAGAAGAGGATATAAATACATCATTAAATCAATTAAGAAATCCAAAATTGAAAAAACATTATCAAATAAATAATGAAGAAAGTACAAAAGTTTTAAGAACCAAGAGTATTGGAGTTGTTAATAATTTTGAAACTGATGATTATATTGAAGGTCAAAGTAGTTTAAGTTCAAATGAAGAATCAACAAATACAAATGAAAATGGTGGGAATGAAATACCGGGATTTAATATTGGTTATATAATGTAGGAATATAATACATATACAATTATTTTTTTGGTTAATGAGATAAAACCAACTCTATTATTAAAGTTTTAATCTAAATCTATTCAATCTTAGTAGAACTGCATATAGAAACGGTTGCAACGACTTTTTGGCTAAACCTGAAACCAATCCAAACCATCTAAAAAATAATAAACCTCTACATATGAACATATGGGTATGGTCTTCGAATACTCTACTTAAATGTGAGTGGTATTTGTATGGGACATATAGCTTCAAGCTTAGTATGTATCGAGATTTTAAAATTTTCAGTACTTATTTTTCAATTGTCTTGATTAGTTTGAAGTCAAGTCGAATACAGATGCAAGACAAATTTATTTATTGATCTATTTCATTAAACTAACCTTTCTTAAGTTAGCAATGTCATCCAAAATAATTGGATATTTTCATCTCTTCAAAGGCTTTAAAATGCTGGTTTATTAACTAAGCGCCATATATCAATACAATCAAACATTGCGTTGCATTGCAATGAAGAATTCTTATCGTAATTTTTGAAAAGGAATTATCAAATTTGAAATCAACAGATTTAACAATTCAATCCTAAAAATAGTTTGACATCGATATTCCAAAAACTCAAATAAAACTCGAGAAAGTTATCAAAATACTTGACTAGCCTATAAATATCAACCGATTCTATACAACTTTCTATACAACTATACACGAATATATACAACTGACGAACTATTTCGTTTCGGATTCAGACAATTAGAATTCATCCACACGTTGAAATCTGATAATGAATCAAAGTTTCTATATTCTTTTATGGCCAACTTATTCAAGTAAAAAAATTTTAAATGGAAAATTCTCTTTCTTTAAATACTTTTCAGAATTGCTTGCTGATTATGTTACCTACAAGTATTGGGCATAGAATTATAAACTTGAACAATCCTTAGATTTTCACCGGAGTTATATCAAGATATTAGTCTCAATTATTATAATTTCAAACTTTTTATGTATATATTATTATATTGTTATTCTTAATTACTTTCTTTTTTCATCAATTAATTCGCCCTTTTCATTCAATTGTAAATCACCTAACCATTCAAAAAATACACCTAAATCTCTGTTAGCAATATCTTCTCTTTCACAAGCTTTATCATACCAATATTGACCAATTTCACCAAGGAATAAAAATCTATCTTTTGATTTTGCTGATTGTGTAGCTAATGTAACATCTTTTCTTGTTAATTTTGTAATAAAACCACCTTTATAACCAACATCAGCAGGTAAATTATTTTCAGGGTAAACACCAGGAATTGGACAATTATCTACTGAAGCCCAAGATTTACCAGTTGAAACAGCAACTAATTTAGCATAATTTTGTAAATTTAAACCAAAAGCTTTTGCCAATTGAAAAGAATCAGCAACTGCAATATTTGTAATAGCTAATAAATAATTATTTGATAATTTTGCAGCTAAACCAGTACCATGTTTTGAACCACATGGGAAGATATTTTTACCCATTTTATTTAATAAAATAACTAAAGATGGAGAAATATCATTTATTGAATCCCTTGATAACATAAATGATAAAGTAGCTTTTCTTGCACCCGCAACACCACCAGAAACTGGAGCATCTATAAAATCAAATTCTGGAATTTCTGTTTTAACAAATTCATGAATTTCTGTTGAAGTTGGAATATCAATAGTTGAAGAATCTATAAATGTAGTTGGTATTTGATTATTATAACCATTTTTTTTGTATGATTCAACTAATTCTTTTACAACTGATTTAACATGTTTACCTTCTGGAACCATAGTTATAATAAAATCTAATTGTTTATTATCAATTTTGGAATTATTGGTGAAATCTTGTAATGAATTTAAACCTTTTAATTGTGAAGAATTTGTTGGTTTATTTTCAGTTACATTTTTTATAAAATTTGTCGTACAACTTGCAACTGTATCATAAACATATAATTTATCATTAGACTCTAAATTATCATATATATGCCTTGCCATATGTTGACCCATTTGACCCAAACCAATGAAACCATAGTTGGTTAAACATTTTGAAGATAAGGAAAATGAACGAATAGATAATCTTAACATGAGAAATTAATATTTTTTACTTAACTATGGAAACCTTGAAAACCTTGAAAACCTTGAAAAATTATTGAAAAATAATTGAATAATAAATGAAAAATATATATAAAAATTAAGGGAATAATAAACTCTATTTATAGTTCTTAGATTTTATTTTCGTCAAAGAAAAAATTACTAAATTATTTTATAAGAGATCGGTTATGTATAATTTATTGATATTATACTTCTAAGGGTATGAACCAATGATATATATATACATATATACATAGACGCTAGTCCACCCCTCCTTTTGTCGTTGTTTTAGTTTAGCTCTAACAGTTTTCTCTACTACGATTTGTTCAGTTTGAAACAAATTGTTGTCAAAAAATTTTCACTATTGATTTACTGTTTCAAGTGAATGTGATATAATATATAGTTAAAAGTTGATTTACTAACCAATTGAAATTATATTGCAACCATTTCTGTTTAATTGAACACTGAATTTACTTTGAACTGGTCAATTATAATAGAATATTAGTTGATGGAATGTTAGCTCCACGGTAACTCTCAGTTTTTAATATATTTCCCCCCAGATTTGAATTACAAGTAAAAGCTTAAATTAAATTCCGATTAATACCATTAAATTCAAAATACATATATATATATGTTTATATATTATTGAGATAACCGAGATTCAAATCAAGTAATATAAAAAGTCATGTACCTAATATTATTTACTAGTATTATTATATCCATGGAAACCCACTGGACAAATCTCCACAATTCAAATTAGCGCTTCTTTTCTCACAAGGGATTTTAGAACTTTTCAAATTTACGAGACGATGTCAAATTTTTGTAATTGATACACTACTTATGATTAAAATGGTAATTAATCCCGAGAGCGATAAATGTAAGCCGGAAGCGCTTTAAAACGTAGGGTGAAAAATATGCATTGCGGTAAATTTGTGCGAGAATTGAAGGTGTTATTTTATAGTGTCAGATTATTAGTATTGGTACAAACTTGTAAAGATTGTATACGTTATTTATGTAATTTATGTAATTCATGTAATTCATGTAATTCATGTAATTCATGTAATTCATGTAAAGCCTGTCTTTAGGTAGATGTAAGTAACAAAATTATTCCTGTGTCACTTGTCACTTGTCACTTGTCACTTTAATTAATATGTTGAATTTAGATTTTCATAGAATCATTCAACACGATTCTTTTAATAACTTACCTATACCATTCTTTAATATAATGCGATCAATTGGTGCGACAGAACTATTTTTCGTGCAAAAGCTAAAGCGACCATGTAATTCATGTAAAGCCTATCTGTAAGTAACAAAATTATTCTTGTGTCAATTGTCACTTGTCACTTGTCACTTTAATTAATATGTTGAATTTAGATTTTCATAGAATCATTCAACACGATTCTTTTTATAACATACTTATACCGCCATTCTTTAATATAATGCGATCAATTGGTGCGACAGAATTATTTTTCCCGCAAAAGCTAAAGCGACCCCGACCTATAAGGATATTGGCTTATATCTCTTTATCAATACATTTTTTTTTTTCGTTATAAAAATCCACTTAATCGAAATTGAAAGCCTAATTTAGCCTTAGACGAGATTTGATGTGTATAAAATAATAACGACTTTATAAACTTTATAACTTGCAACCATTATTTTCAAAACAATACACAAATCTAAGTCTGTGGATGAAATATAATTGAATCGAGATGGAAAAAAAAAAAAATTATAATTATCAAATCATTAGCCATGTCAGAAGAATAAACAACGAAATAAACATATATTAAAAACAATTTAAAAATAAAAAATTATCTCTCTCTTCAGATTGCTTTTGTCTTCTTTAGACAGCTAATGGGAATGAACCAGCCCATTGTGAAATTTCTTCTTTAACTTGACTTAATTTTTCATCATTACCATTTAATACAGCATTCTTGAAATCTTTCAATTTGTTGGCATCTTTTGGTAAATTTGCTTGTAAATCTTTTGCATAATTAACTGCAAAATCTATATAATTAACAATTTTTTTAAAATCTTCTTCACCTAAGCCTCTTGTAGTCATTGCTGGAGCACCAATTCTGACACCTCCTGGAACTAAAGCTGATTTATCACCAGGAATTGAATTTTTATTCAAAGCAATATTGATTTTTTCACAAACAGTTTCAACTCTTGCACCATCAATTTGTTTATCTTTTAATGAAACTAAAACCATATGAGAATCAGTACCATCTGAAACTAATTTATAACCTTTATTTTTAAATTCGGTTTCCAATGCTTTACCATTTTTCAAAACTTGTTCTTGATATTCTTTAAATTCTGGTGTTGAAGCTTGTTTTAAAGCTGCTGCTAAAGCTGCAATTGTATGATTATGTGGACCACCTTGATGACCAGGGAAAACTGAAAAATTAATTGGATTTTCTAAATCATATAAAATTTCTTGACCAGTTTTTGGATTAATTGATCTAACACCTCTTCTAAAAAAAATCATAGCACCTCTTGGACCTCTTAAAGATTTATGAGTAGTAGTTGTAACAATATCAGCATATTCAAAAGGTGATGGAATAACACCGGCAGCAATTAAACCTGAAATATGTGCCATATCAACAACTAAATAAGCTCCAACTTTATCTGCAATTTCTCTCATTTTTTTATAATCAATTAATCTACAATAAGCAGAAGTACCAGCAACTAATACTTTTGGTCTAAATAAAACAGCAGTTTTTTCCAACATATCATAATCAATTAATCCACTTTCTAAATCAACTCTATATGGCATAGTCTCAAAATAAGTTGAAACTGCTGAAATTTTTCTTGAATCTGTTTGATAACCATGAGATAAATGACCACCATGAGGTAAATCTAAACCCATTAATCTTTCATGAGGTCTCATTATAGCTTGATAAACTTGTAAATTAGCTGGTGAACCTGATAAAGTTTGAACATTAACTCCCCATTTTTCAGGTGATAAATTAAAAGCTTTTAAAGCTCTTTCTTGACATAAAATTTCCATTCTATCAATATGTTCATTACCACCATAATATCTTGCACCTGGATAACCTTCAGAGTATTTATTACACATTGGAGTTCCCAAAGCATCAAAAACTGCTTTAGTTGTAAAATTTTCTGAAGCAATTAAAACTATTGAATGTTTTTGTCTATTAATTTCATCTTTAATAATTGAATCAACTTCTGGATCAATTTCTGATAATTGTCCTTCAGTTAAATGTTTATGAGTTTCTGATAAAGCGTAAGTCATTGAATGGCTATGGATTGAAAAATTGTTGCAATTTTTTTTTTTTTTTTTTATAATGAAACAATTCAACAGAGTCAGATTAATTTATTAAATCAGAGTCAATAATTAATTATATATAAACACTATTTTTTATGTTTCTTTGCAATTCGTTTTAATGCTCTTTGTTCATTCTTTAATACACCATCAACCATTTTATACTTACCTTTAACACCTTTTGGTCTACCTGATAATCCTCTATTTGATCCTCTTGCAACAACAACGGAAACTTTTGGTTTCATTTTTTGTTTTTTAGTTAATTTCTTCATTAATTTTGATATTTCTTCAGCTTTATCTCTTTCTGATTTACCAGAATCTTCATTAATAAGATCTGATTTCTTCTTTAATTTTTCTAATCTTTTAAGTGCTCTCATTTTCTTTCTACCTTGTGCTTCTAAAACTTTCTTTATTGGTCTTGAATTTAATTGTTTTTGTTTTTCTTTAATTGCCAATGCTGCTTCTTTTGTAATTGGTTTAACTATTTTAGAATGTTTCTTTTCATCATCAAGAAACCAATCAGGTACATCTTTATCTCTAAATGAATATCTATTTATACCTTCATCAATTAAATCATATTTATTCTTTTGTCCTAAGGCAACTTGATGAGCTAATGTCATTGCTTCAACAGTAGCAAGATCTATTTTTTCTTGTTGTAATTTAGGCTTTGAATCTTCATCTTCTGAATCTGATATTGAATCCTCTTCATTTGCAACTAATTCAAAATCTGATTCAGATTCTGAATCTGATGATGATTCAATTTGTTTTGGTTGTGATTTTTCTTTAGGCATACTTTCCTCTAATAAAACATCATCACCCAATTCATTAAATATAATATTTGAATTGAAAAAACTTTTTGCATTTTTAGATAATTCTTGTTTCTTTCTCATTTCTATAATTTGATTTATATGTTCATCATCATCGGAATCTGATTCTGATTCCATCTCGTAATCTTTTTCCTCTTCCTCTTCCTCTTCTTCATCATCTATACCTTCCCATGGTTCTTCACCGTCTCTTGCTTGTTTATTTTTACAATTTGAATCTCTTTCTGCTTTTCTTTCTTGATATTGAGAGTACATATCATCTAATTGAGCTTCTAATTCATCTTGTTCATCTTCTGATTTTATCTCTTCATATTGTATTTCATTATCTTTTGCAACTTCTTCATCATCAAAAATCATTTGTTTTTTACCCTTTGCTAATTTTTCCAATTGACCAGTTTTTTCAGCTATTTTTATATTAAATAATGAATCAGCGCCAATTTGAGCAGCATCGATACCAACATTCATATCAGTTAACATATTCATTTGATTTCTTACGATCTCTTTTTGTTTTAATTCATTAGATGTTTTCTTAGCTCTTTTTGCCTTTTGTTTTTGCTTTTCCAACATTTCTTGTAATTCTTTATCAATCTTTTCTTCTTCAGTTAATGGAGTTATTTCAATTTCAGGTTTTTCTTCTTCTTTATCTATTCCAAGTATATCTCTTGCTTGTTTTCTAAATCTTAAAATTAATTTAAATTCTTTCCTACCTAGAACTTTCAAATCTTTAAAACATTCCATTAATTCTGGAGTAAAACATTTTAATTTCTTTAGTATTTTCCATTCATGATCTTCACTTGAAGGTATTTCAAGTTTATTTAATGAACCTAATTGATTTATTGGATCTTCATCTTTTATAAAATCCATAATTGGCATAGTATGAAATAATAAATAATCACCTTCTTCATAACCTTGTCTTTGTCTTGTTTTCTTTTCTGGATTGAAAATCTTTGCTTCATTATTAACTTTTTCATTATTGAGCTCTTCAAAAACTTCTTTTGGATCCAATAATCTTGGATCTAATTTTTTTGGATTTTTGAAACCTTTACATACAACAAAAATTTCTGCAGATACATTTCTTGAAGCTGGTGGTTTTGTAGCCTCTACTTTTTCAAATAATTGTTGGAAAACCCAAATTAAATTATTATAATCTCGAGATCTAAAAATTTTTGTAACAAATGTACCACCAACATTTAAATTTTCAACAGCTAATTTCAAAGCTTGTAAAGTTAATTGTGATTGTGTGAAAGCATCTTGAACCCAACCTAAACCAACATTTGGAGCACCATCATGTAAAACAGTATCAGCTTTCCAAGTTTTCATATGACCTCTTAATCTTGATCGACAATCTTCAGTTGTAATGTCACTTTGAAAAGTTATAACATTAGGTAATGGTTTTATCGGTACTATATCAACACCTATTATTAATGAATTTATAGGACATAATTGTGAAGCTACTTGACACCAAGAACCAGGGGCAGCACATAAATCAATAACAACTTTTGATTTTTCTAAAAAATGACCAAATTTTTCATTAATTTGAACGATTTTAAATGAAGATCTAGCTCTATAACCTTTCTCTTTAGCTAAATAATAGTATCTATCTAAACGACCTTTACTATTCTTTTTCTGAGTTTTACCCATATTATTTGAGATGAGATAAGATAAAAAAAAAAAATATACGAGACGAGAAATTTGAAACATCTATAAATTCCAATCACTACTTAATTCAAAATTTGTATCAATACTATTAATATTTGATGAATTGCATAATAAACAGTCTTTAACGATTATCTCAGTTAATTCATTTTTATTAATTTCAGGATTTTTCTTGAAATTTTGATATATCTTTTTAAATTTATAATTATTACTCTTTGATAAATTAACAATTAAACATTCTTTATGAAATCCATGATTACAATTTGGAAATATTATGAAATTTTTGGCTATTAATAGTTCATTACATAACCTACATGGTTCTCCGGGTTCAATAATTGAATATATTTTGGATTTCTCTAATTTTGATTCTTTTAATTGTTGTTTTAAATTTGAACTTATTTCAATTGACTCTTTCATTTCAATAGATAATTGATTTATTTTATTATTATATTCATTTAAAGTCTTTACAATCTCATCTTTAAAATCATTAACCATGATATTTTCAGGGAATAAAGGTAATAAATCTTTTAAACCTAAAATTGAATTTCCAAGTATGTATTTCAATACACCATTTAATGTATTATCATCATGTAAGAAATCTGTAGTATTTCCAAGATTATCAATCAAATGTTTAGCAAATATAAGCCATAACTTCTTTCTTGTTGAATATGATTCTTGTTGTAATAGTAAATCATCAGATGAAGTAGTTGGTGAGTTTGATTCCTCTTCTATATGTTCTTCATATTTAGTCAATACTAATTCTGCAAGATTCGTCAAATTATTTTTTAAAGCTAGGTCTAATGCTTGTTTAAATAAGTTCCATGATATATAAATAATTATAGCAGGTTGATATCGAGTATTAGCAATACATAAACGAAGAATGAAATTTTGATCATATAATCTTTCCGATTGAATGAATTTAATAAATTGTTTATCATGACCTGATTCAATAAGTAATGTTAGGTAATAGTTGTTCAATGTTTTTGATTTATATCCCTTTTCATGTATTTTTTGAAGAAATTGTATTATTGGAGTTGGTGAATTTTTCTTACAGTATAGTAAAATTGCAGGTATGAATCTTTCATACTGAAGGTTAGGAATACGTAACCACATTTCAGTTACTTTAGGATAGTTTAATAATAAGATAGTTGATGATTGGTAAATATCTTCTGGTTCTAATTTATGCAATATCTTTGCAGTTTGTGAATAATTTTTATTATTAAGATAATGATTTAATATAAATTTATAATCTTCAATTAACTCAGCATAATATATTGGATCTTTTAATATTTCATACATTGTGGGAGGGTCTAATAATTTATAATTTGCTTTAATAAATGATTTTGGATCTTCCATTAATTCAACAATCCAACTTGATAGTACAATAATCTTTATTTTATTCTTTTCCTTTTTATAATGTTCAAATTTGATAGTCAAATATTCAATTAATAATTTATCACTAACAATCATTGTATCTTGTAATAACATGAGACAAATTTTTTCAAAAGGTTCTGAAGAATTTGCTAAATTTCGTATTCCTTTCAATTGTAAATCAATAGATTCATTATCTAAAGCAACTCCAAACCCACCTTTTTGTAAATAGTCATAACCTTGTTTAGTTAAAACTAAATCTCGTTTTGAATAATCTTCAGTATCTTCTAAACATTTTAAGGCATCTACATAATTACCCATTTTATAATAATCATACCAAATAGAGGCTGATTCATTTTCAATAATTAATTCATGAATTGAGTTTTTGGTGTATATCCAATAAGTCTTGTTTATATAATCAGTAGTGATACCAATTATATTATCTAAAGATAATTTACTTTTGTTCAAATTTATCTTGTTAAATATTGAAATACTAGTTGAGTATCCAATTATATGATGTGGAGATAGTATAACTTGTCTAAATGATTCTATTTCATCATTTATAGACTGTATTTGATCATCATTAGTTAAAAATCCATCAGATATATATAAAAAAATTTGATCAGTAGTTGTGAATAAAAAATTTTCTGACGGTTTAATTGACTTTATCAATGGTTGAGTTTTAAAAACATTTACTAATTCATCAAATGTAGAATCGAAATAATCCCAAGTATATAATTCAAAATTAACAATTAGGTTAATTTGAACTTTATTCATTGAAATACCTTGAATATTATTTCCTTTGAAAACTTGTTTAATTTTCATATCCTGAATATATATAGTATCTTTGGTAGCTATTATCCAACAAGTATTGAATAATATTTGTATAATATCCATACCTTTAAATTTGGGAAGTGGTTTAAATTTAAAATCAATCAATTGAAAATATTGTAAGTCAATTCGTAGTATAAAGATATCACCATTTGTCCAACAATTTATATAATTTCCATTTGATATAGGTAAATTGAGCTTATTTACTTGAGATGGATTATCTAAATCTATTCTATAACATATTGATTCCATGATTATAAACATTATATTTTTAAAAACCAACAATTTTTTCAATTTATTATTCAATTGAAATTGTAATTGAACTTCTTCTAATTTGAATATAGGTTGTTGTAAATTATCACATATTGAAGATTGTTGGTGATCTAATGAATGATTAGTATATATAGAAGTTCCATTCATAGTGACCAAGGTATAAGAATAATAATATATTTTGTCTCTGATCTTTTTTATTAGCAAATTGGTAGCTCTATGTTTGTATCATGTCGTCTTAAAGATAGCACTAAATTTGGTACCAAGTCGTTTTAGGAATAAAACCAAATTTAATACCTAGTCGTTTCAAAGATGGCACTAAATTTACCGCTAAAAGATAGCACTAAACTTGACACCAAGTCGTCTTAAAGCTAGCACGAGAAATGAATATTGTTGCATCGAGTTTGGCATAACCATATGGCATATTTATCATATATATTACTAGTATACCACCTTATCAGTTGTAACATAATTTATTTCATTATTATCTGCAGCTAATTTACTAATTTATTAGTTTCATTATTACCATGATTATCACTATGACCTTTAACATGATTGAATTTAATTGGATCCCATCCTTTTGATTTATAAACATCATTAACTTCATCTTTAATTTTTTAACTGTTTTTTGAATTAATTCTTTATTTGAAATTGTTTCACCTCTAGAATTTTTTGCAACCATTTGATTTCCATTATTTGACCAATTGTTAATTGATTCAATTGAGTATTTTGGGTCTGAATAAATTTCCAGTGGTCTTGAACTTGTGTTACTTTCATCTAATGCATTATTTAAAGCATGTTTAAAACCTTGTAATTCTGCATGTTGATTTGTTGGTGGTATGATGAGGTTTATCAACTTCGTTTAATCCAACACTAACATTTCTTGAATCATTAGCTCCACAATACACACCATAACCTGATGGTGCATTTTTAATTTGCCATTACCACGAGAAGCACTATCAACATATACTTTTTCAACATTTGAAGAAATTGAAGTTTTTCAATTGGAAGTTGACACATTTAAGAGGCTTTTTCAAATTGGTTTTAGGGGGTAGAAAAAATGTATTCTACAAGGAAACTACAAATTACAATAACAATAACCTAACTAAGCATTGTATATTCAACTTTTTAGTCTATCTTCTAACTGCGTAATCTCATAAATATCGTAACATTCTATCAGCTCCAATATTAGCCAATCTATCAGCTTCTTCATTTCCATGAATTCCAGCATGACCTTTAACATGCACAAATTTTATTGGATCCCAACCTTTGTTTATATATTTTTGATTAATTTCATCTTTTAGTATCACTGCTTTCTGTATAATATCTGAATTAGCAACTGGTTCACCTTTTGAATTTCTCCAACCATTTTTTCTCCATGTATTTGACCAATTATTAATTGCTTGAATTGAATAATTTGAATCAGAATAAATTTCACTTCTTTTATTTGAATTTGAATTCAATTCATTTAATATATTTTCCAATGCATGTTTCATAGCATGTAATTCTGCACGTTGATTCGTTGGTGTTTGATTGAAATCAACTTCATGTAAACCAACACTTGCATTTCTTATATCATTAGGTCCATAATAAACTCCATAACCAGATGGTGCATTTTTATTTTGTCCATTACCTCGTGAAGCTCCATCAACATAAATATGTTCAGTAATAGGAGTAGGGACACCATTTCGAAGTATTATCTTATTCTTATTTTTCTTTTTAGCTTCTTCAATTTGTTTTGGTTTTGATATCATAAGAACCAGTGTTGTTACATGTTGTGTTGCTGGTTTATTTTGTTGAATTGTGTTACCATTATTGTCTACAAATGATTTGGCTTCTTCATAAGTATTGAATTTTTTATACTTTGCATTTGGAAATTTATTTACTTGATTTTGACAATCTGTCCAGTTATTATATATACCAGGTTTTCTGCCTTTTGCAACAGCATAAAAGGGCATTTGAAACAAATTTTTGAATAATTTGATAATCTTGATTTAATTATGAATTTTGCAACAAGTTAAAAAAAAAAATTTGATTGAAAAATTATTCATGTAAGTTCCTTAGGAAAAACACTAAAATACTTAAACTGATCAATTTCTGCAAATACCTGTTTGAATATTTACTGCTCGAGATCTCACAGTTTGCAATTAAAAAAGTCATTAAGTTCATCGACCTAGCAAAAAAAACAAACCAGACTAAATTTAGAAAAAAGAAAATGGAGATTAGGAGAGTCGAACTCCTGGCCTCATGCTTGCAAGGCATGCGCTCTACCAACTGAGCTAAATCCCCAATTTGGTTGGTGTAAAATTTTGCGGCTTGTACTTATATCTCAGATCTAAAGATGCGTTTACTCACGTGAAAACACTTATCACTACATTCACTATGTCTTTAGTGTGGAAACAATAGTAAACTTAATTGGATTGAGTCAATAAATTCTCTTGAACATTTATTTATCTGTAGCTCATTTTTGTGGTCATTTTCAAGTGATTTGATATTTACAATGATTGTCGCTACCAAATACTCTGATTTACAGAATATTGTCATTATATTCGATTAAACAAAGTAATCTACTTTTAAGCCATCCATAAAGTATCTCATCTGCTAATACAGCTTGCTTGTTATTATGTTACCTTATTTTGTAAACTTGATGTATAAGCTATTTTAGGTTTTTCTATTTTCTGACAAAAATTTGCAGCAATTTGAAAATTACAAATCAAAAATTTATCAATTGCTGGAGGCATAAAAATCCAGCTTATCACTCGCTTATTAAACATTGCCTACATTATAGAGTCAACAATTGGTTTAACATCCTATGATGTTTATTAAAAAGATTTAATTGATAAAAATGTTTGAAATCAAAAATTTGAAGTATGTAGAGTATACAATACAGATGCTTCTGATCTTATATAATTGGTTTCTATCTCACGAAAATGTGTTGTTCATGAGTTATAAGCCAATGAGTTTAGTGCGAGTGGCCTCAAAGCTAATGCGAGATTTTATTCTTTTTTGCTTGCGCCAGATTTATCGCGTTGAAAAATACTTTTTCTTTAAATAATTCTGAACAAATCAATTGCAGTCCTAAATTAGGACGTAAATTAAAAATGAATTGTTAATAATTAAGATCTATATACTTATTAAATGAGACCGTTATTTATAATGTCAATTATAAATGAGTTCTTACAGTTACCTCATTCTCAATCATTTGTTTTCGTTTCCCACTTTGCTTGTATCAGCAACATTTTAAGCGGTAAACTACCGCTTATCCAAATGGTAGCACCCATAAAAATACCCATTAACTTGTGCACAAGTATAACTTGGGATTAAACCTTGTTCTAGAACATCTTACCATTGAAATCTTTTCTTGCACAATTTAATGATTGAGTACATTCTTCATTCAATGTTCATAAATAAAAATAATGTCAAAATAGATCAAAAAAAATGGAGATTAGGAGAGTCGAACTCCTGGCCTCATGCTTGCAAGGCATGCGCTCTACCAACTGAGCTAAATCCCCAATTTGGTTGGTCTAGAATTTTTTGGCTTCTACTCGTATCTCAGATTTGAAGCAAGCATTACATCACATGAAGACACCTACATTTACATTTACGGATGTTGTAGCTTCAATTGCTCCCTTCGATAAAATTCAAGAGTCTAAATAACCATATGAAAGTGTTATTAGATTGATATTTAATTTGTATGCCGAGATTTGAATGATTGTTTCATGAGCTAGGTTGATGCTACCAATTGGATTACTTTGCAATGTCGGTTATTGGATCGTTTAAATTACACATTCCAAAGTCCCCAATGCTATAAAAACGCATTACCCATCCTTATTGTTAGTATAGGTATGTGATTTTGCATTTCTTTTGAGAAAACAGCTAAGTTTCGTGGATATCTGCAAGTGTATAAAATAGTTAATTTTTGCAACTTTTTTTACAAAATCAGGTAGATTTATGACCTTAATTTTAAACTTGATACCAAAAATCACTTTGATTGGAGTTAATAATTAGAGATAGTAGGCTATACTACTAATTATATCTGTTTATACTGTCAGCTTGTGAATATTTGTGCGATATCCACCTATAAAATGATCATCCTGAAAATTTTGACCATTCTAATATGACACTTTGACTTTCAAGCTTATAAAAGAGAATAAAGTTGTTATTGCTAGAGTGTGAAACCACTGGTTTCATAGATCAGGATTTACTTCACTTTTAAAATTGGTTAATTTTGCAATCATCAACATAATATACAAAATTGGTAGTGCTAATCTTTAAGATTGAAAAATCATTTATTTAACAACCATAATTCTTTGATGGAAGCAATATCAGATAGATTATTTAATGAACATACAACAGATAATTTACAAGATGATCCATCATTATTAACTATAATATTAGATGTATCACCATCGGGTTGGTTTAAAATACAAAATGTAATATCAATTCAAGATGTTGTAAAATCATTAATAGTATATTTAAATTCCCATTTATCATTAAATAATAGTAATCAAGTTGCATTCTTAATTACATCACCGTTAAAATCAAAATTTCTATATCCAAAACTAGATAATTCAAATATAATTAAAGACTCAGTATCGAAAGATATGTATCGACAATTTAAAATTGTAGATGATATAATATTGGAAGAATTAAATCAATTTCTTAATGAAATGATTGATAAAATAGAAAATAATAAAAGATCAACATTAACTGGAGCAATTAGTTTAGGTTTGACATATACTAATCGTATGTTAACTTTAGATCAATCAATTTTGACAACCACAGCATCAGCAATGACTACAACTTCATTAGCTAATTCAAATCAAAATTCATCAAATATTACATCCTCATCTTCAACTTCGATGAAATCTAGAATGTTGATTATATCAGCAAATGATGATGATGATGAATTAACATATATTCCATTAATGAATTGTATATTTGCAGCTCAAAAAATGAAAGTTTCAATAGATGTTGCAAAATTAGGATTTAAAAATCTGTCATATTTACAGCAAGCATCAGATGCAACAAATGGGATTTATTTACATATTGAAAATCCCAAGGGGTTAATTCAAGTTTTATCAACTGCTTTTTTCATTGAACCTAATTTAAGACCATTTATAATATTACCTGCAAATTCAAATGTAAATTATCGAGCTAGTTGTTTTATAACTGGTAAAGCTGTTGATATTGGTTATGTATGTTCTGTTTGTTTATGTATAATGAGTAAATTACCTGAAAAATGTCCAGCTTGTAATTCAGAATTTGATAAAAAAATAATTGAACAATTGAATAGAGTACCACAAATTAGAAAGAAAAGGAAGTTGGAAAGTAATGGTAATGGTAATAACGAAAATAACAATAATTGATATTAAATGGATTTATGAATTAGGTTAATGTCCAAATTAATGACGCAATATTTGGTATTTACGAAAAACGTCAAAGATAGATGCTTAAATCGAAATCAAAATTCAATGGTGATACAGTATTAAATCTAACTGCATAGTTGATGCAGCATAGTTGATGCAGCTTAACTATACCCATTTACTGCTTATCATGACGATAATCAGGTTTTTCTTATTTTGCTCTACATTGTAAGAAATCACTTACTTGGTTAAGACGACCAGGAGTAGCATCAACTTTAATACCTAATGAAGGATTAATGACACAGTGAATAGCATCATTAGCTCACACAAAATGACTTATATGTTTATATATAGTAATAATATCACATAACTATTATAAACTTAAGAAAAAAATCTTTATATATAGTAATAATATCACATAAATATTATACACTAAACTATTATAAACGTATTACTCTTGATGCATTATCTCATACTGTTATGATTCCTGTTATGATTCCTGTTATGATTCCTGTTGGTATTATTATTCTTTGTGTACTTCTTTACGCGCTTGGCTTTAGTCTGTACGCTGTTACCCGGTCGTTAACTGTTGTGTATTATCAACACCACCAACAGATTTTGGGTTGATATGTCGATGACTTGGCAAAATAGAAAATTTATCGATTCTCAAAGCCAAACACAATAAATACCATCTTTTTATTCTGGAATCTAAAACTCATCTAAACCTTTTTTCATCTGCATCATCTTCATCTGCATTGATCATAACCGCAATTAAATCTCTCATACTTTAAGCCATGTTTAATTTTATATATACACGCAAGCACACAGTTTATTTCATAACCGATTAAATCATAACTGATTAAATCATAACCGATCAAATCGAAATCTAAGCAAAGTATCAAAATCAAACGTCAAGAAATTTCCTTACATTACGAGCAAAAGCAAAGTATGGGGTAATATAATTCTTTAAGTTTACGCCACTCGAACCATTTCTAACTCAATACCGTTTTATATCAATTAGATATTGAATTAAATAATCGCTACACTATACTCTATTTAATACTCCGATATAAATTACTATATTTGTAATAGTGTAAATCCATGTATATATAAATTATAACTCCGTTCTATTTAATACGAGCACGGCTTTATAATTTTTATTTTCTTCTGTACTGTGAAGTTTTTTTTGTAACTCATTTTCATATTCAACAAATTATTAAGGATTGATTGACGAAATAAGATCAACCAATATTATATTACACATTTCATTTGCATTTATTCCTTTAATCGTATAATTATCATAAAGTATACAATATCTTTCATCAACGGTTAATTAACCAAGCTGTTTTATTTTTCATTTTCGTTAATTTCTCACCCCACGTTATTTTTATCATGAGTAATAATAATAATAATAATAATAATAATAGTACAACACCATCTACTCATGATCATGATTTAGATACTACTTCATTAGCATCATCAAATGTAAGTCATCATCAACATGATAATCCAGTTTATATCCATCATGATGATGACGATGAGTCGTACCATACGAATTTTTCAAAAGAGCTACATCCCGACCCAGTATTGGGCCCCCTTGCTGATTTAGAAAAAGATATTTCATCTATTGATTCAAATAAAGATGATCAAATAGATTTAGAAAATCAACCACAAATTATACCAAGTTCATTATCTAAAAAATCAATAACTCTGATAAAGTCATTAAAAGTTAAACGAAAAGATAAAAGAGGTTTACTTGCTTCATTAGTTGTTATTCCTGAATATTATGATGCTAGAGATTATCCAATAAAGATTAAGTATATTATTGTAACTATAATTGCATTAGCTTCAGTTACTGGTCCAATGGGTACTTCAATAATGTTACCTGCAATTGATGATATTGTTGCAAAATTACATACTTCAAATAGTATGGTTAATGTTTCAGTTGGTGTTTATATGTTAGCCTTGGGGATTTTTCCCATGTGGTGGTCTTCATTTAGTGAAAGATTTGGTAGAAGATCAGTTTATTTAATTTCATTTGTTTTATTTGTTGCTTTTTCAATTGGTACTTCATTGTCTCCAAATATTGCAGCATTAATAATATTAAGAGTATTACAAGGTGGTTGTTCTGCATCAGTTCAAGCTGTTGGAGCAGGAACAATTGCTGATTTATTTGTCCCTAAAGAAAGAGGAGTAGCTATGGGTTGGTATTATCTTGGTCCATTAATGGGTCCATTTCTTGCTCCTATTTTAGGTGGTGCTGTTGCTCAAGCATGGGGTTGGAGAGCAACACAATGGTTATTAATGATATTTTCTGCTTGTAATTTAATACTGATGACTTTTTTCCTTCCTGAAACATTAAGAAGAGCTGATAATTTACAAATTTTAATGAATCAAAACAACAAAATTGAGAAGATAATATCTAGAAGATCAAATATGTCACAAGAAGAAAAAGAAGAAGAAGATCAAGTGCCGGTAATGGATCCGGTCATGCCTACAATGTCAAGAGTTACAACTAATCAATCAGCATATTCTAGAAGAATTACACAAGAATATGAAAAAGGAGAATTAAAAAAAACATTACTGAATATTTCCAAAAAATCGGAACATAATAAATTTGAATCTTTTAAAACTAATTTATATGATATTTTTATTAGACCATTACATTCAGTTGTTTTATTAACTTATCCGCCAGTTATATTAGTTATTACATTTTCAGGATTATCATTTGCTGCAATTTATTTTTTCAATATGACAATCTCATACGAATATGCAAGATCACCATATAATTTTTCAGAAATTATAGTTGGATTAATGTATATTCCTAATTCAGTTACGTATTTAATTGCTTCAATTATAGGTGGGAAATGGAATGATAGATTAATTAACAAATATGCTGAAAAACATGGTGAATTAATTCCCGAGGCTAGATTATCTTGGAATTTAGTAATTGCGGTAATTTTATATCCAATGGCATGTTTAATATTTGGATGGACTATAAAATATGGTGAATTTTGGGTTATTCCATTGATTGGATCAGCAATTTGTGGATTTGCAAGTATGTTAGTAATAGGAACTACTGTTACTTATTTAGTTGATATATTACCTGGAAAAGGTGCTACTGGAGTTGCATTAAATAATTTAATTAGACAGATACTAGGTGCTGTTGCTACGTTCATTGTTGAACCATTATTAAATGCTATAGGTGCTGGAATTTTATTTTCTATAATTGCCGGTTATTTAATTGTTGCAAGTTCTGTTTTATTATATTTAAAGAAAAGAGGATTTTACTATAGGGAACATTATGATATAATGAAATTTTATGAAAAGTTGTAAAATTAGAATCAACTTACTAGATGAAGAGTTGATGTTATTTATTTGTTTATTTATTATAGATTGAATAGAGATAGGTAAAGATGCCTTTATTTACTCTAACGTGAGAATGCCATTCAGTTACTATATAACGTAAGGGTGCATTTGGTCTACTCTATAATTTAAGGAAGCTTTTTTTTTTGACTTATAAGCTGAGCAGAATATAATGGCATCTTTACCTGTTGTATTTGCGTTTTTACTCATTTTTACTTACATCCTTACTTGCATCCTACTCAAATAAATAATCCAAATTAATCCCCAATTCTTTAAATTCATCAAGATAAGGAATCAAAACAGCTTTATCACAATTTAATAAATTTGAAATTTTTTTAGCTTCATCAGTACACCATGTAATAATCAATGAAGAATTAGCAGAATCATTTTCAATCTTCTTTAGGATTGGAATCAAAGTACTTATTCTCTTTTTTAGTGTTAATATAGCTACTAAAGAATTTTTATAATCTAAAGGAGTTGATTTTAAATATATTGTAATTCCAATATTCAACTGATTTAGTCGTTTATATAATTCTAGGATGTTTTCTAATTTGATATAATTGCAGTGATGTCTTAACATGAATTCTAAACCTTTTAGAATTTCTTCTCTTTTTTGATCTAATTTCGTTCTTGTTACTTGGGAAAGTAAATTTTCATCTTCATTTAAGATTTTTTTTTTATTTAACTTTGATTCTACATGTGTTATTAATTCAAATGCTCTTGTGAAGTTATTATAATGTATACTTGATTCTATATCATCGAAATTATCCTTAAAATCTATCTTGGTGGATAATGTAGATAAAATTTCTTCTGAATTACGTTTTGACTTTCTTGAGTTTCGTTTTGATTCAATTGGGGTTTGAGTTCTATTCAATTGTTCTAATTCATTTTTACCTTTCTTGTAGGCATCCATTATTTTCATAAAATGATCATATCTATCACTTGAAAATATATAAGATAAATTTTGAAATTTAATATTTATGAAATTTAATTTTGAGTCTGTAATATTATTTGGTGGTGTTATTTGTCTTATTGAAACTTGATTAATCGGGAAACATTGAGTTGCGTGTAATTTCTTATCACCATTTGATTTATTAGCAATTAATATTAAATCATTAAGTATGAATAAATGAGAAGCATTTCCATTTTTCCAACTTCCAGGATTAATTTCAATCCATCTTCCAGATTCTGCAATTACATGACGTCCAGGTGTTGGTTGAATGAATTTAGAAGCTCCATCAACATGTTTATAAAGACTTTGTAATTCTTTTTTCCATAAATTTTCCAATATTACAATTGAACTCCTATCTTGAGATTTACTAGTTTGCGGTGTATTTGTTTTTGATTCAAATTCCATTGATAATTTCTTTTCAGCTGATTCTTTAAAAAAATTCGTAACTTCAAGTACCTGTCTTGTTGAATTTCGAAGAGAATCCAATTCTTCTTGAACAATTTTTAAATCATTAGTTAATTGTAATATATTTTGTTGATTTAAATTAATATTATTTTTAATGTTTCTTGTTATTATATCTTTTTGTTTTAATAAACTTTTATAATTTTCTTCAATTTCTGAAGCTGAACCATTTGATAACATAATCAATGCTGAATTTTCTGGTAAAGGAGGTGCAGATTCATTATTAATCAGTGAGAATGATTTACCATGTTGTCTATGATGTGCAGACGCATGAATTGATAATCTTCTATCTTGTTTTTTAGCAGAACTAGCAGCATAAGGATTAGACGGAACTTGTAATGAATTAGACTGTGGGGGGGTATTAGCATATGAGTTTGCTTGTACTTGTTGTTGTTGTTGATCTTGCCATGGTGCTCTACTTTTCCTCTTCCTTACTTTATCCATTTTCAACATTTTGCGATGGTGGAAAAAAAAAAGTGTTGATAATCACCAACTGGTATAAACAACTACCAAATGTCTTTGACTAGTAAAGAAGTTAATTATATAATATATAGATATTTACAAGAAAGTGGTTATGATTTATCTGCTTATGCTTTGGATCAACAACTGCAATGTTCAAAATATGGTAATGAAGACATAAGAAATAAGATTAAACCGGGTTGTTTGATTAGTTTAATTCAAAAAGGTATATTATATACAATTGCAGAATCCGAAGTAAAAAGTGAACAAAGTTTAACATTTTTAGGTAGTTTGATAAATAATGATTTGGATTCAATAACAGAAGAAGAAATAATACGAAGTCAAAAACAAAACGGAAAACAACAATTAAATGAACCAGAGGTGATAATTCCAAATTTTAAATTTAATTCTAGTTTAACTTCAGATTGGTATGAGGATAAAATAGTATATGGGAAAGAAAATAATGCAATTATAATAATTAACAACGATGATGAAATTATTTTATCACACCCTTTAAATATTGTTGATTTGGTAATATTTCATGAATTTAATTTATGGTCTTGTGCTGGTTCAGAAATAAGAGTATGGTCACCGGATGGTAAACTTAAAAATATTACAAATTTACAAGAAGGTATAATAATTAAAGAATTATTATGGAATGATTCAAATCAATATTTGATGGTTTTAGATTCAAACAATACCGTCACTATATTAGACTCTGTAACATTAAGTGTAATCAAAAAGATTAATAGCAGTGAGTTAGTCACTTGTTGTTGGTTAAGTTGTGACAAATTTGCAATTACGACAAGTTCAAATAATATAAAAATATTTGACATTGAGAGTTTAAAACCAATTGGAATTTTAAATGGACATGAACACATTATATCATTATTAAAATTCGACAAACAAACAAAATTACTAGCTTCATGTTCAGAAACAGATTATAATATTAAAATATGGAATAGTTCATCATCGTGTTTAGATTTAATTGGTAAAAAACATACAAGCCCAATAATAGAACTATGTTGGAACAATGGTTTATTATACTCTATTTCAATTGAAGGTATAATTAATATATGGAATGATCAAGGAAATAATTTAAAAAATGGAAAACTAGTGAATAATTTAATTTATATTGCTAAATTGAGTCCGAATGGGAAATTATTGGCTATTGGTGATGATAATGGTAAAGTATTAATATTTAATGAAAATTTACACCTTATAAAAGTGTATCAACCTGAAATGATGGAAAATAGTGGTATTTGTGATTTAAAATGGAATTTGGAGTCTAATAAGTTGCTATGTTCATATAATGTAATAGATAGTGTAGTTTTAAATGTATAATGAAGAGTAAGGATGCAACAAACAACACTTGAGCTACGGATATAGAATAATTTAAATGGATCCATTATAATAACATGATTCGCATAAGTTAAAGATAATCATTAATCCAACGTTAATCATTAATCCAACGTTAATCATTAATCCAACGTTACCAGCAGGTAAGGATAATAATAAAACAGTTATTTCATTATATAGGTTGCAATAAAAGTATAATAAAAGTATAATAAAAGTATAACAGAAGTATAATAAAAGTATAATAAAAGTAAATTGTAGAGGTAGATTTCATACTCTTAGATATATTGTCATTATCTAATTATTTAAGCAGTTGGAGCAGCAGGAACTGATTTCTTAAAAGCAGGATTTGAACTAGGGAAAACAATATCCATATAACAAGTCAATACAGAAATAAAAGCAAATAAAACTCTCAAAATAGCAGGTTGAGAAGCTGAATCATCATTAGCTACCTCTGGTTTATTGATTGGTTCTTGTAAATAAGATTGAACCGATAAAAATAAAGCAGCCCATGATAACATTTTATTTCTCATAAACATAGCTGCCATAGGCAACGATTGAGCTATAACATTTCCACCAGCATCTTTTCTTACTTTAGCTGGAATATGTTTGTAACTAAAACAGTTAATACACTTTCATTCAACAAAGACAATATGTCCAATTTGTCCAATATGTCCAATATGTCCAATACGTCCAATATGTCCAATATGTCAAATATGTCTTCTTCTACTTACGGTATGATTAAATCTTCTCTTGCCTTTGGTGCCATTTTTGGTGGTTTGGTGGTTTGGTGATAATTTGTTGATAACCAAAAAAAAAAAATTGAAAAATTTCAGGTAGCATTTAACAATAAATCATGTTGACCAAAGTATTTACCAACTATTATGATAATAAATGATGTAGTATACATTGTTATTGGGTTGAGTGGATTATTTAACGAATCCCTACATTTGTTTCTTATCTTTATTGCTTTTTTACCCAAATCTCGAATCAAACTACATTCATTAGCATCAATAACAGAATCTATTCTAACTAATAACGACCATATCCATTTGGATAATGTTGGTGCTGTATTAATACTTAATAGTTTAGTTATGAAATGTAATAATTTGAATGTATGCACTCTTGAAATATTATAAAAATATTGAATTGAAGGTGGATCAAAATCAAAATTTTTCTTAAATTTAGGGAATGATTGAGGTAACTCGTTGAAATTAGAATCAAAATCATAGTTCACTATAGTTATTGACTGTTTTAACTGTTGAAAATCACATAATAGTTGTTGTTCTAGAGTTGATAGCGTATAACTTGGATCTTTGACCAATTTGGTTTGATGAGTCGGTCTTTCTATATATGCTATAGATTGTAATTGTTGTGATTCTTTTCTTACATTTGTTAAGTATTGATATACTTCTTCAGTTTCAAAACCGTCTTGTAATGGTAATACTTGATTCATTCTTTAGTTTTTCACCGATAAGAAAAAAAATAAACTATCACCAAAAAGTGTTTTATTATCAACGGGTTTGATACTAGTCTGATACTGCTTTGATACTGCTTTGATACTGCTTTGATACTGCTTTGATACTGCTTTGATACTGCTTTGATACTGCTTTGATACTGCTTTGATACTGCTTTGATACTAGATACTGCTTTGATACTACTTTGATACTAGTTTGCATCCTCATAGTTGAGTGTTTGTTTGTTGTTCTGACAGTTCAATTAATACTTTGAATCCTTACTTATTTGCATCGTGACAATTCTTACCATCTTGGACGCATGGGTCAAAAATTATCATATATTGCACCGTCAGCTCCAACAATTGCAATCTCATCATACATCGACGCTTTAGGTTATTCATACATTGAAATATTAAATAATTCAAGATTTTTACGCACTATTAAAGCTTTAGATAGTAATGGTGATCTCGTAATTATTAAAATATTAATTAAACCAACAACAACAAATATAAACTTACAAGAAATAATTCAATTATTAATTAAACAATCTTCAATCTTGCATGATTTCAACAATATTTTAACTTATGATAAATTTATAGAGACTGATAGAGCAGGATACATGATTCGACAAATGTTGAAAACTAATCTATATGATAGATTATCAATCCGACCATTTTTGGAGCCTATTGAGAAATTATTCATCATTTATCAAATTATAACAATAGTTGATAATTTACATTCTAATAATATTCATCATGGTGATTTAAGATTAGAAAATTTTTTATGTTCTAGTTGGAATTGGATTTATTTAACCGATTTTTCAAATATTATTAAACCAGTTTATATTCCCGAAGATAATCCAAATCAATTTTCATTTTATTTTGATTCTTCAGATCGAAGAGTTTGTTATATTGCACCAGAGAGATTTTATAAGAGTAAAGATTTTGATAATGTTTCTCAAAGTTCTTGTTCAATTAATGATTCAATGGATTTATTTAGTCTTGGTTGTATAATTGGTGAAATTTATAATGATGGTGATGCTATATTTAACCTAAGTCAATTATATAAATTTATGAAGAATGAATTTAAACCCGATTTTAAAAATGTAGAAACTGGAATAGTTGAAATTATTGAAAAATTAATAAAATTGAATCCAAGTGAAAGAGTTTCAGCAAGGGAAATACTTAACGAACAACAGAACTTATTTCCATCATTGTTTAATTGGTTATATAAATTTTTGGAATCATTTAATAAGTTACAAAATTCTGACGACAGATTATTATACATTTATGACAATTTTGAAAATATAAGTAATCAATTAGGTTTTACTTATGATTATTCAGAAAATTCTGGAATACTTCCAATGAGACTTAATTTACCTTCCATGCCAACGAATTATCAAATTAAATCTAATAAATATTCTCAATCAACTATTATTATCCTACATGCAACAACAACATTATTAAATACATTACTGAAAGTTAGTCTTAAAATTAAAGCTTGTGATTTGATAGTATCCCTTTCGGAATATATCACAGATGAATCAAAATTAGATAGATCTATACCTTATTTATGTTCATATTTAGATGATGAAATAGTACAAGTTTTAACTCATGCATTATATTCAATAACTACTATATTATTAACAGTAACAAAGATTAATCCCATTAATACTTCATTTTTCATTGAATATTTACTTCCCAAGTTGCATCAATTATTATCTAAATCAGATATTATATCATCTACAATTGCTATTGTTTTACCTTATTTAAGTACAGTAGCTAAAAAATTTTATATATTATCTAAATCATTTAATACTACTATTGAAATATCAAAAATGCAACTAGATAATAAATTTAAAGAAATAACATTGAATCTATTAACTGGATCAACTACTGTCAAATGTTCATTATTGAGTAATATTTTACCACTTTGTCAATTTTTCGGAATTGCAAAAACAAATGATATTATATTACCACATTTAATATCATATTTGAATGATAATAATACGCAATTGAGAATAACTTTCCTAGATTCAATATTGCAGATTTCAAACTATATAGGAGCAATTCTGTTTAAGACATATATACTTCCTATACTACTCGATTCACTAAAGGATAAAGAAGAATTAGTTAGATTGAAAATATTACAGATATTTATTAACATAGTTAAAGATAGATTGATTATTGATATTGACCTATATCAAGAGTTAATCCAAGCAACTAGGAACTTTCTAATTGATAAAAATGAGTATCTTAAACAGAATACTGTTGTTTTGATACTTTGCATATGTGAAAATATGACATATGCTGAGAAATTTTGTATTTTATATCCTTTAATTAAAAATTATTTGGTTTATGATATTCCTTATATTGATTGGAATACTTTATATCCATGTATAAAGAAAAAATAAGGCTTATTTATATATTTTCAGTGAATAGATGGTTTCAATTATGGGTGCTTTATTGACGGTCTTTGAAATATTGATAAATAATTGGCGTTTTATATGAGTTCTTTGTAGTTGATATGTTGTTTAATGTATACACGGGTTTATTGGCTGCAACAGGATCAACAGAAAAATGCTAGTAATTGTAAATTTAAATTGACAATTGATGATACTTACGGTTCATGATCTTTAAATAATGATGTTACACCCTATATTTGATATGAATTGTGGGGGACGCAATTGATCTCGATGATCTTGTGACGATCAATTAAAATGGTTAGTAACCAATGCATAAAAGAATAAAATAAAAAAACGTTCTTTGAACTTCTTACATCTTTCACTCCTTTGTCAATTAAACATTAGAGATATAATTCAGTCGAATCGAATTCAATCTTTTCAGTTCGATTCAAGCTTTTAGTTCGATTCAAGCTTTTAGATTCAGCCTTAGAAATCGAAAAACTCTTTATCTTTCAATAAACACCATTTATTTTATTTTATTCTAGTGATGCCACTCGTTTCTTCACTAATTCTTGGCCTTCTTTTGATGCCCTTCGACTTATCTGAATTTGAATCTCCCCCAAACTAACTGTTAATGATTTGGTGATGAAATAAACTTTAATTATGCAGGACGATGAGATAAGTGGTAATATGCAGGATGAAGTAAAACGTATAAATAGAAACTTTGGGCCGTCTGAAAATTTATACTATAATGGAGGAAACTATAACAACAAGAACATCAACAGGTAGATTACCATTAAAGAATAATTTGTCAACTCAAGATAAACAGGGAATAGATTTAGCTTATGCTCAAGCTCAAAAATCATATAATGAAAAGGGCATACCTATTGGATCATGTTTAATAAATAATTCAACAGGTGAAGTCTTGGGTGTTGGTCATAATGAAAGAATTCAAAAACAATCAGCTATATTACATGGGGAAATGTCATGTTTAGAAAATGCTGGAAGATTGCCTGCTAAAATATATCAAAATTGTACATTATATTCCTCATTATCACCTTGTCATATGTGCAGTGGTGCTATTTTATTATATGGGATTAAAAGAGTTGTAATCGGTGAGAATGAGAATTTCATGGGTCCAGAAAAGCTAGTTAGAGATAATGGTGTTGATATTATTAATGTTCATGATGATAGATGTAAATTGATAATGCGAGAGTATATTAAAAATAATGAACAAGGTTGGAATGAGGATATTGGTGAATAGAATGGATACCAACAAGGTAAGGAAGTTATAGAGAGTGAATATACAATGATTCAATGGAATTAAATCAATTTTTTATTGATATTTCATGGATTATGTGATTAGACGTAGTAAAATGCGATCATAGATTATCAACAGCAAATTAAGACATAGTCAATTCTTAAGTATTATTTATTATATTCCAGATATAATTAAATCAATTAAACACCAAAAGAGAGCCAATTAACCAAAAATCACCAAATGATAGAATTAAATTATTTACCTTTGAATACTTTGTCGACTTGTTTCTTTAATTTTTCAAAAATTGAACCATTATTAACTTTAGTAGTAGCATCATCATTGGCAATAGTACCAGTAGTATCTTTATGTTTATGACCACCATCGAAAACATTTTTAATCATTTGCATAATACCATTTTTAGCTTTTGGTTCTGAAATTTCAGCAGCAGTAGACATTAGTATTAATTTAGTATAAGTATTAAAAAATTGAGACAAATTTCGAAGATATATCAAAAAAGAAATGCGTAAGTGGCGATTTAGAGATATATTTATAGTGTTGAAATTTAAAGTTTTAAATGGAATGTTAACATTAATTTATGAAACATATCATTATTTTGGATCAGAGAATTGCCAAATTCGGATTTTTAGTTGTCAATGCAATAAACAAAAGTCACGTCAAATGAGGAGAAGTTGCTGAAATAGCTCTTTAACTCATTAGTTCAGGTGTTGAAGATGTATAACGGACCAATCTATTGAATGGTTTCGAATCGGCCATAGATTTAGCAAAATCCAACAAGAGATGTCAAACTCAAGTTTGAAAAATCTCTATTTGTTTATTTTACATGAGTATTTGCCAATTTGAAATTGTTCATGCAGATCTAACGTTACATTGAGTCATAAGATAAATTTATTAATAAAAACTTTTCGTAAAAATTTGGTTGCAATTTGCAACCAATAAAAATATCGCGCAATTTTAATCAGGTACAAGATATAATAGAAAATCAACAATAAATAATTAGTTATATATTATTATAAATAGTCTAAGAATATAGTAGCATAAATAACTCTTTAATATCCAAGTAGTATTCTACTTGCATCGTTAGCATCTTACAATTTCGCTTTTCCATTACAAATTAAATTCCAATCATCATGAGATAACTCCTCGTATCCTCCATCTTTTAACCAATAAATCACTTCATCATTATTATCACCTTTTGGTAATTTTTGTTTCTTAAATTGATTTTTTGGAACTTTATGATTATGTGAAGCTTCAATATTTGCAATTTTAATAAAACATGGTTGAGCATAATTTGGTAAAGAAACTTGAACATGATCATGAATCATTTTAAGAATATCTTTATATTCCAATTCATCTTTTGGTTCAATAACAGCAAAACAAGCTCTACCTTCATGATTTGGAACTTTAACACCGACTACAACAGATTGTTTAATTGCTTTTGAACCCATTAATTCATTTTCAACTTCAGTTGCTGAAACATTTTCAGATTTCCATCTAAATGTATCTCCTAATCTATCAACAAAATACAATAAATCATCTTGATCCATTTTTAATAAATCACCAGTTCTATACCAAGCATCACCTTGACTAAATACATTGGTTAAAATTTTTTCATTTGTTGCTGATTTATTACCATAATAACCTTGAAAAGATTTTTCAACATCTTTTGGATTTAAAATTTTCATTAATAATTCACCCGGTTGATTATAATCTGCAACTTTACAAAATCCAGATTTTGGATCTCTATAAATTTCATTTTCATCTTCAGGATCCATTTTAATTAAAACTTGTTGAGTAGACAAAAGGAGGTTTATCAAACTACCATATTTTCTACAAGCACCAACTCCATATTCTCCATATTGTAAGTTTGTAGTTGCAATTGGAGATTCGGTAGCAGCATAAAATTCACCAATTGCTTCTATATGAAATCTTTTTTTAAATTCCAACCATATATCTTTTCTAAGACCATTACCATAAGCAATTTTAACATTATGATTTAAATGATCGGGATGTGGTTTGGAATTTAATAAATATCTACAAACTTCACCAACATATTGAATATGAGTTGCCCCACATAATCTAGCTTGAGTCCAAAAAGAAGTTGCAGAAAATTTTTGCGAAATTGAAACACAACCACCAACTAATAAAGTTGGACATAAACCTAACATAGCAGCAGTTGAATGGTATAATGGCATTGCAGTCAATACATTTGAATTACTTTCAACCTTCATAATAAAACCAAAAAATACAGAAGCCATAAAAGCTTTTCTCCATGACATAATACCAGCTTTTGGTAAACCTGTAGTACCAGAAGTATAAATTAAAGCACAAGCAGACGAATCAGTGTCTTGCGGTCTTCTAGTTTCATCTTTTGCTCTATATTTTGGAGTACTTTTTGATTTTAATCTATTAAATAAACCAAATTCATCAATATAATTTAATTTAACATGTGGTAATTCTTCATTAATTTTAGCTTGAGTATCTCTAATTGGACCATCACAATCTGGATCAATAAAAACTTGACTTACATTTGCAATTTTTAAACAATGAACTAATGGTTTATCTTTTGTATTAAAATTTAAAAAAGCTGGTAATGCACCAATATTCCATAAAGCTAACCATAAAACAACAAATAAAGGTTTATTCATACAATCAACACCAATTGTTTGTTTTGAAGTCACTCCGTATTCATTTTTAAGGATATACGAGAATCTTAAAACCATTTCATATAATTCTTTATAAGTATAATCTTCCAATTCAAATTGGTCATCTAAAATCGGATAACCATTTTCATCTAATTTAGGCGTTGGCGGTGATTTTTTAGGTCTTGGAAAAGCCAAAGCTTTATTTTTACCATTTTTAAAACAACTTTGCTCAAAATAGTACCAATATGAAGCTTTGCCTCTATTTGATTTCCATAAATATGGTAAAGCACTAGTTAAAACTTTATTAATTAACAATAAATCATCTTTTAATAACCATTTTGCTTCTAATAATTGACTACCTAATGCGACAGCAGCAGCTATTTCTAAACCTGACATGATGATGACACTATGACACTATGACACTATGATACTATTACTACTACTACTATTACTACTAATAACAATATTAATTATACGAATAATAATAAACCAATGGAAATATAAAAGAAGTAAAAATCAACTTGTTATAAAAGAATTCGGTTGTTGAAATTATTAAGAAATGAATATGAAAATTGAATAGTAGTAATTCGAATATTACACAAAACCGCAGCGCTACCAATTTGCACCATTTTTTTATTGGGGTTTCTATTTTTGAAAATTTCACACTCATTAGTACCAACAAATTGTATACTAGATCAGGTAATAATTGCGAGAAATAGATATATTACCATGATCAAATAGAGATTAATTGAGAGTAGCTTGGAACCTAGAAGAGAATGAATAAGAAAGAAAGTGAGAGAAGAGCGCTTTCTTCAAGCAGTTGTATGGGATTTTTTAAACGCTTATTTAAACGCTTATTTAAACGTTTATCTTTTGTTAAAGTTTTACCAGTAAATTCCATATCGACGAGGAATCTTAACTGAAAAATCTTAATTGAAAAATCTTAATTGAAGAATCTTTATCTTATGAATTAGTAAATTTTAACATCTGTATGGTTTTTGTTTAAGATGTTTTTATTGTTTTCTCCACGTTTATTCTAAAGTTTGAATTAGAATTAGACGAGAAAACTTTGAATTAGACGAGAAAATGCAACCGTGTGTGAATTTCGTTCGTTTTAAATCAGAGTTTTGATTAGGTTGAGGTTGAGTCTGATATCTGTCTCAATCGCTGTCCTGATCCTGATGTAGTAGTAAAGAGTAAATTTGAATGGATATTACATGAGAAATAAAAAACTTAAAATGAAATACTTACATGTGATGAATTAAGAGTGATGTAGCTATCACAAATGATAAGTAAGTACTCGATAAAGTAAAGCTCTGTAAAACGTGCGAAAGGAAGTTTGACTGTTATTACTACTTAATAGTCTAAATATAAGTTACACAGAATACAAAGAATACTAAGAATACAAAGAATACAAAGAATACAAAGAATACAAAGAATAGTGTAATTGGTAGCGATTTGATCAACCATTCATTCACATTCTAGTCAACAGAAATTGCCAATTTACAACCGAGTATATTTGATAATGTTAGTCGTGCAAATCACAAAAGCCTCTTTACTTATTACGGTTATTTTTTAGATAAGAGATGAAAAATTTTATTACGTCAACTTTTCTTGTATAATAGAATAACATTATTTGAATTTATTGGTACGGGCTGGTTATAGATGGTTATCCAAGGTTATAAGTGGTTATTCATGATGGTTCTTTAGTTTAAGAGTTGGTTGGTTGGTTGGTTGGTTGGTTGGTTTTGTCAGGTGTTATTGTCAGGTATTATTGTCAGGTATTATTGTCACGTATTATTGTCAGATATCATTGTCACGTATTATTGTCACGTATTATTGTCAATTTGTATGTCATCTCTTATTCTGGTAACTTGGTCGCTAATTTACTCAATTTTTATGATTTAAGTTAAATGATACCAGACTTTTAGAAACCAGTGGTGGTTGGTTGTTTAGGGCTTATTGAGAAAGGAAAGCTAGGAAAGCTGTTAATAGAAATTTAATAGCTGAAAAATGAGTTACACTATCCCATAAGTTTAAAATTAAAAAAAGTCAATTTTGAATTCAAATTATGCAACTACACAGTTATTCATAAATTTTATTATTAATCAAGACACTTTCTGATTCTTCACATTCTTCTTCATCACCTTCTAGTATAATACTAACATGTTGTTCCAATTTTCTTGAAGAATGAGTTTTTTTAATTTTGATTTCGCTAACAGTTTTATTATCAGTTTCTGTTTCTTTTGATGAACTAGATTCAATACCAATTTGAGGAGTGAAAAATTTTTCAGTATAACTAGTAGATAATGGAATCAAATTGACGTTAGAATTATTTTTATAATCATTTAATTTCTTAAAGTCAAGCTTCCATTGTAAAAAATTTGAATTTATTTTTACCAAAATTAAAATGACTTCCATTAACTTATCTGTTATTAATTTATCATCACCATGTTTCATAATTATAGACTTTAATTGTGTATTATTTACATCATTTAAATAATCTACCATACAACAATTTTTATGCTTCATAATTAATAATTTAAGTATTTCAATATAGAAAAATTTATTACGACCATTATTGCAGTTGTTCATTGAGTTTTGGAGAATGGTAATAAATCCAATATAATCATTACAATGACTATGATTGATTAATTCACGAATAATAAGTCCAATTTTCAAATCAATTTCAATTTCCACATTTGTAAAATTATGATAATTTATAATGTTCATTTGAAAGTTGATTAAATTTTTGAAAATGAGATTACGTGTTAAGATAAATGGTTGAAGGCTCCGTAATTCAAGATGTTTAGTTATTTTATAATCATTTTTCATTTCATAATTATTAAATCTGAAATGATACCATGAAAAACTTAATACCAACTCAACAATCAATACTTTAAGAAACTTATTTGTGAATTTGACAAAATAATTTGAATCAATTAATGATTCCATAATCTCGACAAATAATTGAAAGAATATATTTGGATTGATAGTTGTTGTACATTTTGAAATTGAGATTAATTTAATCATGAATAAATTTTGCAGAATTACATCGGTGGAACTATCAATTACATTCTTAATTTCATTTAAATCTTTATGATACTCATAATAACCTTTGTAACTTATTGAAGGTATATCAAGACAACTACCAATTAATTTATTTATGGAAATTTTTTGTTTTTGAAAATTTGGCTCCATCATATGAGAATAAACCTCTGTAATTAAACCATCTTCTTTAAGATAATTTAATGCCATTAACTGATCAATTGAGTATTTAAATTTAATTTCTGTTGGTGCAGAAGGTGAAAATGTCATTAATTGACTAGATAGTTGATACTTTGGTAGTGTTAACTTTTCAATACTATTGAATTGAGTATACCCAGAATCTTCTTGAATTAATTTATTTGAAGTTTCAATATCGTAAGTTTTTTCCTTATTATGTTTAATAATTACTGGTTTATCCCAATCGGTTAAATCATAAGTTTTGGTTGCATTATTATATTTTTTAATCATAGATAAAGAATACTCTCTAATTCCAAATAAAACAAATGATAAAATTATTAAAGTTAAAATTATTGTCATAAATATATAAAATGAATTTGTTAATAGAATATGAATTGGATCAATTGAAACAGTTAAAGTCACAATTTCCTGATTTTTATTTTCTCCTAATTTTAACATTGCATTGTAATAATTACTACTTAAATATTCTGGAACATCTTGTTTTAATGGATTATCTTTATCTGTATTAAACTTCAATAGCATTTGAATAAAAATTGATATTTGGTATGAAATTAATTTGGTTGCAAAAAAAAATCAAAATCAAAATATTACAAACAGATTACGTAATCAAAAAACGTGATTGAAAAAAAAAAAAATTGGTTTGAATTAAACCAAATCATAATCAGTTCATTATTAATAGTTTGATGTTTGCAAGGTCTAGATTCTTCTTCATGAAGAATTCAAGTATATTGAATGTATTAAAACAGAATACTTGTAAAATACTGTTAACTCCTCAACTTCAGAGTCAAAAACTCAATTTTTCAAATTTATTCAAAAGAAGATTTCTATCTACAACTATTTTAAGTACAAATGGAACAATTGTTGGTGTTGGTAATAATATCAAAGGTACTAGGATTGTTCCTCCGAAATCTGTGGGGTATTGGCTTCTAGGCGCTTCTAGCTTAATTTTCGGTATTGTTGTTATTGGAGGTCTTACGAGATTAACTGAATCAGGTCTTTCTATAACTGAATGGAAACCAATAACGGGTACATTGCCTCCATTATCACAATCAGATTGGGAAGAAGAATTTAATAAATATAAAAATTCACCGGAATTTAAACAATTGAATTCACATATTAATATTGATGATTTTAAATTTATATATTCAATGGAATGGGGACATAGATTAATGGGAAGATTTATAGGGATTTTTTTCGTTTTACCAGCGATATATTTCTATACTACCAAAAAATTCCCAGCAAGAGTTACAAAACGAGTAGTTGGTTTAACTTGTTTATTAGGATTACAAGGATTTATAGGTTGGTGGATGGTTAAAAGTGGATTAGATGAACAAGAATTATTAGAAAGGAATTCTAAGCCTACTGTTTCACAATATAGATTGACTACACATTTATCGGCTGCTTTCATATTATATCTTGCAGTACTATATCAAGGATTTGAAATATTACAAGAAAACAATTTAATTAAAAAGGTGAAAAATAATATCAACGTGTCTAATATCATAGAAAAATTACAAAGCTCACAATTAAATAAGTTGAGATATCTTGGATTTGGTCTTTTAGGTATTACATTTCTTACTGCAATGTCTGGTGGGATGGTTGCTGGTCTAGATGCTGGATTAATATATAATACATTTCCACATATGGGTGATGATTGGATTCCAAGCAAAAATGAGTTGTTAAGTCCAATTTTTTCAAGAAAATCAGATGGTTCTGATCTATATTGGAGAAATGCTTTTGAAAATCCAACAACTGTTCAATTAATACATCGTATATTAGCAACAACTACTTTTTTCAGTGTTATTGGATTACATATATGGATGGATAAAAAATATAAAACAAGATTGCCAAAGAGTGTGATTAATTCCATGAGAGTTGTGGCTGGTTTAGCTTGTTTACAAGTTAGTTTAGGGATAACTACTTTGATTTATCTTGTTCCTATATCATTAGGCGCTGCTCATCAAGCTGGTGCTTTGGCTTTATTAACAGGTGTTCTAGCTTTTGTTTCAAGATGTAGAAAACCAAGAAAAGAATTTGTTGATTATATAAATAAATTAATGAAACAACAATTGTTAAAGAAATAATGAGTTGATTGTACATAGGTATGTAAATAGATGAGATTACATGTAAATATATATGATAAGGATATTTTGGATATTGAGTATTAAATTATTTGGGTCAAAATGAAAATATTTGTGCCAAAAGACCCTGAAGACATGTCATAGGCTTATTCACAACTATTTCAGCTTCAACTAGCTAGTGTATTGGTTAGTGAGAGCTCTTTATTTCCAAATTATTGCATTTTGGTTGCAAATTTGAACAATTGAATTGTGGAAGAATTGAAGCTACATTATCAGAGAAAACGCGTTTGAAGAATAATATCAAGCAAATATATGAGATATAAACTTATCAATAGTTAACATAATAGTTATTGGAGGTGTATTAAATAAAATATTGTTCGATTATACTTCGTTTAAGGTTTTAATTTTGGAAATTTTGTTGCAAAGCGGTGAAAATGGTAGCGCCCATAGTTAATTTTTAAAAAACTATAAATAGATGAGGATGCCAAAAATTTTTGAAAATTTCATTTTAACAGCAAAAGTTTCATGAATAATATTGATGTCTTGTTGAGTCGGAAGGATCTTTGAATTTGTATACTAAGATTGGGTTTTCATTAGGACAATTATTTTCCACTGTTGCCAAAATTAACTTTGTCGATATCCAATCATCCTAATTCAGTATTGATTTTTTGATTTGATTTCATGGATTGATTCTTTGTATCATTTTTTGTAATGCTCCTGACATACCTCCAATGATTAACCGGGGAAGGAATTTAAGTTCACATTAGGTTCAAGTCAGCCAAATACTCGAATCTATTAATGGTTTGTTAATTTTTGGATTTCCGGAGGCACCATAAATACTTGATTCTAATAATTCTTCAACAGGGCCAGGGATTTTCAGTATAAATCCCCTAGTTGTAGATGTCTGGTACTTAAATCGGCATTTAGAACATCTTATCTTTTATATTAGAGTCTCATCAAATGTTTATTTGATTGAGATTCAAAAGGGTTTAATTCAACTAGTTTGGATTTAGCGAAAATCATCAAATCAATTGATTAGTCTACCCTTATTTATGTAGTTTATTAATATACAATTGATTATTATGTGTTTATTAATATTATTATGTATTTTCTCAAAATTAAGGGGTGGAAAAATATTCAAAATTACCTCCTAACATTGATTTGCTTGATTTGCTTGATAATCGTCAAAGATTAGAGAATAATTTTATTCAAACTAACTGGTTTTCAAACGTTATTTATATTCTTAAATACATTATATATACGACCCTTAAAACCATTAGAATTTTTTTTGTTGATTAATTTAACTTGTTTATGCAACTAAAGCTGAAGCAGTAGCAGATTCATATTTCCAATTTGGAGGTAAAACAGAAACGGTTCTGTAATATCTAGCTAATCTATGAATTCTTGATTCAATTAAAATTAATCTAAATTTTGAATCTTTATCTTTTCTGTTTCTTTCTAAGTGTTTTCTAACAGAAACAGCTTTTTTAATTAAATAATATAAATCTTCAGGAATTTCAGGAGCTAAACCGTTTGATTTTAAAATTCTTAAAATTTTATTACCTGTAACAAATTTAGCTTGTGAAACACCATGAGCATCTCTTAAAATAACACCAATTTGAGATGGAGTTAAACCTTTTCTAGCATATTTGATAACTTGTTCAACAACATCATCTTGAGATAATTTAAACCATGATGGTGCGTTTCTTGAATATGGAATAGCTGAGGATGAAATACCTTTACCCTAAATAAAATTGTTAGCATAATAATTCAACATAAAAGAATCTAAAAGAATCTAGAATCTAGAATAAAAACTATGATTGGAAAAAGAAAATTGACAACAAATGCAAAAAGTCCAGGGACAATATAACACCTTATAATTCAATTCTCTCTTTCTTAATTTAATCATTACACGGTATCAAATACTCAAAGCGTATATAATAATAATTCTAGGTTTTTTCGATAACCGTAGGCGAATTAATTACTTTGAATAAGACCCAAAAAATGCAACACATTAAATTAAAATATCATAGTTGTAATTGTAGTTGTAGTTGTCGTTTTAGTACTGAATTCTGAACATACACTTGAATGCATACGACCCATGTTGACTGATTATATTAATATTAAACTTGGTGATGGAAAGAAGTATGATGAAAATTTTTATTGGTATTAAAATTTTGTTTAATGCGAAAAATTAAATTTTTCAAATTGGACAAATTACACGACAGAAAAAGATTTGAAAATTTCAAACTGTCTATATGCAGTACTATACACCGGGTAACTTTCCTCTATTCTAATCTTCAATCTTTAATCAATTCATCTAATGATTCAAATTCCTCTTCATCTTCAATTTTGATAAGTTTATTAACTCCTGCTTTATCTCGAAAGATTTCGACTGCTCCAGCATATAACATTTTATATTGTTGTGAAGTAGTTGGTGGAATCCAATAAATTAATACCAATGGAGTTTTTAATCTATTATCATTTGTTTTATATGGATAGCTTAATATAATATATCTTGGTTGGTTATCAGGTAATTCTTCTACTAATAATTCTACTGAATCTATATCATCATCATCATCAATTTCTTCTTGTTCTATTTCATATGAATCTTTATTAATTTTGTAAATTGAAGCTTGTAATGAATCAGATTTAATCAGTTCAAATCTAAATTTCTTTATATTTGACAAAACAACTGATGAAAATGTGTATAAATTAGAAGACATGGTATACTGTTTGGTTATCTCTTCAGTTGGTAGTTGTTGATAAAATATTTCAATATTAGACCAATTTCCTAATTTGGATTTATCAAAACAAACAAAAGTAAATATAAACAAAACGAAGAGGAAAAATTATTATCAATACATTTAAACAACAAATAAGCGATAGATAATAAAGCATAATAGTTTATATAGATGGGTAAGAATAGAATAGAAGTTCCGTTGATTGAATTTCTTAAAAGTAAGTTTCATTAATTTGTTATTATTGCATTGATTTTGATTTACTAACATTTATAGACAAAATTTATCTTGGTGCTTATGATTCTACTCCTATTGATACAAGAGATTATGTATATTTCACAGTTGAAGATGCGTTACCTTACAATTCATTTCATTTAGATTTTGGTCCTTTAAATATTGGTAATTTATATCGATTTGCTGTTGTTTTACATGCTATTTTTAATGAAGATTCAAATCAAGGTAAAGCTGTTGTTTTATATTCTTCGACTTGTCCCAAACAAAGATCTAATGCTGCATGTTTATTATGTTGTTATTTGATATTATTACAAGATTGGTCACCTCATCAAGTTTTACAACCTATTTCACAATGTATTCCACCATTTTCTGGATTTAGAGATGCTGGTTATTCAAATTCAGATTATGAAATTACTATTCAGGATATTGTATATGCTATGTGGAGAGCAAAACAAAGAGATTTAATAGATATAAAGGAAAATTTTAATTTAGAAGAATATGAACAATATGAAAGAGTTGATCAAGGTGATTTTAATATTATAAGTAAAGATTTTATAGCATTTGCATCTCCACAACAAAAAAAGCCAGGGATAATTAATGAACCATTTAAAAAAGTATTGAGATATTTTCAAGATGCAAATGTTCAATTAGTTGTTAGATTAAATTCACATTTATATGATTCAAAGGAATTTACAAAAAGAGGAATAAAACATATTGATATGATTTTCGATGATGGTACTTGTCCAACATTAGATTATGTTGCAAAATTTATTGGTGCAGCTGAATGTATTATTCAAAAGGGTGGGAGAATAGCAGTACATTGTAAAGCTGGCCTAGGTAGAACTGGTTGTTTAATAGGCGCTCATTTAATTTATACTCATGGTTTTACTGCAAATGAATGTATTGCATATATGAGAATGATTCGACCTGGTATGGTAGTTGGACCACAACAACATTGGTTATATTTACATCAAAATGATTTTAGAGATTGGAGATTTACAATGTGTTTAGATAATAGACCATGTGAATTAATTGGTGGATTAAATGCTTTATGTAATTATGATGAATTTAAATCAAGAATGAAAGAAGCAAGAAGAAAAGTATTGCAACAGCAACAACAACAACAAATACAAAAGGCTAATTCAAGTTTTGGTGCAGATTCAAGTATCAGTTATACACCAAGTAGAAGAAGAAAAATATCAGGTGCTTTAGCTTCTAAAATTCAAGTTGCTGTTCCAATTGAATCACCAGGTCAACCTAGAAAATATGTAGATGAAGAATCAAATGAAGAAATAATGATTAATAATTCAGATGATGAAAATACAATGCAAGATATAATACATTCATCACCAAGAGCGAATACATCAACATCAACTCCAAAGAAAGAATATGCTTCTGAATGGAAAGTTTTAAGATCAATTTCAAATAATAATCAACAACCAATGCAATTAACAAAGACAACTACGACTACAACTACAAGAACAATAAGTACTACATTATCATCATCACCAAGTCATGAACAGCAGCAACAGCAGCAACAACAGCAACAAACTAGTCCAACTTCAAATTTAATAATACATAAATCACGATCAAATAAACCTAGAATTGGATCGAATTCATCACCAAGAGTACATTCAGGAGGGATAAGGAAATTAAGTGGTAAAAAGTATTAATATACATGTATTTTTAATCTATTAATTACTATATTGAAGTCAAATTCAGCATTTCCATATGTTACACTTTTTTGGGATCAATACTTTTTCATTGACAACCTATAATATATTCAAGTGGTTGGTTTTTGATATCCTTACTTTACATCCTTACAGATTTACTCATCATAAGCAGCTTCTATAATATTAAATTTATCTTCTGTAGTAAATGCAAATATTAAATAATCTTTAAAATTAACTTCACTCAATTGATCATCATTTTTGATTTCTATCCATTCATTATTATACGGTTGGATGATATCTCTAGGAATAGCTAATTTCAAATCATTAATTTTAATCTTAGACTTTATAATTGAATTATCTTCAATTTTCATATCATCAACATCATCTAATTCCAACTCTGGATCCTCAAATTCAGATTTAGGTACAACTATGTTTTCCTCCTCAAATTCCGACTTGGGCATTCCACTTGATTCATGTCCTTGTTCTTGCTCATCATCATCATTTTGTAAACCACCAGATTCATTAATTGCTGCTAATAATTTAAATTTCAAATTTGATAGAGTTAATTCTGATTCTTCAATTGGTAAAATATACGTTATTTTATTAGATTTAAATTTCAATATGTATGTAGTTGCAACTACTTTCTTCTTTGGTGGCTAATGTATACGTTAGTATTGAATTCATAGTAGTATTGAATTCATAGTATTAATTGGTGATTACTTACCATTTCTTAATTTGGTAATTTTGAAAAAAAACACAAAAAAATTATGAAACAATTGATGCAAAATTTGAATCATAAAAAATCAATATTGAATTTATACAGATATACATTGAAGAATATACATAGATTGAATGATAGAATACTAGAAGATGATACTAGACAGGTGGTGAATACGTTGTTTCGAAAGAAAATAGTTGATCCGATCACTATATCTAAATACTTATATGATGGTATGACATTAAATGAACTACTTCAATCTAAACAATATGATACAATACGACAAATGATAAATGAAAAGAAAGAATACCTCAAAAACATTCAATTACAAAAAGAATCAAAGAAACAAAACAAGGAACAAATTGACATCAAAAAAATCAATTTATTAAGAGGTAAAACTAAATCATTAAAACTTTCAAGAATAGAACATCCAAAACCAGCTAAGAAAAGTCAATGTAAATACATAGTTCAAATGTATATAAATAAACTAATTGAAAAGAATAAAATACCCAAAAATATCAAATTAGACAAATTGTATCTTGAATCCATCATAATACCCAATTTACAATTTGAATTAAATAAATTATACTATAATGATTTAATCAATAGATTCAATAAAGGTCCATTCCAATCAGATATTAAATTCACATTCTCTGGAGTCTTACCATTACCTTATATTATGACACCTTCAAAATTCAAATATGGAAGAAAAGCATTATATCAACATATTCAAAAACAAAACTTATTTAGAAGATTACTAAATATTTGGGAATCAAAAGAAGGTAAACGTCTAGAAAGTGAACATATCCTAAAAGATGGTGGTTATTCAGTATTGAAAAGTTTTGGATTTGGTGATTCTCAATTAATTTATCCACGATATCATTATGAAAAATATACTATCGGTGAGGAATTGATGGAATTATTTGTTGACACAAGTTTAAAAAAGGGTAAATTAAAGTTTGAGGAGTATAATTGGAGTGAGTATTTACAAATTTCATCTGATTGGATTCATGAAAATTTTGAAAATTTAAAAATGTTTGATAATGTAACTGAAAAACAAAGAAAATTTCAGAATGAAATGAATAGGAAATATGATAAGGATTTGATCAAGTTTAAGCAACTTCAGGAGTCCTTAAAGGAGTCTAAAAGTTTTAAAAATCAAATTGGATTTGATTTGGGGAGGGAGTTGAATAGGTTTGGTTTCAAACTGTTTGATTTAAATGATCCTGATTTTGATATGAGTAAGATTAATCAAAAATTGAACGCTATAGCTGATAAATACTAGATTTATACACCAAAACCCTCTAATATTATCTATTTCTCGATTTAATCCCATTATAGCTCTAGCTATTCGTAATATCATCATTTGCTACTAATAATACTAAACCACATATCCACCAAAACTTTTATCCGTTGTTATATACTCTTCATTCTCTTCTTCTTCTTCTTCTACTTCTTCTTCCTCTGGATTCTTTTCCACAAGTTCAAAGTCTTCAACTAATTTTATTAGCTCACCAGTATTATCTTTTTTCTCAATTGTTAAACCACTCATTAATTCAATTATTTCACTTAGTGATTTTCCAGTCTTATTTTGTTCATTTATAATTTCTTCAAGACAAGTTATATTATTTTCGTAATATAATGGTTTATTCTCAGGAAATGGTTCAGTGGTGAATATACCATCTCTTAACATTATCATTTCATTTCCTAATTGTTTTTCATAAAAGATTGAACTCTGATAATGTTCTTTACAACAATATTTATTTTTCCAAGTCATTGGTAAAACCATTGATGGTTTTCGATTATATAATTGATTTGAATTAGTATTGTTACACATGAAATAACCACATTTATGTTCTATATTCCTTTCTTCTATTATTTCATTATAGAATTGCAATGTAAGATATCTTGATAAGAATTTGAATAATTTAAAATCTGAAATGGTATTATCAATTAACAATTCAACTATTATGATTTGTAAGTTTGATGATTCTTTTGATGTCATTGTTTCTTTACCATGATAATCCAGTAATTGACTTATAAAGTCATTCAATGTTAAACTAGCCATAATATATATAGTATTCTGTTGATAATTTGATCTGGATCTAAATTCTCACCGTAAAATTTAAATTTATATCGAATGGCTAAAAAAGCATCAAAATTGAGTAAACAGAATGAAATAAAAGAAGAACAGGAACTGATAGATGAGGAAGTAGATGAGGAAGTAGAGAAGAAGTCGGTATTTCAATGGTTAAAACGATATATTAATCTGAGAAATTCATTATGGACATTACTTTTGGTAGAGCTAAAATTAGATCATCACCAACAAGAAAGTAAGAATGAAATTGAATCATTTCAGTCATTTCAAGAACTAAAGAATATGATCCAAATACCAATAGTACTTGAGAACTTCATATTACTCGGTTTATTAATTTGTTTAAATTCATTTTTGACATTATTCACATTGATACCATTAAAAATAATCATTGTCATTTTTCAATCCATTATTAATCCAAGTAGGCTCAAGATTATTCATAAGGACTTAGTTTTATATTCAATTGTGATTTTATCATTATTCATTCTTTCCAAATGGGATATTTCACGGATTTATCACGATGTAAGAGGTCAAGAAGATATCAAACTATATGTAATGTTTGGCGTATTAGAAGTAATTGAGAGATTATGTTCAAGTATAGGTCAAGACATATTCAATATCCTATTAAATTCAAATGGTGTGATATTTATCATATTTTATTTCATTACTTTGGGTTATTTATCTTTCCATTCTTATATTTTAATCTATCAAACAATTTCATTAAATGTGGCAGCTAATTCATATTCAAATGCGTTATTAACATTACTTTTATCTAACCAATTTGCAGAATTAAAATCATCAATATTTAAGAAATTTGAAAGAGAGGGACTTTTCCAAATTACAATGGCTGATTTATCTGAACGTTTCCAATTAAGTTTAATGTTATTTATTATTGGAGTTAGAAACCTTCTTCAATTGGGTAATATCACAATGATATTTCCAAATAGTTGGAATAATTGGAATAAATATTTTGGTGTTGTTTTTGGACCTAGTGTAATTGTAATTGGATCTGAAATATTAGTTGATTGGTTAAAACATTGTTTTATATCAAAATTTAATAAATTAAATTATACAATATATGAGAGGTATATTTATGTATTGAGTCTTGATTTTTTGGAATTATATCAAAAGGAAAATGATTTTGAAGTTTTATTATTGTCTAAAAGAATAGGAATACCACTATTAGCAAGTTTAGTATGTCTTATAAGAATGATCAACATTTCGAAAATATTCCAATCTTATAGCATGATAGAATATGTGGTGGTTCTGTTTGGTATTTTTTCATGCTTATTATTAATTCGATTATTATTAAGTTTAATAATTTTCAAAATAACTAATCTGATATTAAGAAAAAATAATAGAGCTATTGAAACTCCAATTGATTCTCCTTCACCTAATGGTTTAAGCTCCCCTTTTTTACCTGGATCTCCAAATACCGAATCATCATCAATTAATCCAAATACAAGATCTTTTTTATATAATTTAAATGAAAAAATACCACCTACAATTGAAGAAAGAAGAAAGAAAAAGGAACAAACAACTAATGATGATGATTTGAATGATGTAATGAGATATAAAATGTCAAGTAAACGAATATGGTAAAATATATAAGTAATTGAATACATAATACCATCTCTTTGGGGGTAATTACTTTTTTCTATCGCTTAAAATTTCAGTACATGTAAGAGAAATTTCCGTGCTAACAACGCGACAAGCAAGTAGCGCCTATTTTTGCGCCGGAGAAATTTTTTTAATTGTCGCATTAGCTCGTACAGGATAAATATCTCCGATGCGCATTTAATATAGAGAAATTAGCCGCTAAAGATATAAAGTATTATAAACAAATATAATTATGTATTAATAATTAATAAACTATATAAATAAGGGTAGGCGAACTAATTAATTTGATGATCAAAAGATCGACCAAACTAAGTAGCCTAAACTCTTTTCAAATTTTAATCAAATTGAAATTTTGACAAAACTTGAGGAAGATATACCACGACGTCGACTACGTGTCAAACAACGTGGATTATAATGACCAAGTCTAATTGAATAGTACTTGGATGTTCAACTTGGTTGACCATCAAAAAAACAACGATTCAATAACAGAATCAAATCTTCCCAAATTGACCAACATTAATAGCTTGCCATTAATTGATCGAATAACCAGTCAAACTATGAACAAAATAATCCAATTTGAACTTATCTAAACAATGAACATCAATGCTTGATATATTATATGTGTAATAGGTCATTTAGTTGACTATAATACGGTGTTTCATTGGAATATACCAGTATCATAACTGTTACAATATTATATAGAAGATTCATATCTCAAAGACATCCAATATCCAGATCGTATTAACTCAAAGTAATGAATGATATCATACTGAAGTCAAAAATAATTAAAAACAAAATCCAAAGTATTTCAAATTCTAATATTTTGTGGGGATTCGTCACCAAAGTATACACTTCATACGAATCATAATAAGACTTAACAAGCCTAAACACTCATTAAAAAATCTTATAAATCGTTATTAAATAGCCATGAGAAGAACAACTTGATACTCTAGATTTATTGTTGAGTCGTTCAATTAGATACAATCAACATGTCTTTTGCTTATTTAACGCGTATCCTCTGATTTACAACCAAAATCAATTTGGATAGTCAATAGTCATTGAAGAATTGATATAGAGCAGTAATGAACAAGATCAGCTAGCCAATTAATGTATAAACATGATTGTTTTTCTAGAAGGAACAGAAAAATGGTATTAACTTCATCGATTTTTGAATCAAAATATTTTAATAGTACTCAATTAAAGGGTCCAATTTTCATCTACAGGGTCCAACCTTAAAAGATTTTATTATCAAAGAAGTAATTTTATATAAAATTCAATTTAACTCAATTCAATTCGTTTTATATATGTCTCATTTGTATATATTTAGACTCTTTCTAAATTTTTAAACATTTCGATTAAACAAGAATAATGACCTAATATACCTAAAACAACACAAATATGCCAAATATTATGAGAAGCTAAAAAATAATCAACCCACCATAAACTCATGAAATTTTTATTAAATGGTTTATTTTCAATTGGATTTGATTTAAAATGTTTATCAATTAATAATTGAAAATCTCTTTCTTCATCATTTTCATTTTCATGTTTATTTGCAATTTCTTCAACTTCATCTTCAATTTGTTCAATCTCTTCTTCACCAGCCATACCCATTTTATCCAAAAGTACATCAGAAGCATCATAATTATGTTGACATGAACTAATATTATTTTCTTCAATTATAACATCATATCTCCATCTTTCAGGAATCAAACCACCATAAAATACGACACCAAGCATATACCAAATAAAACTTTTATAAGTTAAAGGTAAAAAAAATTTCAAACTATTTAAAAATCCATCAAAATATAATTTGAAAAAAAATGTAGTTGCTCCACCACCTGCTAATCCAACAAAAAATGCAATTCTAATTGATCTACATTCTGGTTTATCAAAATATGGAGACCAATTAAATATAAAACCAGTTAAACCACATAAAGTAGAAAATATAATATAAGCTTTTAATAAATTTTTATGTTGATATAAAGCACAATATTCAACTGATATTATAGAACATGTAATTAAGACAGTTATTCCAGTATAATCAATACATGCAAATCTTTGTCTAGTGGGATAATGAGCAAAACATGAATAAGTATGCCAGATTGAAGAAGTAATTAAACATTTAATACTAGCAATTAAAAAAAAATAAATTATTAAATTATCACCAAAAGTATTATTATTATTGAAAATTGAAGTGCTTGGAAATTGAAAAAGTGCAATATATAATATTATCCCTAATCCAATTAAATGAGACCATATGTTCATCGATTCATTATGATTAAATTTGAAAATTGATCTTAACATTGTTGAATGGTTCAAACTAAATCTATATCCATGTATGATATATTTATTTTCTCTCCAAATCAAAGGTAGTTCATAATAATGTAAATTTCTAGATTCTGCATATTTTAAAGCTTTATTAAAATTAAAAAATTTTAATTTATTTAATAATTCATTATGTGAATAATCATAATCTACAGATTGTGGTTGTTTATCCTTTATAAAATCATCAATTTGTAATAATTTTTCATCAAAATATTGCATGGTGGTGATAATCTTTTTAGAAAGTATCTCTTTCTTATTTGGACCCGAAATTACCGTGGGTATATTATCTGTGGTTTCTTCATTGGAGTTGAATAAATAGTTATATTGATCATCTAGTAATTTATATAAGTTTTCCAAATTTGTAAATGAATTAGATAACACTTTACTACGGATTAATTTCAATCTTTGATGAATTTGATCTAAATTATTTATTGAAAATTCTTTAATTGATTTTAATGAAGTTGAAGAAGATGATCTTCTATGAAATATTCTATGTTGTTCTTTCTCCTCCTCCTCCTCCTCCTCTACTTCATCTATTACTTTCCCATTATCATTATCATTATCATTCTTATTATTAAACTTGAAAAATTTTTCAAAATTATTTAACCTTGATTCTAACGATGAAATAAAAGTATCTAATTTTTCAACTAACAATTCTTCTGATGAAAATATACTATTTGATGAAAAACTTGAAGATCTAGATCTTGGTTTATCAATAGTTGTTGATCTTTGATTTAATGATTGATCAGATGTAGAAAAGATTTGAGTAGAAGTTGTCATGATAAAACTAAATCATATAAAATAAGCAGCAATAACCAGTTGATAAATAAGTAAAGAATGAATATACGTCAGAAGCAGCAGCAGCAGCAGCAGTATTAGTAGTAGTAGTAGTAGTAATAATATTGGTTGTAAAAGGTGAAAACTTATAGTATATGATTTGATAATTTTAAGGGCACGGAAAGGCGGTAGTGTATTTATGATAAATATGTGAATAGGGGGGATATGATATTATGTAAGATAATGTAATATCTTACATAATTTGATACTTTAACATTATTTGATACTTAAAAAAAGAAATATAACGTTAAAATTATGTAAGATCTTATAAATTTGACAGAATTTGAAAATTACATAAGACCTTATATAATCTGATACGCTGAAAATGAAATAGAATATGAAAATTATGTAAGATATTATATAATCAGATACTTGAAAAGTAATATGAAAATTACGTAAGATCTTATATAATCTGATACCTTGAAAAAGAAATTTTTACTAATTGAATGTCTAAAAGAGGAAAGCTTAATTCCGATGGATTTGACATCAATTTCTACTACTACTACTACTACTAAAGGTTATAAAACTTGAAAGAGTTTGATTGAAATCTTAGTTCATAATCTGAAACCATCATATATATATATTGTTTAACCTATTTTTTTTCTGATAATGCTGCAACACCAGGTAATTCTTTACCTTCTAATAATTCTAATGAAGCACCACCACCAGTTGAAACATGAGATAATTTATCAACAACTCCATATTTCTTTGCAACTGTTGCAGTATCACCACCTCCAATAATAACAATATTACCATTTTCAGCTGACTTAACACATGCATCTAATAATGATTTAGTACCATTAGCAAAATTTTCAAATTCAAAAACACCTGGTGGACCATTCCATACAATAGTTTTTGCTTTTGATACAGCATCTTCAAATAATTTTCTTGATTTTGGTCCACAATCTAATCCCATCCAATTATCTGGAATACCTTCTTCTTGTGTTGCTTCTCCAACTTTTGCATCTTTATCAAATTTATCTGCAGTAATAAAATCAACAGGTAAAATTATTTCAACATTATTTTTTTTAGCTTTTGCAACTAAATTTTCAACATTTTTTGATCCTGCTTCATCAAATAATGAATCACCAATTGGCATATTATCTAAAACTTTTTTAAATGTAAATGCCATACCACCACCAATTATAATCATATTAACTTTATCTAATAAATTATCAATTAACTGAATTTTATCAGAAACTTTAGCACCACCTAATATAGCTAAAAATGGTCTCTCTGGATTTTCCAATGCTTTTGCAAAATATTCCAATTCTTTTGACATTAAAAATCCTGAAGCTCTTTGTGGAACTTCTAAACCAACCATTGATGAATGAGCTCTATGAGCTGTACCAAAAGCATCATTAACATAAACATCAGCTAATGAAGTTAATTGTTTTCTAAATTTTTCAACAGCTTCTTTTGATGCTTTTGTTTTAGAACCATCTTTCTCTTTTTTTGAACCTTCTTCTTCAATATGAAAACGTAAATTTTCTAATAAAAAGATTTCACCATCTCTTGAAGAATTGATTTTTTCTTCAACTTCTTTACCAACACAATCATGTAAAAACTCAATATGTTTACCATCTAATAATGTTGATAATTCTTTTGCAATTGGTTCCAATGAAAATTTTTCATTAACTTCTCCATTTGGTCTACCCAAATGAGAAGCTAAAATAATACATCTTGGATGATGTTCTTCAACATATTTAATTGTTGGTAAAGCTGCAACAATTCTTTGATTATTAGTGATTTTTTTACCATCTAATGGAACATTAAAATCAACTCTGATAAAAACTCTTTTACCTTTAACATCTAAATCTTTAACAGATAATTTATTTGATAATGACATTTTAAATCTATTTAATGACAATTGAATCGAACTGAACTGAATTGAATTGAATTGAATTGAAAAGAAGAAGTAAAAGAAAATAATAGAATTTTTTTTTTTGCTGGGGAAGCAATTGTTTAAATAATTCGTTGATAATTTGACAACCGGTGAACACTACCAATTGTAATTTAATTATAAGGAGAGGTTATTGAACAGCAGACTTATTGGACAAGCACACCACTACAATTCAGTGTAACTACTATAATAAATAGATCAGATCCGTAAATTTAATATTTAATATTTAATATTTAATATGTATCTTTGCATGGAATCTCAATTTCAACATCTCATGATTTCTTAAATTTCATTTTTAGTGAGAGAAAACGTGAAGCGGATAAGATCAATCCATTTGGTTATAATTATTCACTCTTGATTATATTTGGTAGCTCTTACTTCTTCTCTATTTAGTATATAATATTATGATGATTACAATCTAATTTATACCATCGTTTTGCTTGATTTCAATTGATTTGATTCGCTCATTTGAACTACCAAATTGAAATTTCGAATTATCCAATTAAACCGAATTAGATAATCAAGGACCAACTACTGTGAATATGAGACCAAAGGTATTTATTGTCCAGATGATATCTCTCGTTATATATTATACTTAGACCTAAAGCTTAGATACGTGCTCTCTGTCTAATTTAAATGGATAATTTACTCTGTATTATATTGGAATTTATATTTAATGGAAGTTTATTATGGAAAAAATCGAATGCGCTACCATGTGTAAAAATTTTGCAGCCATTTTTTTGTCAACATTAATATAGAGCATGACAATCAAAGGTCCATTACACAACAGTAATTGCTTTTGACACCTTCAAAACGGTTTTCATATAATAAACAGTAATTAATTTTAACACTTCCAAAACGGTTTTCATATAATAAACATTAATGTCTTGTAGACACCGCACCTGTCTTGTTTGCGGTGTCTTCTTCTATTACGATTTTGTAACATTGTATTTAAATCACAATTACGAGTCTTTTGTTAGTTTCATCAACAACTGACTGCTTCAATCATAAAATGCAATCTGATGTATATTTAAGCATTTCAGTTTAATTTTTCATAGATCTAAAGTCCGTACTATTTCCATACTAAAACTTTTGATTTAATTGTCAAATTTCCACGAAAATGTTGAAAAGTTAAGATTATACAACAGTGTGCTCAACAGCAATATTGACCTCATCTACACAAAATCTCTTCTGTTCTTTAGCAACTATACCTGGTCGAAAGATAAGAGAAATAATAATGATGGATCCTTCAGTTTAACCATTTAAAAGAGACCATAAGGATCAAAATTTATTCACAGTAGAGTTTCTACGTATAGACTGAATCCACGGTGAATCCACGATGAATCCACGGTGACCCAAGTTATTATCAAACCATTAGGTTAGGATTGACACTTAGCATGCATGTTGAGATTAGACTTCGAAATAAGAAAAAGTATCTGTATTAACTCGTCGATGAAATATCTGTATTTCTTTCTGCTTCGTCGAAAGAAAACAACAATATAATGTATATTCTTCTCAAATTCAATCTCGTGTCATTTTCTCTCTACTTCTTCTATTCTTCTCAAATTCAATGTCGTGCCATTTTCTCATATTCTTCTATTCTTCTATTCTTCTCAAATTCAATCTCGTGTCATTTTCTCTCTACTTCTTCTATTCTTCTCAAATTCAATCTCGTGTCATTTTCTCATCTTCTTCTATTCTTTTGGCTTGTGTTGAATTAAAATATAATAGAAAAGTTATAATAGTTTCGATTTTGTGTTTGTTTATTTTTTCCGAAAAAATCACGTTTTTTTATTTTTTTCGCGTTTTGTGTAATAAAAATCCACGATGCTACCAATTTATAATGTATATTTTTAATACAAATGGTATGATAATCGATCAAAATCATCATCTAAATCAATTTTAGATGGTTTGTAAGACATAGAATTATATCTACTAGTTAATTTAGTGCCGATTAATCTATAAAGAGCTAAATAAACAGTTTAACAGTTATAATTTATAACCAGAGAAAGGGAGCTACAATAAATGGTGATATTACTCTCTAGGAAACGCAATTGGTTGGTTGAAACACTGTACTTGGTATAAAGCACAATCTTTCTTCATCTTATATACATCTATATACTCTTTCTTTGTGTTGGCTATATTATAAAATTGCAAAATTTGCAATAATTGTTTGTTTTTATTTTGTTTTTTATTTACAAAAAAAAAAAGTTAATTTTTTTTATTTCCAAAATTGAACAAACAATTTTGGCAAACTTTTTCCCACTTTTCATTTATTACATTAAGATTGATTAACTGTCGCTTAATAACTGTCATTTATTGACTGTCATTTATCAACTATTCAATTGGAAGAAAAGAAAAGAAAAGAAAAGAACAGAAGGAAGTTGTTTCTTTCATTAATTATAATATTCAATCGTTAATTTTTACCAACTAATACCCTTTGCTCCTTTCAATTAATAATAGATATATTTTCAATATGACACCTCAAATGGCTTCATTTCCTACTTTCATTAGACAATCTGAACAATCTCCTAGAAGTTTAGATAATGCTTTTCCTCCATTTAAAGTTGAACATCGATATAAAGGTGTTTATGAGAGAGCTGGCTTTGATGTAAATAGAGGTGGTAATTCAAAATCATCAGATAATATTAAAACTCAACATTATATGAATAACAATCAGTCAAGAGTGACTAACAATTCTAACTATAATTATACACACGGTAATGACTCAAAAGTGGCTAATAACGCAAATTATGGTTATACTCATAATAATGATTCTAGAACAACTAATAACTATAATTATACTCATAATAATGAATCAAAAACAACTAATAGTAGTAGTGGTTTTTATGATGCTTCTTCACAATCATTTAAATATAATAGATATGAAGTGAATAATCGATCAAATGAAAGTAATAATACTATTAAAAGTAAAACAAATCATTCTATTCCAAGATCAATTTCAAGCAAATCAAGTAATAATTCACAATATAATAGATCAAATGAAAATATTCAAAACAACTCACATTACAACAACAATCAATATAATAGATCAAATGAAAATATTCAAAACAACTCACATTACAACAACAATCAATATAATAGATCAAATGAAAATATTCAAAACAACTCACATTACAACAACAATCAATATAATAGATCAAATGAAAATATTCAAAACAACTCACATTACAACAACAATCAATATAATAACTCAAATGAGAATGTTGAAAATAATACTCAATTTTCATCATCTTCTCAATCAAGTAAAAAACTGAGTCTTAATTCAAATTTCACAAATAGATTTAATGATTCAAAATCAAATAGTTCAGTAACTTCAATTTTTCAAAACACAACAGAAGATAAATCAATTACTTATCTGGAGAATAATCATGAAAATAAACAAAGAAATATTAAAAATTTAACATTGAACTTAAATGAAGAAGAAAACTATAATGATCAATTAAATAGTTCAAATTCATCAACTTCACGAGAGAGATTTGATCCAAGAAGAATAAAAAGAACCAACAATTCAATTAGAAATATAATTCCTGATTCAAAACCATGTAATTATCATCAACCACAATCACCAAAAATACAATACGAACAAATGATGTCTAATCAAAATCAACAACAGATCCCACTTCCATTTTCAGATAATCAAGTACCTTATTCACCAGGATATCCTCCACGTCTGCAAAATAGACCACAACCAAATTTAAATCCTTATTCATTATTGAGAGATAATGGAGATAAATTAGGAAATGCATTAGATGAATTTAAAAATGATTTTAAATCAAGTAAATCACCACCAACACCAGCTACCCCTCCAGATTTACCAAATATGAGTCCTTCACAAATTGAATTATCTAAATTTGAAAATAACAAAGATTCTAGATTTTCATATGGGAATAATTCAAATAATAATGTTTCTGATCAATTTAAACAATTTAAAAATATTCAAGTTGCAAAAGATGAGAATTTAAATTCTGATTATCAAAAATTCTTAAATATTGATAATGATGATAAGAAGAGAACAAGTCAAGTATCTATGGTTAGTTCTGTATTGAGTAAAGATTCATCATCAAATGATGAAGAAGATGAAAAAATTGAACAAGAATTAGAAAGACAATTGGAAAGTTTGAAAATATCAGGAAGTGAAATTAATATAGATAAGAGTTCAATATCATCGAATTCAACAAATCAAAGGGATGTAAATAAAAATTCAATTTCATCTAAGTCATCAAATGATGCACCAGTAAGTCAAAATAAGAATTGCATTTCATCAGTTTCTTCAAATAACAATCCACCTATTCCACAATTTACAATTCAAGATATGGATAAAGAGAATAGAATAAGTGGAGAAAGTAATTTTGATGAAGTTTCAATTGGATCAATTGAATCAATTAAACCATTATCATTTTCACAATCAAATGTATCACCAACTAAAAGAATAATAGAAGAACCAATAGAGGAAGAGCCAATAGAAGAAGAAGAAGAAGAAGAAGAAGAAAAAGAAGATTTAAATGAAGATGAAATTAAACCATTAAGAACAAGATCAATAGACTCAATAAAACAAAAACCACTACAAGAACAGTATAAACAATTATCACCACCACAATTTCAATCAGAATCAGTAGAAGAAGAATTTAAACCATTATCACCAAAAACACACTCAATAGAACAAGAACTTCAAAACATGAATTTCCAAATTGAACAAACAACAGAATCACCATCAAATTTTCTCAACCAAAATGAAACTTTCCCATCAGGTACTGGACCATGTCGATCATGTAATCAATACATAGATTTATCAGTAAAAGGTAAAAATAAAGCAATTTTTTCCAAAACGGGTGAATTATCAGGTCAATGGCATAGAAAATGTTTTAATTGTAATTATCAAAATTGTGATATAATATTTAATAAAAATGTTCAAGTTTATGCATTCAATGATAAACCATATTGTTTTACACATTATCATATTTTAAATGATTCAATTTGTCAAAGTTGTAATATTGGAATTGAAGGTAGTTGTATTGAGAATGATAATTTACAAAAATGGCATCTTGATTGTTTGAAATGTAATCAATGTAATCAAAGAATTAAAAATGATTATTATTTAATTAATGATTTAGTTTATTGTGAATTTGATGCTAAAAATGTAATGAATAATAAGAATAAAATCAGTATAAATGATAAGATTGAAAAAAGGAGAACTAGGGTATATAATGTGAATATATAGAATTGTATTAAAAATTTAATAATTATACATACACTGTTTGTCTAGTACCGTACCAGTTCTTCGCCTTACGTGGAACTAAAGTCTAGTACGAGTCGGCATAAAGCTAGTGCGAGAAATTGGTATTCTTTTTTGTATCAATTTATCGCATTGAATACTACCTAATTCTGAAACAAATTTGCCTATATGCAGTCCTCCCATAGTTAATTTCAAAATTTAATTTGTTGATAAAACTCCGTCAATATTTAGGCTATACATGTCAAATTTTTTCATCATGAAAACGTCAATGTATTTGGAGTAGTTTGGCATTATTTTTTGTCTAAAAAAATCACAAATTTGAATACTTTATTAATCATTTGAAAATCGAGAAAATCGAAAAACATCGCATTGGCTAATAATGGAAACACTTATTGATCTTGTAATAACCATTCTCTGAACATCTAAAAAATTTCCTTCGAAAACGTCCAGATAAGACAATAGAATAGTCGAGTAATATAAATCAAATTGAATTACTTTTTATATGGGACATATCAGCTCAAATTTTGTAGTTCGGAAGGTATTCGGTTTTCTAATGTGAAAGCGTCTATATTTAATCCATTATATTTTAAAATTTATATGTTTAGAAAGTATTAGAAAGTATTAGAAAGTAGCATCAAAACTAAAAAGAAAAACAAAGAAAAGCTATTTATCATTCATTGCTTAGTTTCTACTTGTACATAGTAGAACCAATTGAGATCTATTGATTTTTTATTCATTGTCCATCTTACTTCTACGTCAGAACCGATAAGATCAAAATCATCAGAGTTTAATTAAATATCTGTCTATCTATCTATCTATTTATTATCTATCTATTTATCTATTTTAGAATCATCCCTATTATCAAATCTAACATCTCTATCATCATCATCACTTTCAATTATAAAATTGTCAACATCAAAATCATTCGAATTTAATTCAATATTATAACTTGAATTCTCTTGACTTCCTAATTCCAAATCATCTTCAAAATTGCCAAATACTAAATTATCATCGACAAATTCATACTCATCAGAATGCATCTCAAATAACTTTTGTTGCATTTTAACATATATTAAATAGGTAGCTAGACTAGCAGCAGAAATCGTAATCACAATAGACACAATATCAACAATTCTACTACTTGTTGTTTTCTCACTGCCGAGTTCCTTCAATTTCCAACCGATAAATAAATGAATAAGTAATTTAGGACTTGTTATTAAACTAGCTAAAAAGAAATTCAAAATTTTGAGATCTGGTATTGCTGCTAATGCCCCATTTGAAAGTGAATAAGGCAATGGACATAATCTGATTAATATGAGTAAAATTAACGAATTTGTATCATCTTTCAAAATTTCGGAAAATGCTTTGAATTTATCATTGATTGAAATTAAATATTGAGCTTTCTTAGTCAATAAATATTTAAAGATTATGAATGATACTAATGAGCCTGATATTGATGCAAGTGCTAGTATCGGCCAACCAGCAGGACATCCATAAATCATACCCGTAAGGAAAGAAAGGGCTGAGAATCCAATTAATGGAGGAAATGAAACCAAAAACACTAATGTGAAAATAATGAGAGTTCCATATTTAAGATCTTTCCACGAGTTAGATAATGTTATAAGAAAATTTATGATTGTTGAATGAAAAATAAGGAATAATATACCTAGGATGAGTAAAACTATCAATGCAATGATGACAAGTATTTTTTTGAATATTGATAAATTATTAAAGTAGGTGATTGAGTCGTTTCCTATTTGATTAAATTCATTTATTTTTGATAATAGGAGTTGTTTGAATGTTTGTGGTTGGTGATGTCGTTCTTCTAATCGTGGCATATATATATTTTTGACCTTTGGCTTTTTATTGTTGAAAATATGAAACATGAAGAAGAAAAAATTATAAATTTGTTAGGAAATTGGTATGAATGAGCTGCAAACGGCGATTTTACCAAGATTGAATATCAACTGAAGCTTGATAGAGATATGTTGAAGAGTATAGAACTTGCTATTTAATATTGAGACGCTTTTTAAACGAATGGAAGGACTTAATTGAGAAGAAATTGATAAAAAAAGTTTAAGACACTTGGTAGCTTTTTGATAATAAGAGTCGTTATTGTTTACTTATTGACATCGTTATTGACATCATGACCTTCTATATTGCATCGTTACTGACATCATTACCTTCTATATTGCATCGTTACATCTCATAATCGTAAATGTATGTATATTATCTATAAATAACCACGATAATATAAATATAAATAATTTGAATTAATGAAAATCGTCATCATGTCTATAATCAGTATACATTTCATCCCATTGATGATCAACAATTTGACCCTTTCTAAATGGTCTATTAAGTTGAGGAGTATCATTAACTAACCAATCATCATCTTCTTCCCAATTTCTAGGTTTTACTTGACCACCACTTATTAATCTAGCAGCAGTTAAGGGATCATTAATATCATTTAAATCACCATCTTTAATATGAGCTAAGGGATCAGGTAATTTATTTTGCGGGTGATCTACAATTTCCTCTTGTTCACTTGGTTGATTCGATAATGTCTCTCCATTCCAATTATGATTCAGAGTATGAGTATGTATTTCATTATGCATTGGTTTATGATAATCTGGATTAGTTGTATTTGAAGTTGTTGGTGTTTTTGAAATTTGAATATTTTCGAGCTCATTTTCACCTCGCAAGTCATTTTTAGTTTTACTATTGACTAATTTATCACCTTCTAATTCTACTTGTTTATCTCCAATTGAAGACATTAATTTTAAAAATTTACTATTTGCAAATTTATCATTCATTGTGGAATCCTGTGAGTTTATTGACTTCATTGATGATTCAACTTTACGTGCAGATTCAGCAAATTCTTCCTTTTCTATATCTGAAGTCATCTGCTCGTTAAATTGTTGTTGTGTTTCATTTAATTCTTTTTCAATCATATCGAATTGATCTTTGAATTGAGCATCGGATGATTCGATTTTATGTACTTGTTGATGTTCGGATTGTTGACTAAATTGAGGAGTTGACATTTGTGATCTATATTGTAAACCTGAGTTTATATATGCTGGGGTGAATTGTTGTCTAAACTGTTGTGGTTCATGATTTTTTTGTTGTAGTATGTGGTTTTGTCGTTGTTGTTGCTGTTGTTGTTGATTCTGCATAAATTGTTGATGCCAATCATTTTTTAATCCTATACTCTGAGCTTGATTTTGAGCGTGTTGTTGTTCTATTGATAAGTTTGAAAAATCATTTATCCAAGCACCACCCTTATTTTGTTGAAGATGTTGAGAATGAGGTTGAGGTTGATTGAAAGATTGTTGTTGGAAATGTGATGGTGTTTGTTGTTGTTGATTTACTCTATTAAATTGTGAAAATTCATTATTTAATGAATGATCAACAATTTGTGGATTACTAGATTTAAAACCGAGATTTTGTTGTTGATGGAGATGATGATTTTGATTTTGATTTATATTATTATATAGTTTATTTTGATTAGTGAAGTTATTTAAATTCTTAACAGCATTTGATGGTCCACAACTAGCTGATTCCATATTATGATTGTTAGTATTTATTAGTTATATTCGGTTAATTGAAGAATGAAAATGAATGGAATGAAAAAAAAAAAATCGTGGGGTCGATTCTTTTTTGGTTGTATTTACACGACTTTTTGACACGTGATAAATTTTATATTTTATCCGGTGGAAGTACGTACACATCATACACACCAAGTAGATTATTGTAGTAAAGGTTATTGATTATTAAAAGTAGATGAGAATGAAAGATGACAATTGAATAAATAGAATGTAACGATGTTATATATATTATGGTATTGAACTGTTAAATTTTCAAAAAGCTTATTAATATTATGATTTACTGCTATTCGGATGAACTTTTGTTATTGGTAAGGGCACGACAATTTAGATTCGTCGAAAGTATTATAGAAGAATCACTAAATAACTAAGCTTTATATAACTAAGCTTTATAGCTGTCCATAGAGTATATTTACATTAGTTACGACGAGTTGACTTAAGCTAACGTATTTCGTATCGATGGGTTTAGAAAAGTTTCATGAATACCCTCACCAAGTTGAAGTTGAAGTTGAAGTTGAAGTGAAGTTGAAGTTGAAGTGAAGTTGAAGTTGAAGTTGAAGTTGAATAGTATATCATGAGAGGAAGCCTTCTATAGTAAAAAAGTAATACGACATCTAAATAACATATTTGAACGATTATATATGTCAAACATATGTAAAGGGCTGTCTTTTTTATTTTGAATTGAATTCTGAAACTCGGCTGCAAATAAAGAAAAGAAGAAAGCCAAAATTTCTAGTTATTGACGTTATTCACTCGCTCAAAAGACTTACTAGTAATAACTATATGACATTTTTAGTCAAAAGTATCCATCGTATCCATATACAACTTCAACTTACAATTCTACAGTATAATTGCAGTATATAAAATAATAGACGCCAATTCATCAAACATTATAAATTAAAAAAAAAAAAAAAAAAAAAAATAAAATTCTCCTTTCGGAAAAAAACAATTTTCAACTTAACCAAAACATTTGCAACCAACTATTAGATCAAGTACAAGATCATATATTCTTTCATTTATTATTACTACTCATTTATTAATTGAAATACCAACTATTCATTCATTCATTCATTTACTATTTTATCACTTTTTTAACTGTTTTTTTTTAATTTTATTATGCTTAATTTAACTTCATTATTAGAATTTGAAGATTCTTTATCTCAATTAGATAACAATGAAAGTAGTAGAGTTAACTTATTATTAAACAATTTAGAATGCAAAATTGATTTCTTCAAGAATAACAGTATAACCAATAATAGTAATAGTACTAATAATAATACTAATAATAATGATAATAATAATGATAATAATAATTACACTGAAAATTATGAAATTGAAGAAATGCTACTTGAAAGGTATATTAGAGGTTATAGTGTTTATGATGATGAATTTGCCAGCTGTAACAAATGTGGAACAAATCTCAAGAGTGTGGAATGTCATATATCTCGAGAACATCGCACTGAGTCTGAAATTTCAAAAGATTATACAAATGAGCCTGAAGCCAATGACAACATTATTATACGAAAAAATGGTGAAATTAATAATAATCAAGATTTAGAAAGCATCACTACAAATGGATCAAATGGATCTTCTCTTAATGTCAATCAATGTTGTCTTGATTATATTGAATTAAATAATCAAATAAATTTAAATGATTTAGAGAAAACATATTGGAAATTTTTCATAAATAATCCAACTACAACTTTGAATACACTCCCAAATTATACGCAATTTATAATATTAAAACAAAATGGATTACCAAATGCCATTCGATCTTTAATTTGGTCAAAATTATTATTATTATTAAACTACAATACTTGCAATTTTGAAAATATATCACAAATTCAAATCCCAGAGAGTTTTGATTTAATTTATTCAAATTTTCAGCATTCTTATAACATTGAAATATCAAATCAAATAACCAAGGACCTAAATAGGACATTTCCAACAATATGTTTTTTCAAAAAACAAACTACTATATCTGATTTATCTACTATTCTTAACGTATATGCAAATTACGATTATAAATTAGGTTATTGTCAAGGTTTATTATTCCTAGTTGGTGTTTTATACTATCATTTAAATCAAAATTGTCAATTGACATTTTATTCATTATGTTTAATAATGGAAACAGAGCCTGAATTACATGAAATTTTCACAACAAATATGATGTCTTCCACTTTGAATAAATGGTACCAAGAGTTTTTATACATTTTGAACATCATTGATATTGAGTTGTTTACTCATTTGATTCAATTTGATAATTTGACTGTGTTTTTGTATCAATGGTGGTTGTCTTTTTTAAGTTCACATACTCCAGATTTATCTACAATTAATAAAATATTTGATTTCTGTTTAATTCAAGGTTGGAAAGTTGGATTATTTAAAATTTCATTAGGTTTATTAATCATAAATAAACCTATTATAATGAGTTTAAATCATGAATTTGATACTGAGGTACTATATCAACATTTATTAAATGAGACAAAATGGGGCAATGTAATTAATAAGTTGAACTGGTTCTTTGGAGAGTTGTTATTTTCTTGGAATGATGAATTATTCATATTTGAAAATAAACAATTGGAAAAATTTGCAGACAAATATAAATTAAATGAAGATATCAATGGTTTGATTGATTATAAAAAGACAAGGTCATTTGTTGAAACGATGAAGAATATAAAATTGAATAATAATAAATTTAGAAATCATTCAAATGTTTCTGTTGGTTCTGAAAATTTGAATCCTTCTTGTGTTTCATTATTATCATTACATAATAATCAATCAAGACATAATAGTTATAGTTCTGAAGTTGATTCGATCTACAGTATTACTAGTGAATCATTTAATAAGCCACTGATTAAAGAATTACAACAAAAAAATTTGAAATTGACAATTGAAAATGATTCATTAAAAATATTGTTAAGTAAATCATTGAGTTTATTGAGTAAAGTAGAAACTACACATGATAATACTGAATTGATAAAACAGATAGACCTGTTGAAGAATGATATATTTGATTATATAGCATAATAATTTCCCCAGAGATTATTTTGAAGAAAGATTCATTAACGGGGGATTACTGAATTGATACTACTGATGATACTACTGATGATACTACTGATGATACTACTTAAATAGACGGTTTGTAGATTGAAATATTGATTATATACATTGGTTGATCCGGGTAAACATAGTATTGATACACGACTAACTATTTTTATTTTTTACTCTCAAAAAAATTTTGCCTATAAAACTTGCAACAGTATTATACTATTTGATCTATAATCGACAACTACCAGATCAATCAATTAAGAATTACTCATCAATCGAGTAATAACAAGTAGAAAAAAACAAGTTAATAGTGTTATTGTGTAAATTGATTACTGATTAATCATTTACAAAACCCTAATAGATTTATTTATTAACTATCCCCCCCATCAATTGTCCATATATTCATACATCTTTGGCTATATAACTCAATTTCAATAATTTTGTTATATCACATTTTGACTTTATCAATCAATTGTGACAATCAACTGTGAATTTAATTAGATAATTGTATAGTGTATTTATCATCAGAAATCAGCCCAAAGGGCCAACAAGAAAAACAACAAGTTCAAACTCAGCAACAACAACAAGTTCAAACTCAGCAACAACAACAAGCTTTAAAGAAAGAAAAAGATTCATATCAAATAAAAGACCCAGAATTAACTAAAGTTTATATAAACCAAATTTCAATATTATTAACAACAACAACTAAATTAAATTTTGAATCAAATCATCAACAAATTCAATTTATTTTATCAAGACAAGTTTCAAACCCAATTATTATAAATAATTATTTTGAAAAATTAACTACTTTAATTAAAACTGTTAATTTTGAAGATTTAAATTTAATTTTACCTATTGAATTATTATTTAAAAAGGAATTAGAAACTTTATCAAAAGATTTAAATTATCTCGAATTATTTTTAAATCATTTAAGTAAATTATTTGATTCCAATACTATAAATATCCTTAATTTTGTTAAGAAATTTGATTGTGATTTAATATTATCATTTATTTTATTAGTTAAATTTAACAAATATTCAGAACCTAGTTTAATTCAAGACTTTATTAAATCAAATTCATTAAATTTATTATCCCAGTTAAAAACAAACAAATTTCCTTCTAATTATAATTGGAATTTATTACTCGATAATATTTTAAATACTCCATTTTTCCCATTTATTCATAAATTATTAACTTTAAGTTCTTTGAAAGCTTTTACAACTTCAATTGAACCAATAAACAAATTTTATCTACATATTTTAAAAATGTCATTCAAGGAATTATTAAATGAAATTGGACCAGATAATTTATTAAAAGAAAAATTATTACCTAGTTTATTACAAATTAAACCTGATGAAATCGATGCTAGTATTGCTTTAATATTGAGTGAGATTTTAATTCCCGGGTCACAAAATTTAAATGAAGGTTTAACTAGTGTTGAAAATTTACCTGAAGCAAATGCAAAAGGAGCTCAATTACAAACATGTTTGAAATCAATTGAATCAAGTGATAAATTTAATTTAAATTGGTATGAGATATTTAATTCTGTTTATCAAAATTTATTCGAATCAAGTCAAAGAAATATCCAGCCTACATCTTCTAGTATTACCCAATTTTTATCATCATTAGATTATAAACAAGAACCATTGGATATTTTTTTGAATTATGACTGGTGGTTTAATAAAACTTTGTTGTATATTTTACATTCTTTTGATTCATCCCAAGGTGCTCATGATATAAATAATCTGACCAATTTAGCTTATTGTTTTGAAGAAGATAAATTAAATCCACCACAACAAAGAAATATATTAAAATTCATTAATATTGGTAAGTTGGAATTACAAGTTATTAATAAAATTAAACAACAACAACAACAACAACAACAACAATTATTAACTGAACAAGAAAGAAAATTAAATTCATTTTTAAATAAATTATTTGAACATGATTATAGAGTATTTCCTGAATATATTCTTGCTGCTGCATTATCATATGTTGAAAAAACCCAATTTATAAATGATTTGATAGATACTTTATTTTATTTATTATTAGATAGTGATTCACCAGCACTATTTAAGATAATGAAACTGTTAATGGAAAGTGGTCTTGCTGTTGATAAATTATGTAATTACTATACTATTAGAAAATCAATTGATGTTGCAGTTAAAATATTAACTTTGTCAAGTTCAATAAATATAACTCAAGATATTTTTGATAAATTATGGACTTCAGATTTGAAACTTGCAGTTAAATTATTAATAGAATCTAGTTTCTTTGGATATGATTTTAAATCTGTATTAGATTCAAAATTAAAAGATACCAATATTAAAAATTTCATTTATCATTATTTATTAGAATCATTAGATGAACGTGCTCAAAAAGATTATGAAAAATCTCAACAACAACAACAACCACAAGTAATAACTAAAATTTTAAATATCCCAACAGTTTACTATTTTCTTGAAAAATTAAAATCAAATAATGGGATAGTTGATGCTGAAAAATTAAAAAATTTACAACTTTTATTATTAACTACTTATCCAAGATTAATTAATTTTGGTAATGGTCATGATGAAGCAATTTTGGAAAATGAAAAAATTTCATATTCATTCCCTCCAAATGTTGAATCTGAAATGAAGACATATTATTCAAAAATGTATAATAAAGAAGTTGAAATTAAAGATATTGTTGATATGTTAATTAAAATGAAATCAAGTGATGATCCTCATCAACAAGATGTTTTTGCATGTATGATTCATTCATTATTAGATGAATATAAATTTTTTTCAGAATATCCATTAAGTGCATTAGCTTCAACTTCATTATTATTTGGTGCATTATTAGAAAAAGATTTAATTCAAGGTACAACTTTAACCGTTGCATTAAATTTCATTTGGGAATCATGTAATCAACCACAAGATTCTCATTTATTTAAATTTGCAGTTCAATCATTATACAATTTTAAATCTAGATTGCATGAATATCCAATATATTGTAAACATTTATTAGAATGTAAATCTTTATCAGCACATGCAAAAATGTATCAAATTGTAAAAGATGCAGCAAATGGAATACCATGTAGTACAACTGCTCAATCAACAAATATTCAAACTCAAAGTCCTACACCAGAAATTATTGGTTTAAAATATCAATCTATAAATTATACAGATAAAACATTTGGTTTCATAAAACAAGAAGATCCAAATGAAGCAATAAAGGATAAAATATTATTTCATGTTAATAATTTAACTAAAGATAATTTAAGAATTAATGAAATTCAAGAATTATTAAAAGAACAATATTTTTCATGGTTTTCAAATTATTTAGTTGGAGAACGTGCTAAAAATGAACCTAATAATCATGAATTATATGCATCATTAGTTATTGGATTAAATAATTCAATCTTAATGGAATATATGTTGAATATTTCATTAAAAGAAGCAAATATATTAATTCGAAATAATAAAGATGCAAGAAATGAAAAAAATCAACTCAAGAATTTAGGTTCTTGGTTAGGTAAAATTACATTAGCTAATGATCAACCATTAAGAAGAGATTTTATTGCTTTAAAATTTTTATTAGTTGAATCATTTAATTTTAAATCATTAAGTTTAATAATTCCATTTGTTTGTAAAATATTAGATCAAGCTCAATATTCTAAAGTTTTTAAATTACCTAACCCTTGGGTTTTGGGGGTTATTAAAGTTTTGACTGAATTGTACGAATTTGCTGATTTAAAATTACAATTAAAATTTGAAATTGAAGTTTTATTAAATTCATTTAATATGAAAGTCGAAGATATTGATAAAAGTACATTAATTAGAACTCATAATCCTGATCCAACTGCTTTGGCAACTATGTTTGGTATTCATCCAACTGTTGTAAATATAACTAATGAAATTTCAAAATTGGCATTAGATAAACTTGATAATATTCAAGCTCCAATTCCTCAAGTTTTAGATAATAGAATACCATTACAAAATCAATTACAACAACAACCACAACTACAAATACAACCAGTACAACCAGTACAACCACAACCACAACCGCAACAAGTTAGATCTGAACCTGGTTTAGATACTAGTTTTAGTACATTATTAGGTAATTCAATATTCACACAACATGCAAATTTAAGAAGAGCTTTTCAAGCTTCATTATCTCGTGCAGTCAGAGAATGTGCGGTACCTATATTAAGTAGAGTTTCAGAAGCAGTTATAACAACAACAGAATCATTAATAGTTAAAGATTTTGCTACCGAAAAAGATATTATTAAATTTAGACATTCTTATCAAAAATTAGCTCAACAATTATCTAGAAGTATGGTTTTATGTAGTGGTAAAAAACTATTAGCCGAAACTATAGAAGCTACAATGTTACAGTTATTAGGTAATAATCCAAATGAGTTCCCAATTACTGAATTAAATAATGCAATTCAAGTCAATGTGGGATTATGTGTTGATATTGTTGATAAAATTGCAAGTGAGAACATTGTTGAATTGATTGATAATAAAATGCAAAAATATATTCTTGCTAGAGAACAACATAATAATCAAGAACCATTTATTGAAGAAGGTGTAAGTGATTATTCTTTAAGATTACCTGAACCATTGGGAATAAGTACAAAAGGATTAAGTGGGGCTCAATTGAAAATTTATGAAAATTTTGGAGAATCAAAAATTGATATGGTTTCATCAAATGGGCCAGAGCAACAACAACAACAATTGGCACAAGCACAAGTTCAAAATCAGGTTGCTCCACAGATTGCTGTTCCTCCACAATTACAACAACAACAACAACAACAACAACAAATACAACAGCAACAACTTGCTCAACAACAACCATTTCCAGAACAACGTCAAGCTCCAACTCAACAAGGATTTTTACAAGAAGATGCCATTACATTTGAACAATTATTTACTGCAATTACTCAAAATTGTGAAAAGGCATTATTATTATTAAGTGATGTTAAAGAAACTAAATTATCTGAATTACCAAATAGTCATCCAATCATGTTATCATTAAGTCAAGCTTTGGCAATTGCACAAGCTAATGCAATCAAATTTCCAGATTTATTATTAAAAGCAGCTCAATACACTGTTAATTGTTTATTTACTCAAACTCATGATAATCCAATTAGTAATGAAATTTATGTTGTTTTATTAGATAAATTATGTGAATATTCTCCATCAACTTCAAAAGATGTTATATGGTGGCTTGTACATTGTTCAGATCAAAGAAAATTTAACCTACCTGTAATTATATCATTATTAAAAATTCAATTAATTCAACCTGTTAAATTAGATTTTTCACTTTCCAAATTAATTAAAGAATCAAATAATCCTTTGGTTGTTAAATTTGCTGCTAATTTATTATTGAATATTTTTACAAGTGAAGATAGTTCAATCGCAACAAGATCTGAATTTGGTAATACTTTAAATGCATTGGCAAATTATCAAGATTTAGAGGTCAGTGATGATCCAGAACATGTATCTGCAAAATCATTAGTTGAAGAACTATTTATATCTTTGAATAATTTACCAGCTGCTTCAAATCAATTATTTGCTCAATTGGGTTATGTATATGCTGAATGGATTAAAATTATATCTCATGGCACTGAATCTATTGAATTACAAGACGCTTATATTAAAGGATTGATTGATTGTGGAATATTAACATCTGGTGATTATTTTAAACAATTTTTTAAAGCTGCTATTGAAATTTCAATTGCTTCATTTCATGCTGAACATCAATTAAGAGTTAGAACTCAACATGAAGCATATTTGGCAGTTGATGCATTGGCTCAATTGATTGTTAAAATTGTATTATTTATTGAATCTGAAGATCAAGCATTGAATTATTTTAAGAAAATTATTTCAATTATTTCATTAAATTTAATTAATGATCATGAAATATTAAAATCAAATTGGAATGAACGTGGGTATTTCAGATTTTTTTCCTCATTATTTTCAATATGGAATGATTTAACAAATGAAGACGTACCTAAGTTGAATAAAGAAATTTATGTGTATCTTGGAGATATTTTAAACTTCCTTCAACCTATAGTATTACCTGGTTTTACATTTGGTTGGATTTCATTAATTTCAAATAGAATGTTTTTACCACCATTATTAGAATTACCAAATAAGGAAGGTTATTCAACAATTGTTAAATTATTAACTGCATTATTAAAATTTCAAACAACTTATCAATCAAGAGAAAATTTAAATGAAGAAGAAGATGAAGAAGACGAAGAAGAAGACGAAGATGAAGAAGAAGAAGAAAGAGCAGCAGCAGAAGAAGAAGCCGATAATGGATCACCAGACTTAATCAATGTTGTATTTAAAGCAATTAATCGAATTTTCATCGGTTTGTTACATGATTATCCTGAGTTTCTTGTTGAATGTCATTATCAGTTAATTACAATGCTACCTAGAAATTATATCCAATTGAGAAATATAATCTTATCAGCAACTCCTAAAAATATAACAGCACCTGATCCATTCACACAAGGATTAAAAGTTGAAAGATTACCAGAGATAAATCTTGCACCAACCATATTTTATAAACCAATTGAAGATTTAGCAAAAGTGGGATTAAAAAAACCGGTTGAAAATTTTTTAAGAATCCCTTCAAATAGTTTAGTTAAAGTTATTTATAATGGGTTTAAATTAAATCCAAATAACTTAAAAGAAGTGAATGAATTTGGATATACCGAAACTATCAATTTCAATATTAAATTAATTAATGCATTAGTTTTAAATGTTGGTATATCGGCAGTTTCAGACAGGACACCTACAAATCGTGGATTCAATACTAAATCATCACAAGTTTCATTATTGATTGATTTAATGAATTATGGATCAAATGAATTCAAATATTTTTTAATTAATTCAATTGCCAATCAATTAAGATATCCAAATTCACACACTCATTGGTTTGTTGGGATAATTTTATTATTTTTTAGTTCAAATTCAATTTGGCCATCACAACAAGATAAATTAATTGTACAAGAGATAATTATAAGAGTGTTATTGGAAAGAAGAATTGTAAATAAACCTCATCCTTGGGGATTGACTATTTTATTCACTGAATTGATTAAAAATGGAGATTATGGATTTTTTGAATTATCATTTGTTAAGGATTCAATTGAAGAAGTTAAAACTATATTTGATACTTTGGCTATTAATGTAAAAGGAAGTACGCCAGCTTCTGAATAGATGTATAATTATGTAAATAGTAAATATAGATATGATGATATAATGAATTTACTTATGAATTTACTTATGAATTTACTTATGAATCTACTTGTACTCTGATTTGAAATAATTGATTAAAGTCAAATAATCTTCGACTATTTACTTTAGAACCTCCAAATTGGAGAGTACAAGTAGATAAAATTGGTTATTTCTTCAAAGTAAATAAAATTGGTTATTTCTTTAAACTCAAGCTTAAATTATTCGAATTCGAAAAGTTCAAAAACTTATCATTGTAAATATATAATTTTACAAGGACAACTGAACTCCCTATTTGATAGCACCATCCGTAAATATTTCCATACATGAATATCTTCATAGTTATGAACAGGTAATCTTGCACTCAATATATGAAAGCATAACTACCAGCTCAACTGAAGCTATTAATAGATGTTGATATTTTTTTTTTTTTTTTGGATTTTTTTTTCGGTATTTTGATTTCAAATTTATTACTAAAGAAGAATAACCAATTATCAAGAACCAATAGTATTCCATGTCGCGTGTTAAGAGAATTGCTAAAGAATTAGAAGAGTGTAGACAAGATACTCAACTGGGTGTTACTTTAAAATTAAATAATGAAAATGATTTAACTCATTTAACTGGTTATTTTAAAGGTCCACCAGGTACTCCATATGAAAATGGTTTATTTCAAATTTCAATAGATATTCCAAATGATTATCCTTTTAAACCTCCACAAATGAAATTTGCAACTAAAATATATCATCCAAATATTTCTTCTGTAACTGGTGCAATTTGTTTGAATATTTTAAAAGATAAATGGACTCCTGTATTAACTTTAAAATCAACATTAATTAGTTTACAATTATTATTACAATCTCCAGAACCAAATGATCCACAAGATGCAGAAGTTGCAAAACATTTTTTATCAAACAAGCAAGGATTTGAAGAAACTGCTGCTTATTGGACAAAAATATATGCTACAACAAAAGATAATGAAAGTGTTAATGTTGAATTAAAAGATTCTCAATTATATGGTATTGATGATGAAATTGTAAATCAATTTGAAAACATGGGATTTCCAAGAGATAAAACAATTGAAGTTTTAAGAAGAATGGGTATTAAAAGTTTTAAAGGTGTTAATAATAAAAGTGATGTTGAAAATAAGATTTTGGAAGAATTATTAAAAGAATGTCAATAAACAACTGGACACATTGGAAGTTTTGTAAATAATAAATACAAGGCATATAGTTATATTTTAGCATATTAATGTACAAATCACTTGGAAAACGATCAGTACACTCTTGCTCAATGAATGTAACCCTTATAATCTTTTCCTAAGCATCCTGTCTCTGTCTGTAACTATCCTGTCTCTGTTTGAAACTATCAAATAGTTCAAGTTTGTCGTATAATTTTACGATGGACCGTCCTGCATATAAGAAAATAAGATCTGAAACGAAAATAAATAAATAAATATATAAATAAACAATTCCAACCCAAGGGTAACAATTCATTAGAATGACTACAGATGACGATGAAAACGTACTAGAAAAATTAAAACAAGAAGTATATGAACTAGAAAGTGATATAACTTTTATAACACAAGATATTAAACTGAACTTAAAAGAAGAACAACAATTAACTCATGAAATAAATAATATAAGAAAGATTGAAAATATTCAACATCAACAACATAATAATATAAATGCACCACATATAATACGACATAATTATTTTGATTCAAGTATTCAGCAATATTTTGATACGAATATAGATGAACCCGAAGTACCCAGAGAGAAACCAAATTATTCAAATTTTAATCTGATTGATAAATTAGATCTTAGAGAGAATATCTTATATGAAAATATATTTAGAATGATAGGAATAACTGCATTTCCAATTAACAAAAGAGATTTACCAAACGGAACAAACGAAGATATAATTGATCCAAATTTACTTCCCCAAAATCGAAATGTAGCATCAATATCAGATGAATTACTAGGTATCAGATTTGATATATATTCATCACATTCCAAAACATTCAAAACTCCACATTATATCATTTTACGAAAAATAATGAATAAAGATTTCACATTAAATAAATATTACTCGATTTATAAAGATACAATTCCACTATACATTCATTTAAAAGATCATGAAGACGTACTTCAAAACAATAAACATTCAGAAATTGACAACTTATCTAAATTTACTTATCTAGTCTATGAAAAATTAATTAAAGTACAATACAAATTTGATAAATTTGACTCATTAATGCAATTCAACAAAATAAAAGGAAATAATGTCTTAATTACCAGTATTAATAAAGATCTCGTATGTGAACGAGTAACCATAAATTTACAATTTAAAAATGGGAATAAGAGGAAGAATTCACGATTTAAAGAAGAAATTGAATTGATGTGTCTGTTTGATTCTATTGAAGTTGTTAAATTTATAAATTTTAATGATGAATTTAAAGATAGATTGATACTATCTAGAACAATATTACAGAATCTGAAAATAACTGATTTAAATAAGAATTTTAGAAAGGTGTTTGAGTTGATTAATGAAAGTAAGGAGAACTATAAGGATGCAATTGAACAGTAAAGATGCTTTATAATCAGAATTAAACTGTCAGGATGGATGCCTTATATGACTATCATAATAAGAGTATTAATGAGTGAATATATTATTACTCGCATCCTTACATTGAATTGAATACTAATAGCTGAATATACTACTTAGAATACCAATGACGACTTATTAATTTACTTACATCCTTACATTCTACTATATTTATCGCATCCTTACTTAATTTTCACATAGTATATATTTTAATCTACAAATTTTAAGGTTTCAAATATTTAAAAAGCATTACCAAAACCAGCACCGGTAGATTGAAAACCTAATCCACTTTGATTTAATCCAGTATTTTGAAATCCAGCTTGTCCATTAGTCAATAATAAAGGTTGACCAATTCTTGGTTCCTCATCATCTTTTCTTTCCTTATCTTTTCTCAATTTATAATCATTATAAATTTCATCCAATTTCTTTTGATTTTCAAACTTGATTGAAATTTCAAAAGGTTTAATAAAATCAGATAAATTATGTAACCATGATAATTCCAGTACATAATCAACACTAATTAAATCATAACAAACATATAACAAAGCAATAAAACATTCATAATTACCAGTCTCTACAAAATAATCCAATATTTCATGGGCGAGTTTCTTTGATTTTGAAATTGAGATAGTTTTTAATAAATCTGACCATAATTTATCACTTTTTAAAATTGAAATTGATTTATTAAATTTACGTTCTTTAGTGTATAAAGTAGCACTTATCTGTCTAAAAAAAATTGATTCATGTTTTTCTAACCTTTCAGCTAAATCTAATTTATTAAATCTATTATTTGATTCATTCTCAATTGAACTTTTTAATGATTTATAATCTTCTTCTTCAATTAATAAATCATGATAAGCTGAATTTACAACTGAATTATTTTTATCTAAAACTGAAATTAAAAATGGTTTAATCATTGGTAAATTATCACTTTGGATAAACATTCTTACAACTCTTGGAAGATCCAATTTTGGAGTCAATACAGATAATAAATCAACAAGTAATGATGGATTCTCATTCATGTAAAATTGAATTGCCTTGTAATAAATTTCCAAATTTGGACACTTGACTATAATTTCCTTGAATGATGAATGATCAAATGCAACTTCTGATTTTTCAATCATTGTTAAAGCAGCATTATCCCATTCTTCATAATGACAATATAAAAATATTAATTCTGGATATAAATGAGCTTCTTCACATGCTGTCAATACTTTTGGAATATTAATTCTTGACCAAAATAATTTTAAATGTTCCATAACTTGATCCGGTTTATATTTTGAATATAAAATTGCCAATTCAGTAAACATTCCCATATGTGCCCTTTCTAAACCTAATCCACTTTCAAACAATGAAATCAATTCATTAAAATATCCATTATATTCATATGTTTTAACTAATTCTGGTAATTCTTCAGCATCAATAATTAAATTTAATCCACAAATTTGTGCTAATCTAAATTCTTTATTTTCAATACATGCAGAATTAACTTGTTTCCAAACTGAAATATTTGAAGCTTTTCTAGCACAATCCACGGCACTTTGATAATCTCCAAGATAAACTAAAGTAGTAGCCAATTTTGAGTATTTTGAAACATTTGAATATAATATTTTTGCACCTTTATAATTTTTAGCTTCAAATAATTTATCACCAATCAGTTCTAAATCAGCTACATTTGAACCATTAACAAATTTTTCCATATCTGATAATCTATCCAATGTAGCATAAGCGTTTATAATAGCCCCATCAATAACAGGTTCCCTCAAAGTTCCTCTAGCCATTTCTAAAAATTTAATCAATTCTTCTTCTTTACCTGCATGTTCAGCAATTTCAATAACTTGATTAAAATTATCCGGATTATTAGATTTAACATATGATTCAATAGCTTCGGGGATTCTTAACCCATCTAATTGGGCAGTACCTAATTGATACCATAATTCGCTAGTATCATATTTTTCAGCATATTGTTCTGCTCGATCTAATGATACAATATCTTCAACTAATACTTTCATTGCTTCACTTCTCATTTCAAATTTGTCATAAACTTCAAATGCTTCTTCATTTAATCCATTATCAATACAGAGAGGGGCAATTTCGGAAGGATCAAATTTATCCAATTTTTCAATATAATTTGAAACTTTGGATGAATCAGCTTTTATAGCAGTTAAAATCATTAATCCTTGTAAGGATGCATTTTCACTAAATGCAGAAGGTTCAAGAATAATTTTTTCTAATAATTCAATTAATTCTTCAGGTAAATCATTGTCCATAAATGCTTTAACTGTTACTGAAATTGGTTCTGGATCATCTAATTCAGGAATACCAGTAGATATAACTTGATCAACCAATTGTCTTCTATGAATATTATCAGGAGTCAATACCTTATTCCATAACTCCATATCTGATTTTGATAATAAATATCTTGCTTGATATTTATACATTTTATTCTCATTTGTAATATGAATTAATTCATCGTCATTACCACCTTTAGAATATGAAATATATGCCAAGTATGGATCCCTTTTTTCACAATATTTACCAACTGCTAACGTATCATAAATATTATTTTCTTGTAAAAATTTCTCTGGAGAATTATTTGAATCAATATAAATTTTAGCCAATGTATTATAAACTTCTTGATCATTTGAACCTCCTTCAAGTGTTTTTTCAAGAAATGGTAATAAGATCTTTAATCTGTTTCTTTTTTCAACTTCTTCAACTAATAGTTTAATTGGGACCCTTCCTAATACTGAATCTAATAATTTTTTAATTATTTGTTCATCACAATCAACGTCCAATAATCCAGCAATTACTTGTGGTGTATTTTGTGGATTAACACTTTGAACATAAACTTCAATAAATTTAAAATATTGATTTTTATATAAAAATAAAATCAAATCATGAACAAAATTAAATCTATCACATACAATAATTAATGGTAATTGATCATCTAATTTAAATTCTTTAAGGAAATTTTTAACTTTTTCACCATTATAAACATTATTATCTCTGACTACTCTTTCTATCTCTTTAACTTGATTCATTTTAGCAGCTGCTTGAATATATTTAAATACAACATCGGGATCTTGAGTTAAATTAACAATTGAAGAAAGATAATAATATAATCCTTCAGTACATTTATAATCTTCAAAAATTTTAATCAATTTCATTGGTCCAATTAAATCAGAATATTTAGTTGCAACTTGAATTATGACTTGTAAATTTTGTTGCATATTATGACTTAATAATTCTTTAATACATGATATTGATTGTTCAACATTTAATTGACCAAAATATGAAACTAACCAATCATTAGGTAAGACATTAGTATGAATTATAACTCGTTTAATATCTTTTAAATCATCATAATGTTCTAAAGCTCTTTGAAATAATCCTGATTTTTCACATAATTTCCCAATTGTAGGTTTATCGTAATGTGAAAACATTTGATTTCCTAATATTGCATCGGCAACTTGTGGTGCATGTAACAAATTAATTTCTAAAACTTTAGTTTGTAAATGTCCTTGACTTGGTGAATCATCTTTCAATGCATCTAATAAAAATGCAGTACCTTGTTGAATATAATTTTGTGAAAAGAATAAATCTGCAACTTGTTCAATATTTATATTTTGATTTGAATTGAATAATGATGTTGCAAATTCACTTGCTTTATCAGGATTAACTCTAACTAAATTTTGAATCAAATTGGTAAAGTCTGGGTTGTAGTTCACTTTTTGACAATATGGTAATATTTTGTCAAATTGTCCCAATTCAGCTAAACATGAAACAACTTTAATATTTACATTGCCTCTAATATAAACTGCCAATGCTAATGTAGTATCATTATATGATTTAACAATATCTCCTAATTCTTCAGAACTTGTCAATTTTTCTTCTTTTAACCATTTTTCAAATAATGGTTTTCTATCTTGTTGTAATACAGGTTTTGCCAATTCAATCGATTCATATTTATTTAAAGTTCCTTTATCTAATAAAGTTGAAAAATATTGTAAAATTGGTGAAATTTGTCCTGGTTGTGGTGTAATATGTTTTAATTTATTTATTGTATCTTGAGTACGTAATTGCTCTGAAGATGCTGCAACTTTAGCAGCATTTGTATAATCACCTTGATTCAAATATGTTTGAAATTCTTGTTGAAATAAATTTTCAGCACCTGGGAACCCACCTCTTGAAGATAAACTCAATGCTAATGGTACATTTGATAATTTTTCCAAAACATATGGTACAATTTTATCTTTTGAAACTTCAATACTTAAAACTTGACCAGATTTATTGATTGTTAATAATCCAGTACCATTATTAAAACTAGTAGCTGTGAAAACAGGATCTGCTGTAATTCTATTAACAAATAAATTTGAACCACTTTCCATATCATATAAATGTATAAAACCATACTTTGTTAAAATATAAATTATACCATATTTATCACTAGTCTGTAAACTAATTGGAAAATCATTTGAAGCGTCAGGTGGGAAGAAAATATCAACAATTTTTTTGGAAAATTGTGGATTTCCATCAACATGATCAATTTCAATTATATGCATTTGACCTTGACCTTGAGAATTTTTATTACCAACACAAAATAATTTAGTTGGTTTAATTGAATTCGATAAATTTATAGAAGCAAATTTACAAACATGACCTTCAATAGCTTGAGAAATATTTCTTGATTTTGAATATAATTGAATATGACCAGCAATACGACCATCTTCTTGAGCAATACCAGTTACAGCAAACCAATTAAGATCAATTGGTTCAGCAACAAAATTTATAATTTGGCAAGATCCCAAAATATGATGTCTATCAGTCAACTTCACTGGACCATCATTTGTACCATCGAAAATATTCCAATAATAAATTGAAGATTGAGTAATTAAACCTAAATGTTTATCATCTAACCATTTCCAAAATATAACAGGTTCATTCATTGTAAAACTTTTTAATCTTTGTTTTGATTGTAAATTAAAAATTTGTAATGTTGTACCATTGGCTCTTAAACATATAACAAACTCTTTTGGATGCATTATTGCATTATCAGCGGTCATATTTTTTCTTGTAACTTCATTATTGTTCTTTAAATTGATTATGGCAACTGAATTACCTTGTGATGAAGATTCACGAACACACACATAATGATCAGATTCTAATGTTGTTGATTTAAAATCTAATGATGATTGATTGATACCTAATGAAGTTAATTGAGTTAATTCCGTAAAATCAATTGGAATATCGTTTGACATATTGATTGATTAACCCCCCTGGTAATATCTATTTTTTTCAAATTCTTACAATTTATTTCAGTTAAAGTAAAAAGCAAATGTTGTCTCGTATTCCTTGTTTCTATTATAGTTGTTTGTATTCAAATTGTGTATTGATATTGAATTGTTGGTCAATTGTTGGTTGTAAATTGTAGTGCAGTATTTTTCGTTCGTTCGTCCAATATTTATTTTTTTTGATTTGTTCTTTTCCTATTATGTAATATTGCTAACGTTGATTATGTAAGGATTCTTAATTAGGAAACAACGGATATCAACAACTTTGAAGGATTGTAAGGAAGCAAATTCTGTGATTGTATGAATTGACTGGTAAATTTGAATAGATGCAAGTACATATATCGTGTTTATAGTCAGAAAACAAGACACTTGTACTTCCAGTTAGCTTATACAATTGATGCAGTTCTCAACCGACTACAATTTGCGATTTGGCTTATTTTAAGAATGAATTATACAGATGTAATTAAGGCTCAGAGAACTGGATCTTAATCAACATATGAGTATTGCTCTTCGTTGCTGCTTGTTCAATTGATAGACCTCACTTTGAGATATTTAAGTATATTTTTTCTTTCCCATACCAACATTTCTTTAAGTATCCATGAATAAACAACGCTGTCTGCTGCAAGAATGGACAATACGATCTACTGTAAACAAAAGAATATTGGCACAACCTCAGACGGAGAGCTCCATCGTAAAGGTTCAAATGGGTGTACAATGTTTTGAAAGTAGATTGAAGAATCTGTGCATTTTTGAGCCAACTGCTGAATGCAAATAGACACCATTACTCAAATCGTATTCTATGGCCTTGATTTACCCAGTTTGAGGCTTTATCTTGTAATTGCATCCATCCATCATGAAATACAGATGATTTTGCAATTTTGTTTTCTTCAAAAATCAAGCTCTCGTCCCAAACTCAACGTTATTATGTACTACCCGAGCTATGCTTTATTAATATATCGTTAGATCTTCGCTAAACCTGCTAGTTCATGAGATATTTGCACTTTTAATATTTTACAAGCCCCATTTCTTAATTCAATTATTTAACTTTGAACCATCAGCAAAACCAATTTTTGTTACACAAAAACACGATCCAAAATTGGCAACTTTTCTTTTTGTAACTTTTATTTGAAACGTTAATTACTTGAACATGACTACATTTGATAGCCTGAGACGAACCATTTTGTAATCTTTGATAGCTCTAGTTTATTTGATGTCAAGCTGATGCCTTAATAATAGTGGATGTTGGAGTAAAACAATTTAATTCGAAATTTTGATATGCATTATATAAAGAACGGAAGAGGGCACTAATAGTTTCAGAATAAGTTGTATTTGACTCTTCTTAGCTTACTGATTGTAAAGCAGTTGATTGCTTTTTTAATGGTTTTGTACTTGTAGAATTATTTCACATTGGAGATGAATTTTCACAAATATCATTATTGTATCATACACCAAAATTCCGTCGGACAAAAGCAGATACAGTTAAATTCTCTGAAATGTAAAATACAATTATAATGTAAGGATGCAATACAGGTAGTATATATTGATCATAATGGTGGTCTAACACTATTTAGCACATCATCTATTAGTTTATTAGTATATCCTGTTGAACTATCTCTCTTCAACTCATTTTCATGCTTTTTAAGGTACTTATCAACGTAATAGTAATCACATCCATACCAATCTCCAGTTAGAAATGCAATTTGTAATTGTTTATTATATTCTGACAATTTATCTTGTTCTTGATGAACTTCACTTACTTGATCAGTAGATTCTGTCTCTTGTTTTTGAGTTTGTTTAGGTAAGAATTGTTTATTATATTCCCAATCAACCAACCAATAACAAACCTTCTTGAATGCAGTTTTTACAACTGTTGGAGTGACATATAATTCTTGATTTTCAACTGTGCTATTACTTATTTGCCCTTGTTTTTTAGATAGGAATTGATCTTTATTATTCCATAGTACTATCACTTTACTTAAATCAAGTACATAATCTATAACTTGTGTTGATATTCTAACTGTCTTTGGTGAGATTGAAGCTAATCTATGACATCTTGTAAATACAGCCAATGAATAAATATATCGTTTAATATCAGGAGCAACAAACACAGTATCTAATTTGTTCCGTAATTTTAAGATCATTTCAGTATAACCAATATCCGAATCAACCTTTGTCTTAACCTTCTCTATTCCATTTTTGACACCTTCTTCGGTATTCCAATATATCGAAAACCAAAACTTCTCCTTCAAAAGCATATAAATCTTATTCAGATATAGGTTAACATCTAAAAACAACACAATTGAAAACAATTCAGGTTTTATAATTTCAATATGCGTCTGATCGGTATCAATATTATCGAATTTATCAATTTCAATTACAATTTTATTATTATTATAATTTTCAATCATTTCAAATTGGTCAAGTTGTAAAATCAATTTGTATAATAATTTAAATTGACTATCAGATAATAATTGTAAATTCTGCCATATGATAAGATTTTTAAGATGGTAAAATTCATCTTTTTTATAAATCATTCGTTTTATAAGTTCAATTGTTGAATCAATTTGTAATAAATCAATAACTGCGAAGTTAAAATTCTCATATTGATTTAATGATTCGGAATCTATTGATTTTAATGTAGTGCTTTCATCTTGTAAATTCAGCATGAATAATTCATGATTTATTAAATAGTTTGTGAACTTATCACTTGATTTGATTGGATTATTGGAAGTTATAGCAAATCTTTTATTTGATATTAATGAATACGATAATGATGTCAATATATCATCCATTGTAAGCTATTGATGGTTCATTGATTGTTTCTGAATCTCGTAAACAAAAAAAAAAAAAACCTATCAAGATTGAATTGGACCAAATAGCCTTTCGGAGTGGTACCAGCTAATACAACCAATCGATACCACTAATACAGCATCCTGACAGTGGCTCTGCATTCTTACAGCATCCTTACCATGAACAATTCATATTGGTCACCTGATTATAAGTCAGGTATAAACAATTTACAATCACAATCTTTTAAATCATTAAATCAATTACATGAAATACGTAAGTTAATATTCAATTATGTTTCTTATTATTATTCAAATAGTGAATATTTAAACTCATCATCAATTAATCTATATCAACCAAATAGTCAATTCAAACAACAACAACAACCAATCTCAAAACCAACTGATTCCATAGCTAATTTAAATACTGCTTATTCATTGTATATAAACCAGTTGAGTACAGAATCTGAATTATTATCAACATTGGCTTCGATTATAGATAAAAAGATCTTGTCTGATTTAACTTCATTTATAAAATATCATGAGCCTAAAATAATTAATAATTTTAAAGTGCTAAATGAGATTTATGATGAGTATATATTAACTTATTCAAAGATAGAAAAATTGAAAAATGAATATATGGAACAATTAAGAATGAAGGAGTTTGCTCAACTGCCGAAAAAGGAGGTGGTTAATGATCCTGAAACTGATTATTCTGAAGTTGAGGAAAGTGAAGATGAAAAAGAGAGTGAGGAGAAAGTTAATTTTGATTTTAAGTTTCCTTTGAAGTTAGGTACTCATAATGTTGATAGTATAAGTGAGTTGAAATTGATTATTCTGGAATTGATTGATAAAATACCTGTTGTTACGAGGAAAATTCCATTACCAGGTTATAAAAATGAAATCTTTAGTAGTGATTCATTCTGTGATGTGGTTTCTAAATTGAGGATTAAAGGTATGTCTATATCGCGTCTGAATTTGGAGAAGTTTGGTCAATCTTTACTTGATTTGAAGTTCATAGTATCTACAAATGTGTTTTCAAAGAAGTTTAAAAGTGAAAATATGTGGTTTGAATGGAGTAATTTGGCTGAATACGTTGCTGAATTTGAAGAAACAAAAACTCCTGAAGAAAGTAATCAAGAGGTATCATCCCCTCAATTTAAATTTGTGAATGATATACAAGAAACAACCAGTAGATTCAATAATATATTCAAAACAGTAAAGAGTTCATTATTGAGATCAAATCATGATGAAAATTTACAAAACCTCGAGCATAATTATAACAAAGAGGTGTTAAAACTACAAGAATTGAAATATAAATTAGATAATCAAATCCTTGAAGTAACTAAATATCTTGATCATTTTGAGGTTAAAAAAATTGAAGTTGTATATTTTTGTTTGACTAGTTTATCGGACATATTATCAAGAAATAATCATAACCAGGCAATAATTTCCCAAAATTTTGCTGCATCTTTCAAATCAATCTATGAAAATAAACAAAATTACAAAAATGAGTATTCATCAACAATTGACAAATTTTCAACGGGTGTTTATTTTTCAAACAAGGATTTTCCTCAATTTTCCAGTAAATCAGTATTCCAAAGTTTGAAATTTCAATTTGACATGTTTGTCGATTTCCCATTACAATTGTCGAATTGTCAAATAAGTGACATTCAATTGTTGACTCAAAGTTCAATACCGTATTTCCTTTTCGTGATGATTAAAATTATAGAGAAGAAGGAGGAAGATTTGAGGCAGGGTTGGTTAAGTCCATTGAATCATCAATCAAATTGGAGAATAAAGGAAAAAATATATGAAATTATCTCGAATGTAAAACCAGAGACAAATGAGATGACTATGATTCAAAAATTATGTTTGGATGAAGTTTTAGGGTTTTTGAAAAGTTTGAATAGTTTTGAATTGGTTGGGTTTTTAAAGGATTGGTTATTGGAAATTAGTGATTCTATTATTCCTTTTATTGTATTTGATTCATTAATAAAGGAGGAACATGATATTGTTGAAAAATTGGCGAGTATACCTAGATCTAATTTATCTTCTTTGTTATATTTATTGGAGCATATTGTGAAAGTGTTTGAATTAGAGAATTTAGATACTTATGGTGTGTCAGATGAGTTACCTACTATAATGGATCAAGATAAGTCAATTGAAGAATTAAATACAATAAATACTCAAGTTAAATCAAATGAAGAAACAGAAGAACAAATTGCAACTGAATTTAAGGATATGTCAATTGAAGAGACTCAAGAAACAAATACAAAAACTGAAGAACCGACTATGACAACTCCTCAAAATGAACTAAAGGAAGAAATATCTGCTCGATCAAAATCAGATAAAGCAATAAATAAATCACGAGATAATTCAATAGAAGAAATATCAGAACAATTAAATTCAATGAATCAAATAGGTGCTATTCCATTCATGCATTTAATAATGAGACCGTCAATACAGAAAAACTCAACAGGTTTCAAACCGCCTCTCAATTCATACATTAAAATACTTGCAAATTTATTAACTTATGAAACAAGATCTAAATTATTCAATTGTGTATTGAATCAAGAATCAAAATATAAAACCAAAAAGGAAAGTGAAATCAAATTTGGATTACAAGTTAAAAAGCTACCCGTACCTAAAATAAATAAAGAAGAAAAAGTTAAAGAAACACCAAAGACACCAACCCAAGAAAAAAATGTGAATTTGATTAGTCCTAGGCCATTGAGTTCTGATTTTGCTTTGAGAACATTTAAGACCAAAGTTACACCTATGCCTTCTCCACAAAATACTTCAAAACATAATGTTGAAAAAGAAGGTAATAGATCAAGAAGTTCAAGTTCGAATTTTTTAAAATCTAATATTATAGATGTTGAATTTGAAAAATAAAATATATTGAAGATTGTTGAATTTGGAACAACTCTGTTTTTGTTATTACAAGCAATGCCCGTAGTAATAGTAAGAAGAGATGGAAATAGATCTTGAATTAACAAATCAATGAAATATACCAAAATAGTCTTGTCGAATAAATCAAAAATTTAATGCTTATAGAGTTACTGAACAGATTTGTTAGTAATTTCAGTTATCGTTCAAAAATGTATATCAAAAGATGGAACTTTTGAATTTAAAGCTACTTCATTTTTAACATAAAACTAGAAAACATACTAAAGATGAAAGAGTTGATGATAGAGAACTAAGAGCTCAAATTTAACGGTTGCATTCGAGTATGATATGTATTATTAACAGACTTTTGAAAATTTGAAAAAACTCTATTTCTGTCTACAAGTAACAAGAAAATTCCATTGAAAATGAAAGTATTGATGATAATAGATCAAAATATATACTAAACTATTTTGGTCTTATTCTAGTCATGGTAATCTTCTCCACCTTCTTCAATTGTTTAACACTAAATCCTAGTAACAAGATTAACAATAACATAGACCCACCAACAACAATCTCAAACCCACCATCAGTCTCTTCAATTAAATTCTCAAGATTCATACCGTATAAAGCAGCAACAAATAATGCAATACCCATAGATAACAACCCAGTACTAAATTTTAAACCTAATAACATCAACTCATTCCTGTTTGAATCCAAGACTATGTTGATTATTTCCTCGGTGGTTTTAATTTGTGATCTTAGATCTTCTGAAGTTTGAACAATCTCATCACAGGTCTTATAGTATGATTCTAAAAGCATTTCAATCTCGGTGTGATTGGTTCCTATTCTTCCTTCACCATTATTAACATCAGTTAAATAAAGTTGGTTCAATTCATCATCTTGTTCTAGAATCTCCTCAAGTAGATCTCTAATTAAAGTTACTTTCTGTTGAAATTGTGCAATTTTCTTACTTTGAATCAATAGATAACGTAATTTGACCCTATCTATATCGTTATCCAACCCAGTTAAAATATTCTTAAGTACGTTAGTGTGGACTTTCATTTCAGTAGTTAAATTATTGACCACATTGATTAAGATGGTTTCAAGTGCTTTGAATTCATACGGGAGATTCTCACTGTCATTTGTTTTCAATCTGATTGATAAATCCTTAAGAAATTTCAGTTGTGAATATGATTCGTTGAGCCTTGAGGTATTTGATGGATAAGTCAATATGTTTTCGAAGATAATCACCGAATTATATTTAATCAATGCTTTGATATTGACTAGACTAAGTAGTATTCCATTATTTCGAACTAGTAAACTTGGAACTATGTCGATATTATATATTTGTCGATTATGTTTTGAGATCTTACGTAAATCTCTAGGTAATAAATTATACTGTTTCATGAAATCCGATTTTAGAAAGTCTTTACCGTGATGGATCATATTACCAGATGAATCAAATATACTACATCTTATAAATTCATTATCTTGTGATTTTATCGATGATAATGTTTTATGAATGAATAAATCATTGAAAAGATGTTGATCATCATTTATTGTCTTGTTAGTTTTAGTTCTAATGAGATGCCGTGGTCGTATTATAATACTTCTAATATTGTACCTTATATTAGTTACTAATTGATTTAATAACATTATATTGTTCTATAGTTTACTATCATTTGTAGTATTCGATGTATTATTGGTATAATATTTTTTTTCCTAATTTGGTTGTTTTTAGATGACACTATCATCAAGAAACAATAATGATATATCATACAGAGTTCATTCAAGTGATGATCTACAAGTATTTGAAGAAGTTGGGCGTGGTGGATTTGGTATTGTATATCGTGGTATTATAAAATCGTCAAATTATGAAGTTGCAATTAAACAAATTGATTTAGAAACTGATCAACTGAATTTAATTGATATAAATAAAGAAATTCAAATAATATCAGATTGTAGACTTCCGCAGATAACATCATATTATGGTTCATTTGTAAAGAATTATAAATTATGGGTTATAATGGAATACGTTAACGGAGGGTCAATTTTCGATTTATTAAAATCAGGACCCATAAGTGATGAAAAAACAATTGCAAGTATAATTAAAGAAATCCTACTTGCGTTAAATTATTTACATTCGCAAGGTAAAATTCATCGAGATTTAAAATCTCAAAACATATTAGTTAATAAATCTGGTGAGATTAAATTGACTGATTTTGGTGTTTCTACTCAATTATCTTCAAATTTTTCAAAAAGAAATACCACGGTGGGAACTCCTTATTGGATGGCTCCTGAAGTTATATTAAATAGTAAACATGGTGGTCATTCATTTAAAGCTGATATTTGGTCATTAGGTTGTTGTTGTTTTGAAATGATTACTGGTAAACCACCATTACAAATGGATTATCCACCAATGAAAGCATTAAGATTGATTCTGAGATGTCAACAAGATAAAGAATTTATAAATTTGATAAAATTGAGTGAGATAAATTCTAGTGATGTGATTAAAGACTTTTTAAGTTGTTGTTTTGTAGAGGATCCAAAGAGGAGATATAGTGCTGCTAAATTGTTAAAACATCCATTTATAAATCAAGATTTGGAAGGTACGAGTAATTTAATTAAGCAATTGATTACTAGGAAATCTCAATGGGATTTACAAAATAGTATAGATGAGTCTAGGGGATTTTATACTTCTACTGAGATACATAACAATGATGAGGTATATAATTTTAAAGAAGATCTGAAAAGGATAAGGTCAAGTACAATGAAACTGAATGTGAAAATAGAACAAACTCTGAATTACTTTTCTCAAATTTTGAAGAAAGTAATTAACAAACTAGATAAGAAGTTACAATTGAATTTCGAGCAATCACAGACATTAAATGAGCTACAAACTAATATGATGAAATTGATAGTGGAGAATAATGACAAAATTATACTCTTTCAATTTTTAAATTATTTACAAATGGAATTAACTAAGAATCGACTAAGCAATCTGATACCACCAATGAACCAGGATATTATAGATACGGACAATGAGACAAATGACGTTTATTTCAAAAATAATAAATTTGACGAAATTGAAGAGAATTTGTTAAATTCGTGGATTTCAAAAATGAATATATAATAATTGTACAATGTATTTTTCTCTATATTATTATACTAAACTTGGGGTTTTCGGTCCTTTTAAAGGTTTTTTGAAATCGTGCAGAGTTTAAAGAAATCGTTTTCAGAATTGAATATATAATTATCTATAATGTGTCTTTCTCTATACTATTGTTTAAAATATCATCAAGTACTAAACTTGGAGTCCTTGGTCTTTTCGGTTGTTCTTTCAATGTCACATCATCATTAGATTCTAAATTATCAATAAATGACAAATTTAAATCTAGATTATATAATGATCTAGAACCTACTGAATAATTTTCATGATTATACAATGGAGTATTCAATTTATTATATTCTAATGATGGATTAGTAAACATTGTAGATTTTCGATTAGCCTTTTCTTTTTCAAATTTATCAATACTTTCAAATATTGAATTCCGGTAACTTTTACCATGAGATAATAATGTTACATTTGTTGATGGTGATGATAACGTGGACAGTGTAGTTGTATTATAGCTACTTCCCTTTTCATCAAATCTTGACACAATAGAAGAATCATTATCTGAATGAAATAAATTATTAAAATTTGCAAAATATACTTCTTTTTCATTCTTTGCTTTAAAATTATATATATAATATAAGATTATTCTATGAGTTATTACACCTAGTAAAATTGCAAATAAAATGGCTCCAAATATTATAAATATAAGGTTCAAAGGTAACTTTGATTCATGAATAAATGGATTTTTAATAGTTGGTATTGATGCAGTGAATGTTTCTGATGATGAATCTGTCATTGTTGGCATGGCATTATCTCTGATATTCAAAGTATATGATATATGATTATGATGTTTGTGATTTATAGCTATGGCATTAATACCTTTTAATGAAGCTAGCAATAGTATCATACCTGATATTCAATTGAGTTGTCTATTGATTCAAAGGACCGTTTTGAAAAGGAAAGATCAACATTCTATCTGATTATTCATTATAGAAATACGATTAACAATTAACACATTGTACATATTTTATTTTGGTCAATTTTGACGTGTCGCAAATTTTGAGAAACGGAGATTCATGATTCTCCAACGTTTAAGAGTATTTTACGCTTCAAGTGTTGACATGGCAATGACATGGCAATGACATCTAGTCCGTGTAGATATGCTGTGCTCTTGTTATCAACTCGATTGAATATATTGTGAACATTTATTCTGAATATATACTATTCGTGTTTCATAATTTCAATTTTGTGTCATCGAACAAACGCGTATTTTTTTTATTTTTCTTTTTTTTTTTTTTCCTTTTAGCAAAGTACCACGTGATCTTTTATCACATGATTATGCACGTGAACTGGTTGGTAGCGCCAGTTAATAACAACAAAACAATTTAAAGAAAAAATTATTTACATCATTAATAAACAGAATAGGAAAATGGAATATCTAAAAGAAGGTAAGTAATTAATATAATTGTACAGTGAATTGATACTAACAACTTATTCAGATTTTGATCCAAAGTCATTGAAAGTAGCTGATTTAAGAAAAATATTAAATTTACATAATGTTTCATATTCAAGTGATGATAAGAAACTGAAATTGATTTCAATTTTCAATGATGAAATTGTACCTAAACGTAAAACATTATTAAAAAGCTATGAGAAAAAGATTAAAAATGTAAATGATAAAGATTTCATCGATGCAACACATAATGATTTAAATAGTGATGAAATTATACCTGATACAGAAGAAGAAACAAATCAAGAAATAACAAGAGAATCAATAAATCAAGATATAACAACAGAGTCGATAAATCAAGATCAAACAATCTCACCGAAATTAGAAAAAGAATCAAAAACAATTAAGAAAATCCAAAAGAAGAAACCAAAATCATCTTCAAAATCTGACCGTTCGAAAAAAGACAAAATTGAAGAGTCTGCTAATACTTCAATTACATCAAATAAGGGGAAAGAAACGAAAAAAGATAAAGCAGAAGTATCAATTAATACTTCAATTGCATCTAATGGGAAAGAAGAAACTGATAATTCATTTAGTTCTGAAAATGTATTTCAATCATTTGATAATTCAACTGCTTCTACATCAAGTAAGAAAAGAAAACATGAAGAAAATGATGATAAAGATTTAAAAATTAAGAAAAAATCAACTGGATCAAAATCACTTAAGATCAAATCTCCTTCAAATAAATCAGTTGATGATCTGATTAAGACTGAAACTGGTCAAAGTGATAAATCCTTCAAGACTATAGAAGAAGAAATTGCAAATTTTGATGAAAATCAAGAAAGGATAAGAAATAAGAAAGAAGAATTAGCTAGATCTTTAGGTATTAATATTCAAGGATTTCAACCACCAAAAATTGAAAATGTATCAACTCCAACAAGCAGTTCAACACCAAAAAAGGAAATCAAATTGTATCATAAAACAGGAGGTGATGAGAAAACACCAGCAAAGTCAAGTCCACATGTTAAAAAAGAATTGAAGTCAACTCCAGCAAAATCAAGTCCTAAAATTGAGAAACTAAGATCAGATAAAGTACAAACTCCAGTAAAATCAAGTCCTAAAGTTGAAAAATTAAAATCAAAAGATGTGAGAACTCCAGATCATGATAAAAAAGTAACTCCATTAAAAATTAGACTTGATACTCCAAATAAAAAAGCAACTCCAAAAAGGTCACCTATAATTACTAAATCAGCGATAACTCCAAAACCTAGATTAATTTCAATTTCATCAAAAGCTGCTGAAAGTGATGAAGGAGATTCAGATGAAGAATTAGAAAAATCTGCAAATACCATAGTACCACTTTCTGATAAAATTAAAACTCCTAAATCATTAAAACCTATTTTAATTTATTTTCTTGTATGGTTAAGTTTAATATTTATTGGAATTTTTGGATATTGGTATCATGAACAACAATATTTAGTAGGTTATTGTGGACAAGAAATTGATCAAATTACATTTAAAGATCTGGAATATTTAATATTAAAAAAATCAGGAGAATTATTAGATCATTATTTTAAACCTAAATGTATTCATTGTCCACCAAATGCAAGATGTTTTCCAACTTTACAAATTGGTTGTTTTGAAGATTATATGGAATATGCACCATGGTATGAATTTTTAAGTCCTGGACATAAGAAATGTATACCAGATACAAAAAAAGCTGAGAAAATAAATATTATGATTGACGTAGCTTTGGATTTATTAAGATCTAAAAATGCAAATGTTCAGTGTGGAAAAGGATCAAATGATGAAGAATCAGGAATTAGTGTAAATGATTTACATGATTTATTATTATCTATGAAAGCTGCATATATTACAATTGAAGAATTTGAAGAATTATGGAATAGATCAATGGTTGAATTAATGAAAGAACCAGATATAATAGTAAGGCAAGTACGAACTCCAACATTTTAACCCAATCTTTCAAATCAAATACTAACATATTTTAGCAATCAGAATCTTCAACTTCAAATACCAATTACTCAAACACTAACAACACGATTACAGAAACACAAAAAGAGAACAAAATTCTTCGATCAACGTCCCTTGCCAACATTAATCTAAATTGTCAAATTCAGAACAGTATAATTTCAAATTTAATCCAATATAAATATAACCTAATAATCATAGCTTTATTTATTATATTATACAAATACTTAGAATTCAAATATAGAAAGTATCAATTAAACATAGTCAAAGTGAATGTAATATATCAGGAAGTATTGAGTAAATTAATTCAACAATGTAAATTGGCTCAAAATGATGATAGTGTTTCTCCATTCATTGGATCGAATCAATTAAGAGACCTAATTTTGAGCAATGAGGAGAATATAAGTGAAAGGGTAAGGATTTGGAAACTTGTTGTTAATAAAATTGAAAATAATACTAATGTGTCTAATAAAATTATTGAATCTCATGGTGAAATTATAAAGGTCTGGCAATGGGTGAGTAATGTACAGTAAGGACGTAAGGATGCAAGTAACAAGTAAGGATGCAAGTAAGGATGTCAAAGAGTATGATAACAACTAAGTAAATAATAATGTAGTATAATGATTTATTAAATAGTATTTTTAATATATAATGATTTATCTTAAAGTAAGGATGTAGTGAAATTCAAAGGTAACGATGCTAATAAATATAGAGACGAACTACACTGGGTCTAAGTAAAGTAAATAAAATAGTCATATATTGATTCTATTAAGTTCCAGCATGCAATGCGTATAAATTAGGCATACCCCAACAAGAATAACCCAAAGATTTAGCCATATAACATATTCCTTCAGTTTCAATCCCATCATAACCTTCAATTCTATCCCATGTAGTTCCAACAATATAACTAGTAGGAAACATAATTCCCTGTTTGAATATTATAGACTTCACAAGTAGCACAGCACCACCGACAGAATCTAAAGGAACGACATAATTTAAATTATTCTTATTAATTTCATATTCGTTATTTTCATTTTTTAGGTAATTTTCATAATGATATATTTTACCTTCTTTATCCTTGGGTATGTAGTCAACATTCTCCCAATCATTATTATCCATCATTTTAAGCTGATTTTGATTTGGTTTTGTTCTTTCTCCCCTCCATGAATTCTTATCGTAATCCTTCATTCCAAATATATCAATTCGAGGTACGATGATATCTTTATTTGCCTTAATTAAAGTTTTCAAAAATTTTCTATTATTTTTGAATTTAATTATATCTGAATCCATGAAAAGAATATATTCTTGATTCTTTAAAGTGTTTGAAACTAGAAAGTTTCGTAGTTTAGCTAACAATCTACGTCTTCTTCTCTGTAAAACATCTGAATGACGATTCTGTCTATTTATATCACTTTCTGATTCTGATTCTTCTAAAAATGGAGCATTTAGTAAATTGATACTTTCAATTGAATTATGAATTTGGTGTTGTGTTTCTGAGGAGTCTAGATGTGATTGGATGGTTTTGAATTCGACTTCGGTGTTGCATAGTATTCCTAATGATGTGATAAATTCTTGATTTTCAATTATTGATAGTATTGACTTAAGATATTTTTGAAAATTTCGACCTCTTGTGCCGTATGATTCTTTATCGTGAATTAAAGTGAGAATTAAAACTGAATGTTTATCATTGCTAGGTTCCAGCTTTGAAATGGTTGATGTATAAGTAAGTTTCTGATAATTATACCTGGGATCATTATATTGAATTTTGTCATATTTTGGTGTATTTTCGTTAGGTGGGGAAAGTTCGGATTTTATTTGCGTGATTAGTGAGTTTGAAGTGAGTTGATTCTGTTTGAGATAAAATTGAATTACTTCTTTAATGGATAAATAGGTTGAATCTTTGGAGATTAGTTTAGTTGATAGTATGATAAAGTAGTTGTTTTGAGTTATTGATGCTGTAATAAATAAAACCACAGCCAATAATATAAAAATTAAGACTATTATTCTCTTCTTTTTGACTATGATCATTATTGATTGTAAAGTATCATATATTGAGTTGTTGTAGTTATATCAGTTAAATCATAGCCTTGTTCTATTATTTATCAATTTTTGAATGTCGCGTTCAGAAACCCACGACTTCCAATTTTGGACTATAAAATATAACAGTTGTAATAAAACTTAGAAATTATCAGCTGATGAGCCTTACTTTAATCGCTCAATTGTTTATAATGGTACTGCAGCTGCTAAAGTATAACATGGTGTTAACTTAGACAGTGAAATAGAAAATTATAACTTTTTTTTTAATACAGAAATATTCAATTTCTTTCATTCCAACTTCTTCGTTTTTGCAGACAATTGAGTGCCAAATGAGTCCAGTATATTGGGCAGCGGTTCATAGTTTAGTTAGTCTGGTCATTTGTTTAGCTTTGTATTTCAAAAATGAGATTATAAACCAAAAAATTCATCGTTTATAGTATATAATATCTCAAAAATCTGTCAAATAAACTCAACTACTTCAACTGCACAACTACTTGATTATCTAAAGCATCCAAAGTTAACCAAATTAAATAAGCAATCAAATAGTAATATTCGTCCATTAAATTCAGCAAATTAATCTGTCAAAAACTGAGATAATACAAGCGTTTGTTAACGAAATTAATAGCAGTAGTTTTAAAACATTCATATCTAAAATATACGGTTTTTTCTCATTCGAATGATACCAAATATAATGTAATTTATTCAAAAATTGACTGTGTTAGACTTTATTACAGTATGTCAAACTAGAGGGAAATTTGTTTTTTGTTTTGTGTAATTCTTACTTTTCGCGTTTTCGGTATACTGTTTCATATTTCATCGCGCTATCTTAAATCTAATTACGCTTAATTTGTAATGTCGAATTATGCAGCAAAGCACAGCTTAAAATTATAGTGCCCTGTGTGTATCAAAATGTATTATATAGCCTCTGACACTTTTTAAAATTGCGTGTTACCTTTAAAGTCAAAAAATTGATTTTCAAGATATTAGGGGGTATTTGTTAGGGGGCTTGATGGTAAAAATCTCTACGAAATCAAATCAAATAATTGATTCATCTACGCCATTAAATTGTATAGTGATACGGTAGTACTACATTACCTATAATACTAATTTTTGGCCCTCGAGAGTTGGTCAAAGTATATTCAATTTCAAATCAAATTTCATCGAAGATCAATTTGAAAATTCTAAATAATCAATCAAGTTCACTTTTCATGTACAAGCTTTTGTCGGTCTTGTATAATTTGATAATGAATACAGTAGTGAACCAAATAAATTACTATGAGGTACATTGAGAATCATAATATTTCCTAATTAAAGAACTCGACTACATTAGCTTTACTTGGACTGTTGAATATTGTAACCACATCCAGAAGTTTGAAATTTATACATGCTAAGCTACCCAGACACTACTAGCTTATTGAACATCTAAACAAATAAGTACCAGGTACTCATAATGTTGCCAGAAATAATGAAATTTACATTAAAAAGTTACACATTGATAAAGATTTAAACATATCAAATAAGATCAAAGTATTACAAGTCTCTACAGCTAGTCTAAAAAATGAAACTGAAAGGGATCGTAAGACGTATCGAAGTATCTTACTATTTGAAACATTAACTCGTATACACGTCAACATAGAAAAAGAAATTTTTTCTTTTTCTATTATGTAATGATGTCAATCTTAGATCTTGCGAATTTCGGTTTCGGAGTTTTTCGAAGATTAAGTTTTCATCAGAAGGTTTAGAAACAGCTTCATTTGATTTAGTTATTGTCATTTACAAATTTAAATCAGTTAGATGCTCATCTCAATTGATGAACTAATACTAAGGAACAATTACAAAGTATAGAGAAGTTATTATTACATGTTACATTAATAAAAAAATCTAATTACGTAATGATTTTTCGATGTGAACTAAAAATTAAGTAAATATCTACGTAATGTCACATCAGTTCTCTAGATAAATGTTTGATTTAATTTGATACAAATGTTTCAGGTCGGCTAGAATCAGCTTGATCAAGTATTTGTTTCAATAGTGTAACTGCAGATTGAATTCTGATCCGGTTCGATTTTGTCTTAATGCTCAAACAAATCAACTATTGATAGATTTGTAGAAGTCAATCGACGACATATTATAGTTTACGATGTAACAAATCATGCTTGATTGTTTAGTTAAAATTTTTTTCAATCGTCGAATTCGACTTAAGTAAAGACAAGCAAAATGGTTAGAATAATTGGTTCTCACTTGTTTGTGAACAAAAATTTTTCAATCTTTTTTGATAAAACAATTGATTACTTCTGCTTGAAATGACATCATGAACCAGAATTGAGTTAATTATTTTCTTTTTTTTGAATACTAATATTACTTAATCTCTTACTCTTAATTCAATTCGGAAAAACTTTTTTTTTATTTCTTTTTAATACTGCATATAATTGCCAAATTTAAGCGAAAAAAAAAAGACCCAACTTTAGGAGATTTTGAGAAGAGCAAAACCGCTTCTCAAAACCGCCTACCAATTCTTTTTGAGTACCCTATTTTGGTACAAGATAATAAATATACCTAATTATTATATAATTTATTAAGTAATGTAGTTTATATTTTAAGTTTTGTGATCTTTTTCTTTTAGTGTAGTTAAATCAATGATTATTTTTTTTTTTTACTATCATTGATAAAAATTTCAATTTTTGATGATAAATTTAAATTATATAAATAGACTTAAATTTACTCACCATTCTCAATTGCTAAAACATTTTTTATTTAATAACTATTATAATTATAGATTTTTAGATTTACATAGACTCAATTATAAATTATTAAATTATAGGTATAAAATGACTAATACTACACCATATCAAATTTCAAATCCATTCAAAGTTTCAATTATCGGATCAGGTAATTGGGGTACCGCAGTTGCAAAATTAGTTGCTGAAAATACAAGTGAAAAACCAGAAATATTTCAAAAAGATGTTCAGATGTGGGTTTTTGAAGAAGAAATTAATGGAAAGAAACTTACCGAAATAATAAATACTGAACATGAAAATGTTAAATATTTACCAGATATTAAATTACCAGAAAATTTGATCGCAAATCCTGATATTGTTGATACTGTTAAAGATTCTGATTTAATTGTATTTAATATTCCACATCAATTCTTGGGTAGAATTGTTAAACAGTTGAAAGGTCATGTCAAACCAACTGCTAGAGCAATTTCATGTTTGAAAGGTTTAGAAGTTGGTCCAGATGGATGTCAACTATTATCTACTGCTATAACTGATCAATTAGGTATATATTGTGGTGTTTTATCAGGTGCTAATATTGCAACCGAAGTTGCAAAAGGTAATTGGTCAGAAACATCAATTGCTTATACAGTTCCAGGTGATTTTAGAGGAGAAGGTAAAGATATTGATGAATTTGTTTTAAAACAATGTTTCCATAGACCATATTTCCACGTCAGAGTTATTGCTGATGTTGTTGGTGCATCAATTGCTGGAGCCTTAAAAAATGTTGTTGCTTGTGCAGTTGGTTTTGTTGTTGGAGCAGGTTGGGGTGATAATGCAAAAGCAGCAATAATGAGAATTGGTATTAAAGAAATTATACATTTTGCATCATATTGGGAAAAATTTGGAATGAAAGGTATATTACCACCAAATCCAGCTACATTTACAGAAGAAAGTGCAGGAGTTGCTGATTTAATAACAACTTGTGCTGGAGGTAGAAATGTTAAGGTTGCAAAATATATGATTGAAAATAATGTTGATGCGTGGGAAGCAGAAAAAACAGTTTTAAATGGTCAATCATCACAAGGTATAATAACAGCAAAAGAAGTTCATGAAGCTTTAGTTTCATTTAAATTACAACATGAATTCCCATTATTTGAAGCTACATACAAAGTTATCTACGAAGGTGGTAATGTAGATGATTTTCCAGCATTATTAGAAGCAGAAGATTAGATTAGATTATATAGCACGAATTAATTTGAATTGTATTTATTAATTGATATAAATTTCGAAAAGTTGTTGCGAAAAGCAATGTAGATATTATTAAGCGCTAGAGTTGGGGAACTACCTAAGGGTTGGAACCTCTGTTGATTAATGTCATTCGTAAATTGACTTGCTATTCTAGGGAAGAGAATTTTGCGCAGATTACATTACGCAAGTCCCACTATGGCGTAAAAAAAAAAGTACCAGCACGGCGTAAAAAAAAAATCTTTATCAAAGTTTAACTCAACTCAATACATACAGCATCATTAAAATTGAAACAAGGAAAATAGTTGCGATATGTTACTATTATTAAGCGAAATGTGATGCGCCCAATGGTTTTGATGTACTTCAAATTGGAACATAGTCAAGCCATTAGTGTGTGTACCACACAATTTATACCATGAATATCTACGACGTTTGATTTTATGGCGATAAAATCAGTGTCAATCTGTTCTTATCACCGAGTACAAAAGATTATGTTTCTAATCTAATGATCTTGGACAATTCAAATCTAGAACAATTAGTACCATTGCATCTGTAAATACTGAAACAAGAAGAATATGTTAGATAACTAATTGTTTAAAATATTTTTAGCTTTATGGAAGATTTGCAACTTTTTTATTTTGGTTGCAAAATTTTGAGAAAAAGGGTTAAATAAGCGAAACAGAAATTAGTACCCATTTTCATCAACTCTAAAAGAGACGATTCTTTTTTCGAAGTTAAGTGTCTTAAACCTGAGAGGAACTTATTGATTAGAACTCCGTATACAACGTCATAAATCTATTAAATTTGAGACACATGATAGTTTATACTGGAAATTGATACACACGTGTTTCAAATTATTTTAAACAATGTTCCATATAATTAATTTCAATCAAATAGAAAAGTTTAAAATACAAATTGAAATTAAAATTGAACCACGAAGTTTAATTTAGTGTAATACATTTGATGATTGATAGGAAAAGTATCAATACGAAGGGTATTAGAAAGTTGAGCAATATTGTCGTGACTAAACACTCAGTTAAAATGTGAAAATGTGAATACCATTTAAACTATAAAGTTCTTTCAAATACTCTTTTTATTTCATCATTTTACGTTATTTATTACTTGCTATTACTGCTTTTATTCTGTAGGTAACTCTTCAATTCATGTATATGAATTATAATGCCAACATTTTTTAATAAAATATTTATCGATCGAAAAAAAAAAAAAAAAAAAATATAAAAATAGTATATATATAAATAGATATATTTATCGAATACCGATATACTTTAACTAATTTTAAAAACAGATAAACAAACTTTAAACTTAAAACAATATCATATAGAATAGTTAAAAATCAGTTATTAATGTTTATAAACTAGCATTTATTAATAATATAGAAATCTATTTATAAATTACTTTTAAAATAATGTCATCAACTTCAATACAGTCTACTCCCAAATTAGACTCAATAGATAAAAATAAGAAAATTAACAATAACAATATCTTTGACAGTAATTGCTTTGACAATAATTGCTCGTTTGATAATCAGACAAACCAGACAAACCAGACAAACCTAAATTACCACAAGTTTATAAATTCAAATAATTTCAAAAATCGTTATAATAATTCTCAAAATACAACACCAACTTCAAATTTCGATAATAATGACAGTCATATTTCAATAAATACAAATAATTCAAAGGTCGATCCATTTTTACTGAATTATATTAAATCAAATAATGTCAAGACTATTAAAAATCAAACTTTTCTAATTTTTCAACATAAAGAAAACGTACGAAAATTGAAGCTGTTGGAAATATATCAAAAGTATTTAAAAGGTAATCTTCAAAATTACAGGGATACTACGAAAATAATCAAAAATGATCAATATTTCAATCGTGATAATAAAATTTATATAGATGAGAAAAATCGTCAGATCGATAAAAATGCAACAGATGATATATTAGACAAGGATAGCAATGATAAACAACATATAATAGCGAATAATCGACTAACACAACAAATAACAAACAAAAAAGATGACAGTAATTTTAATAATGATATTATAAAAGATGATGAATTAAATACTCTAAAGTCAAAGGTCGAAATTAGTCAAAAATTTAAAGCAAAAATCCTACCTAATAATTTTATGAATTGTCAGATAGATTATCTCATAGGTTTAATTTCTAGAATGTTACAATCATTAATTTTATTAAACGATAAATCAGTTCCAATTTCAATATCAAATCCGCAAGCCAATACTGAAACACAACATTATGAGAATGATACTAATAATAAGGACAATTCTAATAATAATTTACTTACAAGATACCATTCGAGAACTCCACCTTTAATTTCTACATTCACATATTTAACAAGATTAACAAAATTTAATAATTTCAATCAAGCCACTTTATTAACAACTATTTACTACATTGATTTATTATCACATCAATATCAACCATTTTTTACGTTAAATTCATGGACCGTACATAGATTTTTATTAGTTGCCACTATGATTGCTCAAAAATCATTGGAAGATTTCTTTTATACCAACGATCATTATGCTAAAGTTGGTGGTGTTGTAATCGGTGAATTAAATTGCTTGGAATTGGATTTTTTAAATCGTATAGATTGGAGATGTATACCAGGAAAACAAATTAATAATAATAATAATAATGGAAATGGAGATAATTCAAAAAATTTAACTGAAAAGTTTTGTCCAATTAGATATGCCAAAGATGTGTTAAATATGTATTACTTTCAGTTAATTAAATTGATGGGAAAAAACGTTGATAAAGATAATTCTACTTTTAATAATTTTCATTTTGTAAAAGAATCTTGGAATAATAAGAGTAAGGAAGAAGATGAAGAAGATGAAGAAGAAGCTGATGATGTTATTTATGATGATTACGACGAAGAAGATGAAGAAGAAGAGGATGAAGAAGAAGAAGATGAAGAAGATGATGATGATGAATATGACGAAGAAGATGAAGGAGATGTAGTAGAGGATGAATATTTTTCAAATGGAGTTACCAAAGTTGATAATGATACCGATTTAATTGACAAAGAGATAGAAGATGAACAAAGATATGATCATAATGAAGATTATATGGTAAAGAAACTAAGAAATGAAAATTACATAGTGAGCGATGATTTGAAAGAAAATGATGAACATTTTAATAATAAACAAGAGGATTTAAATGATAAATCGGTTCCAATTGATAAATATAAGTATGATACAAGTGGAAGAAACATAGATGGAAGTTCATCGCCGCATTTGAAAAGACACTACAGTAAATATGATTAAAGAAGGAAATTTATTAAGTTAATAATTATTATATAATTAAGAAAATGGAATTTAATGATAATATACGAAAACTTTTCAGACCCTAAACGATTCAAATCTTGAGGCATATGCAATATATAATACAAGACTGGTGATCTTGTATAATTTATATTTGATTCTTGTGAAAGCTTTGTTCAGAATATATGAGCCAAAATTTTGGCAGAATGGGTCGCCTTGAGTTTAGGGCGAGAATTTAATTTTTTTCTTTAATTTTTTTGTCAATCTTGAAGAAGCATTACTGTATTTTGATCGTAGTAGCTCTGATTTCATTTATCGGAAAAGGAATTGTAATTTCAAGAAACTATCAAAATACTAAGTACAATTATGTGTCGTTGTCCTACTGTGGTCAAATGAATTGCAACCCAAAATAAATACAGATCAGTCAATAAGTATGCAAAAGTAATACAATAATATTAAACACAAGAATAATAATGGATACTATAATTTCACGAGGCTTTAGTTTTTTTCTTTAGAATTGATAACAATTAGTCTTGGTTTGTAGACAAAGAATACGATTAACGTTATAGAATTTTGAACGTTGGCACGTGATTGAAAAAATTATGGACTTAAAAACGTGATGAAAAGTAATTTATTTTTTGCAGCCATTTCAAAAGAAATAATAGCAAAGCTGCAGCCATTTCAAAAGAAATAATAGGAAAACCAAAAGAAAGCCAAAAGTAAACGAACCAAAAGTAAGCGAACCAAAAGAAAGCGAACCAAAAGAAAGCGAACCAAAAGAAAGCGAACCAAAAGAAAGCGAACCAAAAGAAAGCGAACCAAAAGAAAGCGAACCAAAAGAAAGCGAACCAAAAGAAAGCGAACCAAAAGAAAGCGAACCAAAAGAAAGCGAACCAAACAAAAGATCAAAAAAAGATCAAAAAATGGTCTTATTTGAAGGAAATTAATATTATTTTTAAGACTTAGAAGGATCAGAAAGATAAAAGGTACTGTGAAAATTTTATTGAAATATTATTTGAAGCTTTTTTAGCAAGAGAAAATGGATTTTAAATTATTTTTACCGTCTAATAAAGTTAACGATATATAATCTAAGAATTCAAACATTGAATATGATAATATGGTAACTAGTTTTATAAAGTCAAAGCATCATTTGATACCAATTTATTCTACGTTCTATGGCGTGTAAATAATACAATTTAATTTCGTATATATATATATATAAGTTTTAAAAGCAAAAGACGGAGTTAAACTTAGGAATTAGGGAATAAATGTTACGTAATCATATAACGTTATATTACTAATGACATAGAAAATAAAATTCAATTAAGGCTTTAACACTTGCATAAAACATAAAACGCTTTTTACATGGAATTAGATTCAATTTAAAGAAGCATTATATAGAAACAGTTATATACATAAATAGTGATGCATATCCTATAGATTTTATTGATTTTATTAATTTTATATATTTTCATTATTTTATACGGTCAATTATTAATTAATCAATATCATTCATCGGTAGATCTTTTAGCTTGTTGTTAATTCATAAATTATTAATTTAATCGTTACTTCAAATTAAAAAAATATTATTTACCTTATAACCAACTATTAAATAATTACTATTTTAAAAGTAATATTCATATTTCATATTTCAGATTTCAGATTTCAGATTTCAGATTTATACCCATATATCTTTATATAAAGAATGGTAGTCGCGGACGATTATGAAGAATCAAATTCTTCTTCATCAATTGGTGAATATAGAGGTCATCTTCATTCAAAAAGTAATAATGAAAAAACTGAGAATAATAATACTCATACAAATAATGGTTCAGATTCTTTAACTCCTTATGATTATGATGATGAAGAATTTGATTATATAAAAGATGATGATGAGCATCTTACTGATGAACAAAAAAGAGAACATTTAATTAAAACAATTTCTCATATTTCAAATCATGATTTTGATGAAAAATTTGACTCAATTTCAAGAGAAATTTCAAGACAAATTACAGATAAAGAAGGTGAATTTCAATTAAAATTGGATAATTTTAATTTAGGCAAAATTTTATCAAATTTTGTTTATTTTGCTAAAAAGCAAGGTATTGTTTTAAGAAGTAGTGGTTTAACTTTTCAAAATTTAACTGTTTATGGTATTGATGAATCTTTTGCTGTTGTTCCAACTGTTGTTGATTTATTAAAGGGTCCAATTGGTGGTATTCAAGCTTTAATAACAAAATTAAAAACTCCAAAGAGAAAGATTTTAAATGAAATTAATGGAATTGCAAAACCTGGTGAATGTGTTTTAGTTTTAGGTAGACCTGGTGCTGGTTGTTCAACTTTTTTAAAATCTTTAACTGGTACTGATTTCGATTTATATGAAGGAATAGAAGGTGATATTCGTTATGATGGTTTACCTCAAAAGGAAATGTTGGCTAAATTCAAAAATGATTTAATTTATAATCCTGAATTAGATGTTCATTTTCCTCATTTAACTGTTGATCAAACTTTATCTTTTGCAATTGGTTGTAAAACTCCTGAATTAAGAATTAATGGAGTTTCAAGAAAAGAATTTATTAATGCAAAAAAAGAAATTTTAGCAACGGTTTTTGGTTTAAGACATACTTATAACACGAAAGTTGGTAATGATTACGTTAGAGGTGTTTCTGGTGGTGAAAGAAAAAGAGTTTCAATTGCCGAAGCTTTAGCTTGTAATGGTTCAATTTATTGTTGGGATAATGCAACAAGAGGTTTGGATGCTTCAACTGCTTTAGAATTTGCTCAAGCTATTAGAACTTCTACAAAATTATTAAAAACAACTGCTTTTGTTACAATTTATCAAGCTGGTGAAAATATCTATGAAACTTTTGACAAAGTAACTGTTTTATACCAAGGTAGACAAATTTATTTTGGTCCAATTCATAAAGCAAAAAAATATTTTGAAAATATGGGTTGGGAATGTCCTGCAAGACAAACTACTGCTGAATTTTTAACTGCTGTCACTGATCCAATTGGTAGATTTGTTAAGGAAGGTTATGAAAATAAGGTTCCTAGAACTTCTCAAGAATTTGAACAATATTGGTTGAACTCTGACGATTATAAACATTTAATACAAGAGATAAATGAATATAATAGTCAAATTAATCAAGATGAAACTAGAAAAATTTATTATGAATCAATATCTCAAGAAAAAATGAAAGGTGCTAGAAAGAATTCTCCATTTACTATATCCTATTTTCAACAATTAAAATTGTGTGCACTTCGAAGTTATCAAAGAATTATTGGGGATTCAGCTTATACCATAACTCTTATGGCAGCTGGTATATCGCAAGCTTTCGTTGCAGGTTCATTATATTACAATACTCCGAATGATGTTACTGGTGCATTTTCTAGAGGTGGTGTTATCTTCTTTGCTGTTTTATTTATGTCATTAATGGGTTTGGCCGAAATTTCAGCTTCATTTAGTAATAGATCAATTTTAATGAAGCAAAAGAATTACTCAATGTATCACCCATCTGCTGATGCTCTTTCAAATTTTGTGATGTCAATTCCTGTTAGTATTGTTGTCAATATTTTTTTCGTCGTCATTTTATACTTTTTATCAAATTTGGCAAGAGAAGCTGGTAAATTTTTCATTTGTTTCTTATTTGTTGTTTTATTACATTTAACTATGGGTGCAATGTTTCAAGCTGTTGCTGCTATTAATAAAAGTATTGCTGGTGCAAATGCCATTGGTGGTGTTTTGGTTTTAGCTTCATTGATGTATTCATCTTATCTTATTCAACGTCCATCGATGCATCCTTGGTTTAAATGGATTTCATATATTAATCCAGTTTTATATGCTTTTGAAGCAATTATTGCATCTGAATTTCATGGTCGTAAAATGCAATGTGTTGGTCTGTATTTAACTCCGTCGGGTCCGGGATATCAAAATTTGGCAAGTGGTGAACAAACTTGTTCATTCGTTGGATCAGTTGCAGGTCAAAATTGGATTTCAGGTGACAGTTACTTAAAGTTGGCCTATACTTATAGTTTTTCTCACGTTTGGAGAAATCTTGGTATATTGATTGGGTTTTTAGCATTTTTCTTGACAATTAATGCATTAGGTACTGAATGTATTAAACCAATTAGTGGTGGTGGTGACAAATTATTATATTTAAAAGGTAAAGTTCCAGAACATATCATGTTATCATCAGAAAAGAAGGAAGGTGATATTGAAGAAGGACCTGAACCTGATAATTTGGAGAAAATGGAGCCAGAAGTTAAACCTAGTGATGAAGATTTGAGAGTGAAGGATATTTTCGTATGGAAAGATATCGATTATGTAATACCTTATGATGGTGCTCAAAGAAAATTGTTACAGAACGTCAGTGGATTTTGTATTCCGGGTACTTTAACTGCTCTTATGGGTGAATCAGGTGCTGGTAAAACTACTTTATTAAATACATTAGCTCAAAGAATTGATTTTGGTGTTATAACTGGTGATATGTTGGTCAACGGTGCCAAAATTGATTCATCATTTAGTCGTCGAACTGGGTATGTTCAACAACAAGATATTCATGTTTCTGAAGTTACAGTTAGAGAATCTTTACAATTTGCTGCATTATTAAGAAGATCAAATGATGTGAGTGATCAAGAAAAACTAGATTATGTTGAAAAAATTATCGATGTTTTAGATATGGGTTGGTATGCAGATGCTGTTGTTGGTAAAATGGGTGATGGTTTAAATGTTGAACAAAGAAAAAAATTATCAATTGGTGTTGAATTGGTTACAAAACCTTCATTATTATTATTTCTTGATGAACCAACTTCTGGTTTAGATTCTCAATCAGCATGGGCAATTGTTAAATTATTACGTGACTTGGCTAATGCTGGTCAATCCATTTTATGTACTATCCATCAACCATCAGCCACTTTATTTGAAGAATTTGACAGATTGTTATTATTAAGAAAAGGTGGTCAAACTGTTTACTTTGGTGATATTGGCCCTAAATCTAGTACAATCCTAAATTATTTTGAAAGAAACGGAGCAAGACATTGTGAAGAACAAGAAAATCCTGCGGAATATATTTTGGAAGCTATTGGAGCAGGTGCTACAGCTTCAACTGAATCAAATTGGTTTGAAATTTGGGAAAATTCAAATGAGAAAAAACAAACTGATATCAAACGTGATCAATTGATTGAAGAATCAAAAAATAATCGTTCTGAAGGAACTGCTGATAAACAATTGACAAAAAAATATGCTACTCCATATTTTTACCAATTTAAGCATGTTTGTCATAGAAGTGCATTGATGTTTTTCCGTGATCCAAATTATATTGCTGCAAAAATATTTTTAATGACTATATCTGGGTTATTTATTGGTTTTACATTTTTTGGTATAAAACATACAAAAACTGGTTCTCAAAATGGTATGTTTTGTGCTTTCTTATCTGTTGTTGTTTCAGCTCCTGTTATCAATCAAATTCAAGAAAAAGCCATTACTGGTCGTGATCTATTTGAAGTTAGAGAAAAATTATCAAATACTTATCATTGGTCTTTAATGATTATTTCTCAAGTACTAAATGAAATGCCATATTTAATAATAGGTGCTACATTTATGTTTGTTTCACTTTACTTTCCTACTCAAGTTGACACGGAAGCACTGCATTCTGGTATATTTTATTTTACTCAAGGTATATTTTTACAAGGATTTGCTGTTTCATTTGGTTTGATGGTATTGTATATTAGTCCTGATTTGGAATCAGCTGCAGTTATTGTCAGTTTCTTGTATACATTCATTGTTGCATTTTCAGGTGTTGTTCAACCAGTCAACTTAATGCCAGGATTTTGGACATTTATGTATAAACTTTCACCATATACATATTTCATACAAAATTTAATTAGTTCATTTTTACATGGTAGGAAAATTCAGTGTAGTGATAAAGAATTAGCTTATTTTAATCCACCAAATGGTGAAACTTGTGAAGAATTTGCAAATGCTTTTGTTCAACGTGCAGGTGGATATTTGAATAATCCAAATGCAACATCAAATTGTGGTTATTGCAGTTATAGTAATGCTGATGAATATTTATTGACTATAGGAGCTAAATTTTCATTAAGATGGAGAAATGTGGGATTCTTTTTTGTTTATATATTTTTCAATATTGGATTTTGTTTGGTTCTTTACTATATTTTAAGATATAAAAAGATTACTAAGAATCTTACGAATGTAAAAAATGTTTTCAAAAAGACAAAATAGAGGTTGTTTTCGTGAGTTTTATAGATTTAATAGACATTAATTAATAAGTATCTTATAATATTAAAAAATGGGAGCTTTCGAGATTGATATAGAATCTGAATATGTAAACCAATTTTTTTTAAATACTACTACAAACTATAAACAATTAATTAGGTTTTATCAATTCAAATGAGCAGTAAAGATTTTTATCAACACTCATAACAGCTCCAAAATTATTGAATTCACCACAATAATTTGGTGCACTGAAAACTGTAACAAGCTTACGCTTGCTAAAAAATTCATAACCATCTTCAACAACCATATGACCTCTAACAATTAAATCTAATTTAAATTTTGAGCAAAAATATTCCACATGCTTTCTACCAAAACAAAATGAAACACCACGATCATTCTTTGGCCAATTACTTAAAGAAAAATTCTTAACCAGTGGATCAGGATCAGACCATAATAAATCTGCTAATAAACCTTTATCTGGAACATCAGTTGGTCTTTTGATATTTTCAATTTGTTCAAAATTATTCAAATCAGGTGACAACCCACCGTGTACGCAAAAAATTTTATCATTTATTGTAGCAGCAATCGGTAAAGTATTAAAAACATCAACAAAATTTTTCCAAATTTTATTATTATTTAAACGTCTTTTACATTCGTCGTAAAAACCATAGATTTTAGTAATGTTTGCTGATTCATGATTACCTCTTAACATGAAAAAATTTTCTGGATATTTGATCTTGTAACAAAGTAATAATAATATCGTCTCTAAAGACTTTTCCCCACGATCGACATAATCACCCAAGAATAAATAGTTTGAGTGAGGTGGGTAACCACAACAATTAAATATTCTAATTAAATCAAAAAATTGACCATGAATGTCACCAACGATTTTCACGGATGGAGTTAATCTTAACAATGTTGGTTGTTCCAAAAAGATTTGTCTAGATTTACCAAGAATATACTTAATGTCATTAAGCTCGATTTTAAGCTTATCTTTCAGTTTTCGATTATTTGAATTCTTCTTTGTATGTAACAATTTTTTAATTATTTCATCAATATCAACATCTAATTTTTTATTGCTTGCAATCAAAGGTGGTGAGTTAGATAAATTTGATGAACTGGTAGATGATTGTTTAACTAATGTTGTTGATATAGTCTTATTATGTTTCTTCAAATTTTCTTTTGATAAAACTTTGGACTTTTGATTTAATTCTAATGGTTTACTTTCAGCTATTGAATCAAGTTTGTTTGACAAATTTGAATTATCCAAAACTTGTTTATTGATCGTAGGACTTGAATTAAAAGACAGTAGCAGATCTTCGTCTTTAGAATCATTACCTAAAGTTGTAAAAATTGGTGAAGTGATGGATGTTCCCATTGAATCCAACGATGATGCCACATCTTGCAGTAATTTTGAATTTTTAGAAGTTGATAGTTTTAAATCCATATCAAAATCAAAAGAGCCCAAATCACTCAAACTTGATTTGTTAGGACTATTAAATGTACCATCGTTTTCTGCACCATTAACATTAATAGATTTGGAACCAAATTTTTTAGTTTTATTATTATCTATGTCGATTGCCCCAATATGTTTAAAAATACCATCTTCACCTTCAAGACTCTTTTCACCTTCGGAAATGCTTTCTTGTTGAATAATATTCTTTTTATTGGAATTTCTAGTTTTATCTTTATTTTGAGATAGCGCAGAAGCCATCTCATCTGGATCTAAGTCAACATTACCATTTGATTGAGCTGTTGATGAATTATTATTTGATGAATTTGAAGACGACTTCGGTAGGGGATCATTTTTTGACGGGCTGTTTCCCATTTATTGCAAAAAGCTTTGAGTGAAAAAACAATAGCTTTAGTATGATGTGATTCTTGAGTATTTATTTGGTGACGAAACTTCAAATATAACAAAAATTAATGCTTCGACTGCCAACAAAAAAAAAAATGAAAATGTGGTTTATTATTTCTTTATCTGGTAACTTTTTAATCCAAACTATCTGTTAATACTCTAATAGGTGGTAAACTAATAAACAAAAGTAAATAAGTATTGGTTAATAAATTTGATATCTAATCAAATATTTTCATATTAAAAAAAAAAAAAAAAAAAAAACGCCAGTCGTGTAAAATTGATAGAAATAGAAATATGGATTAAAATCAACTAACCAAACATATTCGATTGAGTACTATATAATGTTTACTATTTAAAAAACGGTTTATGATAAAAAGAATACTGGGTAATATAAGTAATTTGTCAAAAACCAAAATGGTACAGTCATCAAATCAAGGAAAATCTATTAGAAACGCAGGGTGTTTAATTATTGGTGATGAAATTTTAAATGGGAAAATATTAGATACAAATTCATATAATTTTGCCAAATTTTGCTTTAATAGATTATCAATTCCTTTATCTAAAACTATTGTATGTGGTGATGATGAAAAAGATATAACACAATCATTAGATTTTTTAACAAAACAAAATGAAATTGATTTCATTATTACTTCTGGTGGTTTAGGTAGTACTCATGATGATATTACATATAAAGTTATAGCAGATTATTTTAAAGTAAGCTGTGAATTAGATAATGAGGTTGTTGATCGAATGAAGAAACTTAGAGCGGAATATATTAAAGCATTAGATACCCAGCAATTACATGCATACTTTAGAATGGCTACAATACCAGTGCCAACAACAAATTCAAATACTCTTGTTGAGAAATTCTTTGTTGATGAAAAATTATGGTTTCCTATAGTTGCATTAAATCAACAGGTTTACATATTACCTGGTGTACCTCAATTATTTATGAAATTGATTAATGCAATAGAACCTATTTTAAAACCACGTATTAAATCGCAACAATACATTAGAAGATATGTAGTTACTAAAACTAATGAAAGTGTATTGGCCCCATTTTTGACAAATTTACAAAAAATTTGTAATGAGAAATATGGTTTAGGTAATCTTAAACTAGGAAGTTATCCACATATGGGATCGAGCCTTGTAACTATTAGCATCATTGGGAAAGATTTAAATAAAGAAGATTATAATTGGATTGTTATTGAATTGATAAATCACATTGGAGGTGAAGCTAAAGAAATTACACAAGAAGAAGAGGATAAATTAAGTAATGAAAGTTGATTAATATACAATTATAAACTCATAAATTGGTTATTAACTAGTTAACTTGTCGTTATAGTAGTTAAATTGAATGAATTGTATAGTTAGTATTGAATATTTAAGTAGTGTAAAAAAATTAGATACTGAAAAAAAAAAATAAAAAAAAAAAAAAAAAGATTCCATTCAAAGAACAGTAGGTAGAAGTAATAGTAATAGTAGTAAGAATATACTATGAATATAAATCCACATTTTCAATATTTACAACAGAGTAATTCTCAAAATAACTCACAAATTCAAAATAATAATAATAGTCAAACTACTGTAAATCAACAATCTCCACAAATCACTCAATTACATTTACAACAACAACTTCAAAGACAGCAACTTCTTAATCAGCATCTACAACAGCAACAGCAACAACAACAACAACAACAACAACAACAACAACAACAACAACAACAACATGTGAATAATCCTTTATTAGCTACAATCAATGGAAACAATTCAAATATTTCAAATGCTAATTCTGTAAATTCTTCAATTAATGCCTCGGGCAGTTCTGGTTTAAATACAATACTACAACAATTACAATTGCAACAATTACAACAAATGCAACAGCAACAACAGCAACAACAGCAACAACAGCAATCTCAACAACAACCGTCACAATTACAAAATTCTTCTATTTCAATTCAACAGCTTAATCAACAACAACCTCAAATACCAATAATCAAAGAAGTTTGGGCTAATAATTTAGAACATGAGTTTCATTCTTTAAGAAATTTTGTAAATGATAAAACTTCCAAAGTATTTGTGTCGATTCATCAAGAAATTCCTGGTATTGTAGCCAGACCAGTGGGTACATTCAAATCATCATCGGATTATCATTTTCAAACATTACGAACAAATTCGGACTTGTTAAATTTGATCCAATTGTCAATATGTGTTACAAAATTGAAGAATAATGAAATACTAAACTCTAGTATTATTTGGCAATTCAACTTTATTTACGATTTATCTAGCGAAATGTACAATGAAGAACATTTGGCAATGTTATCACAATCATCACAGATAAATTTTTCATTGCATATGTCTCATGGTATAGAGCATTTTAAATTTCTGGAATTGATTATTGAAAGTGGTTTATTGTTAGATAGTCATGTCGAATGGGTATCCTATCATGCAGGGTATGATTTAGGATTTTTTTTAAGTTTACTCATGAATTCAAGTTTGCCAGTCGATGAAACTGAATTTTATTGGTGGTGTAATAAATATTTCCCAAATTTTTATGACTTGAAATATATCGCGGGTCAAATATTGAATAAAGATTCAAATGATGAAAAAATGAATAAACCTTCAATTGAATACCTTGCCGAAGAATTGCATTTACTACCAATATCTCCGGCAATTAGACAACATTTTGCTTCATCATCTGCCAGTGTAAATGCATATCACAATCAACAGTTAACTTCTACTTTACATGCATATTTATCAATGGAATGCTTTAAGGAATTGTTAAGACGTTCTGGCTTTGATTTGAATATAATGCTGAAATTTAAAGGAACAATATGGGGATTAGCAAATCTCTCTAATGATCATCGCATAGAAGGAAATGGAGGTGATAGTGACTTACATGAACCATCTACTCCTGGTGAAATATCAAAGAGTAATGCATTTCAAGTTGGTAAAAGTTAATAGATATTAATATAATTGTACAATTACATTTACAATGATATCTTTCTTTATTATTATATACTAATTTAAAAACCATAAACTCCATAATGAACCTTTAAAATAAATCAAACTTGTATAGAACAGAAAATTAATCATCCCAAATTATCATCAACTTTTACTTTTTTATTATTGTCATTTTCTTCTTCTTTAATTTCCCTTTTTCTCTTATAATGAGCTTTTTTATCTTCACCTGTTCGTTTTTCCTCGTCAGCTGGAGGTTGAACAAACCAAGGTATCTTACCCCTATTAAAATCATTCAATAATTGCTTCGATACACCAATTTCGTCGGGCTCTCCTCCTTTCAATAACCTACCTTGTTTTCTAGCAATTAACTCCAAGAATTCTGTACTGGCTTGTTCCATTAATGATTCATCTTCTTCAAATTTTGACCATCCTTTAATCTCATAAGTTCTTTCTAAATGTTTCCTTTCACATTTTCTCAACATATCAGGTATATATTGTTCTGGATTTGAAACATGTTCGACTCTAACAACTCCTCGAAATAATATATCAGATTCTGAATCTTTGGAAGAAGGAGGAACAATACCAGGACAATCAATTAAAAAAATTCTTTTCATTAAAGTAATATACTGCCAAACTTTTGTTTCACCAGGAATTGGAGCAACTTGGCAAACCTTCTTCTTACGCAAAGTGTTTATAATACTAGATTTCCCTGTATTTGGGTATCCAATGAACCCTACTGATATTTGTTTTCTATCAGAATGTAATGTAGAAAATTGTCTCAACAATTGAATTAAAGATCCTTTACCAAATGAATTAGTTATAGAAGCGTGAAATGCTAAAGTTGGATATGATTTAGACAAATGTTTCACCCATGCTGCCTAAAATTTAGTAGTTAGTAACCAAAACATAAAACTAAAGTTGAGTGGAGTTTATCAGTCAAATTATAAGTCATTAAAAATTGTTTCAAAATTTAAATGTCGGTTTCTATACTACGAAACTAATTATTGAATTAAGCTCATAGCTTAAATTAGCTTCAACTCAAAAAGAATCCATAACAATTCTAAAGATTATCAACAAAAACTATTGATATTAATTGTGAACTACTTCGATTATCAAAACGATAACCAAAAACCAAAATAGGTTGAACACGGATCGAATTGTATTGATATTCCAAAGTCGTAACAGGCAATACTGTAATTATGCAATTAGTAAATTACAAGATTGAAAAATATCACCCTGACAAAAGGCTTTGGTATTTACCATGAAATGACAATAAAATCAAATGAAAACTCCAGCTACAATTAACATACCGCCACCCATGTTGGGACCAAATCACACTTGTTCAATACATAAATCAAATGCTTGTGAGGACATTCATCTTTTATATACTTTTCTACCGATTCGCATCGAGTTCCCAATGGATCTCTAGCATCCAACACATGAATAACCACATCCGAAGAGTCAATAACTTTATATAATTCATTCCATATTCTTTTTGATTGACCTTTATGAAAAATAGCTTCCTTAGCTTCTTGAGTAAAATCATCTTTATCAAGAATAGAACCACCCATTAAACCTAAAGTTGAATCTAACTCTTGTTTCTCCTCATATTGACTAGAATCAGTTTCTGCACTTTTCATTAATTCTTCCAAATTTGCTGCTGGTACTCTAGGTTTTTTCCTTTGCTGTTTGGGTCCAAATGTAGATTCAAAACTCTCTGTTTCTACTATCTTTGCAGTAGGGGATTGATCTGAATCTTTTTCATTTAATAATGACATTGGCAATTTATTCCTTTTTAAAAGTATCTGATATGAGTCGTCTTTTTTATCGCTCATCGCTTCTCTAAAATGACTTAAAGCATCTTGAGCAATGACTCGAGTATTTCCAAACCATTTTCTATTAGGGTCAACCCTTGCAATGGGAGCATCAGTCAGTTGTAAATCAGCTGCTTTAATTATTTCACCTTTTTTATTTCTAATGGCCCTACCTTGTTTATACATATTTAAAAGTTTAACTTTCTTAGCATCTTTATAAAAATTTTCACCTTTAACTCTTAAATTAGAATCCCTTGTATCATTTTGTCTCACCCTTCTTTCCTTTTCCTTCTTTTGAGTACCCATAATAACTAACTCTGTATGTCAATAAATGTATCTATATAAAAAAAAAAAAAAATTTCTAATTTTAGACGAGATGAGAATTTTATCAAAAGATTTGATTATGTAATAGATTACCCACCACTTATTTATTTATTTATCTATTCGACTTGGCTTTCAACAACTATTGATTACAAGATTATTGATATGTATAATAATCTGAAAACTGATAGTGTACTGCTTTTAAAAAGTCTTGATGCAACGCAGGAACATTTTTTGAAAAAATATTTACTTGAATCAGCATTAATTAATGAATTACATCAATTAAATCAACCTGATTGTTGTCAATTATTGGGTTTGCCATTCAAATCACCTAATCCAAATCATGATTTTCAAAATTTACCATTACTATCGTTTTTCTTAAAAGAAATTTTAAGAACATTCCCATTCATCACCAATAACTCAATTGATAACCAAAGAATTTATTGGCAAGAAACTGTGCAACCTTTTATTGAAAGCTTTAATAAAAAATCACTTAGCAACCTGGGTGAGCGAGCTGAACTTATTTCAAAGCGAAAGCAAATTAGCAAGAAATTATTATCGGGATTATTGTTATTTTACAATTCGATAATCATTACTGATCAGGAACTATCCTACTTAAAAGATGCAAATCATTTAAAACCTTCAGATATAGGGAAAATTGACAAGTTTTATAAACCAAATGGGGAGCTAAAGCATAAGCTGAAGTTTCAATCTTTGAATAATTCTTTTAGTGTGGGTATTAGCGAATTCTCAAAAATGAAATTCATCAATGAATACTATGTAAATATTTTAGCTGTTAGGGAGATAAATCAAGAGACTAAGACGAATTGGTTTAATTTTAAAGCTGAATCAAAGCATCATTTTGACTTTGTTATTCAAATCGTATCAAAGTCGGATGTTGGAAACTATAGCACTAAATTTATCAGCAAACATTATCACCAATTCAAAGACTTAGAAAAACAATTAAAAAATGAATTTCCTGGCTTAATGACGAATATGGAGTTGCCTAAAAAAGACAAGATTGATGTAGGTTATGAATTAGATGAACTTAACTCAAAGGGTGATAAACACAAAATTTTGATTAAAGAAAAGTTACGATTAGCATTGAGAGGTTATTTGCGAAATTTGTTATCTGTATCGGAAATTTTACATTGCAATACCTTTCAGGAATTTTTATCAGGTCCCGTTACAACGTTATCCCAAAAAGATGAGTTAGATTACAAACAAAGAAGAGAATTTGAAGAAACATTATACAAAACACAGTTAGAGTTTCAAAATCAAACAACACAAGTGATGAATAAGTTGACTAAAAATTTTGAGAATTTCAAGCATTGTCTTGTTCAAAATCCAAACACTTTAACAAATCTATTTAAAGAAATAGGCTCTACTCCAAATATAAAGGATGCTTCATCTTTATTGCAAACATTTAATGAATGGTGCAAACTTGAAATTAGTGCCACGGTATTTCAAATGTTTTTGGGACAAGATAGTTCAAACGATTGGTTTAGAAAAGTTGAGAAGGTCCATGGAATGTTTCCCTACTCCATAGTCTATGGTATCTTAAAATATACTAATCCAATGAAGATAGTTTCAAAAATCATTAACCTATTATTGGTGAATATACCTTCGTTTCCTTCTTTTTGGGGCAAAAATTCGAATATTGAGACATCATCAGAACAAAAAGAAGCTCATAATTTACTTTCTTTGATATTCGTTATGTTATTGAATGAGGATTTAAGTAGTTATGAAAAAGAAATTCAATTATTGGAACATACATTAAACGACTTCACAATGTATACTGAAAGGCTCAAACACTATACTCATCTAGATCCAGCCTCCGTTCAGTTAGTCAAAGAAGAATCTTTGAATAAAGAACAAGATCTTTTGATGACTGTCCTATCAACAGAATTAATTACGCCCCAAATTTCAATAAAAGATCCTTTATTTCAACAAATCGAAGATTCTTATCAAATTCATTCCAACCTCTCCAAGAATTTGAATAGGAAGGAGTCATTAGTGTATTCAAATTTAAAACAATACTGGCAAATTCAAATCAAAAAAAGAGATAAAGATTTAGTCAAACAGCTTTGGAAGGAGCCCGAGCTAACCAACTTGATTAAGAAGTTCCTTGAAATATTTTATCAACCACTCATAAATGTGTTTGCAAAATCCAATATGCACTTGGTTTTTCGTTCATTTCAACAATTCATGAATGATTTAATGACTACTTTGAGAAATATAAACAATGTAGAAATATATTATTTAAACTCATTTGAAATATACGATAAGCTCAAAACATTATTAGATAATCATGAAACAATTATTTGGAGTTTCATTCATAATATTTATAATAATGATGACTCCCAATTGTTTTTACTGCTAGTGAAATGGATTGAAAAGTTTTTGACACTCATCAGAAAGAAATTTGTGAATGAGTCAGTCGTCAAAATTGACATCATCATGAATTCCAGTGTTGATCAAAAGTTATTTATCAAACAATTAAACTTCAGAATACATAAAACGTTGCAAAAGCGTAAGATATTCAAAGAATACTTACAGAAGAAAGAGGCAACCAAGAATAAGATTGATCTCGATTGGGAGAAATTGAATGATCAAATATTTGGTGAGTCAGGAGGTAAGAAGTTTGGTATTTTCGATGATGATTTGGAAGAATTCAACTTATTGAATGCAGAAGATGATTTCGTTAATTCCTCAACCCATACAGAAATCGAGAAAAGTTTGGTAAAAAGTCTTCACGAATTAGAGTCAGTCGATGACATAGGAACATCTGAATTGGATAAATTTGATATATCTTCAGAATTAATAAGAGTGCTTAACAATATTCTGAGTAAATGTACAGCTTAGATCCCATTCCTTATATTCTCTATAATTAGTATTAATTCGCTTGCGTATTTGTATAAACCTTTAAATCAAAATCTTGTCGTTAATTCCTACAACCTGATAATATTTTTACGCTTTCTTGATGAAATTTTTAGCAAGAAATTTAATACTAAGTCTAAGTATACACCTTTACTCAAACCTTATTTTATAGCCTCGATTCACCCAGTTCGAGGTTTTATCTTCTGATGGCACATAACTATCGTGAAATACAGTTGGTTTTGCAATTTGAGGTATTCATTTGATAGCGCATTTGCAAAATTATGTGCTCTGATTGGTCAGTGAAGCAATTAGATTATCAAAACTCAAGCTATCACCCTCAGCTAAACGTGAACAAGTAATGCCTAAGATATAGTTTAATAACATATCGTTAGATCTTCGCTAAACGTGTTAATTCGTGAAATAGTTGCACATTTTAAACTTTATAAGCCTCATTTCCTTATTCGGATTCTTTTGACCATCTACAAAACAATTTTGTTACACGAAAACACGATCCAAAATTGACAACTTTTCTTTTTATAAAATTTATTTGAAACGTTAATTACTTGAACATGAGCACATTTGATAGCCTGAAACAACCTTTGATACCTCTAGCTTATTTGATGTTAAGCAAATGTGTTAATGATCGTGGATGTTGTAGTAAAACAATTTATATAATGAACGGAAGAGGGGACCAATTGTTTCAAAAAAGCTGTATTTACTCATTTTAGCTTCCTGATTGTAAAGCAGTTAATTGGTTTTGTAATGGTTTTGTATTTGTAGAGTTATGAAGATACAGTTTCACAAACAATTGGATAAATTTACAATTTTTTTAAAATAGATCTTGAGAAATTTGTGCATTTGTAAAGTCTGTTGATTACAAACAGCAAACGATCAAAGGGGTTCTTCAGCTCGATTGTTTACCACGGTTCTACAATCTTTGTATGCTTGTATTTACTAGATTATTTAGCGACATATATTGGAATATACCTGCATATAAATTGGAGCAAAAAATAAACATAGTATGACATAGTTTATGCCACCCCGAGTACGCCATATTTCAGTCCTCAGTTTTAGATACCTAGTTCGTATTGAGCCTAAAAACATCTAGGAATACCGGGAGTATATTTCTAATCTTGCATTCAAATCCATCAAAACCGCAAAAGTAGCGTCCGAGCAAGAACGTTACCTTCGTAAACTAAGGTTAATAAATCTAAACCCATTAACTATGTAACCTGACATCAATATTTAATACTTGGTAGCGCTATGTTACGATATTCTTTCTGATGTCTAAACACAGTTGAGCTATGGATGAGATGGATGAGATCCAATCTTTATACCTGTCCATTTTGAGGTCGTAGAACACGATGCGCCTATCTAGAGCCTCGCTAACACAACATATATGTTAGAAATGATCAATGTTAAAACATCCTAACCTCAATACTAAAATTTTGCGATATTGCACCCTTACCGCAATACTTAATTTAACATCCTAACTTCAAATAAACATATGGATTCACTTAGAGCTTACCAAAACTTACATCATATCATGTGATTGATTCATGATATTGTGAGAAACGAAAGCCAATTGGTTTAGTCATGTGATAAAATTTCAAAATTTTCAACTGTTAAGAATAGATTTTGTTGCTTCTGGTTGGATAAGCGTGACTTGGCCTCAAAGTTTTGATTTTATTTTTGAAATTTTAAAAGACCCAATCAACAAAAAAAAAAATCACAAGTTTCGCACGTGACAGAAACCATAAAACAGCTATTTTTGTACATATTCACGTGACTTTGAGTTCAATTTTTTGATCTTTTTCTCGTGATATTTGATGTTATAAGTTCTTAATGTATTGATGTTAGGATCTTAATATTTTGAGATATGGATGTACAATTGTATTGAGATAAGGAGGTATTGAGAATATATCGTTAAGTATTGAGGTTAGGATGTAATATCAGGGCTTTATTTACATCTCGGATAGATCTCGGCGGTATCCGATAGAGTTCACCGATCTCGGAAGTTCTGTAAGGATCTCGGCAATTTCGGATCGATGAAGGTCAAGCTTTACATCCTAAACAACTTGATTGTTTACTATTCTAGTGTCCACAATCAATCAGTATTGGATCTTACATTAGAATAGTAGTATGTTTGTATAAAGAGAGGTTATTTTTCGTGTATTGCTTAGATCGAAGTATATTAATATACAGGTTAATCACTTATTTTTGAAGCATACGTTTAGTTTACAAGTCCACTCCTAAGTGGATCCTGTTTATGGCATGGAAAACAAAACGTTCGGTTAATAGTTTTTGCATTAGTTTTTCATGTATTGCTTTGGATTTTTTCTGAAGGAAACGATGGGGATCTGAAGTACTAACTAATAAAATCCTGATTAGGAACAGTGGAACTACAGTCTAGACCTTTTTTGATGCCGAGAGAGCCATCAATTTCTCTAACTATTGAGTAATTTCGCTAGTACTAAAAGAAAAGCAGTTGAAATCAACATACTCATGTTGAGCGTCATTGAGATTTTACCAAATTCAACTCTAATACTTCGATAACTCCCATTCTGCATGAAGTAATAGACCATATTGTCCAATAAGTGAGCAATTTTGTTAATTTTTGAAGGTGTCTATGAACTAAGAGAGTTCAAATATAATCGATATCCACGGTCTTGGAATAACCAAATTCAGTTTAAGCATTAGACTATAACAAGGCAGCCTAAGACATAGAGTCGTTTCATAAAAACATAATTTTCCAAATTTTTTACCAAAAAATTGTAAAACCAGCTAAATATTCATTAATAAACGTTGCTATATAAAAGTGCAGGTGTGTTAATTTCAGGCCATATATTACAGAAGATGTACCCGTATTGCTTTTGTTGGATGGTATTTTGGAGTGTGATATATGAATCCCCTCTTCGGTTCTTTATATAAATTGTGTTACTACAACATCCACGATCATTAACACATTTGCTTAACACATTTGTTTAACATCAAAGATTATAAGAAGGGTAGTTTCAGGCTATCAAATGTGCTCATGCTCAAGTAATTAACGTTTAAAATAAATTTTACAAAGAATAGTTGTCAATTTTGGATCGTGTTTTTGTGTAACAAAAATTGATTTTGAAGATGGTCCAAAGTTAAAATCCGAAGAAGGAAATGAGGCTTATATTTAAAATGTGCAACTATTTCACGAACTAGCAAGTCTAGTGAGGAAAGCTGTATATAAGCTCAGTAAGGAAGTAAAGATCTATTGATTTATTGTGTTAGTATGCTTTAAAATTAAAGTTTTGGGGGTAAATTGACTAATCAGAAACGTCCAATTGGCCCTAACCGCAATAGTTAAGCAGGTAAAAAATGCAAATTTTCAAACGAAAAGTTAGTTAAAGGAATAATTCATGAGCATGAATATCGACCAAAAATCTGAATTGGAATTGGTAGAAGTTTTCAATGAGTATACAATCAGTGCACGAGCATGAATATTAAGGGAGTAAGTGGAAATTTGAGTGAACTTTAAATAGATGATTATACCAAGACTTCGGATTTATCAGTACGGCTGCATAATTATGCTCGAAATAGGTGAAAAGTTTCGATAAGATCCAGTTTGGAACGATTTGGAAGAGAATTTTTGGTCAACTTTTCCAAAGCGTCCCATTAGGTTCCAATTAAGCGCTTTTTGCATAATTTTGAATGACGAATAAACTGATCAGTTTTATGTTCTATTGAAGATTACTAGCATCAATTTGGTTCGATTAACTTGAATAATTTGATGAACTATGTTTGTGATGTAGATCTTGAATATTAAAAGAGTTATTTACAGATTAAGTTCTAAACGTTGATACCAAATATGAGCCGAAAATTAATTATTACGATACTGCATATAATTTAATTGTACTTAGTCTGGATTTTTTAGTGCAAATATTTGGTGCGACGAAAACAATTTCTCGCGCTAACTTTGAGGCGGCTCGTACTAAAAAATTATCAGCTTGTATATCTCGGATTAAGCATTCTCTAGAACTATGTACCAATTATATGAGGTACGAAGCACATATACCCTATATATTTCAATACTTACATTTTAAAAATTTTCTTTTAAGTATGGGGAAAATTGAATTATGAAAAAGTCAACTCCACAATGAATATCAAGACTTAAATATGATAAAAGTACCATGATTTGAAATCTCCCATTCTGATATGGTTTAATTTTTTTTGTGTTAGTTATTAAAAATGGAAAATCAATTTTTCAGAAGTGATTCGAAATTTTTGCAAAATTTTCAAAATGAATATAACGACTGCAAACCATTATTAAAAGTATTCTTGAAATTAAATGACCCAATTCATGTACTCTAGAAGTTGCAAAACAAGGTCTAAGTATTGAATATCTTCCAATTTAGCGTTTTTTCCAATTTTATGAAAAGCTAATTACTTGATCAAAATTATGCTTTCTTAAAAGAAACTACCTTCGACTTGTTTTAATTTAATTAGAGATTTAATGAAAAAAGTTTAAGGAAGAGGGCTTGAATGATACTGAAGTTATTTACATTTCAAATTTTGCGATTAACTACTGCAAAACTGCATCTAAGTGCTTTTGTTCGAATTTTATACTTTTGTCAATGTCATAAATTTTGGAGCGGGAACAATAACATGTCGCGCTAGAGCTCTAGAGCGACTCGTACTAAATGTTTTTGTTTATATCTCAAAAACAACGCAATCTTTCAAGATAAGTACCACTTACACAAATCCAGGAGTCTTGAATTGTATATACGAAAGTCTTAGAAACTTCAAGTTTGAAGATTTTTTTTTTGACTTGACATTGTGGGCTTTTTTCATCATACCCCAAAATAAAGTATCAAACGTAATTCTAGATGATCTCATTTGAAATTCAAAGATTGCAATAATTTCTCTTAAGTATGGGAAAATTTGAATAAATCGACCTTTAAAATCTAACTCCACAATCAAAATCTTGACGAGTGTATGATAAAAGTATCAAATTTGTAAGGTATTCAAAATAGAAAATCAATTTTTCAAACTAGTTTTAACAATTTGAAAACATCATACATGTAATCTTGAAATTTGAACTAGGTAAATCAGATATATTAGAAGTTGCTCAATAAAGTGTGAATGTTTTTTATCTTGCAAAACAGCATTTTTGGCATTTTTTAATAGACGAATAAAATCAACAAAATTAAATTCATCCAGTCCGCGTTGCCATCAGTCTACTACAAATACAACGAAGATTAAGATGAAGTTACTTTGAATACGAAAACTTGATAATTGACTAAGTTATATTCAGTTGAAGTTTCAAGTATTAACAATTACAATACTGCATATAAGCAAATTTATTCCGAAATTTGAGAAAGAAACATTTTTGATATAGGACAAAAGTAGTAGGATAGAATAATTTCTCGTGCTATCGTTGGGGCGACTCGTATATTTTGATGTTGTTTTCGCTTAATCATCAGAAAATGTTACTCCTACATTTGTTGCAATCACAATTTAATGCCCTAACTAGCGGTCTTTAGACCTTAATAAACGGATACAGTACCAAACTATATATTAAGATTTTATAATTGGTCTCTATAGCTATCATTATTAACACCAATATCTCTGTTGATATGGGAGTTTTGCAAAAAGTTATGATCTCCAATCTTCCTAGGTTTTATAAGATATTGAATCAAAAATGCAATCCCCAATACTAATGATATAACTGCCACAATAATATAAATTATTCCAAGGGCTATGTTTCTTCCACCGAAAATAGAATTAGTAGTTATAATGATATTTTTTGAGCCTCCAAAAATTTCGACAGGATAATGCAATTGTACTGACATTTGATAAGTTCCTGACGACATAACACTAGATTTGTTTTGTCCATATAATTTATAAAAATTTGGTAAAGCTGCAGTTCGCATCCAATTCTGCAAATGTTCCCAGCTTTGGACATTTGGTAAATTTTCATTTGTATAACCGTCAGGATACATTCTATCCCAATTTGGTGGAGGTACAACATCATCTGGTTTGTAGGAAGTTTTTTTAAATTTATGATTTCTGTCTGATGGCCATGAAATATCCTTATCTACAAATTCATAAGTTTCATTATTTTCAGTACTTCTTGTATTTAACAAAATTGGAGAATTTATGGAGTCATTAAAATAAGAGTTTGCAATTAGCCCACATGGATATATTAATCTAGTTTCACCCTTATATTCTCTATGTTTTAAAGGCTTACAATTGTCTGTAACATCATCACTGGACAAAGCTTTTCCTCCTAATTGATCTAAATCATAACTTTCAACATATTTTCGATGATTTTGGAAAAAATTAGTCAATTTGTAGTATAAGTACAAAGGTGGTTTTAAATCTTTTGGTAAATTAAATTGAATTAAGCAGGTGGTCACTTCATCGTCTTTGTTATAGACACTCGTTTCATTTAATAATTTCCACTTGAAATCTGGTGATGTGGCTATGTGTTTAAAATGATACCCAGTGTATTTATCTGGGATTGATCCATAAGTATCGTAGTTTGCCAATTTTTCACAATTTGAATAATCTATATTCAATTCCTCAACATTGTAAGTGGTAAAAATAATGGCAATGCCCAAAGGAGTAAATATTACAGTCAATAGTATCAATAAAGGTATAACAGATTTGGGAGTCAATATAGGCTGCCATGCCTTCAAACGTTGCTGCCTGAAAGCTGTATTTGGTGGTTTTCTGGACTTGTGGATAGTTGAATCATTGATTTCGTTTACGTAATCGTCATCAATTTCATTACTAAAGCCGTTATCATCTGAAGAATCTTTACGTTTACGTAAAAAATTCATTTTAAAAGATTGAATATAATTTTTTTTTTTTTTTTAATTCAATATTAAAGATGTCACTTTTATTAAAGACAATAATAAACGACACCAAAAGTTATCTATCTATTATTATGCTTTTAAATACAAATTATTAATTATGAATTATACACAAGACTATAAAATCATTTGTTGTTTGGTTTGACGATTTTTCTATTAGATCCATGCAGTTTTTTACTATTAAAAGTATTATTTCCATGCGTATTTGCATTTCTTTTATTTTCAACCTTTTCAAATTTGTCTTTATTTGAAATGACATCTTTTGTAGATGATTCTTTATCTTTATTGAATTTCTTGACATTACTATTATGATAATTGTTACCCGTTTTCGATTCTCTTGGCTCCAAGTTAAAAGTAATTCCATCTAAAGTGGTTTCTTTTGCTGTTAAAGCTTTCTTTTGAGCTTGTTGATCTACAAAATCACACAAGGCTATATTTTGATTTACTTTAAAAAATTTCAAATCACCAAAAGTTTTAGATAAGTGTTGCTTTAGTGTTTTTTCATCTAATTGACGTATACCTCTAATATAAATTGGAAACCAATCTTCTTTTCTAAATTTTCCATTTGTTGCTGCACTGGAAGTAGAAGATGATTGAGGGGCAGACTTTTTTGCATTACCACCAGTTGATTTTGCAGTTGTTGATGATGATGATGATGCTGTTGTAGTTGTTGCCGTCGTTGATGTAGCTTTTGCAACATTCGATTTTGGAGTAGAGACTGGAACAGCTTGGTAAGCTAAATCAGCCCAAGTCAATTGTTGATTGGGTTTGGAAGTAGAATTTTTCTTAGCATCTTCTTTATCATTTTCAGTCTTCTCTAAATTTTCTACTTGTTTTCTCTCGGAGGCACTTTCTTCAGCAACATTACCAATTTCTTCAGTATCTCCGCTTTTTATCTCATTATGAAGGGGCTCTTTTTCATTGCTTTCCAATTCTGATTCACCTTTTTGTAATTCATCAAAATTTTCATTACTTTCGTTTAAGATAGATTGTGGAGGAACGTTATTTGGTTGAGCAAGCGATTCTTTTATATTATCAGATTCTTCAACTGCATCTGCTTGTGGCAAATTTAAGGTGCTATCTGAAGATTCTTTACTGACTGAATCTACGGAATCGATTACTTGAGACTTAGAACTTTGAACCATAGCTGGACTTTCCTCTGAAATATCTTTGAAACCATTAGATTCAATGAATCTTAAAATATCATTAGACACATCATACGTATTTTCTTTCTTACCAGGAACTAAAACAAAAGTTTGACAAAATCGCTTAAATGGAGAATTGTTTTTAGACCATTCACCAAATGTAACGATTAAAATATTTTTATCCATTGAAACTTGAAAACAAGCACTTGTAATAACAATTCTATTATTTGTTGATGACAGAGCATTGTATTTTTTGAAAAATTTCTTAACTGCTTCAATACCATTGGCTTTATAAACCAGAGGAATTTCTTCAGGTCCCTTTCCGTTTTGATCAATAGTACCATCAATTTCGTTATTGAATTTAACATCTTCTGGAAATAAATCATGAATTATTGAAGCTTTAGGATGATAAATTTTGTAAATTTCATCCAACTTAGTGACGAAAAAGTCATAATAAGATTTGATAAAATACCAGCCAATTGACGAAGCACGATCTTCAGATAATTTGTAATTAGCACCATCAAGATTTTTATTATTATCATGTTCATTATTATTTGCTAAATTATTGGACAAAGAAGGAGTTGTTGTTGAAGTAGTAGAAGAAGGATTTGAGCTTAAATGTTTGGTATTTGATGCCTGTTGAGGTGATGAAGATGAAGATGAAGATGATGTTGTCTTGTAATTATTATTATTCATAGTTTCAAAATTCTTTTAATGGTAAATTCAATATATGATTTTGATGCCAAAGTTCCTAATGATTAAGTATATGTATATAATAGATACCTATTAAGATATATTGTAAATTTCCTTTCAAGTTGCAAATTAAGTTTGATATAAATCCACCTTGGACTTCGGTTGATTTTTTTATAATTTGATTAAATTTTTCACTTTTTTTTTTTTTTTTTTTTTTTTTTACGAATTTATTTTTTTTTTTAATTTTGATTTTAATTTGCAACAAAAACTTATAACTTGATTGATCAATTATTGTACTAATTTTTTAATAAAATGGTATATTATTTTAAGGTATGTGATAATTTATTTACAAGAAATGACGCTGATATGAATGAGGATGAGCAGACAACTTTGTATATGGGTAAAGACAAGTTTGAGAATGACTATTTAATCAAACATTCCAATGATGAAAATATTTGGTTTCATGTTGATAATATGTCATCTGCTCATGTATATTTGCAATTAACAAAAAAACAATTAATAGAGAATTTGGGTTTTAAAGATTTAACTATAGAAGATAGTTTGCTTCATATTATTGGTCAATTGACTAAAGCGAATTCAATAAAGGGAAATAAGTTGAATAATATTACCATCATTTATACAAATGTTAAAAATCTACTTACGGATGGTTCAATGGATGTTGGAACAGTTTCGTTCAAAAATCCAAAATTAGTTAAAAGGATTTTCATAGAACAACGAAACAATCAAATTATTAATGCTTTAAATAAGACTAAATCTGAAATTAGCACAGAGACATTTATTGAAAATCAAAAACAATTAGAGAAAGAGATTTTGAGTCATAGAAAAATTGAAGAAACCAAATTGAATGAATTATCAAAACAAAAGCAAAAGGACCTTGAGCAAAAAAAGGATCCATACAAAGATTTATTTTCAGAAGAGAATATGCAATTATCCAATAATGAAGGAAAAGATGAAAATTGGGTTGAGGATGATTTTTGGTAAGTAGATTTCGAATAAGAGATATAATTTAATAAAGAAAGGCAATCAGTAAATTGTTGTCATAAATTCTTTGATTTATATTTAAATGCATAAATATTTATTATACAAACACATATTCACAAATTCTGATTTATGATTGTAAACCCATGTGCCCATGTATCTATATCTTACAATAAAAACTTCAAAGCGTAATTTTTTAAGCATCTAAATTAACTGGAAATTTACCAGCAGCTCTTTGATCGTCCCATTTTTCCACCCAATCTAATGGACACAATGAAGTAAATGTTTTAAAAAAGATTTGACATGGTTCAAATTCTTCACCTTTAACATTGACACATTTATGATAATCGATATATGATTGAGCACAATGTTTTGATTGATTTTGATTTGGAAATCTTGGATCAAATTGTGGAGTTTCAAATTTAAAAGTAGCAGGATCAATTGGCATTTTTACTTTATATTATACTGGAATATATAAATTTATAATTGTTTAAAACTGTGATTGTAATGAACTATTGATTGAAAAATCGAAAGGTTTTTTCTTTTTAATTTGGTTAATATTATAAAATTTTAATGTATGTATTACATAATATTATACAACTAGTAATTTAATTGGTTCGTATTCATCGAAGGCGACATTGTCTAATAGTAAATATGTCGTTATTTAACTATTGATAAATGAGATGGGAATGTCGTTAATATAGTTTATGAAACACTAATCGTAAATTTAGTTTATTATATCTAATTATTATTAATAATTTCTAATAGACACAGTTAATTATTTAAATGGAATTGACCAAGTAATTGCTTAACACTCCTGCATCAGCGTCTTCTTGATCTTGGTTGAATTATTCTTCTTGGATTTGGCATTGGAGCTGAAGGAGTGATAGTATTACTACCAAATGAGAACGTATTTCCCCCCATAGCGTTACTATTTCCTGAAAATCCTTGACCAAATATTGATGATTGATTTTGTGGAGGTAGTTGTGGTTGTGGTTGTGGTTGTGGTTGTGGTTGTGGTTGTGGTTGTGGTTGTGGTTGTGAAGCTTGTCCAAATCCTATCGTATTATTAAAAAAAGGAGATGTTGATCGACTATTAATACCATTAGGTGCTTTATTTTGACCAAAGATGGTTGCAGGATCTGGTGTGGGTTCTTTACTACCAGAAAAATTAAACAGCTGTGGAATTGTAGGTTTCGGAATTTCAAAACTAATGTTATTTCTTTGATTACCAGCATTACCAAAATTGAAAGTGGTAGAAGTATTTGGACTACTATTTATACCAATTTTTTGATCATTTTGAATGTTCGTCGTTGATCCACTAAATACGTTTGAGTTTGGACTTGAATTATTAGATATATTTCCCTTTGCACCAAACATAGCACTAGAATTTTGACCAAACATAGTTGAAGATGATGGGTTTGTGTTTTTTCCAAAATTAAACAATGGAGTGGTTTTAGTTGTGGAAGGAGGTGTTATTCCAGCTGCAAATTCAAAAGACCTTTTATCAGTAGACGATGAGGATTTTTTATCATTGTTATCTAATAAGTCGAGCTTCGCTTCCTTTATCTCTTCTTTTGAATCAATAGTCTTTGGAAGATTGAATGAAAATGCAGGTTTAGATTGAATAGATGTTATTTTTTGATTGTTCTTTGAGGTATCAAATGTAGATGATGAATCTGAAGATTGGTTCTTGCATTTTTTATTCTCTTTTCCTTCGCCTCCTTCAGAACTAACTTGAGATTCTTTAATATTGTTCAGTAAAGAAGAATCGTCATTATCGGTTATGATTTGAACATTTGATAATGTGTTTGAATCAACCTTATCCTTTGTAGAAGCTCCAAAAACTGAAGAATTCACTTTATTTTGAATTGAAGGAAACGTTTCACTTGTTTCAATCTTTGACTCAATTACCGGAAAGTTATAAGTGTCATCCCTCTTTTTTTTGAAATCATTATTATCAACACTTTTTGTAGGATCAATTTTAGTAGAATCAGATTTCAAAATGTCATTGCTCTTTTGTTGTTCAATTGCTAAATTATTTCCATTAAAAGTTTCGTTTTTTAAGTTGTTATTTAAAATTTTCAAGTTCTGGACTGCTGAATCTTTTTTTAATCCGGAAATATCATTTTTATTGATGTCAAATTTGAATCCAGCAGAAGGAATGGATTGATCTTTTTTAATATTTTTCTCCACGTCATCTTTTAGTTTAATATAATCTGCAATTGACTCTGTCTTTTTCAAGTATTCAGGATCCAATTTTAAACTTTGATTTTTAGTATCTTTATGATGATTCTTATTCTTCAGAATTCCAAACTTTTTGAACATCACATCCTCATCTTCTTTAGCATCGACATCAAATGACCCATTCTTTGCTGGTTTCTCAAAAAATTTTGGTTGAGTTATTTGACTCAAGTTTGTCTCTACCGACGACGAACCTTTCGTTATTTTCGAATCATCAACATCATACATGTAGTCCTTGAGAAAAAACCCTTTAGTTTTTCGTTTTTTTGTATCTAGAGCTAAATTGTCCTTAGGAGTGTCCGAAACTCTTTTCCTTTGTAATTTGGAACTTAAAAAATCAAAATTATGTGTTTGAGTAGAGCTATTAACCTTATTTGATCCTTTAATAATTTCACAAGACGTTTCGTTAGGGTTCACCATATACTTGATTCTTTTTTGTAATGATTCTGATGCTTCAATTGATTTTTTGAGTTGTAACAATTGGTATCTTTCTTTCGGATCTAAATTTATAAAAGGGGGTCGAGCTGGACCTCTTTCCTCGTCGTAATAAATATTGGATTCATGGTTGTTAAAATCAGCTATTAGATTATGATGATTGTCGTTCAGTACATCATTTAACGGGGACTCATCTCTAGACGAGATATTAGCATCATCGATATCTCCGACCTGAAGTAGTTGTTTATTGATGATTTGGTTTTCCTTGGAACTGAGATTATTTCTTGAAATTTCTTCATTTGTAGTAAAATCATAAAAAATAGTCAGATATGATCTATGTTTAGTTGATGGTATTAAATCTTCAGCAATAGAAGACCTTGGAACTTTATTCCTAGCTAATTGTTCGTTATCAAATAAAGATTTTCGTTTTTGACCTGAAATTTGACCGTTCGTTAAAGGCTCATCGAAATCTATTTGAGTTGATGTTTTATTTGGTTTTACTGTCGATTGTAATTTTGAATCAGTATCATTCAAAGATTTTCTATTAAACAATAATTGTATTAATTTTGGTTTTTGAAATAATGAATTTTTAAATTTTGAAAAATAAGTTGAAAGAGTTGCTGATCTTAATGAGTTATGTGATAGTGAGTCTTTTTGTTTTGAATTAGAATTGGTAAAGTGTACTGAATCAGACATGAAAGTGATATCAAATGTTAGTTATATTGTTTATTAAATGATAAGCTATTAGTTATTGAAACTGATGTTGTATTAATTAATGTTTAATGGTATTTTGCTTTGAAATTGATTTTTTTTATTTTTTTTTTCATTCTGAAACAAATTTTAAAATTGTTAAGAGATTGATATTATATTTAATAGACCAATTTAGAAAAGACGTAAATAGCAGGATCAATTCAAGCCTTAATTGAAAAATTATAAAATAATACTGTCATTTAAATGATACGATCCAATATACGAGTGGATTTAATTAAAACTCATAAATTAATAACGAGATATAAAAGTTCTAAAATTGACAATTTTCAAGATTTATCAAAAGTCCCATTTGATGAAATTAAATTTTCAGAATTAGATGAAAAATGGAAAAATATTTGGAAACAACAGTCACTCAATGAACAATCACTTCATCCAACAAAACATTTGAATATTGATGACGAAAATTTGAAACGATTTTATTCTTTAGTAATGTTTCCATATCCATCAGGAGTTTTACATTTGGGTCATCTTAGAGTTTATACAATAAGTGATGTTATAGCAAGATTTAAACGACTAACTGGACATAAAGTAATACATCCAATGGGCTGGGATGCTTTTGGTTTACCTGCTGAAAATGCGGCTGTCGAAAGGAATATATCTCCTTCAAATTGGACCCTAGTAAATATACAAAAAATGAAACAACAAATGCAATACTTTTTAGCTGATTTCGATTGGGATCGTGAAATAAATACAAGCTCACCCGATTATTATAAATGGACTCAAAAAATATTTTTGATGTTATTTGAAAAGGGGCTTGCTTATAGAAGTTTAGCAGAAATTAATTGGGATCCTGTCGATAACACTGTATTGGCGAATGAACAAGTAGATGAAAATGGACGATCTTGGAGAAGTGGTGCAATTGTTGAGAAAAGAAATTTAAAACAATGGTTCATTAAAATTACAGACTATGCACAAGAATTGAATAAAGGTTTATCTAGTTTGAATGATTGGCCAGAAAAAGTCAAATTAATGCAAAAAAATTGGATTGGTGAATCTCATGGAACTGAAATCAATTTTATCATAAAATTACCTAACCAATGTACACAAATTATACCAGTTTTCACTACTCGTGCCGATACACTTTTTAGTGTTCAATACCTTGCTTTGTCCCTAAATCATCCAATAGCAAAAGAATTGTCAAAATCTGATTCTAAATTAAATGAATTTATAACTAACTCCTCAAAATTAGCTTCTGATTCAAAAGAAGGTTATGAACTAAAAAATGTTAAAGCATCCATACCTATGAATTACCAAAACGAATTGCAAACAAAATTTGAATTACCTGTTTATATTGCACCTTATGTAATAGATGGTTATGGCTCAGGTGCTGTTATGGGATGTCCAGGACATGATGAAAGAGATTATGAGTTTTGGAAATTTCATAAGCCATCCAAAAATATAATACAGGTGGTCTCTCCGGTAAGTGATACAAAAAACAATGTTATTCCTTATTGTTCAAAGAAAGGTATATTACAGGATAATACAGTTTTATCGAATGGACTTGCTTATATCGGGCAATATAAAAATAAATCTGTTGAGGAAGCAATCGAATTAATTTCAGAGAATTTAAGTAAATTATCAGTAGGAAAAAAAACTACTCAATATAAAATTAGAGATTGGTTGATAAGTAGACAAAGATATTGGGGTGCTCCAATTCCTATAGTTCATTGTGATGCATGCGGTACAGTTCCAGTTCCAGAGAAAGATTTGCCAGTTCTTCTTCCTTCTATTGAAGGTCATAAATTTTCAAAAGGGAATCCGTTGGAATCATTGAAAGAGTTTTATGAATGTAAATGTCCAAAATGTGGTAGTGATGCAAAAAGAGAGACAGATACAATGGACACATTTATGGATTCATCTTGGTATTTCTTTCGATACTTGGATCCTCATAATGATCATTCGTTGATTGGAAAAGATGAAAGTCGAAATTTACCAGTTGATTTATATGTGGGAGGAATAGAGCATGCTATATTGCATCTTTTATACTTGAGATTCATTTCAAAGTTTTTAAGCGATTGCCATATATGGGATGGTGAATTGTACAATAAAGAGCCTATTAAAAAACTTGTTACTCAAGGTATGGTTCATGGCAAGACATTTAGTGATCCAGAATCCGGAAGATATTTAAGACCTAACGAATTAGATTTAACTGATAATGAAAAACCGAAAATTGTAGGATCTAGTATGGAACCCGTTATAACATATGAGAAGATGTCTAAATCTAAATATAACGGTGCTGACCCAAACGAATGTATAAAAAAATATGGTGCAGATGCAACTCGAGCCCTTATGTTGTTTCTGGCTCCTGTGTCAGATACCTTGAATTGGAATGAGGAGCAAATAATTGGGGTTGATAGATGGTTAAGAAAAGTCATTCGTTTATCTGATACCATCCAAAATTTACCTTTAAAAACATCTCATCATGATCAAAGCGGCCAAGTATTGAAAGATATCAAATTGCAAGGTAAAACTTATGACTCAATTATATTTAGTTCTGAGGAGTTGAAATTATACAATCAAATTCAAAAATTTGCACAAAATATTTATCAATCAATTGATTCTACTTTGTCTTTGAATACTGTTATTTCAGATTTGATGAAGATGACTAACTTACTATTTGAAGCTTCTAAAGTATCTCATTTATACACGAGACCATTGCTAATGGACTCTATATCAAAATTATTGATTTGTATGTCACCAATAGCACCATCAACTTCAGAAGAGTGCTGGAGCCGATTGGGTTTCCAAAAATCAATTTACTTTGAGCTGTTTCCAAATGAAAAACCTATAGATTCCGAATATCAATCATTCAACATTTTTGTTAACGGTAAATTCAAAACTAAATTCGAATCTAAAAAAAGTTTAATCAACCAAGATGAAAACAAGATTTTGAAAGAGTTATTAAAGAAGTCAGATTTGGCCGATTTATTACAGAACAAGCCGATCAAAAAAGTGATTAAAAAAGCTACTATGATTGGTATTGTTCTATAATTTAATGTACTTGTAAATATTGTAAATAGATTATTTGTATTACCACAGACTAGAATATAGTATATACAGTTTTTGTGCACATTCTTGTCATATAACATTGTATTTGCATTTATCATCCAAATTCAACTTTTCAAAATTCTATTAATTTCATTTATGATATGATTATCTTCGATATTTTCAGCTTTAATTTTCAAATGTTTTAATTGTTTGAAGGTCCATGAAAATCTATTTTCGGTGGATAAAACAATCGACATTGCATCATCTAGCATATTCAAAGTTGAGTATGTTTCACATAAGGCTGAGGCAAAACTAAAATCAAGCTCTTTTTGGGAGTTTGTGGATAAATTACTAAAATCCTCAGATTTTCTGTATATTCCTCTCTCGTAAATAATCTGATTAATAAAATCAAGGTTCTTAGATTTTCTAGCAGCCTTCAAACACACAATATAAATAATGGTATCTCTTGAAACTTTTAAATTTTGGTTTTCTAAAGAATTGATCAAACTTGAAAGTATGGGAGATTTCGTAACCAAATTTGAATTTGATGGACTTGCAATGTAATAGTCTTTATCAGCAGCCTTAGTCTCATTGAATACTTGAAAATTACGATTAGTAGGAGCATCTTTTTCATTCAAAAATGTTGTATTTTGATATCTATCTTTAAAATCTTCCAAATCTCCAATATTACTGGCAATATTCAAATATGAAGTAACCAATTGTTGATTAATAAAATTTGGGTTTTGCAGTAAGACATGAGCCCATATAGCACTAGATTCTGCTAAAACCCACTTTGCATCTTTCAACTCCTTAAATGGCAAGAATGGGAAATCATCAATAGCTTTTGAAAAATCAATCTCATCAATTATATTATTTCTAAATAGTTGTCCCTTTTCATTACAAGTTATCAAGTTAACGTCTGACAGCAAGACTTCATTAAATTTTGAATATGCTATCATAAGATAGGAAAACCCTTTTTGAGTAACAGCATTACTTTCTAGCATCTTATAAAACAAGCCTCTAGTCAATGTAATATCGCCATCTTGAGCCGATAAATACAACATGCTCTCAAATGTACTTAGATTCGGTTTCCAATTTCTTTCATAAATTTCAAACAAGAACTTCCACGCAAGCTCCCTGTGAAGACGCAGGCCTGCGCATCCTTTAGCCAAGCTACACAAGATACCTTGATTAATGTTGATGTTTTTTTCTTTCATCTCTTCAAATAAGTCTAAAGCTTTTTCTATATCTTGATTTAACACACTGGCCAATATAATATCAGAATATGCACGTTCTCCTGGTTGAGTTTTTACCGAATTGAATTTCATTGCATCAAATGTTTGTAGGGCTTTCGAATAGTCTTTACTATAAAAGATATAACCTTGCATTATAGCATTGAATATCGAGGTTGTTATCAACATATTTTTTGATTTCATATTTTTCAAAATCATCTCTACTTTATTCATTTGACTATTCTTGACGTAAGCGTATATCATGGTTTCATAATGGTTAACGTTTAATTTACTCTGATCTTCAATCTTTTGAAAATAATGCTCAATTAGTTGTAGTTCATCATTTGTTACATTTCTACCCATAGTTAATGAGCGAATAAAATAATAATATACCTTGACTGGTACCTCACTATTTGCTTCGGTAAATAGTCGTTCAATAATAGGTATGTAATGTTTTAGTTCACTTCTCGGAATAGCTCGAATGAATTTGATGATAATATTTTGAGATAAATTATTGAAGCCTCCTTCTTGTCTTAAGTTCTTAAATATTAGCATCCATAGATTTTTTGAAAAATTATTTTGATGAAAAGTCATTGATTTTTGATTACCTGTTGCAGATGGCAAAAGTTCAGCAATTAATCCTAATCGCTCTTTGATTTCAACAGGTAAATCCATGGTGTTTTGTTCATTCTTTTGACTTTTAGAACTAGTACCTTGCTTCTTGAAATCTGACATTATTTGATCAGAAGCAATATCAACATTTACGAAACTTTCTCCATCTTGAGTCTTCCTTTGATTTAATTGATTGGAAACTTTTTTTGTTAAACGCTTAAGGGTAATTAATTCATCTTTTTTAAAGCTGACTTTTGATAATTGACGATTCAGTTGAAATAGATGTTTATTTATATTTTTGCAGTTAGATGAGTTTACTTCTTTTAAAGCACAACAAAATTTATTATCAGATTGTAAATGTCTATGAAATATAATATTAAAAGAATGATTATTATTCAACGATTTTGACTGTCGTATCATGAATCAAATTACTCTATCTATGTTTAATGAAAAATTTCCAAGATGGACTGGTATCAAATATTAAAATAAATTTGATCTTGAATCTAATTTTTATATGCAGGGCGTCGAAAAAAAACAAAATAAAATCAAAGCTTCTATAAATAATATTCAATTGATAAAAGTCATAAAAAATACATGCAATAATATAACAATAGACTTTTAAAGTACTTAAATTGGAAAAGTAGTATATAATGTCTCAATCATATAGCAATCAAAATTTTCACAGCCATCACAATCATCATCATCATCATCATTATTCAAAAAGTAATTTCGCCAACCCAAATGCTGTTTCATCCAATCTTAATACAATTAATAATGACCACAATAATAAAACTCATGATAATAACTCAAGCATATCTTCAAATAAATTAAATGCTGGTTCCAGACAGAGATCTGCATCTACTGCAACATTACAACCAGAAGGTACCTTATCAACAAATGACCCAAATTTAATAATGTCAAACTCTTCAAGTATATCTCCTGCTGGTGCTATAGGAAATGGAAATGTAGATGTGCCTCCAGATATGGTTGTATTATTACAAAAATTAGATCAAGATTTTTTGATCAATAAAACAATTGATCAATGGACTTATATCAATCGAAGGGAAGAAATTATGCAAATCATCAATAAATTACATCAAAATCAAAAACAACAAGAACATATTGATTTTTCAAAACTTGAACTACCGCTAAATCCTCGTAAATCTTTAAATGAATCCATCAATGACTCCTCCACTGACAAATCCCTGAAATCATCATCATCTTCTTCTAGTGCTTCATCACTTGCACCAACTAGCTCAAAGAGTTTAATTGAGATATTAGCAAGTCGAGCCAATATATATAAATCAAATTTAGCTTTCATGGTTTTAGATTCGAAAGGTAAGGAAGTTAATTCAATTAGTTGGGAAAAGTTGTATTTAAAAGCTATCAAAGTTGCATACGAAATTTTACATAAATTATCAATGAAAAACAATGAAACGGTTGTTTTACTATACAAAGATGGAGAGGTCACAGAATTTGTTGTTGCGTTATTTGGTTGCTTTATGGCTGGTGTAACTGCAATACCGATTCATCAAGATATTTCCTTAAATGAAGTGTTGAATATCATAAATTTGACATCATCAAGGCTTTTAATTTACTCAGAAACTGTTGCTAAAGAATTAGATAGACTAAATGCTCAAAATCAAAGAATAACATGGCCCTCAAAATTAAATCGATGGAGAACAACAGAATTTGGGTCTGCCAAAAAATCAGAAATTTCATTTTGGAATCTCAAAAACCAGAACCTGAATAAAAAAACACCCTCAGAAATTAACTCCAACACTGCAACAACTAATAATAGTTTAAATACCAACTTAGCTTATGTTGAATTTTCCCGATCGCCAGTTGGTGAGTTGAGAGGAATAGCTTTAAGTCATGGAACAATATCTCATCAAATGAATTGTTTGAATGTCGCTCTTCTGAGTTTGCCAGAATCAGGAAGTGGATTGCAAAGAAGTTACAAAGTATATGAGGGTAATAAAAAAGTTGTTTTAGCGACATTGGATATCAGGTTTTCCATTGGTATTATATTAGGGGTTCTATTTACAGTTTATTCCGGGAACGTTTTGATATGGGCTCCGCAGCGAGTGATGGAAATTCAAGGGCTATATGCTAATATCATATCAAAATTTCGAGCATCCTTATTACTAGCTGATTATTTGGGTTTGAAACGAGTAACGTATGATTATCAACAATCACCAAGTGCAACTAGGTATTTTTCGAAAACTACAAAAGTGGACTTTTCTTCAGTAAAATGGGTATTAGTTAACGCACTAACGATAGATGGTGAGTTTATGGAAATTTTAGCACAGAGATATTTAAGACCATTAGGATGTCAATACCCCGAGAATGCAATTATTCCAATGCTAACATTAAGTGAATATGGAGGAATGGTTATTTCATTAAGAGATTGGATTGGTGGAAAAGAAAAATTAGGAGTTTCCATAGATGAAGAAGATTCAAATTGTTTGTCTTCTGTATTGATTGATAAAGAAGCCCTTTCTAGAAATGTGGTCAAAATAATGGAAACGAATCCTTCTACTTCAGACGAAATTAGTCACGATTTATTAAGGGTAGATGCATTTGGTTATCCTTTACCAGACGCCACCTTGGCAATTGTTAATCCAGAGCTGTCAACATTAGTAAATAGAGGAGAATTAGGTGAAATATGGATAGATAGCCCATGTTTATCTGGTGGATTTTATGGTTTGCGAAAAGAATCGAAGCTGATATTTCATGCTAAATGTAGGGGTCCAAATGGGTTTTTGGAAATGGATTTTTTAAGAACAGGTTTATTGGGTTTCACTTACAAAGGTAAAGTTTATATCTTAGGATTATACGAAGATAGAATTAGACAAAGAGTTAGCTGGATTGATCAAGCTTTATATCACAAACTTAATCGAGAGTTAATTATTGGATCAGGCTCTCGCTATCATTATTCATCACATTTATTGGCCACTTTGGCTAGTGAAGTTAAACAAATATATGACTGCACAATCTTTGATATTTTTATTGGTAACGAATATTTACCTGTTGCCATTGTTGAGGCCGAAGTTATTAGAAAAACAATAGAAGATTCAAGCAATATTGAAGCCAATAACGCTGGTGGTAGTAATGGCTCCAACGTAAATAAACTGAAAACAGGAGAATTTGATCATAGTAATGGAGTTCCTTTAAATGAACCAGTATTAAATGCTATTGCACAAAAATGCTTTGATACACTTTATAAAAGGCATTTTCTTAGACTTTATTGTGTTTTAGTTGTTGATTGTGATACCTTACCCAAAATTATGAGAAGTGGTGGTAGAGAAATTGCTAATATGTTGTGCAAAAAGAAGTTTTTAGAAGGATCTTTACGTGCTGATTTTGTTAAATTTTTTATTAGAAAATCTATAAGTATGATACCTTATGGTGAAGATGTTATTGGTGGAATATGGTCACCTTATGTTTCAGAATTACGAAATAAAGCTTTAGCTAACTTTCCAGATCAATACTCAACCATCGATTATAGGGATAAATCAGTTGATGATAAAACAGGAGTGTCTTTGACTGATTTTAAATCAATAGTTGATATTTTGAAATTAAGGGTCGCAAAAAATGGAGATGGGGTTGCAATTCAAAACGTTGATTCCAATGGAAAAACTAAACCACTAACTTGGAAAAAGTTTGAACAAAGGATTTATGCTGTTTGTCAATATTTGATAGAAAAAACAAATGTAAAAGCTGGTCAATATGTTATTTTAATGTATTCACTTTCCGAAGAATTTGTTATTGCTGTATATGCATGTTTAATTTGTGGTATCATACCGATACCAATGTTACCCTTTGATTCAAATCGTATTGGTGAGGATTTTCCAGCTTTCGTTGGGGTGATAAGAGATTTTGATGTGTCTGAAATTTTGGTAAATGAAGAAGTTGAAAAATTTTTGAAAAGTGGTTCAATTGCTGATTCATTGAAAAAAATTAGTCAAAAGAGGGTAAAATCATTAAGAATAAAAAATACTTTTAAAATAACTAAGGTTTCAAACCTAGCATCTTTAAATTCCAAAATATCTTCTTATCAAGCGGCTGCAAAATATAGAGATGAAAATACAACAGCAATGGTTTGGTTGAATTTTACTTCAGATCATTATAGAGTTGGTGCTACTTTGAGCAATAAAACAATCATTGGCATATGTAAAGTATTTAAAGAAACATGTAATTTGAATTCGCAATCAACTATTGTTGGGTGTGTTCGTCATGCTTCAGGTATTGGTTTTGTTCAAACATGTTTATTGGGAGTCTTTTTAGGCACAACAACTTATTTAAGTTCACCTGTTACATATGCTGAGAATCCATTAGCATTTTTTTTAACATTAGCTAGATATAAAGTTAAAGATGTATTTGTGACTGAACAAATGTTAAAATATGCTGCAATCAAATTTACTCCCAAAGGGTTCAATTTATCAAATTTGAAAAATATGATGATAAGTACTGAAAATAGGGTTGAGATTGATTTGTTTAGAAAAATTTCAAAGGTATTTCAATCTACCAAACTAAGTGCTGCATCAATGTCAACTGTTCATAATCATTATTTTAATCCTATCATTTCAACTAGATCTTATATGACTGTAGCTCCTGTTGATTTATATTTGGACCCTATTGCTTTGAGACAAGGATTTGTGTCAGTGGTAAATCAGTCACAAGTTCCTAATGCCCTTCATATTCAAGACTCGGGAATGGTTCCTGTTTGTACAGAAATTGCAATTGTTAATCCAGAAACAAAAAAAATTTGTAAAGAAGGTGAATATGGTGAAATTTGGGTTTGTTCTGAAGCAAATTTAACTTCGTTTACAAATGGTCCAAAAGGTCCAGTCGATAATTTTAGTCAAACTCAATTTACTGCTGTTATAAATGGAGGAAATTCTAATGTAACATACTTAAGAACTGGTGATTTAGGATTCTTACATCATATATCAATAACGAAAAATTCAAACAAGGCAAACAATCACCAAGATATCTCATCTTTTCAACCTTTGTTTGTGCTTGGAAAAATAGCTGATACCTTTGAAGTTATGGGTTTACATCATTTTCCAATTGATATAGAAAACACCATTGAATCTTGTCACTCCGATATTTTCAAAAACGGTTCTTGTGTGTTTAGATGTGCAGATTATACAATTGTTGTTTGTGAATCAAAACGTTCAAAGTATTTTGCTTCATTAGTCCCATTAATAGTTAATACAGTATTGAGTAAACATCATATAGTGATAGATATTGTTGCATTTATCAAAAAGGGTGAGTTTCCTATTTCAAGACTTGGAACTAAACAAAGGGCTAGGATTGTTGATGCTTGGGTTCAAGGAGTAATCCCTATTAGTGCTGCATACGGTGTCAATTATGGAGAAAATAGCATGATTAAATTAATTAAAGAGATTGACGTGGTAGCAAAAGATGAAGAAGTTATTGGTCTTAAAAATCCGGCTTTATCTTTTTATGATAGTGAGGTTGATATGTTTGACGTCGATAAAAGACAAGCTCTAACATTAAATGAATAGGATAATAATGATGATTCAACCGAAGTTTTAGATTGAAATGATTACATATATTTCGGATTGAATCAATAGTGAACATATTAGATTCCTTTGACTGATCATTTGTTACCTTTATCAATATAAAGTTCATTTGAGTGATGGCAACAAAATAACATGAGTGTGGTTCAAGCTCATTAACAAAATATAGGTAAACGGAAGTGTCAGTATTAATTAATAAAAAACTGAAGGTAAATCCAACGCTGTAGGTTCAAACAACATTAAATAATACAATTATGCAGTATCAGCTCATGTGATACCTAATGAATATATAATTACATGATTCATTTTACATAATAAAATTTCGTATTTGTTTAGTGCATATATCTCTCTAAAGCAATGCTCTAATTAGAGCTAAGGCATGCAGAAAGATCCATTTCGGGCTATAGCAGTCTCATCATGTAATTGCATTTATGAATCATCTCAAAAATGAGCAAAGTATTTCAAAAAATTGTAAAAACATCCCATTCTGCATGAAGACTGTTCCAAGTTTGCTATTTCAGCCCGAAGCATACAAAAATTCGCTTTTATATGTCACACAGTAGCAGATTAAATTGCCATGAAGCTGCCATCTGACTCAACATGCAATTTTTTAAAACAGAGAATTGACGCAAAAAGGATCTGAAAAAGCGCGACTAATTATGAAACATTATACCGAAAACGCGAAACTTACAAATTACACAAAATTAGAAATAAAAACCTTAAGTTTTTAACAAACTTTATTTACGCGTAGAAAGTTGAAATTTTATTCAAATTGCATGGTTCTTGGAACCATTTCAAAGAGAAAAAATCGACAAATCCTAATATGTCAATTTTAAAGCCACTGCTTTAAACTATCCTCAAATAGACACCTTATTTTTCAGTTTCTGTATCAATGTAATAATCAAAATTAGTTAAGGATTTAAATTATAAAATAGCCACATGTTGAGAGGGTAAACGTTAAGGCTTGCAGGTTTTCATAATTTCGATTTGGTAAAATTTCATCGCTACACGATTCAAAATTTAATACAAACAAGGATTTTACTTTCTTTAGCTGTTTCTTTTTGCAAAACTATAGAAAGAGCATTAATCTCGTTCATCTACTTGTTCTAAATCAGTTATTTAGGTAAAAGCTAGTGTAGTTGTCGAAATAATCAGGATATACAATGACAAACTAGTTAATCGATGTAAAATTGTATATTATTAAGCGGTATATCTTAGAATAGTGTGAGCTATATCCTTATGCCTTTTGAAACTTGTGTAGAGTCTATGATAATTCATTAGTGTACTGGTAATCGATGAAATTTTTTTTTTTTTTTTTTTTGCAGCTATTCTTTCGAATTCTTTTTCAAAACAATTGAATACCACGCATCAAGACTTCTATAGCCTTACTGAACGAAGCAAAACAATATAAAAGGGTTCTTCATTCATCCAAAAAATTTAAAATAAATAATACAATTTAATTTTATTTTACTTCAAAACTAAATGGAAAAGTTATTACATTGGTCAATTGCTCAACAAGCAGGGGATAAAGAGGCTCTATCTAAAATAGGTACACCAGATCCTAAAGCTTTAAACCAACTATTTGGAGGTCCAGATGAAGCATCTTTGATGAAAGAAAGTGTAATGGTTGTGGAAAACCCTGAAGTTTCTAATGAAGATAAAATCATTGCATTGGAAAACCTCGAAATGTTGATTGAAAATTTAGATAATGCCAATAATATCGAAAACTTAAAGTTATGGTTACCTTTACTTAATATTTTAGGCAATGATTCTTATAATGATGAGATAAGAACATTGATTTTGAGTATTATTGGTATTGCTGTTCAAAATAATAATAAATCTCAATCTGATTTCAACAAATACGATCAGGGTATTAAATTATTAATTGAACTAGGTGAAAAAAGTCAAGATTTAGATCTCAAATTGAAAGCTTTATTCGCAATTTCGTCGTTTATTAGAGACTATAAGCCTGGTTATGAGAAATTTGAGCAATTAAATGGTTGGAATTTAATTACGTTGGATATAAAAGATAATAGTCCTAAATTAAATCTTCGTGTTTTATCTTTAATAGCATCAATTTTATCAAATGGTTTGAGTCCAAATACAGAAGCACATCTTAGAAAGAATAATATTGGTCATAAATTAGCTATACTTTTGAATGATGATGCACATCCTAATTTAATCGATAAAACATTAAATATAATATCAAATTTATATCATTTGAAGTATGAATTTACACCAGAAGAGAAATATGAAATAGATGCTGGGCTAGAAACAATTGAGGGCTTGAGTGATAGATTGAATTTAGATGATTTGGAGACAGCAAAAATGTCGGTAAGTAAATAGGATTTTATAATTATACGTTATTTTCATTATATAACATTGTTTGGGTCGTCAGCCATGAAAAAATTAAGCATTGATTTATCCACTGTTGGAGGAACAATATTTCGTCCTAATTGATCTTTCCCCAAGGTTCCATGATTTAAAAATTGATCGTATAGCAGTCGCATTGACTTATAAGACACATGTAACAATTCAGTTTTCTTTTGAGTCATTAATGAGAAATGTTGAAGTGATTGTAAATATGTTGATTTAGTATCAGAACCTGATCTAACACTTCCCAAATTTGCTAAACTTTTGTTTCTTTCAAATTTATCATATAAGGAGGATCCTATCGTATACGTAAATGAATTTAACCAACTAATAGAATCAGTCATTGTTCTAACCATAAAAAAATTGAGCTTAAGATCGATTTGTAACTTGTTTACCAAATAATCAATTTCTTTTGATGATGGATATTCAGATAATTCACCATCAGAGTTACCTGTCTTTGATCTGGTATTATTATTTTTGTCAACATCCATATTGGTCAAAACTTTGTTTTTAAAGCTTCGTTGCTCAAAAGCTTTAATTCTATTCAACAACTGATCGTATCCTTCCACAATAATTATGATATGAATATCATCAGATGAAGTTAAATTGACAATATTAACGGCAGATAAAGCTTCAACATCAATTTGTTTATTTTTCAACTTGATAAAAAATTCTTTGGCTTGATAATAGAATACAAATGTTTTTTCAAATATTTCTTTTGGTTTACATGGAATAAATATATCATCTTCTTTGTTATAAATAGCTTTAACGACTCGTTTGAAAAATATAACTGGAATATTGAACCCACCATTTTCTAAAGGCAGAGAAAATTCAGATTTTTCTTTCTCAAATGTTGAGTATAAATCAGATCCCACACTCAATTTCATTTCTTGATATATATCTTCTTTCTTTCTTGTTACTTTATTGACTTCATTCAACTCTTTAGTTGAATATCGATAACCATCTGGCAGAGAACTAGAAACTTCAGGTTTGGATTTTTGTGATTTCGGTTTATTAATCTTTGGATTTGCTTCCAGAGATTTTTTTGCTAACTGATCTGAATCGTTCAAATGACTTTTGGATGTTTCAGGTTGAGAATTTGATACGATTGTATCATTAAAAATATCATCGTCATTATCTTCATCTGACGCGGAATTGATGAAATTAGCACAATCACGGATACTTTGTTGAAAAATATCAGGTAATGAACGTACGTACCTATTTTGATTTAGATTAATTGAAATAGCAGATTTTGTAGATAATTCAATACTAAGCTTATTTGACGGTTGCTTATCACTATTGGATATAATACCAGGTATATTTATTTTTGGAAATGCATCATTATTATTTGATAATGTAAAATCAGATAAATCTTCATCAGTATCATCGCTATCACTTCAATAAAGTTAGTATATTACGCGTTTGAATTGAAAAAAAGGCCATACATTTCAATAATTTCGTTACTAATTTGTTGTTGTCGTTCTTGTTTAGTTGTTGTCTTAACATCTTCTATAGTAGTATCATCATCACCTAAATCAATATAAACAATATCATTATTATTCAATGTATTTTGCATGGAATGGAATATTAACTGTTCATTTATTTGTATTTAATAAAATTGAAAAATAATCAACAGAAAGAAAAAAAAAATAAACGAGAAAATAAAAAGTGAAATCAACGGTGAACGGATTAATAGAATATTATATATACATACGCAATTGCACTTTACTGGTTTATTTCAGTGAATTATAAAGTTCTTACAATCAATTGGTATAAATTATAAAACAAAATATTAGGTGTAACTTTAATTTTATCATAAATTGACTATGTCAAATAGAAGGTTATCATTTACAATTAACAATAATGAATCACTGAAAGAAATTGCGAGTTCGTTGTATGAATTAAAAGAAGTTTATAACACTATTAGATATGATTGGCCACAAATTTTAAAAGCTGATTCAAATCCTATTGAAATGGCTATTTCTTTGTTAGATGATACTTCCGTCGGCATGGCACATAAATTACAAGAATTTAGAATATTAAAAGAAAATGCAGAAATAGCATTGAAAAATGTGGTTGAAGAACATTATCAACTTTTTAATAATAGTGTTGGTTCTTATCATATGTTATTAAATACTTTACGCGAATCTCAACAAGATTCAATAGAGATTAAAAAATTTTTAGAAAATTCCAATAAAGAAATACATGATAGATCGTCATTATTACGAGACTTGAGTCAATCTTCAGCAAAGTATTCACATATGATTGAAATTTTAGACGCAATGGATGAAATCAACAACATTCCTACCTTAGTAGATCAATTAATTATAGACAAAAAAATTCATGAAGTTTATGACGTTATTTCTAATGGTTATAAAGCTGCTGAGAAATACAAATTATGGTCATTATCAGCAATGAGTGGGATAAAAGATTATTTAGAACAACAATCAAATAGATTGTTTGATATGATAATTGAAGAATTACAAAATGAAATTTATCTTAAAAATAGCAGGGCAAAATCAATAAATGAAAATAACATAGACAATTCAATATTTTCTTGGGACAATCTCATCAATAACAACAACTCTCAGTTGTCGTCATTCACGGCTTTATTAAAATCACTAAATTTAGAGCAATATATTTATAACTCGGCAAATTTAGATATATCAGAAACTGTTGATTTCCTTAATCTGCCAGTACAAGATTTTATAAATTATCAATTACCGAAATTACATTCAAATAATTCCCAAAAAAATAGTTCCATTCATTATAACTTACTTTTAGAAGCAACATCAAATGCAAGTACTGAATCATTTTATTATATTTATATGTTATTATCAACAGCCTCAAAATTATCTAAATTGGATCAAGTATACGAAGTTTTAACTGATACTACTCAAGCTGACTTACATGAGTTGATTAATAGAACAACCGAAGAGGTAAAATTGAGAAACGGGCAAGCATTATCAAAATTATCAACAAAGCAGTATTTTGAGTCGGATTCTTTATTTGACATATTAACCCATGGCAATTTTACAGATTCCAATGTGGTTATATTACAGGAGTTATTTGGATCTATATTTTTGAAAAGTTTGGCTGTACTACAAAGACACGAAATTGTCAATCGAATCATAAATTTAATCGAAGGAAAACAAGTCTTGGAATCAAATAGAAACTCGAGATTATCTGAGAATCATGTACAAAATGGACAAGTACAATCAATAAACAATATATGGAATATAGTTAGAAAAGAATTGAAAACTTTAATGTTGAATTATATATATGACGAAAGATTGTTTGACGTGAGCTTTTCCAACGACGAAAGAAATAAGGATCAAATTGAAATTGACAAGAAAAGCTCAGAGTGGTATAATATATTCCAATTTAAAGATGTAGACTATGATTTAACTTCCAAGAATTCAAAAGAAATATTAGAAGTTCTTCAGGATGTCTTTCCTGGTTTTAATTTGGCAGATAATAATTCATCGAGACCAACTGGTAGTGATGGTATTGGTGCTAAACTTTCTCAAGCTGGTAAAGATATTTATGCAACAAGTACAGCGTTTGAGACATACAAGGTCGAAAACATAGTCCCGACGAATCTATTTAATATGAGAATAATTTTGGAATTTTTTTTAATATTTATTGATGGGTCACGAAGAGTTCTCTCAGATTCCTTTGGTAACAAAAAAACTAAAAATGATTCGCAATTGTCGTTTCAGTTTTTTAATGAATTCATGAAAACGTCATTCTTACATTATATGAAAAATGCTATTGATCTAATTTTTAATAAAAAAGTTGGTGGTATTTACACAAGAGATTCGATGAAACTAGAGTCTCCGAGATTGCTATTAGATGTGGTTTCAATAAAGGAAGATAATCGGAATTCTGGTCAATTGGAATATGAATCTAATTCGAAAACAATTTATGAGAACGCATTTAATTTCAGAAGGTTATTTTGGGAATTATGTTTGATATTAAATACTTCCTTACACTATAGAGAAGAATATTCCGAAACAATTTTACACATTTTAACGAATTATGCAAAAGAATATTTGAAACTATTTTATGAACTATTACCATATGATGGACAAGTCCAGAGCGTTTCCAATAATGAAACGAATCTGCAATTATCAAAATGGATGAATATTTCAGTTTTATTAGAAGTTACTGGTTATATTTTACTGTCTCATTCCCAAAATCATCACGAGATTACAAATTTGATCAAATCAGAAACAAAATTATTGCTTGAATCAGCTTTGCAACATGTCAATAAAAACGATTTGTTGGATGATGACAATTACTTGCAAAGCATATATTTGCTTTCTACTACCTCCTGGATTTTAACATGGTTACCTTTTATCAAAAAAGAATCAAATTTCAATAGTGATAGTAACCATCTGAGTCTGATAAAAGTTTCAGTGGTTGAGAAATTAAGAGATAATTGGTCATTCTTAGAAAATGGAAGAACTACTTTAAATTACACTAATAGACACGATCCAATCCACAATAATACTTATGTAGCACTAAATTCGGAGTCCATACCAAAATTTAATGAAATTATTAATACATTTGAGTCAATTCGTGATCGAACTATATTAGCATTAAGATATGAATTAAGATACAAGATATTGTATTACACAAAATTGTCTTGCTTGCAGGTAAATTGGATCCCCGTAGCTGAAGATAAAGATGCTGATCAGTTTATAATTCAATTGTCTCAAGAAATTTGTGACGCCGATAATAAATTAGCTGAATTTATTGATGAATCTACAAGAGAACTAATTTTTAACGGATTGGGTATATACATAAATGATTTAATTGTGAAATCATCATTTGATATAAAGAAGATCAATTCAAATGGTATCAAAAGACTTTTATTGAATATTTCCACATTTCGAGAAATGTTAAAAAGTTTATCAACTAATGTAGGGTTAATAGACTTCACCAGTTCTTCAGTATATTTTGAAATGTTTTTATTAAACGAATTCAATTTACTAAACCGTATTAAAATTAACGATAAAAATTTTTCAAAGCAAGAATACGAAAATTTGGCAAGATTAATCTACAGTGAAAAATTAGCCGATGGGAAAGGTTCACAATTTAATAAAAGTAAATACAATGATTTATTGAAGAAAATAGACGAACTATTTTAAATACATATATTAAATCAACAACAACTTTTAGTATTTCTAGTATTTCTAGTTTGCTTTAATCTAAATCTTTCCATTAACCTTTCAGACACAAATCTACCTATACCAGATCCTAAAACAACTGCAAAAAAGTATGTTAAGGTATATGTCATGGCTGCTAACATTAAGGCATAACCGAATAAATCTGGAACAATACATAAAATCAATCTAATGATATCTCTGAAAAATTTTGATGCAAATGATAAATTATTATTGTTTTTAACACTATTTTCATTTGAATTTATAGAGTTAGATACTTGTTCATCTACTGAATTTTTATCCATGCTACAATGTACTTGATCTTGTTGTGATGATAATGCAGGTTGTAAATTTGCTGAATGACTAACAACACCATTTTCAAATTCAATAAAATTTTTATTTGACCAAACAACTTCTTCTAAATAATTTCTTAAAAACTCCAACAATCTAGATAAAATAGCCACGACAAATAATAACAAAAATATACCAAAAGCTTCACCTTTATTTGATGCTTTTAAATCTCTAAATAAAACCGGATAATCTTTAAATTGAGTTGTAAACCACATATGCATACCCATCATTTCTGAATCTCCATGATTCATAGAACCTGCTGTAGTTTCCATTGCCATATCCATTGTTGAAGTAGCCATGGCCATAGTCATTGAAGCCATATCCATACTCATAGATCCCATATCATGACGACGATTGAAATTCATTTTGATATTATTAAGATGCTAATTTTAAAATAAGTTTTGTCAACCAAATATGACTTTTATATATGTTTTAAGTTTTATAAAGTTAAATTAATGAGCTAAATATAATTGAACAATCTGTCAATTTTAATATGCTCATAAAAATAATTGATATGCTAGTAATATATATAGTATTTATTGATAATAATTAAATCATCATCAAACGATTGATGAGTTTGAGCAATTTGTTTATAACTTGATTTAGATTTTTCATCCACTCTGAACTCGCATTGAATTTTTCTTAGCACTTTCAAAATATTATTTAACATATTTTGCATAATATTCGAGCATTTTTCATATACTTTATTAGGCAGTGAGGCTGTTTTTAAAGTATTAACATCGGAGATCTCATCAAATTGATTAAATTATAGACCAGGTGAATACTTTTGATTATTGGTTATACGGCCTTAGCTATTTCGGGTTTTGTAAAAACAATAAACTTTCAAAATCCATTTTTAATAGGCTGCAAAATTTTTATAAGGAATCAAGCTTAAAGTGTATATGATATCCAAATGGTCAAATTACATACTTATAAGTAATTTCGTTTATTTAAATTTTATTTAAATTTTATTTATTTAATGACAATTGTAGTATTAGAGTCAAATACGTTACAGAATTAATTTATTATAGTTTAAACTTCTTGCTTATATTTGGTGCCAGAATAATTTTTTTTCTCGCGCAAGCGTTAGGGCGACTCGTGTCAAATGCATTCGCTTATACAGCAAGAACAGCGCAACTTCTCGAGGTTAATGCAAGTTATATGAAATTCAGAGCCTTGAATTGTATATTCTATATGTTTTAACTTCATAATTTCAAATTTTTTTTTTTTAAGTCGTCATTTTGGCACTTTTTCATCATACAAAAAATTTGCGGAAAATACAATCACAAGTAATATTATATTCAGGGCCATAACTTGCAAATAAATCCTGAATTTTTTTATTTTAAGGTATTAAAAAATTGAATATTAACTTCTCTAATGCGGTTCGAAAATTATGAAAAATTTTCAGAACAATGAAGGAGTCTTAAAAAACAATATACAATAAAATTTTAAAATTAAATAAGCTAGAGTAGATACTTCAGGAGCTATTAAATGAGACTTAAACGTTGATTATCTTGCGATTTAATGTTTGTTGCATATTCTGAGAGTATAATTAAATGATCGAAATTATGTTCTTTTGAAGGAGACTAATATGAACCAGCTTCCAAGTGCTTGAACTTTTGAATCAATCAACTTTGAAGATGAAAGCTTGAACGTTGAGGAAGCTATTGACACATCAAATTGATATTACTATTATGATATTGCATATAAGTGGAATCTGTTTTAGAATTATAAATTTAAACTTAACGAGCAGTCGACCTTAGTAAAAGCTAGGACACGACCGCCGGTGAAGTTTTAATTTGAGGCGTGTTAGTACCATTTCTCGTGCGAATTTTAAGCATTCAATTACGCTACCAAATGTATTGGTGTACAAAGTTGTAAATTTTTTAGCATCAACTACATACCAAACATGATCTGCGAGTCGATACTTTGTATCACGAAAGGAATTATGCAAAAAATGGAGTACAGTTTCATATATTTGTTTGTGTCATACCATAACATGAATTTAAATTTAATGCATGAGGGATTTCGCTACCAGATGTATCAACTTACAAAACTCCAGAGTTAAGTTCCTAACTAAAATTAGATACTTACTACATTCTGAGATTTAAGCACTAATAACACCTACTATTGTTACGGAATTTGTGGTACATAGAATTGTCATTGTTACACTCTAATATGAATCTGATTTGATGCCCAATGAGGGGAGCGAGAACAAAATTTTTTGCGCTAGCCTTGAGGCGATCTTGTCCTATATTTATTATTCTATATATCCTCTACAGCGCAATATCTCGGAATAAAAAGTATTTATATGAGATCCCACTTATGTACGCTACTTACTTCAATTTGAATATATCAAGTTTCTTCGACATAAGCACAACGTTTCTTGAGGTCCTTCGTTAAAATATGGTCATCTAACCATTCAGATGCAACAAATCTAGCTCCACAAGCACTACAAGCACCTGTTATTGGTAACTTGTCAGTTAGTTTATTAGCACTTTTACCTTCAGGTTTATCAAAAATGAAATGTCTATGCAATAAATGTTTTTTATAATCATAGGGTCGATTAAAATTTTGTGTTTTATGATTACACATATGCTTGGGATAAACACATTGAAATCGACCAATTTCATTATGTATTCTCATATGTCTTGTTAAATCTCGACTTATAAATTTATTGCAGACATGACACACTGCACCTTTTAATACTCTTTTTTTGGTACCAGTTGTGATCAGTGCAGTGTTTGAATTATGAGCCAGCTCGGAACCAACTGAGGCAACACTACTGATACTTTGATTGGATACAGATTTATGTAACGTAGGCAAAGCTAACCTTGTTTCATGATCTTCATCACCTACTATACCGACTTTTAATAAATGTTGAGGACGTTTCTCGTCATTAGAACTAATAATATCTGAATGATACCCGTCATCCGGTGATATGAACTCTTTTGAAGTAGTGTTTAATTGTGAAGGTTCTAATTCATCAAATAATAAAGGAGCAAAAACATCATTTAAATTTTGAGTATGTTGCAGATCATGTTGATATGAATGTTGATGTTGCTGATGTTGTTGTGGTTGTTGTTGTTGTTGTTGTTGTTGTTGTTGCTCTGAAGAAGTTCCGTTATAATTATTTATATGTTCATGACATTGTTCAGTTGTAGGTAGTAGTTGCTGGTTTGAAATTTTGTTGTCCACTCCTTTTGTTTCATTCTGTAAATTTTCACAACCATTCTCAAGTTCTTTCAAATACTCTTCAAAAGTTTGATTAAATGCATTCTTTTCATTGATTGCAGGTGAAAAGAACCCACCGGCATTTAAATCTGTACCTTTCGGTGTTTGATCGAAATAACCTACAATGGGTGGTTCTACAGAAGGAGTAAGGTTAAATGAAGGTATCATAGAATGATTGTTATTACCATAACTGTTTGAAAGTTTTAATTCTTTTTCATTTTGATACCTTTCCTTCTGCAGACCCATTGGAATTAATGAGAGAGAATGAATATTGATATTTGTTCCTGGAGTTCTATTCCAGTAATCAGTTCCGGAATCAGATTGTGATGATGATATTAGCCTATTATGAATTGGTCTTTTATTCATACCCTCTAAATTTAAATGAAACCCTGGCTTTTTTTTGGGTCTTCCCCGTTTAGCTTTTGGAATATATTTTGGTTGATGTTGACTACTTGATTGACCGACATCCTCAGATTGTTGATAATCGTTAAAAGAATTGTATGGCTCATTATTAGTTTGCATTTGTTGAGCTTGATTATATGCATGGTCGGATGGATTGAATTTATGGTTCAAATACAGTTTGCTATGATCTGATATATCTATTTGTTGTTGATTATTAAATGAATGTTGACCTTTATTGTGGTTGCTATAAATGTATGGATCATTAAAGTAATTTTGACCCTTATTGTGGTTATTATAAATGTATTGATCATTAAAATAATGTTGCAGTTGTTGATCTTCAATCTCAGTTTGATTCACTTGTGGCTGTAGTTTTTGATGATGCTGTGGTTGGGTATTTTGTAGGTCATGTAAAGCATTTGAATTATTTTGATGAATTTGATTTATTGCATTTTGATCATAATTATTATTGCTATTATTATAGTTATAAAAATTGGGAGTGGTAAATGAAAATAAATTATCAGATTCATCATCAAATTTTGATTGATTATCAAAATAATTATTCATACTAAAAATATTAGATGAATAATTATGCAATATTTATTGATAGTTAAAAGCCTGATTGATTAATAAAGCGGTAAATATGTTGATGCTATTATAAATATATGATTATTATATAGTTATTGTTAATAATGATTATTAGATAGTTATTGTTAATAATTTGATTAAATTGATTTTTTTTTTATTGATAAAAATAGAGAGAAAAAAAATATACTAGAGTTGATAATATATGATAGAATAACAAATTAAACAGTCGAGTTTCCCATTACTGGTTATACCAGCTATCTGAGAGGTAAGTAGCGTTAATTTAATTGTTTTGCTAGTAAATTGGTAATTTTTTCAACCGTGAAAATGGTTTAAGATTATCCTTGCTGTGGTTAATGATAAATTAATTCACCTGGTATGAAGTAGAAATTGACTAGTTACCATCTCATATGTAAATCAAAAGCCTAATTCTCAGTTAAGATTTGAAACATTACAAATTCTACTTCAGGTGTGTTCTTAGTTTCTAGAATCAACCTTAGAAACATCTATTAAGTTTAATCCTTTCCGGTAAATTAAATATAGATCTAAATATACACATCCTTCTATAAACTAGTATCAATTATAGCGCTAGAATTTCCACGTTTTTTTATTTGGTTTGGTTCAATTTAATATGTTCTAGAGTCGTTGTTTGACGAAAAAACCTAAAAACTCGGTTTTATAAATCGTCTTTCACATCGCGAAGTTTTGGTCTTGAATATTAGGACCAATTTCGTTTCGTAACGGCAGCATAGTTAAAGATACGTCTTCATTCTACTTAATGATAGAATAATTGTGGAATTTCTGGCTTTTTTCTCCTAAATTAAGATGTAATGAACAACATTATAAAGATGGGGTTGGTAGTGGAAGAATGCAACAAAAACGTTACTAACATTAGTCAATTTCGTAATATACCAATTCTGGTCATGCTAAGACTTTTTAATGTAAATGCTCCTACATTGCATACACTGCAGAAAGATATTATCCTTAAAGGCGACTTCAAAATTTACAATTATGACAGAGTGAAATAAATTGTCTCAATCAAAGCAGCAGAAAAAAGCCTATCGAATTGATGCTCAGACTTTTGAATCATTAAATTTAACTGATGACTACTAAAAAGTTGCTAGAGGCGATATTCTAACATCATCTGATTGAAGTAAACATAGCAGATATAGTGGATCAAATTAAAATATTTGTTACAACCCAGCCATTTACGTAAACTTTACGGACTTAAGAACTTGAACGGAATATCAGATTAGCTTAACATGGAAAATTATTAGCATATGTATTAGTTTAAAAGTAGATCTTTAATTTGATCTGATCTGGAACGAAATCTAAATCTTAATTCTGAATTTCTTTTTTTTTTTTTTTTTTTTTTTTTTTTGTTTTGCTGATAGACATTTATTGATCGATTTTTCCATTGTTTAATATTTGGGTTACTTAGGTATACAATTGCACAATACTCTTAATCTGTCGGCTCTCCGAACGTAATTTAAAATGTAATTCAAAATTTAAAAACAAAATGTATAAAAGGTTTTTGAAAAATGCCTGTATCGTAACTTCACACCTCTTCAAAAATCTTCATTAATTTATTTGACTCTATTTTATCCATGTAATGCTTTTTAAATTCCATTTAAACTCCGTTCCCCTAATGTCAATGATTTTAAATATCAGAATGTTTATCGTTTATATTGTTTTCTGATGTTCATTTACTGATCGCGGAACATTGAACTGATTATATGCATGTAAAATGAATATGCATTATTTGACATTCGAGGTCAAGCTAAATGTTTGTTCTAACAAACTTGTAAAAAATTCTGATCGATTAATCATCTTTAAGTATATGTTTAATAGACGAAGCTCTTTTACTCTTGCTCAAACGGTTTGAGGTCAAATTTATTTGGGAAAGTACCCTACTAAATTTAATTTTCAGAATTCTTTTTTAACGAACGATCTACACATAGAGCGTCTAATATTTCTGTACTATAATCACACTTGTAATCGTACTATCTATGTTTAATAGACAGAGCCTTTTACTCTTACTCAAACGGTTTGAGGTCAAATCTTTAATTGGGAAAGTACCCTACTAAATTTAATTTTCAGAATGCTTTTATAACGAACAATCTACACATAAGCGTCTAACAAATCTGTACTATAATCACACTTGTAATCATCTATCTCTTTGAGTTAATTTATTAAGAATATTGAATTTTCAGAAAGGTATTACAATATCACTAGCAAATCGTCATTCCTTGAGTGAAAAAATATTTTGAAAGATTATATAAAGAAAATATACAAATACAAAAAATCTCTATTATAATTTAATATAAAAAATGCTATAAACGACGACGCTTTAAAATGCAATTATTATGTTGACTGGGCATCAGTTATTTGATGTCTTATGAATTTTGTGCTTCCTGCTTGATCAATGAACATTGATTATAAATGTCATCAGTTAATATATGATCTTCTAACCATATCCTACCTATAAATCTTAGACCACACGAACATGTCCCTAAATGATCTAATTTATCACTTAAATTATGCAACTTTTTAATCTTTGGGTCATCAAATATGAAATGCCTATTGAGTAAATGTTTTTTAAAATCATATGGTCGATTAAATTTACCCAGTTTATGATGACATTGAGTTTTAGGAAATTTGCAACTAAATCTGGATTCCGATTGATGAGTCCTCATGTGTCTTTGCTTATCTCTTGTAATTCTTTTACCACAAATTGTACAAACTTTCAAATCAACAAACCTATTTTCCACTAAAGGTACAATAATATTCTCATTTGAATTTACCAAAGTTGTCATATCTGGATATTGATTGATGTCAATATTACTTGGAAATGGTAAGCTGATTGATGCCGCTGGTATATTTCGTCGTTGTTCTTGTAGTAGATAATGTACATGGTTTGCATCTTGATGTTGTGCTTCCTGAAACGAAGATTGTATTTTATATTGAGATTGTTGTTGTTGATGTTGTGTAGGATATTGATTGTTATCTAATAATTCTGATGAACTACTTGTATATATCTTTGAAGCTTGGTTGAAGTTATTTGATGAGCTTTTACTAATCTGCGGAACAAATTGTTGATTTAATGAGGGATACAAATTTGATGGCGTTGTTGATACTGTTGATGAGGATGATGGATTTCCAAATTGATAATACTGGTTGGCACTAGAGTTACTTTGATACGGTTGATTGTTGCGAGTTAGTTCTTGGGAATTGCTAGAAAAAAATGGAGCTGATTGATCAAATCCAATCAAAGACTCTGATTTTCTTTGAAGTAAATACTGTTGTCGGTCTGGTATATATTGATCCTGTGGTGGTAATTGAGTTGACATATACGTTTTTTGTTGTTGTTGTAGTTGTTGTTGTTGTTGTTGATGTTGATTAAACGTATGAAGTGGATGTTGATTACCTTGATTTTGTCTAGATGAATCTTGCGATGGCATATTTTGCAACTGACTTAGTTGTTGAAATCGATGTTGGTCCATACTGCTTAGATCAACTATTGATTTACCTTTGATGAAACCGTTGAAACTGCAATAATGTTGTTGTTGATATTCTTCTATATTATCTTGAATATCTTCTTTGTGCAATTGATGAGATTCAGGCCGTTGTAGATTGGTTCCGTCATTATTGTCTCTATTTTCCATTCTTGTATCAATCTTCAAATTTTGAAAATGATTCTAAAACTATCATTTAAATTATTCACACTTTATAACATACAGATTCAATTATATGCTATTGATATCGAAACTGTTCAATGAATGTAAGGGTAGCTTATTATGAATGATTGGAAACGATTACTTCTTGAAAAGGTGTAAGAATTGATCGCCAGGTTAAAAATGGTTGATTAGAAATTGACGATTTAAAATGAGTTCAAACGAATGAATGCTAGAATGATCAACTAACAACTAAAACTTTTTGGTATATTGGTGAAAAAAAAACTATGGAGATTAATTAATGGTTGAACCCTTATTTGATTTATATCTACTATTTGTAATTACAAAAATTTGGATTCATGGTGAATATTTAAATCAATTAAAATAAAAAAAAAAAAAAAAATAAAATAAAATAAAATAAAATAAAATAAAATAAAATAAAATAAAATAAAATAAAATAAAATAAAATAAAATAAAATAAAAAGAAAAAGTATAATAGATTAATCATTTTGCAAACTTTACTTGAAAGTAAAGGTAAGAAGATTAATTCATGCAGAAGTAAGGAATGATCAGCTAAACTAATCCAATGACTCTGTTTTCTTCACAAAGTTCGCTGCTAGTGTAGAATTTTTGTATTTAACACATAATGTATTTTGTAAGATTTGGCACATTAAAAAGAACAGAACAAAAGTTTACTTTAACAATTAGAAATGCAACGTACAGAATGTATTCGAATTAAGTTTTATCCTTCTCACTGTATGTATAAATTATTTATAGTAAATATGCATAGAACATTTGTGATGCATAGCTGTTAATATTACTTCAATTCCAGAATTTCATGTTGAATCCAAATCTTTTAACTATCTGTAGTCTTGCCTACTAAAGAATTTTCTTCTTTTTTACTTTCTCCTGTACCTTGTTATTTTCTGAATGTATTGGTCTAGTGTCTTTTAATCCTAGAGTGATAAATTTTAATGTGTTTTCAATTAGCCACGATTTTTAAATTTTCGCCTAATTGATTTTGTGGAAAAAAATAAAAATTAAATGTGTTCGAATGTTTAAATTGAAATGTACGTTATTAATTTGTTAATTAGTTTTGCATTCATCTAATTTACGATTTTGGTCTTGAGTCTGGAGAGAATTGATTGTTGAGTTATGTCAGAAGAGTCGACTGATAGATTGCTACTTATTAGACTAGGACAAATCCTTTTCAAATTCAATTTCATCCCTACATAAGAAATAAATAGTTACAACATCAAAGAAGAATAGTAGAAAAAATGTATCATACTCTCCTCGAATCATTACCAATACGGTTTCTATTAAAGGGTTTGTTGTTGTTGATGTAAAAAATTTTTCATGAAATTTTTTTATCCCAGAAAGGATAAATTTAAAATAAACGATGATATTCTTTTGCATCTTATTATTAGCTTAAATCTTATAATGATTAATGCTGACATGAGTTAATTTTGCGTAAAAATCAAAATACTTGAATACTTGTCAAATTTTGAAATAATGATGGTATTTCATTTGTCTGATTAGCCTTTTGTCTTGATTATTTCATAGGGTCTTTAAGTTTCATTACATTTTAGAAATATATCATGTATCAGTAGCTCAAATTCTTTTACCATAATTATGAGCCCATTTTTTAAAGAGTAATTCTCAAGAATTGTCTGCACCACGTTTAAAACTCGTTTTCTGCATAACAAGGGTTGTCAATGATTTACATTTTGATTAAGAGACTCGGACTTAGCATCGAATCGAAGTATAATTTAGACTAAAGTTATGTATTCGGAAAAACAAATAAATGTACTGTTGCACTCAAAATATTTTATGAACTATTTTAGCCTTCTTCATTTTTAAATAGCATTCAGTCAATTACATGTTATCTTAAATAACATTCAGTCAATTACATATTATTGAGCGAGTCTTATTTTTGTCTCACAAATCAAGTATTTCAAAACAAGCTTCTATTTTTAGATCATGTTGAATTGCTTATGTACTAAGTGGTATTTGTTAAAATTTCTCTAATTTTTAGAAGGCTAATTACTAGACGAAACTGTGTATTGGTTATGCAACCCGGAGCCCATGAATTAAGAAATTGCAAATATTTTCCAGTAAATTTAAAGATAGACTAAAAAGACCTGAAATGTTACACCCCCTAACCAAAACAAATTCTGTTTATTTTTTTATTTTTTTTAGATCCCATACACACCCATGAAAGCTTTACAATAAAGATTTGAAGCACAAATGACGGAAATATCAAGCTATTTGCTTTTTCTCCTAACAATTATCGTTAACGTAAAATAAAGTATTTCAATTTATTATTTTAGCTTTTGGAAGCAGGTTTACTCGCTAGGCATTAAGTGCTATAACTTCTTTATTTGGAATCTGTAAAATTACTTAAACTATAGTTATCGGAATGTTTAAATTCCCACCTGAAACCGAAACCACCTCAATATATGCACTCTGAACTCGTGAGAATAATACTTAGGATATGTTGACGAATCAAAAGCGTTGATCCTTTATCGCAATAAATTTGGACAATTTTTCAAATTTCCAAGTTACTTAACTTTACTAATGAACTAATCAGGACTCAACATTCCGGAGTTGATGTTAAATCACAATCAAGTAGACCACATGTGAATTTAAGAGGGAATCTGCATAGTCAAAACCTCTTCGGTTATGATTGGTTAGAAGCGTTAAGTAGAATTTAATAAGTGTACCAGTTGAGTTTAAAGTAAACCAGTAATTGACAATAGTGAAGAACATATGGGCAAATCGAGAGTACCGAATTTTCGCCTGATCAATTTATCTAATTTGTAGGAGGTGAAATGCAGAAGGAAAATTGTAATTCAAGTGACTATCGACTTGAATTATTACGTAAATTAAATTGTAATAGACATAGTAAGAATTAAACCTTACAGAATAATCCTTACAGAATAATCTTTAGGCATGACTATTGTGTATGCATGTCTATTAGTGGCATGTTTCAAATTGGTTCTTAATATAAGAATAGCGGTATTTTAATTAATTAAGATATTTCGCATCATTTAAATGCGTCAGATTATTTTGAAAAATTAAGCGGTAATAGTCAAGATGTTCAACATCAAAGAGCTCATGAACGCATATGTTGCTTATGAAATGATCGAATAGAAGAACTGATAGTGAGTCATGACCTACAATTGGTTATGAAATGATCCAATAGAAAAACTGATAGTGAGTCATGACCTACAATTGGTTATAAGATAGTCGGCTTGATATAACAAGTTGTATATAGACCAAAGTCAATAAATGAATTTCGACCATCTAAAACTAATAATTTTGTATATAAGGCTGGAAATTGATGTCATTAAACTTCTATTTTATTGAAATCATCCAAAAGTAATTCATAAGCGATCATTTTGTTTCAAATATGTAGCAAAAATTGACGCACTACACGACTTCTGTATCTTAGGGTTCTTCTTGAAGATGCTGCCAATTTTGTTTTGAATGCTGGTTCATTTGCAATTCCTAGCCAATCGAAGAATAAATAAACAAACAAAGTAACGGAACGTAGTAGATGAAGTAATTTATATATGATTACATAATTTGGGCTTAAAGAATAAAGTTTTGACGCTTGCAATATCAAATTTCAAAACATTTGTTCCATTAAAATATATAAATAAATGAAATAAACGTTTCGAAATATTTTTGTTGATCCTTTCAAAACAAATAGATTTTTTTTACAACCTTCGTCATTCATTTACTTTGAATTTTGTTATTTTTGTTATTTATTAAGTCATTAACTCGAGGTATGTATACACTACACAAAAAGATATAGTAAATTGTTACATTGATTTGAATCAAAAAAAAAAAATTAGTAGACAATCAATTATGACAATCAATTATTAATTTATACAAGAATCAACTATTCCATATGTCAAATATTATTACAAACCATCAAACAAAAGCTGGTTATCGAAGAAGAAGAAGAAGAAGAAGAAGAAGAAGCAAATGAAATGTAAATTGATGCTGGTTATTAACCAAGACCAGAAAAAGCCACCTAAGATTACACAAAAACACGAAAAATAATAAATTATTTTTTTTGTTTACATGGAACACGAGAAAAAAAAAAAAAAAACTAAACGGTAATCCAGATCTCGAGATCTGGAGATCTCACCATATAATACTCAAAAATTACAGATCTGGGATGAACAATCAATATTGATAGCACTGTGAATAGTGAAAAGTGTTAGAATTGACAAAAGTATAATAATGAAAGGCCCAATGAAACGAAGAAACCAAGTAAAAAGCTTAATTTATTGAATGGTACACGAACAAAATAAATAAAAAATAAATAAACAAAAAATTAACTAATAATAAAAAAACAAAATCACACAATTAAAGAAAATAATTTTTTAATTTCATTTCTGTTTTTGATATTTTATCAACATTTAGAAAAATTTTTGTTACCAACTTATATTTCATTCATTTATTAGTTATTCATTCATTTGATATATTGAAATCAAATCAAACACCTGCTATATAATTTATAACTAAAAATTAACAAAAAACTAACTAACCTTTAGTCACTCCTTTTATTTTTAAGATATATTAGTTTTTTATTACTACAAGTTTTGATTATTATTATATACTATTACATTCATTTAATTAAATTCTGCTTAAAGTTTATTATATCAATTAGAAATCAATTTAACCAAAAGGAAGAAAATCAATCAACAATATTTATCACTCACAAATGAAAATCACCAACTCAATTATTTTAGCTTATTTAGCTACTTTATCATTAGCTGCTCCTGCTATTAACAACAATGACGCTCATAAACATGGTAAACTTGTTAAAAAAGATGATCAAGATTGTGCTCAAGCCAATTTTCATGGTCATCATAAACATAAAAGAGCTGTTGTTTATGATTATGCTTATGTTACTGTTACTGTTGATGCAAAAGGTAACCCTGTTACAACTGTTGAACCAACTACTATTATTGAATCCACCGGTGAAGCTTCTGAATCTTCATCGACTTCAATTAATGTTTCTTCAACTACAACAATTGTTCAAAATGATTCATTAACTTCAAATGAACCTGCTACTTTAACTCCAAGCTCATCTCCAAGCTCAAGTAGTGCTCCATCATCACCAAATAATGGTATTCAAGGTGATTTAGGTTATTTCCAAAATCCAACTAAAGAATTTCAAGATGGTGTTTTATCTTGTGATGAATTTCCTTTAGGTCAAGGTGTAATTGCATTAGATCATTTAGGTTTTGGTGGCTGGTCAGGTATCTATAATACTGATACTTCAACCGGTGGTACTTGTAAAGAAGGTTCTTATTGTTCTTATGCTTGTCAAAGTGGTATGTCAAAAACTCAATGGCCTGATGCACAACCTGCTAATGGTGTTTCTGTTGGTGGTTTAATTTGTAGAAATGGTAAATTATATAAAACAAATTCAAGATCAAATTATTTATGTGAATGGGGTATTGACAAAGCTGATGTTGTTAATAAATTATCACAAACTGTTGCAATTTGTAGAACTGACTATCCTGGTACTGAAAATATGGTTATTCCAACAGTAGTTGATGGTGGTTCAACTTCTCCAATTACTGTTGTCGATCAAGGTACTTATTATACATGGAGAGGTGGTGCAACTTCTGCTCAATACTATGTTAATAATGCAGGTCTTGATTGGAAAACTGGTTGTACATGGGGTACACCAGGTTCTGGTTATGGTAATTGGGCTCCATTGAATTTTGGTGCCGGTTATGCAAATGGTATTGCTTATTTATCATTAATTCCAAATCCAAATAATTATGATTCTTTAAATTTTAAAGTTAAAATTGAAGCTGAACAAGGTGGTGTTGTTAGTGGTTCATGTGTTTACCAAGATGGTAAATATAATGGAAATGGTAGTGATGGTTGTACCGTTGGTGTTACCTCAGGTAAAGCTAATTTTGTTTTATACAATTAGAAGAAAGAAGTTTATAAAAACTTATACCAATTGTTTTTTGTTTTGAGTATTATATATGTTATTGTTTTTTATTTTAATTCGAAATTTTGTATTTTAAATGTTTAATTATATATTTCATTTACTTCAATATTCTATTTATTTGACCGAAGCATGTTTTGAATCTTCTTTACTTGCTGATCTCCACCAACTACTCTTTTGCCTGATAATGTTTTAAGTGATGTGAAAAGTAAATTTCCTAAACCATGAAAACCAAATAGATCGATCTCTTGTAAAACCTTTAATTTTAAACCATCATAGTTTAAATTTAACCATTTGACTTCTGAATCATCTTTATTATTAAATATGGATTCAATTTTTGCTTTTGATGGTGGACCTTCAAGTCTCATAGTTATGGTTGCAATTTTTGCATCTTCAAATTTTCTAATCAACTTAGTTGATAAACATGACAAGGATGGATTGATGAAAACTTCTCCCAATTTTTCAAAGTTTAAATACTCATTATTATCAAATATGTAAATGGATTTAACTTGATTTAAAAAATCGGCATTTAAATAAAATGCTTTATGTGGCGAATTTGAATTACTAGTATCAACATTTAAAAATTTATTTCTCCACAACGAATTAACAGCGTCCATTATATAAGAGTTCTGGACTAGTTTGATTTCGCTGTTAATAAATTTGTGATTTTTACCAATTGTGATGTACTGACAAATGTCATTTAAGTAAACTAGGTTGGCACTTAACAACGATGCGTAAATTAGCGGTTTCTGTGATATTATAGTCTCATCATTCAATTCATTTATAAGTTCATCGTCCAAACTCTGTATGTATGAAATTACCTTGTTGAATAAGTAGTCTTGACATAATGTACAATAATTGATAAATTCACAAAGTTTCGGTAGTACCATATTTACTAGTTTAATATCTTCGTTATTTGATAAAAATTCCAAAAAGTTTTCCACATATAATTTACATGCTTTTTCATTTATATTTTGAGTGCTTAAATAAATTTGTTTGATATTAGATATATCGTAATCAAGCATATTCATTAAAGATTCCTCATCAAAATTCCCTATAAATTTCAAAAGTTTTGACCTATTTGATAAATCATCAAAATAGTTGAGAGTCAACGGATTGTGGCTTGTTTTTATTACGAAATTATTGACCAGGGGTAATTTAATTGTCCCGTCACTGACTTCAAGCAAATACTCTAATTGGTTAGTAAATTTTTCAGTTTCATCAGGTTCGTTGATACTTGAATTTTCCAAATTAACTTCAATATATTTATTTAATTTTGCTTTAAAATTTGCATTCGATAATATCAATAATATTAAAACTTTTGTTTTCTTTACATCTTTTAAACTACTTCTAAATACCAAATATGGATTTAATTTATCAGATCGAGATCGGTTCACTAAGTTTTGAATTAATAAAGAGCCATCACTTGTATTGCCTAGATCTCGAGAAGTGACCCTATTCGGTCGCGATCTCTTTATACGATCATTTTGAAACTCATCATCCCATCCATACACATGTTTCAAACCATTACCAAGTCTATTCAAAGTTTTATAATACTCTTTTGAATAAATTATGTAATCTAATTCTGGTTTTATAAATTTGAAAAATGACAATAATTCTCGTAGATAAATATCTAATGGAAATTTTATAAACAATTCAACTACTTGTTTTATGTGCCATGATTGTAAAATCTCAATCTTATAAAAAACTTCTTTATTTCTGAAACTAGTTATGATTTTGTCATTATCGCTTAATGTTAATATTATTATTTTGGAAATTTGAAATCTTGCAAATTCAAATGATAAATGTTTAATTAAAATAGTTAATGCAAAAGATCCGGATTTTATAATTGAAGGTTTAAAAAAGTCAAAATTGTCAATGACCCAATCTAATACTTGTAATTGAAATTGTTGTGGTAATTTTTTATTTTGGAATTTTTGATTATTTTTATAATATATTTGAGAAATTCCAATTGTACTGTTAACTTTGAAAAACACATCACTTGATAAATTTTCATTTGGTTTTAAACAATTTTCTAATAAATTTATTTTATCTTCAAGTTTAATTGAAGAAGAAGTAGTATCAAATATTAAATCTAAAATAACCATTATTGTTTTTTCAGAAACACCATCTTTAGTTAAATCAATTAAATCATCAATAAGATCATCATTACTACCATAACCAATATTTGTTAATCTACTTAATGTATCCACTATTTCTTCATTTAATTGGTGTCTATTCATTTGATTAATTGTTTACCATTCATAAAAAAGCACCCGGGTAATAAAAATAAACAAATAAATAAAATCGCGCTACCAAATTTTATAGTAATATAAATATTGATCAATTTTCCATCAATTTTAATAAATTATTAATCATGTCAGATTATGATGTACAAGATGACTTTTATCAATTAATAACAAATAAATACAATGAAGCAGTAAAGAATAAACATATATTGTTTAATGGTGACTCAGTAATCAATGAAACTGAAACAATTAAAGTTGGTGATGAAAATTTTGATGTACAATATACTTTATTAACTTCATTAATGCATAGACCTGAAAAGGGAGATAATGATTCAAATCCATTTGAAAAACCAGAACCAGAACTAACTATCTTCAAAGATTACGGAGCTAATAATGAATTTAAAATTATTTTTAATAAATTTCCTGTTGTTCCAAAACATTTCATGTTAGTTACTCAACAATTTAAATCACAAAATACTCCATTATCATCAAACGAATTATATGCAACATATCAAATATTACAAAATTTGAATAAGTTTAAATCAAAGGGTGAAGACTGGTTTGCTTTTTATAATTGTGGTCAAGAACTGGGTGCTCTGCAACCACATAAACATATTCAATTCATGACATTACCTTCAAGAGATAAATTCATACCATATACTGATATTATATCAAATCAACAACCATCAGAATTATTGAAAAAAAATGAACCACTACAAAATAAATCATTACCATTTGCAAATTTTATTAAAAAGATTCCAAAAGATGAAGAAATAACTGGTGAAATTTTATCACAATTATTTGCTTCATTATTACAAAAAACTTTGACAACTCTTAGACAAAATGACGCAGATCATATATCTTACAATTTTATCATGACAATAGATTATGTTTATATGGTTCCAAGATCAAATGGTAAATTTCAAGATAAAATTGGAATTAATTCATGTGGTGTACAAGGATTATTTTTATGTAAAGATGAAGAATTGTTCAAATTAGTTAAAGAATATGGACCATTTAATATATTAAAAGATGTTGGATTTTTAAATACTAGCGATAAAGCATCAAATGAGTATGATTATTAAGAATAGTATAGAGATATAGAAGTAATATGTGAATGCAACACATTACCCAATTAGGAATTCTACAACTCTCAACCAATTATAATTTAATGAAAATTATTACCACCAAAAATTAACAGTGGAAAAAAAAAAAACCACACAGTGAAAGAAGATCAGTAGTTATAATGCCCCAATCAGTTACATCAATAGTTAAAGTTGCTAACTTCATTTTATCAAGACCAACATTGGCTAAAGTTGTTACTCCAATTGCTCAAAAATTTGTTGCATATGCTGGTTATAGAGAAATGGGTTTAAAATTTAATGATTTACTTCAAGAAGAATCACCAGTTATGCAAAAAGCACTTAAGAGATTACCAGAAGATGTATCATATGCAAGAGTTAATAGATTAATAACTGCTCATCAATTATCATTATCTCATCATATATTACCAGCTGATAAAGCTGTCAAACCAGAAGAAGATGATCATTATTTAATTCCATACATATTGGAAGCTGAAAAAGAAGCATTTGAAAAAGCTGAATTAGACAATATTGAAGTTAAAGCTTAAAATTTAATAAATATGTTATAAATTACGTTTTTCAAATCTAAAAAAATCTATAAATTTCACTTTATTCTTACATACCCAATTTATACTTTCTTAATTGTTCAAGTACTAAAAATGTTACAATTGTATGTGGTCCCAATCTTATAAATGATGGTAACCAACCTCTAAACATAAATCCAATTCCTTCAGTTTTAATAGCATCTTTTAAAATTGTAAATGCGTTTTCATTCAGAACTTTTGCATTCATTATTCTTGTTTTCACAACATCTGTTGGGGAGCAAACAGTTGTTGCAACTAAACCCGCTAATAATGAAGCACTAAAGTGAGTTGATTTCTTTGATGGATCTAAATGAACTTTATCAACTAATAATGTCTTTGCAATATCATAAGTTACAACTTGAGATGCAGTCATCAAAACACCTCTGACCAAATTTGGATATAAACCTCTGAATAATGACGATACATTTTCTGTCTTTATTATTTTATATATTCCATCGAATGCGTTTTTATAATTTCTTCTTTGTTCTTTTGGTAATGTTGAATCATTTTGCATACGAATATTTACCACATCTGATGGATTCCCCACTAATCCACCCAATGCTCCGGATATCATTGAAATTGGCAATAGTATACCTGTAGCAGGTTTTGGATTATGTGAATATTCAATATATTCTTCTTTTAAAAATTCATAAATTCCAAATCTTGTTGTTGAATAAGTAGCTTGTCTTAATAAAGAAGCAGTCAAACCTGAATAAATTTTAAAGAACCCTTCTTTAGTTATAATTTGATAGATCATTGATATTAAAGATTGACCTGGTTTTGAAGCAGTCTGTAATCTGACCTTGGCTAAATCTAATGGATGAGTTACTAAACATGCAGCCATACTTGAAGCACCACCATACCAAAAGGGATATTGTATTTTCTTTGAGCCACTCATTATTACTTTAAATTCAATTTTTAAAATAGGTATAACAATATTAACCTTAGTTCATCAAAAGGTAGATAGATTTATTAATTTTTCAACTTTAATATTTTTTTTTTTTTTTCCATTTTGTATTGGCATTAGTCCGGTGCCAAGATGCTTGAACCGCGCCAAAAAAAATAATTAATTATATATAAAATTCTGAAACCATCGTTTAATACATTTATTTTGCTAATTTCGTGATAAATTCCAGTCCAATCTTTGCTTTAAGTTATAGTGAACTTAGTAAAGTTCAAGAACTGCAATAACAAATAATGGAAGTTAATATGCTTTTGTGGTAGAGATATCTCATAAAAAATTTACGTTGCACGATTGATAATAGCCTATAAACAATTATATGAGTTTGAAAAAAATACCATTACATTAGACAGAAGTGAAGTATGCCTATTTATAAACGATATTTTGATTGAGTAATTGGGTTTTCAAGCAAAACTATGATTATTTCTGAATTCTAAGAAGATCCATTTCAAACGGAGTTCTATGATCAAAATGTAGTATAATCAGTTGCTTAAGAATACTACACTACACTCGTATCTATTTTCTCAGATTAGTTTAGAGAATTCATCGGATTTTATTGATTTTAGTATATGTTAGCCCCCTAAGAAACACCCTTAAAGTATTTGTAAATTGTTTCCAGGAGCTTAGGCAAGATTCTAAGGAGCAAAATATAAACCATGCTACTATATACGTTTGGAAATACTCAAATCGGTACAATTCAAAATTATAGCCACCCATGTTAAAATATGTAAGATCTTACATGGTAAGATAAGCGCAACTTAGATCTAAGATAGCGCGATTAAATAAAAAACAATATACTGAGAAGGCGAAAAGTAAGAATTACACAAACCAAAGAAAACTTCCCCTAAGATTTAACATTCTTCACTAAAGCCTAACACAACCAAGTTTAATTTAAATTATGCTGTTCTTGGTATCATTCGAATGAGAAAAAATCGTATAATCTAACTATGATAAGCTCAAACTCGCTGTTTGTAACTGCTTTAATAAATTATTAATTTTCAGCTTTTTGATCACTCGTCTTGCTGACTTTCGCCAGAAAAATCAATGTATAAAACATACGCATCTTAAGACTATACAAGTATAGTTTTATTGATATTGTACCATGTGATATTGTGCTTTTGTTGTAATTATTGTATTTTATTCAAGTGTTTCGTACACAAAAAAAAAATAAAAAAAAAAAGTTATAATATAAGAACCCGTCTTCATGGTAAGTTTTACGAGACGCAGAATATGTAATGTTCACGGTCATTTAGATAAAGACGTTTCATGTAGAGTTGGTATTTCATTTAACTTGCATTTACTTCGAGAGGATACATTGTTCTATAAGCAAATAAATATAGCACGAGTCGCCTTAACGCTTGTGCGAGAAAATAATTTTATACGGCGAAACGATCGTTTTGAGAAATCATACTTTTGAGAACAATTTTGCTTATATGACCTATAGTAGTTCCTAAAATTTGATTTGTGAATAACTCCGTCAATCATCAAACATTTTTTCTCAAACTTAGTTTATTACAAACTCCATCGTTTTAGAGCAAATTGATTCTTGTTTCCGTTGTATAGACACCATTTTGATGAATTTATTCCTCATTTAAAAAATGGCAAAAACCGCTATTTTGCGAGAAAACTAACACTCAGCCCAATAATTTAAGTTGTTGATTGTATTGAGTAATGTACAATATTGAGGATCTTCTTCATAGTAATATTTGAATATTGTGAATAAATTTTCCATTCTTGATTAAAAGTTTTAATAATAGATAAAGCAATATTTGTTGATGTGTAAATAATATTTTTGAAGCTGCTTGGACAACGTCAGTTTCGAAAACTTTTATGTTTTTTATTCCTTATTTTTTTGCATATTTTATAAATTGTGGAGCAGCGGCGTCACAAAAGCAAGTAGCTCTATCACAAAATGTTTGTTCATACCTAACTAAATCAAAAATATGACTTTGCTGTTTGATAAACTTATTATTGAAATTTATTAATTCTTTGACGGTAAGTTTATAATGAGTTACCCAATCTATCTATAGTTTTATATCTTGAAGTTTCAAATTTCTCATAATTGTTCAACACGTGATTCTTTATTAACATGGCAAATGTTTGAATGACAATCAGATTGAATAACAAGGTGTCAATTTTGGTGATACATCATTAATTAATCCAACTAATCCATTATCCCTTAAACTTCAATTATACAATTTGTTATTTTAGATATAATGTTGAATCGATTACCACTACTGGAAATCGTATCTGGTAAATTGATATGAATTGTAACAGCTTGTTTCAAAATTGATAAAACTGCAATTTCATAATTGAAACCAAGCGTTTTTGATAAATTTCATTGAAATTAAATAAACCAGTAATACGATTAAATTTCTTGCAACCAACTAAAAATATCATATAGCAAATTCATTGTTTGACAAGATTGATTACCACATCCCAAACCTAACGTTTTACTACACAACCTGGTATTCTCCAAAATAATCCATTTAGCAAAGTCAATAAAACTCAATTAATGAAACTGAATAGCTCTTATCGAACACTTTCAAAAATAACAGGGAAAATTGGGATGGCTTTTTTTTTTTAGATCTCAGTTTATTAAAAACACACGAATATAACTATTCGATGGATGCAAAATAAATCTAATAAAGTATATAGATTATATAGTTAAGATTGTGAATTGTAGTATTGTTATATAGTATCAGTGTTCTCAATGAGATTTTGTTACCAGAATATTTTTATAGCCAGTTTAGTGACATCAAAATTTATCCACGAAAGTATCAATCATACAACAACAAACTTATCAAACAAGCGAAATGATACAGAATTAATGTATGATGAAAGTAATTTTACTATTTGTGAGGACCACTCTGATTACATAGAAAATCTAGTGGTGGATCATCAAATTAATGATAATAAAACTGATTTAAAATCAGTGGAGCCACAAATTAATATAAGTAATGTTCAAATAAAAACAATAGACAAGAGTTCAATATACACGTTCTTAGATGTTATAATTGGACTAATGACTAGAATGTCTACCATATTAAATTTTATTTTTACATATGCTTTTCCCGAAAAGAGAATCTGTCAGACGGTGTATGGCAGGAATAATAACAATAAATACAAGATACAATCATGTACTGCTGCTAGAAGCTGTGATGCTAAGGGGTCCTTAAAAGCAATTTTAGATGCAACTGACTGGGCTGTAGAGAATCAATATTTTAATGAAGGGTATAAAGGTTCAATAGTTACGGATACAAATGGTGGATGGCATTGTTGTATCTCATATTATCAAGAAAATGATTTCGTTGAATCATTTCCAGCATGTCCAGATAAATGGTGTGGTAAATAGGCTCAAACTAATGCTATGCTTCAATTTCGTATATTCATTTATCTATTTTTGAATCTATTTTCATTTCTTGCCGTCAATTGGAGTACAAAATTGCCAATTTTCATCCACTGATTCTATTGCCCATTTAAATTTATCCCTTAAAGTTTTGGTAAATAATTTTTCAATTGGTACACCGAATTTTTTGGAAAATACAACTGTTAATCTTGGATCTATATAATTCAATTTAGAAGTACCTAAACTGACTTCTGAATTATCTTTTTTATCTTTCAATTGCATTGAAATATTAATAATTCTATTTTCAATTGTTTCTACTTGTTGCTTCAATTTTTCAACTGTTGCTTTTGCTGGAACTTCTGGTTTTCCTGTATTAATTTCTTTTTTATACTCTTTTTCAAGTTCTTTTATCTTATCAAATTTATCTTTAAAATCTGATTTAGTAAGTAATGGTTTTTTTTCTAATTTTAGTTTTTCATTATCTTTTATCATCTTTTTATTCACTTGTTCTGTTTGTCTTGTAATTATATTTTCAACAATATTTTCAATTTCTTCTGGAATCAAATCTTCAATCTCTTCGAAGTATGAAGATTCTGTTTGTTTTAATTTTGGATTCAATTGTAAAATAATTTTTTTCAACCTAATCTTTTGCCACATACTTTCCTTTAATTTGTCATTAATTTTTTGAACTGTATTATCGTGATTTTTACTGACTGTACGCTGATGGTTACATAAAATTGCAACAGCTCTATTTGCAGCATTAAATTTAACAACTTTTTCCGCTACGGTACCTTCATTTGGATCCAACTTATCAATTTGATCTTGGAACACTTTTGATGCATTATAAGTACGAAAAACTTTAGCTGTTAATCCTTCCATATAATTTTGTAATTGCTTATTAACCATCGATGGGTTAATACGATCAAATAAATCATCTCCAGGTTGTTTAGGTGGTTTTTTAAATATCTTTAAATTTTTGAAAATTTGACGCTCAACGTGTGATTCTAAATAAAATCTAATGGAATCTTTACCCAAGAAATCAAATATGACTGTGTTTGGTTTTTTTAATGTAACATGTTCATATCTTAATGAGCAACAACCTACTGTATCAGCTTCATCATCACCTTTTTCACCACCAGCTCTTAATGCAAATTTATCAATCAAATGCATTGCTGTACCCATTTGTCTATCTTGCATTTTTTCAGAAGTTAATAATTTACTATAATCTTTTCTAATTGCTTCAACATGATTGTGTAATTTTCGAGCTTTTTCAAACTTTTTAAAATCAGACTGACCTTTAATTGATGAATTTGCTGCAAATCTAACATATTTAAAAGAATCCGCAATATTTTCTTTCCACATAGCTAACCAAGTAACTTCATTATCATGCTTAATTTCAGCCCAATTATGGCCTGCTGGTGCTTCAGGAATTTTAGCACCTTTACTTAAATTTAAAGTAACTTGTTCAGGATAAACTCTTCTTTTCAATTTACCAGTTTTTGGATGAGCACCACGTCCTCTAAATAATCCAGGTGGTTCAATTCTAAAATTTCCAACTAATTCTTTTCTACCATTTAATATACATGTTTTAAAAGGTTCTTCCATTTTTTCTTTTTCTTCTTTAATTCTTTTCTTTTCATCTCTTGTTAATTGTTTTTTTTCTTCTTTTAGTTTTTCAAAATAAGCAAACATTTTGGTAAAATCACATTTGTCAAATCTTTTAATCTCAACACCACAACCACCACATTCTTTTAAAACTTGAACAAAATCATTAAAGAAATTTTTTTGGAATACAGGATTTTTCCCATGATCTGTTTCTAATAAAGCAGCATAAAAACCAGCAACTTCTTCAGCTTCAGGCGGTAAATTGACTGGTTTCCCATTATAATACATTTTAACATATGAAGGCAAAGGTTCATAAGGTGGAGGAAATATAACCCCATTATGTTCTAATGATTCCCATCTGAATACCCCATCATTTTCACCCTCTTCCCACCATTTATAACCAGCATCATCATCATCTAATGGTGTTTCTTCTTTTACAGAATCTTCTTTCTTAACCTTGGAAGTAGTTTGACCGTTCGCTTTGGATTCAGGTTCCGATTTAGTTTTACTTTGTTTAGTTGATTTTGATTCCTTTTTAACCGTAGTTGATTTTGATTCTTTTTTAACTTTAGTTGTTGGTTTGGTTGTTGATTTGGTTGATTTTTTGCTACCATTTGATAATTTTCTCTTTTTTAAAGGTTTTTCATCTACAAATTCATCTTCATCTTCATCTTCATCTTTGACATCATCATCTGATTCAATTACACTTTTTTTACGAGCTCTTTTACTAAGTTTATTTGATGCTAATGGTATTTCGTCTACATCTTCCATTTGTTCTTGGTTATCATCATTTGAAGTTGGAGATGTTGATAATGTAGATGATGATGATGAGTTTAATTTTGATTTCGATCTATTTTTTGCCAATTGTGATAGAACCATTTCATCTTCAGAAGATGATAAATCAGTCATCGATTAAGAACAATAATAATTTACTCTTGTTGATGTTAATGTTGTAATATTAAAATCGTTAATAATTGGTTGTAAAAATAAAAAAATGAAAAACACGATAAAAAAAAAAATGAAACTTTACGTCGTGTTTTTTTTATTGTATTTTATTTCTATGTCTATTCAGTCGGGACGGGACTTTCAGTAGAGTTATTACTACTATTTTGACTGATACAAGGTTCAATAGAAGGGCTGCAATTCATCGGAATGAACTGATTCCTTTATTATATATACAAACTTTTGTTAAATTATAAGCATTCGTTTCATATTCGTTAAATCATTAAATCATTTCCATTTAATTTCTTAATATCATTACCTCTAGTTTTGAAAAATAGTTCCAAAATCTCTTCATTTTTAATCTTTGCGTTTTTAGACTCATCCGGTACATTCTCAAGACTTGTATTTTTAATTTTATCACTTAAATTTTGTAAATTCTTTAAAATCTTATTAGCTTGTTGAAATTTATTCATCTTTATATAACAATCAAATTGACCAATTAAACAGTTTATATCAGAATTCGATTCAACACCCAATTTAAACCATTCTATAGCTTGATTTAAATTATTAAAAACATTCATTTCTAAAAAACCCAAATTATAAATAGAATCAATTAATCCTTTACTAGAACTTAATTCCCAGTGATACTTAGCTAATTTTGGATTTGAATCTACTATAAGCTGACCAAGATAAAAATGTGATTTAATAGTAATATTATCTAATTCACCAACAGCAATACTTTTTTCAAAAAATTCTTTTGCAATAAATGGATTTGATTCATAAGTTAAATAATAGTAACCTAATTGATAATATACATGTGATGATTCAATTGAATTTGGTTCTAATTCAATAAATTTTTTCCAATATTCAATTGCTTTTTTAACAATATTCTGTTCCCATGCTAAATTTCCAGCATATCTATAAGTTAATGCATGGTTTGAGTCTAATAATTGTTGTATTAATGAATTTGCATAATTAAAATCTTCTAATGAAACACTTGATTCGTCTTTAAGTCTTTTTTGTACTGTTTCAAATGATAATATTGAAATTGCATTTGAATTTCCCAATTCTGCACTTTGTTCAATTAATTCATTTTCTAAATCAATTAAATTTTTATTATATGAGCTTGTTAAATTTCTAATATTTTTTAAAACTGTTTGAAATTCCATTAAATCGGATGATTTTGTATAAATTGGTAATTTAATTTTATCTGGTGTTGATAAATTATTATAAATTGTTGTTAAAATTGGTATCATTTTATTGTATGATAATCTTGCATCTTGATCAAATAGGATTCGATTTAATGTACGTTTTGAAGGTAATATAGATAATAAAGATGGTCTTGATGTGGTTGTTGAAGTATACCGTATGATATTTTTCATTTAATGAATTGTATTAAAATTCTTAACGCGACTGGTGAAAAAAAAAATTACTCGATTTGGCTTCGATGATTTGGTACATCAATTAAATATTATAAGATTTTTGTATTTATATTGAGGATAGTGAATGGTTGCTTAGACGCTGGAATGTTGGTTAGATTTTAATACAGTGTCGAATCTGCTGCGTCAATTACGATATCGAATATGGTCAACATATTGCTAATAAGAAAAATCGTTACGAAAGATAACAAATAATGTACATTCAATGTCTCCAAATGAAAATAATTGGTTTTACTTTTGGACTTCACAACTGATTGCTAGAGTTTGCATTAAAAAATTCCGTTGTCAAGATTTATAGTATTTCAGTTTTAGCCGTAAATTGAGAATCACTACAGCTTAGTTAGAGCTATCAAATTAATGGCAGCGATGGTAATTTAATTGAGTCGATATAGATCACATTTAGCAAAAATAATGGCACTTGACGTATTCAAAATAGCAAAAATGGATAATATTGGTCATATTGAAAATTAATTCATTTGGTTTTGGTTAGTGATCAGCACTCAGAGAGGATTCGTATACATTGAAAACAAGCATGGAATCTTAAATGGTTCAAACCTTGAGTTCCATTTACCCAATTGCCAAATATCAGCTTCAAGCTAATTTTTATGTGATTATTTCAGTCTATCACCTTCATTTACAAGTTGTCCTGATTAAAGGTTTCTTAAATCCGGTATTTGAAGCGTATTTATATTAGATTTAAGTGATTTTAAATGGTCTGTTTTGTTTTTTCTTATGTATAATACATAATTCCTTTTTGTGAATATGCCATCTTTAATGCTCAATAACTCTGCAAATAACACATATTAAAAAAAAACTAGTAATTGATATAGATTCAGAATGCTTGGTAGAGTTAAATTTTACCTCTCGCAAAACGATGAGACCCTCTTAGTGTCTTCTGTATCTGGCATATCAAAATTTCGATTTTACTTGAATTACTTCACTTTTAATAGTTAGTAATGCATTTGCTTGCTTCTCATCAGATAAACTAGAGTTATCAAAGATTACAAAATTGTTGGTTTCAGGCTATAAAATTCGGTTATGTACGAGTAACTTACGTTTCAATTAAAATGTTCGAAAAGAAAAGTTGTCAATTTTGGATTGTGCTTTTGTGTAACAAAATTTGGTTTTGCTGATGGTTAAAACCCAAATTAGGAAATGGGGCTTTTAAAATATTAGGATCGCAAATAACTCATGAACAAGAAGGTATATTGAGGAAACCTCTACAAAAAGTTAGTGAGCAAGTAAAGGTTTATCGATCTGTAGCTTTATCAAACTAATAGCGTTAAAATTCATCAAATTAAGATTATTTGACCAATCAGAATCGTTAGAAAACATCCTGACCGCAATAATTAAGAAATATATTATAATATAATGAATCTAATGTTGTCAGTAGGTTTAATGGAAAAAAAATCTAAATAATCAAATGATGGAGCTTGAGTTGTATTTACTTGGAAATGAATTACATGCGTCTTTTTTTATGAGTTACCGTAAATTAATTTAAACTTTGAAAAATTTATCACAAAATTCAGATTTATATTATTTCGAATCTAAACAGAAAATATACGAAGTGCAAAATTTTAAAAACGAACCAGGATCCACGATGAAGCTATTTATCAAGAGGACAACTTTTTGACTTCTAGTAAACTTGACTTTTAAGAATAGGAAAAAAGCGTTTATTTTATTCAGTTACTTTTTTTATTTAATCAAATAAAAAAAAATTCCTAAGTTAATAAATTTGCATTAATTTCATTTAATTAATGACGCCCATCAATAACGTAGTAGAGTCAATAATTCCATGCAGCTTAAATCATTGAATCGTTAATGGATGAATAATTAGAATCATAATTATAATCTCGTACCTTAAGCTTCGATTACCCCTGATAGAACAGAAAAAAGCTTAAATCTAAATGAAATCGACCTCTATGGGAAAGAATGAACGATATTTCAGCACAATATAAATTTCCATTTCTTTCATTCTCGACTTTTTTTTTGACATTTCCATAATAATTCATGACATGGAAATAACAATACAAGGCTAAAATCCAAGAAGGGCAAATTGTCATATTAGATAGAACTTTAAAGGCATTATTGTTTATTACGGCTCTTAATTTAGCAGTAGACTTCTTCGAAAAAGAAATCCAATATATTTAAGTTAAGCGGCGTTTTTACTCTATTGTTTAAATTTTTGCGATGAAATGCCGTTAGCTATTTTGCCAAACTATTGGATTAAGATATAGAAACAGGTGGCACAAAGAATAGATAGATATTTCAAAATATGGAGAAAAGAGATAAGAATCAAAGCTATTTGATATCAGTTGAACGGAAGAGAGTGAATTATGTTCGAAAGAAGCAATGAAAGTCATGGATAAAATTCACTAGTAAAGTCAATATTTCTTTTAAGTGCAGCTGTCAATTCTACATGAATAACGAATATACCAAAACCATACTAATTTATCTTATCAAACAAATCTTTCATATACAATTGATTAAGCGCCCATGAATAAAAATTAAGATTAGAAACATTTAATTTTATTACTATATATTATTTTTTTTTTGACCTCACACTAGTAATTTAATTTTAGTATTCAACATAATTAATTTAAGCAGAATGAGTTAATACTATGTTTATATATATATGTGGATCATTGATTGTACATATATTAATACATCCCTATTGTGATTTGGCAGTTTTCCAACTTTTTTATCTTTTATTCTTATTTATTAATCTTACCGGTCGCATTGATTTTTTTGCAGCTATTTAAAAAATCATATTCAATATGACTTCAAATGACATAGAGAAATATCCAAATATAGAGATACATGAAAGTAATAATGATTCACATTTTAGAACTATACATCCTGCAAATTCATTGAAAAATGAAAACAAAGAAAAACAAACTGAATTTGTTCAAGATTCTGATATTTTAAATGAAGATAATTCAATAAATCAGTTAAAAAGTGATCAAGGTATTAAAAGAAACCTTAAAGCAAGACATATTTCTCTAATAGCTTTAGGAGGAACAATTGGAACTGGTTTATTCATTTCTACAGGTTCGATGATTGCAACTTCAGGACCGGTTTTATCATTAATTTCATTTTTATTCATGACTACAATTGCATTTTCAGTTACACAATCCCTAGGTGAAATGGCGACTTTAATACCAGTATCAGGTAGTTTTGCACAATTTGTAACAAGATGGGTATCTAAACCTTGTGGTGCAGCAAATGGTTGGTTATATTGGTTTTCGTGGGCAATTACTTTTGCTTTGGAATTGTCAGTTGTTGGTCAAGTTATTCAATTCTGGACTGATGCGGTTCCATTATGGGCTTGGATTACTATATTTTTTGTTGTTTTGACGTTATTCGTATGTTAAAAAAAAAAATTTTGAGATCAGGATGTACAATTGAATAATACTAACCCGTAATAGAACTTCCTCAGTGTATCCTTATATGGTGAGCTAGAATTTTGGATTGCCAGTATCAAGATTGTAGCCATCGTTGGTTGGTTAATTTATGCTTTTATTATGGTTTGTGGTGCAGGAAAAACCGGACCAGTTGGTTTTAGATACTGGAGAAATGGCTATGCTTGGGGACCCGGTTATTTAGTTAAAGACGTTGCTACAGGTAGATTTTTAGGATGGGTTAAATCTTTAATTAATGCTGCTTTTACATTTCAAGGTACTGAATTGACTGGTATTTCAGCAGGTGAAAGCGCTAATCCAAGAAAAACAGTTCCATCAGCTATTAGAAAAGTGTTGTTTAGGATCTTAGTGTTCTTTGTTCTTTGTATGTTGTTTCTTGGTTTATTGGTTCCATATAATGATCCAAAATTGAATAGTGATGGTTATACAAATACCTCACCATTTATTATTGCAATTCAAAATTCAGGTACCAAAGTCTTACCTCACATATTCAATGCTGTTATATTATCAACAATTATCTCAGCTGGTAATTCTGATGTCTATTGTGGTTCAAGAATTTTATATGCTTTAGCTGAAGCTAAAGTTGCGCCAAAATTTTTCCTTAGAACAAATAGATTTGGTGTTCCATATGTTGCAGTATCAACCACTGCAATAATGGGAGCCTTGGGTTACTTAGCTTTATCACCTCAAGGAAATGAAGCTTTTGATTGGTTATTAGATATTACAGCAACTGCAGGTTTAATTTGTTGGGGCTTTATTTCAGTTAGTCATATTAGATTTATGAAAGTTTTGAAAATAAGAAATATTAGTAGAGATACATTACCATTCAAGGCAAAATTCATGCCATGGAATGCTTATTATGCATGTTTTTTCGTATTTTTAATTACATTAATTCAAGGATTTGATGTTTTTTGGAATATAACAGCAAGTAAATTTTTCACAGCTTATGTTTCAGTTATAATATTTGTTGTATTTTGGGTCGGTTTCCATTTTCTATTTCATGGTTTTACATTTAGATGGAAAGATATTTTAATACCATTAGATGATTGTGACATTGATTCTGGTGTTAGAGAAATCGATGAATTAGAATTTGATGAACCATCAAAACCAAAGAACTTATGGGAAAAATTTTGGGCCGTTGTTGCATAATGTTTCAGTTTTTGATAGAACCTTTTTAATTTATATTTATTGTTAATTATACATGTGCTCGTATACCTTTTATTTATTTTTTTTGTGTGTTCATTTTGCAGCCGCGCCTGATCTGGATAAATTCGAAACAATTTTTTTGCAGCAATTTCATCTACAACTATTTAATTTGATCAGTGATTCAAGGAAGGAATAATAGCTAAACGTTAAAGATTAACAAAAACAAGAATTTTAATTTGAAAAAATCTACTACAAATTATATTTATTTTATTTTTAATTTCAATTTTGTGGCTTGATTATTTTTAAACATTACAAGAATTTTGTTATGAAGAAAATTGTCGAGAATGTATAATACCCTTATATATAATCCAAATTTAAATGGCAAAATTAATAAATAAGAATTTGCATTTATATTTGGAATTACTAGTAATTTTGTCAATAAAATAAAAAAAAAATTAACTTTCAATTCCTACAAGGGCAATAGCCTATAATTCATATTATTTATTCAACACTAAATTACATCAAACACATATATATATCTGTTAATAATGGCAATTCATTTGCCAATTGAATTACAAGTTGCTTTGTTAATCATTAATTATGTACATTATAATATTATTAAATTTATTGATAATTTTTATTTATTAAAAAAGACTAAATCAATCTCAAATTCAAATATTATGGTTTTTGCATTGACTAAGATAGCTTTGGATAATAATGCAGATCAGAAACCGGATGGGAATACCAGTAATAACAATAATAATAGTGATAATGAAAGTGTTGATCCAGAAGTTAAAGAATTGATTAAAGGACGAGAAGTTTTAACATTTGGACCCGACGCTTATTGTGGAAATAATAATCATAATGCTAATGCTATTCATAATCATAATTCAACAAATTTCACAAATATTTCCTCAACCACATCAATTATTGGTACAAATGGTGGCGTTGGAGGAGTTGGAATTGGGGGAGGATTTAATAATTTACCACATAATCAATCACCTTCACCTTTAACTACTCATACAGTTTTAACGAATTCAACATCAATTTCAGCAACAACACCAATTTCATTATCAATGAAGAATATTAAAAAATTTAAAAACTTATCTACAAACAATTCGAAATCACCAAATAGATTAAAAGAAATTCAATTACAAATTTTAGAATTGGCACAATATTGTGGTGATTTAGATTTAGGTACAAGTAATAGATATGGTGATGTCGACTCAACTTCAATCATAATATGTCTGAGCAGTGCAAATACAAGTTCAAGATCAAGTTATAGAAGTAGTTTAAGATCTAGCTTCAGAAACACTTCATCAAGTTTTAGTAATGGCACTGATTCTCCAGCAAGTTTTAAAAAACCAAATTTACAAAAGGATTTAACAGTAGCTTCAGTTCCAGTAAATTCGATAGTTGCATTAGCAATAGCCCCAGTAGCCCCAGTAGCTCAAGTAGCTCCAGTAGCTCCGGCACCAGCACCAGCTCCACAGGTTGGTGAACCGTTGAATTTGAAAGATGATCAAGTAAAAGATGATCAAGAATCAACAACGATGCAACTACCACCACCACACCAAGAACAATCACAAGAAGATCAATTAGTAGACAAATATCAAGAGAAAAGAAATGAGCTTATGATTATTGAAACCAAACCTCAAAGACCTATACAAGCATTAGAAGTTTTAGAAGAAGATGTTGAGGATGAAATACAAGAATAGAGATTACTTTTATGAAGTGGATTTTATTTATAGAACTTTGACCCAAGGCAGTTAAGTTTATAATTAGTTAATAATATAAAAAGAAGATTTTACATAAGTATAAAATTTGATTTATTCGAATATACGTCATATTTCATTTGGAGAAGATCGTTTGTAGATAGATTCGAGTTGACCCCATTATTCAAAGAGGTTTACGACTCATTTCTAATATTCTTCTGCTAATCTTCAGTATCAAAATGTTAGAAGGGACTTACTTCATTTCTCGTAAGATATTTAGTGCAACGCTGCCTTAATTAGCATCAAAATTTTGCTTCAATCAATGATTAAGATATATAGGTTGCAGAATTTTTTATCGTGTCTGCTCATCAAAAATTTAAACAGTATCAAATCCATATGTCAAACTTAACGAATGATGATTTATTTATTGAGCAATTGAATCAGGTAGAAAGAGAATTAAAAGTAAAACTAAAGAAACTCAATAATATTGCAATAAAGGTTCAAAAAATTTCAAAGAACGACTCGATAAAAGATAGAGTAACTTCAATTTTGAATACCTTAAGACAAGAACAAGAACAAGAACAAGAACAACAACAAGATGAAGATGAACAAAATACAATAATACTTCTAGGTGGATATTCAAATAACATACCAAAATTAATATCAATTGTGGAAATAGTTAAACAAAATAATGAATCATCTAAATTATTTCAATTCAATAAATTATCAAAATTTGAAAGTGAAAATAATCCAAATTATAAACCCAAAAAGGAAGAAAATAATGATGATGGTAAAGTTTTAACTGAAGAAGAAATACAAAAGAAGTTGGAAGAGGAAGCTCGAAAAGAAATTCATGGTGCTAAAGTATACTCATTGCCAACAATGTTTATAATATTATCAAATCAAGATTTATCACAGATTGATTTAACAAATTGGACGAGTCAAAGTTGAGTAACAAGAGTTAAGAAATAAACATTTGATTACAAGATTCATTATTATATCGATTGAAAGGGATTAATTAATTTAAGGTGCAAAATGGCTTCATTATCATCACTTTGCAACCGTTATTATACTTATTCGAAATTGATTTAAGCCAAAATAGGAAATAACAACAACTAATATATACGTAATACATAAAACACAAATATACTACAACTCTACTTTACAACGGTTATATTAGATGAGCCCTTTGCCCTAAATAATATTTTATTTTTTTCTCCTTAAAGTGAAAAATCTAGATCTCTTATATTTCTTGATTTATGCATCAATTCTTAAATTAATTACGATGAAAAATTTGATGTATATACGTTGAAAACGAAACTACACCCTTTCAAATTAAATAATAAACCAAGACTATTGGTTGAATAGTACTTTCAAAAGACAATATATTAGTATTTATTATTTAATTACGTATTTCACTATATAAGGAACCTTTTTGCGGCAGGACACGGCAATAAATTTTCATTTTCACGATTTATTTTATTGTTCAACGTAAAATTCAAACCTGAAACAAATTTATTACAAAAGCTTAAATATTTATTATCCAATTTGGTACTTCGTGTTTTGATTTTGTCCTTTAGTATCCAATGCCGACATCATGATATATTTAAACACACAAAATATAAAGTGACAACAATTGTTCAAAAATTTTCAAAATTTTCAAATTAATTTTTCATCTTTGTTTTAAATATGAATCACAATATTATTACTACTTCCAATAAAGTCAATTTTAAAGATAAATTTAAGCAATTTAGTTTAAAACTATATGATAAATGTTTAAATCATACTTATTCTGAATTTGAAGAAAATCTAAGAAGAAATTCAATAAATTCAAATCAAACCACAAATACCACAACTACGACCTATACTTCCAGATCTTCATCATCTACAAATTTGAGTTTAAAATTATCTAAAACATTATCATTACCAAACATTTTCAAAATTGAATCAAAAAAGAAGACAATACCAAATGATACATCAAATGAATTATTAAAATTTGATATGACTTATTCAAGAGATAATTTATTACAATTTTTAAGAGATGAAAATAATGGTTTAACTGGTGATGATACTATAAATTTCAATGATGAGATTATATCGTTTATTGAAGATGAAGATGAAAAAAATAATGAATTTACTGAAAGAAAAGAAGTTTACATACCTCCTTTACCAAGTGATTCTTATGAAAACTTAAACAAATCCAAAATTGCATGCTTAAATTATTTAAATCAATTTAACAAATTTTCAAATTGATATTTAAATAATAATATACGTTACGACTTTATGAGTTTATGAATTAAATGGCTTGTTATCATTCTGTTGAAGTATCTTCTTGATAGCCAGTTCAGTACTATTACACATGCTTTTAATACGCCTCTCTTCATCCACAGAAACAAGAATCATAATCATATGACTCATCCTTCCAATTTTTTTATAGCTTAATGATATCGATGAGAACTAAATAATGCAATGTTGATACCTGATATTATATTACAATATAGATAGAAAGTAAACAAATGGTAAAAGATAAAACTGATCTCGAAGAACGATGATCACATCTATCAAACAATAAGTCAAAAACACGTGGTAAGGCTTGGACAATCATACGTCAATCAAATAGAGGCTCAATAGACTCAGGAAATAGAAGCAAATTGAATTTTACAAAAGGTGGACCAAGTAATTACTTGCAGGGATTGGCTATAAATGCATTAGATCTACAATCAACAAATAAAAAACTTTCAGATGAAGAAGAAAAGGATAAAGTTCTTGAGGGTTGAGTTGGTAAAACAGAAGCTATTAAAGCTTTAAGATTGGGAACTGTTAATATAAAAACTACGATTACTCCATATATATCATGATAACAAATAGAACCAACACTTTAGGGGGTAATCTGGTGTAATACTTGTTTTCTCTACCCCTTAAAAATGTCAACGAACACAAAAGCAAAGAATAAGCAAATCGAAATCAAGCTTTTTGAGTTCATTCAACACCCCTACTAACTAATCGAAGTTGAGCTGCTTGTGCTTTTAATAAATAATCATTTGGTAGTTCTTTGAGCTTAATAGTGTAGCTGTATGTATAATTATTTAATTTTAATTAAGATCAAAAATTAACCAACATGGATTTTGAATTAGAATTAGAAATTAGAAGTTAATGAAGTTACAATATTATACTAGTTTATATTTTTAAAAACTATTTATACATAATAATATGTCATAACATTATGTCAATTGATCATTTTAAAATTTAAAAATATTTCAAATCTTGTAAAACCTATCTGAATTAAATAAAACAATTACAATTACCTAACTGCAAATTTCCCAGGTCTACAATTAATAATGAATATAGAGTTGTAATTCAATCAATGTCTTTTAAACATTCCGGATTAACTAAAAAATGTCGATTAAATTGAATATTTGATATAAACTGTGTTGATAATCAGCGGTTAAATGAATTTGTAATACTTTTAGTCAGTTGAAAGATCAAACAAGTTTGAAATCATAAGTAACTTCAAAGAATCAATTGATTAATGTTAATGATGAAAAGAAAAAATGACATAAAAAAGATATATTTTTTATGAGAGGATTGTGGCTATTTATACTTTTTTAATTTAACGCCTAATTTTTTGTTCTGCCCATAATTAAAAATCATAAAAATCAAGACAAATAAAAGGTATTAATTAGGGTTAAAAGAGCCATATCCTACTTTTGACCTTGTTATAAAAACAATAGAAACCCGGAGTGTCTATTTAACTAGTATTGAATTTCTTTTGATGCCATTTTTCATTCGTTTAGTTGTCTCTCTTAAATGTAAATCTTGAACTTGTTATCAAGTTTAGGTCTGTGATCTCTTGAGAAGAGTAGAGATAGATTTGATCAAAGATCAAGATCATTGACCTTATTAGAGATCGGAAAGACTACACACTCTCGAATTTTGCATTTGTATTTATATTAAATATTAACCAAACAACACCGACATAAAGATTGATTCGGTTTGCGATATTAATTCATCACGCAGAAATACAGCATTGCAACTAAATGTATTGAAATTACTGCTTAAAAACATTTGGTTTAATAACTAAGAGATATAATTCAGTATCGACTGGTCACAACAGGTCTGGAGCTCTAGTTGATTACTGCTTTGAATCCTTCATAAAAAATCAATCTAATAACAAATGCAACATCCTTGCAATTATATATTCATGAACTTTAATTTGGAATGTCATTCCATATCTATTTACAGTATTATTTACAATTTCATACAATTTCATTTTATATTTTATCATCTAGTTCATTTGCATAATTTGCAATTTTCAAATTTAATTGATTTTCAAATTCCCAATTCTTTACAAACTCATCTAAACCATGCTTAGGCAAAATTTTTTCCTTCTCAACAATCCAATTCATAAACTTTATTTTATATTTCTCATTTTGGCTCATTATTTTCATGTATATTTTCAAAATATTCAAGCTTGTGATTCCAATTTGTTTAGACCATTTACTTCCCTTTTTTAAACTCTTCATGATCCAATTCCCATAATTCAAAGAAATAAAATTGGATAAAATTTCCAATATCTTATCATCAAGCGGCAAAATTGGATATCCTAATAATCCCAATTCAATCAATTTTGAATCTATGTTTGTGTTTATAAAGTTCAATGTCTTGTTCACTATCTCTATATTCTTTATATTGTATGAAAGGGAATAAAGTGCAATATTTTGCAAATCAACAGCTGACAAATTAGTTAAATTTATATTTGAAATGTCGGAATTCTTTACTAAATTTATTACTTTTTTGAACTCATTCATTGTTATGTTTCCATAGATTGAGCAGTTAAATATAGCTGGTATGAGCTCTTTAGGCATGTATACTGGATTTTTTAAATTTGGATTAAAAAAATTGTGGAATAATTTTGATGTAGTTTTATAGACTTTAAGATTTTCAATATTTAATTGAAGTATGATTGATCTGACCTTAATTTCTGAATGTGAATAATTTGATAAATTTAAACCATCAAGAAAATTATCCCATGAAAGTTTTTTGTATAATTTGCTATTGAATGAGTTAAAGTATTCTTCAAGGTTCTTGTATTTTTCATTATTATAGTGTAGTATATTGTCAATGTAATTTTGATAATGGTTTAAAGCTACTTCCCAAACCTCAAATGAAAATGAATCTAATTCAATTAATTGATTTATGATTTTAAAGAATTTTGATAAACTAGTTGAGCTAGATGACCAATTGTTGATGTAATCGTTTAGGTCATTTAATATCATAATTAGATCTTTAGATGAAATGGTATCTATATTAACTAATGGATGTTCATAAACCGTCTTATAGTAGCCAACATGATCAGCATTCAAATTGACCAAATATTGATAATCTAAATTAAGTTTTAATTGTTTTTCAGTCATCAATTTATACTCAACGCCTTCTTTAGTCTTTATAAATAATGGAACTTGAAAAGTCTTACCTACCTCAGTTATAGTTTCAGCATTTGAATCTTCAAGGTACAACTCTTGTTCAACTACAACTTTACCATTTGAATCTTTTGAAACACTTATTATTGGATATCCATTTGCATTACACCATGAATTAACAAAATCAATTAAATCAAAATCGACTTCATCATTTAAAATCAGCCATATTTTATCAAAACTAATTGATTTATCTTTAGAGTTATCCAAGACTAAGTTCTTGAAAGCTTTAATGAATCCATTTTTCCCCTTCTCTATTTCAAATATTGAATTAATCATTTGTAATATTATCATTCCCTTTTCATAAGCGTCCGGGTGGAAAATATCAGCAACCGCAGAATTTGGACCAATACTTAACCCATCCTTGTATTTATTAATACTATCAACATCAAACTTTTTGGTATCTTCATTATAAAAACAATCTTTTTCCATAAATTTTTCAAAATCAACTTTAGTATCTAATATAATATTTCTCGTTACAAAACTAGCAAATGATTCATTAAACCATAAAGTATCCCAATTATCAAAATTCATCCAATTTCCAACCCATTGATGTACTAATTCATGAATTACAAGCTCTTTCAATTGTGATTTCTCAGATTCAGTAGCTTCATTTTCATTCAATAACAAATTATTTTGTATCACATTGATGGATCCCCAATTTTCAGAAGCTCCATCATTCAAAAATGGCAACCCAGTAAAATATAAATGATTTAATGGATAGGAACCAAATACATCTTCCAATTTAGGTAAATAATCTTCAATATATTTTAAACATAGGCGTGCGTTAGCAGTTTCGTCAATCATAGTGTATACTCTAATTGAATCCATTGTATTATTGATCATCTTCTGACTTGAAATGTATTTTAAATCACCAATAACAAAACTTAAAATTGAAGAATGGATTAATTTGGGAAATGTAAATCTGAAAAGTTTTAGCTCTGATTCTATTTCTTCTTCATGAGTTAGATCACCATTTGTAAGCACTTTAAATTTCTTATCTGTAATTATATCTAAGTTGATTTTGAATTTATGATTTAGGTCTTCAATTATTGGAAATACAAGATCTGCAAAATTAGGTTGGAATTGAGTTGCTACTATATAATTATTAGCACTTCCTGATAAATTATTTAAATAATTAGTTTTGAATAAACCAACGGTGGAATCCTGAAATGTCTTTATTGTATTGATTTTTCCCATATATGATAATTTCAAGATCAATTCATTCTCCTCAAACGTTGTTTCACTTGCAAATTCAACACGGTTATTTTCCTTATCGTATTTAATTGAAAGTTTATCATTGTCGATAGTTGCACTAGTTATGATTAATCTATTTGAATTCAAAATGAATTTGAAATTATTAGTTGTTTTGTTTGATTTCTTTTCAATTTTAATGGTGGCTTCTCCTTGAAAATTAGGTTTTAGGACATTGATTGTAAGCTTGTAATTATATTCAATTGGAATAAATTCATTTATGTCGAGTAACGAGTGTAACATTTTGAAATCTTGAAATCCTGGGTATAAAACTTTTTGGCAACAGGTTTAAAAATTGAAAAATTATTCTTGATCTCGGTTCAGTGTCGCGCCATTGAATGTGTCATTGATCGCGTGACTCAGCGCGTGACTCAGCGCGAAACTTAGCGCGTGACTTAGCGCGTGATTTAAAATCCAAGGGCCCAAAATATGTTTCAGATTAATCTAGGTGTAATAATTATGATCTACATGCCTTGTAGAAAATGAGGTGAGGATGTATGGATGGAGTTAGTTTTAAGAAATGCTTTAACTTTATACAATTGGCGTCTAAGTTTAATTAGTAAGAAAAATCGGATTATTTTGTGGGGTTGATCATCATCATCATCGGTTATTCATATCATTCGGAACAAGAGATTCTTATAAAACTCTAATCGTCAGTCCATAAATTAAACTATATAAACACTTTTTATTACTCGAACTGTCATCTACACTAACTCAATCTCAACTACAATCTTAACAGTTCAGTTGTACGATTTATAGATCACCAAATTATATTGTTATAATTACTCAACAAAAAAAAAAATTTATCAAAAAATCTGTGAAGTTGATTAATTTATAATCGACTAATAATCCCTAAATAACTTCCATTTATATTTATATATTTATTTGTATTCATTAGTAGTTTTATATTCATTAGTTGTTTTACATTCATTAATTATTTATTTGCACAATCTTATTTATTTATTTCATATTATAGAAAAATCAAATTATTTATTCAACTTTTTCATACGATCGTATACCTAATTTATCAAATATTCCGTTCAATAAGTTTTATAACCTTCAATGGATTCAAAATCATCAAAAAATAACAATAATAATTATAATAATAATAATAGTAATAATAATAATAATAATAATGACAATATAACAAATCATGAAACACCAATCATATATTCTCCAACATTGCCCCAATCTCAACCTACAACTGCAACTTCAGCATCAACTTCATCAAGACCACGTCATCATCGTTTAAGTATATCTCATGAAGAATTAAATTTAGGATTAGTAGATCCAGGAACTATAAAGATTGATTGTTCTGGAGCATATATTGCAAATGATGATTTGTTGAAAAATTCCTTACTTGAAATTGAAGAATTGACTTCAAGTGAATCACCATCACCCAGTCCCAGTCCTTCACCATCATCATCATCAAATAACTCAAGTGATTTAGAAGAAGAAACAGCTACAGAAATGAGTACAACTAATTCAACATCACGTAATGGATTAATTAAGAAAAACAACATAAATTTACCAAAACATAATGATGAAATAATTCACATATCAGTAGATATAGGAGGAACATTAACTAAATTGGTATATTTCACAAAACAATCAAGTAGTAAGAGTTCTGGTGGTGGTAAATTACATTTTCAGGATTTTCAAACTGAAAATTTCCAAAAAGATGTATTAAAATTCATGATTAAACTCATAAACAAAAGCATATCTAACCATAAGAAAAAAGAACTGTCGTCCTCATTACCCATTACTTATATTTTGGCCACTGGTGGTGGTGCTCATAAGTTTTATAACCTAATGACTAAAGTATTCAAAAAAAATAAATTACCAATGAAAATTATAGCCAAAGATGAAATGGAGTGTCTTATAAAAGGTTTAGATTGGTTAATTACAAAGATCCCCCAAGAAATATTCATATATGATTTAAATCAATTAATGACAAAGTTTCAACCATTACAACTCGAATCAGAAATTTATCCATATCTACTTGTAAATATTGGTTCTGGTGTTTCAATGATTAAAGTTACAAAACCTGGTCCATTTGGATTTGAAAGAATTGGTGGGAGTTCACTTGGTGGTGGTACTTTATGGGGTTTATTAAGTTTATTAACTAATGCTAAAGATTATAATGAAATGTTGGAAATGGCTTCAAATGGAAACAATGAAAATATCGATTTATTAGTGGGAGATATATATGGAACCAATTATAATAAAATTGGACTTAAGGCTAATCATATAGCTTCAAGTTTTGCCAAGGTATTTAAAAAGTTACGATTTTCAAATAAAACATTAACACCACTTGAGAAATTAAAACTATTCAATCAAGAAGATATTGCTAGAAGTATATTATTTTCAATTTCGAATAATATTGGACAAATTGCTTATTTACATGCAGAAAAGTACAATTTAAAACGTATTTATTTTGGTGGGAGTTATATATCTGGCCATATGCAAACTATACACACTTTATCTTATGCTGTTAATTTTTGGTCGAAAGGTGATATGCAAAGTTATTTTTTAAGACATGAAGGTTATTTAGGAAGTGTTGGTGCTTTTATGATGGGTCCAGCAGTTGAAGAAGAAGTTATACAATAATGATGAATGAAAATGATGATTATTTATTTAGCATAATATATACATGATTAAACTAAACTATTGAGTTCTTCTCCTTCTGTTTATTACGATTATTGAGTTAGTAATGAATGTATAATGTCGATCATGAACTGGATCCCATAATTGGTATGAATGATGTAATTGTTGAATCAAACAATGAACGCATCTCTACTCTATTTTTACGAGTCGATCTTTATCTTAGCTTACAATCAATTAGAACAGGTAAGAAATACATGTAGAGATTAAATGGGTATTACACTAATATATGTGGTACGGGGCCGTCTCGAACCTAACGCGAGAATTTTTTTGTCGCCCCAAATTTCTATCCACTAAATAGTTTGTACAACGAAATATAATTTTTAATAAATTTGTATTATATGCAGTCATATAATAGTTAATCTTGAAGTTTGAATTGTAAATAACACATTCAATATTGTGCTCTAACATCTCAAACCAAACTCATTTGTTCGAAGTTTGATTCATAATTGAATGATACTTTTTCTTTTTGCAAAAACCTCAATTTGATCACTTTATTGATCTTCTAAAAAATGAAAAAGTACGCAATTTTGCGACAAAACTGACTTTTAGACTTCGTTTAGCAACTTCCAGTATAGCTGCTTCAAATCAGTTGATCCTACCCAATTATACTGTTAGTCGTTTCAAAATGTCAAAGTTTTTTTCAAATTCTCTAACCACTTTTGAAAAATTACTTTTTCAATTTTGAGTAGCAACAAAACCTAAAGTTTAATAGCTTACAGGAAATACAAAATGAAAATACAATAATTTTGTCAAACTTTCATCAAGATCTAAATTGTGGGGTTAAATTTTTTGTATGGTCGATTTATTCGATTCCGGTCATAGTTAAGAGAAAATTTTGAAATTTTTCAAATCTTGAAAAACCTTTCATTAAATAAAACAATTACAATAATCTAACTGCAAATTTCCCTTGCCACAATGAATATAAAATATAACTAATCTTCCAATTAATATGAAATACAACTAATCACCTAATTAATATATTGAATCATTCCGGATTTGTTTAAAGATATCGATTTGATTTCAAATTTACAATTTAATTCAAACCTGTGTTGCTAATCAGCGGCTAAATGTATTTATAATTCTTTTAGTCAACTGAAAGATCAAACAAAGTTTGAAATTATTTATAAATTTAAATATTGATGAATTGATACGTGATGGACATTAATGTTGTCATTGTTGTGTTTGTGAAAATGATGAAAAGAAAAAGTGATATAAAAATGATATTTTTCTTTTTTGAGAGGGGCAGTTTGTTGATATTTATAGTTTTTAATTTAGCGCCTAATTTTTTGGTTCTGCCCCTTAAAATACTTTTGGTACGCACATAATTAAACAATTATACAAACAAAGACAAACAAATACAAGGTATAAATAAAAATTGAAAGAGTCACATTCTACTGTTGACCTTATTATATACCAATGGAGATTTTTAGGTATGACTCAATTGGCAATAGGTCAATTTTGATGTCAACAATCTTTCGTAAAGTTCAAATCTCAAACGTGTATATTGATTTGGTTATCATAGCAGATTTAGATCTAAAATTTCTTTGGAGTCACGATATGGAGATAATCCTGATTGACCCTTATGAAGCTGCACATTCTTCTTCAATTTTGAAATTTGATAAAGTTATGAGTTCATAATAATGATGATGAATGATAATGAAAACTATTTATTTAGTATCATATATACAAGATAAAACCATCAATCTTCTCACTAGACATGTCACAGCATCCTGACCTGTTTTGTATCATTACTCCAACCTTACAATTTACTACTAGTTCCAAATAATTCATTATATGATTCATTTAAAAATTCATGAATATTTGACGTTTGTAAAGATCTTTCATATTTTTTAAACGCCTTTAATGAACTTTTTCTAACTAAAGAACTAGCAGCAAAACAAGCTAATAAATTAGCATCATCTTGACTCAATTCAACTTTATTATCCCAAAATTGATCAATATAATTATTTGACCAATTTACAAGAGTTGCAATTGATCCAGTTAAAGTATCACCTTGACCACCTACTCTTTTCCCACTAGCTTCAAAATCAGAAATTAAAAAAGTTTTAAAATTTGCAATTATATCACATTGACCTTTTCTTACAATTATCAAATCTCCAAGTTTTTCAGAAACCAATTGAGTTTCATTAATTATTTTTTCTTGATTAGTTTCATTTAAATTAATGTCAATATCTAATTTATTTGCTATCCTTTTAAATTCCATTACATTAGGTGTCAAAATTGCCTTTTTATAATTTTTTATAAGATTTGTATTTAATGAAAGTAAATATAACGCATCTGCATCCATTATAATAGGTTTATTCATGACTTTAATTTCTTCAATTAAACGAATCAAAGTCTTGAGCATTAAAATATCCCTACCAAATCCAGGTCCAATTATAACAATGTCTATTCTTTCCAAAAGTGTTAATATTTTAGGTAAAATTTCATCATCAACTATTGAATTCAATATATTCAGATTAAATAAAATATCTTCAAATGAATTATTTGATTTTAATTTCTCCAATTCTGAATTAAATTGTGATTGATTGTTTTTTGGTTTATAATTATTAAGTTCATATAAATATGGATGAACCATTAAATCTGGACTATATGTTTTTATAATTGGAGCTGCTAATTTCTCACATATTACATGACTTAAATCTGCTCCTACTAATAATGAAGAATGTGATGAAAAATAAGGTGCCCCGGTATAATCTTCACAACCACCAATGACACAAATTTTACCAGCTTGACCTTTATAAAAATGTGGAAGTAATGGTTGGATTAATTGTTGAGATAACTGTAATAATTCTTTTTGAGATTTACCACGTAACATAGCTAATGAAAAGAAATTGTTGATAAATATAAATTGATTAATTATAGCAACAACAGTTGATAATTTATTAGATCATGATTGCTAGCGCTACCAAGTTGATAATTTATTAGATCATGATTGTTAGCGCTACCAAGTTGATAATTTATTAGATCATGATTGTTGGCGCTACCAAGTTGATAATTTATTAGATCGTGATTGATAGCGCTACCAAGTTGATAATTTATTAGATCGTGATTGATAGCGCTACCAAGTCGCTAAAAATAAATAGCATCCATTGTGCAGGATTGAAAATTGAAAACCGGGGTTTCAGATTTTATAATTATTGCGACAACAAGAACAACAACAACGACAACAACAACAACAACAACAACAACAACAACCATAACCATATTCCATCAAAAATACATAATGTATAACTTCAATGGAAGAGAGTTATAACTTGGAATGAGTTAATAAAGAGCTATTAAAGATTGGCGTTTTCTTTGAATAAATTCAGTTTGAACCTATTACGATTATTCAACTCATTGATAGAACCTTAAGTGTCAAGACCTATCAAATCAAATCAACTAGATTAGAAATATAATAAAGTTAAATATTTTTAATTGGGTGTTCAAAAAAAAATATATATAGTTAAGAAATCGAAATGGAGATGGAAATGGAAATGGAACGAAATGATCCACAGTTAAAATTAAATTGCTCTATAAATTTTAATCGACGTAAATAAATTAATAAATTCAAATCTAGTGCGACTCCTCGTATGAAATTTAAGGCCAATGATGGGCTTAAGAATAATAACCAATATATATAATATATTACGTGATATATTACATAATCTCGGTTATAATTCCATATTAGTAATTAATTATGTACGAAATAAAACTACTATATAAACTTCTACCAATCCCCTTCTACTTTTTTTTTTCTCTAACAATATTAACTTTTTTTTTTGTTTTTAACCAATTGTATTTAAACAACCAAATCTAAGACATTCATTAATTTATTCTGTTTTTTTGTTAGTTCATTATAATAAAATTATTCCCATATGTCTTCTTTACCTCATTCTATTTCAAAATATTTACAACCTAAATATTTAGTACCATTTGTTGGTTTTACAGCAGTTTCAATTACTTTATTTAATCATTATTCGAATACTCCAAGATATATTTTAAATGAATCGGGTAAAACATTTACAGATGCTAATGAATGGATTGATTTAAAATTAATTAAATCGGAAAATTTAAATCATAATACAAAACATTTATCTTTCGCATTAAAAAATGAAAATGATGTTAGTGGATTAATTACAGCTTCAATGTTAATGACTAAATTTGTAACACCAAAGGGTTCAAATGTAATTAGACCATATACTCCAGTTTCAGATATTGATCAAAAAGGTACTATTGATTTTGTTATTAAAAGATATGAAAATGGTAAAATGTCAAATCATATACATGATTTAAAAGAAGGGGATACTTTATCATTCAAAGGTCCAATTGTAAAATGGAAATGGGAACCAAATCAATTTAAATCAATTGCTTTAATTGGTGGAGGTACTGGTATTACTCCATTATATCAATTATTAAAGGAAATTACAAATAATCCAAATGATAAAACTAAAGTTTCTTTATTTTATGGTAATTTATCACCTGATGATATTTTAATTAAAGATAAAATTGATGAAGTTGTTAATAAACATAAAGATCAAGTTAAAGCTTTTTATTTTGTCAATGATAAAAAAGGTGATGAAAATTATGATGGAGAAGTTGGTTTTATTACAAAAGAGTTTCTTCAAAAAGAATTGAGTAAACCAAGTTCTGATTTAAAAATTTTTGTTTGTGGACCTCCTGGTTTATATAAAGCAATTTCTGGTGTTAAAGTTTCACCAACTGATCAAGGTGAAATTGATGGTGCTTTAAAAGAATTAGGTTATACAAAAGAAAATGTATTTAAATTCTAACACACTTGTTTTATTCAATAATATAAGCTATATATATAGATATATATATATAGATATATATTTATATATATATAGATTTATAGATTTATAGATTTAAAATATAAAGTATAAAGTATACAATATAAAGATTATATAAAACATGTTTCGTTTTATATATTGTTTTATGTTTTGAAACATCAGAAACAAATTTGGTTTTTTTTTTTTTTTTTTTTTTTCATTTTTTTTTTTTCATTTTGATTTGCAACAAGTTAAAGAGTAATATTTAATTATTGATATTTGGCATCCTTGCGGGCATCCTTACTTATGGTCAAAATAGCAATAGAAGGTTGTTGTCATGGCTCATTAAATCAAATTTATTCTCATTTAAATTCAAAAAAAATAGATTTATTATTAATATGTGGAGATTTTCAAGCCATTAGAAATAAATCAGATTTTAAATCATTAAATGTTCCTTTAAAATATCAACAAATGGGGGATTTTCATGAATATTATTCAGGTTTAAAAACCGCTCCAATAACGACTATCTTCATTGGTGGAAATCATGAATGTTCAACATATTTAAAAGAACTTAAGTATGGAGGTTGGGTAGCTCAAAACATCTATTATCTTGGCTCATTTGGTTCTTTATATTATAAAGGATTACAAATTTGTGGATATAGTGGTATTTTTAATTATGGGAATTTTATTAAATCAGATTTAAATTTAAATTATGATGAAGTTTTCAAATTACCATTAAATCAAGATTCAATAAGAAGTATTTATCACGTTAATTTGAAAAACTTTATTAAAATGTGTTTAATTAATGATAAAGTCGACATTATATTATCTCATGATTGGCCAGTCGGAATCGAAAAATTTGGAAATAAAGTTGAATTATTAAAACGGAAACCATTTTTTAAAAAAGATATTGAGTTGGGTAGATTGGGATCTCCATTAAATAAGTTTCTCATACATTATCTAAAACCAAAATTTTGGTTTAGCGGTCATTTACACGTTAAATTTGAAGCAACAATCAAAAATCAAAATAATAATAATAATAATAATAAAGAAGAAATAAGTTTAGATATGGATTCTGACGATGACCAAGAGATTGAATTTGAATCTATTAATTATGAAAATGGGAATAAGAGAGTTAAATTATCTGAAGAATTAATAATGAAGAGAAAAAAGCCTAATTCTAATACTCATTTTCTTGCATTGGATAAAGTAGGTAACAATCGACAATTTATAAATATAAAAGAAATACAACTGAGTAAATTGAATCATCCATCAATGAATGATAGCGACTTATACTATTCAAAAAGGGCAATAATTATAAATAAAGTAGTCGAATCATATTTTAATGAACATAAAGATAGAATAAAACAACTAGATTTACGTGAAATTATAAAGAATCCATATAAATTAACTTTAGTTAGTGAATTACAGGTCAAGGTTGAAGAAGAAATCAAGAGTTTGGAACTAAAAGATGATGATTTAAAGATACTTGATAATTTTAAAGTTGTCGCACCACCTACTTCCGACAATGATATTAGTGATCTAAAATATTATAAGAATAATCAAACTGACGAATATTGTGACAAGTTTAACATTCCAAATATAGATATAGATAAATTGAATGAAAATGTACGAAATTAATGATAGAAATATTTAGAATTATTTGGCCTTGCACTAACTCATTATGTTGTCTCATTTGATGTTTTTATAGGTGCTTACTATTGTATTATGAGGCTATGAATCACATTTAAAAGAGCAATTTGACGGTACAAGAAATTTGGTAACAGTTCAAAACCGTCTTACGTAGTTTAAAAGCCACTTCTCTCTACCTATCTTCAAATTTGCCCCATTTTCAATACTGCTCAGTTCATTCCAAAGCATTTGTAACAAACCCACTATTGTTGTAATAATTTGATACGCTAATTAGTGGTTTATTATTTACACGAGAGAGGCGCGATATTAAGCCAATTTTGTATTTCCAACGAGAAACCGTTATCATACTAAATTAAATTTAGACTATTTATATTTGGACAGCGCATTCTATTTCTGTCATTGTATACGTCGATCCGATTCATAATCTATATATCACATATATCTTCATACTCTCTAGTAGTAACTCAATGTGTTCTACTCTATTGTTCGTATAGTTCTTGGGTTTATCATTTATTTACAAAATTATCTTTTTTTTTTTTTTTTTTAAATCAACAATCAACGAATTCTTAATTACAACATAACAAATCAATTAACTACTATACAATATATACAATCATGCCTCAACTGTCATCTTCATCTTCAAATTTTATTAATGAATATTCACTACCTCAAGTTCATAATAATCAGACTTCAGTTGCTTCTAAAATGACAATTCGAGAACGAAAAAGAATTGGTGAAGGTGCTTTTGGTACTGTTGTTGAAGCTTTATTAAAATATGATGAACCAAAGGACAATAATATAATACAGATCAATGGGAATTCTTCTTCTCCTTGTGAGTGGCTTGGACCATTTGCAATTAAACGAGTACCTGCTCAAACAGAATATAAATCAAGAGAATTAGAAATATTAAGAGTCGTAAATCATCCAAATATTGTATCTTTACGATTTTTTTTCGATAAAACAAGTTCAAATGATAATAAAATTTATCAAAATTTAGTTATGGAATGTTTACCAAGTAATTTACAGAATGAAATTAAATATTATCGACAACTGAAATATACTATACCATATCCACATATGAAAGCTTATACTTTTCAATTAGTTAGAGCGATGTTATATTTACATGGATTTGGAATATCACATCGAGATATAAAACCTTCAAATATTTTAATTGATCCATTAACTGTACGATTAAAAATTTGTGATTTTGGAAGTGCTAAAAAATTGGAGTTAAATCAACCAAGTGTAAGTTATATATGTAGTAGATATTATCGAGCTCCAGAATTAATTATTGGCTGTTCTTTATATACTACAAAAATAGATATATGGGGTTTAGGTTGTGTTATTGCTGAAATGTTCTTAGGCAAACCAATTTTTCAAGGTCAATTTCCAGAAACTCAATTAAAAGAAATTGCAAAATTATTAGGTCCACCTCCAAATACATTTTTTTTTAACAATAATCCTCAATATAGAGGTAATATGTATACGACAAAATTATTTACATGTTCAATAAAGGAGAGATTTGAACAAATTTTTAGTAATTCTCCACAAGATGCAATTGATTTATTAATGAAAATATTAGTTTATGATCCTGAATTAAGAGCAAGTCCAAGAAGAGTTTTAATACATCCCTTTTTCAATGAATTAAAATCAAAAAATTTTAAAGTATATCCTCGAGGTTCAAGTGAATCAATTGAATTAAATTTATTTAATTTTTCTGATTTTGAATTGGAATTATTAGGATCTTTTAAAAATGAATTAAAAATAACGTAATTATATATTTATATATATAGAAATACAATACAGTTTAAAATATAATTTTTACAAAAATTAAAGTTAAAGTATATATATTTATAGAAATACAATAAATTATTAGTAACTGCATCATTAAAGTGTTTTGCATACTGACAGTAAATCTTTATTAACGCATTAAAATATATATTAATCTACATTAAATGGTCGTAGTTGCATCCCTGACAGCTTTTTGTATCATTTTTCTTGCATCCTTACACTTACAAAGCCAAACTATAGCTATATTCATCTTCGATATTTTGTGATAACCATAATACAATACAACTAAACATAATACATCCATTACATACAATATTAGAAACTCCCATACCTAAAGTTGGAAAAGTATAATGTTTCATTAAGTATTTTAATATAAATACCATAAAACTACCAGCTAAACCACCAGCTAATAAACTAAATCCTAAAAATAATATAATTCTAGCTGCCCATGCGTGATTTAAATTTCCACTACTGAACGGATCAGTATTATTTGAATTTGAAATTAAATTTGATTTTTCTATACTATTCACAATTAGCATTCCAAAACTTGAACATAAAAATGGAATCCAATCTATGAAAGTAACATGAACATCACTTGCATTTATTGATTTTGAATATATTGCAGAATCAATTAAACTCCAAAATCCAATGGCAAATAAAGCACCAGATAAATAAACACCAAAAGCTCTTAATTTAGCCGATTTGGGTAATCTTAGCATAGAAGCATTGAATCGAAATAAATTATTAGATTGTGATTCCATAGTCAACAATGAATATATATTCTATTCTAATCAGTTAAAGTGGTCGTTGTTCAAGAAATAAAGAAAATTATAAAATATAACGCTACCAATTATCTATATTTTATATTTATTATTCAAATCGTATAAATTGATAATACCATTCTTTGTAGCTGAAATCAATAATTCTCCATCATTATAAATATCTAAAGTTAATACTGGTCCGTCATCATTATTATAATTATATACTATTTTTTTTGTATTTATATCCCATATTATAATTCCATCATTTTCGGAACCTGATACAATTAAAGGCAGTTCAGTTTTAATTATAAATTTAGTTTCACAATTGAATTTCTTACTTATTGATCTTCCTTCTACTCCTTGATATGTTTTTATAACTTTATTATCTAAATATTTCCATAATCTGATTAATCCATCAAGACTGGAACTTAAGATATATTGACCATTAGGACTTGATTCAACATTTGAAATAGGGAAATTTATAACATCAGAAGTTGAAGCAGTAGCTGTACCGTGTGAAGTACTCGTTGTTAAAGTTTTAAGACATTGACTAGTTTCCAAATCAAATAATCTCATTAATCCATCATAAGCTCCGGATATAATTATAGAGTTATCGGGAGTTAAAGTGATTGATGAAACGGGGTCGGAATGAGCAGCTAATGTAGTTATTATTCTTCCACTTGTGATATCCCATATTGTAATTGTTTCATCTGCTGATCCACTGATTAATAAATTACCCTTCGATACAAATTTAATTGTAGTTATATGATAAGTATGTTTTTTTAATATTTTTATGCATTTTGAGTCTCGAATTGACCATAGTCTTATAGTTAAATCATTCGAACATGATGCTATTATATTTGAATTCAATGGTGAGAATTGAATATCATTTATGCCCTTAGTATTACCAATCAATTCAGTAATTAATTCTTGTGTCTCTATATTGAATATCTTTATCTTAGTTCCTAGACTTATTGCAAATGTCTTCCCATCCGGTGATATTCTAATTGACGTTATACTCTCATTTTCTTTTATTGTATATCTTAATTTATATAAATCATTATTTGTTGATGAATTTATTGGTAAACCCATTAATGAAAAAAAAAAATATCGTGAAATTTCAATCTATATAATTAATCAATTTACGTACAATTTCAAGCATTTCTATATAACATTCTCTTCTTGAAACCTTCTACCAACTAATTGTAAAGCAATAGCACCACCATATGATTCTGCTGGATTATTATCATTCCAAAATTTGAAAATCAGGTGTTATTATAATTTGTCGATTTTATTTCTTTTATATCAATATCTTTCTCTACTCTAGATACTGGAAACGTAGCTACTGTGTAATTTACAACATTGAAAACTGAAGTGTATCCTACATAATCATGGAATTTCTTTCAATTGGATTGCCGGGGAATGGTGTAGTTAGCATATTCTACAATCTATAACTTGTCCATTTGGTTAAACTAACTGTTTCATTCCATCTTTTCAAATAGTCATTAATCAATCTAGTTCTGTGATTCTGTAATTGGCCATCATTTAGCGACTTTAAGGTCTTTGGAATTTCCATAATTTGCCATATATGGAAATAGTAGTTTTTAGCAGCTTCCCTCGTTGTCATTGCTCCTATCATACATGTCACTAATCCTCATTCTTCAGTTTCTGTATTCATTCCTCAATATTTAAGTGGAATAAGTTATGCTAGTCAAACTATATTCTTCAGTTGGCCTAATGTAATCTGTTTTAATGATTTACAAGAACGTGCTACTGTTTTAGCTAGTATGAATATGTTTAGCAAAAGTGTTAACGCTTGGTGGTCAATTTTATTCTTTGCAGCAGATACAGTGCCAGAATTTGGAAAAGGTTGTTGGGCATTATTGTCAACTGCGATTGCAAGTATTATAATTGTGATAATAATTAGAAATTTACAAATGAAAGAAAACAAACTACGTATAGTTTCAATTGAAACGTATTATGAAACAGAATCACCACAAGATAAAAAATATATTATGTAGATTCTATTGATTCTTTATCATTTTTTGAATTATATATAATTATTCCATTTTCTTTAGCATGTAATTTTTCATCTCTTTTATAAAAATATAAAACCACTAATGTCCAAATTATCAATGCAAATGCAGAAGCAGCAGTGAATGAATAACCTTTTAAAAATCTAGGAGATTCTACTGTTTTCCAAACTAATACTGCAATCCAAGCAGTTGATTGTTGACCAATCATATTCATAATCACCAAAATCACTTGTCGTTTCCTAATATCTCTTCGACAAATATCACCTTGCCAACTATATAAAACTGGAGATGATGACCAACTAAAATATTGTAAACAAAATGCAAATAACAATGTTCCCTGAGGTAAATTCCAAATTGCCAAAAGCACATTACATAAAATATTGAAAATTTGACTGAATATAATAGCTCCACTTCTACTTTTACCAAAATCAGCAATTGAACAAACTATAATCAACCAAATTATCCCCAAACCAGGTGTTAATGCAGTCATGTCTTGTAATTTACCAGCATTATATAGTGGAGTAATTCCATCAGATTTAGTCAATGATTTTAACCAAAGAGCATAAGCACCAGAAGTTCCATTTGAATTATTCCATAAAAAGATATCCCATATTGATAATACATAAAATTGCCAACTTGTAAAAATATCTTTCCAAATTGTAAAATCAAAGAAATATTTAGTGGCATTTTCTTTTGGTTTAACATCTTTATTATCTTTTATAATTCGTTTTCTTGCTATTCTAATATCTTCATCACTTAAAAATATACTATAACAATCATGAGGTGTTCCAGGAATCATATAAATTCCAATTATTCCAACAATTAATGAAATGATTCCATCAATAATAAAAATCCATTGCCATGCTTCATATCCACCAACATCTTTCATACCTCTTTCAATTGCACCTGATAATACTCCCGAAGTTAAAATTCCTAAATATTGACCAAAATAATAAAAACCAGCACGTCTTGCTATTTCACCAGTTGAACCACGATACCAAGAAGCAAATAACGAATGATATGCAATATAAGAAGGAGCTTCAAATGCTCCAATAAAAAATCTTAATGTTTTCAATGTACCAACACTTTTCACTTGAGATAAACAAATTGTTAAAATTGACCAACAAATATCTAAAGACGGCATTACGTAATTCAAAGGCAAAGCATAAAGAACATACATAAATGGGATTTGAAAAATGATATTACCAATATTGAACATGACTTGAGTATTAACGAAATCATTACCTTGCATATTGATACTTTCTTTCATACCACCAACATAAGCATTTGTTAAATTTGTTTGATCAAGATATTTAACCCAATAAGCCATAAGGGAATAAAAAGTAAGTAATAAGTCAATTTTCAAAATTAATTTTCTTTCTTCTGGTGTATCTTCATCATGAAACCATTTATACCATTTACGATTTGATTTGAATTGTGAAGTGATTCTATATTCATACTCGTCAAAGAATTTCCACCATGGTCGATTGGCTTCATCTCGATATTCAAATGATAATTCATTTACCTCTACTTTAGAAATACTCTTTTTTTCACTTTCTTCAATGTTGGTTGAATCTTTTGAAATTACTTCTTCTGACACATCTTCTGACACATCTTCATCGACAATTCTTCTGGTTGGAAAAATACCCCACTTCAACCTTTGAAATGATCTAACGAAAAAGTCCATAACGGATAGTTAATGGTTGAATTTTTCATTTTAGTTTCGTTGAATTTAGTAATTTAATTAAAAATTGAAAGTGTGGCTGAAATTTGAAATGTTATCAATAAAACGGTTAGGAATAATGAGATCTATCTCACCGATGAAGTCCTTGAAATGACAATAATCTAAAACCACATAATATGATAAACAAAAAGTAAATTGACCTGGCAATTACTCAAAGCCAATAATGTTTGTGACCACTTTATCGTTCAACACTTAACAACGGACGATTGATTTAAGCATATAAAAAACAACCATTATTGAGCAAATAAGATGAATCCGGTCTTAATACTACATTGAGTATACCATATCAATCCCACTTACTACTTTTTATTTTCAAAACACCATAGAAAAAAAGTGACAAAAATGTATGTTTAGTATTCAGTTGTGAAAATAGAGACATATTATCATCGAAATTGTGCTGAAGTCTCTGAGGTAAATAAACAAAATCTGCTTTTGTTTTATAACCGTTGCTTAATCAAGTATTTATCCCATTTCATTGGCCTGCGTAATAAAAAAAAATTACTCAGATCTCAGATCTCATCGCGTTTTTTTGAAACACCATTCAATAATTGAAAAGCAAAGCCTTTGAATTAAAATACCAAAACAGGTCTAGAATCAACATTAGCCATTGCATCATTTATCCGCTTTTGTTCAACTTTGAAAAATCTCGCGTCAGAAGTGAAATGGAGTTACAAAATCAATTTTTATTATTTTATTTTAAATTTCAGGTACCAAAATCTAAACAAACCAAAATACAAAGAGTTAACAATCGTGACAAGAAAAACAGTAGATAATGGAAAGAAAGTAACATTTTCATGGCTTTGCAAACTATACTCTATTGTGACAGTCGCAGTCTAAAAGTCTACTCCAGCTTTGTTCAGAACTAAATTAAGTTGCATTGTATAAAATTAATTTTCTTGACCGTATTGGTTTTCAATTTATTCATTTCTTCACTTGCATTTTGTGTATAGCAACTTATTTTCACTTCGTGTTTCTGTTATTGATTCACGTTACATAAAATAGACAATACTACACAAAGCTAAACTTACCTAAAAACGCTGACAATACAACAATTAGTCAAATATCTAAATTGCAACCCCTGGAAAAGTTAAAATTGATGAAGAGCCAAAGAGATGAATAATTTATATCAAAGTTGTAATGTAGTACTACAACGTTGATGATTAACATTTTTTGGATGTTGTCTCTGAACATCCTCGGGTTGTGATTTACTATTTCCCATTTTACTCATTGTACATTTTATTTGTTTACAATTAAACTCCTTACAATGTAAATTATTCCACGAAAAAGTTTTTAGACTTTGATTTGATCTAGATCTAGAATTAAAACGTATATGACTAAAAAGGGCGTATGTAGAATTATATAATTGTTTGAGTATTAATTATTCACCACTTTTAATGAACCAGGTTCTCTTGCAATCATATCCGGTAATGAACCATTACTTAATTTCCTCCTACCTAAATATTCTGGATTTGGAGAATCTGGATTCAAGAAAAGAGGCCCATGATTAGGTGATGACATTTCATTATTGAAATTTGGAATTATTGAATCTGTATTTGAACCAAATGATCCACCACCTGAAGAACTATAATAATGACTGTTATTGTTATGATTTGAATTATTTACTGTTGTTGCATTACCACCATTACTTCCTCCTCTCGAAGACATTGATCTTTGTTTATTTGGTTGATTCTGTTGTTGATTTGTATCAAAGTTATTATAACCTGCACTCATCAAAAATGGATTTGGATCTATTGGACTTGAAGTTTGACCCATTTCTGCTTGATCTTTTGGTCCAGATAACGTAAAATTATCATCTTCTTCATCTTCTTGATCTTTTCTTCTTCTATACCAACAGAAAAAGAATATTAATCCTGCAATTAAAGCTACACCAGCTACTGATCCAACTACAGCACCTGCTATACCTCCTCCTGATATAGATTTTGAATGATTTTGATTATTATCGGAGTCTGACGATGATGATGAAGAAGATGAATTTGCATTCGTAATTGAATCTGATGTTGTTGTTGATTGTTGTGATGTAGATGATGGAGTTTGTATGACTGTTTTATATATAATTGAAGGTGATCCATTACCTGCTGAATTTACAACTGTTGAGATTAATGTAGTTGGTGCAATTGATGTAGTGGAACTTGTCGAAGAAGATGTAGTAGATGATTGTTGAGTAGAACTTGGTGATTGCGTTGAAGTTGCAGTTCTTAAAACTGTACTTGTTTCTGGTTCCTCTTGTTCCGTAGATGATGGAGAATTAGTTGATGAACTTGATGAGCTAGATGTAGAAGATGAACTTGATCTTGTAGAACTCGATGAGCTCGAACTTGAACTTGAACTTGAACTTGAACTTGAACTTGAACTTTCTTCATTATCAACATCTGAATTTACATAAACATCATAGTAATCTGATCCACCACCACAACTTTCATAACCATAACCAGCACATTTGGTATCACAATTTGATGAATCGACTTGATTTGAAGGATCTGAATCACCGCAATAACATTCATTACCATTAATTAATGCTGCAATTCTTGACCCTTCACATTCTGATTGACAATGACCAGAACTTTGCCAAATATAAGTACCTTGTGAAGAAGATGTAGATAATGACGATTTAGCAAAACAACCTAATTTAGACCATGAATCTCCTTTAACTGAAGATATTAGTGATGTTGAAATAAATATTATTAAAATGGGCACTCTCATAATTTTTAATATATATATAACATAAAGATTGAATGGATGTATTGCAAACTGATTTCAAATCAAAGGAATGATGAACAATTTACCCAAGTGAAACGTTTTCTTTGCTTGTGTATTGTTGGAAAAATATAAAGTTTTTAAGTTCTTGAAATTATTGAATACTGCTAAAAATAGAAGCACCAAACAAAGGGATAAAAAGATAAAAGTGAATGAAAATTGGTGGTGTTTGTCTGTTGGACTAATTTGAATAAACGAGTGGTAGAAAATGAAAATAAGATTATTAATTTGATAATAAACCCTTAAAGAAGAACTAAAAGAAAAATCTGTTGATAGTTTGAAATTTGTTGAAAAGTTGTGAGATTTTATTTAAAAATAAAAAAAAAAAAAAAAAAAAAGAAATAAAAAAAAAAACATAATAGAAAAATAAACATTACACAAAACCAATGTATATATTTAGTAGTGAACATAACAAAATAATAGAAGCCTGTCTGCCTCAAATTATGTAATGTTTGGTAGCAGAGTTACGTAATCAATCCTTGGGGGGTATTTTTTACAATTTTTTTCTGTTGAATTACCCCCTTTTTTTCCGTTATTTATTAGTTGTACCCTTGGCACTAACAAGCGTTTAAGCTTGACAAGCGTTTAAGCCTAACAAGCGTTTAAGCCTAACAAGCGTTTAAGCCTAACAAGCGTTTAAGCTTAACAACAGCATTAGATACATTCACCACAGCATACTATATATAGACTAGTTACAGACTAGTTGCTCTCCTAATCAACTTGGCTACTGTAGTAAATTTTCATCACGTCTATTTCACTTTAGGCTGTTTTTTAGACTTGATTATTACCATACAAATGCCATGGGGCTAACTATCAAGTCAGATCCCAATAAACATACATAGGTTTTACTCAGAACTTGTAGCTAACTACTCTTTAGTTTGTCAAAAGAACACGTATATTTGATTTTGCACCCAAATTTACAAAAAAATCTGCATATGTTAAGTAAAATCAAAATTTCAGCAATCGTTTTGCCAATTTTCACCAAGTTTTCTCATATGAATTTATTCTTTTCGAAAACTTTATCTACAAAACTTTGTCTACAAAACTTTCTCTACAAAACTTATTTGGTCATTTCATCATAGATTTATAGTTTCAACTTTACAATCATAAATAGAGATGTGCGTGTACAAGTTACAAAAATCAACGTTAGTATTTTTTCAAAATCAAAACATTGAAAAAAACTTCTCTTCTTTCTTCTTTATGTCAATATAGGATATAAAGAATTATTACAGAGATACTAGATTACTTTGTTGATCAATTACTTACCTTACATTCTTAAAATCCTTAAAATAAATCATATCGAAGCCTTTTTCGCTAACCACGATCATTATTTTTCATTAATTTATTCCGTAGATCGTTGTTTGATAGTAGTTGGGCTAACATTAACATAGCGTTCTTGTAGTTTTAATAAACTAACCAAATCTATACTATTCTCTATTCTTATCGTCGTTATTTGTTCTATCTTTATTCTTGAATGCTGCTTTTGATTTATGTTTCAAGTTTTGTTTCGCAATTTTTGACTGAGAAAAAATTACGAAAGGTCAATTTAAATAATAATGATTTCTTTAAATACAATAGAAACTATAGTCAATCAACATAAACAAGATATTAATTCATTAGGTATACCTAATTTAACTCATAGTTCAAACATTCTAATCAATCAGTCACCATATATTCTCAAATATAAACTACAGACAATACGCAATTCTTTAAATAATCTTAATCTTAAAATACATCAACATAACAATAAATCATACAATCAGGTTAGATCAGAGATAGATCGTTTATTAGTGTCTGAATTAGATGAGAAAGAATACATTATAAATCAATTAACTAAACTTTTTGAATTTGAAAATGAACCAGAAATTAAAGAATCGGAAGAAAAAGAAGTTGCGGAAACTCGAAAAGATTCAGTAGTGGGTGAAGACTTAACAACATTACGTCAAAGGCTATTATCTTCATCTACTAAAACATTAGATGGTGATGACTCTATTAAATTGAATGAGTATCATGATTCTTTACAAAATGAAATTTTATCTGATTTGTCTGAATTGACAAAAGATTTAAAAACAAGTGCTCTAAAATTAAGTTCAAAGATTTTAAATGATGATTTGATTATACTTAATGAAACGAATGAAAATATAATTAAAAATTCAAATTTGTTCAAAGTTGTTGACAAGAATTTAGGTAAATATTTGGAAAATAAAACTGGAGGAAAGATTAGTCTTTGGTTACTATTGAAATTGTTTATTATTTTGGCTGTCGTTTTTATGTTTATGATATTATTTATAAGTATAGTTCCAAGATTGAGATGAGTAAATTGGTCTGAATTTTGAAATTGTTGATTTGCAGAAATTTGTTTTGAAAGTTATAACTTCAGTCAAGTTGTTACATCAGCTTTTTATCACGTACATAAATACTTATATACAAGCCATTCAATAAGATCTGTAGCAGGTAAATATAAATCCCTAGCTAAATAAATCTAACCTTTAAGGAAAAATCAGCTCAGAAAATCATTTACACTATGAATTACAACCGCAATCAAAAAATGCAGTATTTAGACTAAAATCAATAGTAGCAAAAGAGCTAGAAGAAAGTTCGCAATTAGTGATCATCAATTGGGGCAAGCGATTACATTACTGTTCATTAAATTTTGCAATATTTTTGTACGATGAAAATACGTCAACATGACAACTCAAAAAGTAAAATGTTTAAAATTATTAGTATGTAGAGTATATAGTTCAAGACTCATGATTTCACCAGATTGGTCTTTTTTTTTTAAGAATGAGTTTTTCATTACATATAGCCCAATATGTTTAGTACGAGTCGCCCTATAATTTGCACAAGAAAAATACTTCATTGACACCAAATTAGGGCAGGAATTTACATACCATAACCCACGTCCGGTTCAGGAAAAGAAAAAAAAAAAAAAAATCTGAAATAAAGCTGATTATATGCAGTCTTATAACAGATATTCGTAAATTTGAATCGCAAATAACTCCTTCAATATTTATGCTCTAGATGTCAAACTTTCCTTGATCAGGTTTCAGCAGATTCAAATTAATTTGATGACAATTAGTTTCAGTAAAACTTGATTTTAATCTTCTTATCACTAGTTTGAAAAATGGAAAAAACGCCATTTTGCAAAATAATGTATGCCTAAACTTCATTTAGCAATTTCTGGTATAGTTGATTTGCTTGTTCAAATTTCTAAAATTATATATATGATGAATTTAAAACGTCAAAATCGTCTTGAAAATTTTGTAAAAATTTCGAAACACCTCTGAAAAATTACTTTTGCCTTAACACAAAGATTTTTAAGGTTTATTGAAAGGCAGAACTACAATATCGAATAGTTTTCTTATATTCTAGTTCAAAGATTTGATGTGGAATTAGATATTTTGTAAGGCTGATTTATTCAAATCTTTCCATAGTTAAGTGAAAAATTCGAAATTCTCGATTTTAATCTAATTCACCTAGAAATAAGTCTAGTGCTTAATTTTGAGGTATAATATATATAATCCGTTATTTAGTTGAAAGTCATGGCCCTGAAAACTAAGTGCACTGAATTTCAGCTTTTGCAAATTTTTTTCTATGGTGAAAAAGCTCGAAACTTCAAGTCAAAGAAAAAGTATTCGAAATTTAAATTTAAGACTATATAGGATATAGAATATAGAATTCAGCAATTCTGAATTCATATAGATGGTATTTAACTGGAGAAAAAAAGATGGTCATGAGTTATAAGCCAATTCACTTCGTGCAAGGTCGCATTAAAGCTAGCACGAGGAATGATTTTGTAGCACTAGCTCAATGACCACAGAAACGCTTTTCAGTTTCCTAAATAGGAAATTTGAATCTCAGATCTGAAACACAAACTATATGCAGTCACGTAGTTAAAAAACAATAGTTTTCGCACGATAAATTAATTTCTCGTCCTAACTTTAAGGCGACTCGTACTATTGTAGTTTATGAAAATTTCAAAAGCTTTGATTTATTTTCCCCAACATTAAAGAGATTATATATTTCAAATATTGGTACTTTATTTAACGATTTCAGAACATTATCGAATTTGAAAAGTGTCGAAATGAGTAATGCCGATATTAGTATATTGAATTACTTGCCTGATAGCTTGGAAACTTTAATAGCTTGTTTCCAATCGGTGATTGCTTAAAAGTTAGAGCTACAAATAAGATTAAGGAACTTGATGTTTATTTCGAAGCTGAAGTGACATCACTTGAAAATTTAATCAAAGAATCGTCAGAATTAAAGTCGTTAAATCCTAATAGATTGAACATTTTTGACTTGAATCTTCCAAAACTAGTATAGTAAAATCATTCACGGCTACTATAAATGGCTATGCATAGATTATCATTATAAAACTTATCCAGCATTTCAGTTCATTATGTATTTCCATTTTCATTATTTTCAAGACCAGATTTAATGCCAAATTTGAGAACTTTTAAAGTCTATGCTCGTATGAATAAAGAAGAGTTGGAACAATTAAAATATTTTCAGTTTCAATTTCCAGAATCACTTCAATGTTTGTGCATTATAGCAGATACTTGACTTGAAAATTTACAGTTTCCATCAAATCTGAAGGAGCTTACTTTGGGTATCAAGTATTTGAAACAAAATTTTAATTTAGATTTACCGGATATTATATACAATTTAAGTATATATAATTCAAGTTTAAGTGATTTAGATTATGTTACTTTTCCCAAAGAATTGAGATATTTACATATCCAGTACAATTTTTCATTAGGATCAATAAAATTTACCAACCTTCATGAATTGGAGTTTCTCAGTAACGTCAGTATTTGCTACAACCAAAAAGGATTTGTTTTTAAGGATGCAAATCTTGAAAATAAGGGTTAATGCATTATCAGATCTGCTTAGTATATAAATATGACAAATCCTTAAATTAATATAAATGATTACGAAATTGTATATGTATATTTTAGTGGAATCTTTCCTCAAAAAATCTGTCAGATTGTATCACAACTATTGAAACTAAAAATTACATCGTCTTATGAATGTTATTTTCTTCTAAAACTCCAACCGTACCACTTGAAAATTGAAATCTACCCAAGTTGAAAAATTAGGTAACTTTAGCAAGAACTAACATCTAATTCTCCAAAATAGCTAGTATTTAAGTATCATAATTGGCTTCGATGAGATTTGAATTAAGTAGAGTATGATCAATGAAATCTTACATGCAATTTAGAAAAGTTATATATTTAATACAAATAAAAGTAATTATATTAAATGCTATTTGCTATTTTATTTATGCAAAATTTTGCGCTTGTTGCTGTATTGGTTGTGGTGATGGTGATGAGGATTCAATAAATGATGGTTGAGAACCATCATCATTATTTAAAATACCCAATGGACCACCATTTAATGCCGTTGAACTTATATTATTTGAACTTATATTTGCTGTATTATTATTGTTCGCATTTGCTAAATTTTGATTTTGAAATTGTCTTGGTAAATTTCCACATCTATCTTTTCCAAAATTTATCTTTAAATTTTTATAATCTTGAAATGATTTAATTCCATCAATTGCCTTTATTGCATTTGCAATATTTACAAAATTTATGAAAGCACAATTCTTTTCTTGTAAATAATTTATTTGTTCAATATCTCCAAATTTACCAAAATCATCTCTTAATTTTCCTGGATTATAATATTCAAAATTTGTAATATTTCCAATATAAATATTTCTTGATGCACCATTTGAAACTGCCAATGATAATGCATTTGATAATGGTCCTGAATGTTTACCCCAACCAACTTTAATTCTTCTATTATGAATAGTTAAACCATGTAATTGACACATTGCAAAAAATTGAGCTGCCGCAATTGGATCAATAAATGTTATAAAACAAACATGTCTTTCTTTTAAAAAACGTATACTCTGTAATAATCCACCTCTAACAACATTACAAATTTCTTCAATTGATGAATCTTGATGTAAATTTCCTAAATAAACTGTTCTATTTCCCAAATTATTTGCTCCACCAGCTTGAGTTGCAATTTGTGCAGCTGCTGCTGATTGTTGTACTAATGCAGATGAAATAAATTCACGATCTGCTGCTGTTACAATATGTTCCATACCTGGTGCTAAACCTAAATATTGAGCAGCATTATGTTGTTGAGTTTTAGTTATAAACGCACAACGATCTTTACCATAAAAACATTTTTTATCCAAATATTTTTCTTTTAATGGTAAATTTGCAACACATCTAATAGCACTTAAAATTGATAAAAAATGTATAAATGCAATTCCTTTTTCTGGTATAATTTTAATACAATCAATAATTCCATAACACGATAAATCTTCTTTTAAATCTTCTTCAGTTATTAAATTTCCAGTTAATGGATTATTTAAATTTCCAAGGTATACATTTCTTGTAGCACCATCTTTTTGAATTGCTTCCATTACAGCAGGTAAAATTGCTGAATTTTTACCCCAACCAATTCTTATGTCATGACCTTTTATATTTAATTTTTTTAAAATACAATCTGAATGAAATAATAAAGCTGATTGTTGATCAATAAATGAAATAAATGCACAATTTTTATTTGGTAAAATACGAACATTTTCTAAAATTCCCAGTCTAACATAATCTAATAACTCATTAGGTAATACGTCCGATGGTAAATTTCCTAAATACACTGTTCTTGAAGGAGCAACTGAATTATTTGGTTGTATTTGTTGTTGATGCTGCGATTGTTGTTGAAATAATAAATCATTTGATTGATTTGAATAATTTAAATGTTGATTGGTAATCATACCATCTTCAGTATAAAATTCTCCACCAGTAGTAGTACCAATATTTGGAGCATCAATAATTCCATTAAAATTTTGATATTCTGAATCTTGTTGATATTGTGGATAATCATCAAATGAATGATTTATAACTGATGAATTATTATTATTATTACCATTACCTGAATAAACTGAATTTAAACTTTGATGATCATTATTTAATAATACAGATTCGTGGTCATTATTTTGATTTTGTTGTTGCTGTGGATAAAATTGTGGATAAAATGGAGGTTGTCCCATAAATTGTTGAGACATATCTTGATAAGGGTCATAATATGACATAATAAGTTAAATCGTAAAGAATAATATATGATATATGAATGAATGAATGAATAAATATGAACTTAAATAATGCAATTTAAAACACGTCCTAATATTTTTTAATTAAAAACTCCAAAATGATAGACGACACAAGTATTAATAAAAGTAAGTCTATAAACAACTGAATGAATGAATATGAATGCGAATAATAATAAATTGATATAACTAAAACTAATATAAAATGGAACTAAAATATTGAAAAGTAAAAACCCCTTTAAATAGAAAATATTATGAAATAAAAAGTGAAAATGAAAAATTGAAAAGATTAATATACAGAGGAAGATTGATTGTTTCTAGTTGTTAATTTTCTCTTCTCTTTATATTAAATGAGTATATGTAAAGTTTATTGTTAGAAGATATAATATTGAATGAATGGTGTATATGATCTATAGTGAAATGTTATGTGGAAAAATTTTTTTTTTTTTTTTTATGTGAAAATTTGATCTGCTTAAAACGCTACCAAATGAAATAGACTTCTTTACATTCACGCGACACTAAGAAATTGACATTACTATATTAATACTATATCATTAACAATTATTCATTACTCATTGATCATCATCATCATCATCGTCATCATCATCATCATCATCACTATCATCATCATCATCACTATAATCTGTTTCAACATTTTTTTGACTCTGCTTTTGAGTCTCATTTGGAGTTTCAGCTTGTGTTTTAGATTCTTCCGTATTAAAAATATTCTCTTGTTTATCACTCTTTTCATCTGAATCATCCGAATCACTATAATCTGTATCAACTTGAGATTGAGATTTAGAATTTGACTCTTCTACTTGTGATTGAGTCTTAGAATCTTTAAAATCATAAACTTGAGATTTTTCATTCTTGGATTCTTTCTGTTGTGATTTATTTTCATCCTCAGCTAAACTATCTTCTATAACACTAGAACCATCTTTTATAGTTTGAGTAGATACATGAACATTAGGCTGAGTATCACCATCTTTTTCATCTTTTTCTTTTGATTTAGTTAGCTCACTACTATTCTCACCATCTTCTTCGTTTAATTCCTTTTCGACTCTATCTTTATCTCTGTCTAATTCATCAATCTCATCTTCGTTATTACTTTCATAATTTTTAGTTTCATCATCTTCTTCTTCTTCATCATCTTTTGATTTTTCATTTTCATTTGAATATAATACATCTTTAACTATTCTCTTGTCACTTCTTGGATTATATGAATAAGGAATTGGATTCTCTTCTTGTTTAATATATGGAACAGAATCATGATCACCAATTTCAGGAGACCGAGGACGTCTAACTACTGGTTCTTCAAATGATCCAAAACTTTCATTGGGTTCTTTTTTAAATCTAATACTAGATTTTTTATAAACCTGATTGCCCTCTTCTTCTTCCAGCTCACTTTCTTCCTCTTCCTCTTCCTCATCTTCTTCTGATTCAATAGCTTTCTTACGTCTTTTCGTAGGTTTTTTACTTGTAGTTTTCCTTTTTCGTTTTTTAGGTTCGATTTGATCCGGATCAGGTATTTTTGATTTATCTATCATGTTTAACTTACCTTCATTCTCAATAAACTCCTGATTTAAATTCATCAACTTATTATCGAATTTATTACCATTAGCAGCTTTAATCAATTCAAATATCTTATCCTTTTTAGAATTTAAAGCTTGATAAAACTTAGTCTCTAGATCAATTATAGCACTTTTGAAATGTTTCTTAGCTACTTTATATTGCTCTTTCAAGATCTCACTCTCCTCATCTGTTTTCTCATATTTTTGTTTCTTTTCAATATACCAACGCACCAATCTTTCATTTTGGGAGTTATACAAGTTAAACCAATTAAATAAATCAGATTCACTCGACAAATATTCATGACTTTCTAGATCTATAGGTCTTAAAGTAATTACACCAACAGTAACTGGCAATTTTGAAATTGTCTTAACTTGAATAATCAACTCACTCTCCGTTTCTAATTCCTCACTTCCTTCTTTAAATTTCTTATCTGATAATTTAGCAGTCAATTGATAAGGATACTCATTAGCTTCTCTTGAATCAATTAACGTCTCTAAATCCAACGGGAATAATGATTTAAATAAATTAGGATATTCTTCATTTTCAACTTTAAAATTTGGATTTTTTTTGAAAATTTGATTTAATTTATTTGTGTTTATTGAAGTTATGAAATAATTATATGGCCAACTGCATATCAATACAACATTGATGAAATTTGGATCATTACTTGGATTTTCAATATCTTTAATAATTTTACACCAAATTGTTGTTTTAATTATTGATTTATGAGTTGATTCATTTTCTACAATTAAAGGTATTTTCAATATTGTACCATCTAATTCTATACTATTACCATCTTCTTCAATATTATTATTAACCATTCGTAATTATTCTAATTTGCTTATCAAATATTCTGAAACAAAATAAAAATAAAAATAAAAATAAAAAAAAAAAAATTACTAAAAAGGGCTACCACATGAATTGTATACATGATGTGAATCAATGCAATTGAAAGTAATAGAAACATGCCATTATTAATGGGGTGCATTACACGGCTTACACAGTTTATTGATTATAAAAGGGATCTAATTTGGAGATGTAAATTTTGGAAAATAGGGTTATTATGTCTTCAGGTAGAAGAGAATCAATTGAATCAACGGGACATCCAGTCCAACTTACTGGTGAAAATGTTTTATCTGAAATTGGAGAATCTGCTCCACAATCAGTTAGTCCTTCTCAATTATCATTACAAGTTTCATCGATGATTTCTGATGATGAACATGTTGTTATAAATGATAAAGTAGTTAAACGAAGTGAATTAATGCCTCCATTTGCAGGAACATTTAATCCTGGTTTAAAACCATGGCCTAAACATGAATTTGGTAATGCTGCAGCTATTGGTTTAGCAGCTTTTTCATTGACTGCTTTTGTATTAGCATTATATTTAGCTAATGCAATGGGAATCGAAAATATTTCTGTAGTTGTTGGTTTATCTGTTTTTTATGGTGGTGCTGTACAATTTCTTGCTGGAGTTTGGGAATTAGCTATTGGTAATACATTTAGTGGTACTGCTTTTACAAGTTTTGGTGCTTTTTGGTTAAGTTTTGCAGCTATATATATTCCTGCTTTTGATATTGTAAGTAGTTATGGAGATGATGTGGAACAATTGAATAATGCACTTGGAATATATTTAATTGGATGGGGAATATTTTCATCTATGTTAACTTTAGTTACTGTTAAATCTACAATACCATTTGTTGTTTTATTTGTTACTTTAGATTTTTCATTTTTTATATTAGGTGCTGGTTTTATGACTGGTAGTAATCGATGTGTTAGAGGTGGTGGTTGTTCATTGGCAATTTCAGCATTTGCAGGTTGGTATTCATGTTTTAGTGGTCAAGCAACGTCAAAGAATAGTTATATTAAATGGCCCGCTGGTACATTACCTATTAAACATAGATTTAGGAAGAAAATACCAGCATAGTAAATAAACAGAACTATTCAGTATCTCGTAAATTAAGAAGATCTCTTATCTTATCTATGCTCAGTTACTCGTTAGGGCTACAACCTTGACTATTACAAAATTTTACGCTACCAATTTACAATTGGTAGTCGCATCCTGAAAAATAATCTTCTCACTTAACAAAAAATTTTCAATATAATTAACGAAGTTTTAATATTAATAGAATCATTATACAATGTCAGGTTCAGGTGCTTCAGGTAACAAATTCCGTATGTCAGTATGTAAATAAACCAAATAATACAAGAGATTGAAGTCAAGTCATGTCGATATAAAAGTATGGGTTAAATATTGAATGTTTAAACCAGGGCATGATTGATTTATTTTGATGATCAAGTATTAACAATTTCTTCTAGTTAGCTTTACCAGTTGGTGCAGTTATGAATTGTGCTGATAATTCAGGTGCTAGAAATTTATATGTTTTAGCTGTTAAAGGTGTTGGTGCTAGATTAAATAGATTACCTGCTGCTGCTGCTGGTGATATGGTTATGGCAACTGTTAAAAAAGGTAAACCAGAATTAAGAAAAAAAGTTATGCCAGCTATTGTTGTTAGACAATCAAAACCATGGAGAAGAAGAGATGGTGTTTATTTATATTTTGAAGATAATGCTGGTGTTATTGTTAATCCAAAAGGTGAAATGAAAGGTTCAGCAATTACTGGTCCTGTTGCAAAGGAATGTGCTGATTTGTGGCCAAGAATTGCTTCAAATTCAGGTGTTGTTGTTTAGAATAAACTACTGCATGAATATATACAATAGTAATAACGTTTAAAATTTATAATCGCTTTATTAATCATTATCAATTCTTGATGACACTTACTCTTATCGTAACATCATATCTAAAAAGTTATAATGAGAGAGAATTGAACAGTTGATATTGAGGAGTTTTAAAGAGGAAGATTATTGATCTTCCCTTTAAACTGTTAGTAAGATATCAATAATTTCGATTAAAATCTGTAACATTATATATTAATCTATTTATTATCTTCATTTGATATTACAATATTAATACTTCCTTTATCATCATTATTTGCAATATTATTTAAATGATAAGTATTGGCATCATCACTCTTTAACGTAGAGACTTCATCAGCAGATAATTGTCTAGCAGGTACATTATGACCATTATCATTTTTTTGATCCTCATTCTTTTCCTCATCATTAACTACACTATTATCATGACTTTCTATATCTGCTTTAATCAGTGTTGGATAAGGTAATTGTTGAGCATGAATAAATTGAGGGAAATAATTCGGTTGAGCCATTGGTGAAGTACTCAACTGTTGAGGTGATGAAGTTGTTTGAAAATATTGTGGTTGTGGTTGATTATTTTGATTTTGATTTGATTTTTGTTGTATTGGTACACTTGGAGTTATTGTATAGTATTGTTGTTGTACTGGATCATAAAATTGTTGTGCTTGTTGAGCATTTGCTGCAATATAATATTGATACCCACTTGGTGGTTGTGATTGAGAAGGTTGTGATGAAGGAGGTTGTGATGAAGGAGGTTGCTGCTGTGGTACTAATAGTGGTTGACCACTTGAACCCATTGAATCAACTGGAATTAAATGGAAATTTGGATTATGTTGAATTGGAGGTGATTGCTGACCTTGTAATATAAAGGGAACATATGAATTTTGTTGTTGTGGATATGATTGATCAATACTATATTTATTTGAATTATTAGTTGGATATTTTTTTAAATCTTCATGAGTATCAACTGGTGTTATTATTGTTCCATCACTATTTATCATATTTGTTAATCTTGGACTTTGATTATTACGTTGTGAAAAAGTCAGAGATAATCTATTTGCATTTGCAATGGATGTAGCTTGTGATAATGGTCTTTGTTTAACTGAATTTGTTCTACGTTGTTGTTGTTGTTGTTGTTGTTGTTGTTGTTGATATTGTTGATTTGATTCAGATGTATGCGTTCTAATTGATTTTGCAGGTGATCTAATTGATGAATTTCTAGAAACAACTTTATTTAAACTACTTGTACTTGTAATTGTATTAGATTTATGATTATTATTATTTCCTAAACTTCTTGCTCTTGAACTTGGAGTTGGCAAACTTGTCATTTTTTTAATATCATTAAACCAATCAATCATATTTTTAAAAGTATTTGTTCTAAATACCCATTTATGAGTTTTACTCATTAAAGTATTTGATGATCTTGAAGTTAAAATAAATTTATAAATCCCATCAGATTTACCATCATCTTTTGAATGATCAGAAACAGTACATGAATCTAAAGCTAAAGACATTACAGGTAATGGATCTTTTTTACGATCATTACTTTTAAATTCATGAATAAATGAACATGTTAAAACATACCATGCACTTGAATAATTTTTTAAAAATTTTGATCTTCTTTCTAAATAACCTTCTCTAATTGATATATTTAAATTTGAATCAAAATTTTTAATTAAAAATTCATTCATTTGACGTTTTGGAATATTTAAATCAATAAATGTACCATTTTTAACAACTGAATTTGAATTATTTATTGAACTTATATTATTAATACTTGGTAAATTTCTTTCAATAAATGCATCCCATTCAAAATTTGATTCTTTACCTAAAAACCCATTTGAAATATTTGGTAATAAAAATTTACTAAATGTTGAATTTTCTTCATTTACTAAATTTAAGAAATTTGACAAATAATTTTGAATTTCTAATACAACAATTGATTCTAATTGTTTACCTGCATTTTGTAAATTTGCATAAGCATCATATAAATAATTTTCTTCAACTAATTGTTTTTTCAATTGACGATCTAATTTAATTTTAACTAAATATGGATCAAATTTGAAACTTTCAGATGAACTTGAAGAATTTTCAATTAAGTGATGATGAGTGGAGTTATTCTTTAATGATCCATTATCTAATTTATTTGAAATTTCAATCGATTGATTATATTGAGATATTAAAGTTTTGGTTTCATTTAATTCTTTACTTAAATTATTTTTAAAATCATTTTGTAAATTATTAATTTCTTTAATTTTAATTAATAAATCTTTTCTTAATTCTTCTAATTTTGGTATAATAATATTATTTATTTCCTTTAATGTTTTCGAACCATTAATTGCATTTTGTTGATGATATTTAAATAATATTCTGGGGACATCCTGAATTGAACCATTACCGACTGGTAAAAAAAATTTAGAAATGGCTTCATAATCATCTTTTGGAGTATTACTATTATTATTGCCATGATGATGATGGTTTGAATTTGAACGAATACTTGCAGAAGAAGAACTTTGATTAATTAATTGACCACTTCTAGTAACTGAACCAACAGCCTGTTGTAATCTTGCTTGTTGTCTAATAATCTCTTCTTGAACACTAGAATATTCTTTAAAATAATTAACCAACTCTTTTATAGTAGATCTCCAAGCATTAAATCTATTTGCCATAATTTCAGTTGGATAATCATGATTAATAAAATTATAAGGTAGTGAAACAGTCAATGGATTATGAGGATCGTAAGACATTTGAAAATTAAGTTTGAAAAATGCAAATTATAAATAATAAGATGAAATGTATATAATAATAAAACAACTTATGGAATAAATACAAATGGAATTAACGAAAAATGTCTGATAAATGCTTTTGTTGAAGAACTGAAAGTGAAACGTTGTTTGTTTCTTTGTTGGTTGTAAATAATAAAAATTGGTTAATTGTTGTTTTTTCTTCAATTAAAATAGAAAAAAAAATTGACAGAATCACACAACCATTTGTCTCCGTATTTGGTGGTGAGGCTGTTTTATTAGTATGACTATAACATATAGAATACTCTAGACTTTGTAGCTTGTCATCAATATATAAATAGTTAATATTGTAATTTGATACTTAAAACCGGAGAACTAAATGTAGATAATTGTAGATTTAAATTGGATCATAAAATATAAAGAACAATAAGATCTACATAATAACTAATAATACGTTTGGTCTAGATTAAGCTTTTGAATTATTATGAAGTCTTGTATTTATTACTATTAAGTCATCTCATTTATTAGCTTATGAGATAATGAAGTTAAAGCATGAATTTTTATTTAATAATCAACATTGATAAAATCCAAAAACTACAGAAAGGACTTTTAAGCCCCCTAAGATAGATAGAGGATCAAACTAGAAGCTAATTAGAAAATGATCTTCAATGCTGGTATCTATAATATCTAAAAAGAAGCACATGTTTTGAAATATACGAAATCTTTATTTTTATTAATTTTTAAATTAATCGAAATCTGTACCAATGAGGAGTCAGTCAAGTTATTAAATCATTTCATTATGTTATTCTAGAATAAGGAATATAGAACATAGAAATTAAGTTCAGCAAGAAACAGCTTAAAAATATTGTAACCAAATTTTGAAATTACATGAACATCTGTTTTGTTATAGAGTTACCAATCATGAATACAAAGTCTCTTACTTTTTTTGTTTTCTCGAATTTTTATTCCTTTATATACAATTGTGAGTAGTGCACCAATGCTCAAAAGTTAATATATACTAATATACTCTAATCTTGCTTCAACAATTGACAAGTACTATTTCATAATTTCGTTTCAGATTATTACATTTATTATTAATCATTAAGTAGATACAAAGAGTTCCAATGGAAATTGTTCAAGTTGAAATATAATCTAATTTTTGCGATTACTGATTACTCTACTTCTTGAAAGATGTAAGCTCTGTACTAGTTTAATTTGTAAACTATATACTCTAATAAATGAATCAATAGTTTATTATATGCTCTGATATCGTGATGCTAGAGTCTTTAGTCTTTCTTTAATTACAAATATTCATGTTAAGATATTCTTGTGCCCGGGGTTACCAATACGCTTAAATCTCCATTTAAATCAAGCAATAAACAACTTAACAAGCTAGTTCATTCCCATGAATCAATTGCATTTCTTTTACACTGAGTAAATTGATTTAATTGAGTTTCTTCAATTCTACTACTAATTGTTTCATAATTTATTTTTACACGACCTTTGATTTTTACCAAATCAATACAAGACACACCCAAAAAATTTCAATCTATATTAAACCAAACGCATCATTAACTTTTACATATAATCATATACATCTTTTTAAGATGTTTTCTAGTATAAATAAACTTCTATTAAGAAGGTCACACATATATACACCTTCAGCAATCATTAAATCAATACCTACATTTTCACAATTTTCTACATCATCAGTTATAAATCAAGAGTCAACATCTACAATACAACAACAACAACAACAACAACAACAAACTTCAAGATACGGTAAAAAACCAATTACAAAATCTACATCTTCATCATTAAAGAAAAATGAGAAAATAGTTGGATGGAAACTTTATGGACTTTTCAATAGACATAATACTAGATGTACATTAGTTTCAATAGTTGAAGATCAAGATTTTCTTGAAAAAAATAAGGATTTAAGTTATAATGAAAAAGTTCTTTATTATTTACAATTACCACATAAAGTAAAATATACTATATCTGCTGGACAATTAGGTTTTAGAAAAACTCAAAGACAAGAATATGAAGCTGGATTTCAAGTAGCTGCTAAAATGTTTAAAACAATTGAAGAAAAACAATGGATTGGACCAACTGATAAAATTGAATTAATATTAAAAAATTTTGGTAAAGGTAGAGAAGCATTCAAAAGTGCATTATTAGGTAAAGAAGGGTATGGGATCAAAAATAATATAACTAGAATCTCTGATGCTACTTCTATTAAATTTGGAGGTGTTAGATCAAAGAGAACTAGACGTTTATAGGAGAATAATATACTTGTACATACTTAAATCTAGTCTATTCTTATCGTTATAACTTTACCAAATAGCCCTAGGTTTAGTCACATGATTTGCAGCTAGTGTATAATTTTTCAAAGTGGTAGCGTTTCGTTTAGTACTGTGCGAAAATTAATGAAACAAAATTATAGGTACTGAAATTTTTTATATCGAATTTTATCAACCATAATATTACATTGACAATGGCTCGTATGTTAACAGAAGATAACTACATTTAAATCGAATAGAATGAACAAGAGATAAACTATACAAGAGATGAGATATTACGTTTGAAAATAGTTAATTATATTGAAAGATCCACTACAAATTATAATTTTCACCATGGGAAATATCACGATGAGACAAAGATCAAATACAAATCATAAAAGAAACCATGATTATTTTAATTTATTTTGAATTGAAAGAGGTCATCTTCATCTATTTTGTTCATTTCAAGTGTGGAGTTTTTCAAAATTTTATACTAACATTTTTTTAGCAACTACTAAAGCTTCAGCTGCTAAAAAAGCTACTTTAAAAGGTGTTAATGGTAAAAAAGTCACTAAAGTTAGAACATCAACTACTTTTAGATTACCAAAAACTTTAAAATTATCAAGATCACCAAAATATCAAAGAAAATCTATTCCACATTATAATAGATTAGATGCTTATAAAATCATTGTTGCTCCTATTGCAACTGAAACAGCTATGAAAAAAGTTGAAGATGGTAATACTTTAGTTTTTCAAGTTGATATTAAAGCAAATAAACATCAAATTAAATCTGCTATAAAAGAATTATACGATGTTGAAGCTGAATATGTTAATACTTTAATTAGACCAAATGGTACTAAAAAAGCTTATATTAGATTAACTGCTGATCATGATGCTTTAGACGTTGCAAACAGAATTGGATACATTTAAATAACCCAACTACAAATCATTTTAATATATATAAAAAGGAAAGAAATATGATTATTTATTACTCTATGCGTTATTGCAATTTGTCTTTTGGACCTATTTAAAAAAGTACTATTAATTCATACTACTTTTTAAATGAAAGAAGCTTGAAAGTCAAAATTTGTTTTTCATAATGTGATTTTCGCCCAAACTTGGCACAAAATTAATGTTTTCCTTGCACTAATTTTTAGGGGACCTGTTCCAAACTTATTGGTTTATATGTCATGAACAACACATTCTCTTGAAATACAGACCAATTTTACAAATCCAAGAACTTTGAATTATACACTCTACACGTCTCAAACTTCAAATTTCAAATATTTTTTTTTGAGTTGTCATTTTGGCCATTTTTCATCATACAAAATTTTTCGAAAAAAATGTAATTATTGTATGCTTGAACTAGGACCATAACTTCCGATTAAATTACGAGTTATGTATATTAAACCTTAAACAAAGGAATTCCACTTATTTTGGTCTGTTTTAAGCTAAAATTGAAAAATTCCAAAATTTTCTCTGAAGTATGGGGAAATTCGAATGTATTGACCTTACAAAAAATCTAATTCCACATCCAATATCCAAACTCGAATATGATGAACTATCCAGTTTTATAGTTCCGCTTTGTGATAAACCTAAAATATTTTGAAGTTAAGTTATTAAAAATTGGAAAAGTAGTTTTTCGATAGTGAAACGAAAATTTTCGAAAAAATTCAAACCAGTTATAGCGTCCTAAAAACATCATAGGTATTATATATTATATAATATAATTAGCCGAATCAGCTATATCAAAAGTTGCAGAATGTGTTCTTAGTATGATTTTTTTTGCAGAATTGCATTCTTTTCCAATTTTTCAATAGCGATCAAAACAATCATTACTATGTTTTAAGAATCGAAATTTGCAGTATTTGACTTTAAATCTGATTAGGAATGTAATGAATTTATTTTGAGAGTAATATCTCGAATATAGAAGGCGTTATTCATAATTTAAAATTCATGCTTAACTACTATGACACTGCATATAAGCAAAATTGTTTCAGAATTTTGACTCCTACTTATCTCCGTGACCATTTTTTAGAGCCAACAATTCGCGCTTAAAACGAAGTCTGGCGCTAAGTCACGATCCAAGTTGGAAGGAATTGGCTTTAAGTTTAACACAGTAAATGATAAAGGAGTCACATATATATTCATTAGTATACTTACCTTTGGCATCAACATACCCTTATGCAATATCATCGAGTAATGATAACAACTGCCAGTAATCTTTATAATATCGAATCTTCAAGCTCTTCAATTTGGATCTATTGCTAATACTTGAATCTAATTTACTTCTTAAGGGACTAAAATTTGAAGATTTACAATTTGGAATCTGAAAAAACTGTAATAAATGATCATGATATTCTAATTTTACCTCTAGTTTATTTTTAAATTCATCAAGGACAGTTATTTTGAATGGCATAAGATGAATTTGATTTTTAATTATATCAACAGGTATGTTTGGAATCATTGAGGATATACTTACTCGAATCATAAATACTCGATCCATGACATTGAATGTTGATAAGTGTATTAGTTCCGGTATGGTAATTTTTTCAATAGTGATTAATTGTGACATTAGTTGTGAGTTGTATAAATTACCTGCATATAATATTTGAGTTTCTTCCTGGTCTTGTGGTGATGAACTTTTTTGATGGAGTTTATCTTGACTTAATACGTTTGAAGATTCTATTGATGTATTTATACTTTGATCTGGAGATTCAGTCTTTGTTTTTTTTGAATCTTGACTAGATTCATTATTTTCTTTCTTACAAATTTGACCATCTTTCTTACTTGATTCATTTTGTAATCCGTTCTTTGGCTTTTTCATAACTTGATCATTTTCATGACTTGTATCTTCGTTCATTCTCTTTTGAGTGTAAATTCTCATTTGTTTATCAAATTCATCTGGTGCTTCTTCTCTTAGTCTTTCAAACTTGGTTTCCCATGATTCTTCCTTCTCTTCAAATCTCAATAAATCATAAGCTTCAATAACGTGATTATAAATCTCACTTGACGCTTCTACCTTCAATCTTTTTAACAACAAAGTAAATTGAGACTCAATACCAGCAATTACACTATCGACATTCTCTTTATTTATAATTTTAATCTCATTTAATAAACCATCGAGAAACCTATTATTTTTTGCACGTAAATCAAAATTGATCCTCCCGATCAAAAGCCCAATGGGTGGAATTTTAACATTTTGAAGCATCTTCTTATATTGAGATGGATTTAATGAACAAGATAATAATTTAGTCAATGGTAATAGAGTATCTTTTAAACTATGATTTTTTTTCATGCTTGGTGGTAATTGATTTGCTCTAAGTACAGTATAAGTCTTAATTTCATTTAAATCGGAAAATATAATTGAACCACTAATTGAAAATAATTTAAAATCAAATATCAAAACAGGTATATCATATGTATTCTTTATCTTGTTATTTCTACTTTGGACCACTTGTTCTATTGTAGGGACTGTGGATAATGCATTATATGAAATAACTGAATTCATTAACGCGTTTTATTTGTTTCAGAATTTTTCGATTTCAATTTTCTACGCGATCGAAGAATCAAAAATTCACGAGATGAGAAGTATGATGAACCGAATAAGATGAGATGATTTACTAACAATAGAAACTAAATTACCTAAATTAAGTAAAAAGATTCAATCAAAGATAGAAGATAAAGATGTTAGTGAATTGGATTTTCTTGAACAAGGTTCTATTGATGAAGAAAGTGGTGATCGATGGCTTGGATCTGATATTGCTAAACTGTTAAGATTTTATCAAAAAGCATACAATAATTATCTCAAATCAATAGAAACGGATTACAACATAGATGCTTATTATAATTCCAGTCGTCTTTTATTTCAAATTTACAATCTTTTGAAAACTGATGGTTTAAAATTAAAAGATTTAAACAATATAGATGAAATATTTGGATCAAATTCAATAATTCAACCATTGGATCAAATATTAAAAGCACATGAGGATGCAATTAAGCAAGCTAAAACTCAAGGGGCTCAACCATCCCCTGATTTATTATTTAATTTTGCTGTTGTTTATAATGAATTTATAGATGTGCAAGGTGATTCAACAGATTTAACTAATTTATTCAATGTATTTAGCTTAGCTGCTGAGATTTTTGAGACTTTATTAGCTTCACAATTAAATGAATTGGAGAAATTTGCCGATGAATTACAAAATATTGATAATTCTACAGTATTTTCTGGTAATAGAAATGCTAATGGTGGTAATAAGAGACAAGAAGAGCTAGTCAGTGCGGAGGTAGTTCAGCCTACTGATCTATGTGAAACCGTTTTAGCCTCGTATAAACTCATGTCTTCAATGTATGATGCGGATTTTGCTACACCCCAAAATCTACAATCCATTGCAGATTTAATTTCACCGTTAATGTACTACACTGATGACATTGTTGAAAAATTATTAGAGAAATATAGTTATAAATCTCACATTTCTGACATGTTAGATAATATAACAAAAGTTCAACATGATGAAATTCACATATTAAGAATTTCAATTATGGGAAGTTATCATACTGATTTAGAATTTATGATGAAACATTGGCAAGTTATTGGGCTACCTGAAACTCCAGAAAGATATATGACTGCATCAGACAACATACAGGCTTATCTAGATAGAAATGAAATAAATTTGGATAAGGTAAATAAATCAGCTAATGAAGATAAAGAAATCTATTGGAGATGTCTTACATTTCAAAACACAGAACTTAAAAAAGCACAAGAATTATTGAATGGACAATTAAAAATTAAACGAAAATCACCAGATGGAACTGAATTAGGTATTGGATCATTAATTTCACAAATTTCAGAAGTGATTATAGCTAGAGCAGACATTGAATTAACTAGATCATTAATGGATTATGAACCAGCAATCAAAAATAAAAATGTTTTGTTTAATAATGCTAAGGTGTTTTTGAAAAGTGCAATGAATATTGCAAATACATCTGGCGGATTACGTGAGAAGATTACTGAAAAATTAAGTAGAGAACAAAGGAAAACAGAATCTGCTTTGAGATTATGTTATCTCGAGAATAAATATACGCCAGAAGAATTGAATGAGATTATGGGAAGTACATCAAGATGGGAAGATGAACTACCAAATTTAAGAAAAGTGGGACTTTACAATAGAGGTATCCTTACAACAACTAGTAAATACGAGGCTGTTGCACACGCAAGCGGTCATGATCTTTGATAATAAGTTAATAAAAGATGAGTAGGTAAAGAGTTTATAGATTTGGAAAAAGAACGCAAGAGTTGAATTACCAATTTGGAAAACTGAGAATGCATGATAAATTGTCTGTATTGTCTGTTCAGTACGTTGAATATATTTTTACTAAGTTCTTAAAGTTCAAATCAATTCCAGCTTGATGCTGATAATGAGAAGCTATATTAACACCCACTTTGAACTACAAATGATGATGATTTCGAGATTTGTTAAAAATTTATAGTCGATACTCATTAGATATATATATATATTGCTTATTAAATCTATATAAATTAAATCAATGCCAGCTCGATTTACTAAAAGTACCATCAGTATTTAATTACCATTCTCTTATATTTATAAATAAGCTTCAGGTATATCTGTTATATTATTCATAAACTGTTGATTATATTCTGCAGCATATATACCACTACCATTCACAGGATCAGCTGGTGAACATTTTGAAGCTTCAAACATTGGATCATCTAAATATTGTAAACTTAATGATGGATTTCGTGAACCATTAACAATAATTTGTAATAAATTAATTTTTATAAGGTATAATAACCAAGTGAAAAACTTCATAATAAACTAATAAATAATCTGGGTGTTATATGAATAGTTTCATGAATATATATATTTGTTGTCAATAGCTGGTTGTTATAAAAATTTATTGATGACTATTGATTACACGTTTTTATGATTGCAAAGCCCGATGTTTTTTTTTGTTGATAACAGAGAAAAAAAAAGATCTAGATTTACTACGATTTTAAGTAGAATAGTCCATTTAAACTCAAGACACAAGCTATCAACTACTAATTGTTATCATCTGATAGATCTTATACTCAGCTATATTTACATATAAGTGGCTTTTCACCAAATCCATTAGTTCCTGTGATAATCTCAAATTTATATTTGCGCTACCATTAGCTACTAAAAACCAAAGTGAAAACCAATTATGTTACACAAAATCAACGATTCAAAATTGACCACTTTTCTTTTTGCAACAATTTATTTAAACAATAGTTTCAAGAACAAGGGCACTTGATGACCTAAAAGTAATAGATTTGTAGCTTAATACTTTTCTAATTTGTTCTATGCGAACCAAAGATGCTTACATTTGTTATTTGTGACGCTATTCCAGTTAATTCGAAATTTTATTCTTACAGTAAAGTTTCTAGAGAGTCTAGTTATTCCAAATAAAATTGTAAATAAATCTCCAAAAACTTTTAATTCAGATCCAGACTTCATTTTTGTCTAATGTATCTTACTTGTAGAGTTATTTGACTTCAAAAATAAGCTTCACTTAAATGAAAAATACGCACATAGATATAATGAGATGGAACATTTCCAACTAATTCAAATTAATTCAACTCAATCCTAAAATGTGATGTACATTAACAACGGCACGACTCATATAAAGCCTTTTCAAATTCACAAATCTTCTATAATCGTATATGTTGTATCTGAATCGTAAATAGTCAAACTTGTTAAACTTTGCGGAAGTAAATTCCACCTTTTAATATTTCTAATAATGCTGTTTGATTGTACGTTCAAGCTTTTCATCTTGCTTAAATTACTTTCTTCATATAAATAGCCGATATTAATATGTATTCCTTTAAATAATTTATCAAAATATTGATTGAAAGGAAATTAGAATTCCTATGAAAACTCAAAGTTAGGTTCATAATTGTTTTATGAGAGTCAATATTATACTTTTTGACTACTTGAACTAAAGCGTCTTCGTTTTTAATTCTAGATTTACCGTAATAGTACAAACAGCGACGTAATGGATAAGTTCTAGAACCACGATATACACTACGGTATGCTGCAGGGTCACCAATTCTTAAATCAGCAAAAAAAATTATTTTATGCAATTGAACATACTTGTTTCATTTTAAAAAAATAATGGAATTGCAGAATTGCACTTCTTGGAATATGACTAAGTATTTGGTAAATTATTTCGGTTGGCAACATAATTATAAACATAAAAAGTTTCAAATTCAAAATCAAGTCAAAGTCTCCGTACTACCACCGATAGGACTCGTAGTTTTGGTTCTCTTAGCAATTGGTAAATCTGTGTTGTCGTTTCTTTTCATGATTAATGAGCTTGAACTTTAATTAACTTTTAAAATTGCGTCGTAAAGTTAATGATAATTAAAAATTTAATTGAGGATGATTGCAATTTATCTTAGATTACTTAATGATTTTTGTTATATACTGACTGACTGACTGACTTATAAAACTGATATTCAATTGTTAAATTAATTAAAAGTGAAGTATAAGTTTCCAATTTAATTAATTAAAAATGAAACCGGGTTTTTTAGGCCGATTGGTAGCGCTCTCGTAAATATTTAAAATTACTCGATTTGGACTGTTGAGGGTTTATCGGTTTTTTGTATCAATTGGTATAAAAATAAACACGATTTGATATTACACAATTGATTAGGGAAAGCTGAGATAAGACTCATTTTTGGTTTCACTTTTCACTTTGAAATATATATACACTGTTTATCTATTTACAAGTCTATTTAGTACCGCTAATTAACTTATCAAATGCAGGTATCAAAGATTGTGCCATTGCAAATGAAAATACTAATTTAGGACCAGTAGTTAATAATTTAGGAGTTAAACCTTTAAAGAATGAAGTTATACCTTCATTTTTAAACATATTTTTCAAAATTGTAAAACCAGATTCTGGATTCTCAAATGATCTATTTTGTATTCTTGTTTTTATAACATCTAATGGAGCACTTACAATTAATGAAGCACTAGCTCCAAATATTGAAGTTATGAAATTTTGAGACCAAGTTGCTTTTGAATAATCTTTTAATTGGAAAATATATTCTTTTGCAAATGAATTACCACCGAATAAAGCAAATGATCCAGGTGCATTTCTAGCCATTGTCCAACCCCAACCTCTATATAATCCAAAACCTTCATCGGATAAAATTTTAAGAAAACCTCTACCTCTAAATGATTCAGGATTAGTTTGACGTTTAATTTTTAATACATCTAAAGGTAATAAAACAACTTCACCAATACCAATTAATGAACCAGCAGTAGCTGATAATAAAGCTTTACCATTTTTTGGACCAAACATTGAATCATAACAATCCTTAAAATTTTTAGTTAAAAATTCATTAGCAAAAGGTTGACCACCATATTTATATACTCTTTGTAAAATTTTATAACATGCAGCATATCCTAAACCTGGAAATAATGTAAATAAACGTTTACCTAAAGCTTTACCAGCATGTTCTCTGAAAATAACTGTATTTAATTGATGTGCAGATGTAATTCTTCCATGATTTGACATTAATCTTTTACTTATAGTATCTACTGGATGAAAAACACCAATTTCAGCAATACCAGCAGTAGCACTACCTAAAACTCTAGCAATACCAGATTGCTTCTTATCTACTGACGAATGAGCAGCAGGGGACATTGTTATAATTCAACTGGTTATTAAACTGGTTTCCTAATAATTAAAAATTTTTAGAAAATTTTTTCAGGCATTTTTACCGCGCCTAAAATTATACGGACCTGTTATCTTTGACTCGGAATCATATGATAAAAAGATGATTGGAATGGTGAGAAACACAGAAATCGATTAATAGAACGAAAAGTGTAGTCTTGTACCTTGTTGGAGTAAAATTTGAGCTCACTGTATTGGTTTAAATGGAATTAATGTCAGATGGAAATACAGCTTCCGAACTAAGTTGCAAGATGAGCGAGCAACATCATCTGAGCTTGCTTTACCATACTGACGAGTAGTTTCACTTACTTTAATGACTTTAGTTCTCAATCGTTGTAAATTATCACCAAAACATCAAAACTTTTCAAGCGAAAAATCTGAAACGAAATTTAATTTTTTTTTCAACCAAAGGCCCAATTAATATTATGTCAAACGATTTAATACGTCAATATGAAACAAAATTAAATCAACTAACATTCAATTCACGTCCAATAATCGATGAGTTAACAATTGTAGCAAAAGATAATCCAATTATTGCAGATCAAATAGTAGATCTTATAAAAAATCGAATTTATAAAGCTGTACCAGATCAAAAATTATTTATATTATATTTATTAGATTCAATTTGTAAAACAGTTGGTAATCCTTATAATATATTCATTGCTGATGAGGTTTATGATTTATATACTCATGTTTTTCAATTTTTAAATGATACATTACGAAATAAAATGGTTAATTTACTTAATACATGGAAAGAAATGAAGACAATAAGTAATGATCCATTATTCCCAGAAGAGGAACTAGCTAAAATTGAAGAATTTATAAAGAAAGCTGGATATCCAAAAAATATCATACCTGAAGCACAACAATTATTAATTAACGATATAACTCAGATTATCCCCATCTTCGAAAATAAAATTAAAACTAATCCTACTCCCAAATTACAAGAACGTTATACCGCATTAGGTCAGTTGAAAACTATGTTATCCAATCAAGTAATAACACCAGCTGAATTAGCAGCAGTTCAAAATCATCTACATAATATCAAACAACAAGAATTAAGGAATAGTAATACTCCAACTCCAGCTGCAACTCCAGCACCAACTCCAGCACAAGTAACACAACCACCAATTCAAGTTCAAGTAGCACAGGTTGTAGAACCACAACGTCAAGCTTCGTTACCACCGAAACCACAATCACGACCACAAACTAACTCAGGTCCTCCGTCATTACCTCCAGTACCTCAAATCCCTAAAATCAATATTGCCATTGGTTTATTTAATGACTTATTGCTATCTGGTTTAGTTAAAAAGGATCAAGAACCAATCCCTGGATCAAAACCTACATATTCATTAGTATTTCCCGAGACTAAATATTCACCAATGTCAAATAACGAAGAAGTTTCAATAAGTCAGTTAGAAGATATACTTTTAGCAAGTTCAGGAGTTGCCAGATCAGAATATGAGAAATTAAAATTTGGTGAAATATTAACTATAAGTAAAAAGACAAAAACAAATGATCAATTGCAACAGTTCATCAATAGTAATAAACCAAGTAGTTCCATGATTAATTTATTATATGAAGATAAACCTAAAAAATGTCCAACTTGTGGGAAAAGATTCACTGATGATACAGATGGATTGACTAAACATAGATTACACTTTGATTGGCATTTCAGAATAAATAAAAAAATATCAACAAAAGGTGGAAATATCCAATCTAGAAATTGGTACTTAGATGACTATGATTGGGTTCATTTCAAAGATGAAAACTTGTTAGAATTTTCAACTACTGAAACAATTATGGCAACACCAGAAGTAGAAATGAATGTCACTCAACCTGGAAGTCAATATGTTGTTGTTCCTCCAAATGATACAAATATGATTAATCGTTGTGTTATATGTCGTGAACAAGTTAAAGCTACTTACAATGATGAAGTAGGTGAATGGTGTTGGTTAGATTGCATAAGAGTACCTGGGGAACCAAAGAATAGTAGAAAAATTGTACATATATCATGTTTCAATGAATCAAACAAAAAGAGAAGTGCAGAAACAGAGTTAAATACAAATGTTAAAAGGGAAAAGTTATAGTATATACATATTTTCTAAATAAATATCAATTCAGTTTTTTTTTTATTTTTAATTTTGACCTAAACATTTTAAAATATCTGACCAAACTTTTGGTGGTTTTTGAGAAGCATCAATACCTTTCCAAATACCTGTTTTTTTATAATATCCAACAATTGGTTCGGTCATTGAATGATAAGTTCCCAATCTTTTCTTTAAAGAAGCTTCATTATCATCTGATCTTTGAATTAATGGTTCACCAGTAATATCGTCAGTCATTTCTTTTTTTGGTGGAGAGAAAATTTTATGATATGATCTACCTGAACTTGGATGAATTAATCTACCAGTAATTCTAGCAACTAATAATTCATCATCAATTTTAAATTCAATAGCTGATTGTAATGGTTTTTTATTTTCTCCCAACATATCATCTAATTTTTCAGCTTGTGGAATAGTTCTTGGGAAACCATCTAAGATAAACCCTTTTGAACAATCTTTATTATTATTTAATTCATTTTTAATCATATTAACCATAATTTCATCTGAAACTAACCCACCTTGATCCATGATTTTTTTAGCTGCAATTCCCAATTCTGTTTTAGCGGCAACTTGAGCTCTTAACATATCACCTGTTGATAAATGACATGCACAAAATTGTTTTTTTAAATTTTCAGATTGAGTTCCTTTACCACAACCTGGAGGTCCAATTAAAATAGCTCTAATTGATTTTGGTACATTTGGAATAATACCAGTTTTTTTTTCCAAATGTGCAATTCTTTCTTGTAATTTAGAAACTGTTTGTTTTAATTCTTCAACTGACATAATAGCTAATTAAATTGAAAAATATCAAATTTCAACGTTTCAGAATTTTTTTTTTCAATTGGTTTTGATACCATAAATTTTTTGTTGGTACAATTTTTTATTGGCTGAGAATTTACTCGGAAGATTCAACGACAATTGAATTACATTAATGTATTAAGCTTATTCTATAAAGTATCCCTCCTAATATTGATATGTATGTATTTCTGGTACATGATCAACTCTAACATATGGTCTATAGTGACTTTTCCACATTTGTGATGATACCCATTGTAAACATTCATTAAAATCTCTTGGGACATTTACATACTGTCCATCTGGTCTTTTTTCATTTTCAACTCTTGCTGTACCTTCTTTCAATGCTTGTAATACAAATGCAGCTGCTACTTTGGCACTCACTTCATCTATTTCTTCTAATCTAGGTAATAAACCAAATTTTTGATCTTTCATTTTTGGTGATAAACTAGCTAATTGATCAACAGCTGCTGATATCATTGTATCAGAGATAGTTGTAGTTCTAGATAATACTGCACCTAATCCAATACCTGGAAATGTAAAACAATTATTATTTTCTGAAATATAATAACCATCAACAGGTTCAAATGGAGAACCAGTTGCAATTAAAGCATTATTATCAGTCCATTTCATAATATCAACTGGAAAAGCCTCATGTAATCTAGTTGGATTAGATAATGGAAAAACAATTGGTTGTTTGTTATATTTATACATTGTTTTGATAACTTCTTCAGTGAAAGCTTTAGGTTGAGTAGAACATCCTACTAAAACAGTTGGTTTTATATGTTCAACACATGCAACTAAACTCTTTGTATCTACTCCTTCCCATAATGAATTTGGATCAGCATATACTTTTTGATATTCACTAGCTTCTTTTAATCCTTCAGTAATTAAACCATATCTATCCATACAATGTATCTTAGCTCTTGCTTCTTCCCTCGTAGCACCATGTGAAATCATATGATTGACGATTTGATCAGCAATACCTAATCCAGCACTACCGGAACCATAAATTAATATTTGAGAATCTAATAAGTCACGATTCGAAAATTTCAAAGCAGCAGTAATAGAAGCCATTACAACAGCACCAGTGCCTTGTATATCATCGTTAAATGATGGTAATTCATCTCTATATTTATATAATAATGTTCTTCCTGTACTTACACCAAAATCTTCCCAATGTAAAACAGCACTTGGAAATCTTTTCTTAATTGCTTGTATAAATTGATCAGCAAAATCCCAATATCTTTCACCTCTAATTCTATTAAATTTATTACCCATGTATAACTCATCATTTAATAATTTTTCGTTATTTGTCCCAACATCTAAAACAATTGGTAATACTCTAGCAGGATGAATACCAGCACATAATGACATTAAACCTAATTTTGCAATTGATATTCTAACACCACCCACACCTTGATCTCCAATTCCTAATATACCCTCACCATCACTAACAACTATATAATCAATATCTTTATCATCTCCATAACTACTTAATCTTTGATCAATTTGTTCAGGATGAGTAATATCTAAAAAACAACCTTCTGGTTTTCTAAATCTATGTGAATAAGCTTCAATTGCATCTCCTTCAGTTGGAGTATATATAATAGGTAACATTTCTCGAATATGACGTCTAACTAATTCATAATAAAGTACCTTATTTTGTAATCTCATGGATACTAAGAAATCGTTCTTGGCAAGCGGTGTTTTAAGAAAACAAAATTGAGAATAAGCTCTCTCTACTTGTTCCTCTAATGTGTTAATTTGTGATGGTAATAAACCAGTTAAATTGAAAGCATCTCTTTCATCCGTAGTGAATGCGGATCCTTTATTGAATTGTGGTGAATTTAATAACGCAAAACCTTCTAAAACACATTCAACGGGTCCTTCCATTGACAATCTTGTAGTTTTGGGTTTTAACGATGCAATTGCTGCTTTTATACCAATTGGTGTTTTGATAGTATGTGTATGAACAGCAGATGACCCATGTGCTGTACTGATTTTAGAAATATGTCTAATTGCAATTTTAACTGACATGTTGAGGAACTATAATTGAATAGATACTGATTTTAAAAACTCAAAATAACTCAAAATAACAATTGTAATAGTAATTGAATAATGTTTGTCAGATATTAAAAATGGCTTTATATTATTCCCTGAAAAATTCTACTGGAGAATATGGTAGCAAATATTTGATAATTAAGCCCTTTTTTATTATACACTAATTTACTAACCAGTACTTAATGAACTGATAATTTCAATTCCAATAACCGAATGAAATAAATCGAATTTCAAAGATGAAAATTTTCAGTTTTCAATTTGAAAAACTTTTGATTAAAATTTTCAATTTTGTGTTAATCTATAAATTGACTTTGTACTACGTTACTACGAGAAGATTAAGCGCATTAACGGGTTACCATATTAACCAACATTAACAAACAAACTATTCAACAAAGCATCCTTATACTTATTCGATTAGAGAACAGTGAATTGATGTTATTCCAGATTATGCCATGGGCTGCGAAAAAAATTAGATCTGGTATGATCAAAGTAGTATAGTATTAGTCGGTCTTTTTCAACTCGATTTATGCATTGATAAATTAGATAATAGTAGTATTTAATATTGAATCTCGTGATTCGCTTATTTTATCAATTTTCTTTGATTTATAAAGAAATTTTGTTCCCCTCTTTTATTGGTCTCGGATTAAATGCCGGATTAATTCGGATTATTTAAATGGACTTTGCGGTTTTGTGTAATATTCTATTGCATATATTAATCCAATGTATAGAATAAAGACATTTAACAGAATATCAGATCTAGCAGATCTTATGTTGAAATACATTGATTTCAAAGATACCAAACGGGTAATTGAGAGCATAAAGAGAAGATGCAAACTGTTTGGTAGGTTAGCATAAAGAGAAGATGCAAACTGTTTGGTAGGTTAGCATAAAGAGAAAATGCAAACTGTTTGGTAGGTTGAATCAGCAATATGTTAATTAATTGATTCCGAAAAAAGTTTATTGAAAGTATCAAAACTCGAAAAATTTTTATGAAACGCGTATTGCGCAGAGTTGCGAAATGAAATGCCACTTGACCAATTTGTATTTATTAAACTATTTAAAGTTCATCTTTTACATTTGTAGCCTTGTTTGTATTTGTATTTGTATTTTTGATTAACTTCGTATCAAGTTGTCCCTTTTTAACCATACTTGTCAACAATTCAAATGCAACTTGAGCACCATTAGTAGCGGTAATTTCAGCATGATCATAACTAGGAGCAACCTCAACTACATCACTACCTACAATAGTCAAATCTTCAATACCACGTAATACATGAATCAATTCTCTTGGTAGCCAACCACCACTTTCAATTGTCCCAGTCCCTGGTGCATTACCAGGATCTAAAACATCGATATCAACAGATATATAAGTAGGAGTATCCTTTGGAATCTTTTTTAATATAGTTTCAATCACCCAATCTGCACCTTTATCTTTTATCCAAATATCATCCGACTCAATTCTAAACCAACTTTGTAAATCATCATCTATAAAATCTTCTAAACCTGCTAGTTTTGTACGTATTCCCGCATGTACATTATTCTTAGTAGTTAATCCTTCCTCATATGCTTTCCATAACATAGATCCATGACTTAACTCACTTTGTTCTGAACTCCAATAACTTGGATATTTATCAGGAGACCAAGTATCTAAATGAGCATCAAAATGTAAAATATTCAAAGGTCCATAGATTTTATGTAACGCTCTAATATGAGGTAATAAAATTGAATGATCACCACCAAGCGCAACGAAACGAGGAGGCAAATTTTCATTATCTAAACTTGGTTTCGAATATAATTCTTCAAATGCTTCGTCCATTTGTTTGAATGCTAATGAGTTATCCATTGGAGAAACTGGTATATCTCCACAATCTATAATTTTGGCCCATGATTTATATGGATTAAATAATGCTCGATGATTAAAACCTCTTAAACTAGTTTGTCGTTGACTTGCGTCTCTAATTGCCCTTGGTCCAAATCTAGCTCCAGGTCTGTATGAAACTGCAGTATCAAATGGAACTCCAATCAAACCAATATCAAATTTCTCCTTATTGTTAATTAAACATGGAAAATGTTGTAAATGAGCAAATGTAGCTATTCCTTGAAATGGCCATAGATCGCCCCATTTAGATTGTAAATCAATATTAGCAAATGCAATAGTAATAACTGATAAAAGAATGAGTAATTTCATAATTGTTGAATCTAAGTCATATTCAGATTCTTGAATTATTATATCATAAAGATCTAAAATTTCAATCTTGAATTGCGCGGGAATTTATTACTCAATTTGAAAAACGACTTGCGCTAAATTCATTCGCTTATCAAAAACAAAATTGAAAAATCTATAAAAGGAAACTCATTCCAAAGACTCAATATTTATGGGTGAAGTTTTAGCATTACCAGAATAACTATTTATTGGAGATCTATTAGATCACAATGAGTCAAACAAGTTGAATAATTACAAAAGCATAAGAGTATTTGATTGTAGAGAAATTTGAAAAAATTTCAGACAACGATGAAGATGAATAAAAATAAGTTATCTGAACTTGAAAACTTGATGAAAACAAAAAGTCCGACAATGAATTCACCAGTGTACTGCAAATAACTAATAAGCTTATAAAATTTTGCAATTGATGCTTATGATAAGTTTGCTCATTTAAATTACGATTATTGTTCAACTGTAGTGAATAAACTCAAGTATTGACATATTTTGAAAATTCTCAATTTAACATTGAGAGTCTATATGATTGTTACAAAGTTGGAACTAGTTGTGTAAAAAAGTGCGTGATTAGTTTTGAAAGGCTCTTCATCATGGAAAGTATGTTAATTGTTGTTAAAATAGTGCTGGGAGAATACAAAACTAGGTGACAAGACTAAAAACTGACTGAAATAATTACGCGAAGCTGAAGTGACGCAACTTAAGCATCACTTGAAATTATTATAAGGAACTGCATTGCGTATAGATGTTTTTCGCACGAGATTCATAAATTTTGAGATTACTTCCATGGCTGATGATTGATTTATACAGATTGTATATCTCATGGCAGTCCAAAAGGTATCTGAGATAATAATAGTCAATTATTTGCTGCTTTAGATGAATCTAAATCGTTTACTTGTCTCGAAATATACAATTTTAGATTATAATTGCCGATAATTGCGCCGCGCAATGTTTTTTAGCGCGCAAATCAGAAGAATGTCAAATTTCATATTTCAAGAAATTATTGAAATCGAAGGGTCAATTACATTTATTCAACAATGGGAATTAGAGATCTAATCAATAAATTCAATGAACATCATATCCACCAACAGCAACAACATCAACAAAACACAACAAATCAACCACCACCAATTCCAACAAGAAATTATAAAAGAGAACCAGAAAGTATTCCAAAACAAGCTCATGTTCAAACTCCTTTAATCAATAACTCAGATGATATTTTCAGTAAACCAATAGCTCAAGGACCACCACCTCCGTTATTTAAATCAATAAAACATACTCAATTACCAGCTGGTTGTAGTTTCAGCCCATCTGATCCACCAATTCAAACAAATAATTTTTCAAATAATTTAACTTTAGAAGATCAAACATTTCCAATATGGACCTTACCTTATTCATTTTGGTTAACTAAAGATCCTGGACAAGATTTTGGGTTTGCATTTAATCATACAGAAGCAAATCAGAGAGTATTTGGACCTGACCCAGGAGCACCAGTTGCACAATTTTATTTCAATCCTCCAAGAATTAAATCATTCGTGTTTTCAAGTTCTAATTTTCAAAATGGTGTTAATTTAACTTTGGAAAATCATAGAAAGTTATCTATTACTGCTAAATTACATGATTCACGAGGTAATGGTGTTATTACAATTCCTTTAGTTTATGGAATGGGTATAATCTATGCAAATTATGAAAATATTACACCTGTGTTAGCTTCTCAAGTTGGATTCCAGGATTTCAAACCTGTAAACGGTGGTTCTGTATTTAAAGCAATTGTTAAGTTGTTTAATCAAGTTGAATGGACTATTTATTCAAATATACAATTGAGAATGGTTGATAATAATCATATTATTGGTGATTCACCAGGTTGGATTAAGATTGCAAGAGGCACTTCTCAAACATACGATATGGCAGATATAAATTCATATGTAGAGAGTGCAGATATTTCAGCAATTGTTAAAAATGACATTTGTCAATATAAAATTAAATATAATATAAATGGAGGTGGGAAATCAATTATTTATGCACTTCCTCATCATCAAGAGACAATTATAAATGTAGAACCAACTGGTCTATCACTTGATTCACCTACAAAGGGTCTTATGAAAGGATATCTAACTGATGAGCTTGTAATGGAGGAGAAATTACCAGTTGATATCCTATTTGAACCATGGTCAGAATCCAAACAACAAGTAACTTACACTCAAGTACAAAAGGAGAAAATTAGACAAGCTGCAACTGAAGAAGTGAAACAAGATGTTGTAGGAATGGCCAATATTGATTCAATGTATACAAGTGGTAAAATATTAGATAAATTTGCATATATTGCTTATGTATGCCATTTCATACTTCAAGATCAACAATTAACAAATATAATACTTCCCAAAGTTAAAACTGCAATTGAGATATTTGCAAATAATATGCAAATATTCCCATTAGTTTACGATACTGTCTGGAAAGGATTAATTTCACTGGCTGATCCAGGAGCTGATTTCGGTAACTCAAATTATAATGATCATCATTTCCATTACGGATATCATATCCATGCAATAGCCCTAGTTGCAAAAATTGATCCAAATTGGTTACATGCAAACAATGATATAGTTTTCAATTATGCTAATACTTTATTAAGAGATGTAGCTAGTCCTCAAGCAGATGCATCTTTTCCACAATTTAGATCCTTTGATTGGTTTCATGGGCATTCTTTCGCTCATGGAATTTTTGCAAGTGGTGATGGAAAAGATGAAGAATCATCAAGTGAAGATTATCATTTCGTATATGGAATGAAATTATATGCAAATGTAATAGGAGATTTTCAAATGGAATCAAGAGCAGATTTAATGCTTGCTATAATGAAAAGAAGTATGAATATGTACATGTTATATACAAATGATAATAAAATTCAACCAAAACAATTCATACCTAATAAAGTAGCAGGTATAAGTTTTGAAAATAAGATTGATTATGCTACTTATTTTGGTAGGGGAAGTATTGGTGATGAATGGATACATGGAAGTAAGTATTCACAAAATATTCTTAACCAATTAGTTTTGATACTAATAACCTTCTAGTTCATATGATTCCATTAACTCCAGTATCTTCATATATGAGAAGTAAAAAGTTTGTTAAAGAGGAATGGGATGAGAAACTTGCTGGGATTATTGATAGGATACCTGATGGCTGGAAAGGTTTATTAATTTTAAACTATGCAATTTATGATCCTAAATATTCATGGAATTGGTTTTCAAGAAAAGATTGGGATCCAAGTTTGATTGATAATGGAATGAGTAGAACTTGGTCATTGGCTTTGATTGCAGGTATATTGTAAGGAAACAGTAAGAGTCATGATGCTAGAGAGTAAGGATGTAACAAACATTTTAGGTATGATAAACGTCATAAAATTTGTCCAGTATTCTTCTCATCTATATTTTACAGTATACAAATGTACACTAAGGGGCCAATTTAATATTCTTTTCTCCATCCATATAATAATGGGTATCATTAGATATCACATTTCTTAAATTGGAAAATTCATTAGCAAGTAAACTTTTAATCTCAACCAAATCCTGATCTTTCAAAATTAAATCAATATCATAAAATCTTTCAAATTCAGACAAACCATAAACTTTAGACTTTGTATTTAATTTCAAATTTGACCAACAAAGATTTCGTATAGATTGTTTTTGATTCTTGAGAATTTCATTTATGATTAATGCACTAAAACAATCAAATCGACCCATGACGTTAACGTAAAACAGAACAAGTGAATCCTTTTTCAATCTGTTTATAATCTTATCAAATTCGATGTTTCTTGAAAAGATAGCTAGATGTTGTAAATTTTTACAATAGAATAGTAATTGACCTATTTCGATTTCTGATGGTTTATGCGAAAATGATAACTCTAATGATACTATGTTCTTGAGGTTGAATATGTCTTTGAGTTTGTCTAGATCCGGTTGTTTGTCTTTGAATTTAAGTAATAAATGATCTACCTGTATGAACATTTTGAAATCTCTTAATTGATCATTTGAAACTACTAAAGTCAACTTTTTTATGTTTAGGAACCTTTCAGTTAACTCTAATGCTTTTTGGAATGTTCCATCTATGCCAACGTCTAGTTCCTGGTCAATTGTAGTTTCAAATTTAATAATCAAATTTTGTCTTTTTAAAATATTTAAAGATTCAGAATCAATATCATCATTGAAGAATGTAACTTTTTTAACCAACCCAAAGTCTTTACTTTTAATAATCTTCTTTAATGTACCTGTGTCTATGATTGTAAATTTTAAATAAAATGAAGTATAACATCTTCTTGAAACCAATAACTTGGGTCCCTTATTAGCTACATAAACAGACTTATATAATTGACTCTTAACAATATTGTTGAACCGTTTGTTAGTTAAACTCACGGCGATTAAATCCAATTGATTCAATTGTCCAAATATATTTAATATAACTTCAACAGGTAGATCATTAATCGTAATCACTAAATTATCATTCTCATCAACACCAGCGTCAAACAAATAATCCAAAACAAAAATTAGGATTGATTCATATATAGCCAATTCTAATATTTTGAAACTTATAATATATCCATAATTCATAAATATAGTTAAATAATCCTGCAATATACTAACACTGACTAAATTAAAAGAAAGTAGGAATCCAAGTAGTCCAATTAAGTAGCCAAAGTCTAATGCAATTGAAGTTATGAGATAATCTATTCCATTGATTATATTAAACATATAATAGCAAAACGTATAATTGTTATGGCTGCAAAAAAAAAAAAAAAAAAAAAAAAATAAAAATGGCTGCAAAGAAATGGTTGCAAAAAAATTAACTATATTCTAAATCTATATAATTACAAAAATGCAAGTATACTTTCATGTAAGAATGCTATTAAAGATTTATTGTAGAATGCAAATACTTTTATATAAGGATGTTTGGAGAATCTGAGGTAATATGGTTGATCTATATTTTGATTCTATTCAATTTCTTTTTCAACTTTCCTCCTTTTAGGTTTTGGCTTTTCAGTATCTTCTTCTTCTTTCATTTTTGGTTTCTTTGATAATAATTTTTGTGATTCTGGGCAATAACAAGCAGTTCTACCACCAACAGTAATATGATCTAAATGCAAACCATCAAGAGTCATTGATTTTTCTTTTTTACGACCTTTACCCCATCGATGTATCATTAACCAATGTTTAGGAAATTTAGTAACATCACCTTCGAGATCAACAGCAGTCTCACACACGTAAATTAAACTATCATACAACTTCTTTACAACTTCATCAATTAAACCATCTTTATATTCTATTTTATTTGAGATAATTTCACTAGGGTGGAGTTTTGAATGGAATAATACTTCATCAGCTACCCAGTTTCCAACACCTGCGAAAAAACATTGATCTAATAATAAACTCTTGATTGATTTCTTCTTACTTAATATCAATTTATTAAACTCATTTATACCTAATCTTGGTCTTCCATGTGGATTAGGATCAGGATCACCAAACACGAACTGATCCACCTCCTTCTTTGTTTCCAGTTTGGAATAATCTGGACCTAGGACATTCAAAGGTTCAGTTTTAAGTAATTCCTCATCAGTTTTTAAATTTTCTAATAGTCTTATCCTTCCTAATCTTCTTGGATCAGTGAATGCCATTTCCAAGATAGAATCACCTAGTTTTAATTCCAATTCTAATTTAGTAAATCTAGGTGGCCATACTTCTTCCATTTTCACGTCATCTATTGTTTTCAATTTATTCATGAGTTTTTTATCACCTCCATTTTCCATGAACTTTAAATGAGAAGCTATGTTTCTGATTTTTATCATTCCAGTCATTCCAAAATGCATCAACATGATTTTAAAACCTGCAAATCTAATCCAGAAATATTTACCATGTCTACCTACTGATTCAATGTGAGATCCTAGCAACTTTTGCTCTATTTTGACCAATTCTGATTCGGGGTCTGTTGATGTTTTTATTATTGGAAACAATAATGAATCATGTACTAGATAATTGATTTTCAGTATTGTATATCCTATTATATTTCGTCTTAGTTGTGCCACTGTATGGCTTACTTCTGAAACTTCTGGCATTGAAAAATAACATATTGATAAGAGAAAAAATAATATTCAATTATCAACACTTTTTACCAACACTGTTTAACAAGTGATCATTTATTAATTGTTGGATCCTTACAATGAATAGGTTATTTGGAAATAAATCTACAACCCCCAAACCATCACTTAACGATGCTATAAAATCAATAGATGAAAGAGCAGGAAGTTTAGATGTCAAACTTTCCAAAATAAATTCAGAATTATCAACATATCAACAAAAAATTACACGAATGAGAGATGGTCCAGGAAAATCAGCATTAAAACAAAAAGCATTAAAATTATTAAAACAACGTAAGCAAATTGAGGGTCAGAAGGATCAATTAGAAAATCAAAGTTGGAATATGAGTCAAGCTTCAATGACAACTGATAATTTACAAAATACAATGGTTACAATAACAGCAATGAAACAAGCGAATAAACAACTCAAAAAAACATATGGTAAAATAAACATCGACGAGTTGGAAAATTTACAAGATGAAATGTTGGATTTAATTGATAAATCAAATGAATTACAAGAGTCATTACTGACTAATTATGAAGGAGTTGATGATATTTCTGAATCGGAATTAGATGCCGAGTTAGAAGCTTTGGGGGAAGAAATTGAATTTGAAAACGAAATGGTTGAAGGTGGAATTAGTGCTCCTAGTTATTTAGAAAGTGGTGATAAACTACCTACTTTTATAGATGAAGAAGAAGGTCAAGAACCAAATAAAGAAAAACAAGTAGCTAGTTAATATATATTATAATTATTTCTTGCATCGATGCCTTAATTGCATCCTTACCTGTTCTTTTGCACCATTACATTTTTCGTATAGCCATGAAATAGTTCCCTATATCTGGACAATTTGTAAATTTCCAACCGTAAGCAGGTATATAAATACAACCTTTAGTATCAACAACCTTATAATTACTCTTTCTTTCTGGTTCTTTTTCTAACCAATTTTTAATTTCAATTTGATTTATGTACTTTTCTAAAGTATGAGTTCCAATTGGGACAATTTTTAAAATATGTTCACCCATGAATATAGTAGTAAACCAAGAAATTAAATCTCTATTAATAGTACTTAAAAATAACCAACCACCATTTTCCAATCTTTTCAACCCTTCCAATAACACCTTAGATGGATAATCTACGTGTTCCAAAACTTCAAACATGGTAATTATATCAAACTTATCAGTTTTAGGTAAGTCTTCTATTGCAGATAGTTTATATTGTAATTTTTCAGCTAAAATTGGATCTTTTTCCATATGTAATTTAGCTGCCTCCAAAACATCAACAGATAAATCAATTCCAGTTACTTTATTTACAAATGGTAATCGAGATATAGTTTCTGATAAAATACCACCACCACAACCAACATCAAGGACGTTGAACTTAGTTTCACTTAATAATTGATCTTTTTTAAATTCTTGATCTTGAACTATTCTTTCTTTTATTCCAACTGGTAATATGTCTAAACTATAACCAGGCACATATATCTCTTCATCTTTAGTTGTATTTAACTTTAGGTTGTTTCGTACTGTATCTTGAATAAAATCCATTCTTAATAAATTCATCTTGTGGAGTATTCTTTGCGGACCGTTTATATCCCACCAAGAAGAAGCTAATGAATTGAAATGATTCATTTCTGATTGTGAAGTGGATGTTAACTTCTGAGACACTGCTCTACTACTATGTAATGATCTTCTTAGTATTCTATTCATATTAGTTTGTTTCCCCTGGTGATTTTTATTTTTCACTAAAAAAAAATATATTTAAAACCAAACAGTTTATTATGAGTGATGATGATTTAGATGAACTAGATGAGTTTGAGAGTTTGATGGCTACTAGACATAGAAGAAGTAATGCTGGTTCTAGGTTAAAGAAGTTGCTAGAATTAGAAAGAGAGTCAAAGAATAATCAACAATTTATTACTGAAGATGATGAAAATGTAAATTTGTTATTTCAAGAAGATGGTGAAGATGAAGAATTTATCGATGAAGAAGAGGAAGAACTACTAGAAGAAGAACCAGAAGAGGAAGAAGAACAATCAGAAACAGAAAGAAAAGAAGAGGAATCAGAATCAGAGGTAGCGCAAGTTGTAAATTCAGATGAACAATTATCAGATTCAGACATATCAGCATCAGATTTAGATGATTCAGAAGGTGAAAAAGAATTACAAAAACAAGAAAGAATTAAAAAACGTAAAAAGAAAACAGTAATACCAGCAATTAAAAAACTTAAGTCCTTACCACCAAAACCTAAAAAATCACATTTAATAACTTCAGATGCTTTATTATTATCTAATAGAAGGTCATCTGCTCGATCATCAGCAATGGAATCAAAACAAGCATTAATAGATAAACTAAAAGAAAGTGAATTACGAAAAGCTAAATATTCCCATCGCTTCAAACGTAAAAAACAAGTGGAATTAACTCAGGGGGAAAGATTAGCACAAGCTATAGAGACGGAACGAATGAATGTTGAATCATTAAATAAATTCAGAGAACAAGAATTTATCAAAAAGGAAAAACAAAAATCGATACTCCAATCCAAGAGAAAGAAGTTGGTTAACGTTATAAGACTAATTAGTAAAGAAACATTTGTCAATCCGATTGAAGAAGTCACTTTTGCTCGTAGACAATGGGAATATTATATGAAGATGAGAAAGAGGTTAAGTAAGAAGAAATTGACTCAATTGGAAGAAGAAAATGAATGGTTTACTACAAAATTACCATTCTCGATTGATTATGACCAACCATATCAACAAAATTTAATTGCCGAGAGGAAGAGGAAGGAAGAGATACTGAAATTGGAGAATATGAATGCTGAATTGAAAGAAAAATTGGCTGAACTAGAAAATGTTGATGAGAAAATTGTTGAAGATGCACCTGTTGATCATGTGTCTGATGATAAACAAGCTACTGAAAAGAAATTTAATGAAAAGGAGTCACTTGAAAAGGAATTACTTAAAGAAGTTGATGAAAAACCTGTTGAAAAGGAGGAAATTGTTGAAGAAGAAGCTGAAAAGAAAGTAGATGAGGAAGAAGGTGATAAAAAAGTAGACGAAACACTTGTTGAGAATGAAAAAATTGTTGAAAATGAGGTTGAGAAGGAAGTAGTTGATGATGAAGGTGATAAAGCAGATATTGTAAAGGAAAAAGTTGACGAAAAAAAAGAAGATGATAAGGAAGAATCAATAAAGGATGAAAATGAAGAAAAGCAAGAAAATACAAATAAAGAGAAAGATTTAACCGTTGAAGATAGTAAAAATGTTGATGTGGAAACCAAAGATGTTAAAATTGACAATGAAGGTGATGTACAAATGGAAGAAGTTTCTCCAAATGATACCAATATAGAAAATAAAAAAGAAGCTGAGAAAGAAAAGCAAGATGTTGACGAAAAACATGATGTTGAAGTAAAACAAGAAATAAATAATTCAAAAGTACAAGAGATTAAAAATGAACAAGAAACCGAAAGAGCTACAACCAAAATCAAAGCAGAAGATCAAAATAATAAAGAATCAACACCACAAGAGAAACGAGTAACATTTGCCGATGAAACCACTCCAGAACAACCACTTTCAACACCAACACTAACACCAACACCAACTCAATCAAATTCAAATGAAGAAATTTTTGAAGGACCACCACAACGTATATCTCGAAACACAATCTATTTCCTAAACTTCGATGAAGATCAAAAACTCACCCCTTCATCAATAAAATCATCCCTATTTGGAAAACAATCCATCTTACCGGCCTCTAGACGATTCAAGGACTTAAAAACAATAATCCACATAGGAAATAATCCCTATACACAAAAGAACAAACCAGATACCTTCTTACCAATTTCAGAAATAACTGATGATTCATCCATGTTCGATGACCTCAAGAAACTACCAAGACTAGGAGTAAAAGTTGAAGAAGTTGAGCAAATAGAAGATCAAACCCAAGATGAGTCAGCTGAAATTGTATTAAAAACTGATGCACCAACTGGTTTATATCTCCCTAATGGTAATAAGAAAAACTGTATGATATCAGGCACTGAGGTGAAATATTTTGATCCGGCAACAGGTATACCTTATTCTTCAGTTGAAGTTTATAAATTTTTGAAATCTATCGAAAGTGGTTTGATTCCCTGGTACTGTTTTGATTTGGAAAGTAATGATACTGGTGTTGCTGAAGTTTATTTAGGAAATCGTGATGGTGTTAGACATGCCAAGGATGTACCTCATGGATTTGATGGTTAATGTAAGGATGCAGTATTGTCAGAATGCGAAAGATATTACTATTTGTAATAGGTCTATTTAATATATGAATAATGAGTTTACAAGTCTTGTCTTTCAATGTATTTAATACATAATTAGAAAATGCAGAGGAGATTACTATTTCCATAAAAGTTGATTTGATTAATTTACAAGTATTGTCTTTATCTATCTAAGTCTATTTACTTCGACTGTTTCTTGTTGGATTATCTGTGAGCATTCTTATCATGATTTTGCATCCTTATTCAATTTGTCTGATGTTGAACATCCTTCGCATGAGTTTCCAATAAATCAGATTGAAATTTCATCAATTTCTCTTTCAAAACAGGTATAACCAAAGTTTTAATTTCTTTTTCTCGATTTCCATCATCGACATTTATTTCAAATATATATTCATCTTCATCTTGATCGTGAATAAATTCAGGAAGGATAATGTTCCCTGTAACTTTATCATCTTGGGCTTCTCCATTGATTGTAAATTGTAATTTCATATCATAAATGCATAAAACTTTCCCTTTTCTTTGAGTAACGTCACAATCTCCACTAATGTCAATTGAAGGGATTATATATTTTATGGTTTCTGATCCGTATGTTGTATTGGATATATTTTTATTAAAATAGTCTTTTGACCATTGGAGGCAGTTTTTGTCTACCCAGTGCCTAAGCAGGTTAATATCCTATCCAGATCAAGGAGTACAACGTGTTTTACGTACCAGTTATTTGGATTATGAACAACCATGGTTATTTAAAGATTTGAAAAATTCTATCGTATAATAATTTTTTTTTTTTTTTTTTTTTTTTTTCTGGAACTATATGGAAAACTTGGCTGCAAAATGAAATAAAGATCAACAAATGCAATAGAACACGCTACGTAGGAGCAAAAAGAACTGTTTAAACTAAACGGTTCGTTTTTTGTAGCCTTACTATTCACTATTCTAGAATTTTCTCATGTGATAATTGATTCATTAATTAAATAAATATGCATTCTATAATCTATGAAGTCAAATATGTGTTACTTGCATCCTTACTCCCGACCTTACCCATGTCTATTCACTAATTGGATAAAGGAAGATACCACCAGTACCTAATCCAAATATATATAATGAAATACCGAGGACTGACACCTCATGACTAATATGAAAATGAGCCATAATGTGACTTGAAGCTAATGACCAATATGAAGATATACATGTTACACATAATGATCCAAATGATATGATTGTGACTATTGCCCATTTATGTATTGTTGACATGTTGGAAGCACCTTTTTTATCGTCAATTCCGTCGAATGTGACTATCATGGATCCTCTAGTTTCTCTTCTTCTAGTGTCGGTATAGCTGATGATTCTCTATCTGAAATATCTAGGTTTTCCAGTTCATCTGCTTTTAGTGCTTCTAGTGCTTCCATTTCTGTTTTTGTTTTGTTTAAGCCTTGCGATGATTCAGCCTTCTCAAACAATTAAATTAACGTGAACGTGAAAATGTAATAAAATTAATTGAAGAATTTTTAATGGAATTGTAAGTTCTATTAATATCTACTCATCGGCTATCAGTACGCGTTTTGACACAATGTCTTCTTCATCGCTTGATTTATTAAATATTCTGGTTTGTTTTGTGCCGCATGAAAATGTCAATCGGTGATAATCGGATATTTGCTACATTAGGATAGTAGATCCGCTGCCAGATTTTGATTTATTCTTCATTCAATGTTATTTTGAAAAATTCTAAAGTTGTTCATCACCATTGGATAACAGTGACAAAACTGCTTCTGCATTAAATCTCTGTCTACACTTTGTTGTAGTTCATTTTTGCTCTTTTATTGTATTCTCCATACAAATGTTTTAGAAATTTCCGAAAATTTCTGTTTTAGGATTGCGCGACAGAAAAAATATTTGGACGAGCTATTCCGGCGTATCAGGTTTAAATAGAAATTTGCATAGACAGATCTCAAAACGATGTCATAACGGTTACGAATTATAAACAAAACCATAAAAGATCTAATCTTTAGATCTTAATTTGTGCAATGGGATTTGAACCCGTATAGACCGCGTTTCAAGCGATTGCTTTACCACTCCTAGAAATTATTTATGGTCATTTTTCCGTTAATTTCTTCTAGATTTAATTTTGCTTCTTCTTTAAACTCAAAGGTCTATACTGCTGATTTCTTTCTTGTATATAGTTGTACAATTGTAATTCAGTTCATGACTTTCTCTTCCAGATATCTTGTCCTCATATCACTCAAATTGAGTTAAATCTGACTTGTGGGTCTTTTTTTTCAACAGCTGCAAGATAATGTAGCATAGATACAATAATAGTAAATTAAATTTTACAACTCTCTGGTCCTCTCTTCTATTAATAATCACCCTTTCGAGTTGATGCTGTATCTAATTACATCAAATTGGCAATTAATACATTAGTGTCCTGACGCGTTGTAACTTTTTCAACATTATCAGCTATTACCTCTTTTCAAATCATTTTAACTCCAATTCGAGATGGAGCATCTTCAATATCAGAATCTGTATTTTGAGAAAGATTAACCAGTTTTATAATAATTTATTATATTCAATTAAGATTTTGAAAAATTGAAAATCATCTCTACACGTTTCGTCAAATCCAAGATTTCAGCAAGCGATCTTGTGACCAATCAACACCCATTATCATCCCTTTAATTCACCACCAACCACATCAATTATTCCATATCTATCTATCACTTACCTAGTTTAATTTTCCAAAAAAAAAAAATTGGACACGAAAATTTATTTACGAGAATTTTTTTATCAACAATAATCAATCAATTGATATTCCAATGTCATTACCTTTTTTAACAACAAAAGAGGAAATAGAACATGATCTAGAGAAATCATCAACTACAACAACACATCTACACCCATCTTCAAAACCAATTTTAAAAAGATTATTATTTGCATTATTCATAGAATTAGTTATATCTAGTACAATATATTATAATTATGATAAAATAAACGTAATTAATCCAATGTTAGGTCCAACTTTACTTGGATGTTTTTCTGGAGCATTGGCACAATCAATAAATCAATATTTTAAAAAGAAATTCACTTTGAATAAGATTTTTAAATTCATGGTATGGGGTTTAATCAATGGTTATTTTACAGCTGCTTGGATAAATATATTAATTACCAGAGTTGAGAATTTATTTTATAGAATTATGACTGATCAATTTATAGGTGCTCCCATTTTCCAATTAATTTTTAATTTATTAAATAGTTTATGGGATCAAGGTGAATTATTTACCATAACTACTAAAAATTCATTTTTTAAATCATTAAAATATTCATATTGTTATTGGCCATTTGTTTCAATATTTTCGTTTGTTTTCATACCTCAATCATTAATGTTTCCGTGTAATTGTTTAGCAAATTTATTATGGAATATAATATTAAGTAAATTAGCATAGAATGTACATAAGGATGCAACACCCAAAAAATTGTAGTAAGGATGCCATTAAATAGTATCTTAAATCTATCTTTTGAATGACTTCAATGGATCATTCTTTTTCTTCCCTTTACCTTTTCTCTTTTTCAGTATTTTATTTTTATGAAATGGTACAAATCCTATATTTTTAACATCTTGTCTTGCTGATTCAGGTAATAAATACTGTGGTACTCTTTTCATATGTGATTGAACCCTACTTGGATGTAATTCTTTATCATGTCTTAAACTAGCTAAATCTTTAGGATTCTCTTGGAAAAATCTCTTCAATTTATCTGAATTTATTAATTCATTCTTCAATTCTTTAACTCTTGCTTCTCTAATTGCAGTTTGTGTAACTGCTCTAAATGCATCATCTGCTCTATATCTGAATCCTTCAACTTGTTTCATATCAAATTGGTATGGTTTAATTTCAAATCCATTTTTAGACTGTTGTTTAACTATTTTTGATAATACTTTTTCATCTTTTTTAGCAGTTGATAAACTTGCTGTTTTAAGTTTACCTACTTCATTTTCAGGTATCATGAATGATAAAGCCATACCTGATTTCCCAGCTCTTGCAGTTCTACCAACTCTATGAATATAAACTTTTGAACTTGTTGGTAAATCGAAATTTAAAACACAAGCAACATTTCTAAAATCAACACCACGGGACACTCCATATTCTTTATCTGATTTTTTAGAGCTCTTTGAATTCTCATCTTCAACACTTTCATCAGTTGCAATTAATAAATTGTACACATTTTTATTAAATTCTTCAACAATGTGTAATCTTGAATTAATAGGTAATTCACTATTTAAAATACAACATCTAATACCAAATTGTTCAAGAAACAATTTTAATCTATAACCACGATCTATATTATTTACAAAAATAATTGATTTACCTTTGATTAAATTTAATTTGAATATCACATAAGCTAATAAAAATTTATCAAATTCGGTAGTTTTAGCATAAAATTGAACTAAATTATTTTGATTATTTTCTTCATTCAATTTTATTATTGCTGGTTTAGTACAATATCTTGATTTTAAATCATTAATTTCTTCATTTATAGTAGCTGACATTAAAAAAGTTTGTAAATTTTTCTTTATAGGAAGATAAGATTCCAAAGTCTTCAAGTCATCAAGGTATCCAAATGACAAAACTAAGTCAACTTCATCAATAGTTAAGTTTGAAACTGTACTTAGATCAGTCTCTGTTTTTTCTAAAACTTGTACTAATTTTGAAGGAGTAGATATTATAATTTCTGGTTTATTCAATAATAATGAATTTAAAACAGTTTCACTATAATTTGTAGATAAGTTTAACAATTTGATTTTACCTGCGGATGATATCAATTCTTCTAAAAATTTTGCAACTTGATTTGACAATTCTTTAGTTGGAACTAATATAATACTCTGTATTCCATTATTTGATTCTGTTAATATTTTATTCACTATAGGTATACAATAAGCTGCAGTTTTACCTGAACCAGTTGATGCTTGAGCTATAATATCTCTTTTTTCATCAATAGCTAATGGAATTGAACTACTCTGAATTAATGTTGGATTTTCAAACCCTAGTTTATCTATTGCTTGTATCAATCTTGGATCTAAATTCAATGAATCCCATGTAGTATCTTCATCTAAATATGTTGATGATGCAGCTGTTAAATTTGACATGATGAGATGATATTAATCTAATTTTTTATAACGAAATGGTAGCGATATGTTATAATTCTGACACACATAGATACTAATGCAACTAGAGTGACTAAATTATATTAAACAGCAACAAGATATGTATTAGAAGGTTCAATTTATGATAAGTATCCCAGGATTAAAAAATCTTACATCAATCAAATGAAGTGAAGGAGATTGATTGACGTCCCGTGACTCGTCTCGTGTTTCATTGTTGGCTATATGTCAAACCCGGCCAAAAACAATTCGGCAAAGGGGATTTAGCTCAGTTGGTAGAGCGCATGCCTTGCAAGCATGAGGCCAGGAGTTCGACTCTCCTAATCTCCAAGATAGTAGATGTTAATTGCATCTTAAAAAATATTGATTTGGTGAAGATTTACTTACGGAATTTGTACACTTTGTTGCAGGGCTGTAATCTTCAAGAATCGCATCTATTTTTTTAATTTTGTTATTCAGGTAATACTTTTTTAAGTTGTATAATTTAGATAGCTTTTGATGTACTTAGCAACAGTGTACAAGCTTCATGGATGCATGGTTTTCAAAAAAAATCGACTCTACTTGATCCCTTCACGCTTCTACAGTTCTTCATTCTGTGGTCTTAAATGGATTTTTGCAAAAATTGGTGATAATTCAGCATCGTTCATCCTTTTTTGCAACAATATCAATGGTTTCAGATTGGATACACTATAGTGATAGTTTCCACCCATCAATTAAACTATTGCAAACTCGCTAGTATGTTTAAATTCTCTAATTACTGTCTATGTTATTAAATCTTAAATGGCTGCAAAAAATGAGATCTGATTTTTTCTGCAATCTCCGTAACTTCTAAAAATAGTAAACTCCGAGTTCTCAGATTTGACTCATAGGATTTAAACCTTTTCAGTTTCCATTAATCATGCCTAAGTACAAACAAGTTGATGTATTTAGTGATACTCCATATTTAGGTAATCCGGTAGCTGTCATTTATGATGCTGATTCATTGTCAACTTCTCAAATGCAAAAAATTGCAAATTGGACAAATTTATCAGAAACTACGTTCGTTTGTAAACCAACAACACCAGAAGCTGATTATAAATTAAGAATATTTACACCTGGTACAGAATTACCATTTGCTGGTCATCCAACAATTGGAACTGCTCATGCATTAATTGAAGATAAATTAATCAAACCAAAGAGTGGAATAGTAGTTCAAGAATGTGGTGCTGGTTTAATTGACATTGAAGTAATTGATGGTACTTTATACTTCACGGCTCCTGAATACAAGTTTTTTAATCTTGATTCAAGCTCAATCACTAAGTCGTTTGGAAAGAAGGTTATTAATAAACCAGTCAAATCAGATACCGGTCCATATTTTGCCATTTTCCAATTCGAATCACCTGAAGATTTATTAAATATCAATATTGATTTACCATTGATTGAAAAATTCAGTAAAGAGAATAGTCTTACTGGTGTTGGATTATTTGCAGAATATAATGATGGTAATTTAGAAACAAGATTAATTGCTCCATTAGTCGGTGTTAATGAAGATCCAGCAACTGGTAGTTTATCAGGAGCATTAGGTCATTATTTAAAACAGACTTTTGATATTAACCAAGGTAGAAAAGTTAAACGAGATTGTAAAATTAAAGTTAAATATGAAGATGGTAAAGTTAAAGTTGGAGGTAATGCAATTACATGCTTTGATGGTCTATACAATTCATAATTCATTAGTCTATAATTAATCTATAAAATAATCTATAACTTTTCTGATTCTGCTAAGTCTTGTTCAAATGTAGAAGATTCTGAATGTTCAGGTATATTATTCAGTGATTCCTGATCCCTGATTGGTGAAGGTATTTCAATATTTGACCTTCGTGAGGGTCTAGCTTCTAGATCAGGTCTTGAATTTCGTCTACCCGTAATAACTCTAGCCAATTGATTTCCAATATATTCTGCCCCATTTTCATTATCTGTATCTTCTGCATCATCATCAATTTCACCAGCAATTGATCTCTCTCGTTTTGATCCATTACGCATACCATACACTGGGAATACATTTTTAGGAGATTTTCTAGATCTGACACTAATTGAAGAATTTCTTGATGTTGATCGCCTTACCACATTTGGTCTACTTGGTTTTCTATAAGGTTTTGGTTGTAAATCATCAGGTGATAAATCAGATTTACTTGATTCTTCACTTGTCAATTCTTCTTCTTCAAATTGTGGTTTCTTTTGTCGTATAACTCTTGAATCTTGATTAATATATGGTTGTTCATCCTTCATTTCATAATTAGGTAAGTTTAATTCTTTTCTATCTCTTTCAACAACGACAATATGTAAGTAATAAGTAATAACAACCCCAAAAAATGAACCACCGATAATATTTCCAATTGCTCCAGGTATGAATACCTTCCAAACCACCAAACCAACTGATACTGGTGCCTTATTAATTAATCCGATTATAAGTAAATACATATCTGCAACTGAATGAGTAAAGCCCATACTGACAAATGTGAATATTGGTAATACCATCATTATAAATTTAACATGGATTGGCTTAGCCATTAATTGTAAATAAATAGCTAAACAAACATAAAAATTCCCAGCAATAGCTTTAATTAAATTTTGAACAAATGAGAAACTGGTCTTACTTAATATGACTTCAGTTGAACCCTGGACATATAATTCACTAGTTGTAGCGTGGGAATAATGACAAATCACATAACATACAAATATAGTACCTACCAAGTTAAACGCATAACTTATTGTCCAACTTATAATTAAATCAATTACCGAAATTGCCTTACGACACAATCCAGCACTAAAAAACAATATATTTGAATTGAATAAATCAACACCAAGTATAACAACATAAGTTAATCCAATTGGCCATACTAAACCTTGTAATAAATAAATAATCCCCGGATTAGATTTATATATTTCGGGCATGGTACCTTCTATTAAAACATGCAACATTCCACCACTAGTGAATAACATACCACCAATAATTGAATTTATAATCAAAGTATCTATTCTTAATCTTGCTTTTTTCATTGATGTTGCTACTACTGCTAATGCAGCTTCATAAGTAGAAAGATATAAATTATCATCCATAGATTGAAAAACTATTGGAAATTATGGATTTAAAATCTGAAACCAGCTCGAGAGTAATATATTAATTGGACCGAAAAAAAGTGAGACGGTAAATCAGATAAAAAAGCCTTCGTCAAAGAAATTTAGCATTCCATACGTCATCGGATTTTTTCCTTATTCAGGGTATTTAAAATTTAACGTTTCGGAAAAATCTCGCGGAATATCGTATAAACTAGCATAACTCACTTCTTGGTTTAGCACTAATAGTGTTCTTGTCCAAGTGATTTAGAATGATCAATGGAGCAAAAACCAATTTTATGTTATAGTGATCAAGTACCACATATATTTATATTATTAAATCAATTGAAAATTATGTGGTTCTCCAAATTTATCATGACAGCGACTAATAACTAGCAATAGTTATTAATCAAACTCGAATGATGAATAGAGAAAACTTAGCTTCTGAAGTTTGAATTTGAATGTACCATAATTCATTGTGTTGTTTTGGTTATAGGTGCCCACAGCTGTTTATTTTATGAGGCTAATTTTTGGAAACCCCTTTTCAATAATATATAGATACTAAGTCATTTTTTGAATGTACAATTATCTTATAAGTGTTATTAGAAAAGATTCTTGTAGTTTTTGTCCACTTTGAATTCTTGATTGTTCATTGTTGTGTATTAAATAAATCACTACTTGACATATCTAGATCAATATCGTCATCATAAAAGTCATCATTATTGACTTCAGCTTTGGCTGATATAGACTTGTCATCAACATTACTTTCTACAGGTGTAGATATTATAGTTTACTTCATTTCATCATTATCACCATTTTCTTCAGGTTTAACTTCTTTAGATTTCTTCATTGATTGTTTTGCCAGTTTAACTAACTCTTTAAATTCATCAGAATATTCATCCATCCATTCCTTAACCAGAAAATTCTTATCAGTAATTGATTTACTAATTGAATTTCTTACAATTTTGAATGCCAGGTGTGAACTTTCCCATTTCTGCAATTTCTGTAGAAGTACTTTTTCAGACACTGGTCTATTACTATCCAAATTTGAATTAAAAAGAACAAAGTATTCATTATATCTTAATTCCAACTGATTTCGATTTCCATTTATGGGTAATGTCAATGCTGATAATTTTTCTTTCAATTTGGGAGTAGTTAATGATGAATAATCTAGTTTTGCTAGTCTCTTGATCGGTACGTTTGTCTTTGAATTGAAATAATACTCATCGTGGCCCAATTTAGTTGGAACTGTGTTTGGGTTGTTGTTTGGTGACGATGGTGGTGATTCATTTGGACTTGATTTGAAAAATGACGATATTGATGATGGTTTGCTTGTGTTTCTTGTTCTTAATCTTGATGCAACTGTTCTTTTTAATCCACATTCATCTATATGATTTGTATTTTGCAATGTTTCCATCGGGAGTAATTGATTACACACCGGACATTCGACTAGATTTGGATCCTCTACTTTTGGTTTCTTCACCACTTGAACTTCTTTCTCTTCTTGTTTTCGTTTGCCATTATTTTCATGAGTGCCGTTGGCTTCATTCTGTTCTTCATTTTTGATTAATTTTAACAAATAGGGACGAATTTCTTTATAACATAATACTATCTCTTCCAATAATACATCTCTTTTCAAACTACTTTCAAATACTTCAGTTTTACATAATGGGCATAAATTATTTGATATCAAGTATTCTCGAATACATTGCGAACAAAATGTATGATTACATGAAGTTATAACAGGTGCTTTAAAAAATTCTTTACATATATAACAACGTTTCAATAAATCTAATTCTGATAATATTGGTAATTTTGTATTTTTGAAATCTGACGGATCCGTAATTAGTTGTAAATGATTTGATAAATTCATAACTGGTATGCGTTACGCGTGAGAAGAGTCTCAAATTTTGATTTTGCGTTTTGAAAAAAGTTTAAATTTGGTTGCGAAATTTAGAATATTATGCGAAACTATATTAATCTATAAATATATACACTATAATTCATCCTTTTCAATTGGATTGATAGATGTTGATGTTGGTTTTGCTTTTCTGACAGTTCTTGTTACTTTTTTAGTGATGGTTCTCTTTGGTTTTTTGGTTGTAGTTTTTGATGATGTTGTGGATGAGGTCGAAAATTCTACTTCTATTGAGCTTGGACTAGCAGTACTAGATTCCTCAGTAGATATTTCAAATTGCTCTTCTGGTTCATTTATTGGTTCTTCGTTGACACCTGGTAAATTATTTATTAATGGTTGTTCAATTGGTGCTTCTAAAATTTCTGAAACTTCTTCAATTATATCAGAAGATTCAGTTTGAGTAGATTCAGAGTTATGTGGTTCTGGTATAGTAATTGGTGATCCAGATGGTTCTAAATTTAAGGAAGATTGATCAGCTATAGATAAAATTTCTTCAGATGATTCGATTGAACTTTCTGGACTTTCTTCTTCTATATCTTGGACAGTTTCAACGTCAATTGGTGATGTGATTTCAGTATTTGACTCAGTTTCTTCCTCTTGTTTCTTCTGTTCGTCAATTGGTGCAGTAGCATCTTCTTTTATTTGTTGCATTTGATCATCAGCTTCTACTTCTTCTAAAATAGGTTTAACTGGTTTTTCATCAGGTTGAGGAACCGGAGTAGGTTGAGCATCAACAGTTCCTAAATCAATAGAAGTTGAAATTTCTTCATTTGCAATTGGTGTTGGTGTAGCTTCAGCCATGTCTTCAATTATATGAGTTTCTGACTCACCATCTTGAACGCGTGAAGGTTCAGGTAATGATTCAACAGTAGTTGACGATTCTTCTTCAATCGAACTAATATCTGATGGTTCGTGAATGTGCTTTTTAGTCTCTTGAGTAGAAGATTGCTCAACTTCAGAAGTTTCGGTACTTACTGGTGTTTCTGTTTCTTGATCTTCTACCTCTTCAATTATAATCTCTTCTTCTATTTCATCAGTTGATTCTGGAGTTGAAGTTGCTGAAGTTTCTGGTTCTTCTTCATCTTCGATAATGATTTCTTCAACTATTTCTTCATCAGCATCTTGTTCTGGCTTGTCAACTTCTTTTTCAATTATAACTTCTTCAATTTCTTCTTCATTTAATTCTTCTGGTTTTGTCTCTGGTTCTGGTTCTTCAATCTCTTCTTCAATTATGACTTCTTCAACTTCTTCAGTCTCCTCATTAGCTTCTGGTTCTTCTTCAACTTCCTCTTCTATTATAATTTCTTCTACTTCTTCAGTTTCTGGTGATTCCATACTTGTAGTTTCAGGTTTATGATCTTCAAAAGAAGCTGGTTGTTCAACACTTGTATTATTATTAACTACTTCAATTGCTGAAGTAAATTCAGGTTCAGCAGATGCTTCTAAGCTTGATAAGGATGAAATTGAAGGTTCTATTTGAGTTTTTGATTCTGATGATGGTTTAAAAATTGGAGTTGATAATTCAATAAGTGATGGTTCAGCACTTGAAATTTCTTTTGAAGATGGTTTAACACTCGCAGTTTCCTTCAATTCTTGGGTTGTTGGTGTTCTTGTTGATTCTATACTTGTTTCAACTTTACTTGTATCCAAAGTTATATAATTACTTGTATCACTTAAGAAAGTTTCACTATCAAAATCACTTTTCAAAGTTTCAGCATCTATATTTTTAGTAATTTCAGAAACTATATCATTCAAAGTACTAGCTTTCGTATTAGGTTTATTGAATTTCTCATTATAAAGTTCAATACCCTTCTCTGATAATTTTCTATAATATTCTTCACCCAATATTAATCCTTCTTTACCATATTTTTCTAAATAATCATAACCTATTAATCCATATTTATATGCAACTTCACTATAGTCCTTACTGTACTCAATCAACTCATTCAATTTCCCACTTTCATTCATATTCTGCACAACTATACCAAATACAGCTATCAATATAATTGTGAATAAATAGTGGAATATTGAGCTAATCATAGATTTACCTTTTGATAAATTAGCAGGCAATTTAAAAACATGTAATGTATTCGCAGCTGAACCAGTTGCTAATTTTAATCCATTAGGTGAGAATGAAACTGAAGTAATTGCAAAAGGATGTAATTTTTTAAAAGTTCTTAATATTTTAAAATTGGCGAGGTTCGATATTGTTACTGTGAGGTTGTTCGATGCAATTGCAATTAAATTGGAAGTTGTAGATATATCCAATGCAACTATATTTGAAAACTGTTTTGAAATGAGCTGTGATTTGGTGATTTCTTGAGATTCAATATTATAAATGAATAAATAAGCACCCGATTTACCTTTTGCATTACCTGAAATTAATACTTCTTTTGAATTTATAAATTTTATTCTTGAAAATGTAAAATTATCAAACATTTTAGAAGATGCTAAAGTACCATTATCTAATGAAATAATATTGATTGAGTTTAAACTTAATAATATAGCTTCTTTATTATTTGGATTAATTGCCAAATCTTTAACTTCAAAGTTCAGTTCATATTTATTCTTTAATTCCAAATTATCAGGATTGAATATGTAGATTGTACTAGGTAATTTTGAAGTCATAAAACATCCCAGGGTATTGTCATTTGAAATTTTTATAATTTTTGGATATTCTTCTAAATCTGTAATTTCAGGTTCGAATTGAGCAGCGTCGTTGAATCTTAAATGTTCAGCCATTGTATAAATATATTTTCTAATATTATTATTTATATTCATTGTCTTGATCAATTGACTGCTTTGATTACATCCAATTAATACATTAAACTCATTCAAATCATCTAATTTAACTGTATCCAAACATTGTGGACTATCTTCATTTGAAGGTAATGTTATTTCTCTAAATTTTTGTAATCTTCTTCTAACATCATTAATTTTAAAACTACATTTAATTGCAGTTATCTTATTTGGAATACCATTATTTCCTTCACCACCACCACCAGCAACTAAAATAGTCTTATTATTAATGAATTTAGCACCCATTATAGGATAACCAACATCAATAGTTGCTGATTCTTTCAATGACATTTTGGTTCTTCTTTGACACGTAAATAATAAAAGAAGCAAAATATAAATTTACAACCAACAAAAAAAAAATTGTAGAACTAGATCATCCTAATTGGGAGTTGTACTACGCCGCTTATAGATATGTTTTAGGCCAGTTTTTGCGCTCTCGATTGTCAAATTTTCATATCTTATGAAATCTTTACTATCGATTCTGAGTCATGTTGTACATGGTTATGTAGGGAATAGAGCAACTGTATTCCCATTACAGTATAATGGATTTGATGTAGATGCTATAAATACTACTAATTATTCAAATCATCCTGGTTATGGAACTTTTAAAGGTAATAAACTGCAACCACAGTTGATTTCAGATTTAATCAAGGGTTTGAAAAAGATATTAGATTTTAGAAAGGATTATAGTATGATTTTAGTAGGGTATTGTCCAGATGAAGAAGTATTGAAACTAATAAAAGGAGAAATTGGACTAAATTCAGCTTCTAAATGGATTATAGATCCAATTTTAGGAGATAATGGGAAGTTATACGTACTGGAGAATTTAATACCCATATATAAGGAGATACTACAAAACTATAGCATTTCATTAATTACTCCAAATCAATTCGAGTTTGAGGTGTTATCTGGTACTAAAATTGAGAGTTGGGATGAGTTAATAAATGCCGTGAGAGGCTTTCCTAACGTTGAAAATATAGTAATTTCATCAATCAGTATAGATAACAAGACATATTGTGTTGGTGTTAATAATGGACAACTATTTGCAGTCCCGATCAAGACAATAGATTGTAATTTTAATGGTTGTGGAGATTTGTTTAGTTCATTATTAGCCAATGAATTTTACAATAATAAGTTTCAAATTAATGCTGATGTATTAGTTAAAGTTACAAATAAATTACACAAGATGTTAGAATTAAGTTATGAAGAAGAGATTAAAGTAACAAATAAAATACCTACAATAGTTAAAGATATTCGAATAATAGCCGCAAAAGAATATTTATTAGATAGCTCAATTGGTAGCGATATAGAACAAGATATAAAATATATAAACGTTTGATTTTGTGCATGCGTATAATAAAAATTGATGATAATATATTAGTATAGTATAGATCATGTTTAAATATTCATTGATACTACTACTATTTATAACATTTGTATATATTTATAGTAATATACAGCTACAGAAAGATGAGAAGATTATACCACCACAACATGGACTCCAGTTAAAGCATATTTATCATCATGGAACCACGTCAAAAAATTATAAAATCCACAGGAGATTAGATATAACACCACAATATATTAAAGACAATGAAGAGTTTCATGCTAGTAGTCTAGAAGATTGGCCAAAAGTACATCATGGTAAAAACCCCTTCACTATAACTTTACCTATAAAATCAAAAATTAACAAATCAATCAGACTTAAAGATAGGCATGAACCAAATTTTGTTGAATCATATCTTGAATTTGCAAGAACGACAAAGAATGAAAATTTATTGCCAGGTATTCATTTTGACTGGATAGATGAAGATATATCAGTTCCAAATATTACAGATAAAGATACTTTAGTTTCATTAGCCACCATATCATCAAATTCATATGTTAGATTTCCACAAAATGATGAAGAAAAGAAGAAATCAGATTGGATAGATGTTGTTGGTTGGTTACCAGATAAAAATAATTCAGATATTAATTTTGGTTGGGATGATATTGGTTTACGTGGTCATGTTTTCGTTTCAACTGATAATAAAACTGTCGTAATTGGTATAAAGGGAACTTCAGGTGCTGGTTTACCTGGTGGTGGATCAGATGAAACTGGGCCACAAGACAAAACAAACGATAATTTATTATTTTCTTGTTGTTGTGCTAGAATTAGTTATATGTGGACAACAGTATGTGATTGTTATGAAAAAACATATACTTGTAATCAAGATTGTTTAGAAAAAGAATTAAGAAAACCTGATAAATATTATCAAGCAACTTTAGATATTTATAAAAATGTAACTAGTTTATATCCACCTGATAAATATGAAATATGGGTAACTGGACATTCATTAGGAGGTGCATTGGCTTCTTTATTAGGTAGAACTTATGGATTACCAGCAGTTGCATTTGAAGCACCAGGCGAAATGTTAGCTACAAAAAGATTACATTTACCTCAACCACCAGGTTTACCTAAACATTTGGAAAATATTTGGCATATTGGAAATACTGCTGATCCAATTTATATGGGAGTTTGTAATGGTGCAAGTTCTAGTTGTAATGCAGCTGGTTATGCAATGGAAACTGCTTGTCATACTGGTTTACAATGTGTTTATGATGTTGTTACTGACTTAGGTTGGAGAGTTAATTTATTAAATCATAGAATTCATACAGTTATTGATGATGTTATATTAATTTATAATGAAACTGCAAAATGTGAAGAGCAACCTCCTTGTAGAGATTGTTTTAATTGGAGATTTGTTTCTCATTATGATAATGAAGATGATGAACCAAGTTTACCAAATCCATTAAATCCAAGAAGAAGTACATTAATTACAAAAACAAAAAGTATAACAAGCATTGAATTAACAACAACTACTACATATAAAACTACTACTGATTCACCACAGCCTACTGAAATTGATCCACCAAAGAAATGTTTGAAAAGAAATTGGTATGGTTGGTGTGTTGAATGGGGTTATGATGATGATGACGATGAAGATGGGAAAAAACTATACATAGCATAAATAGAATTTATAGAATTAAAGAATAATGATGAATACTTACATTTCAAACTCTGTAGCTGTAGTTGGTTGAAAAATGCACACATCACCTCCATTTCATCACATAGTTATCTTATCGCGATCACGTGAATCTGCTTGGTCGGGAAATAGCTCCTATCCCGTCGAAAAAAAAATTTACAACACCATCCAAACTCAAAAGTAACATCAATGTATAAACAAATCAGAACTGAATACTATTTGTATGAGCACATTGATCTTAAATTGATTGATTTCTTAGATATAAGCTGATGAAATCTCCATAGAAATGCGCTACCAAATGACCAAGTCATATCAATATGAACATAACCATTGTTGGAGTTGCGTCATGTAAATTCTTCTGGTTTGTTTTGGCTCAAAATCCGAAGAGGCAATGATCTAAGTTTCTACAGGAATTATTAATGCACCTTGATTTGAAATAAAATTTGCTTAAATCTTAATCAACTACTTATTAACGAACAGTTGAAAGAATGTGAATTCAACTTTCATTATTCCAATCAGCTCAATTGGACCATTAATAGACAAGATCATCCTTAATTAATTAAAACTAGGCGTATAATTCAAATAATACGAATTTAAAAGTTTCTTTTTTTTCTCGAATAGCAAACTACGGCTGAAACTTTGAACCTCTAAAACTTTGAACCTCTAAAACTCTGAACCTCTAAAACTCTAAAACTCTAAAACTCTATTTACTATCGAAAGGAGAATGAAGAAAAAAGGAGACAAGGAGCATGTTCATTTTAAGTTTAGTTACAACTATTGATATGTTATCAATTAGCAAACTAATTAAAGTAATTTTAAATGTGAATGTTTAGTGTCAATTTTTAACCATGGTGGGCTGAGTTGTAAATCATAATTTCACTCCTGACTTATAGAAGACTAAAGTGAACTAACTCAAAACCAAAAATAGGTTGAAAATCAATTGTGAAACGGCTTAGACATTGAGTTACTAAATGATATAAAATTTAAAACTAAGTCATACATGTTAAATTCTATTTCATTCATTGCATAGAATATTACAAATGCGGCTGTTTTCATTACTAAATATAGAAATCGAAGAATTATAAAAAAAAAAAAAAAAAAAAAATTTATAAGTAAATGCATAGTCACTTAAATTTATATTTAAAAATGGGCTTGTTTATTTTTTAATCTTAATAGGTAAATGAATATGAAATTCGAAAAAAAGGTTCAATTGAGCGAGATTTACCTTATAAATGAATGGATAAGGGACAATTGCTATATACTTGTGTCTACATTACTGAAACATGTTACACTCGGAGATATTTCATGTTAAAAGTCAAAATTATAATTGAAATCCATGCGATCTTGAAATCTTTAAAGCTTGAAAAAATATGGTTGCAGATACACTATATGCAGGATCTAACACAATACCGTAAAAAAAAAAAAATAATTGTTTACAATTTTAACTTTAACAGAAAAAGAAAATTGTTAGAGGTAAGAAAATTTCACAATAATCTTCATCACCACTTAATATTTAGTTGACCTGCCCATTCCAAGTAGAATTTAGAGTTTTTTTTATTTGGGAGTTAATTGCTATAGATTCATATTATATTAATTATATTATATTTATTTATTTATATTTTCTTTCATCTTTCTTTTTCATTTTACAAACCATTTGATAGTTTATCAAGATGAAGTTTTATAATACTTTTATCAATTTATTCTTTTTAGCTGGTACTATATTATTATTAATATTTACAGTATTATCAGGTTCATCAAACCATTTCCCATTAAATAGATTTTATTGGTTAGAAGCTGATACTTCAGATATTCCAAATGCTCCAGCAGATAGATCAGCATGGACATTTTGGGGAGTTTGTGATAAAGACGATTATTCAAATTGTTTAACGGGACCAGCTTATCCAATTTCACCAGAAGACAATTTTAATGCTACAAGTAATGTTCCATTAAAATTTCTTAATCAACAAAATACATTTTATTATTTGTCAAGATTTTCATTTGCATTTTGTTTAATTGCTTTAGCTTTTACAGGTATTTCATTTATAATTGGAATTTTATCATTCTGTTTCTTAGTTATTGACAAAATTGTTATATTTTTAATTTCAATTGGTCTATTATTTTTAACAGCTTTTTGTTCATGTCAAACTGCAGTTATTGTATTGGCAAAACAAGCATTTAATGATGCTGATAGATATGCTCATGTTGGTGCTAAATCAATGGGTATAATGTGGGCATCATTTGTATGTTTAGTTATTTGTTGGTTATTAGTTTTCAGTTCAAATATTGCTCAAAGTTATAGAAAACATATGAATAGAGTAAATCAAGAAAAAGGTTATAATCAACAACAACAAGGATATCCAGAAAATGATCAAAGTTCATTTACAAGATCACAACCAGTTGTAAAAGATGAAACTCCTGCAAATAATAATACTGGTGGTATTAGATTTTTTAAAATTAAAAGAAATCAAAAAGTTTCAGATGAAGAATCAGAATAGATGAATATTTTGTTTTTATACCATTACATTAATCCAATTAGAATTAATTTTCGATTTAACGTTGTTTTATATATATATATTTTACATAATTTTTTAAAACTCAAACAATTTAATACTTAATAATAAATAAAAAACAATTTAATACTTAATAATAAATAAAAAACAATTAACAGATCTAATGTCTAATTAACCATTTCTGACATTAAATATTTCTGACATTAAAAATTTCTGACATTGAACTAATAAAAAATCTATTAATAAATAACCACGAGGTTTATACTGTAAATCGAATAGGAGAATGAAAAAGTCAAATTTAGAGTGTTATTCCATATTTAGAAAGCGGCTCAAAGAATAAAGTACTAAAGCCGCATTTTGAAAATGTAAAGCTGGTTGCAAAAATCCAAGATGAGTTTCAAAATGAATTGAATTCAACATCTACTTTAGAAACCAAGATTTTTTTAACCTTATTTTTTATATTTATTGCATCCCTAAACCTCCCCACATTTCAAACTATACTTCGTAAATTATATGAAAGAGAAGGATAAGAAGTAAAGGAATTGAGTTCAAAATTTGTTGAGTCTGGGGATAAATTTGTAGCCAAAATACAATTAATTAACACTTTGCTTAAATGTATATTATAATGAAACATTGAAACACTTAACACGGATCATTCCTCTAAATAATTTTAGTTAATATCTAATTTATTAGACGCTGTGACTTTAAAATAATTCCATAATTTAATGTCCGAAACAATTAAAGAAGAAATGCCTAGTAAGGTGATGGGATTCTATTGGACTTCTATTATACTTTACATCTTTTTAATGACTTTTATCAATTAACCAACATAAATTTATACATTTAAGCTTTATATTCTACATAATTATACGCTGTTTAATAGTAATAATTGGTTAGTAATAAATATATATATTTCCATGGTGATGTAATTTTTATTAGTTTTTATTAAGTAATCTTTTTTTTTTTTTTAATTTTTTTTTTTTTTTATTTTTTGTTTTGCTATAAAAATTTAAAATATAAAAAGTTAACCAATTTATTCATATTTAAACAATCAGATCATTATCAACAATAACTATATAAACGTTTACTTATCATTTATCAACAATTTATAGACAATCAGTAATTTATTTCAATCAACTAATTATACTTTGTATTATTATTTACCATTTTATATATTTAAATCCCTCATTCCATCTATCACTAATATAACATTTTTTTTTACAGCCAAATTTGTAATCCCAGGGCAATTACTAATATATTGACACATTATTAGTATGACTAAAGATAATCATCATCATCTGTTAAGAAATCTATTTAAAAAAGAGTCAACTCCGGAAAATAGTATACCCAGCCCCAATTCATCATCTCATATTGGTTTATCTAAATTATTTCATCATAGTAAGGAACACCATGGTTTGAGTCCTAATAATTCAAGAAGTCATGATATAATAACACCACCGAAAAGATCATCATCAAGTTTATCATTAAAACGAAGAAATTCCAATCCAATTAATCGAAATAGATCAAACTCGGAATTAGCAAATCAACAACAATATAATGTACCTGGAGGTGGTGGTAAGAAATTTACTAAAGCAGAGACGTTTGATACAAGAATTGCAGCAAAACAACACCTTAGAAATAGTAGAATACCATCAAATCATAATAATCATTCTCAAATAGTACCTCCACCTGCTCCACATCCTGATAAAATTGTATATAATCCATATGGTATGAATAAGACTCCATCACAAGAATTACCAAAAAACACTAGCTTTTATTTATCAGGAGGTATTGATGGAGAACGAGTTTTACAAAATCCCGTTGCTGATCCAAATCAATATCTCCCGACTGAATTACAACAAGCCCATGTAAATTTATTAGAAGATTTTGAAATAGATGTAAGTAAGAAAAACTTAGGTGATGGTGGATCATCAGATGTTCGCATAATAAATTCAAGTCATCATAAAAAAGCATTATTTGCATTGAAAAGATTTGTATTATTGCATAAAGAGACGGATGAAGAGTTTTATAAAAGAGTGGCTAAAGAATATATTATCCAAAAGAAAGCAAGTTTATCAAGACATGTAGTTGATGTAATGGCAATTTTAAGAATACAATCTCAATCTAATTTATCTAGAGGTTGGGGTATGGTTATGGAATTTTGTGGAGGTGGTGATTTATTCAGTATGATTGTTAAACCAGGATGGAAAAGAACACCACTTAATGAAAAATATTGTTTATTTAAACAAATAAGTTATGGATTATTATTTTTACATCAACAAGATATAGTTCATCGAGATTTAAAACCTGAAAATGTATTAATTGATTCAAATGGATTAGCTAAATTATGTGATTTTGGAGTTTCTGATTATGGACATGAAGATCCACAAAATTTTGATTCACCTATTAAATTATCTCATTCTTATATTGGTTCACCACCATATTCACCACCAGAAGTAATGTTACTCAAGGAAAAATCACACTTGGAGGCTAAAAATTTTGGTTATAATAGTTTTAAAATGGATTGTTGGGGCTTAGGAATGTTATTATTTTGTTTAGTTTATTCAGGACTTCCTTTCCAACAATCAACCCCAAATGATCATGCTTTTAGAGATTATAAATTTTCACATAAAAGATTTTGTTCTGATCATCCAAATTTTAAAAATAATCATGGACATCCAAAAGGTCCAGGTTCAGAATTTAAATTTGCTGCTAAATTCGAGTCATCAGGTGCTTCCAGAGTTGCATGGAAATTATGTGATCCATCAGTAGAAACAAGATATAACCTCAAAAATTTATTTGAAGATCCATGGTTTATTTCATTGGAAATGTGTATTTATGAAAGTGAGGATCAATTAATAAATCCATTTGTATTACCTGGTACTGGTGAAAATGTTACAACAATGCCAAAATCAAATCAATCAAGTAATAATAATTCTCAAGTACCAAGTAGGAAACCAACTGAAGAAAATTTAAATTCATCATTTAGATCTATGTTGGATATAAATGAAGGTAATATTGGTAATTCATCTTCAAATTCAATTCATTCAGGCTCAAGTGTTACCAATTCACCAAAAATTAGATCAATGTTGGATGCAGATAATTCTCATTCACCTAGTTTACAACCTAATAATGGTGCATTACCAGCATTGGAAGAAAGCTCAATCGAGGATGGAGAAGAAGAAGACGTTCTTCCAAATCAAGAAGAAATGAAATTGAATCAAATTAATGAAGAGAAATTGAATCAAATTAATGAAGAGAAATTGAATCAAGAAGAACAAATGAATTTAGAAATTGAAAAAGCACCTCCAAGTCCATCAAGTCTTACTCAAGAACCTCATCCTGATCCTAATCAAATTTCAGTAGGTCAAAATAGACATGGATTACATTCATTAGCTGATTTACAACCAAAATTATTAAAATCAAAATCTGATTTAAAGTTGGATAAAGATGGTTTATGTGATCTAGGTTATAAAATTAAAAAGCATCATCATTTAGAAGTTAGTAATACTGCAATACTGGGTAGTTTAAGAAAAATATAGTACATATATACAATTTTATTTATTTTTAAACAGATTTGTGTTTATCGCGACTCTTTGTGCGATGTTAGGCAGCTGATAAAAAATTCCAATGCGAAAGAAGTTTATTTTGTCGCCTCGAGTAATCGCATTGAAAATGCCATACTCTAGTTTGAGCAATATAGCTTGTATACTGAAGGAGTAATTTACAAATGAAAATTTTGAGATTAACTACTAGAAGACTGCATATAAACGTTTCAGAATATTTACTCTATTGTTATTAAGTGGTGTTCAACAAAACGCCGCCTAAGCTACAATGAATATTTCAACTTCAATACACTCTCTTTGTTAGGCCATTGGTTTATTGAATTTTTATTCTTTCTTTTTTTTTATTCACATCTTTATTGTAATGACAGATATTATATTGCATCCAAAATTATCATGATTAAAGTTGCCCTTGTTCAACAATTTCAAAGAATATAAATTAAGAAAGTTATAAAAAAAAATAATATATATTATCAACTAGCGTCTAATTTATTAATTTTAATGATTATCAATTCATCAAGAGCACCAAAACGGAAAGCCCCTAAGGATCTAGATCAAGATATGTTGATTGAAATTAATCCAATAGACGAAGATATAATAATTCCAGCAACGACTAATTCAATATTATCAAAATCAATTTTAATATCACCTAAAAGAATTAGTAAATTTAATTTCAGATCCAAATTGCAATATCAATACATCATCAATTATAATAAAAACATAAGGAGTTGCAAAACATTAAATGATTTTCAAAATATAATTAGTCAATACAATAATGATAATATTATAATTAAAAGTAATGGTCTTAAGAATGGTTTCAGGTTAATTTTTAAAATTCAATCTCCAAAATATTTATCTGATGTTTTATATTTCATTATTGTTGAAAAATTACCAATTACAAATGAAGGTATTAAAGTTAATCAGATTGGAATTAAGGATTCTATTGTTGAAGTTATTTTTGAAAAAGATGTTAATAAGAATTATCATGATTATTCAACTTATGCTTACCATTTATTCAAATATTGTAAAATTGATTATGGTGCTGATATTGACTCAATCAATATTATTGACCCAAATAATAAGTTAAAGCCGTATGATATTGTATTAGTTTAAATATTTATCGTCTAATTACTTACTATATAAATCTAAAGAATTATTTTATACCGATCTACACGACCTATTTTATCAATTGAAAGGGAGTGCGGCGGCGATTAAAAAAACTACTTAAACGATCTAAATTTCCTCGAAAGAAAAAAAACACTATCTGTTATATTGACAATTTAATTCTGGGAAAGTTGTATGGACTTTTATTTGATTAAGAGGTAAGGATGATTACAACATTTTATAAGTTGTCAGGAGTGTAGTTTGATAAAGTAGTTTGATAAAGTAGTTTCATAAAGATTCTTAATAAGGATTACTGAAAACGCGTGTCAGAAGAATGAGATAATATTCAATTAATCAGTTAACAATGCTTCGTATGTCAAGGACTAAGATGATGGTAATCTTATCTGGTGAAGTGTTAACTGAATCATCGATATCTTTTCAAGTCTGTGAGGACTGTTTGGATCAAAGTATATAGATATTTGAGATTTGAATTTAACTCAAATCCAACTTGAGATTAATCAGTATCTACCACACTTTTGTTGAGAGCTAGTATCAATTTAACTCAAGCAATTCGATAAGAGATATATCTCGAATACCATTGTATGATTCAAATGTACATGTTGAATTCACTTAAATGTTGAGAGTGTCTATTCCGAAAGTTTTAAGATTGATTTGTACATTCGAAATCGAATTTGATGAATCTATTTTAAAATTAAAATGCTTTTATTATTGTTCATGGTACTAATGATTTACGAATACAAGAACAGTTTCAACTTTTTACAATTAATACAGAGTTGTATATCAACATGCAACATTAGTTTCAAGCTTAATTATCTTTAGAATATTGTAATTTAACATATTATTATGATCAACTAAGATAAATCCATTAACTACATGCTTACTCTTAAACTATTTTTATATTTATTAATTAAAAACTATCTTCGAACGTAATTTTCATTTAATTTAACCTTGTAATGACAATTTAGCTTTTGGATTTGTAACTTTAACACCATATTTTTTAGCTTTTTGAACAATTTCTATTCTGTTTTTAGCTGAAACACCTGATGAGATTTCAGCAGCAAAAGTTTTAGTATGTAATAATAAAACATCTAAATCTTTTAAGTTTTTAACTAATAAAACTTTATGACCTGATGGAGTCATGTATTTGGTTTTTTTATTTGAACCATAACCAATGTTTGGTTGTGGAATGGTACCTCTGAATCTTCTTCTAACACATGAATCAATACCTTTTTGTTTTCTCCAGTTTTCAGCTACTCTGTCGTATCTATCTGAATGATGTCTTTTAAATCTTTTGGTATATTTTTTAACAATTTTTGGGTGTGAAACTGAATTAGCCACTAGAATTTGTTAGTATAAATGATTTTGTAAACTGATATGACAATAAAATTATTTGAATCTCTTGTTGCTTGATAAATTTGAAGATGACCTGTCTCGTAATTTGAATATATATGCCCACAATGCCCACTCACTAGTTATGATTCAGTGCAAATCCATTAATAATGGTTTTTGTTTCTCCTTTTGTTATTCATATATGTACTTGCTTGAGTTATTGATACATCATTGTCATATAAATATAGTATTGAACATACTCTTTAATTGTCTATATTGATATAAAGAAAATGAAAAATTCTTCTAAACAAGTTAAAATTAAAAAAATTTTCAGTACTATCAAATTTGGCAATGCGCACAAAATATCGTTAACTATGGTACCGTAGTTAAGACGAGAATAGCGTGCTACCAATTGACACTGTCATATTTCGCACACTACTTTTTATTGATATAAGTTATAGCCCTAAGATCACGTGACGAGAAGTATGATTGCCGTACATTATGAGCACTGATTAATAGATTGATTTGACAGGGTTTAAATTGAGTTTGTTGTTGATATAGTGAATCACCATCGGCTTTAAATGATATAAATGATAGAGGATTAAAACAAGAGTCTGAGAGATGTACTCAATTTAACTTCTCCTTGTAATAGAATGAAAGTTGATCCACTGTCTCAATATCTTTGTTTATTATACGAATGGCTGGTTATCTTACTTTTTTCAATTTCGTAAATTTAAAGCAAAAAGATAAAATAAGAAAAGAAGATAAAAATGAAACAAAATTATACGCAGAAACTTTGGACACTTGCAGCTTTTAAACTTTAAACTTTTTAGGGTTGCAAATCAAAAGAAACCAGTTGAATTCTAGTTGTTGATCTATATTAGAATGCAATTGCTTCATTTTTATTAGTACAAAAAGCGTGGGGCGATATTTAGTTTAAGCACTTATACATTGAACACTAAGCGTAGTAATGTAAATAATTGCCAGTTGATACTCTGTAGATTCATTAAGTACATCTTGGTAATAAATCAAATAAAATTGGTAGTTCTTGCTATAATAATTAATTTTTAGCAACCAAAATAAATAAAAGCCAATATTTAATAAATCATACATTTTGAAACAACAAGCTATTTCCATACAGATTTCATAATTACCAGCATATATTTATAGAAACTTGGAGACCTATTCATTATTATTACTTAGAATTTATTATCATAATTTGATTTCAATATTATACTGCATAATTATATGATATAACATACGGGTTCTTTCAAATAGTTATACTATTCAATTTACGTCAACCATAATAACATCAACATCATTCAATTATGTCATATTTTGATAATCTAATATATCAACTACTATATTATTTATTTGTCGTACTTTCAATATGGTTTATATCATGGCAACTAATATATTTCATATTTGGTTTTAAATTAAATACAATTACGATTAATAATGGTATACTGTTTAATCAAATTCATTTTAAGAATAAGAAAATATCAATTTATATACTGTCTTTCAGAATTAGATTATGGGGAAATAGTCGAAAAATTATAATTGATGATTTAACTGTTAAAATTATATCCAAACCAAAGAGTAATTCAAATAAGAAGAAGAGTAGTTCAAGTAATTCAAGTAATTCAAGTAATTCAAATGATTTATTAAATTCTGACTTTGAAGAAATTAATGTACTACCGAATAATAAATTTGCCAGGATATTATTCAAATTTTTCATTACAAAATTACCTAATTTAGAGTTTGAATTTAAGGAATCTAAGCTTATCAGCTTTTTTAAGAATGAAACTCACGTTGAATTCGTCAAATTTAACATCAGAAGTAAATACTCAAAAAGGCTTAATAATACTATCAGATTCAAATTAAATTTAAATTTATATAACATTTTACATGTAGTCAATTCAACAGCTACTATAAAGCCTTTTAAGATACGAGGTCTAGTAAAAGACCTCAAATTTCTGATAAATTATGTTAATGGAGGTATAAACCAATTAAATTCAAGAATAAATATAAATGAAAGTGATTTATCATTATTTAATTTCATGAAATACTATTTTATCCGTGATGAATTGAAAAAGAAACAATTTTATAACCCTGAACCTATATCAGATGAAGAAAATAAAGCAAACAAAGTGGCAAATTTAGAAAAAGTTTATAAAATTTGTAAAATTATTTATTATTTGGTTAGTGATGTTAATATCCACATTGAAGATTCAAAAATTTCGGACATACCAATTGCTACAGTCGATGAAAACAAATCAATAAAAGATTATTTTAATCAAGAAAAACCAAATCATTCATTAGAATTAACTACAAAATCTGTATCGTTTAATTTTTCAAGATTATATAAAGATTCAGCTGGTTTTGAATTTTTATTTAATCCAAAACAGGATATTCCATTCCATGTAACATGTTCGATACAGTTACTTAAAATTCATTTTGCTAAAAGAATCAAATTTGAAACTGGTTATATAGGACAAGAATCTGATGAAATTTTAAATATTCCAAATTTTTCATTTACTTCAAAAGCAAATATTTTACATCAATTAATTACTCAAGGTGGTTTTAAAAATTGTGTACTGGAATGTTATTTTTCAACAAGTACTCCAATGTTAGATATAGATACAAAACAATTGAGTAGTTTATTATATAATTATGTGTTGATAAAGAAATATTCTAGTCTACAAAAAATACATAATCATATTCATAATGATTCAAAACAAAAGGACAATGAATCCAAATTTGAAATGAATAAATTATGGCCACCACCTAAAGAATCATTAAAATCTAGAATTTGGAGATATTTAAATGAATTTTATCCACAATTGGATATTAAATTAGTAATTGAACAGCCTAGATTCATTCTTAGACATTGTGAAGAAACTGCATTAAATAATAAAAACATACAACTACTTACATTTTCATATTCATTATTAAATTTTAATATGTCAACTACAAAATCAAGAGATTATATATTAAGTTGTCAAATTTTGTATCCTAATATTACTTATAATGAAAAATCAAATATTGCAAATCCAGAATTTAATAATGAAATTTTTAAAAAGGAGATTGCTTCTTTAAAATATTTTAATATTCAAATTGATGTATATAAGAATTTAAAAGTTAAAACTTCAGTAGATTTCAGTGATGTTAATTTCGATTTAACTAGTCTTGATATATTTTCAGGTGTTCATTATTTATTACTTGATATTACTAAAATTGCAGAACATGATTTAAAAATAGGAAAGATTAATAATATATTCAATGAGGAGTTAAACAATTTAAAAATGAAATTGATTAACAAGGAAATTAAAACGCAAAAGATCAAAATTGAAGATAAGATATTTAGGCACTTGCCAAAATGGATTACCAAAGTAGAACTTAAATTAAATTCGTTATGTATAAATCTTGGTTCAAGATCAGTTTTAATTCCAAAACAAGATTTATCTAAAACTTCAGCACCTTTTGACTTTGACATTGAGGAAGATCATATACTAAGAAAGTTGACAATAAAAGTCAAAAGTTTTAACTCATGTTTGATCAATAATGAAGAAGCTCATGATAAACCAGATGATTCATCTCTGGAAACTACATTAACTTCATTTACTGATGATACTGGATATTGGTCAGTTCAAACAAAATTGGAAGATTTAGATGTAATTATTCCTGATAAAGATTTAAGACAACCTAAAATGATTGATTTACCAAGTTTAAAAATTAATATTAATACAATTATGGATTTTAATGGTGAGAATAAATTAATCATTGATTCAGAAATTGATAAAATTGCAGTTGATTTTAGTAGATTTAAATTATTTACAACTATTGGTGCTGTTTATTTAATTAGAGAATATGTCATATCTCCAATAAAATTAATAAAACTGAAAGTAAGAAAAGATTTGTCACAATTTCATGAACCAATTTCAAAACAAGAAGAAAGTAAAGGTAACATACTAGACTTTATCCGATTCAATTTTAAATTAAACAATTCTGATTTTGTAATTAGATTAAGTGATGATTTTAAAGTAAAAATTCAGTTGGCAAATTTACAAATCAATTTACATGAAAAATTATTGAAACTTAGTCTTAACTTCATTAGAGCATTAGCTGATTCCCCTTTAAGTAAAGATAAATGGTGTAGATTATTATGTGTTGATTCATTATCATTGAATATGGAAGTTCCATCAAGAATCAATAAAAGAACATTGACTAATTCCCATATTGATATATATACCGATGCAATTAGATTAATTCAACCAAATGGTTTCATTGTGTATAAATTATTTGATAATATTTCAATTACAGTCAAGGCTGCAAAACATTTAGTCAAATTATTGAAAGATGATTCAAATAAAGAAGAGTTAAATATTATTCATCCACATTCACAAAACCCAATACCATTACCTACTATCAACATCAAATCTAGACATTTAAAATTTTTAATGGAAGATGATCCATTTGAGTCTGAATTAAATATGATTTATCAATTGGGATTAGTTGAACAAAGAAAAAGATTGGAATTGTATTCAATATTTGATGAAACAGCAAGGAATGAAGTCGAATATGGTGAGGATTATTTTAATAAATTGATGAGATTACATACTACGATTTCAGATTCTTGGATTAGAAAAGTTAATGTTTATAAAACTAAACTTGTTGAAGAAGTAGCAAGTAATAAAGACTATTTATTTGGCAATGAAGTTAATTTCAATCAAGATTATAATAAAGATGTAGTTGCTTATCCTTATCATTCACCATTATTAGGTATTTATATGGATAATTTTAATTTAACTGTTAGTAAACCAAAATTTGATATGGATCAATTACCTCAATTTATTTATGATTTTGGTCAAGGAGTTCCAAAAGATACAAAATATTCATTATACATCCCAACTTACTTAGACTTAAAAGTTGGTGAATTTAGAATGCATTTACGTGATTATCCATTACCAATGTTACATGCACCAAGGAATAAAAATGCATCCCAACCATCAGTTATATTAGAAGGTCATTTAATAATCACTGAAGCTTTAGTTACTGCTGTGGAAAATTTAAGACAATTGGATACTCCATTAACTCCAATTTATAGATCAAATAAAAATGCAGAAATTAGTAGATTTGATCAATTGATTATTGAAAAAACTTTGGCTTCAGTTAAAATGTATACTAATTTATTATGTCAATTTGATTCAGATTATCCAACAAGAATTATATGGGGTACTTCTTATAATTTTGGTATTCAACAATTTATGCTTAATTTTGATCAATTTTCAAAACCTCCAGTTGATCCAAGTATGAAGTTAGGATTTTGGGATAAATTGAAATATATCCTACATGGTAAATGTAGAATCAAGACGAGAAAATCATTAGAAGTTGGATTTAAAGGTTCTCGTGACCCATATAATTTATTTACAACATCAACTGGATTTGTTTTAAGTTTTAAAGAAAACGTCATTTGGGACATTAATAAAAATGATGATTCTAAAAACTTTTTCGATATTAATGCTGAAAAAGTTTCATGGTATATTCCAAATTATCTTGGTAGTCCATTATTGAGTTGGACAAGATCAAGTATTGATTCAGTTTATTTACCAGAGTCTAAAAATTTTATAAGTTCATGTTTTGCATATTATTTAGATTCTTCAACACGAGATTCAATTTCTAAAATTGATTTTGATTATGCTAAACACGTATTTGCAAAAAATGTAATACAATTAAGTGGTGGAGTAAATTTTAAAGTTGGATTTTTATTACAAAGAAAAGAGAATGGAGAAAGAGTTGATGATTTTAAATCACATTATGATGTTCAATTATATAATCCTAAATATTGTGAAAAGGGTCATGATTCATATAAGGATTTCAGATCTGAATATATCCACATATCAATTTCATTAAGTGCAAGTACTGAATCAAGTTATAATACTATTCATTTATCACCTGGTGCTTTTCAACAATTTTTTGGTTGGTGGAGATTATTTGCAAGTAATATGATGTTACCAGTTCGTAAGGGCCCTTTATTTGGTGAAGCTAAACAAAATGTCAAATTTTCACAACATTTATACACCATTAAATTTTTATTTTATCTTAAATCATTATTTATTTCCCATGTTTATCGTGATGAAATTATAGATACTTCAAATGATAGAATCGAATGTGTTGGATTAAGAGCTAAAGTTGATGAATTTTCAGTTGATTTACATCAAAGAAAAGAACCTACTACATTACATCATGAAGAATTATCAAAAGATACGAAAACAATGAAGATGAATATGAATTTGGGAGAAGTTGTCCTTTCTGGTATTGATTTAAGAGCAATTCATACATCATTTAAACAAAACTTGTATAATAAATCAGATATTAAAGGAAAATCAACATATAGTATATTTGATGATAATAAAAGATGGTATGATTTACAAGATTATGAAGAAGCATTTTTACCTACATTAAAAGGATGTCCTAAAGATGTAAATATTTATCCATTATTATATTCACATCGATTTTCATATGAAAGAGATACTTCAAATGAAGAAGTCAACTCATCAAATAAACACCATAATAATGAAGGTGCTTTTGGAAATGAAAAAATGCATGAATGTAGATTGAAAAAAGTTGACCCGTTGGAAGTTAGAAAAGATGTGTTGGAAGAGAGATTAAAATTACTTCAGGAACAAATTGTCAAAGTTGGTGATAGATCAATTTCAAAACAATTGAAAAATAGAATTGCATATGTTGAACAAGAAATAGGTAAGGCACAGAAAGGATTACGAGCATCATTAGATCGTAATGATACTTTTACATCAATTCAAACTGAAGAACATGAACATTATCATAATAAATTTACATTGTTTAGTATGTTGCTTAAATGGAATTTCAATTGTCGTAATTTATTACTTAAGTATATTCATTTTGTTCAATTAAAAGCAGCGATGAGGAAATATTTATCTCATGAATCAATAATGACTTTAGATAACATAATGGAAAAGGCAAGTAAATTACTCAATGAAAATGAATCGGATTTATCATCAATTGCAAATTCAATAAATGAAGGCATATCACAAGTTTCACATCATTCAAAAGATGAATCTTCAGAAAATAGATTAGCTAATTTCAGCAATATTTTGAAATTTAAAAATCAAGATGAGAAATTAAATGAAGATTATTTGATTGAAATTATATCACCTCAGATCCAATTACACTCTGATGATTATCCAGATTCGGTTGTAATGATTTCAGCTCCAAATATAAATGGTAAAATTTTATCAACCACCGACTCAAATGATTCTAAATTGGAAGAAAGATATGGTGTATTATTAAAAGATGCTAGCGTTTTTGTATTGAATAAAAAGGATGTTGTTGGATCTGATTCAATGATAATTATAGATAATCCATATGGTGGTGATCATAAATCAAATTGGCCACCTTGGTTAGGTCAAGAAGTTACTCAAAACGGTAAATGGGCAGGTGAAAATCAATTATTAATTGAGAAATTATCAGTCATGGCATTATTTTATAATTCAGAAATATTAAGTGGTAAATTAAATAGTGCTGAAGAAGGTGAGGATTCTCATTTGGATGAAGCTCCGAAGAAATTAAGAATAGATATGCCTTCAATTGTTATAACTTCAACTTCAAGTCAATATTTTTCCATGTATGTTATCATGTTGAGTTTATTATTTTATTCAGAGCCTATGAGTAAAGTCATATCAGATAAACTTGAAAAGATGAAATTTGCAATTGATTTTCAGGATTTACCTTCCATGAGCTCAAGAGTTAAATCAATGCAACAACATTATAAGAAATTAAAATTTTTGACATCAAATTATGATTTTAGACAAGAGAATTTAAGTAATGAGGATTTAAACAATTTCTTGCAGATTAATTTGGAACGTGGTGAAATTGCAAGTGATATTTATTTATTATTGAAAACTTTATATACTGGTGATTTTGTTAATGATATAAGTCATAATATTCAACAATCATGGTTAATTAGAGCTGATGAGGTTATATTACATTTATTAGAGGATGATAGAACACCAATCATGGATTTAGCATTAGCAAAAGGTACATTCAAGAGAAAAGAATTAGAGTCTGGGTCCAACATAAATAGAATTGAGATTGAAATGATGCAGGGATTCAATTTAATTAAAACTGCTAGATTTCCTGATTTCCTACAACCATTTCCCAATGATGGAAGTAACACTTCATTCAGCAGTTATAACCTAATTGACTTAGAATGGACTATGAATAAAGCAGTTGGTGGAATAAAAATTATAGAACATTTGAAGATTAATTCCTTACCGTTAAATATCAAAATTGATGAAATAACTGGTGAGAAATTAACTAACTTTATATTTCAATCTAAAGATCCAATAGATATTAAAAATTCAAAAGTTTTAAATGTTGCAAATAATGTAAAACAACAAGAATTGAATGAAAATGATGGAAGTGATGATGAATTTGGTTTAATTACAGAATTGGAAGGTGCTAATAAATCAAGTGACAGAAGGAAACAAGATGATGAAGGAAAGGGTACAACCACATCAAATTCAAAAATGAAGAAGAATTTCACAGGCTTATCAACATCTTCAAACTCAAATAAAGATGTCCAGGAAGATGATGAACAAGTTGCAGAAATGATTAAAAGATCAAAAGAATATTATTCAATTATTTCCTTGACTATCAAGGCAATATCATTAAAAGTTACCTTGAAATTAAATAAAGGATATAAACGAATTTTAAATGTTACAAATTTCAAAATTGATTTACCAGAATTAAATATAACTAATAGAATACTTTCATTTGTTGATTTGAGTAAAATTATAGGTAAACTAGTTACAAAATCATTATTAGCTCATATTGGATCATTATTAAGAAACAAAGTAACCAGAAATAAATTAATAAAAGCCAAAGAAATCAAATCAATTGATAATTATAAAAAATTTACCAAAATTTCAGAATTAGAAGCATAGAAGCATAATAGAATTGTAATAATAATACATATTTATTAATTATACATGTTGTCTCTTTGGTTCATTACCATTTTGAATCTTCTTTTTACGTTTCTTTTTCTCATTTTCATCATCATCATCATTTCTAATAGATACTTGTTGGTCATTAATTGCCAAATCACTTATATTAAATCCAGGAATACCATTTATTGGAGTTTTATCAAATTTTAATGCTCGATTAAGTAATGATTGATCTAAGGGGTTTATTATATCTGGTAATTCCAGTATTTGGGGATCTAACAAATTTGGTGATATTGGTTTTGATGATGATATTTGATGTTTACCAGGTAGATCCTGAATGTGATTCTTATATGATTTTCTTAATTTAACTCCTTTTGAACCATCAGGATTAACTCTAGTTAAAGATTTTGCAATTGATTCAAGATTATATTTCTTTAATAAATTATCTAATGGTGTTGGATCAGACTTTGTATATTTTTCTAAACAATTAGTAAAACTTCCAGTAACGACTAATTAGTTTACTTACTCTCTAGGTCTATTAAATAATGGTTTTCATTTTTATTAACCATTGATTATGGAGTATTCAAAACTGATTTTTTTTTTTTGTCCTTCTGTTTTTCTTCGTCTAATTTTTCACAATTTAATTCAAAAATATAATATTAAATATACATAAAATGAACTATACAAAATCTATAAAATACAATTACTTATATTAATAATGCAATCTCTGAGTTTTAAAGTACTTTTATAAACTTATTTATTTTCCTACAACTTCCCAACCTTCATTATCTTCATTACTAACTGATAATTTACCAGTCTTTTCTTCTAAATTTTTGACTTCTTCTTGTTGATGATTTGACTTTACTTGTTCTTGTTCTTGTTGTTCTTCTTCTTCATCTTCATCATCTCCATCTAATCCCATTAAAACACTGTATGATGATTTTTGTGGTCCCTGATAATCTGCATCTTTTTTGTTATCTTTCTTTGATTGTTGTGATTGTTTTTGTGATTGTGGTGATTGTTTGTTGTTGTTTAATGATTGACCTCTTTTCCAATCAAAGTTGTTTGATGGAGCATCTTTTTTAAAATTTGACTGACTATTAACTCTATTGTTTTTTGCTGGTAATTGTGTTTGTGCTGATCTTGCTGATCCCCAATCTAATTCTTCTTCTTTTTTATTACTGAAACTTCTTTTGCTATGAGCTCTTTCAACTCCTTCTGGTCTATCAGACCTATTTTCTCTTGGTGGTAATTGTGCTTTTGCTGATCTTGCTGTACCCCAATCTAATTCTGGTTCTTGTTTTCTTGGTGTACGTTCTGATGATGGTATTCTATTTGATCTTTCTCTTGGTGGTAATTGTGCTTGTGATGATCTTGCTGTACCCCAATCAAAATTATCTTTTGATTCTCTTCTTTGTAATCCACCTTGGAAACTATCATTTCTTCTATTTGATCTTTCTCTTTGAGGTAATGAAGCTTGTGTTGATCTTGCTGTACCCCAATCTAATTCTTGTTGAGGTTCTCTTTCTCTTCTACCACCTAATGGTCCATTTCTACTAGATCTCCAATCACCATCTTCAGCTTTTGGTGGAGCAGCAACATTAACAAAAATTTTTCTACCATTTAAATCAGTCAAATTTAAATTCAAACTTTCTTCAAGGATATTTTTACCTTTAAAAGTAATAAATGCAAAACCTTTTTGTCTTCCAGTATCTCTTTCAGTTATAATTTTAACTTCTGAAATAATATCTTGAGCTTGCATTCTACTTTCAAAATGTCTAATTATAATTTCTTCATCTAAATCGTATGGTAAATTTGCAACAACTGCTTTATATGGAGGTTTATCAGGAACTGGATATTCAACTCTTTCCTTTTTAGGATAATTGTCATATGATGTAGTTGAATCAGTAGTTTCGAATGCTGCTGGTGTATTTGTATTTGTAGTAGTTGTAGTAGATGGTTTATTCAATGATAAACCAATTGAATTTAAATCAACTTCTTCATCTGCCCAGGATGAACCACCAAAAGATTCATCAGCTAAAAATGAACCTAAATCCATTTTGACTTTTTGTTTAGGTGCCATATTGGATACTTTTAATTATGACTCGAGGATGACTAGGGGAAGGATATCAATAAATTATATATAGTCGATTAAGTATTAGGTTTTAACTTAATCTATTGAGATGATAATTTTTTAAATTCGTAAGAAAAATTTTCAGTACTGTATAGAAACAATATAATTGACTGCAAAATAAATATAAACATACATTAAAAGTAATTATAACAAGAATTGAACAACTAAATACCAGCTTATACCCTATTTTCAACCGTTTCCCTCCTTGATTCTGATATATCAACTTCACCAAGATTTTCATTATTAGTTTGTGTTTCATTATTTTCATTTGATCCTTGATTTGTTTCATTGTTTGGCTGAATTGGATTCTCTAATCTGTATTGATGTACCAAATTCAAAATAGCCCAATGAAATAAATTTGTCTTGGTAATACCCAATATTTTCCACCATATAATCTTTGGAAATCTCCCATATTTCTTATTGGCTATTTCTTTACCTCTTTCTTCTAAATTTAATTGTTGATATTCTGGATCATTTAATATTATACGAACTCTTTCTGATGCAGGTACTAAATCTTGAATCATAGCTTGTAAAGTTGGATCATTTCTAATATCCTCAATATCAATACTTGAAACTTCATCGTATTCTGATGCTTCATCTTCATCTTGGCCGTGTTGTTGCGGCTGATCTGTGGTAGTTGATGATTGTTGCTCATCAATAGCTCCTTGATTGTTATTTTGATAATCTCTTTTGAATAAATAATCTCGTTTACACATTGGACAACATGCTCTTCTTTTAATTAACCATGGATCTAAACAAATTTGATGAAATACATGACCACAAATTAATCCTCTTACAAGATCATCATTCTCTAATAATTCTAAACAAATTGCACATGAACCAGAATCAAAATGTAACCTTTGAATTGTTTCTAACTTCATATTTGATGATGACGGTTGTGTTGCTATATCAGTTTCTTCCATTTCGTTCACTATTGGAGTAATTTCAATTAACTCTATATCTTTACCATTTGAAGTATCAACTACACTGCTTGTATGAGCAGAATGAAATGAATCTTCGTCGTTAACTACTGTAGGTGTTCCAGGCTCTTCCTCTTCCTCTTTTAGCATACCTTCTCTAATTTCCACATCTCTTTCTTTACCACCATTTAACCAATCATAATATGTCTTCTTGGGAAATAACAACTCTACTTCTTCAATTGACAATTTCTTTAGCTTCGAAAACCTATCTCTTCTTCTTCTCCTTCTCCTTCTCCGTCTTCTTGCTCTTGTACTATTATTCAAATTTGAAGTTGCTAATCTTTGTTCAATTGATTCACCTCGTATAAAATTATGATCTCTTATATATTCTAATTGCTCTTGAATTTCAGTAGTTGTGAAAATGTGCGCAAATGCATGTCCATTTATTGGTGAATCTTGTTGATTATTACTAGAACTTGAAGTACCTCCACCATATCTACTCGAAAAACTTGCGTAAAAATTTCTCCTATTTATTGGAAATAAATTTAATCCATATTTAGACCTTATAAAATATCTAATTGTGAAAAATACAAATAATAATGCAATAGCAACACCAACACCTAATGCTAAAAAGAATAAAACGGTACTTGGAGTACTTCCAACAAATGAATATCCATTATTTTGAAGAGCACCATTACCATTACCCCTTGAGGATGTTGTTTCTTGTGCAGTAGGTGATGATAAAGTAGGTGATGATAAAGCAGGTGACGAAGTGAGTTGTAATAAAGTAGTTGACATTATTTCAAGATAGCCGTTCGTTCGTTTTTAAATTAAACAATCATCAATTTTGAGTTACAACCTCAAATTAAATTATCAATGAATAAAATCAAGCTGATATAACTTTAAAAAATATCTTGGCTATCAGTAAAATATAGTGTCAGTATGAAAATATGATCTCCTATATCGTTGTCAATTTTTTCGGTTACTACTTATAAATCAATTAATAATAATTTTAATTTTTTCTTTGTCCCTTTAAATTTGGTAAATCAATTTAATCAGATTCGGTAATAACTTTCATGCCAAATTAAGGCTTTATTCGTTGATTTCTAATGCATATAGAATATTCTACAACATACAATTCTTTGAATTTATGTTGCTATCATAAAACTGAGTAAATTCGTCTTTTATCGTTTAGTTTTTGTACGAGTTTATCTCTGTATTTATCTTCAGCCCTGCGTAAGAAAATTATCGAAAAAGCACAACGACGCAAAATCAAGTTATACTATAAGCATAATGTCTACAATTTTAACTATTTGTATAGGTAAATTTTTATTATTCTTTTGTATTTAAAAGTTATATATATATGTAAAAACAAAAAAGATAATAAAAAATAGTAATGTATAAATTAAAAATATATTTTATCATGTAATATAATCATTTTCTTCTTCTTCTTCATTCTTCATGTTGTAGTTACTTAAGCTTTTGGAGCATCTTTGTAAGCAATAGCAGCTTCTTCACCCATAGCTGAAATAATTGTAACAACTAAATCTTTACCTTCATCAAATTCTGATTGAATTTTGTCACCTAATTCACCTTCTGGAACTTTAACATCATCTTTAGTATCACCATCACTGGTCATTAATGATAAGAAACCATCATCAATATCTAATAATTGAAATTCTTGTCTTGAAACATTTGGAACTTCCATATTATGAGTTGATGGTGATAAATCTTCTAATTTTTTACCAGTGAAAATATCAATAGCGACTAAATGAACTTTAGCGTGACCGTGTTTACCAGTTTTAGAAGTTGACATATCAACAATTTTACATGGTCTGTTTTTGATGACAACGTGACCGTTTTTTCTTAAAGCAGAACATTGCATTGGGTAAGTTAAAGCAGCACCGGCATCTGCGGTTTCAAAGGTATGCTAAAGACAACAAGTTAGTATTGGAGTGTTAATTCAAGTCAATATATGGTCTGGTTTTATTTTGGCATTGCTAATAAATTTTTCAATTTCGTGGACATGGGAAAAAAAAAAATTTTGGTGAATCAACAAAAATATCATAATGTCCAAATTTTCAAAATTTTCAACGCCACTTAAACAAGATAATCGTGAGCAGAGTGATTATTAGTAGATTGATTCATGATTTGTTATTGTAATGAGCATTAAACTATTGTTTTTGTTATATTAAGGATTTGATCTCTTCTCATTAAAATTTTTTCAAATTTTTCGTTGACCCCAACTTTAAAAAGATACTAAATGGTTTGAATAAAATAAATTTAGTTGTTCCTAGCAAATAACATATAAAACCATAGACCATAATTGACATTTACCACCGTTTTGATGAGTTATAAACATACATCTTCTTCAGCCATCTTGGATAAAATTTAAACTGTTATTGTTGAAAGAATGAAAAGAAGAAAAAAAATCAAAAAAAAAATTTAAAGCGAAGAAGAGTTCGAAAAAAAAAAAAATACGTGCGACAGCAATATTTGGTAGCATCTCTTTTACTGCTTACTGTGTGCAATTTTGTACCACCATCTCTTAGTGTTTCCATGGCATTATTACATTTAGATCGTTTTTTATACGATGATTAAAGCGTAATTCTGTTTTCAAGTCAGTTTTTACAAATAGATTCAAAGTTATTGGATTTAATCTATTAATTCTCTTATAAACATTAATTAATTAATAATAATACATAATTATATATACTTTTTTATATAATAATCGAATTTTGTAGTAGTTTTACAGTGATAATTGGCCTGATTAATCATTATTTATTGGTGTAATAATTCCTTCAGCTAATGCCAGTTAACTTCTTTATCTTCTTTAATATTCTTATCTTCAATTCCCGATATACTTTGATCTAAACCTGATACTTCTGAATCATCATTGTTATTATTTACATTTAAATAATCTTTTCCATTTTTATCTTCATTATTATTATTGTTATTATCACCTTCTTCTTGTTTTATCTCACTCTTTTCCGATTCAAGATATTGTTCTTTTTCCAATTTCAATTTTTCAATATATGGTGTCCATTTATCTAATAATTCATTACATCTTTCATGTAATTTGAAACTTTCTTTCAATTCCAAACTTGAATCTTTCGTAATTAATTTTAGGACTTTATGTATCTTTGTTTTTCTTAATAATTCAACAGTTATTGGAAATTCCACTAATCTATATAATATTAATCTTGCAACACTTAATTCATCAATTGTTGGTGGTGGTAAATTTGATAAATCTTTTGGTGTTGAATTTTGACCTCTTTGAATTAATGACTTTTGTAATTTAATTCGACATAACCATAATTGTTGTTGTCTTTCTTCTGCACTAACCGGTTCTTTTGTTGTTGATTTATTTGATATTGCTGCTGCAGCTGCTGCAACTGCAGTTGCTGAATCTTCGTCACTACTTTCTTGTTTTGATTTTTTGGAAACTGATTTTTTTCTACCTGCTGCTGTTGTCGATGAATCACTTTCTTTTCCTTTTGTTCCAGTTTCATTTGTCGATAATTTACCTCCATTGCGTGATAATCTTCTTGGTGGTGGTTTTAATTTTTCTCCTTCATCTTCGTTATCTCCATATTCAGCTTCTTCTTCTACTACATCTTGATTTTCATCTTGTTTCACTTTTGTATCAGGTTTGGTATATTTTCTTTGTTTCTTTTTAGGTTGTGACTCTTCAATTTCTACTTCAACATCGTCTTCTTCTTCTACATCATCTTCTTCATCATTTTTACTTGGGACATTTTTTTCTACATATTCCACAAATTCTTCAAACTCCAAATTTCTTGATATACATATTGCTTCTTTCAATTTTGCATCTTTACGAGGTGCTGGTCTACTATAATATTGATCTAGTGTTATATTTTGTTCGTCAGGAATATCTTTTGCTTTTTTATCTAATTCTTCTTTAGTCATTTCTCTTAATGCACTCTCTTTCGTCCAAGCAAAATCATACTTTGGAATAAATCCAACACAATATGGATGTTTTGGGTATCTTTTTTTTTCATCCTTCATTGATTTTGTATATGACTCTGGTGGTATTACAAAAGCAGGCCATGGTGAATATGATGATAATTTAGCCCAAACTTTACTTTTAGGTTGAAATTTCAATGAACCAGGAGTTGGAGGTTCTTCAGTTTTGGACGTTGTCGATGATTTTCTCTTCGGCATTATAATAAGAATAATATATTTAATGAATAATTAATTATTTGAATTGAAAACTAGAAACGAATAAAATGAAACGGGTATAAACAATGAAAAATTGACCTTGCGTTGATAAATTAATTTAAACGTGTTTTGATAACAGATTATTTATTCTTCAATGATTCTTTGTTTAATTAATGATATTATTGTGTTGATAAATAATAAACTAATAACTTATAATTGATTAATTTGTTGTTTATTTGTTGTTGAATAATTGTTGTTTCGTTAAAACGGAAAAATAAATATAAAAATGTGATTTACGTGCCAAAGTATATTTTTTTTTTTTTAGGAGTGAAATTTATTACTACCAATTGTTATTATTATACAATTTTGTGTAACAATTGTCTATTTATTGCTCTTTACAGAGTATAAACTACCTACTGACGTTTAACTTCGGCTTATATTTAACAAATGACTACTTAAAGTTGGACTCTGGATATGGTCTATTTGCCCAAGTGAGTGTAATCCGCTATTAGCAATCAAAATAGGTTGCATTTTCTTTGCGTCTTACCGGTGCTACCAATTGGTCACCGAATCTTTATTTTGCAACAAGATGTTTTATAGGACGTTGAACAGTTACTGTGCTTTGCTCTCTTGGTTGTTTTTATACAATTTGATTTTAGTGCTACCAAAATCTTTTATAATTATGTGCTGCTTCAAAAATTTTTTTTTATATTGACGATTTCCGTATTAGGAGGTTGTCATTTGATTGTTGCATAATTTATATGCAGGATAAAATTTAGACACTCGTAAATTTTGGATCACAATACATTGGCAAATTGAGCCATTGGAACAAGCAATTGACCAAGCAATTGACCATACGATCACGAAATACCGTAGTGAGAATGAATAATAACCACTTAATTTAGATTTTCTTGTTTATGTGACAAAAGTATGTAGTTTATTGCAATTTTTGCAAATTTGCAACAAAAATTGTTGATTTTGAGAAATGTTTAAACTTTGAGCTAAGTATTAATACTTACAAATCAAAGATAGTAATAATGATGGGATTGAATCATAAACCATCTATCCATATTTTCTCATTCGGTAGAGCTTATAATAAACAACTCTGTCTTTAATAAAACTTCAATTGAAAAAATTTTCGCAAGGCAAAGCCGTTCCTGAATTATATTAATTAGAATCAATGCCGGTTAGTTTGAATGCACTATGATCAAATCCTAAATTCTTCATCATTGATCATTCTGTATATATATCTTTTTTGCAGTAAAAAATATGCATAGTTTCTAAACGCAAAACATAGGACACGACTAATTCGCAGCATTTTTTTGTAGATTATTAACATTACGTTTAATTGATTTATCATTGGCATCAAATACTGCTCAATAATCTTATTTATATATTAGAATAGTTTTGTCAATAGTAAAATACTGGCACTGTTTATATACTTAGGTTTTAGGGGCTTCTTAAAACTGGTTTCAAATTTGTAGCTTAACATTTATTAGGGGCTTCTTGAGAAAATTTCGTCATTCAAATTGGCAAATCAACTACAATTCAAATAGTAGCAGAAAAACAACAACTGAGTTGCATTACTAAGACTCAAGGGATTATAAGGAAACAACTGTCACAACTTTCAGCCAGTTTGCAGTCTTTATCTTGATTCGAACGCAAATTGTCCAAATCTGAGATAATTAAAGTTATACATTCAAAATTCCACAGAGTTCATTACTTACTACACTTCTCAACCTTCCAGACCAGTTTCCTTATCTTAATCATAAGAATTTTCTGATTAAGTGGCATTTATTTCAAAATTAGGTACCAGATAAATAAATAAAAAAAAAAAAAAAAAAAAATAAAAATATATTTTATTTACATAATAAAATTTTACAACCTATTTTTTAACAATCAAATTAAGACATATAAATTACAGCGTTAAATACCAACTAAATAATACACCAAACATATCCACATAACTTCAATATAATTCAGACTCACATATTACATATTCTTTTTCAAATTTTTGTTTTTCACCTTGGAATATGGATTTTTCAACCACTACCAATTTTAAAAATCGTATAAATACACCAACAAAAGAACAAATTGCAGCAATTTATAATCCTTCAAAAAGACAAAAATTGAACAATGATATACCCAGAGCTTTAAAAGTTAATGAAATAATAACAAATCAGAATAATTATAAATTACCGAGTATTGGAGATACTACCAAAACCAATTTTAATAATTCACAATTTTTAAATTCTGTACCTTCAAATATTATACCTATTGTTCATCCACCAAATAATACTCATGATTTCTTTACAGATTTAAAAACTGATTTAAATGATCCAAATTTACAAAATCAAATTAGTGGAATTATGAAAAAATATCCACCACCGATTCCACCTCCAAACCCTCAGGATTCAAATAATGTTAAAAAGGATGAGAAAGGAGGTATTATGATTCCATTTATTTATCCACCACCACCAATTATAAATAAAGAAGAAATACCGTATTCATTAGAATTCTTTAAGAAGAAATTTGAAAAACTTCAAGAACAAATAGATAAAGAAGAAGGAAGATTGAATATACCGATTAAAAGAGAAAGAAAACAATCATTATCTACTCAACGAAAAGGATCATCATCTACTCCATCAGAGAATAGTAAATCAAAATCAAGATCTAAATCAGCTACTTCTTCAAAGTCATCATCTCCAGATACAGTACCACCACAACCCAAACCACCATCATCAAATATATATATACAAGCACCTCCATTACCTTTCCCACCACCAAATTATATGCCATACCCATTACAAGCTGAAAAATCAAATTTAGTACCCATTGATGTATTTGAAACTTTCTTAGAAGCTAGTGAAATACTACCAAGAGTAGATATGGTGGTTGCAAGTGCGGCTGGTTCATTATTTGAAATGAAAGATCAAGCTAAAACTGAAGGATTTGATGTAAAAGAGGTAGAAATGAAGAAGAAATTACTTGAAGAAGATGAAGAAGAAAAGAGATTATATTCGCAACAAGAATTAGCTGCAGCTGCCTCTGATTCTGTACCGTATACCGATGAAGAATATTACCTGAGAATAGACACCAAGGTATATCAAGATCCTTACCCTCAAAGAAAGAATAATTTTGTTGAAATTAGTCAATATAATAAATTTATCAAATATCAACAAAGAACAAGTAGGAAAAGAAAACACGAAGATTCAGAAACTGAATCAGAATCAGAAGAATCAGATCCAGAATTAATTGAAGATATTGATTCATTACCATTGAATGCAAAACATAAATTTGCTAGAAGAAATCGTGAAGAATATTTTAATTGGGATGTTGAAAAGGGTGAAGAGGAAATGGAAATAGAATTAGATAAAGAAACAAAGAGAAGAAGTACAATTAAATCACTTGATGAATTGCAAGCTTGGGAATTGAAAAATAGAGAAGATATATATAAAGATAAGAAATATGAAATTTTAAGAAGAATAGAACAGGTTAAACGATCAAAAATAACATTTCGAAATTTAATATTTTATGATCAAGAACTTAAAAATTTTGCAAGGAAATGTGAATTAGAAAGAGATGAACAATTAGTTCAACTTAAAATAATGGAAAATTATGAATTATTGAAAAATTCATTAATGTTTTATGAAGATTCAAATAAGATATATAAACATTTAAATTATGTTTTAATTAATAAATTGGAAAAATTGAAGACATTTTTTGAATATCAAAAGGATTTATTTGAAGAATATGTTAAAAATGGAGATCATGAAATATTTGATTTAAAATCAAAAGAATCAAATAGGATATATAACAACCATTTAAATAATAATTATTCAGAAGATATAAAAGAAATATTTAAAAATTCATTACTTAAAGAAAATTTCAATGGTATTGAATTTCCAAAATTATCAAATGAAGAAATTTCAAACATTAATTTAAATAATGATGATTCAGTACTCGTTCATGATTTTATGCCATTGATAACTGCAGAAGAATTTAACATTATAACTGGAGATCCAAATGTGAATAATAATGATGGTATTTCACCAACTAAGAAATCAAAAGATGCATCAAAATCAAAATCATTAAAACATAAAATATTCCATAATCCAATATATGATAGATTGGCAACTTCAGGATCAGATACAAATTTAAGTGACTCAAATTCAGGTACTAATACACCATCAAAGAGAAGAGGAACAAGAAGAGGAACTCAACAACAAGAACAAGCACAAACTATATCACCAAATAAAAATTCGGCATCACCCAATCCTATAACTGATTCCATTTTTTATTCTGATTCCATAGATTTAAAATTAACTGATACTGCATTACAGAATAAAATTATGAAACAATTTAATGGACCTAATGGAGCTAGATCAGATGAAATTATTAAAGATTTAAAAATGATGGGAATAAAGACTAAATGGCCATTAGAAACAACACTACAACAAGCCAAATAAACATAGAAACTGTATAATTATGCTAATAAACACACTTTACGAATTGCACCTTTGTTTATAATTGCAACCGGTAGCGCAAGTAAACAAATATAAACTCAAACTCAAAATAATACAATATATATTAACACATTTAAAAAAACAAACTAAAAAGTAAAGTAAATAAAACAGTTAAATTAAATAAAATTGTTTTAAATAGGTATTGATCTTTGGTGATTTAATATTCTTCAAATTGTGCATATAAAGCAATTAAAATATTTACACCACCAAATATATAAGGTAATGACCCTAAAGTTGAAGATAAAGTAGTATTATATAAACCTAAATTCATTAAAATTTTATTTTGTAAACTTGACCAAAAGCATTCATGTTTTGAAAAATTAATTACACTTGATTGACCAACAAAATAATAAATTAAAGTTTTAGCAAGTGCAAAAATAAATGGATCATAAGTATGAATTCTAAATAAATATTCATCATCTTCAATTTCAATAATTCTTGAAGTAAAATTAATAAAATATGAAATTGTAGAAGGTAAAATAATTGCAGAGATTAACCAAATTGTAAAAGTTGTAATAGCTTTACCATTAAATAACCCTGAAATTTCAATTGATGGATAAGTTGAATTAAAAATTGGGATATTATCTCTGAAAAATTGATGAATTAAACTATTTTCATTTAATGGAACAATATAAATAAAATTGTAAACGAAAATTAAAAATTCAAATGAAATTTCTAAATTATTTAAAGTAACTGATGATGATAAATGGTCTCTAATTTTTTCAGTTGTTTCTAACGTCGAGAAACCAAATGAATCAGTTATTTCATAAAATTTTTCAATTAAATTTTCTGAATGAGTTATAATTGGATCAACAATATATTCTTTGAGATTTAAAGGTGGTGGAGCTTGATAATCTTTATCTTCAGCATCATCATCTTGGACAATGACTACATCGTCGTCGTCTTCTTCATCATCTTCGCCTTCATCTTCATCTTCATCTTCGTCGTCATCGTCATCGTCATCTTCATCATCTTCATCATCATCTTCGTCTTCTTCTTCATCATCATCACCCGCGTCATTTGCAACTGGAATTTCCTCTTTTGCAGCAACTTCATCTTCAATTACAGTAATTTCTTCACCTTCAACTAACCCACTACCATTTTCTTCTAAAAAGTTTTGAATTATTACAACTTGAGCTGGTTTTGATTTAAAGTGAGATTCAAGTTTTTCTAATAATATTTTTTTAGTATCTTTATTAACAACAGGTACACCTGCTCTTTTCATAGCTTGAAATAAATCTGCTTTTTTGTATTTACCAAAATCAGACATCATGCAATTAAATTAACTCAATTGAATAACAATTCTTCGTCTTTTGTTGTTTTGAAATAATTGTTTTTGTAAAAAATGTGGGAGAGAAAAAAGCAAAAAAAAAAAAAAAAAATAATCAAATAAACAAAATCACAACAAATAAAAAAATTCAAGAGATGTAGCAAATAGACCAGATTTATATAGAATAATTCTACAACATCCAACGTTGAAATCACAACAGATGAACCAAACTACTTGTGTTTCAACATTTGTAGTTTGTATTTAGTTTGCGCAATTGGTAATTATAATTCAAAACGCGAATTGAACGAAGAGAAAAAATATATTTCTATTGAATGACTACCAAGTTGAAAAACAACTATAATCATACATAATGACCAGTATGTATGTAATTTGACATTGGTAGAGTATGTGACAAATTGTGTTGATAGTTTGAATCTATGAACTTCAACAAAATATGAAACGTCTAACTGGATCACGTTTTCCTTAATTTTTGTTTTGATATTATACCAATTTGGTAATGTCAAAATAATCAATGTTTTGAAAATAACCAAATTAAGAATACGCATATAAACTAGCAAACTAGTTGAAAATGACCCTCATTTCATTCCCAGCAGATCTCATCTTTCTTCTTCTTCTTGCCTCTGTCAAATACTTCTAACATCTTATCATTTCATTATTTATTTATTTTGTTTGTTTATTTATTTATTTTGTTTGTTTGTTTACATACATTTTCTAAAATCAATTTTTCCCACTCGCATCTATGATATAGTATGATTACAAGACGATATTTATCAACGACAAGACGACTACTACAGTCTTCAGAACAGCCTAGAATTAATCAATTAGGTATTCAATACCTTTCCAATCAATTACATAAAAAAATATTTCCTAGTAATCCACCTTCATCATATTTGAAACCTAAACATCCCGAATTATTAGAAGCTTCAAAGCGTCATTTAATTGAAAATAATCTATATGGGAAGAAAACTAACATAGTTGATCCAATAACAATACCTGAATTTCCAAATTTAGTGGGTAAGTCTTTAGATGAACATTTTTACAAATTGGGTTTAAAATCTTCTGAACCTTATAAATCTATGGCCGATGAGTTTTTAAAATTAGAGAATAAACTACCTGAAATGCCAAAAGAGTGGATCATGCAATCTGGATGGACTAGATATGAACCTGGAAAAGAACCAGAAAAGGTAGATTATCCATTAGAAGATACTTTAGTATTTGATGTTGAAGTATTATATAAAATTTCAAAATATAGTTGTTTTGCAACTTGTGTTTCTTCAAATGCATGGTATGGTTGGGTGAATCCAGTAGTTGAACAAATTAGAGATGGAAAGAGGAAAAAATTAGACTGGGATCATCTTATTCCCTTTAATGGAATGAAGAAGGAGAAATTAATAATTGGATATAATATATCTTATGATAGAGCTAGAATTGCAGAAGAATATAATATTAAATCATCTAAGAATTTCTTTTTAGATGGTATGGCTTTACACGTTGCAACTTCTGGAATTTGTTCACGTCAGAGAAATAAATGGTCAAAATATAATAAATTTAAAACTTTAAGTGATGATTATAAAGAAATGAAAGAAATGGAAGATTCTCAATCTGAATCTGAAGCTGGTCTTGACAGTGAAAGTGAGAGTGATGAGGAAGTCATAGACATGAATGATGTTAATGAATTAATTAATGATGAAGTTTCAGATGATCCTTGGTTATTAAAAGGTACTCCAAATTCATTAAAAAATGTAGCTAAATTTCATTGTAATATTGATTTAAATAAAGATGATAGAGATTGGTTTAGTCATGAAGATCCGGAAATTTTAATTACTCATTTCCAAACATTGATGAATTATTGTGGTAATGATGTGAGTGCAACTTATGAAGTTGTCAAAAAGATATATCCTGATTTTTTAAGAAGGATACCACATCCTGTATCATTTGGAGCTTTAAAAAACCTTGGTAAATTGATACTACCAACGACAAGAAAATGGGAAACATATATTAAATCAGCAGAAGATTGTTATTTAAAAAATAGAGATCAAGTAACTCAAGTATTGAAATCTAGAGTAGATGACTTATTAAAATTGAAACCAGAAGAAAAGAAAAAGGATGAAAGTGAAGTAGTAAATGATCCTTGGTTATCTCAATTACATTGGACGATTAAACCATTCAAATATAAAAAAGATGGAAGTTTAGCAAAACGACAAGCATACTTATCTGGTTATCCTGAATGGTATAGAGAAATAAATAAAGGAAATGAATACAAATTATCAATTAGATCAAGAATTACACCTATATTATTAAAATTAAAATGGGAAGGATATCCATTATTTTGGATTGATTCACAAGGTTGGTGTTTTAAAGTTCCATATGATGAAGATATAATAAGACAATTGGAAGCTAAACAATATAAACAAGCAAAATTAACCGAAGATGAAATTGAAATGACGATGGATCAATTAAGACCAAGTGGAAAATCATACATATTATTTAAAATTCCTCATCCTGATTCATCAAATAAGAGAACAACAATAGTTTTATCCAAAACTTATTCTAGATTTATTGAAGATGGTATATTAAGTTCAGAATATGAATATGCAAAAACAATATTAAAATTAAATAATGAAGCTAGTTATTGGGTTGGAAATCGTCAACGAATAACGGATCAGTTTGTGGTATACGATAAGAAAAATCCAGGATTAGGTTTCATTATACCTAATTTAGCTACTATGGGGACAATAACAAGAAGAGCTACTGAAAATACATGGCTTACAGCATCAAATGCAAAAGAAAATAGAATTGGAAGTGAATTAAAATCATTAATTCAAGCTCCTGAAGGTTATTGTTTTGTTGGTGCCGATGTTGATTCTGAAGAATTATGGATTGCTTCACTTGTTGGAGATTCAATGTTTCAAATTCATGGTGGTACAGCATTAGGTTGGATGTGTTTAGAAGGCTCAAAAAACGAAGGAACAGATTTACATTCCAAAACTGCAAATATTTTAAACATATCTCGTAATAATGCAAAAATTTTCAATTATGGTAGAATATATGGTGCTGGGATTAAATTTGCAACTAGTTTATTAAAACAATTTAATTCAAGATTATTAGATGATGAAGCTAATAATATTGCAAAGACATTATATGAGAAAACAAAAGGAAGTAAGATATATAAAGGTAAAAATGGCACTCGTGGTTTTTATTATGGTGGTTCTGAATCAATCATGTTTAATGCATTAGAAGCAATTGCAAATCAAAAAGAACCAAAGACTCCAGTATTGGGAGCTAGAGTAACTGATGCATTATCGATAGACAACTTAAAGAAGAATACATATATGCCAAGTAGAGTAAATTGGACAATTCAAAGTTCTGGTGTTGATTATTTACATTTATTAATTGTTTCAATGGATTATTTAATTGAGAAATATGGAATTGATGCAAGATTGGCAATTACAGTTCATGATGAATTAAGATATTTGGTCAAAGAATCAGATAAATATATCGCTGCACTATGTTTACAGATAGCTAATGTTTGGACAAGATGTATGTTTTCTGAACAATTGGGTATATTGGAAATTCCTCAATCTTGTGCATTTTTCAGTGATATTGATATTGATCATGTTCTAAGAAAAGAAGTATCATTAACTTGTAAAAGTCCAAGTAATCCATATGAAATTGAACCTGGTGAATCATTGAATATAAATCAATTATTGGATAAATTGAAACAAGATAAATTAAATGGTAAGCCATTGACACTTCGAAATGTGAAATATTCTGGTAGGGGAAGGATAATTGATGAATTAGATGATAACAAATTAGAAATACAGGAGAAAATAGCCAAAATCAATTTACAAATTCTGACTAAGGATGAAATTAAAATTAATTTGAAGAAATACAATACTGGTGCTTATAAGAATGAAATTGATGAGAAGGGTAAAAGAAGAACAAGGAAAGCTCCAACTGAATTTGATTTAGAAACTAAGGATAGTAAAAGTTATGGATTGAATAAGACGCCTGTTAGAATGAAAAAGGCTGAAGGTGCAACTGTTAAACCAAATGTAATTAAATCTAAATCAACTACAAGTAAAACTAAGATTGCTGGCACTACTATCATGAAACCTGTTATTAAATCACCATCAGCTGCCAGTGCAAAAGTTACTAGGCCATCATATACGACCAAGCTAAAAGCAGTTAAGTCATCAAGTACGTCAAAAGCAAAAACATCAACAACAACAACAACAACAACAAAAACTAGTGTATCAAAAGCAGCGAGATCTCCTACAGCCACCAAAGCAAAATCAACTACTGCTACTACCAAACTTAAAGTTACTAAACCTTCAACTACTTCAGCTTCAAGATCCAAATTAATCAATTCTTCAAATAAAAAGGCCACTACAAGTACAAAAGTTTCATCTACCAAAAATATTAAAACTTTATCACCCTTATCAGAACAAACGTCATCAATTGCATCAACTTTAGAAATTTCAAAGCTACCTTCTACCTCCACAACTTCAAATTCAGATGCATATAATCAACCAATTAAAAATCATTCACAAATAGCAGCTGCGCAACACCAAACAAATTCTACGGAATCAACAACAGAACCAAATACCATCAAAGTGGCACCATCACCATCATTAAGTGATCCAGAAACAACAACTACAAATAAACCACAACTAAAATCAGAGAAATTAATGGTTTCGCCTGATTTTAAACAAGACTCAGCACCAATTACACCATTATTAAAATCAAGCACCTTAACCGAATCAGCTACACCTTTCATAGAGTACAAGAAATCAACGAATCAGATACAACCAATAACTACAACATCAACAATTAAAGAAATATATCATGCAAATGCAACAAAACGACGACGAGATAATGAATTAGAACCGGAATATTTATATCATAAACCATTCCGAGAGAAACAATAATGATTAATGACAAGATATGAGTATACTCAAAATGAGTAATTTATCAATGTAAGAGACGAAATGCGATTTATCATTGATAACTACAATTTTAATAAATTTTATAAATGAGATAATTGATTGATAATTTATGTTTATTGATCATTAAGTATATATATAAATTTAATGTTGTATTATAGATAGAGTATATTAATATATAACGATTATAGATATAAATGATAGATCTTCTAATTGAATCTACCTCCGGTGATAATGATGCTATTCTATATATTTGAACAAAGATAAATGAGTGAATTACAAAAGTGTCAGATCTTCGGTTTCTGATCCACGGGATTATTGGCTGCAAAATTATGTGGTTGCAAAATATAGGTTGCAAAATATAGGTTGCATAATAGGTTGCAAAATATAGGTTGCAAATTTAAGATGCAAATCAAATGGAAAAAGAAATATAAATCACCAGTGGAATGAATTAGTTTCAAAAACGGCAAATAAATAATAATTAATTAATTAATTAACTACGTGATGAATTAGTTAAGGTACCCGTTAGATACCGGTTATGTAAATCAATAATTTATAAACAAACGTTTCAAAAACCAATTAAAATAAATACAATATTTATATCACCGTTTGGAATAAAAATCGGAACGAAAAAAATTAAATATTACACAAAGTGAAATTAAGTTTCAGCCGACCTTAAAAAAAAAAAAAAATAAAAAAGAAAAATTAAAGTTTACCGAATCTGATAATTCACCAGTAAAGAAGAAGAAAAAAAATAACTTAAAATTGCAAGAAGACCCAATTCAGAAATGACTTTAACCAGCGTAACAACAATTTAACTAAGCTTATAGAGCTGGCCCCCATTGAGAGCTAGCTTAAGATCATACAAATATTACAATTTCTTAGTGCCTTTGCCTTTCGTAATCAGTTTAATAACTGTTATCATAAATAGAAATAGATACACATATATAAACTAATCCGGTAGATCCTAATATTTTAAGGAAAATAAAACAGAATAAATATAAAATTTTCAATAATAATAAATAATAAACTAAACAAACTAAACAGTTTTCAGTTTAGTTTATTCTTTTATTTTATATTTTAACTCTGTGAGATTTTTCAATTTTAACTTACATACATACATTACATTTTGCATTAATCTGTTTATTTCTGTGTCATAATTGACATAGAATCGGAAATTAAAATGATAATACAACAGAGTACCTAGTAAGATAGAAATAGAACTTTAAAATAACACTGACTAGATAAAAAGTGACAAACAAACAGGAAGAAGTCGTAATAAAGTAATAAAGTAATAAAGTAATAATGACCATGATACATATAACTCAAAGAAGTTAAATTATTGAATCAATCAAATAATAATAAGGCTTTTTTAATAATAGACAATACATTGTAGAATTGTAGTAAATTGTGTGTAAGTGTGTAAATTGTAAGTAAATTCTAAGTAAATAAATTGTAAGTAAATTGTAAGTAAATTCTAAGTATAACAATTGTAAGTATAACAATTGTAACTAAATTGGTAGTTGCTCATAATTATATTATAATATATAACTCGGATATAAAAGCGATATAAAAGGAATTACTACCAAAATCAAATTTATGACAACTCTATCAAAATATCCATACATTAATTGGAATGGGTGTAAAAATAAAAACTAATAATACTAAATATCGCAAATACTATAAAATGTATTGAGCCGTTTTACACGCTTTAGAACTTTAACTATTAGAGGTCGTGCATTAATCCAATATTAAATATATTTATAATTTATGCACGACAACCCAAATAAATTCACTCAACTAATATAAAGAAAAAAAAATATTAATTAGTTAATATTAAATAATAATAAACAGTTTTAAACTATCACCAATCGTTTATTTTTGTTAGTTTATTTTTGTTAGCTTTTGTTGAAAATTTTTATTATATAATACTTTTCAAATTTCCAATTTTATATTCCAAATTTTTTTCTACTTTCCTTCTTCTTTCTTTTCTTTCTTTCTTTCTTTCTTTGTTTCAACTTTTCAGTTTATTTCATACTCAATTAACTGAAAATCACACTAATTTTATACATCCAACAACAATGTTACCAGCAGGTGTTATTTTAGTTTTTGTTTTATTATTTTGTGTCTTTTTAATTTTATGTGCTATTTTCATTCAAAAATACTTGAAAAAGAGAAAATCTCAACAAAGATTTTAAATACTGAAACAATTACCATATTAAAATCAATTTCCAATGTTTAATTAATCAATCAATCAACCAATCAATTTTTATTATGTCATCATCATTTTTTCAAATTACTTAGAATTTTAAACAATCAACTACAATTTTTTTTTTTTATTTTTTTTTCTTAATTTATTTGAATCATTATCTATTAAATATTATCAAACCTATAATTTAATTTTACGTTTTTGTTTAGTTAGGGGGGATTTTTTTGTTAATTAAGTCTATTACTACTAAGTGAAGAATTGAGATTTTCATTCATTTGTAAATTTTTACTATCTATTAATTATTATTATTGTTATTGTTATTGTTATTGTTATTATTATTATTATTATTATCATCATCATCATTATCATCATCATGTTATTTTGTTAATTGTATTTACTTTTTGGATATTTTTAAGGTTGGGGAACTTTAAAATTTTCATAAAGAGAAATGTTAAAAGAGAAATGTTAAAGAGAAAATCAAATATATTAATGGCTCATTTTCATTGTTGATTGGGGAATCAAACTTTGAAATATAAGAGTTTTTAATCAATTGAATAATACCAATGTATTACCATCAATATTAAATGTTTTTTATTATTATTATTTTTTTGAGTGTTTTATATTTTGTTTATCCATGCTATTTTTTAATATATAATTTTATAAACTCCAAAATTGTTAATTGTAGAGATTGAGATTGAGATTGAGAGAGATTGAGAGAGATTGAGATAGAGATTGAGATAGAGATTGAAATTGAAGTTGAAATTGAATTGGAACTTCTTTTGATAGAGTAACTGTTACTGTTTCTCTTTGCGTTTTTTTGCTTACTGGTTATGAAGCTGTTTGTTTTGTTTCTTTTGTTTATTTGTTTTGAAATTTTCTTAATTCAATTTTGTGACATGTTCTTAATATCGTCTTATTCAAATCTTCAATTGATGGTGGTCAAGCTTTAATAAAGTGGAGTTAATTGCCCTTTGATGACATAGAAATTAGGGGAAAAGTGTCTTTTTAAGATATATAATTAATTTAATTGGTCTAGAAAAGTTATATAAATTTTCTTGTATAATTTCTGAACTCATCTCATCAAATTAATACTATGCAAAATCCCTCAATAGTAAATATTGAAGCTTTATTTTAAAATTACGTCAATTGGTAGTTACATTAGTATTACTAAGAAATTATGTAAGAAAATTTAATAATTGTGAAAAATTGTGAAACATTAACAAGTCCATCATCTGATTACGTGATTATCAGAAATTACCAGATCTACGATTTTAACTCCAACTAACCCAATTGGCCACTCTATATCTCTCCGAGTTGCTTTATTTCTCTTTCACATCTGAGATTTCGGACCTTTGCCTATTTCGGAGACTTTAAAACCGAGATCTCAGATCTGAACCCTAAAAAAAAAAAAAAATAAAAAAAATAATAAAAATAATAAAAAATAATAAAAAATTTCAATAGTTTATTTTATGTTTCGATCTCAAAGTCAAACTACATTATCAACACTAATACATCCACAACAAGAAGCAGGACAAGATGATTCAGATATAGTAAGTCTTTTATCAGACTCAACACTAATAAATCCTACTTTATCTATTTTTAATCATCCATTACAACAATATACAACTCATAACACAATACCAATAATATCAAAATTTTTATCACCAGGTGTTGAATTGTATAATTCTTACGGTAGTTTTGAATCAAATGCTGCTCCTATATTATCTACAAAGTTTAATTTGTTAAAGTCCAACTTTTTAAATATTTATAAAGAAAAACAATTATTTTGCAAAGTAGATTTTAAAATCCATTCAAATTATATTACATACTATGTTTTAACCTTTCAAAATGAGGTGGTTTATTTAATAATGAATAATTCAAATTACCCAACTATAGATTTTGCATTTTGTGGATCATTTTTTAGAATTATGGGAATAACTGGTACTACAAGTAGTCTAGGAAGTGCAAATTTGATTAAACTATTTATAATGAGAAGTGAGAAAGGATTATTATGTGATGGTATTGAAATTGAGAGAGGAAAGAGATTAAAGATCGATAATGAATTGCTGAATTTGATTCAGAATGATATGAGTAAAGTAAAAGGATATATACATAGTAGTACCCCATTGATTGGTGTTCCATTAGCTACTTTTGTTGATTCTGGTGATGTCAAAGTAAATAAGAATGGTGGCAGGTATGTTAAACATGGGTATATTCAATTATTTGATTATTTGAATGAAGAAACTGTAAGTGAGCATATGTTGATGATTTGTTGTATATTATTGACGTTAAGAGAACAAGAGTATAGAAAATTCAAAGGTGATAAAAAGAGTAATTATGTTGGTTGAACCTAAAGATATTTATCTGTTTTTAATTTCTTTAATTTTAAGTGTATGAGTATTTGGATTATTGATTATTGTGATGGTATTAAGTTTAAAATCAATTGATGCTTTAGTTACAAGAAATTAAATATTAAGAGTACGTCAGCTTAACAATTGTTCATAGAATTGCCTTCACTTGGGTATTATTATTGGAGAATATTACTAATTGATTTACCAAAATTTTTAATTTTTAACTTTCATGTAAACAAGCCGGTAAAACTGCAGGAGTTGAAACTTCATGAAAGGCTGATTAATAATCTGAATTGGTTATTAATCAGCATTGAATTAGCTATATCCATGTTGTCTATCTGTTTACGCAATATATACAAATTTGACAAAAGTCGTGTACTTGTTATGACTATTGTTACTATATAAATTGTGATTTGATCCTGAATCAGGTTGAGGTATCAGATAATAATCAAAATTGATTTGAGAAAGTGGCTAACACATTGTTTTAAAATTCAAATATTTGTGAGGTTGAAATTTGAAATGATATAAAGAGGTCATTTTTAAGATCTGATTGTTTATTCTTATGAGAGTAAGAGTCAATAATCTTTGCTTAAAATTGTTGATAAAATTGAAGGTTCACTTTTTTAGCATAAGAACAAATGACTTGGAATCAGCATTAGTGAAAACATCATCAGCAACATATGTAAGGAAAAAGCCTTCGACTGTTAAAGTTTGCGTTTTGTCCTTTCGATCATTATGAGAAAACCCATATTTACTGGCCAAGTTGGACACCTAATGACTTCCTTCTTTTTGAGGGCTTGTCATATTAATTAGTCACTCAATATTCTGAATGCTCGACTTTGACATTCAAGTGAATTATGTGATGGAGGCGTAGATTTTGGTAGGAGAGGCATTATCGTTGGTAGTAGTTGATGAGTCACATAACAAATAGTATATGTAGTATTGGATCATTCTGGCAAGATGATTCCCAGCTTTCACATGATTAACCTTAAAATTATTCAATTTTCAAATATTTTAGGTTGAAAGATTGAATTATTCAATTCGTTCGCAATATTTACTTTATTTTTAAGATTTGATTGTTCACTTTTGTGAACAAAGTAATGGTCCGATAATAATAATTACTAACTTGTTGCTATTGGCTGGAGTCGATGCAATTGATAAAATACTTCCGAGAAATCAAAGGTACAATGAAAATTACCCTAACTTAATCCTAATGTTGTCAAAAGAAGTTGTCATTGTTTGAGTTTATAAATCTATCTATCCATCCATTGATATCAAAATAATATAGCTTTGTTTGTGATTCAAAACCTTAATTTAAGAATTTGGAGAAAATCTTACTTGTCTAAAAAATAATGATTTACGCACACTTTTAACTACTTACTTTACTCCGAATAGCTTGTTTATTAATAAATATTAGAATTTGAAGCGTATTTGAGTGCATTAAACATGGGATAAATCACAAAACTCTTGTTCAAGTTTGATCGATCATGACAGTAACGAAACTTCGATTGAGCTAACCATTTTCTGACCCAATAACTTTGAGTATTTTTTAAATATCCTACACTTTATATTTTTGTGACTGCTATTTTTTCTCAACTTTTATGAGAATTTGAATTCGGTTGATTCGTAATTTTTTGGACTTTCACTTGGTAGCGTATTTTTTTGCAGCCATTTTTTCTATAGTATCTCCTAATTAAAATTAAAATAATAATAATTTTTTGACTTTGTGGTGGATAATCATCGGGTTTCAGTTTCCCACTCTAACCTTCTGACCCCTCTCTTCCCCCCTAAATTCCCCTAATTCATCTAATAAACGTTTGATTTTGAAAAGCAAGAGAATAAAATGTCAAAATTAAGGTTTCCTTAAAACAAAGATCTAATTTAGATCTAGTTGTGGGGTCGAATAACCAATTTTCGATGATTTTAACATGCAGCCTCTCGTGCTAAAAATTAAACTTCACGTAAATCTACAGGGAACCAAAAGAGTTAAGGCAAGTTAGTTTACGTTTACGACAATAAACTATAAGCTGAATCATTAACTTTTTATAGTAATACTGTAATTCAACGTAACTATAAGTTTTGAATACAATGTTACATTCAAGTATTGAAAAGTCATAAAAATGAGGAGAGTGTTGTATTGTAGACATCACGAGTTGCAACAAACATCCTTTTCTCGGAAACGTCTGAATAATTCAATGCTGTTGAACAATCAAGCAAAACATTTCGTAAATTTTAAATTCGATAACTACTATACTTTGTTTATTTGATGATTACTCAAAAAAATATATTGACCATAGAGCAGCATAAGGCCAAAATCAGATGCCATGCAACTTGCGAATAATGGACTACTTCCATCAATCTATTGCTTGTAATTCAATTTTGCAACTAAATAAATATTGATAATACAATTGGTAGCTGTTTAGTAATCTCCGTAAATCAGCACAAACTTGATCAAAGTGGAGAAGATAATTGTACAAATTGGGTAAATGTTCCAACATAGCGCTACCATGTATTGCAACATTTTTGTACGTTCCATCAAAGTTTATCCAAATTATGAAATATAATAATTGATACACCAATCTTCTTTATTAATTTAATAGGATATTATTGCTGATTTTTATCAAATATCAAGTTACAAGTTGACCCAGATCAAGATCATTTAATATTTGTTAATTGAAATTTACCAATCATCAACATTAATTAAATTCATGGCATCGGATTGAAGTAAATATACCAATTGCATTAGTTTTACTTACCATTATGGCACCTCTGAAGAAATATATTTGTGCATTTTGTGCTAGAGCATTCACCAGATCAGAACATAAGCAACGACATGAAAGATCACATACTAATGAAAAACCATTTCATTGTTTATATTGTACATCATCATTCGTAAGGAGAGATTTATTACAAAGGCATTGTAGAACAGTTCATAATTCAAGTTTGAATCCTAAAACATTACCAACTAATAAATCATTGAATAATCCAACTATAAATGGTTTTAATATTGAAATTGACCAACCTAATGAAATTAATACTGATACTCCCGAAACTATTGATTCAATTCCAATGACACCATCAAATTCAATAAATTCAGAAATTGTTAAAAAAAGGAGAAAGAGTTCTCAGGATTCAACAAATGATACATCTCATGATATTTTGCATTTACTATCAATTACTAAAAAATTGGACAATTTATTGATGGACTATGATTATACTAATATTGATAAGTCAACAATAAGTGATCATTTCTTAATCGGGTATATAAATTTATTGAATAAATCTAAGAATGAGTATTTGGCGTTTGATAAAATTTTGAAAGATTTGATATATTACCTTAATACATTTTATATAAATCAACCACCACAAAATCTAGAAACAGGTACTACATCACCATTAATTAACGATTTTAGAATTGGATTGTTATATTCCACTATCTCACTTGGTTTTATTTTGAATAAGCAAGAATATGAAGCAATTTCGTATTTCAAAAAAAGTTGGAATTTATTAATCAAAAAATTGATACCACAGTATAATAATAATAACAACCTATTGGATCAAATCGAAATAATGAATAACTTGTTTTTATTAAGTTACATATATATAAACTACAATCTTGAAACTTACAATTTTTCAACTGACACTAATGAAGAAATATATTTGAATAATCAAGTCATATTGAATTATCTTAATGATATAAGTTTTATAATAATATCAAATCTAAAGGATTTGAAGATCAATGATAATTTAATAGATAAGAATTTGTATTTATTTTGGGGGATTTACATAATATTATCAAACAATTTAAATGATGAACCACCAAAAATTTATGAATTTATATTGACCAAACCAATTAACAAGACTAATAATAATAATGAGTCATTAAGATCCTTAATGATTAAATTTTCAAAATCATTTGTTAACCTAAATAATGAAAATTCAAATGAGAATAATGATTTAAATTTAAGATTGATTATCATATCGACATTATCTAATGAATTGAAATTATTTAATCAATCGAAATTAAACATATATGAATCAAAAAATTGTCTTCATAATTCAGTAATACTAATAAACAAATCCATTAATCATGCATCTAAATATTCAAATGATGAAGATTTATTCAAATTATTTAAAAAGACTTTAATCATTAACTCAAATGTCAAGTTTCATGAGTTATTGAACAGCTATAATTTCATACCTTCACATTATCTAAATTGGAATTTGTTATATTTAACATTGAAAGAATTAAATTTGATCAACAACTTAAACATACATCAAGAAATAATGAAAAAAAATGTAAATAGTCTTTTTGAGATTGAATTGAAGAATTTTTTGAACTATAAAATCAATATTAGCAATATAAACAACAATCTCCTCATTGTCACTATTCCAATTATATTCTTATCAAATTATTTAAACTTAAATTTCATTGAGAATTCAGTATCAACTTTCAATTATTTAGAATTGATGAATATTAATGTGTTTATAATGGAGTGGTATATCATAACTTACAAAATATTGATTATAATATTTAAAGAAGATTCAGTAATTGAAGATAATTATATACTCCAAATAATCATCTATCTATTAAATAAACAATCTTTGGAACTTGAAATAAATAATAAGAATTTTAACAATTTCAAATTGAAAATAGATTTGATTATGAATAATTGGATCAATTATTTTAAAAAGTTCAACTTTGAAGAATTTAATAATAAGTTAGATAACTTTGTTTCAAAGTTAAATTGCATCTTGAAAATAGAAGAAGAAGTATCTACATCAAGTTCTGTAATGATGCAATCATCATCAATTTCAAACAATTCCAATATATTAAGTACTTCTAATTTGGATGAATTTAGAAGAAACTCAGTAAATTATAATTTATATATTCCACCAAATCAACCCCCAATTTTATCATCAAGTACTTCATTAAATCTATCAAATTCGAATAATACAATAATTAGTAATAATGGACAACAACAACAACATTTTCAACAAGCAAATCAACAAGGATCTCCACAATTACAATTACAATCATATCAACAAAATCCACAATTGAATCAATTTCAACAGCCTAATTTACAACATCAAGTTCCAAATCATCAGGTTTATAATTTACCTCCGTTGACTGAAAAATTAAAAGAAACAATTTAATATTAGCTGGTCTATAAGAAGAATATACAATTGCTCCGATACGTTATTTTGAATAGTCTCTAGATTCTCTGGAAAATATTATTAATATACTCGTTAAGAGTTTGATAACCGTACAATATAATAACGTATAATAATAACTATATACTAACTTTAGCCTTAATAAAATTAAGGAGGTTTCTAAAAATTTGGCTGATTTGAACATTGGAATCAATGTCATCCACTTGGCCGATTTGAATTTGCAGCAAGATGAACACCTACAATACAATTAGTCCTGACACCTATAATTGCACAACAACATAAAATATTATGACATTGTTGTGCACACTTGAGCATTCAAGCAGTTCACAAAAAAAGTATCCCAACAACGTAAATGTCCACTGATTGTAACTTCAATACTAATTTCAAAGATTGATAAACTTAAAGATAAATTAAAATAGTCAAACTCTCTGATTACACAAACTCTCCACCACCGTATGAAATTGTACTTTATATCATATGATCCCATATTATCACAAATCGCATAGACGTCCCAACTTTCTTTTAGATCCACAACTACAACTTGGTATGACAATAATACCATTTCAACAACATGAAATTAATTCTGGAACAGAATGGACTTCAAAAATGCTAAAAGTACAAGTATATTTCCAAAATATAGCATAAATTACTAACTGATATGTCGTTATTTGGTTTTATAAAATCACAAAAGGTGCAGTTTATTTTGTCAATGAATTTGATCACTTAATCTTGTGTCTACTCATCTCCTATTAAATTATCCAAATTTTATTACCCACATATCACCCAGCCCACAATAAAAACTCATTTTATGACAAAAGCACATTGCACCAAAACATATCCACAACTTTCAGTTAATCAAAATCCCATTAATCATCATCGAATCTTTCAATATAAAGTTGAATCATCTATTTGACCACGCGTGGATACTAGTTTTTTTTTTTTTTTAGTGTTTACGTAAACAACTTCTAAATTTTTCAATTTTTCAAGATTATCAAAATTTATAAGAGATCTATAGAAAATGCGATTCATTACATACTTACTATCACTACTTTTATTCATCACCTTTGCTATTTGTAAAAAAGATTATTATCAAATTTTAGGAGTAGAGAAAACTAGTTCAGAAAAAGAAATTAAACTGGCTTATCGACAGCTAACCTTGAAATACCACCCGGATAAGAATAATGATTCCAAAGCTCATGATAAATTTATAGAAATTGGTGAAGCTTATGAAGTTCTATCTAACAAAGAGAAGAGAAAGAACTATGACACGTATGGTGACCCAGATGGTCCAGGTCACGGTCATGGTCATGGTGATGGTGCCCATGGGTTTGATTTCGGAGAAATGTTTGGACAATTCTTCGGAGGTCAAAAGCAAAGAGGCCCACCAAAAGCTGATAATGTTCAGTTGAATTTAAATATACCATTAAAAGATTTTTATACTGGAAAATTACTTGAATTTGATGTTAATATGATGAATTCATGCCCAAGTTGTGATGGTACTGGATCTCAAGACAAACAAAGACATACATGTTCTAAATGTAATGGACAAGGTTCGATCTTAGTAACTAGACAATTAGGACTTGGTATGATTCAACAAATGAATTTACAATGTGATGAATGTGGTGGTATTGGAAAAGTTGTTAAACATAAATGTAAAAAATGTCATGGTCAAGGTATTTTCAAAGGTCCAAGACATTATGAAATATATTTAAGAGCTGGTCAACCTCGTGATTCTCATCATGTTTTAAATGATGAAGGTGATAAACATCCATTTATGGAACCAGGTGATTTAATTATAAATTTAAGAGAAGAATTTGATAAAAGTTGGGGTTTTAGAAGAGTTGCAAATAATTTATATAGAACTGAACCTATAACATTGCATGAATCAATAAATGGTGGTTGGACAAGGAAAATTAAATTTTTTGGAGATGAAGAAGGTGAAGATGATTATATAATATTGAAAAAGGAAAAAGGTGATGTTATAATGGATGGTGATGTTGAAATTGTTAAAGGTAAAGGTATGCCAATCATAACTGAGGATGATGATGTTGAATTGTTTGGAGATTTATTTATTGAATATAAAGTTATAGTACCGGGTGGTAAAACAAACAAAAAAGATATATCAAAAGATGAATTATAGATTAATATACAACACAATTGCATTTGAAACGTTAACTATTTATAGTAAATATTACGATTTCTTTAAACTCTCTCTCCTTCTTAAAAGGAAGGTTGTTAGAAGATCGAAATGAAAAAAAAAAAAAAGAAACCCATATCTCAGGGTAAAGACTGCAAAAGTAACCTGTAATGAACAGCCTACCAGCAGGTTTTTGCAGCTAATCATTCCCAACCGTGACCATCATCAACAAAGGAACCCACCGACAGCAAATCAATGACAAGTAGCTTGATAAATAAATTTAGAACCAATTGTTTGAGAAGATTACAAAAACAGATTGTGAAGTCAATTCACAAACACAGATGCAGTTCTATTTCATCCATGAGATCAGCGATAATGGTTAAGGTCTATTGGGTATGACATTTAACGAAAAATATGCGTTTTTTATTACACCTGCGTTTTTTATTACACCTCTTAAAAAAAAAAAAACGCAATTATATCATAGAAGTAAGCAAAGCACAGAATGAAGTAAGCAAAGCACAGAATGAAGTAAGCGAAGCACAGAATGAAGTATTACAAAATGTACCTATTCAAAGCCAACTAGGATTATGAGAATTTTGGTTAGTAGAATTTTATGAGTGGGCCATTAATAGTTAGTTGAAATGGTTGATTTAGAGCAATAGTGAAATATTGCTGCGCCTTAGTACCTTTCGTTCGATCTATAGTAGTTTTAGAATAACAAAGATTGTTATAGTTGAAGATTAACATTGATATTGAAATGTAATTAACGATTAAATTGCGATTCTACCATTTAAATGGATCTAGACCAATTTTCAAACAATAATTTGGAAAACTAAGAAAAACCTAGTTCAACATCAAATGGCTGTATGTAATTATACTTTGATTCAGCAACTAACTCGAATCTGTAACTTGAGCAATTTATGTAGATTTTACAAAGAAACCACATAGCAATATTATGTTACTCGAGTTCCGAATGAGAACCAAATGATAATTATGCTTTTCATATTATTCAATAGGTGTCTCACTACTGAATTCCTTTGCAATAATTTTCATCTCCTAAATTAACTTTCAATAGACGAGATAAAAATCTATATAATATATTGTTTATTATACTTTTTTAAAGTTTAGTAGTGCATGATGCACAATGGATTAATTTTTTTCCTTAATAATCCGAATTCCGAATGAAATCCATTAAGCAAATTATAATTAATATTGATGATGAAATAGGACCAAATCGATTTGGTTCTACAAATACAAACTCACAAAATTGGTGTTACATGACCTTTGATTCAAGAAACGTGCCATAACTTATTAGTATTTGAGGAGACTTTTAGACTTTGATCAATTAAACTCAAACTTAAACTTAGTTTTGTTTAGATTCAATTTATTGTGGAGGTTGAATATTCGAATAAACGTTCGAGTAAAGAAATATCTTGGGCCAAAATTCATGGCATTAATACATAAAAAATTGGGGTGAGGGTGGGGTTAGATTTGGTTGATAGTGCGTTATGAGAAATGGCGCCCCAATCGAAACGAAAAGAAATTTCTCTTTTTTTTTTTTTTTTTTCTCGTTTTCTCGACTGGATGGAAATCTGGAGAATTGAATAATAATAGATTAGAACTTGTGTAATATTCTAAGCATATGGTTGATCTCATTTATGAAAATTATTCAGGGGTGTAATATTCAATTGTAAAAAAATAGATAAGCAGATGAAATTTGAAAAACGTTGATAACAACATCCTGAAAGTCTAAATTTATTGGTTGTATCTTATTAAAATACACCCATTGCAAAGCATTCTAATGATAAGCTTAAAATACCAAATGGTCATTTTGCAATCTAATTTAAAATTGAAAAAAAAAAAAAAAAATAAAAAATAAAAAATAAAAAATAAAAAATAAAAAATAAAAAATAAAAAAAAAAAAAAAAAAGTTAAATAAGGCGGGAGTGATAAATATATAAATTTGCAATATTTCCACCCGTTGCTAATAAATAATCTTACAACCAATTATATATATATTGATAGATCGTCTACTTTTAGTCATCAATCAAGCGGAAGATAATTTACAACAACTATTATATATTCATCAATGTCAGTTATAACTCCACAACCAAGTCAAGCACCAATGAATAGTATAAATTTTAATTCATTGAAAATGAAAAAACCATTATCACCACAACCATCAAGACCCGTATTGTCTTGTCTACAAGGAGGTAACAGTTTAATAAAATCAACCACTCCAACCCCAAGGTCAACACCATTTCCATTTTTGTCTAATGAATCAGAAGATGAATTCGATGATAGTGAAAGTATTATTTCAGAATCTTATTCATTTATGACTAATAATGATATAAGTCATAGAGATCAAGACGCAACTAATTATAAAACTATATCACCAACTCCGGTCCAATCAAAGTCGTCAATTAGTGAATTTTTACCAATTTTTTACTCTAATGATTCTGCTTCATCTGTGCTTTCAACATATTTTTCAAATCAAGTATTTTATGCGCATAATTTAATTCAATTAAGTCAACATTTCATGAATCAAGAATTTGAATTTAGTAGAAATTTAATATTAAATCCTAAGATACCAAACCATGAACATGAATTAATCATAACACATTTGAATAGCATTTATAATTACAGTATTGATTTAACATCTACAATTTCAATTTTCAATGCAATGGTGGATAAAGTAAATATAACTGAAGTATCAATCGAAAATTTAAAATTGATAAAATTTAAATTTGACAACTTGATCAATAACCATTTATCAGAGCAAGTTCATCACTTATTGGATCTTATAATTGAAGAACTATATGAATATAATCTATTGATAGATGACCTTAATGAGGAAGAACACGTTGAGGAAGAAAATGATGAAGAAAATTTAAACACTATAAATGATTTATACTCATCAATAGAGTCGATACTACAATTGAAAACATCAAAATTAACAAGTCATGATGTTTCCAAATTCCATGACTTGTTACATGAATCAATCATAGAAAATAATGAATGGAATGACTTCATAAATCATATGAGAAAAACAATGTAACTTCATTTCATTTCATTTGAAGACGCTCGCTAATAATCAATTGCATTCAATTTAATTTCAGTTCTGGCTTTTTATAAAATTATAGATTTAATGAATGGGTTTATTTTGTAACCTTTTAATTTTTGTTACTTTTAATTGTTGAGCCTCTCTTAACCTTATTTAACTTGCTCATGGGCATACGGATCAATTGAACAATTATTCCATTGTTTAAACTCTTATTTCGACATGTTTTATTATTCCTAGGTAGATTATTTTAAACCCTTTATAGACATTACACAAAACTAAAATAATATGTCAAATTTAAGCGATAATGCATTTTTAGAATTTCGTTTCGAATTTTAAATCTAGGATTAGTTCGTAAAGGGGTGGTCAAAGATAAGAACTAATTAAAGGTATAAAGAAAGTCCTATTTGGCTTGCTTTAAAATGGTATATCTTATTACTAATTTTGTTTTGTCAAAATTACTATATTGAAATTTCGAAAAGATCAGCTATTTGACAAAACAATGCGTGGAAAAACTACTGCACCATCTCAATTAAAGACTTTATTTTCTACAAATGCTAATCGTGAAACAAGGTCACAAAATTAAAGATTGGCTATCCGAATAGACAATTAAAACGTGCAACTATTTTAATCAGTTCAAATTAAATCAAACAATACGAGTCAGTACAACTCTTTTAAATCGTAATTTCTTCAACCAAATTGAGTTTTTTTTTAAAAAATTAGTCGTTGTAGAACAATAGAACGGAAAGTCTAAACTAAATTGACACAATAGAAATTATAATGTCTTTGACATATGATTTAACTCTTCGAAAAACTTAAACTGCTACAGAAATCAAACTCTTCAGAACTTTTAAAAGTCAGAACTCAGCTTGAGCTAAATCTTCTGAAACCTGATTACTTGATCATTCGGATTTCAAACTTTTCAAGTAATCAAAATATGAGCCACGGAAATTAAGTTAAAAGAGGTTCGAAAACATGTTTACAGGCTGAGATGAATCTACTTTTTGTTTCATTGTCTTGGGTCTTGAGCCGTAGTATCGGATTTTCAATTTGACATCGTTAAAATATATTAATGTCATTTTTGTGTAATATTTATAATGCAGTAAAAATTTGGTAGCGCAGTTTCAGATTTTATAAAATCTTAGATCTTACCAGTTTTTGACATGTCGCTTACAAATCAAAGATCCACAGTTAAATTATTAAGATCTTCTTATTCAATCGATTATCAATGACTGTTTCATCAGATACAACTGCAATTGCACCATTAGGTAAAACTAAATTACTTCAACCAATCAAAGTTGGTGCGAATACTTTAAATCAACGTATTGCTTTTGCTCCCAGTACAAGATATAGAGCTACAAAACATGGTGTACCAACAGATATTTCATTAGAATATTATAAAGCTAGAGCACAAGCTCCAGGTAGTTTGATAATCACTGAAGCTACTTTCGCTTCTCCACAAGGTTCTGGTTTCCCACACGTTCCCGGTATTTATTCAGATGAACAAGTACAAGGTTGGAAGAAAATTAATGAAGCAATTCATGAACAAAAATCATTTAGTGCTATCCAATTATGGTATTTAGGTAGAGTAGGTCATCCAAAGTGGTTAAAAGAAAATGGTTTAAAATTATTAGCTCCATCTAAAATTTATTCTTCTCCAGAATTGGAAAAAGAAGCAATTGAATCTGGTAATGAAATACACGAAGTGACAATTGAAGAGATTGAAGATATAATAAACGTACAGTATCCTAAAGCTGCTCAAAATGCATTAGATGCTGGATTCGATTATGTTGAAATTCATTCTGCTCATGGTTATTTTCTTGATCAATTTTTAAATGATAATTCAAATAAAAGAACTGATGAATATGGTGGATCAATTGAAAATAAAGCAAGATTGTTGTTGAGAATTATTGATACATTAATTCCTATAGTTGGTGCAGATAGACTTGCCGTTAGATTATCACCATGGGCTAAATTTCAAAACATGTCAACAGAAGGTGAAAAATTACACAGTTATATTTTAAAAGAATTACAAAAAAGAGCAGATGAAGGAAATCAACTAGCTTATATTTCATTGGTTGAACCTCGTGTTCAAGCAAGTTGGGATATTGCAGAAGAAGATCAACAAGGATCAAATAAATTTGCTGATGAAATTTGGAAAGGAAAATTTATCAAAGCAGGAAGTTATACTTATGATGCACCAAATTTCAAAACTTTATTAGATGATTTGGAGAATGATAGAACATTAATTGGATTTTCAAGATATTTTATAAGTAATCCTGATTTAGTGTATAAATTAAAAGAAGGTTTACCATTGACAAAATATGAAAGGGCAACTTTTTACAATCATGATAATTTTGGTTATAATACATGGTTAAATCATAATGGAAATAGAGAAGTAAATGAAGAAGAAGAAAGGAAAAGAGTGGGTAAACCCTTAGCATAGATCTTATAGACATTTAATAGGGATTGAAATACTTTATATAATTTTAAGCGGCTTTCTATTTTATATTGCCACCTAACGAAAAACGTAAAAATTTTTGAAACGGAGTTAATATGCAGTCTCATAACTGAAAATTTCGAAACACCTTTGAAAAATTACTTTTCTAATTTTGGATACCTTAACATAAAAATACTTTAATTATATTAGAGTGCAAAACTACAAAGTTGAATAATTTCATCACGTTCATATTTGAATATTAAAAGTGGAATTATATTTTTTGTAAGATCAATTTATTCAATCTTCTCCATAGTTAAGAAATATTATTGAAATATTTCAAATTCGGCTTTGATGAATTGAATTTAAATGTAGTTCAATTTGATTATATGCAGTCCTCGCATAGTTAATTTTGAAATTTAAATCGTGAATAATTTCGTGAATAATTCCGTCAATATGAAGCTTTCTATCTCAAACTTATCTTATTACAAACAAACATTAATTTATTCAGAGTAAACTGAAACTAGTATTCGTTGATTTGACGTAGTTTTGAAGTTTTTTATTCGTCATTCAAAAAATGGAGAAAAACCCTGTTTTACAAGACAGGTAATACTTAGACGTCATTTAGCAACTCCCAGTATATCCGATTTGACTGATCCCACTCCTAAAACTATATGTGTGATGTTTTCAGGATGCCATAATCGGTTTGAAAATTTTGCAAAAATTTAAACCCATTATGAAGTTTGGAGAACTACATCAGACGTGTAATTCGAATCTAGTAAACCAAATCAGCTATATTTGAAGTTGGTAAACGAAGTGCAAGTGTTGATTATCTTTGAATATAGCGTTTTTTGTCATTTTTCAAACGATGAATAAATTGATCAAAATTAAGCCTCTTCAAATAATCGTATCATCGTTTTACTCTGAACTAATTAGACCTAGAAACAAAAAAGTTACCATAACAGCTTCAAAATAAATGAACTTATTTGTAAATTGAATTGAATTTCGAGATTAACTACTGTAGGACTGCATATAAGTTTCTAAAGAACTTCGGAGATTTCAAGATTCTGACACGGCTTTAATGCAAAGAAAATGAATGAGATTTTGATAGAGTTTAATCCATTAGAACATGAGTAATGGTATTAGAAAACGATCAAGAAATGGTTGTTTAAGTTGCAAAAGTTTAAAGATCAAAGTATGTTGTTATAAATATTTGTTCAATTTCAGATATTAACGATATTCAGTGTTCCGAGACAAAACCAAGTTGTGAATATTGTGTTCATACGCAACGAATATGCCAATATCCAAAACCAAAACCACTAAAAAAGGATTTGAAGAAGAGTAAACTCTCTAAAATTGATACCGAAGAAGAAATTATTATCGATATTGACAAAGATTTTTCACTATCATCTGAATTATTTGGTTCAAGTGAGGTACAACTACTAAAGAAGAATCTACAATATTATTATGAGAAGCCATTTCAACATGATATCCTAACTAGAAACCTAGTTCTAACTCAAGCTACTTCAATGTTAAACATCTCCAGATTTGAATTACGGTTATTGAATTTTTTTGATAATGAATGCATAAATTTATTTTCCTATGGTATTAATGAAGGTATACATAACACTTGGAAATATAAAGTACCTTACTTATTCCTAGAAAGTGAATTGGTACGACAGTCAATCTTCTCATTTGCTGCTTTAGGATTATCAACTACTTTTGAATTAGATGTTTTACAAGATATAGATTCAATTGATTCAGATACAAATTTCAAACAAACATTTAAGTTTGATCAACTAGATAAAAGTAATATCTTTCTAACTACTACAACTTACTTTCTTGAAGTATTAACAAAGACTAGAAATATAATGAGCAATTCAGATTTAAAGGATCCACCAGTGGCTAAAGAATTAACAGTATCTTCAGTTTTACTATTTGCATTCCTAGCTGTACATCCTCATAAAATGGTTCCACTAATTAACTTCAACAAGGATAATGAAACTGCTGATTTATTAAGTATTGCAAAGGGTGTACGATATACAATTGTAGAATGTGGTCCAACAATTTTAAATTCAGAGTTATCGGGTTTGTTATTTTATAGAGGTATTGATAAAATGGACCCGCCAAGTTTAAATAAGTGTCAATTTCCAATAATAAGAAACCTAATGGATGATTTATATAAATTTAATGATCATGAACATACAATTTCAAAAGATGCAGTAATTGAGGAAAGTATAGACTTGTTAATGAAGGCAATTTATGGAGTGTCATTCTTCAAATTTCCAGTACCATTATATAGATGGTTAATGATTATATCTGATCAATTTAGAGAATTGTTATATTTGAAACATCCATTTGGTTTGAAAGTTTTATATATTCATTCCGCATTAAGTTCAATTGCAAGATTTCAATTTTATAATGATCATAATATATGGAGAGATTACATGATATGGTATCTAGATAATGGATATTTCACTGGTGATGATCATTATTTATCTTATTTATGTATTGAAAAGCATTTCTTGATTGAAGATTTTACAAAGTTTCCAGAATTTGATCCAGAGTTAGAATATAAGAAATTGATAAATAGTGAATAGATATATAACTAATGCATAGAAGGTCTTAGCTTTTAAGCTCAAGTATAACAAAATCAGTTCTTTTCTTTTGATATCTCCCGATGGTCTCTTTTGAGCCCCGCCCCACTTTGAAATAAGCCGAACCGTTGATCAGTAAGCCAATCTTTCCAAATCAAGTTACCGAAATCTAATCTTTAACTAAACTACGGCTTCCGTATATCAGATGGAACGCAGGTATTTTTATTTTATTATTACCTCCACACTTCAAATTTTTAGATCTTTTTCTATAAATAATTTTCAATTTTTCGAGATCTGAAACTAGGAAACAAGTTTTTATAGCCATGTCATTGAGAGATTCTTTAGCATTTCAAGCTATTAAAGTTGGTGATGTTGAATTATCAAATAGAATTGTATATTGTCCAACTACAAGATTTAGATCAACCACCATGTCAAAAGATTCAAAATTTCGTCATTTACCATCTGATTTAATGTTGGATTATTATAAAGATAGAGCTCAATATCCTGGTACTTTATTGGTTACTGAAGCTACTTTTGTAAGTGATAGATTAAGTGGTTACGATGGTGCTCCAAAAATTTCAACACCGGAAGAAACTCAAGCATGGAAGAAAATTATAAATGCCGTTCATTCACAACATTCATTCATTTCATGTCAATTTTGGGCATTAGGAAGAGTTGCCATTGCTAAAAATTTAAAACAAAAGGGTTTAGATTATATTGCTCCTTCTGCAATTTATGAATCTGATTATACTAAAAATGGTGCTATAAAGTATGATTTACCATTAAGAGAGGTATCACAGAAAGAAATTCATGATATTATATATAACGATTATACTCTAGCTGCTAAAAATGCATTAGAAGCTGGATTTGACTTTATTGAATTACATGGTGCCCATGGTTATTTCATTGATCAATTTTTACATGAATGTTCAAATCAAAGGACAGATATATATGGAGGATCAATTGAAAATAGATGTAGATTTGTTTTAGAATTAATTGATCATTTAATCACAATTGTTGGTGCTTCTAAATTAGCTATCAGATTATCACCATGGGCTGAAATTCAAGGTATTACTGAACCAGAAAGTCCAATTCCTGTTTTTTCATACTTATTAAAAGAATTACAAAATAGAGCAGATCAAGGTAATAAATTAGCTTATGTATCAGTTGTTGAACCAAGAGTTAATGGTGTTGTTACTAGATCAGAAGATGAAATTAAAGGTGATAATGAATTTGTTGCAGAAATTTGGAAAGGTGTTTTATTAAGGGCTGGTAATTATACTTATGATGCTCCAGAATTTAATACTGTTAAAAAAGATATTTCAAATGGTAGAACATTGGTGGGATTTTCAAGATATTTTACAAGTAATCCTGATTTAGTTGAAAAATTGAAAAATGGTAAACAATTGGTAAAATATCAACGTCCATTATTTTATACTCCTTTCAATTATGGTTACAATACATATAATGATAAGAGAGATTGGGATGAAGAAGTTGAAAAGAAAAGATTACCAAAACCAATTAGACATTCAGAAATTAATTTATAGATAATTATAGAGATTTATTAAATGTATTCAAGTGAATTATAATATCAAAAATAGCAAAACTCTGACCTACGTGACTTACCAATATACTCTTTAATGCTGTTTCTAAACTTATTATAAATAAGCAGCACCAATAAACAAACGATAAAAAATCACCAGAATTAACAAAATCTTCGAATATCCTTAACATCCCATTGATTTGGTCATAGAATAAACCAACAAACCCAAATGTTAATATAACAATAAAAACTATGAACAAACATCTTTAAACCCCATTGAATTTAATTTATAGATCGTGTGGCAAGTAATTTTAAGTCTTGAATTTGGTAGCGCGTCACACGCATTTTTTTTATCAACAACTTTTATATGAGACAAAGAATAACTATATATAATCCAAATTCAAATAATAATGATATTATTAAAAAACTAGATAAGAAAAATTTAGAATTAGCTTTAAATGAGGGTCAATTACCATTTATTATTGAAAATAAGTATACTATCCCCAACCCTAGTTTAAAATTAGACAAAATTGCAAAATTTAGAATTCATTCAGTTTTCAATAATATTCCAAATCCATTATTTCCATTCAATCAAGCTCATGGAATAAGTATATATATGTCACCAACTAAACTATCCAGTCAAGCTGATATTGATGAATTTTATACTGAATCAAATTTATTAATTGAAGAATTATTAGGTATTAAAACAACTTCCAAAAATTGGATAAATTCAGTTAATTCAATTTTCTACTATGATTCAACACCCAAAGATTTAAAATTCAATTATAAATTGTTTGGTAATGTACCTAGCTCAAGCAATTCTAATTTTGATTTATTATTCGATGGTGAAAAATTAACATTACGTCAATTATTCAATAGTATAGACTTACAATTTAATAAGGATTCTTCAGATTATAAAGAAATTGGTGTTTTTGCAATTGATGAATCTATATCTGATACAAAAGATGATTTAGTTTTGAATGGTTTCCGAGTAATTTTTGATCCATTAAGTGATGAAACCGAAAATGAGGGAATGCTTCATAAAACGATGTTTCATATCAAACCAAGACATAGATATTTAAATAAAAGTATAGAGTCAACTATTAAACCAAATGGATTGCATCCTATCTTATCTACGAAGTTACAAGAGTCAAAAATTATTGAGTCAGATATCAAGGAATGTAAATTATACTATTATATCAATTTAAACAAGTCTTTGATCTTTGATCCATTTCAATCTATTCCACAGGGTGCCAATTTGACTTTAAATAATGGTGAGAAGAACTTGGAATTGCCAGAATATAAGATAAATAACTGGGGAAATGAAATTTTATTTGAATTTGAGAATTATAATAAAACAGAGATTGATTTCACATTGCATTCAAGATATCAATTACCAAATAATGAAACTACAAGTACTGAGGTTTTCCAGTCTCATCCTAAGGTGTTTATTGGTTGTAATGTTGATGAATTTGAATTACTTTCTAAATCTCCATTTGATACAAAGGGTTCAATAGGTGGTAATTATGAAAATTATTTCACTAATGATACTGTATTCTATCATTTTGAAAAGTCATCATCTGATAATTTGAAAATTGATATACCTCATGGTACTTCAAATTTTGAAAATGTTAATTTTATAACTACGGTGTCTATAATTTTTGGTATTGTAATTATTGTAATACCTATATTTAAGAAACTATTTAATACACCTAGAACTACAGTTGCAAAGAAGAATGAATAGATTAAAACTTAGTAAATAAATTCCAATTCAAGAATTTTTGCTTATTATCTACCCATTGAAAGCTTCTTACTTCTTCTGATGTGAGTCAGTCATTATATTATGAAAGTATGTCACTATCTATTTTGTCTATTTTTAATAGTCTCAACCGAATAAATTCCAATCAACGATATTGAAACTTTCAATTATCTCTTTAAACAACCTATAATCCTCTTCATTATAGGTCTCCACGTCCCTATCATGCGGGACATTATACTGCACAAGTATATCAGTATCAACTTTATCTAATCTAACTAATCCAATCAAACTGACAATCTCAAGTGGTTGATTTGGTTCAATTTTAGTATACTCAGGTTTAAATTTCAAAAAACTTATAAATCTTTCACTCCCATCATCACTTTCTAATTTTTCGATGAGTTTACTTGACTCAGAATTTGGGTATATGTCTGATAAATGCTCAACAATAGCTTCTGAATAATCATTATCTAATTTCTCTAAAATATCGAATATTAATGATTTATCTAAATTTGCATTCTCAGTGGGGTTTTGATTTATGAATACTTCTTGATTGTCTGGTACTTGTCTTATTTTTGATACATCTATGAATGTAGATGGTAATTGGGTAATTGAAATTGTACCGCCATATAATTCAGTCATTTTGAAAGATCTTATTGGGCTTTTTTTCAAGGATATATCATATAAAGTGATCGGAAGTAACCTCAAAATAGAATTTCACTCTTCTTAGTTAGCTTATCTACTCTTCTTATATTTTAAGAAGTCTCTAACCTATGTTTATCTTGTATATTTTTACGGGAATTCAATATTTCTATGTTTTTATAGATGAGAAAAATAAAATTATTTTGGTGCTGTTTCAGACTAATATTGGTTCCATGAGTAAATATAATAGTAAAAGTGGTAGTAATGTACGAAAGATAACATTAATTACTATCCTAGTTTTTGGTATTATAACTGTTGGGGTTTTCACATTGTCCTCCATAAACTCTGGTAAAGACATTCAAGAAGTTATTTCAAATTTACCAAATGATAAATTATTAGGATTGTCAAATTTATTATCAAATGAAAATAATAAAGCTACAGATGAATTACTTAATAAAATAGAGAAAATGAATAAAAAGTTATTTAAGGATCAAGAGGAACGTTTGGATAAAATAGAACAATTACAAGCAAAATTATTAAAAGAAATTAAAAGTCTTAAATCAATTAGTCCTAAAAGTTCAATTAGAGAAAAATTGACATTTTTATATCCTTATGATCCAACAGTTAAATTTCCAGCATATATATGGCAATCATGGAAACATGGTTTAAATGATCCAAAATTTGAAGAAAAATTTAAAGATGGAGAATCACAATGGGCTTTTAAAAATCCAGGTTTTGTACATGAATTATTTAATGATGACACGGCATTAGCAGTTGTAAATCATTTATATTCAAATGTTGCAGAAGTTATAGATACTTATGTAAGCTTACCTGAAGTTATATTAAAACAAGATTTTTTCAAATATTTAATTTTATTTGCTAAAGGTGGTGTTTATGCAGATATTGATACTTATCCATTACAGCCAATACCAAATTGGACACCAGAAAATGTAAGTCCATTAGATATTGGAATGATTGTAGCTATTGAATTAGATTCAAATTCACCAAATTGGAAAACAGAATCAATTAGAAGATTACAATTTGGTCAATTTGTAATACAAGCAAAACCAGGACATCCAATATTAAGAGAAGCAATAGCTAGTATAATAGAATATACTCAGAAATTGAAAATTGAAAATAATAATAATGATGGTGACGGTTTAAAATTAACTGGAAATAGTAATAAAAAATCATTGAAAATCTCATCATGGACTGGTTCAGGGTTATGGACAAATGTAATTATGAAATACTTTAATGATTATATACAATCATCTGTATTTCAAAAAATTACATGGAAAGATTTTAAAGATTTAAAAATTCCAAAATTAGTTAGTGATATTTTAGTGTTACCAATAAATTCATTTGCAAGTGATATAGAAATATCAAATGATGGTAAAATAGATGATCATTTAGCTTTTGTAAAACATTATGCTGCTAAAATATGGAAATCAGGTTAGGCAATAAATACAAAATATTTTTTCAAACATTCAATTTATAAAGTGTATCTAGTTAGAAGTTAATCAATATAAAAGTAATAGCTCAAAAATCAAGTTTTATAACCAAACAAAAGTCAAATTAGAAAACCTCTGATCTAATTAATTCTACGAGCTCCTGAGCTCCTGAGCTCCTGAACTCTTGAGCTCTGACCGGCTGCAACTCATTAAAAACCTCTGATCTAATTAATTCTACGAGCTCTTGTCACGTCTTATAACCAAACAAAAGTCAAATTAGAAAACCTCTGATCCAATTAATTCTACGAGCTCTTGAGCTCAAGAGCTCAAGAGCTCCGACCGGCTGTAACTTATTACCAATAATTTGGCCACACTAATAAAATAACAGTAACATTTAAATCAAACCTATATTTAGATTAAACTATTAAAATTAAACTATTAAAATTAAACTATTATTATTATTATTATTATTATGAAAACTTAAAAACAACGATGAATTCATTAGCTTAAAAAAAGCATTAAATGAACAAAAAACATGAAACAAAAAAAAAACCAAAAAGTAAAAACCATTGAAAACATTAAAAACATTAAAAACATTAAACAAATTAAAAAGAAGAAGTAGCAGCAGTCATTCTAAGAATAACCCCCCCACCACCATAAAATTCAAATATAATAACCATATAATTGGCCGCACCATCTAACATAATCTCACTTTGAATTTTTTTAATCTCACTTTCAATTTTCTTTATAGTTTATTGTGGCCAACTAACATAATCTCACTTTCAATTTTTTCTTCTTTATATTTTATATTTTATAATTCAAATTAATAATTTTACCAAAAAGATAATAATTTAATTTTAATAAACCATTATATAAACCTTGTGGTAATAAATATAAAATATAATAAACAAAAACACTTAATAATAATAAACAAAATGCATTGAAAAATATTAATTCGCCTGTACTTAATAAATAAGCAGGAGTAGTATATAAATAATAATTATAAACTTTTTGTAGAATTGATAATTGAGTTTTTTCTATAGGTACAGAAATTGAATTTATATTATTATCATTATTATTATTATCATTATTATTATTACTATTATTATTATAATTATATGAGATGAATGATTTTTTTTGGGAGTTTTTCGCTATTGATGAAGTAGTGGATAATCTAATGTGTGGTTGAATTTTAGATGACTTGGCAAAATTGGTAGTAGTTGTAGTTGTAGTAGATGACATTTTTGAATAGGTAATTAATTAATTAATTCAATAAATAATTATATATATATATAAACAAAAGGGTATAAATTAAAATGAAAAACGATACAAAACAAAAGAAGAAAATAGAATACGAAATAATGGAAAACCAATTGGATATTTATATATTTATATACTAAAGCTAAAGAATTATAAAAATTTGTGACTACTCTGAATTTGTATAAGAAATTTTAATTTTATTTGCTTCTATTTTTAAGGTTATGAACTTTGTATATTTTCCGATCTTTAACGGTTTGAATGATGATACGGAGATGGTATCAAATTAAAGCCAATTGTGGTACCATTCTAATGCCAGTTGGCCCTATAAATGGCATTAACCTCGTACTATAATATGTATTATTACTAAACAATATATGTCACATTTTAATATATTCTAATTTTCTTTTTGTTTTTTTTATTTTTTTTTTTTTTTTTTTCTTGATTAAGCAATATCCTCGAGAACCGAGTTATATAATTGCCTACTGATGCTTATAATACTTATAATACTTATAATACTTAGTTTAACTCATGAGATTAGTTAGATATACTGAATAATAGGAGAATTAATTTAATTAACCACGCAATTCCTATTTTTAATTTATAGCAATTGGTTCTTTTACCCAATAGTAGTATATCATAATAGTATATCATAACCAGATCTCTTACTCTTATTTTGATTCTATTTTGTAACTTTTGATATATTTTAAATCAAAATCCATTTCTTCCGTAAATAATAAATTTTTATGTCCGATGAGCTAATTTTTTTTTATATTATTCACTAATAGTTTACTAATGAAGAAAAAATGTACTCCTTTTTGAAAGTAGAATCATTTAAATAGGAGTGGATAGGAGTGGATAGGAGTGGAGTGGACTGGGGTGGAGTGGACTGGATAGGACTGGATAGGACTGGAGAGAATTTGGAATGGAATAGATTCAATAATTTCATTTGTCTTCTTTATTTTCTATGTCAATATTGCATGAATCATTCTACTAAGAAAAAAAAATAAAAAAAAAAAAAAAAAAATAAAAAATAAAAATAAAAAATAAAAAATAAAAAATAAAATAATATTTTTTCGTTGCTTAATATTTAAATCAACAATATTTTGCAACCATTATCAAAACTGACAATAACCAGCAGTTAAAGAGCTTATTATTCCTAATGTTAAGTTAAATTATTATACTCTTATAATATTATACTTTAGGGGTTTCAAAAGACCGGTCAAACTCAATTGGCTAGTAAATTTCACTTTGTTCTCTCTCGTACTTATTATAATCCAATTTAAACTTTGCAAAATACGAATATTATAGAAGATTGTCTTATTTCAAGTCTAAAATATTGTTCGTCGACATGAAATTCATTCATTCATTCATTCATTCATTTCACTGCTCAACAAAACGTTCTCACTAAAAAATTTACACATTAGGTTGATGTTGAAATAAGCACGGCTATAGGTTGGTTTAAATTATTATCTCCATTTTTTTATACATTCCATCTTTTGTTATTTAACTCGTGTTACGTAGGTTAATTACCGATTTATAAATAATTGAAAAAAAAAAAAAAAAGAGATCATGTGATTCTCATAACGGCTGAATAATCAAAAGAAATTAAAAATAACTCAATTGGAACCTATTATGCACCAAATCATATATTATTTACTATTTAATCTATCTAAAGTAATCCAAATAACTAATTCGGATTCGGATGAACTTATACACAAAAAGACTATAATGAACGTTTATGCAAGCTTCAACCCCTTTTATTACCGATATTTATATAAAAAGAACATTGTATTGAAAATCGTATAGTTTACCAATTGAGTATTTAATCATTTGGTTTGGACTCCCAATCCTAATAGTCAAAGTGGACTGTAGAGATCCTTTTAATCTAATTTATATCACTTAAAGAATGTTATAAATTTAAAATGACCATTAAAAGAATTTTTACCAAATGTTGTTTGAATAAATAATCTATTAATAAATATATAAACTCTATAACCAAAATAAACATGTCAAACACCACTTGACTCACTGTATCTCTATATATGACCATTTGAAAATAATAATTTTTCTTGTTTCTTTTTCAATTTTAGTTTTCTTTTATCTAGAATCTCAATTTCATTTGAACGAGATCCATTAACATTCTCATTTGATGTATTTGTATTTTGAGGTTTCCCCCATGATGAAGTATCAATCTTGACTTCATTGACTCTTGGTATCACCACTTTTTTAGTCTTCTTCTGTAATGCTGGAAATTTATTATCATCAACTGATTTATTTGAACTGTTTGTAACAACTGAGTTCATTGAAGATGAATTACTTAAGGGTAATGAGCTACTACTCTTACTATTCCCCAAAGCGGGTAATGAATCAATTGGTGGTGGTGGTGGTGGTGGTGGTGATTTTGAATTATTCACATTATCAAGATAATTTGGTTTGTAATTTACATTCATATCCATTAAATTCAATTTCTTCTTACCTTGAGGAATACTCTTCTTTATTGTAGTATATTTAATAGGTTGTTGAGGTACTCCTTTTGATTTCTTTGGTTTAACTAATGCTGGAAATTTATCATCAATTGATGACGTTGAATTATTTGCTGATGAATGGACCCAACTTTGATTAAATATAGTTGGTGAAGCCCCACCTAATACTGGAAATGATTCTTTATCATTATCATCTTCTGTGGTTGTAGTTATTATTAATTTTAATTGATTTTGTAGTTCGGAATTTTTTGGAAATAAATCCGAAAATTCCATAAGTAAAATATTCAATTCTTCAGAACTTTGATTTTCAAATAATTCTTGATATTTCAGGAATAATTCATTATTATTAATCTTTTTAAATTTATATTTATCATTTATTTTATTAAATTGATTAATTTTATCTTGATTATAATTTAAATAATGTTTAGCTCTTTCTTCAAATCTCAATTTTTTAACTTCTGGTGAATCTTCTTCTTCCTCATGTTTATAATTTTGATTAAATGTATTTAATTGAATCTTTTTCTCCATTCTATGATGTTCTTTTAATAAATGAGCAGTTAAATCTATATCTTCGCCAAATACAACAAATCTTTTCTCGACACATTCTGGATAAGTACAAACATAATGATCCCTACTGAAATGTAAATATAAAGAATCATAATTTTTATAATAATTATCTTTATTTTTACAAATATGACATCTTTCGTGTTTATCTCTAATATGAATATTTAACTCATCTTCAGAATAAAACCTCTTATTATAGCAATATTTACATTCTGGATGTCCTTTAAAACCCAATGAGTCTCCTTGAGTCTGGTGTTTTATCAATTGTTTATAATTGAATAATTCAAGTTCTGAAATGAATACTTTTTTATTCTTGAAACAAATCAAGCAAAAATATTTCCCATGGGCTTCTTTAACATGATCTTGTAATGCTTTGAAATTGGGAAATGTTTCTGAACATATAATACATTTATTATCTAGCAATGCTAATGTGTCATTTAATATATAATCTTGAGTAAATCCAATTTTATATTTTTCGTTGAATGTAACAGTGCCTGAAGCTTTAAAAAAGTCATATTCTTTATTCAATTCATTGGTGATTATAATTGACTCATTTTCGGATCTACATATCAAACATATGTCTTTTTCATATAAAGCCCGTTGTCGAAAAGTACATTTATGACATGTTTTATGATTACAATTTGTTAAAGCTGCATATATGAGTTGTTCAGCACAAATTACACATTCTTCTGAACCTTCATGATTAAAATTATCTTGTTGTTTCTTATTTTTACCATTTCCTCTAACTACTCTTGATCTTTTATTGGCTATTTCAGTCATATGTGAAGAATTGCAATTTTCAGTCAGATTTTTTTTTTTTTTTTCAAACTTTTCCAATGCAACAAATTAATTGAAGATCTTTAGATAGATATAGATTTAGATTTCATAGATTTACCAGAGACAAAAGCATAAGGTAACAAAGCTAGAGTATATATTTGCAGAGTTAGTGGTCCAGTTTGTTTCAAAAAATCAAGACATTTTAAAGATCAATTTAAACCCAGGGCATAGACTAACAAGATGCAACTTTTCAATTTATCAGCAACATTAAATTTCAGTAAGATACTATATAATCCAAGTCTTGTACTTCCAACAGTCACAATTTCAAGTTTTGATCAATTGAAATTACCAATTAACGGGATAAAAGGAATAGTTTTAGATAAAGATAATTGTATATCAAAAGATCATGATGATAAAATATGGCCCTCATATTCTGCAAAATGGTCTCAATTAACCTCATTATATCCAAAAGAAAACCTACTCATTGTTTCAAACTCAGCAGGTACGAATGATGATTTAAATCATAAACAAGCCAAAACATTGGAAAAAAATACTGGTGTATCTGTTTTAATTCATTCTACTAAAAAACCTGGTTGTTATAATGAAATTTTAACTTATTTCGAGAAATTGGGTGTTAAAAATAATGAAATTTTAGTTATTGGTGATAGATTATTTACTGATATTTTGATGGCCAATTTAATGGGGAGTTATAGCTGTTGGATAAATGAAGGTATTGAAATTAGTGAAAAAGTTTTACCAAAAATAGAAAGGGATATGTATGGAAGATTGAAAAACTGGGGTTATAAATCTCCAATGGAAAATCAAGATTTGGAATAGATTTTAAATGTAACTATTACATGTTTTTCTATTTTAGCATAACATTTAAGTCAATAGTGTCATTTGTCAAGTATCAGAAATGCCTCGAACTGTGATATTAACATCGTGTAATTCCATTATCATAACAAAATAACATTATTACTATCACAATTGTTACAATTTTCAAATTTTTCATTTTAATCATGGTTCATAATGTACTATTTGATCCACCAATTTTAGAAGGACAACGAATAAATGTAGGAAATTCATTAATTATAAATAATCTTGAATCATTATATAATCAAACAATCTACAAGAATTTATTTCGTTTATATTTTATATTTTTATTGTGTCAATATATTTTGATCTATGCTTGTGTTCCATTAGATGAAATTGAAAACAGACCACTGATAAATATAATTTCAAACGTTTATATATTGGTAATGTTTATAATTAACATTTCAATACTTCCATTATGTTCAAGTTCAATTCCAAATTTATTAAGTTTAAGGTGCTTATTTATAAGTTTCATATTGGAAGTTTTTGCATGTATATTGAGTATTATATCATTGATTGAGAGTATTAAAACTGGTGAAATGTATCAAATTGAAGCTAACAAAATAAGAGTAAATGTTCGGAATTATATAATCTTTTTCAATTTGGTAGTTATGATATTTACTTGTTTTGCAATGATTAGTTGTTTATGTTTAATTATAATTTGTCAAAGAGCTTTGGAATATATTGAAAATAAAATTGATCGAAGAAATTTGGAAAAAAAGGTCAATCCAATTGATTTGATTAGTTTAAATTCGATTAATGAACATAATAAAAAATTGGAAAACTACTATTCATTATGATAAAAATGTACACTTTGATCATTGATTTATAATTAACACGAACTCAATCTCAAAACTCTGAAGTCGATTTTATATAGCCTGTATAGATCAAAATTGTGGCAAGTAAAATTTTTGAAAGGTTGTGGCTAGTGGAATAAATTATCTACAAAGTCGTGGTTAAATTACAAATACTATACATTTAAAAATAAGCCATATATAGTAAATCAGTTGTTGCTAAGTTTTTTGGATTTACAGCTTGTGAAATTAATTCTAAAACATTTGCAGTCTTTTCCAACATTATTATCTTTTTCATTATACTATCAACATTTTTCTTAATAACTTCTCTAAAATCATTTTGATCAACTATTTCATCTTTGATTATCAAGTAAATAAATTCCTCTATATCAGTCAATGATTTACTAATACAAGTTATATTAACACCAAGTATACCTTCTAAACCAGTTGGTCCAATTAATTTTTGAATATTTGAAGTAAGTCTAAATGGTACCGTTTCATAATTTATAAAAATTGGATTTGATTTATTATCAGATTTCACTTTAGTTGGAATCATATCAGAACTCCAAACATTTCCACTCTTCTGGTTGACAAATATTTTCAGTGGAATTCTACCATTTATACTCATCATAAATGTACCAAAAATAAATGAAGCATATTGACTAGTAAAGTTTTTTCTAAATAACCAGAAATCTTCAAAGTTCGGATACAATTGTAAAAAGTAATCTCTTAAAATATTTGACGAGACTAATTGACTCTGAACACCAGCCAAAATTTCAACCCTGATACTTCCTAAATCTGGTTTTGGTAATCTTTGATCAAAAGCAGCTCTTAATTTTTCAATTGTATAAATCATTGGCTCGTCTTTTGACTTACCATTCTTTTTACAATAATCTTCATAAATTTTTTGCAACGAAATATCATTTTTGTCTTCTGTTATTATTCTAATATGTGGACTTAATGGTACTGCAATTGGAATGCTAAAATTAATTTGTCTTCTTCTTGTTTCAACATTTCTTAAAATTGAATCATTAAATATTCTAAATAATTGGAAAACATTTTCTTCACGTCTACAATGTCGTGCAGCAGGATATTGTACAGCAAATGAATGTAAACTACCATCATGACCTCTGATTCTTAACCTTTTATAACATGCATTAGTACCTCTAACTAAATCAATTGTTGGAAGGAATCTTTCAATCTTTATAAAATTATTATTATTATCACGTAATGATAAATATTGACCAGGTATTTCAATTTCTTCAAATTTTTGATGATGAAATTCTGATAAATGAGGACATAAATTCTCTAAATTGACTTTTGTAAATCTTCGATCTAATTTATCTTCTAATCTATCTCTCCATTTTCTCAACTTCATTATGTATGTTTCAAGATTTGGTTTTGAAAATACTAAATCTTTTTCAAATTCAGCTCTAATTTGTTTTGGTAATACAGTTTCAGCAAATCTTGTTATGTTAGCTTCAGTAACTGGAGGTAATTTTGCATCATCTTTTGGATTACCCAACCTATTCAAATATTGAACACCATCATTTAATAATGCAACTACTAATCTATAAGCATCTTCGTCTGCAGTACATTTAAATCTTTGATTTATTTGATCAACTAACGACTCTAAAGAAAGTGCTAATAATGGATATGCTGTTTTCAAAATTGCCATAATTTCTTCAACATGCTCTAAAGGTTGAGAATTAAATTCTTCAAATTGACGTTGCTGAGCTGCATAATCTTCCTTTGTTGTTCTTAATTGAAAATGTAAAGCTTGTGGATAACTTTTAGCAATTCTAACTAAAATTTGTTTAGCTAATTTAGCTTCTTTATGTGATAATGAAGTTAATAATTGTGGAATAAATGTAATCCAATACCAAACAGGAACTTCACCACGAAAATTCTCAAAAGCTTGAGCTAAAGTACCTGAATTATGATCTACACTTATCAACCATAGAATTCTAGCTAATAATTTTCTTGTTTTACCATTTTTATATAAACCAGCAGCTTGTAAATAACAACTAATTGCATTATTTGCATAAACCATATCATTTGGATTTTCTTTAAATCTTTTATCATTAAACATACCCCATTCAGCCCATGCTTTTGGTAAATTTAAATCAATTTGAACTGATGTTGCAAAAGCTTTATTAGCTTCATCTTTTTGATTCAATTTATCTAAAAACATACCTTTCAATGTGAAAAATTCAGCCTTTTGTTGAGTTGCAAAATACACCAAATTAGTATTACTAATAACATCTAATCCAGTATTTAATTCATTTTGATTTTGATAATGACATTTAACTTGTTCTTTTAATTTCAAAAATGCTTCTTGAATTTCAATATTTGGTAGTTGATAAATTCTTGTCAATTCTTTTATACAAACTTCTGGCATATTATGTTTTCTTGCAACATGAGCAAATCTATTAATAACCCAAGCAATTTCATGAAATCCACGATAGGCATATGAATTTGCATTTGAACCAGTACTTGATTGTTGAAGAACAGGAATAAATGGCATATAAACTTTATTTATAACCTGGAATGCATGTTGACGCCAAGTAACCAAATCATTCCAAATATTGATATCATCCCAAATATTTGGTAATCTTTCTCTCCAAACTTGTAATACTCTTTTCAATTCTTGTGATTTTACATCTAAATTTTGAGCATTGGTAGTTACTAAACTTGCATAAACTTGACTGGCTTCCATAAATTCAACATACTGTTGGAATGTATGTAGTAATGGAATGTGAGCATTATAGAATCTTTGTGGTAATCCATGCCATTTTCTTAAAGCCAATTGAATACCTTCATCACATAATTTAGATAGATCGTGTAAAGTTTCTTTTTCTTGACCAAAACCTTGTAGACATAAAAATGTTTCAAATACCTGTCGACGAGGTGTTGGTACATCCATAACATTCTTCACAGTTTGATCTAATGTTTCTCTATCATTATACCAATCAGCAACTCTCCAACCACATTCCAATAATAAATCTGAAAAACCTTCATGTCTTGCTAAATCGGTTAAAATATCCCAATGTTGTAATTTTTCGGAACATAAAATCCAATGATCTTCCCAAAGTGCATATTCAGATTCACCATAAGGTAATGCACCACTTCTAGCTTTAATTTGTGCATTCTCATACAATTGTAAAGCTTTATCCCATAAACCAATTTGTTCATATGATAAAGCACTAATTGTTTCAGCATATTTAGCCCTTCTTCTCCATAAACCATAAAACATATCATCCTCCTTAAGTGCTGCATATAATTTGGCAAGAGCATCATTTGTGACCTCACGTACTTCATTTGAAATATTTTCTTGACTAATATTTTCCAATATATGTATTGCTTGTGACCAAGCATTAAAATTTGATGCTAAACATTCAGCTGCTACTGGAGGTAATTGTAGATTTTTACATCTTGAAACACCTTCTAACAAACATTGTATTACATTTGGTCTCATGTCAATTTGACGTGTATGATAATCTTTAGATAATAAAATGACCATAAATCTTGTAAAATCTAAATGTTCGGACCTTGAAATTGATTGAAATACAATTGGGAAAATAGTTGACCAAGTCTTAAAAATAGTTTCACTACTTTGATAAAACATATCTATCAATGGTTCTAATATATCACCAGCTTTAATGTCACCAACTTTTTCGAGGAATTCAGAATGAGAATTAAGAAGTTCATTCAATTTTTCATTTCCATCCAATTCTATACCATCATCAAAAGGTAACGTTTCTAATGGAGCCAACTGATTAGCAATTACTTCAATATTTTGATCAAAGTTAAATGCTCCAAACAATAATTGAGTTGCTTGGTTTAACCAAGGATAATCTGCGAGATACTCCCAATTTTGTTCTCTAATCACATAATATAACCTTTTAGCAACATCTTTTTCTAAACTATTATTTAAAATTGACATTAATTTTCTTCTTATTGACACATCAACAGATCTTGTACCAACCATAAAAGGTTGTTCCATACGAACAGTTAATTCTGTACAACTAAATGAATCATCTTCAAAAATGTCAACAATGATTTGGTAAAACTCTTTTGATAATGTAGGTTCACCTCTGATTTCAAAAACCATCATTTTAGATAATATTGCAGCTTTTTCCTTTGTAGTTGGAAATAAATCAGTTCTTGAGAATACCCAATTCTTTACAATTTTGATAATTTTTTCCAAAGTATCCTTATCCAAACTACGTTCAATTAATTGAGCTAATAATGATAAAAATATTCTTCTTTGGTCACCAAGATTTGATATTCTCATTGAACATAAGTTGAGTATCATTTCTAATAATTTGGTCGTCATCTTAGCTTCATATTCAGAATTGGTATTTTCCTTTTGATGAGTTATGGTAATATGGTCTTTACATAATTTGCTGAAAGTTTTCATAATCAGTGGAAGTAATGGATCTAGAGTTGATGGTCTATAATTTGCCAATGTCCATGATAACGTAACACCAGCTGCAACAGAAGGCATATCACCTAAATCTTCAGATACAGTTGTACTTAATAACGATATAAAGTCTTTAGCATCATCTTCTTCGTCATCACCTTCTTCATCTGTTGTTTCTTGATCATTTATTGCTTGTAATAAAGTACATAAAACTCTTTGTAAAACTTCTTGTATATCATGATTATCAGATTTAATACATTTTTCCAACAATTTTTGTAAATATGAAAGGTTTGATACAATCCACTCGGGTTTTTTCCATTCCAAAACAACTCCAAGAACTTCTAGTGCATTTAAACAGTAACCCAACAAATTACTGGAATTTAAATCATTTGATAATAAAAATTTTTCGAAAAAACTGAGTTTAACTGAAACTTCAGACCAATGTTGAGGACTCAATAAATCATATAAAATTCCCAAAGCTTTTTGACCTAATTCACTCTCTGATGCTCTCTGTGGACTAATACAAACATATCTAATCAAAAAAGTAACACATGCTTCTCTTTGACCAAATGGAATTGAATAATTTGGTGATGTAGTAAAGTCATTTGTTTCTTCAACATCTTCTTTTGGTTCTTTCATTGCTCTTCTTTCCCAGTACAAGATTAATTCAGCTAATTCAATTGCCAATACTTGATTTTCAATTGCTGGATTTGCTAAAATAGTCAATTTACCCATCGCTGTAATAATATTTGATATGAAATGTTCTCTTGCAATGAAAAATAAAACTGGATGTTGAACAATAAATTGATAGACGTTTAAAACTTGTGTGACATTAAAACCATCTTCTGAAATAATACGACGTGGCCATTTTAGCCAACTATCAGGTGAATCGGCATCTTTCATTCTTTCAGACATTACCGGTGCTAAAATATCTAGAGCTTGTTTTACCAAATGTCTTGAATCAGTTTGATGAGTTCTTAATAATGCAACAAAAACTTGTGTGGCAAGTTTACCTGGTATATCATAAGCTGAAATAAAGTATGATGTTGTAACATATGCAACTTGTTTAGTTATATTATCTTCTAATTTAATGTAATTCCAACTAAACTTGATAATATCTTTACGAAATTCACTTATGGAAGATGGGGCTAATTTCAATAATAAAGCAGTTATTTCCAATAATGCATATCTATAACTATCCATTGTACCTGATGTATGATTAGTAATTATATCATTTGTAGATTTCCAAACATTTTCATCCAATTTCTGCAACCATAAAGAATTTTTAAAAAATATATCAACATTACCTACCGAAACTGATTCATAAATGAAAATGGGTCCGAATATCTTTTTCAAAAAAAATATTTTTGACTTCAAGCAGGGTTTATCTTGACTTATAAATTCAATAGTTTGATTTAAATATAATTCACGATTTTCTAAATCTTTTGATGCAACAATGTCGTTAAAAATGAAATCTTCGATACAATTAGAAATTTTTAATTTCAATTTGGATTGTCTCTCGACAATATTGAAGAGAATATTTGAATCTTTTTTGGTTTGTTTTAAATAATCAACGACCAAAACTTGAAGTTTTTCAATAGCTTGATCACTTTGGAAATGAGCTGGAGATAAAAGTTTTACATTGAGTTCTTCAATTAATTGTGATAAGCTTAATAATAAATCTTTTTGATTAGCAAACCATAATTTGTCATGAGTATAAATTGAATTAATTAAATCAATCATATTGGCAAATTTCACTATCTTAACTTCCCCTTCAGTTTCAGTTTGTAAATCTTCAAGTAATGCACCAATTTTTTCTTGAGCTACTTTCCTTATATTTTCACAACCATCCATTCCTGCAATTGATGCTAACATGTTACCCAATTTTCTATTCTTAAAATTCTTCATCAAATATTCAATACAATTTTCTGAGAATCTATTCAAAAATTTTGAGACTGGCTTTCTAAACGGTGAATTTTGATGACGATCTAGATGGCCCTCGAGGTACTGTAAAGTATTTATGATTTCTTCCATAAATGTGTATGCTTTAGCAGGTAACAAATGAAATATATTTAAAATGGCCATTACAATTTGCACAGTATGGTTGTTTTCGAGATCTTGACCAGCAATTTGTATTAAAGTATTTATTTGGGCCCATGCCATTAAATGATCTAATAATTTTCTACCAATTTCAACTCTAAAGTAAGATATCAATAATTCTAATAGTCTTGCTAATGCTTCCAAACCCGATACTGTCAATTTTTTATGATCAGATAAATTCATCAACATTGGACGTAAACCATTTTGTAGCAACTCTTTTGGTAATTTTGAATTTTCTTGCAAACTCGAAGCTAAACCTTGATGAGCAGCATTTATAATTTCTGTAGATTTGTTACATAAAGCTTTGAAAAATACCCCCAAAATTCTAATTCTTGCTTCAGCTAATGTACCTAATGAAAAATCTGGTTTTGTTAAAGCTAATGATAAAAGTTTTATACAAACAACTCTTAGTTCAATCAATTGCTTAGATGTTCTATACTCATTTAAACGGTGGACATTAGCCAAGGATTCATCTTCAGCATCAACCAACGCTAAAGCTTCTAGTAATAACCTATTCAATTCCTCATTGAATGTTAAAAAAGTATCAGGTAAACCTAAACAAAATGTTATAGCATCTATATTACCGATTTGCATTGGGAATGGTAAAGCTCTCAATGGTTTGCCAAATATTGGAGTTAATAATAAGTGTTTACATGGACCTATTATCGTTGCAATTAGTACATTAGTTGTTTCAGAAAGAACTTGTAAACAATTTTGTGCAACCTCTCTAACCATTGGAGTTGGACTTGCTAAATCATATACTAATGCACCAACAAATGTTTGAAATGGTTTTTCCAAAACTGCATCTTTAGTGACTTCAGTATTACAATTTTTCAATAATTCTAAAACCAATTCTTTAGCCGATTCACGTACTTCAAATGGAGCAGTTTCTGGAGTATCTCTGAGAATAAAAAATATGGAACGAGCCAATTCAAATTGCCTTTTGTGAAACCAATTTGAAGGTATTTTTAAATCATGGAACATGGTTTTGAGACCTAATACACCACCTAATTTTGAATGATAATATTCATTATAACAGCAATGAGTAAATTTGTAAAACATGGATCTGAAAATTGGTGAATATAAAGCATTTTCATCTGAACCAAAAATAGTTACAGTAGTATCATAAATTTTCTTTATTGAATCGATACCCTTTTGTCTAACATCCTTATCCCAAAAACTCAAAGAATAATTCAATGCATCTAAAAAAACAGTTTCACTTATGTATGCCTTACCTTCGTTATCATTAACCGAAAACTTGCGCTCTTTCTTGTATCTATCTAAAACCGACGTTGATAATTGAAGCAAAGTAAAATGTGTAGTAATACCGTCAATCAACTCACTTGCTTCTTCCTTTAATTCGGGTATTGAGACTGAAAAAAACAAGATTTCTAATAATTTTGCAAACAAATTCTGTTGAAGATTTAGTTCTTCTCCATTAATTTCCAGTGGATGTAAATCTAATAATAAGTCTTCAAATTTTTCAGATTTCAATAATTCAACACATTCTTGTGCAAATTTGAGATATTCTTTTGGAATTGGTGTGGTATTAATAAACAATTTGAAAATATTAGCTAAATACTTGAATGCACTAATTCTGTAATGGGTCTTTAATCTTGGATCTTCTAACAATTTGATTGCTGATTCAACACCTGGAGTAATAGAAACGGGAACTTCTCCGTTTAGACCATGTATTTCAAATAATGCTTTTATTTCTTGATTTAATTCCGATTGAGTAACTAAAGTATTACATGGCTTAAAATTTCGATGATTTCTACCACCCAATTTACCCAATATTCTAATTGCTGTATGCGAATGTTGATGATGATAAGGAACTGGTTCTAAATGTTTCCATAAACCTGTCATTATATCATCTATTACTGGTTCAATCATTGGATCAAAATATTCAGCTGTTAAATTATCAACACATAATTCAAATGTACGTAAACCTTGACTAACCAATTCCTGCGAACCATTTAATGCATACACCAAAGGTCTAGTTAAGTAATTTAAATGCGGCACCAAAACAGACAATCTGACTGGTACAGTTAAACATAATTCGACATAAATATCTCTTTCATAAGGCCTTCTTGCATTTGCAATCATTCCGTTTAGACTTTCGAGCAATACTGGTAATATTGGCATAATTTCTTTATACAAATTCTCAAATCTTCCACCACTTATACTTCTGAATAAAATTCTCACCAAGTAGGAATAAACTATTGGTTCTTCAGCTTTGGTTCCCAATTTTAAAGATTCTAATATCAAATAATTCAAATGTGGTAATAAAACACTCTCATTTGTTGTTGGGAATAAATTAACTGACATGAAACACAATTTGAATAATCTTATAAGGATATTTGATTTAATTAAATCTGCTTTACCTAATTGGTCTAAGTTTCTTCTTAAAAATGATATTAATATACTTGAAAAATTTGCTGAGGTAACTTCACTAGCTAAAAAAAATTGTGGAAGATGTAATAAAGCTGCATTCTCCAACATTGATTCAAACATAAATGGTAATTCAGAACTAACAATTTCATTAAATGATGCCGGATCAATATGTATAAAAATTGTTGCAAATATCTCCATTAAATCTTTTTCCTCTTTTGATGATGTAATTGGTAAGTTTGGTCCACCAGTTGAAAAATCAAATGCTTTTTGTGGTGTTGGAGGTTTTGGTTTTGAAGCTGAAAAAAATCGAAGACAACTTATACCTCCTTTAAATAAAGCTCTTAAAATTTCAATTTCTTCAAATGATATTAATTTTGCTGAATCATTCCATTTGTCATAATTAACTTGCTGTTGTTTTGTTGGATCAGTTGATATAGGTTGTGGAGGTACTGGTGGATTACAATTTTTCAATCCAAATATGACAGATTTAAGGAAAGTCATTAAAGTTCTAAATAAATATCTAGCATCTTTTAAAACATCAGTATTATTAGGCGTTGGAGCTGCTGTAATTGGTGAATATGAATCAATGTTAAATAAATCAAGTTTATCTACTTCTGGTTCGCCATCAATATCCATCATATCAATATCTTCTTCGTTCTTTTCATCAGCTACAACTTCATCTTTTTCTTTCTCTTCAAGATCATTTTTTGATGAATATCTTTTAATAGCCTTTTTTGATTCTTTTTCTTTGGAACTCTTCTTTTTCTCAAATTCGTTATGTTTTGCAATTATAAAATCATATTTTCTATTCAAACTTTCAAACCTTTTTGCGTATGAATCTATAATTATTAAAAATAATTGTCGACCTTCTAGTTTATTTGGTAATTTCATAATTTTCTCAACTAAATTTAATAATAATTTTGCACTCATAATTTGAACGGTTAATGCTAATGAATCATCTTTTAATAAATCACAATATATATTTACGGTCGACCAAATTTGTGATGGTGTCAATTCATTTCTTACATTGTGAATAAAATCAGCAACTGTTGAATAGGCCAAAGGTCTTAAAGTTTCAAAACTCGTGAGGCCATTACCTATTAAAACCTTTTCGTTGAACATTAATTCTAATTTGGGGATGAAACTTAAGCGGAAAGGTGTCGACAAAATATGTCTTGTGGCGTGCAAAAGTTCTTTACGAGCTATTGCACTTTCTGAAGGACAGTCTTGTAACAAACGAATTATTACATTAGGCACAGTTTGTCCTTCTTCTTGTTTCAAATATTGATTTGCATAACCTCTGATAAATACATATGCTAAAAATGAAGCTGCTTTGACTTGACCCAATATAAAATCACTATAAGCTTGCCTATTCTTAATATCTGGTGATATAGATGTAACAACTTCATTTTCATGTAGTTCATGGTATAATTTTTGTTGCTCTACTTGTAATTGCAAGATTTGTATAATTTTAGGTAAAAATTTTGGTAATGATGTTGAAACTAATTGTTTATAAGATGAATATAATGATACCATTGTAATGGGACATTCAGCTAAAGTTTTAAATGAGTACATTGCTTGTTTTAAAGGTTTTGATGCTGAAACATCTTCAAATGAGTTAGATGGTGACATTTCTTTATCCACATCTTCTTCTTGTTGTTCTTCACTAAATGTATCATGAACTGTCTTTTCCATATTATCATAAATTTGTTCAATTATATCAATAAATGGTTGTACCTTATCTTGTAATGTGGTTTTATAAGCCTTGTGTAAACTTGTTATTATTTTAATACATAATACTCCATTATCTTCGTTTTCATCAACTAATATCTTGGTTAATGCATCTAATATTTGTTCAGAAAATGGTTGAAAAATATCATTCATGATTGAACGATGTATAATTTCCAAGACTGAATTTCTTAGTTTGTGTTCCGGTGAGGATGTGATAAACGATATAGGGACTTCATTTAATTCTTTTATTAAGATAGGAATCAAGTTTTTTAGAAAATACTCATATTCAGTGGCCCCGGTGAATTGTTCTATGGTATCTAATAATTCTGATAAAATTGCATGTTTTGTTTTATAATCATTTTCACTGTCATTAAGTCTTGATACAAATGCATCTAACTGTGCCGTATATGACATTGATGTATAGTTATGGTGGTATAATTTAAATTTGTTTTGGTTGTGAAATGAAAAATTATGTTTTTAAAAAAAAAAAACAGGATTTCGTTTCTGAAAAATTTCGGTACTTGTCACGTGATACGTGCTTTTGTGTAATAATTATTTTGCAGCCAAATATTTATACAGTTTCGAAAATATAATAACAGTCACAATTGTTGTTGCTTTAGAGATGCTTAAAGACAAAACATTCTAAGAATGAGACTAACGACGATATTTATGAGCTAAACTTTTATCTCTCTTTAAAAACTTAAAAATTCTCGTAAATTCGCATAAAAACTATAAAAATTAAACTTTTTCATTAGTAGCTTGACTTTGTTTAAAGTCCTTCCAATTCTCTAGTAATAAAGTAAAGAACACTATCAAATTGAAACTAAAAGCAGTCCAAGTCATTGCTTCGGCTCTACCACCTGTTGAACTTTTAATTAGATTCAAACTTGATTCTTCACTAATTACAACTGAAGTTATAACTGCTTGATGTTGTAACATAGCACCTAAACCCCAAAGTGAGAAATTTAAAAATGAAAAAGCCAAACACACTTTATGAACAATTAACTTACCAGCTTTTATTGGAATCATAATATAACACAAAATTAATAAAACAATTAATGTTAATGCAATACAACTAGCTAAAACTCTTGGATGACAAATACTACTAAAGGCTTCGGCAAAATTAATTAAATCTAAATCTGAATCTAATAATGAAATTGAATATGTACCATTTAATTGATTATAACTTGAACATGTTAATTCAGAATCTAAATTTAAACAGATACCTAAATAACCAACTCTAACTGAAATATCTTGTAAATTTGAATTTGTCGCATTTGCATGTTCATACATTGATGATGTTGAATTAAATTGATATTCATAAAGATAGACATTTGAATAATTTGATGAAGTATCAATACACCCCAATAATAAAAAACTTAATAAAACAGCACCAATGAATTGAATAATGATACTTAAAAACACCAAACCTTTATTTAATAAAAACATTTGAGCTTATTGTAAAAATTTCCAGGGGTAAATGTCATTTTATATCGTACCTTAAATTTTATTTTGAAACATTTTTCTTTTCCTTTGGTGATCAAATTAGGAAATAAATAAATTCTGAAACAAATTTAGAGCTGAATGCCTGAATGTTACGAAATTCTTGCATGATACACAAAAATTTAAATTCTAGACTATATAAATCTTTTTATAAATATATAAATAACTCTAATTATTAAAAAGGTTATAATTACGAATGAAAAAGGCATGATAAATTCATAATTTTTTCTTAATTTAAAGTCACCAATTATTGTTTTAGTATCTTCTTTTTGATTCCAACTACCAAATTTATAAAAATTATCCATTAATTGATCCTTTTCATACCAAACCTTTAATAACCAGTTTTCAAATTCATCTAATTCATCTTGTGGTACATTATCTATATCATCAGTTTCTAAGCCCAATGGAATTTCATCTATTCTATAACCTTTAATGTAGTAATTTACAACAGGTGGACCATTACCTTTTAAATAAAATTCTTTCAATGAAAATTTAATTTCACCATATTCACCTTCTTTTAAATTTGAGTAAGCAGTAGTTATATCATAAACCATTTCAACTGAATTTTTTAATTTTTTCAACGCTAAAAATAAACCTCTAATTCTTGGGGATAAAACATGCTTCAATTCTGGTCTACCTTTAGCCTTTAAAAATTCTGCTGATTTCTTAGTTGTTCTGTCGGATGGAACTGTACCTTCTGGAAATAATATTAATTCAAAGGGCCAAATTTGATTTGAATTTTCACCTTTAGGCCATTTTTTTATTTCATTTCCACCACTGATTAATTTGACTCCATTTGCTGGTCCAACTCCTCTTGCATTAGCATCAATTTCTAACAACTGATTAGTTAAAATAATTTTATCCTCTTGCCACTTTCTTGATAAGAATAAAAACTTATAATTCTTCATTCCATAACCCAATACAGGAATTTTTGATAAATCTTTTAAAATTATATACACCGAGTTACTCATTTTTGACGTATAGGTCAAAAACCACAAGAACAACCAATCTGTATAAATTTGATGATTAGAAATTAATATTGAATTGGGTAAAAATAACAGGTGTAAATTATTTCCTTGATCTATATAAAAACTTTGGAAATTGGGAATTGAACTCTTTTCGAGTGTAATTTGAATCTTTATACTTTGAATAACATTGGTTACAAATACTAATAATAAAACAAAATGAGTTTTGGTTATATTAATTAATGATTGTAAAGATGCTGGTTGATTTTTAAAAAAAAATATTGATACAAATTGAGTGTAAACTATGGATAAGCAACCAATTATGAATGTTGGTACAATTATAGCAGTTCTTAAGACAACTATTGCATAATTATTTCCTCTCATGGTAATTAATATCTTTGGTTGTAAATAAATTTTGTTGTGAGAAACACAACCGAAAAAACAATAATCGTATTAAATCCGTGTGACATTTTTTAATGAAGATCATTCATAATGGATCATTCATAATGGATCATTCATAATGGATCATTCATAATGATAATCAGATTGAGGCTTTAATAGGTCAAAACAACTTGTTATACAATGGATATATAGTGAAATTAATAAACATTTGATGAGTTTTCAACACCGTATAATGTCTTTGTAGATTTAGTCATTTAGTCAAATGTATTAACATGTTTCATCTTAATACGCGCTTTGAAATTGACAACTATATGACGTATATGACGTATATGACGTATCTTATCAAAAAGTTTAATTAATCAATCATATTGGTTGTTGAATTTATAAAAGTTTAAACATGTTTTAGCTCCGATAATTCCAAATGATTTTATGATTTTCTGACTAAAAATTAGAAACCCATATACTATTTGTCTATACAAACTATTCCCCACCAAGATTTAAGATTTCAATTCTATGGATGAATCTCGGAAAATTTGTGTAATTAAGATGTTAAATTCAGATCTCTGTACGTTCACGATAACAAAGCAAGTTTTTGTACTAAATCAAATGTAAAACCACAAAGTGAAGCTCGGTTAAAATGTTAAGTTTATATTTGTCTGAAACAATTGAACTAATACACTTTTTAGAAAATTAATTGCTTCTGGATACTCATCATTAAGTGGGTATATGAAATTATAGAAATATCATAACCATAAAATTGGTCCCTCTACTAAAACTCCTCTGTCACGTCTTAAAGTCTTAAAATCTTAAAATCTTAAAGTCATAAAGTCTTAAAGTCTTAAAGTCTTAAAGTCTTAAAGTTTGATTTATTTTTTTTTGCGACTTGAGAATTGCTGCAAAAAAAAATTAAAAGATCTCAATGACGAACAAACAATGCTACAAATTAATACTAAAATCTTGAATATCATTATTCGTGGGGTTGAATTTGATATTATATGAGTATACGACAAAAAGCTTAGTAAAATAGTTCAAAATGAACAAGTCAAGGTGAATTTTTTTACGTGTTTTATTGTTCTTATATTAGTCTCCACAATTAAACCTAGTGTTTAAGAGACACTATTGTTACATTAATTAATATTTCATCAAAGCTCATAATATAAATCTAAGTCTGTATATAAATGGAATTGTTAAAAATTTTTCATAAGAGTTTTGTTAAGTAAACTTTAAAGACAATGTATTATGACGATGATGTTTTGAGATGGTCGTGTAAATATTACCATCGGACTAATTTTCGAAATAACCTAAAACATTCAAAATTAAACATAATGATCTAATTCGTCTTGGCAAATCCTTCAAATAACTTAAAATGATGGTTATGAACTAAAGGGACAGATTGGTAGCTATTATACTAAGCTAGAGAGAGTAAAATAATAATTGTTCTGTTGGCTTGAAAAGTAAGAGATCTATTCTGAAACCAATTGTCCTAAAAATATGATAGACATAAAGAAGTGTGATGGTAAAAAAACAAAAAAAAAATTTCACAATGAACTGTTCGATCTATAATAATTAAAATTAATGATAACCAGTTATGAACATTGAGACATAGTAGCATAATCGAGGCACTTTGACTTATTTCTTTCGGTTTCGTGTCATTCTTGCAAATTAATAAACTAGAAAAAGGTTAAAAAGATTAAAGATTAAAGTTTAAAGATTAAAAATTAAAGATTAAACATAAACTATTAATAAAGAGAAACTCATAGTCTATGATCGACAGTACTACTTGTCAATCATTAATGAATATGGTTCTTTATAAGACAAACTTGATTAGTGCCGCATTAATGGTTAAATTTGTAGGTCGTAGGTCGTTAGAAAATTTATTGTTGCTGGTTTGGTAGCGTCGATGAGCTAAACCCTAATTACACTAATTTATAAACTTTATTATTTCTTTCCTTGCAATTTTAACTTTCTCTTTCTGCAGTAAATGAAATGACATTGCTAATTACTGTGAGATCTAACGAGTACATAAAGGTAAATTTGAGATAATTGCTAATATACAGACTGCTAAGTCCAACCTATTAAAAAATATTACTCACTACTACTCGATCTGGATTTGATGATTGCATAGACATCATCTAAATAAAATACTCGGAAACACTATGCAGTCAAACACAATAATTGTTCAAAATTTATTAATAAACAAAACAATAATTTTATTGAATATAGAGTTCATAATGTTTGACATTCTATTTTAAGAGATGGATGCGGCAATTCGCATTTATTATTGAATAATATTTACACAAAGTGTATCTTGATTTTACGTCATATTACATAGTTATTAACTAAAAAAGTTTACTTTTCTTTCTTTAGACTGCAAAAAGTGTTAAGTCAATTGTATGCACCATCTCTCAGTCTTTTACTGTAATTAGTTTTATTTTTGACTTAGACTAAAGTACTTGGGGAAAAGGAAACCATCTTATAATTGTTTTTTTTTTTTTTTTTTTTAATGTTTTTTTTAAGTTTTTTTTAAGTTTTTTTTAAGTTTTTTTTATATTGTTTAATATAATTAGTTGTTTAAATATCGATCAATTTCCAACTTTCCAACTTTTCAACTTCTTCAGACTATCATTTTTTTTCTGGTTTTTTTCTTGTCAAAGTATAATATTTATTTGACTAGGTTATTTTTTATCGATCAAGGTTTTAGAGTTTAATATTTACATTTTGTTTTGAAGGGTTTTATTTTGCAACCAAATTAAAATCATCATAATTAGAGAACAAGAATAGCTACCATCTCAAGTGAAAGTGTCAGATATTCATTGAGTGCTAAATTTTATAATTTCAATAGTTTACAGAGCTAGATAAGTTCAAATTTTTTTAAAAATTTCAAAAAATGGGAAAATATAATCCAATATCAATTCTAACAGCAAGAACCAATACAGGAGGTCTTAGAGGCAAGAAGTTGAAGATAACAATCTCAGCAATTGCTACCACCGGATTCAGTTTATTCGGATATGATCAAGGGTACGGTATCTTTTTAAATCGTGTTTGGAATGGAATCGTTTACTAACTAAAATTAAAACTAGTCTTATGTCAGGTATTATTTCAGCTGAACAATTTACTTCATATTTTCCACCTGCTGAAGGTGATTCAGTCATCCAAGGTGCTATTACAAGTTGTTATGAAATTGGATGTTTTTTTGGAGCATTATTTGCTTTATTCTTTGGTGATAAAACTGGTAGAAGACCATTAATTGTATGTGGTTCAATTATTATTATTATTGGTACTATTATTTCCGTAACTGCTATTAAACCATATTGGCAAACAGGTCAATTCGTTATTGGTAGAGTTATAACAGGTATTGGTAATGGTTTGAATACTGCTACTATTCCAATTTGGCAATCTGAAGTTTCAAGAGCTGAAAATAGAGGTAGATTAGTTACTATGGAAGGTGCTGTTGTCGCCGTCGGTACTTTTATTGCTTATTGGATTGATTTTGGTTTATCATATGTTAACAACTCAGCCTCATGGAGAGTTCCTGTTGCTATCCAAATTGTTTTTGCAGCTGTTTTATTTGTCGGTATTTTAGAATTGCCTGAATCTCCAAGATGGTTAATTGCTCATGATAGAAAACCAGAAGCTTATGAAATCTTAGCTGCATTAAATGATTGTGATCCAGATGATGATGAAGTTGTTGCAGAAGCTAGTGTTATTGTTGATGCTGTCAATAGATTCTCAAAATTACAAACTGGTTTCCGTGATTTATTTACTGGTGGTAAAACTCAACATTTCCAAAGAATGGTACTTGGTTCATCAACTCAATTTTTCCAACAATTTACTGGTTGTAATGCAGCTATTTATTATTCTACTGTTTTATTCCATCAAACTATATTCAATGGTACCAAATATAGATTATCATTAATCTTGGGTGGTGTTTTTGCTACTGTCTATGCCATTTTCACCATTCCATCATTTTTCTTGATTGATACGTTAGGTAGAAGACCATTGTTTTTAATTGGTGCTACAGGTCAAGGTGTTGCTTTTATCATTTCATTTGCTTGTTTAGTTCATCCAACTGAAGAAAATGCTAAAGGTGCTGCTGTCGGTATTTTCTTATTTATTGTATTCTTTGCCTTCACAATTTTACCATTACCATGGGTTTATCCACCAGAAATCAATCCATTAAGAACTAGAACTGCTGCTGCTGCTGTCTCTACTTGTACTAACTGGATTTGTAATTTTGCTGTTGTCATGTTTACACCAGTTTTTATTGCTAAATCGGACTGGGGATGTTATTTGTTCTTTGCATTATTAAATTGGATATGGGTTCCTATCATTTTCTTCTTCTACCCAGAAACAAAAGTATGTATAAGATCCTTGTTGATGTTGATTAGAGTACTAACTTTTTATAGGGCCGTACCTTGGAAGAAATTGATATTATTTTCGCCAAAGCTGAAATTGAAAAACGTCAACCATGGAGAGTTGCTGCTACATTACCAAAATTATCATTACAAGATGTCGAAGATCAATCCAAAGAACTTGGATTGTATGAAGAAGATTTTGAAAAGGATAATTTTGAAACCAAGGAAGATATTTCTGATTCATCTAGTAACCAAAATAATGGTGTTTTTGAAGAACCAGAAGATATAGAATCTAATAATAGACCAACTGAAGCTTAATTTTAATACACTTATAATATAGAATGATTTAATTAATAATACCATGTAATATTATATAAATATTGACTTTTTAAAGTTTGTTTTATGTTTTTTAAAAGTATCGTCTAATTTTTTTTCGTGGCCAATATATCAAGAGAGTCAGTCTCATATTAAGTAGTATGCATAAAATGAACAATTATTCACTTGTAACACAATCGTATAATCATCTGGGGTTAGTTAAAAACCTCCCAGAAGGCGGATAGTCATTGATATACAAGATCTACTCCAAAGCAAACTTTTCTCATGTTCCATCACAAAAAACTAGATCTACTCTAAAGCAATTTTACTCATGTTGCATCAATAAGCTACTAACATGTTAATTCTAACAATTGAAAGAAAAAAATTTAAATTAATATGAATATTTGTAATTACTTGTCAAAAATATTAAGTTGGATAATAATAGTAATAATAATTATTATTATTCTATTACATAAAACATCGTTGCTTGGCCTTTTATTGTGATGTTGCAAATTTCTTGATTGCAAAAATTTCTTAACTGCTCGCGCGTTAGAAAATAGACATTGACTAAAGCCCCACCATTATGAAACAACGCTGAAAATGACTTATTACATCATAAACATGTTATTCCTGCTAGCAGGTGCTGAGTCAGCTATAGGATGGGACATAATATTCTTGTAGATTATTCTTTGTTTGCTAGTATTTAAATACAGCCAAAATTGCAATATCATTTCAAAGAACTCATATTTGTGTTATTCAAGAACTGTTATCTAGAGGATTTTGCATTATAATATGGGACATTTAGACTGGTTAACAAAACGAACTTATACTTATGGTTTAAGAGGAAAAGCGTTGAGAAGAGCTGTTACTTTTACTTCAGTTACCGGCTTTTCACTTTTTGGTTATGATCAAGGGTACGGTTGAATCGTATTTAGTCATGTTTGAAATCGTTTACTAACTCAAGAATAGTCTTATGTCAGGTTTAATTTCTGCTCCACAATTTAACTATGAATTTCCTGCTACAGATGGTGATAATACTATTAAAGGTGCTGTTACAGCTTCATATGAAATTGGATGTTTTTTTGGTGCATTATTTGCATTAGCAAAAGGTGAAAGGACAGGTAGAAGACCGTTAATTGTTGTTGGAAGTATTTTAATTATTATTGGTGCTATTATTTCAACCACTCCATTTAGACCACATTGGCCATTAGGACATTTTGTTGTTGGTAGAGTTATAACTGGATTAGGGAATGGTTTAAATACAGCTACAATTCCAGTTTGGCAATCAGAAATGTCGAGAGCAGAAAATAGAGGATTCTTAGTCAATTTGGAAGGTGCATTTATTGCAATTGGTACATTTATTGCATATTGGGTTGATTTTGGATTTTCATATATTGATACATCAGTTCAATGGAGATTTCCAGTTGCTTTCCAAAACTTTTTTGGTATAATTTTATTTCTTGGTATCATAGGTTTACCTGAATCACCTAGATGGTTAATTAAACATAAAAGAAATGAAGAAGCAAGATTTTTAATTGCTGCTTTGAAAGGTGTAAGTGAAGATCATGAAGAGGTACAAGCTGAAGAATCATTAATTTCAGATACAGTCAATAGATTTAATAAATTACATGCAAGTGTTAAAGATTTATTTACATTTGGTAAAACACAACATTTTCAAAGAATGGTTATTGGTTCATCAACTCAATTTTTCCAACAATTCACTGGATGTAATGCAGCTATTTATTATTCAACCTTGTTATTTTATCAAAGTATTTTTAATGAAGATCCTGATATGTGGAGATTATCATTAATTTTGGGTGGTGTTTTTTCAACAATTTATGCATTATCAACAATTCCATCATTCTTTTTGATTGATACATTAGGTAGAAGAAAATTATTTTTAATTGGTGCTACAGGTCAAGGTGTTTCATTCTTAATTACATTTGCATGTTTAATTAATGATACTGAAGAAAATGCAAAAGGTGCTGCCGTTGGTATATTTTTATTCATTGTATTTTTTGCATTTACCATTCTTCCATTACCATGGGTTTATCCACCAGAAATTAATCCATTAAGAACAAGAACTTATGCTGCTGCTGCTTCTACTTGTACTAATTGGTTGTGTAATTTTGCAGTTGTTATGTTTACTCCACCATTTATTGCCTCGACCAAATGGGGTTGTTACTTGTTCTTTTCAATCATGAATTTCCTATTTGTACCAGTCATCTATACATTTTATCCAGAAACTCGGTATGTTTTTATCTTTTATTTCATTTTTGTTAATTAGAATACTAACTTGTTATAGTGGTCGAAAATTGGAAGAATTGGACATTATTTTTGCAAAAGCATTTTATGAAAAGAAAAGACCATGGAGAATTGCAAATACAATGCCATATTTAACTCATCAAGAAATTGAAGAACAAACCAGAACATTAGGATTAATTGAAAATGATAATTATGATCCTGAAGATCCAGTTGAAGAAGGTAAAGAGAATTTTGAATCATCAGGGGAATCTGAGGAACAAAATACTCAAATTGATGAAGGTGTTAAAACAACTCCAACTGAAAGTCCAATTGAGGGTCACGATACTCCAACCGAAGATAGAAGATAAGTAAGTAGATTAATATAAATTGAATTTTTATTGTTTATTTGATTCAAATTAACAATCAAACTTTAATGCGTTTCAATAGCTTTTGTCGCATCTCTTCTCGCCTAAAAATTTGGTTGCAAAATTTAAAATCTCGACCCGAGAATATAATCTCCGTTCTAAATTCACGATATGTTTTGAAAACGTTCAATGAAGTTTACAAAAATAACATTCGGAAAACTTTCACCGGATGAGTAACTTCAGTCAACGTATGTAATTTAAATATTGATATAAAAGACGCTATCGACTAAATTTGAACACTTTTATATAAATTTTATTCAAAATTAATTACCACTTTTCTTTTACTCAATGAGCAATTTAAACATATCATACGCAACAATAAAATACAACAATCAGTTAATAATCGAGATCGAGTCAAAACACTGCACCAGAGACTTAATTAGAGTAAAATCTTATTAGTTTCAGTATGACCGGTTGGAAGATAGTACATTTTTATGAGATTTAGACATCAAAGCTTCTACTAGTTCACCACCACCAGTATTAATGGACAATGTCATTAGAGATTTCCATGATATTGATACAATTTTCAATACATGATAGTTTAAGTTGGAGGTTTTATAATTATCAACTACGGAAACTGAATTTTGAACAAACAACTTTCATCAATATTAGAATGCATCAAGGTCAAACTATAAAGAGATTAAAACAAATTAAACATTCAATGAATATATAAACGTACAACTCAAAACTTCAAATAAAATAGAGCAGTTAAATTACGTTCATTTTGCAAAATTTACGATTTTTGAACATCAATGTACTCGTCTGCATGACCAGGACTAACCATTAGGCGTACATTCAAAATCTATCGGATGACAACATATTAACAACAGATGACGAATTCGACAATCAGGTTGAAAACATTATACATCAGAAATTATTACAATTAATGAAATATCCTTTTTAATCTGAACAACACAAGTGATAAAAAAAAAAATCATTTTCTGGGGACCGAGATCTATTTATAGTTTTTCAAATTAACTATGGTCGCTACCATTTTTTAGATGCGTAATTTTGAGATTCAAAATTTAAAGTGGTATCTAGGAGTATTAATGACTGAGCGCCTTCTATTTGTAACAAAAATCTGCATCGCTCTCTATTATTGTCAATTTTTAGCTATTCACACAAGTCTTACCTCTCTTACAGATAAATTTTTAATGAATAAGGTGCTGACTCGTTCAAATTTTTATGATTAAAATTGGTAATTAAGAGACATACACATAACACTAAACTTCCTAGAATTGATCAATTGACTCTCATCATCAAAGGCCAATGGTAAAATATGAGCTAGAATAGTACACAAAGTAATTCAGAATTTGATTTATTCATTTATATTGATTTTTGATCAAAACTACATACATCGAAAGTGGCAAATATAGGTAAGACTTAAACGAATAATTAATCTACAAATCAATCTACTTAAAAGATCAATTGCATTTATGTATAACTAAAACACCAGAGATGCAGAATTTTAAAGATTAGAATCATTCAAATTAAATGAATAAAAAAGTGGTAGATTCAAGAACATTATAAAGCTTCGAAATTGAAAGAACTACCATTACAGCATCAAAAATCAATTCATATATATAAATGTTATATAAAATAGTTATTATCAGTTTCCAAATCTAATCTATCATCATTACCACTATAATTCCAATACAATTTAAAACTTTCAGCACTTATTAAATTGCAATCTAAATAATTTCCAATATGTGAATCTCTTATCCTATTCAAAATTTCCTTTGAACAATATTTATATTTTTCAACATCTTCTAAACTTGGTTTAAATCTTGTTTGTTGTAACATTGACGGTTTCAATTTAACAATTTTTTCAAACTCAAATTGTGTTTGATAAAGTTTTAAATCTGAATCATTGACAGTAATTGATGTTGAATCAGATGAAGTTGATTCTGGTCTCAATGTAAATTCTCCTGAGCACTTGATTGATTCTGTATATTTAATTTCTGGTTCTGGGTACTTTTCATTTGGTTCCGTTCCTTCTAAATATTTAATTTCTGATTCTCCTGCTTTTTTATCATTTCTTTTTCTAGATTCAAATGGACTATAATCAAATCTTGTATTATTATCATTTGGAAAATATCTTGAATTTGAATTCATATTAAATTGGAATAAATCTGTAAATGGTTGATATTTCTTTGGTACATAACATTCATTAAACCATTTTTCATTTGAATCAGGATAAGGCTCAAGCCTTACATTTGGAGTTACAATATTTGTATCAAATCTTGCTTCATTCAAATATTTTTCATTGAACCAATGTGTATAACTTCTTTTTACATCTAAATTCGTCATTGATGAATCATTATGTAATGCAAAATCATTTTGTAATTCCCATAATTTAGGTTTATTTGGATCATATATATAATTTCCAAGGAATAAATTGATAGCTTCTTGTCTAATTGAATCCATAAATGAATTCGAGTAAATACGTTTAATACTATTTAACATATCTCTTGTATGCGATGACCATTGATTAATTCGACGATAAGAATCCATTGTATTTACTAAATTTGAACCACCATATTGTATAGCAATTGTATCTCCATGATCATGAAACATTTCAGTAAGGATATTAATTAAATCTGAATCATAATCCAAGTTTTTTGAACTGGAAATAATTTCCAATTCTTGTAATTGCAAAGTTAATGCTTCTTTACAAATTATAAATTGTGCAGCATTTGTTCTATCTAAACAATCAATACAATTTGTTCTAATTATACCTTTTTGTAATTTTGTAGATTCAATATTATGTCCATTATGAAATACTTGTATTTGTTTAATTGATGATTTTGCAATCTTTTGTAATGGACCAATAACATCTAAATTTTTTTTAGAATGTTTTGACATGTCAAAGCTGTGTAGTTGTAATTTATGTTTCTTCGGTAGGAATTGATTTAAATAAGTTATACAATTTGAATAATGAACATTTAATTTTGATTCTCTTGGTTGTTTCTCCTTCTGTTTATTTAAATTTAATATAATTATTGGAGATCCATATCTATAAAATAAATTGTTAAAATGTAAAGCTGAACTTTGATAAAAAGGATCTGGTAAGTTAATTTGTATTGGTGGTTTTGGTAATTTATTCATGTCTTGAGTCCAAAATAATGGTATTGAACCTCGATATTGTACAAAGCTAGTATATCTTGAATTATTGAAAAACCCATGTTTTGAATCATGAAATGATGAAGTTAACATATCACTTACAATTTGTTCAGTTTCAATTTCATTTGCCACATTACCTTTATCATTAACCCCTCTTTTTAAAAATCTAGCACCAGCAAAATATTTACTTCTTCTGGCTATTAAACATATGTAAAAGCTCCTTCCGTATATGGAGATCTTAGCTTCGTCAATGAACCCATGAATCGTCCTTTGGAACCATTCATAGGTAGCTATCTCATTATTTTCACCTTCAAGAATTGGTTTTAATAATAAACTATTCCAAACAAATCTTTCATTATGATCAAATCTTGAGTATAATTCATTTTGGAATGATGAAGGTACTTTACCAAATTGCATTTTATAGGCTTTCAATTTATGTCTCATAAAGTTAGTTTGTAAAGTATTTGTTATATCATAACTATAGCTAAAATAAAAAGTTTTACCTAAATCCATATATTTGAAAATTGAAAGTAAACGTTCTTCATCGCTATATTTTTCTGGTCTTTTATAAGTCGTACCTAAAGGTATTAATTTTGTTTCATCAATATGATAAATAAAATGCCCTCCCAAAATTGCAACTTGTGAACATTTAGTAATTAAACATAAATAGTAATCTTTTGTAAATTTAATAAATCCTAATAAACCAGAACCTTGAGCTAATTTATGAATCCCACCATCAATTGTATCATTAAGACTATTTAATAATTCAATCATATCTTTTCTAGTATAAAAGAAATTCTTATCTTCAATTATAATTAAATTATCATTTTGATCTTTACTAATTTCAATAATTCTGAATAAGCTTTCTTTTGAATTACTACCTACAATATACATTGTCGAAATTGAATTATAAATTGTAAATCTTTGTAAGGTAACTCTTTTATTTTCAAATTCATGATTAACTTGATGATAACTCTCTTCATCGCCATCATCATCCTGAGTATTATCTGTATATTCTTGGTCACTAGTATAATATTGCTCTTGATCTAAGTTTAATACATTTTCATTATTTATAGATGACATAGATAAATTGTTGCTGATAAAAGGGAAGGTTACGAGAAAATAATAAAATACAATTCAGAAATTAAGGGGTAAAAGAAAATACGAAAAGGAAATACGAAAAAAGGATCAAAAATACGCGATACTAAAACAAGGGGTTAAAAATGAGTCATCAATATAGAATTTCTTATCCCGAAGCAACATATAATTCAGTATAAAGTTCAATTTTTATATATAAATTACGAATCGAGTAATTGTCTCGTTTTAGATTTTTTTTTTTGTCAATTTTTTTTTTTTCATTTAATAAAACTTTGATTCAAGAAGAAGAAGTTTGTTGTATGATAAAGAAGAAGACTATTACTAAGTTTATTATGTCTTCTACTTCATTAAATAACTATAATTCATATTCTCAATGGACTGCTTCGAAAGTCAGATCTACTTTTTTAGATTATTTTAATAAAGAAAAATCACATAGTTTTGTACCTTCATCATCAGTTGTTCCTCATAATGATCCTAGTTTATTATTTGCTAATGCTGGTATGAATCAATATAAACCTATTTTCTTAGGTACGGTTGATCCTTCTTCAGATTTTGCTAATCTAAAATCAGCTGCTAATTCGCAAAAATGTATTAGAGCCGGGGGTAAACATAATGATTTAGATGACGTTGGTAAAGATAGTTATCATCACACATTTTTTGAAATGTTGGGTAATTGGTCTTTTGGAGATTATTTTAAGAAAGAAGCTATTGATTATAGTTGGGATTTGTTAACTAGAAAATATGGTTTACAAAAAGATAGATTATATGTTACTTATTTTGGTGGAGATGAAAAACAAGGTTTAGAACCAGATTTAGAAGCTAAACAATTTTGGTTAGATGTTGGTGTAAATGAAGATCATATTTTACCTGGTGATTCAAAAGATAATTTTTGGGAAATGGGAGATCAAGGTCCTTGTGGTCCATGTTCTGAGATTCATTATGATAGAATTGGTGGTAGAAATGCTGCTAATTTAGTTAATATGGATGATCCAAATGTTTTAGAAATTTGGAACATTGTTTTCATTCAATTTAATAGAGAAGCTGATTCTTCATTAAGATCATTACCAAATAAACATGTTGATACTGGTATGGGGTTTGAAAGATTAGTTTCAATTTTACAAAATAAATCTTCTAATTATGATACTGATGTTTTTACTCCGATTTTTGAAAAAATTAGAGATATAACTGGTGTTAGACCTTATACTGGTAAATTTGGTGAAGAAGATAAAGATGGTATTGATACTGCTTATAGAGTAATTGCTGATCATGTTAGAACTTTAACTTTTGCAATTTCAGACGGTGGTGTTCCTAATAATGAAGGTAGAGGTTATGTTTTAAGAAGAATTTTAAGAAGAGGTTCAAGATTTGTTCGTAAATATATGAATTATCCTATTGGTTCATTTTTCCAACAATTGGTTGATGTTGTTATTGAACAAAATATAGAAATTTTCCCTGAATTGAGTAAAAATGTTGAAGACTTAAAGGAAATTTTAAATGAAGAAGAGTTATCATTTGCAAAGACTTTGGATCGTGGAGAAAAATTATTTGAACAATATGCTATAATTGCAAGTAAAACTCCTGAACAAACATTAAGTGGTAAAGATGTATGGAGATTATATGATACATATGGTTTCCCAGTTGATTTAACTAGATTAATGGCTGAAGAAGCTGGTTTAAAAATTGATGATAAAGCATTTGAAAAAGCTAAAGAAGAATCAAGAGAAGCTTCAAAAGGTGGTGCTAAGAAACAAGCAGATTTAATGAAATTGGATGTTCATTCACTCTCTAAACTAGAGAATGATAAAGTAGAAAAAACTGATGATTCCGCCAAATATGGAACAGAAAATATCAAATGTAAAATTATAGCTATCTACGATGGCAATAATTTTTTACCATCCATAAAAGAAGAAGATAAAAAACAATTTGGTATATTATTAGATAAAACTCCATTTTATGCTGAACAAGGTGGTCAAGAATATGATACTGGTAAATTAGTCATTGATGGTAAAACTGAATTTAATGTTGAAAATGTTCAAGTTTATGGTGGTTATGTATTACATACTGGTTATTTAATTGAAGGTGAATTTCAAGTTGGTGATGAAATTATTGCAACTTATGATGAGTTAAGAAGATGGCCAATTAGAAACAATCATACTGGTACTCATATTTTAAATTTTGCATTAAGAGAGACTTTAGGTAATGGAGTTGAACAAAAAGGTTCATTAGTTGCCCCTGAAAAATTGAGATTTGATTTTAGTCATAAACAAGGTTTAACACAAGAAGAATTGGAAAAAGTTGAAAATTTATCTAATCAATATATTAAAGATAATAAAACAATATATTATCAAGATGTTGAATTAAATTCAGCAAAAGAAATTAATGGTTTAAGAGCTGTTTTTGGGGAAACTTATCCAGATCCAGTTAGAGTTGTTTCAATTGGTGTACCAGTTGAAGAATTATTAAAAGATCCGAAAAATCCAAAATGGCACGAAATTTCAATTGAATTTTGTGGTGGTACTCATATTGCAAAAACTAGTGAAATCAAAGATTTAGTTATAATTGAAGAATCAGGTATTGCTAAAGGTATTAGGAGAATAGTTGCAGTTACTAGTCATGATGCTAAAAAAGTTCAAGAAATTGCGAATGATTTTGAACAAGAAATTATTAGAGTTGACAATTTACCATTTGGTAATACAAAAGAAAATGAAGCTAAACAATTGGGTTCAAATTTGAATAAATTATCAATAAGTGTTTTAGATAAAAAAAGATTAGCTGCTAGATTTTTAAAATTAGATAAATCAATTAAGGAAAAGACTAAACAATTGCAAAAAGAAGAATCAAAGAAAGTTTTAGATATTGTTAAAAAATGGTTAGATGAAGGTAAATCTGATTATTTTGTTGATCATATTAATATATCAGCAAGTGTTAAAGCTATAACAGAAGCTGTAAATTTCGTTAAGAAACAAGATAAAACTAAATCATTTTATTTATTGGCTTCTAATAGCGATGATAAAGTTGCTCATGGTTGTTATATATCAGATGAAGCTATTGCAAAAGGTTTAGATGTAAATAAATTAAGTAAAGCTGTTACTGATCAAATTGGAGGTAGAGCTGGTGGTAAAGGTAATACTGTTCAAGGTACAGGTGATAAACCAGAAAATATTTCAAAGGCAATTGAAGAATTGAATAAATTGTTTCAAGAAAATTTATAGATAAAAAACGTAATTATTAACTTAGACTATTTACAATTGTTTTTCTTTTAATGTCTTTATAGCATCTAATCTTTTATTTAAACCAATTTCTGCTGATTTTGATAAAACACCCAACATTAAGTTAATTGATCTTTCTGAATCATCATTACATGGAATTGGATATGTAATTAAACTTGGTTCCATATCAGTATCACATAATGCAATAGTTGGAATGTTTCTACTCAAACATTCCTTAATACAGACTTTATTATCTACAGGATTTAATAATACAACCAAATCTGGTAAAATTGATTTTGTTTCTTGATTTACAGTATCAATTTGATTATTTTCCATATCAATTTTAATTCTGCCATCTTTAATTTGTTTTGAAAATTCTTTATAATTTGTTATAGTACCAGGAATCCATTTTTTAGAAACATAATAACCTTTTGATCTTTTTGAAGCATTTATTAAACCTTTTTTAATTGACCAATTTTTATGAGTAGCAACATATAATATAATACCACCTTTTTCAGATATACCTTCAATTACATTACTTGCCAATTTCAATTTTTCAATGGTTTGATTTAAATCTATAATATGTAAACCATCATATACACCATATATAAAAGGTTGATTACTTGGTCTAAAATTTTGTGTTGAATTACCTAAATGACAACCAGCAGCCATTAAATTTGCAATTGTTAATGATTTGGAAATTGGTGGTTGATTTATATTCTTTTTAGGATTGTATACATCTTTTATAGTTGAACCTAAATTTCCATTAATTCTTGCATTATTCATTTGTCTTACAAATAACTCTTGTTGAGAATATTCTTTATAATCTGGAGTTGGTTTTAAATTTGGAAATTCCAACTGATTTTTTGAAAATGAAGAAGAATTAGTTTCTTTATTTTCAGTTGATTTTGATTCTTCTTCAAGAAAAGATCTTTTCTCTATTATATTTGACGGTAAGCTTAAATTTTTAATAATATAATCTTTTAATTCGTCATCCAATTGTTTCACTTTATCTTGATTTAATTTTGAGATTTGGTCATTTAACAGTAATAATCGACTCTTCATCAAACTCAAAGGAGTTTGATTTAAAGTGTCGATTTTACTAGTTATTTCATTAGTTAATTCACGTAATTGTTTAGTTTTATAAATTTGTTCTTCTTCTTTAGCTAAAGCATCAGCAATGGCTTTTTCTCTCAATTCTTTCTGTGATAATGTTTCTGGTGTTTCCTTGGGTATAGAATAAAGTCGAATAAATGACTTATTTTTAATATTCCTTATTCTTATTCTATACAACAGTAGCATTGTGCTAATTAAATTGAAAATTTTTGATTCAGAAAGATTGAAAAATTTGGTGATATTTTAAAATTTACACGACTTTTGTTCAGACTTTTATATATGTTGATTTATTATAATGAAGAATTAACATTTAACCAATTTATACAATATATTATAATAAATAATGAACAAAAGAAAGGGTATATATTAATATCAGATGAAAGACTTTACAACGAGAAGTTGAAATTGGATAGACAACCTGTTAATATTATTAAGAATATTTACAATTTTCAACTTGTTTTAATCGAATCATGGAAAGAAATGTATCAATTATTAGATATAATTGATACAGACTCGTTCATTGGTATCTATGGTATATTTAAACATTTTATAGAAGATGGTATGAATGATCATCATGAATTTGTTAAATATTATGAATTTTGCGGGTATGAACTAAACAAATTATTTCATAAATTATTTAAGAAACACATTGATTTAGGTGTTAAAGTTATTGTTAATGATTCAATTGGTAATAATGAAGATAATGAACCGTTAATTTGGAATTTCCATATACCAAATATCCGTAAAGAACAAGAATTAAAACCAGATGATTTTGAAATATCATTAAGAGTTTTATTTATTAAATGGTTCGAGCTTATACAATCTTGAATACAAGTAGGTTAAATTAATCTTTTTTAATTTCTTCTATTTCTTCTTCTTCTTCACCTTCAGCTGGGTTTTCATCTTCTTGTCCACCTGCTGCTGCTTTTAAATCATCTGGATTCATATTTTTCATCATTGAAGCTAAATCAAAACCTCCTGGACCTCCAGCACCTCCAGCACCACCCATCATTGAAGCAAAATCCATACCTCCCATACCTCCCATACCACCTGGTCCACCTGGGCCACCTGGGCCACCCATTCCACCCATCATTTGTGAGAAATCCATATTACCAGGTCCATCTAAATTATCATCTTTAGCTTCATCTTGTTCATCTTCATCGACCCATTTATTAAAATCGGTTTTGATGTTGTGTAACTTGATTTTTTCACTTGTTAACCGTGGCCAGTATTCTTCATTTAATTCTTCTTTTCTTAAAATTATAAAAATATGAGAACCATTAGTTGTATTAATTTTAGATAAGTCTGGATTAACTTTAGCATAAAATTCAATTTTTAAATGATATGGAGTTTCATTTGATGTAGCATTTAATTCCAAATATTCTGGTTTTAAATCAATTTTTAAATCTTTTGGATCTAATAATTCAATTGTTAAATAAATTAAATTTTTTTCAGCATCAGTTGAAGATGAACGTTGAGCCCATAAAACAGTTGGAGTAGCAGTAGTCATAATGATATTGTATTAATACAATTGATGAATAATAATGAATTAAATATAAAACAATTGTTGAATGAAATATTTTCAAAATCGTAATTTTTCTTTGCGGTACACGCAAAAATAATAGAAATCTTTAATTATTATTCTCGAAACTTCGATATGACAACAGGTGTCTCAGATTGCATGTAGTACTAAGATGAGCTTGTAAGTTTATATTGACTAATTAATATAAAAGTTGCTTCTGAAACTGTTTAAATGACTGGAAAGTGGTTGAATATGGTTGAATATGATGAAAAATGGAGTTGAAAAATTGTAAAATTAGAGCAATCGGAACAAAGATTGATAAACCAAACATTACAATCTATTTATAGCTATTCAATATCTTTAGAAAATTTGCATCTTAATTTTGACCGGATTATCATCATATACATCTCGAAATTGAATATAATTCTTGGTTGTAAAGTTTTCTCAAGAACCTGCTAAAATTCATTATTTTGAATACTATTATAGAAGCCGCTAAAATGTATCAAACATCTTAGGTCTTGCTAAGGTTTGCAATTGAAAAAGCTCAATTACTTTGGTAATTTATAGTTTTGGTTCTTCAAACTGTTTTTTAAAATTTCAAGACTATCTCTAATGCGGGTATAGGCTCCAATATCGCGCTCTTGCGTACGAGACAAAAAAAATAACATAATGCGGTACCTAGCCTCAACTATCGTTTTATAACCATTAACAATAAACTAATATCGTGCGACAAAATAATTTCTTGCCCTAGCTTTGGGGCGACTCGTACTAACCTCATTGGCTTAGACGTCGAGAACAACATATTATGTCTAGATAAAAGTCAATTTAAAAAAATCAGAAAACGAAAATTATGTACATAAGATAGCTCACACTTGCAATTTCAAACATTTTCTTGTTTGAATTGTTCATTTTGGCTATTTTCCACCGTACAAAAATTTTTCGAAAAACGTAAATAGAAATATCTTTTTAGTTAGGGCCATAATTTTCAATTAAACAACGAATTATATTATACTATACTTCACATTAATGTGCTGAGCTAATTTAATTTGATCTGATTTGAAATTCAGAAACTACAAAATTTTCCCTAGTATGGGAAAAAGTGAATAAATTGACCTTACGAAAAAATCAACTCCACAATCAAATATCAAACTAGAGTATGATATAACATTCCAAATTGTAGTTCCGGCTATTAATGATCCTTCGGTTTTTTTTTTTTAAGGTAGTTAAAATTGGAAAAGTAATTTTTTAAGCATGAATCGAAATTTTTGTAAAATTTTTAAACCCATTATAGCGTCTAGAAAACAACACCAGACTTATAATTCGGATCTAATAAACTGGATCAGCTATATTAGAAGTTGCTAAAGGTGGTCTAAGTGTTGTTTATCTTGCAATTTAGTGATTTTTGCCTTTTTTTAAACATTGCATAAAATTATCAAAATTGTATTTCTTTAAAGGATATTAAAATTTGATACTCCAGGCTAGCTGGACTCTGTGTGAAAAATGTTTGACCGCGATAGCTTCAGTATTGGAGGATTTGTTTACAAATTAAATTTGATGATTAACTACTATTCGACTGCATATAAGTATTCTCAGATTTGATTTTTTAGCTGGACTAAACTTAAACCGGCATGGTAGAAAATTAGTGCCACATAAGTTCTTTCAAGGCGAAAGCTGGTACCACTGCTCGTGTTAATTTTCAATCCTTTCAACAGCTTCAAATAAAAATCTACAGCCTTCAAAACTGGTCCAACCTAAAACTTCAACGAATTAAAGTATGGTACATTCAATGATAGAAGGCAGCACTTGGTATTCTTTGAATTTCAATTTTCAATGAGTATGTATATATACGAGTCATTCGATTTGAGTGATTAAGGCGCTTCAGAAAAATAAATCCAGTTGTATTGCTTGAGATTAAAGCTATAGTATATTCGTATCTATTCGTCATTTGTAGCTGTGTTGTTAAACTTTTAAATTTCAACAGACGCAAAATAAAATTTCAAAATTGCGCGATCTAAATCTTAGATCGGTTGCAAATCAAGATACGAGATCTTACACACAAAAGATTCAATAAAAATGCGCACTAAAAAATTTTAAAAAATCAGTAATTTTTGATAATGTTCAGAGGGCTACTACTCACCAAATTCAAACTAAAATATACTATTTGTGGCATCATTCAAAAGCGAACTATGTGCTTAACTCGAATTTATTAGTTATAAAGCCATTGCTTTTGATTATCTCTCCGAAAATTTATCATTGAGATATTCTTGACCGATTAAAGAGCTGAAAAGCGGAATTGTGCTTAGACATATCTGGTTTTACAAAATAAAAACTCATTTATGTTAATTATTATCCAAGACTTCTACTTGATTGAAAACTAGGAACCAATTTATAGCAAATTCAAATTCCAAAATAAGTCACCGAAGACTGCAACATCAAGTATGTGCAGCCAGTGCCCTTTAACATTTACCTAATCATTCTCTGAATCTTGTTCATTTATCATTTGTAAATATTCAAAATAAAATGCAATAATTTGTAAATGAGAATCAAATAAGATATGTTCATCAACACCATGAGCATGAGCTTCAACAGAAGTAGTCAACCCAGGACGATATCTATAAATATTGTTGGTGAGGTTCCAATAATATTTTGTATCAGTATTACCAGTAGCTATACCAGGAGCAACAATAACTGACTTATTAAAATATGGAGATTTTGGATCCTTAAATGCTAATTGTTCATAAACATGTCTTATATTACCTGAGAACAATTCCCATACTTTACCTGTAGTTGGTGTGATTGGAGCTGGCTCTAAAACTGAATTTGCTTTTATTGTGAAATAACCATTCTTTGTTTTATTCTTGATAGTATCATCATTGAGAATAATACCTAAATCAAATTTATCCGCTATTGTCTTAACTTTACTAATGTCTGATTTTAAAGTTTCCTTGAATGTACTTTCTATTGCTATTCTATGATTTATTAATACTTCAACATATTCTGGTAATGCATTAGATTTAACTCCTCCATGTATGATATCTATTGCTGATGAAGTACTTATAAGATACTTTGTGATCAACAGTTGTTTGGATAAGTAATCTCTTGCTATTTTGTTTGAAATTGCAGAATATTCCGCATTCAAAATTGCATGTTTGATATGTCTAGGCAACTCATTTGAATATTTCGCAATGCATTGCCATTCATGAAATGTAGGATTCTTTGGACTAAAAATAGACTCAAATGGATTATCCTCAATTAAGGATATCAATTTTGAAATTATACCAATTGATGTATGATTTGGTGGGACTGATGAATGACCACCAGGTGTATTCAACCCAATTACAATATCTGTTGCTCCTTTCTCACCTGTTCCTGGTAATGCTAAAAGTACACCATTTTCATAAGCAATTGATTGTCCACCTTCATCAACAACAATATAAAATGAATCCTTTCCATATTTATCAACTAAAAATTGACTTATATATTTTGCACCACGTTCACCACCTAATTCTTCATCAAAACCAAAAGCATATATTACTGTCCGTTTAGGTTTGAATCCAAAATTTATAAGTTCTTCACCAGATTCAAGTAATCCAATTAATAAATTTTTACAATCGGCTGAACCTCGACCCCATAATTTTTCACCATCATAATGTCCATCATATGGTGGATAAGTCCAATCTTTTAATGTTGAAGGTTGGGTAGGGACAACATCTTGATGTGCAGTTAATAAAATTGGCTTCAAATCTTTATTTTCTCCTTTCCAAGTGACAATTAAACCCCAACCATTTACAGTTTCAATTGTGATATTCGGATGATTCCAGATCTTTGGGAATGTAGATTTCAAGTAATTATGAAAAGGTTTAAATTTATCTTCCCAATATTTTGGATCTTCTTCAACTAATGGATCTTCATCATAGGTATCAGTTTTAATTTGAACTGCTTTTGATAATTTTAAAGCTGATTGATTTCTAAAAAATGGATCATTGATAATTTTAAGCACTACTGAGTTATTATCAATAAATGATTTAGGATACTTGTAATCATATTGTTGACATAATGATTTTTCAACTTCAAAATTGAAATAAGTATCAGTTGATTGTGAATTAATTAGGTAGAATCTGATAAATAAGCCAATGAATATAAGAATCATACTAGTTCTAGCTAGTTTCTGAGCAATTGACCTTTTTTGACCAGCATTAACATGTTTTTTATCAATTATATCCATAACAAAATAGTGATATGGCTCCAAAGTATCTCCAATGTGCGGAATTTCACGCGCAATTTGAGATTAAAAAACCCGTGGCTAATTGGTAGCGTAGTAAGATGACATCATATTCAATCTTATCAATTTTATCAAAGCATAACATAGTAATTTACCAACTAGAGTCGTGTGATTCTGATAAGAAATTTATTACTACAAAGATCACCATCAATTGATTCATCATGTTAACTGATTTACCATTAGAAATACAAATCAAATTAATTCAAATGGTACCTGATTCAAATTTAAAATATACTTCACCTCATTTTTATCTACTATATAATGATTTATTTTATCATAAATTTATACATGATTTTGGTGAAGAATCATTAATTGTTATATTAAAAGTTATACCGTGGTTAGTACCGTATATTAAATCTCTCGATAGTTTTAGATTAATGAATAGGACAATAATATCAAATAGATTAAATCTACAATTAACATCACCTACCAATCCTTTTAATGTTCAATTTATTAAAGATTCATGGAAATATATTTATTCAATTTTTAAAAATAAACGATTATTTGCAGAATATCAAGATTATAGAATTGATGAACCTTCAAATTATATATTTAATCATTATGTTGAAATTAATCGTACTTATTTATTAAGTTATAAGAAAACAGTTTGGTTATCCCCAGGAAAATATAATTTAAATACTGGTTTAGCTGTTAAATATGGTCATGGATTAGGCACAACTAAATTTGAAATTAAATATGATAATGAGAAAATAAATTTTTACCCACCTACAAATATAAATGATATACTTCCAAAAAACCAATTTTGTTTTTTAAAAATTGGAGAATTTGAAATAACAAGAGGTAAAAATGATGAAAATTCTACTCAAAAATTAAAAAAGATTGAAATTACAATGGAAGAAATTGGATTATATATAAAATCAGGATTTAGAATTTATTTTATTGATATTTCACAACCTAGTTTATTATTTAACGAATATGATTTATTATTTTATACTTTAAAAGAAACAAATTATATTTATTTCATCAATATATTTTTAAAAAATTTATACAAGGCTATTAATTTTGTTCAAAATGGTGGATGTCCTGATAATTCAAGTTATTCATGTGCTCCAAAACGATATGGTTATGGAAATCCATTTGATTTATTTAAAGAATATGAAAAATCGTATCTTAAAGATTCTACATCAACTGAAGCTAATCAATTATTTGAATATGATGATGATAAATTAAAAGAGTACTCAAACTTATATTATAATACTAAATTTAAACGATATTTTAAATTTACTACAATTTATCAACAACGACAATTTATAAATAGATATGGTGATTATCAAATTGATTGGAATACTGATGATGAAGTAGTTAATGCTGATGATGATAGTAAAAGATGTGAGTATGATAAGGAGGGGTTGAAGTGGAAGATACCTATAATTGGTGAGTTATAAGTAAGGATGCCAGTCATTACCTTATATAGTATCATAGTTGTAGAATAATTGGTAATATATATTAAAATTAAATTAAATTAAAATCCATGAGAATTACCACCATCAACATTAGGATCAATATTTGATGCATCTAAACTTGAATCAATATTTGCTTGAGAATGTAAAGCAGCAGCAGCAGCAGCAACAGAATGAACATCTTGAGGAGTTTGTGGTTGATGTTGTTGATTATGATGATGAGTACTTGCTTCAATAGCAGCAATAACATCTGGTTGATCTAAAGGATTATTTTGTTGGTGATGACGATGTTGTAGACTATTCTGATGATGTTGTTGTAATACTTGTTGTTGTTGTTGAGGTAAAGTATGTAAACCTAATAATTCATTATAATTTTGAGTATGTGATAGAGCAGCTTGTTGAGCTTGAACAGCAGCAGCTTGTTGAGCAGCTGTAGTAACTTGCTGATGTTGTTCATAACTTGCCATATCTGTAATTTCATTCTTTCTTTGTTTATTGATTGGTTTTTGAACTAAAGTTCTTGCAGATTTTTGTTTCTTCTTTTTATTAGTTGGATCAGGTGGATGATTATGTTGAGGATTAATCATTCTTAAAATCCATATTTCATTACCATCTGATTCTACTGGTTGTTGTTGTTGTTGTTGTTGTTCGTATTTAACTTTTTTTTGATCTTTATCATTTGGATATAAATTCGCAACTAATCTAAAAGCACATTTATTTCTCTTCGTATATGCAATTCTTTGTCTTTTTTGAGGATCTTTAACTGTTGTTCTAAAACTACCAGATCTTTCACATTGAAAATAAACAGCTTTTGGTTTTGATGAATTTATTACAATTTTACAATTTTCTTCAGGACCTAATTCATTTTTAACAAAATTAACTAAATCAGATTTATTATTAAAAGTTTTAATAATTTCATTTTCAATAAATCTTGATCTTAAATCTTCACCGGTTTCATATTCTTCATCAGATTGTGATTCTTGTTTTGGAGAAGTTTGTAATGGTTGTAATTGTTGATTAATATTTTGAGGAATTTGTTGTGATAATTGTTGAGGTGGTTGAAAATTTAAATTTTGTTGAACAACGCTTTGAGCTTGCGCTTGAGCTTGAGCTTGGGCTTGGGCTTGGGCTTGATAATGATGTAATTGTTGTTGTTGTTGTTGAATTTGTTGTTGTCTTCTTTGTAATTCAGCTCTATGTTGAATTTCAGCAGAATAATAAGGATTATGCGCAGTAGATTGATATTCTTCACTAGTATTTACATTATTACTAATTTGATAAACTTGAGGATCATACATATCTTCAGCATTTCTTTCATTTGAAGTAGCACTCATATTAATTAATTAGTTAGTTAATTAATTAATTATTTGTTATGATAATAATTTTGGTAGGGAGGGGGGTGGTGGAAAAGGGTATAAGCAACGTGGTGATAATAAATTTGATATAATAACTAGTTGTAACTAGTTGTAACTAATAGGTCTTGTTGTGATAGATTGTGTTGATAATAGATTGATCAATATAAATTGGTTGTAAAAGATAAATGGTAAACAAATCCTGCACTCAAGTCAAGTTGATTCAATACAGGTTTGGTGATAAAAAAGTATTGTATACAATTTTCTCTGTATTATTTTCCTCATCAACAATTTTTTTATTTATCGACAAACAACAAACAAAGAAGAGAGAGTAGGTCAGTCATTGGTTTGTACACTACTAAATTATATCACATGACTAGTGTCACATGATTTATATCACATGATCAGTGTCACATGATCAGTATCACATGATTCGTGTCACATGATTCGTGTCACATGATTAAATAGACGACATAGTAAGTAGATTGATCAATTAATTAATTGATTGATTTAATGGAATCGTGTCAATTAGTCGCATCATTACGTAAGATTATATCATTACATAAGATTATTTATACTATTTAAGTAACCACTTATTAAATAATCAATAGAATCTAGCTTAGTAAAACAACTGACTAATATCGGATCTTCACTACTGACTTCTATTTTACAATTAACCATAACAACCATATTATTATATGTAATACATCTTGTAATATATTCCATTGGTTCATGTCTATGTTTTAAAAACAGTAAGAAGTTATTATTATTCTTTGGTTTCTCTAATACTTTATCAACTTGTTTATTGGTTTCATTTATTGATGGTTGTGAGCTTTTTGGCAATTTCATCTCATCTCTTAGTTTATCAACATATGATTTCCCATTGTCATCTATTTCGCACCATGGGGCTTCATTTATTCTATGTAAATTTTTCAAGTCAAGACAAATTTCAGCTTGACTTATGTAAAAATCTAAACTCATTATAGGGGGTAGTATAGGTTCATAATCTTCTCCATTTGTTATATTTATAGGAAATACTAAATTTGGATCAGTAGGTAATTGTAAATTTGTCTTTGCTGATTGAATATTAATTAATAAATTTTTGAAAATTGAAATTAATGAAAGATGAAAGTCACAAGTGATATCCACTTGTTTTAATATTTTGTTGACAAGACTAATTGAATTTTCAATTGAATTTTGACATATTATTATTTGTTCTAATAATATTGGTTTCTTTAATGATAATTTATGTATATGTTTATTTATATGCGGTTCTTTAATTGACAAATTTAAATTGGTGATGTATGGACCATCTCTTACTATTATTCCTTTCAATGTTTCTGATTTAGTAGATGATATAGGTAGTTTAATCTCTGGACCTTTTTCAACTCTATCTTTTTCATTTGGTTCCTGCGGTGAATTATAAATTAATAAATTTAGACACATAGTTAGTGTTTCTATTATTTGTGGTATATCAGGTATTATAATTTCATTAATATACCAATGTAATTCTGCATCATTAGTTTTGTTTTGTAATTCTTCTAATTGTTTAATAAATGTGTTCGTTGTTGATAAAGACATTTGCTGATGATAAGATTTTAAAACATTTATAATAAATTATATAATAAAAAAATTTGGTTGCAAAAAATCGCCCAATTAGGAAATCAAAGCCTCATTTCCTTTTATGCATTTTTCTACTGCGTCCACACTATTTAACAAAAATTAAATCATAGTTTATTATATAAGAAGAAATTAAGTGGTAACCATTATTGATTTATTAATTTATTGTTACAAGACTTTCTTAATATTAGCTGTTGTTTCTTAATAGGGTTATGCAATAATAGTAATAATAATAATTGTTGATTGATTTAGAATATTTTTATTTATATGTTTTTAAATTTGAAACAAATTTACCAATTTCATTTTAAAAACGTATTTCAAAGACAGATTTATAATTATAGTTCAAGTTCTTTATTATCCAAAATGACTCAAGATTATACAGTATTAGCAGATAATTCACAAATTGAAAAACCAATAAATGATGATAGACAGTACAGATTTATAAAATTAAATTCAAATGATTTAACCGTATTATTAATTAATGATTCAACAGCAGATAAATCAGCAGCTTCATTAGATGTAAACGTTGGTTCATTTGCTGATAAACAATATGGAATCCCTGGTCTTGCTCATTTTTGTGAACATTTATTATTCATGGGTACGAAAAAGTACCCTCTGGAAAATGATTATCAATCTTATTTATCTAAACACAGTGGTTCCAGTAACGCATATACTTCATCCGAACATACAAATTATTATTTTCAAATTAGCTCTGATTTTTTAGAAGGTGCATTAGATCGATTTTCACAATTTTTTATAAATCCATTATTTTCACAATCTTGTCAAGATAGAGAAATAAAAGCGGTTGATTCAGAAAATAAAAAAAACTTACAAAATGATGATTGGAGATTTTATCAATTGGATAAGAGTAATTCTAATGCATCACATCCTTATAATGGATTTTCAACTGGTAATTATAAAACATTACATGAAGAACCAATAAGTCATGGTATAAATGTAAGAGACATGTTATTACGATTTTATAAAGATCATTATAGCTCAAATTTAATGAGTTTAGTAATATTAGGTAAAGAAGATATTGATAATTTAACAGCAATGGCAATTGAAAAATTCTCAGCCATTCCTAATTCAAATTTTAATAGACCAAATTTTAATGGAGAGTTAATTTACCCTGAAATACATTTGAAAAAATTAACAAGAGCTAAACCGGTTAAAGATTCTCATTCAATGGAATTGAATTTTATGATACCTGATGATTTGGAAGATAAATGGGATACTAAACCACAATCATATTTTTCACATTTAATAGGACATGAATCGGAGGGATCCATTGTACATTTATTGAAAAAGAAAGGTTGGGTTACTGAATTATCTTCTGGAATGATGAAAGTATGTCAAGGTAATTCATTATTCATAATTGATATCAATTTAACACCGGAGGGATTTAATAATTGGGAAAATATAATTGAAATTGTATTTAATTATCTTGCATTGATATTGAATGATGAGCCTAAACAATGGATATTTGATGAGATTCAAGAAATGTCATTGATTAATTTCAAATTCAAACAGAAAACAGATACAAGTTCAACAGTTTCGAAGTTCTCCAACATCCTATATAAGTTTAGACAATTCATACCAGGGGAGAATTTATTAAATCATACAGTGTTAAGAAAATTCAACCCAGAAGTGATCAAAAAATTTGGTTCATTTTTAAATAAAAACAATTTTAGAATATTTCTCGTATCTCAATCATTCAGTGATCTAACTAAGACTGAAAAATGGTATGGTACAGAATACGAATATGAGAATTTTCCAGACTTACTCAATGAAAAGCTAAATAACATCCTGACTAATACCTTTCCAGAGTTACATTATCCTAAACCTAACGATTTCATACCTTTCAATTTTGAAATTAGTCAAAAGAAAGTCGAACTCCCACAAACATATCCTTTTTTAATTGAACATAATAATAAATTGAATGTATGGTATAAACAAGATGATACATTTGAGATTCCGAAGGGTACAATTGAATTAGTTTTCCATTTACCTAATTCAAATTATGATGTTAAATCAAGCACCATTTCATTATTAATTTCAGAATTATTAAATGATGAATTGAATGAAATTACTTATTATGCAAGTCTCGTTGGATTACATGTAAATATAAATTGTTGGAGAGATGGATTTACAATTAGATGTTCGGGGTATAACCATAAATTGCCAATATTGTTAGAACAAGTAATTAAAAAATTCCTCAATTTTAAACCTGATGTTTCAAGATTTGAATCGAATAAGTTTAAATTAAGTAGGGAATTTAAAAATTTTGCATTTTATTCACCTTATCAACAAATTGGAACTTATTTCTTACAATTAATAAATGAGAAAGTATATACATTTGAAGATAAATTGAAAATATTAAATGAGTTGACATTTGATGAAGTTGAAAAATTTAATTCACAGTTATTTGAAGGTGGAATTTTCAGTGAGGTGTTAATTCATGGAAATTTTGATACTATTTCAGCAAATAATATAAAGAAAATAATTGGAAGATCGATTGATCATATTCCTGCATTTATGGCAAAATACGAAGAGTCAGCATTTCATTTACAAAACTACATACTTAATCCAAATGAAATCATCAGATTTGAAATGCCAGTTAAAGATTCACAAAACCTAAATTCTTGTATTGAATATTATATCCAGGTCTCAACTATTCATAATTTAAAACTTAGGGTTCTTATTGATTTGTTATCTACGATTATTCGAGAACCTTGCTTTGATCAATTAAGAACAAAAGAACAATTAGGTTATGTTGTGTTTTCAGGGACAAAAATCTCAAGAACATCAATTGGATTCAGAATATTAATTCAATCCGAAAAATCTACAAATTATTTAGAATCAAGAATTGAGAACTTCTTAACCACATTTGAAAAATACATAACTACAGATTTGTCCGATGATGACTTTAACAAGTTTAAAAATGCTTTACGAGCTCAAAAATTACAAAAGTTGAAACATTTAGGTGAGGAGACAAATCGTATTTGGAATTCAATCGTTGATGGATATTACGATTTTGAAGGTAGGACAAGACAAGTAGAACAATTAGAAACAATTACAAAAACTGATTTTATTGAATTTTTTAAAAGAATGGAAGGTAAATCTAAGTTAATTTTGAATTTAAATTCACAGAGAGTTGAACAAACTCAAGCTAATACTGGTAAATTATATACTAGTATCGAAGACTTTCATGATGATCATGAATTGGGTGGTGTTCCCAAACCTGTTGCTCCTTTGAGTAAATTTATTTATGATAATTCACATTTATAGACAATTATACAATATATATTTATTAGATTAGAGTAAGAATGTTTAGAAATACCTCATTTGAATATATAGAGCGTAATTACAATCCAAGACTCCTGGTTTCATGAGATAATACGTTGCTCATGATACATATGCCGATACAACTACTACTTGATCGCCCCAAAGCTAGCGCGAGAAAGATTTTGTCGCACCGAATTATCGTGTTGAAAATGGAACAACCTCTTTTACTGGTAAAAAGTAACGAACAGATGTAAACACGCTAACATGGAAGGGATGCCTAAGAATTTCTTTCTTATGATATTTGTTGCATCCTGACAACTTAGCCAATAATATTTTCCATCCTTACTTTTTTGCAGCCTAATTTTCATTGTCGTCGTGTTTTTTTCGAATTATTAATTTGATAATTATCAACAAAGAAAGAATAATCAATATGGCATTAGATCTATATAAAGTCAAAGATGTATATTTCAACAAACTATACCAACCTAGACAGAATGCATCAGAACAAATCAAACCAAAAGTATTATTATTAGACAAAATTACAACAACTATTATATCCATGTCATATACTCAATCACAGTTGTTGTCAAATGATATAATATTAATTGAATTAATTGAGAATTATAAAACATTATCAGTAATGAAACATTTAAATTGTATTGTTTTTGTTAGTATCAAATCATTATCATCATTAATTTCAGAATTGAAGTCACCACATTTTGGTTCCTACGAAATATATTTCAACAATTCAATAAACAAGAATCAAATCGAAAAAATTGCAGAAAGTGACGAATATGAGATCGTTGATAAATTGATAGAAATATTTCAGGATTATTTGATATTAAACTCTCATTTGTATCAAATTCAACACGAACCAGGGGCAATTAATCCATATCTTGAAGATGGTTCAAAGTTGACTAGTTTATTATTAAGTTTAAAGAAAAACCCAATAATCAAATATGAATCAAATTCAAATGATATTAAACGATTAAGCTCGGAGATATTATACAATATAAATTCAAATTCCAATAATAATTTATTTGATGATTTGAATATTCATAATGATGTACCTCCAATTTTATTATTATTAGATCGTAAAAATGATCCAATTACTCCATTAATTACACCATGGACTTATCAATCAATGATTCATGAGTTTTGTAAAATAGAGAAAAATCTAGTTAATATTGAAAATCAACAAATTATATTAACTGATTCAAATGATCAATTTTATAAAGAATCAATGTATTTAAATTATGGTGATTTAACAGACAAGTTTCAAAAATATGTTGAAAAATATAAATCTGAAACTAATCAATCTCAAATTACAAAAACTTCAAATTTGAATGAATTGAAGAAGATATTGATGAAATTTCCAGAGTTTAAGAAATTTTCAACTAATATTTTAAACCATTTGAATATCATATCCGAAATAGATAAACAAATATCATTACAGAAATTATGGGATCTCGGTGAATTACAACAGACAATTGTCTGTGACTTGGATTCACAACAGAATATTAAAGAAAGAATAATTACCGTATTGAAAGATCTGAAAATATCCACCACCAATAAAGTCAAGATTCTACTCCTTTATTCGATTAGATTCAACTTTGATCAATCATTCTTATCCATTCTTAATGATCCATTATGTTCTGATCCATTACCAAGTGAAGAACAAGTAAACTTATTATCTAAATTTAAATCATTATTCAATTTGACTAATTTGACAAACATACAAAAACAACAACAACAACAGGGCCTAACCAATATCTTTGCAAATAAGAATATCAATATATCAAACTTATTTAAAAATCATCAAAACGAAAATGATAATATTTATTTACAATATACTCCTCGATTGAATGAAATTATAAACAAATTGATAGATCCAAATTTAGAATCTTCAGTTAAATTAAACACTTTAATTCCAGACAAAGTGAAACAAAAATATGGTACAACCACAGAAAAAGTTCAAGATATAATTATATACATGAATGGAGGATTAACATACGAAGAATCAAGATTAATTCATGAAATATCAGAAAATAATAAGAAGATAAATTTGATTATTGGATCTGATGAGATGCTAAATAGTGAAACATGGTTAAATAAATTATACAATCTCACAAAAGACAAACAAACAGAACCAGAAAGAACTCAATTTAGGGATTTATTATAATACATACGTTATGGAGCATATTTGCCATATTTCTCTTCCCATGATATTATCTGATTTGTTAAATTTTCCATACTTTTTAAATTCTCATTATATGAATCTAAACTAATTGATTCATTTTCGAATAGTTTTTGTTTCAGTTGTATTTCATCTTGTAATTCAATTTGAGATCTTCCTAACCATTCTAAAATTGCACCTGTTCGTTTTCTCAACTCGTATATTGATGCTTTTTCATTATCATATCTTGGTTTTGAATTTTGTTTAATTAATTCTTCTTTATCTAGTACTGTTGTAGTTGAAGATGATTCAGAATTTGAGTTTGAGTTACCATTATCTGATTTATTTTTCTTCTTGCCTTTCTTTTTGATCGGTGGTGGTAATTTCTCCTTGTCTTTTTCCTGTTCTTGTTCAATTTCATCACTTGATTCTTCTTTGATTTTCCTATCTTCTACTGACTCTATCTTCCTCTTCTTATTGTTATTATTGCTATTCTCCTTTTCTTCTTCTACATTTATTCCCAGCTCTTTTGCACTTTCTCTCAATGCTTTTTGTAGTTGTTCATCATAATCTTCATACGGATGATGATGTCTTCTATCTTTCCTCTCCTTTTTAACTGCTGCTTGTTTTTCTCTGCGTTTTGGTTTCATTGCAGTTGTCCCATGATTCTCCTCCTCGGACATTTCAATCTTTTTACGTTTATCATTAACAGGTTTGTATAATGTTCGTTTACTAAATTGATCATTTTTGACCAATGTATGCAATTCAGGTTTACATAATTCACACCAATACTTATCAGGGACATCATTATTTTCATATAGACCAACACAATAACCATGTTGCCAGACGTGACATTTATCACATTGAATAAATAAACCTTGATCAATTTCAATCTTAAATTTTTTCTTTAACAAATTTGCCAATTGTGGATTTATTGATGATTGTTGTAGCTCATCGTTTTGACAGATACATCTTGTGATCTCATCTTCTTCATCAATGAAATCTTCTCCTCCTTCTACTTCTTCTTGATCTTGTTCTTCTGGGTTGGGTTGTAAATCTTGATTTTCTGAATTTAATGGTTGTTGTGATTCCGTTTGTGATTGTTCCATTATATCTTCATCTTCGGGGATGCTGTTGTTATTATTATCTATATTGAATGATCTTCTACCTGATCTTCGTGACATATTAATATATAATTGGACTGTAGTTTGTTAAATGGAGGTCAGATAATAAAACATTAAATTTCAAAAAAAAAAAAATAAAAAAATTCAAAATATTATGTGAGATATTATGTAAGCCGTTTTAATTTTGGGCGAGCTCTTAGAGCGCAAAAAGAAAAATATTGGCGTTATGAAAATATAGCAATTGCCTAAACTAATGCCAAAGCAAGGGCGACCTAGGACCCCATTTGAAACTTTTTGTTTACTATGAACCATAGCTGATTCAATACTTCATAGATGGATACTGTAAAACATGAGACTCGGTATAGTTTGTTGAGCCCTTTACTTGTGACTTCGCTTCGAATTTAACATTAAAATCGATAAGACTCGATGATTTGAAAGAATAGCTTCAACCTATAATTTAATTCTCAATTTTTTCTCAATCATATAAGCTGCCAACTAACTTGATGCAATTGCTAAACTATAAAGGTACATTCTTTTAAACCATTTAACGAGATGAAGTGCTTTTTTCTACTTTAACCACAATTACCCCCTAAGGCTACCAATCAAATTTAGAAAACAGTATCCTATTCAAGTTACTTCCATTTATCGAATATTGAATCCGTTAGAAGTTCTATACTTGAGTTAGATCACAATACAATAGATGTTTTACTTATCAAAGTTCATGTTAATTGCATATCATATTGTTTTGTATAAAATTCATAAAAATTTGACTATTGTGGCCCAGCGAGCAGGCGTAATACCCGATTAAATTTCACATTCAAACATTTCAATCTAGATGAAATTTAGGTCTAGACCAGAGTTGTTCCAATTAAGTATTCGGCTTCAAAAATTTTGTATGCAATACACGTGGATAATTATTACAAGCCACGAATTAATTTCAATCAATTTACCTATTTCGGCTATGGGCTTATATGTCAAATTAATCGAGATTTCAATATACAGGTATGTCCAAAGCATTCTGAGAATATAAATAAAAGCTTATTCCTTTATTTTGATGAAGCAGATCAAATTAAGTGGACTGATATATGTAAAAAAATCAACGGTTGGATTTCAAGTAACTTATCTTTAAGAGCTTGAATTTATGAATTGGTAAAAACATTGAAGAGTATAAAGAATTTAATGAAATTAATGAAATTATTGAATCATTGTATATATGAGAATTCTCGTGTATATACCCTGATAGTTTCTTGAAACTTATATTGAAAGTGTCCAATTATTCTAGTTTAAACTATTTTAGATTTACATTCTGTTCAAGTGGATATTATTTATGCTATTTCAAATGAATCTTTACCAAAATCTGGTTTACCACCTACTGTGCCAAATATATCACCAACATAATTATCTGCTGAATATTTATTATTTTTGTATTGTTTATCCCAATTTTTAACGATATCAGTTATAATTGGTTTACCAGCTATTACTAAATTATCTAAACTTGCTTGAATACCACCATCTTTTCTATTAAAAAAATAATCAACAGCATTCATACTTGGTGGATTTGTTGAAAAATCTGATATTGATCTCATCACAATAACTCTTTCATAATCTACAATTTCATATTTATCTAATCTTGTGAAAGTTTCTAAAATTGCATTATCTTCTTGAGCAGTAGCACAATATTTAGCAGATCCATTAGTTAATAAATTTGTAAAAGAATTAAAATAATCATTTAAAACTGGACCTGTAAAATAATTATCACTTGTTAAAACATCACATTTTACAACTTTTGGATTTGATCTAGCTGCTGTTTCATTGTATAATTTTCTAAACTTTTTATTTAATTCATTACCATTATTTAATTTAACTTTTGAGGCTAATTTAAAAGCTTGATCTCTTAATTTTTCATTTAATTCAAATACTTCAGAACCATAAACAGTATTTGGATATGTGGTTTGATTTGTTGTTCCATATGGAATATATCCGGATTTCCAATTTGGTTTAACATTATGATAATCTTCATAAGCAAATTGATATTCTAAACCAACTTGAACAGCATATTTTGAAATTGTAACTGATCCTAATGTAGTATATTCTGGTACACCACCTGCAATACCTGCAACTATGAAATAAGTAGAACTTAAATCAAAAATTGGATTTAAAGTTAATGAAGTAATGGAAATTGCAGCATTAATTTCGCCTTCTCCTAAAGTAACTTGACAAATTGTATAGTTTGAATCACAATGAATCAGAGGGTAAACAGGTGATAATCCGGGAATTGTAACGTTATTTGTGAAATTATAACTTTTTAACCATGGATCTCTTTCTAATTCAAATAAGGAGACTATGAAAACTTTCGGTGAAAATAGCTTACCGTTAGAAGATGCTTCAATATTGGATGCTGATGAAGATGACACTTCGGTGATATTATTTGATCTAGCGTTGAGCACCGGGCTTGATAAACAAGAATATATGAAACAAAATGATATGAAAAATTTAACCAACATGATTATCACGTAGCAGAAACCGATTTACCAAACATTTACCTGTTATTTATACATTTTCCATCAATTGACTTCTTTACCTTATCTGTAGATCAATTAATTAATTGTGAAATCTTTTTAATTTGATCTCGTCCCAATTAGGAAATCAAGCGTGTATTTTGTTTACTTGCGAAACAATAACGATGGTTTGAGATGCCCCGATGGAATGGCATCAAATTGTAATCTAGAAATCGTATCTATCACTGCATAATAATTGAACCCTATTAGATCGATTAATGATTATTGGAGATAATCTAAGGCTAGATTTAAACTTGTGTGATTCATAAGTTCAATAATTTCATTTCTCTAGCTCACTCAAAACAGAATTGACTCTCAAATTAATTTCTATAAGTATTTATCATACCCCTGGTTGTATGTACTGTTTATTCACTTGCATTAAATGAAGAAAGCGTAATCTATAGCATCTGCTTAGTTGTCAATTAGCGTGACACTAAGAGAAAAAAAATAATAGAGAGCCCTTCGCTACTTTACCGTTATAATAATGAATTCAACAAATAATATGACGAATTCATTACCAGTACCAGATCCAACTCCTACAAATTTAGGATTGAATCTTACTCAAGAATTACAAATTGGTGTTATAATTCTTATTATTTCTTTAATTTCATTAATTTTGGGTTCTTATTCAACAATTTCAAAACCAAAAATTGCGAAAGATGCAAGATTAGATACTGATTCTTCATTATTTGATCCAACAGATCTAGATAATTCTTCATATTATATATTAAATAAATTTGATCTTCAATTTTTAACAGGTGCTTCAACTCAACAATTTTCAATTATTTCAGCTATACTCATCCCAATATTTGCTTGTATTACATTAATTAGTTTATATTATTTATTAAAATATGTTGAAGATTTAAATTATTATTTACAATTTTATATCCTTTTAATTAATCCATATAGTTTAAACTCAGGTATTACAACACTTTTAACAATGACAATTAGAAAATTTACACATTTAATTGGTAAAAATTCCAATTGGGTTTTGAATAGATGGAGATTGATTTTGATTAAAGATGAAGATGATTTCCCAATTGGTAATGTTGAATATACTAAAGAGGATAAAGAAATTGGTGAGAATTTTGAAGATTATTTAAGAGTTGAAAAATTGATTCATTTAGAACCTACTTCAATTAAGATAAGAAACTCAAAGAGTAATATTATATTCAATGTATTACCATTATTGACATTACCTGTAAGTTTAGGGCTTACTTACTACAATTTCTACTACAATTCAAATGGTAAAAATTGGATTATTTCAAATTTACTTTCATTTTCATATATTATCACATCTTTCAAACAAATTAAAGTTCCACAATTTAAAATTTCAGTCTTGTTATTATCATTATTGTTTTTCTATGATGTTTATTTCGTTTTTGGTAGTAAGATTATGCTTACAGTAGCTCAAGGTATTGAAATTCCAATTAAATTAATGATTCCAAGAATAGGTTCAACTGATAATCAATTTTCAATTTTAGGTTTAGGTGATATTATCTTACCTGGAACATTGGTTAGTTTATGTTTAAGATTTGACCAATACAATTTTTATAAAAATCATAAAGATTTAGCATTTCATCATGTTAGAAGGTTTAGTAAACCTTATTTTATTGTAAGTTTACTTAGTTATGCAATTGGTTTAGCTATAACTTGGGGAGTTTTATTAGTTTTTAAACATGGACAACCTGCATTATTATATTTAGTACCTAGTTTAATTATTGGTGTATTTGGTACTGCGTTAAATCGTGGTGAATTAAAAGAATTATGGAATTATTCAGAACTTATAAGTGAATATAAAAAGGATAAAACCTACACAGAAGAATCAGATGATGAGGAAGAAGATCCAGATTATATACCGATCGAAAATGAAGAAATAGAAATAGATTTGGATGAAGAAGATTATGATGACAATACTTATATCATAACCATAGATGAAAGAGATGATTATGACGACGAAAGTGAAGAAGACGATTATGATGACGAAAGTGAAGAAGACGATTATGATGAAGATAAGTATTCGGATGATTATTCAGAAGAACAATTATTACTGGAGAATGAAGAATTAAAAGCCAAGATTAGATCATTCTTAAATAGAGTGAATAGAAATTAACTGTAATATATATTAATAGACTATAAGATAATACAACAATTTTCCATAAATAGAATTAAATCAAATCCAGTTTGATCAAACTCTAGATTTTTGAAAAATTATGAAATGATCCATAAATATTTAATGTCATAATTCAACTTAATTATGACGCGTAAATATCCATATGACAGGTTCAAACTTGGTAATTTGCCAAAAGAAAATGTTTGAAATCCCAAACCCAAGGTATGTGAAATATATATATAATTTGGTGCTCCGGATTTGATATAATTGTTTCTTATTTCGAGAGATTGCGTAGTTCATGATATATAAACCAATGAGTTTGGTACAAGTATGCCTAAAGATAGGGCGAGAAATATTTTTTCGTAGTGGCCAATTTATCGCATTGAAAAATACATACTTTTTCACGCATATTTCTGAAACAAAATTACTTATACGCAGTCCTGTCACTGCTAATCTTAAAATTTAAATTGTAAATAGGTCCGTCAATAATCAAACTACCAAGGTCAAACTCTTTTCATTCAAAATTTGAATACAGTAGCAAAATCTCTGTGGCTTTACTTTTCGAAGTGACGCAATTTTGAAGATTTTATCCTTCATTTAAAAAAACGTAAAAAACGTTATTTTGCTAGTCAATCAACACTCAGACCTCATTCAACAACTTCAAATACAGCTGATCTGGTTTACTTGATTTGAGTTATATGTCTGATAATGCTTTCTAGACGTTATAATCGGTTTGAAATTTTGCAAAAATTTCGATCGATTCATGTATCAAAATTTACATTTTCAATTTTGACTAATTTAACACAAAAAATCCTAAGATTCATTAAAACGCAAAACTACAATTTTGGAATGTTATATCACGCTCTAGTTTAGTATTTAATTATGGAGTTAAATTTTTTCGAAAGGTCAATTTATTTAATTTTTTCCAAACATAAGCGAAAATTTTGAAATTTACCAGTTTTAGTTCAATTCAACTAGAAATTCAGTAGATTATTTTGATGTATAATAGATATAAATTGTCACGTAATTGAAAGTTTTGGCTGTAAATAAGAAGACGCTCAGTTTTACATTTTTAATTTTGAACGATGAAACAAGCCGAAAATGACAACTCGGAAAAAAATGTTCGAAATTTAAAATTTGAAGTATATAGCATATATAATTCTGAGCTTCTAATTTCAAAAAACTGGTCTCTACCCAGAGAGAATATGTTGTTCGTGAGATATATATGTTGTTCGTGAAATATATATGTTATTCGTGAAATATAAGCGAATTTGTGTAGTACGAGGTCGGCCCTAAAGTTAAGTTGAGAAATTATTTTGTAGCGTAAGCTTACAAAAAATATAATTGTAGCTGGATATCGTGCTAAAGTTAGCACGATGGTTGGTGCTAACTCTCGCTAACTCTCGCTAACTCTCGCATTGACTCTTAGTTCTCGCGCAAAATGGCTTTATTTTCGAAGACGGATATTGCGACGTAGCTTTAATTTGTTCCAGAAATATATGAGATTACTGTCATGTAATCTTCTGATCATGTGACATATTGTGAGGTAATGGTATCGTATCTAAACATGATAAGTATATTTTTCAATGCTAAACTTTTGACTTTAGATAGAAATATATAATACAATAGTCACGTGCTCAATTATCCTGCACGACTTCAAAATCGTCAATCTTTTTTTTTTTTTTTTTTTTGATAACATTATGATTAAGAAATGACACGAATAAAAACAATGCTTAAGGCCAAAGCGATAAGATAAACAATCAATAACACCACCACAATTTTACAACTAATCATGGCAAATGCGGCATCATTGTTTAAAAAAGATACGCTAATCAAAAAGAGTTAAATTGAAATCAGTAAATAGTTAACAAATCAACAATACGAGTTCTTTCTTGATATCGATTAAAATGATAACTAATTATATATTTGCCATAATCCGAATATAATTGAAAAATTTCGCAGCAATTTCTTCAAGCGCAAGCGAAAGCGAAAGCGCAAAAAATAGATAAGGAAAAAAAAAATAAAAAAAAAAAAAAAGAAAAAAAAAAGAAAAAAAATATATATATATATACATATAAACATTGGTGCCGTTTTGCCTGTTTTGTTAATTCATGGCTTGAATTGAAAAAGTAAATTTCACACTATACTATTTCAAGATATCAACAAACTAATTCTAAATTAATCCACAACAAATCTCTTGAATGTGTCATCTGTAAAATTTGATTAGAAATATTGAACAACATTGGAGATTGGGGTAATTATTACTAAATTTAGACGTAATAATAGATATGCTCAATAATCCAAAATCCTCTTATCATTGCATTGCTTTTGTTTTGAATCAATATGTCTTGTTTCATTTAGTTGGGCTATTTTTTGTAGTATATGAAACGTGGTTATCATTTCAATCAAATGATTTGGATCGATGGGCAATTATGAAATATAAAGGAAATGCGTGTATTTTGATTTCTTATCTATATACCCAAATTGGCTCACCACCCACACTGCTTGACATTCATTGCTTGTTGGGTCATTAAATGTAACCACAGCTAATCTACATTTACTTTGATACGAGAGATATAGTAACATCATACTATATGTATCTAGAATAATCTGGGCAAATGATACCATATACTGATTCATTATGGTGGTAAAAAAATAAAGCTAAAGCGAAATCACGTTACTAATTTTTTTTGGGCGCGCCTCGCCTTATCTATTAATTTTCTTAGCCCTCACCATTCAATCAGTCAGTATAAAGCAATAAGCATTTCATTATGAAACAATAAATTATTGATTATACTATATATTTTCATTGTTTAGGTTCATTGTTGTTACAGATCAACAACATTTTTCATTTTTCATTTTTTATTCCATTTCAGGTTCTTATCTTTCGGAAGACCGGTTTTTACTATTTATAATTTGACAAAAAAAATTCATTTCATAATTGTGGCCATACATTATTTTTAGATTTATATAAGAAACAAAGTATCAAATTATAATTTAGGATTAATTTTATAAATAATATTTACTATTATCATGAAACGTAATAATATTGAATTATCAACCACTCCATCTTCATCAACTTATACTTTTAAAAAACCGAAAAATGATTCAAATTCAAATATAATTTCATCTTCTCAAACATCAATACAACAATCGGAATCAATAATTCATAAACCATTAATACAAAATGATTCATGTCAATATCTTGAAAAAATTATACCATTAAAGAAACTTTCTCAGTTTAATTATGATTGTATCAATGTTCAACTACTAAATGATGATGATGATGATGATGATGACGATGATGATGACGATGATGATGACGATGATGACGATGATGATGATGATGATGATGCTAATAATAATAATGAATTTGATTATAACAATATAAATAGTTTAATTGATGAAAATATACCCATGATACCTACTACTACAATTCAAGAAGAGAAATTAAAACAAGAAAATGAATTTTTGTTTGATTTGGATGATGATCCCTTGAACTTTAAAGAGTTTAAGCAAAATATGCTTTATGATCTATTGATGATTGATCAATTGATATTAATGAATAAGCATTAAAAAACCAAATGGAGTCAGAATATGGGTTTTTTGGGTTTCTACTAATTTTATCTGGTTATAATATATATATATAGAGTCAATAATATCAATAATACATAATACGGTATCATTTAATGTATTCTTTGTAACGGTAGAGAGGTAGAGAGGAAATTGTAGAACTCGAATTGATCATCTTTCTTCTTAATTCATATCTGATGAGCTGATGAGCTCATGTTTTAATCTTTAATTCGCGCAAAACTTTAAGTGCTTCTCCAAAACCTTGTCATGAACAAAAGTGCCTATTCTTTTGGACAAGTTTATAGTAGATAATCATCAAACTAGAAATATAGCAACTGTAAATAGTGTCTAGCTTGTTTAATTTACCATAAAGCTATAAAGCTAGAGCAGTTGGTAGCATATAAAAGTAGTGTACACAATTTCAATTTGAATAGTTTTAACTTTTGCAGCCAAAAATTCTTTTTCTGTAAATAACATTTGATATAAAAATCAATTAATTGAATTAACTTATTTGAACTACATTGACAGTTGACCCGAGCAGCTGCTACCGCAAAGACACTCAAGCCACAAACTATTTCGTAAACATAAATTTTACTGGGGTGCTTTTCACCACATTGGTAGGAAATATTGTGCTGTAATTAGAATATAGACAAATAATCCTACCATTGCCAATAGACATCAAAAATCTAGCTATAATCAACTGTTAAGTTGATTACAATGATAATTCGTTAGGTGTCGAATTATATTATTTTAAGATTTTGGCTTGTTTGTTTACATAACTCTAAAATAAACTTAATTTATTATAATCAGGTCGGAATATGATCTCAATCTGGTCTATCAATCAAAACTGTCAATTATTATTCAATCAGACTCTTTAATTGTTCATAACCATAACAATAGGTAGCTTATCAACGTGCTGTACATATTTCATCTGTTTCTTTATTTCATCTGTTTCTTTATTTCATCTGTTTCTTTATTTCATCTGTTTCTTTATTTCATCTGTTTCTTTATTTCATCTGTTTCTTTATTTCATCTGTTTCTTTATTTCATCTGTTTCTTTATTTCATCTGTTTCTTTATTTCATCTGTTTCTTTATTTCATCTGTTTCTTTATCTCCGCTTTAATGTTTATCAATACCATGTATTCATAAGGCCCCCAAAATAGAAATATCTATAAATAAGAGAGAATTTATTTGCTTAAAATAAGTAATTTGACAACTTGAAATCGCTTGATTGTGTGATTGTTTCGTACTTATTTAAAACTGCTTTTGCTGAAAATCAGCTAGTCGTCACTATTTGGTCCAATATTCTTTTGAACTTAAGATTTGTAGCTACCAACTGCAATTTTATATTAGTAACTATTGAATCAAAATCCAACTCGACCAGCCGTTTTCATATTAAATTTTAAATTTTAACACGTGCAACCAAAAACATTATCATTACGAGCTGTAGATTGAGCTCATGTCAGTATTCAGTGAGCGAAGACCATACAGTTTATTTTGAGGATTATTTGTAGATATTAGATCTTTAGATCAATTTCTAAAGACTCAACAACTCAAATTACTCAAAATTTACATCGTAACAATCTATCACTCTTAGAATTGTATTTCAATTAGCAGAGTCAATCAAAATAACCTTCCTGAAGTAATAGATGGACAACAAAATTTTTCAAAATTCATTACTTGCATCTATTGAAATTCTCTGCCCACAAAAAAATAGCCTAGGGCATAAATAGTAGTAAAATTTGATCTTTTACCATTCAAACATTGTATTTAGAGTTCAGGTAGCTGCATTTCTCTACTATCATCTCTATTCTAAATATTATTGTTGTTCATTCCATCTTTTGTTTCATAATATTTTTTTTTTTTTGTTTGTTGATAATTTTCAAATCTACCAAATGTCAAACACAGTTTATGGAGGTGATGAAGTTAATGCAATTATACTAGATCCAGGTACTTATAATACACGAATAGGTTACGCAGGTGATGATTTCCCAAAGATTATAACACCATCATATTATGGAGAATACTCCAACAAGGATACCACCAAGAAGTTATTTGGTCAAGATTTACTCATACCTAGATCAAATTTTGAAATTAAACCATTATTAAAAGAAGGTTTAATCTCAGATTGGGATTCTACAATATTACAATTTAATCATTTATTTAATCAATTGAAAATTCAACAGCTGGAACAACCTTTATTATTAACTGAACCAATCTGGTCATCAACAGAATATAAAACAAAATTAATTGAATCAGTATATGAGAATTGGCAATTCTCCGGTTTTTACGTAGCGAAGGTTCCAACCTGCATTAGCTTTCAACAGGGGAGACCAAATTGTCTCGTTGTTGATTTAGGTCATGATACAATTTCAGTAACTCCTGTAGTTGATGGAATTTGTTTAATAAAAAATTCAATGAAGACAAATTATTCTGGTAAATTTTTAAATTCAATAATTGAAGATTATTTACAAGATAAAAATATTGTATGGGAACCGCTGTATAAAATCAAACTGAAGACAATTACAAAATACCCTGAACCGGCTCAATTTCAATTAAAGAGTGGAATTGAAACTACAAATTCATATAGTCAGTTTTTAAAATTACAAATGTATCATGAATTCAAAGAATTATTAATGATTCCAGAGAAAGGACAAACGGAATTTCCAAAACGTATATTTGAATTATCAACAGGTCAACAAATAACCCTCGAAAAAGAAAGATTTCAATTTGCTGATTGTATTTTCGAGCCTAAACTGTATGAATTTAAAAATAAACAACTTGAATTACCTCCAAGTAATGGAGAAATCAAAAATTTAAATCCCTTAAATGAATATAGACCATTAAAAAGATTTAAAAAAAGTGAACAAGAAGAAAATGAAACTGCTTCAACTACTCCAAATCCAGATGTTGAAGTTAGAGGATTATCTCAATTAATTACCCACAGTTTAAATTTAATCGATATTGATTTAAGATCATCTATAGCTAATAATATAATTGTCACTGGTGGTGTTTCTTTAATTCCTGGGTTAACTGAAAAATTATATCATGAATTGACTAATAATAATCCAGGTTTAAAAATTAGATTACATGCAGTTGGAAATCAACAAGAAAGAATTAATCAAAGTTGGATTGGTGGTAGTGTTTTAGCTAGTTTAGGTACGTTTCATCAAATGTGGGTCACAAAACAAGAATATGAAGAGGTGGGGATAGATAGATTGTTGAATCAAAGATTTAGGTAAGGAATATAACGATGCAACAATCACCAATATATATATGATTGATAGATTATTAAATCAAAGATTTAGATAAACTTAATATATATTATCTATGTAATACTAACGCAGTTCTACAAGGTATATAAATCATTAATGAATTTGAACGATTATTCCAAGGTTCATCATTAGTCTTGAATTCCAATTCTCTGTAATTTGTTATTCTATTATGACCACCATAAATCTCATCATCTGAATTTAATACAATTTTATAAGTACCGGGTAATTCAACACCAATTTTATAATCTGGAAATGATTGGGTTGGATTAAAATTAAAAATAAACAAATACTCATTTCTTTCAAATACAATTACTTTATCACCTTCATGTTTTAATGAAACATAAGCTTGTGGTGAATTTAAAACATTAATTTTAAAATCACAATCAAAATTATATAAAAATTTATATCTTAATAAATCATTATCAATCAAATTAAATTGTCTTCTTGCGTAATGATAACTTTCATTATTTCCCTCCCTTGGAAAATCTAACCATTCAGGATGACCAAATTCATTCCCTTCAAAGTTTAAATATCCTTCACCACCAAGAGCATAAGTCAACAATCTAATCATTTTATGTAATGCAATACCACGATCTATAACTGGTGTTAATTCAGATAATACAGACATGTTACTATACATTTCTTTGTCCATCAACCAAAAAGCTAATGTCTTATCACCTACCAATGCTTGATCATGAGATTCACAATATGCAATACAATCCTCCCCGTGTCTTCTATTAGTCAATGTAAAACAAATATTAGCTAAATCCCATTGTTCATCATTTAAATGTTTTAATATTTTAATCCACATATCTGGAATAGCCATTGAAAGTCTATAATTAAATCCAATTCCACCATCTGATAATGGTCTACATAAAGTAGGCATACCTGAAACATCTTCTGCAATAGTAGTCAAATCTATCTTCTCCTCTTTTGAAATTTCTTCTAATAATTTATTTGCAAGCATTAAATAATTAATAGCTTCATTATCAACTAATTCATCATTAAAATATTCATTATAATTTCCACTGAATCCATAACTTAATCCATGATGTTTATATAACATAGAGGTAACACCATCAAATCTAAATCCATCAAATTTATAAACATCAATGAAAAATTTCAAATTAGATAAAAGAAATCTGAGAGTTTCATAGTTGGAGTAGTTGAACAATCTTGAATCCCATAATGAATGTTCTCCTTTAGAACCACCATGAAATAAATAATAATCAGTCCCATTAAACATATTTATCCCATCTTCTACATTTTTACTCGAATGTGAATGAACAACATCTAAAAATACTTGTATTCCCAATCCATGAGCAGTATCAATTAATTCTTGTAATTCCTGTGGAGTTCCAAATCTAGAACTAATTGCAAAAAAACTCGTGATTTGATATCCAAAAGATGCATAATATGCATGTTCCATAATTGCCATTAATTGAATTGTATTATATCCCAATTGATGAATTTTGGGTAAGATATTCTTTGTAAAATTTTTATAACTACCTACCTTTGGTTCGGGTGTAGATATACCGATATGAGCTTCATAAATTTTAATACCTTCTTTATTTAATCCTTTTGGTCTCTCATGTTTATATTCATAATGGCCTTGCCAAAATCTACCTTCGTATAAATTATGTTCTTTTGAGTAGACTGCACGCTTAACCCACGAATCTAATCTATATATCCATTCACCAGATTTGAGCCTCATTGCAATTTTATAATTTGAATCATTGGGGATATTTGTAGTGAATGTTAATGACCAATGACCAAAATCTAATTTATTCAATTTATGAGAATTTAAATCCCAATTGTTAAAATCACCAACAATCGACACTTCCTCAACATCTGGAATGTATTGAAAGATTGAATATTCTTTCCCATTATAATGTAAACCATATTTTTTATATGAGTCTGCAAATTTTAATAAATCACCTTCGGTTTTAGATAATTCAGAATACCATTTTCCTAATTCTTGTTGTCTTGTGATTAATTGTGGTGCAAATGGTTCTAACCAAGGATCTAAGTCTAATACACCTTTAATTAATGATTTAGACATATCGACAAAGTTGTTGATAAAATTAATTCGCTTGTGGGGATCAGCTGGTTATAAATTCAATTTTGTGTGCGTGTATAATAATCCGATAATCAGATATAAGTAATTGTACATAGAGCATTAATTTGCAACAATAGTAGAAAGAGATCAATTGATCGATAAAAACATACAAAATAGAGGATCTATTTGCGATTGACCTTATTGTCTAAGATTGGAAGGATTTGAGTAGAGATTCTTCAAATATTGTTTTACATTTGATAATTTTTCACACGGCGCTCGGTAAAAAATAAAGCGCTACCAGCTGTATCATGATAATAATAATAAAATAGAGGTTTCTAACAGAAGTAATTACCTCAGGTGTTTCTTTGTATCCTGGCGGTATTCTTTACAGAACTCCTACATCGTTATCTTTCCAAAATCAATTTATATTTATTTAATGTCCAACTTGTAAAGTATGATCTCTATCATAAATACCCCTATTTCTAATATAAGGATCCAATTGTATATAATTTGAACTTAATTTTATATTAAGATCTATTTTATCAGCAAGATATTTTGAAGAAACATTTGGATTTGTTGATTCAATCCATTTTTTGGTAACATCAAAAAATTTAGTAAATAATTCATCTCTTTCCCTTCTTAATCTTGAATATTCTTGATCTTTTGCTCTTGGAGGTTTATCATCATAAGGTTCAGGTATTGGATAATAACCTCTTGTTGTATCTTCACCGCCTAAATAATCTGGTATTAATTGTGGATCAATGAATTTTGATAATTCTTTTGCATTCTTTGTAAAATGAATTTTTGATGCAACTACTGGATCTAACCAATTTTTAATAATATTCCAAACTGTTGAAAAAATCCATGGTGCATTATGAATTAAAATAAATCCTAAAGTTTCTGGATAATGAGCTTCAAAAACATCAGCTAAAAATTTAATAGTCGCATAATCAGCATTTTTTAAAGAAAATCCAGTTAAATCAAATACAATTGTACATGTATCAACAGATTCACTAACTTCTCTCAAGAATAATCTAACCCATTCAATTGTAACAACTGCATATCTTTGATTTTGTGGTAATGGAGAATCAGAAGTTAAATGTTTTTTAGCTTGAAACATAAAAATTGGATTATTATTTTTATCTCTACCTTTAATCCAAGATTTTTCAGTTGTAAAATTTTTAATAAAACCTTGATTTGTACCATTTAAATATGATGGACCATCTGATTCAAATAACCATTCATCTGTTGTAAATTCATTTGCTCTCCAATTTAAAGATTTTGTAAACATTTCTAAAGCTTTTTCAGTATCCCATTTTCTTGCTCTAACAAATTTTAAAACTAAATTATCAAATAAATCATTACGAGTAGCTTTTATAATTGCTTTATGTAAATCTTTTACTTTATATTGGGAAAAACAAGGTAACAATGAAGGATCAGGAGATACTTTTAATGGTTTATTGACGGTAGCGTCGTATAAAGAAGGACCACCACCAATTGCACCACCGGCAAATCCATTTCTTTGTTGATGTTGTTGTTGATAATGTTGTTGTTGTTGATGTTGCTGTTGCTGTTGACCTGGTCTACCAATTCTACCACCATATGATTTACCATTTTGTTGTTTATTAAAAATATGAGCTGGATAATCATCATAATCAGTTAAAGTAGTTGAAGCTGTGACAAAAGTTTCCATTGAAGCAACAGAAGCAGTATCATCATCATCGTAACCATCACCATTAGCAAATGCACCACCACTAGCAAATGCGCCACCACTAGCAAACGCACCACCACCATTAGAACCATTAGAACCATCATAATCATCTTGATATTCATAAGCTTGTTTATAATGATGAGCATAAACTGAATAAATTAATTCATTAGGTCTATCAACTGGTTGATATCTTTCTTTTGAAGATTGAGATTGTAATTGTAACATTCTTTTTGAATTTGGACTTGGAGATCCTTGACCAAATCCAGTATTATTTGCATTATGAGTTGAAGCAGAAGAGGATTTTTTTGAACCAAATAAACCAGCTTTCTTTTTTGAAGCAGAAGATTTTGAAGAATTAATTGAACCTCTTGTATTTGTTTTAATTAACCCATTTCTTGCAATACCTTGAGATTCATCAAAATTCGCTGTGGTAGTTGAAGAAACATAACATTGTTTAAAAGGTAAATCCTGATTTGGAATAGCAATGTCATAACCAAAATATTTTAATAAATAAGCCCAAGTTTGTTTCAAAACAATTTCTTCATCACCATTTAAAGTTTGAATTCTTTGTAATCTATATTTAACATTATCTCCTGACATGATTATTAATAATAAAGAAAGAAGAACTTATCAATAATTGTTGTAAATTTTTATCAAAAAAAGGGTGTATGAAAATCGAAAATCAACAATTGGTAGTGTGTGGGGAGTATATTCTTTTTTATATATGAGACTGTGAAAAAAAAAATTATATCGTATAAAAATAAAATATTATATCACCGATTTTATATTTTATATTATACGAAAGACTGACTGATTGATTGACTGACTGACCGATAATTACCAATTACAGGGTTTCTAATAGTCTATAAATGATGTTGTAGTAATATATGTAGTATATCTATTCGAAATAGTTGTTTCGATTCTGATCTGATGTTTCAAATTGAAAATGAGATCTAAGATTTGTCCTAATTGGGTAGATGTAGATTCAACTAGTACAATTGAACAAAACAAATTAATAAATATAAGTAATATAATATAATATAAATATATATATATATATACTTTGATTGAAAAAGAGTTTGAAAAGAAATCCAATCCAAGCCAACCCAATTATATATATTTATATAAATTCAAAAGGGTTAATAATAAATAATAATAATAATGATTGTGATAATTTTTCAACAACAGAAGAATTAAAGAACTACCAATTTTTAAACTACAATGCAGTAAGTAGTAATTAAGTTAATTAAATTAATATTGGTGGTTTCAATCAGTTTCTTTCTTTCTTTCTATTTGTAGCATTGTTGAAATTATATTCAATACGTATGAATTATTGTGTTAAATCTATGAATAATTTAAATTTGCAACTCTTTCCTAATTAGGAAATTAATAATTATTATTTACTTATCTCCACATCTAAAATCTTAACTTAGGAAGCAAAAAAAAAAAAAAAAAAAAAGAAAAAAAAATATATAATAAGTTTTAACATCAGTGGTTAAAAAATGTTTTATAGTTCACGTATGAAATTTTCACTTTCTTAGCCACTTTTTCTCATAATTTGTTTTTGGATCTTCAACTTTGAGCCCATAATTGAAATTTGATTTTAATAATTTACGACTATAAAAATTGAAATTAGATCAATAATATTGAACTTATAATCTCCACATTTTAAATCTAAAATTGTATAATTGTATCTAAATATTTTATAAGCTAAACTATGCGATGAACAAACGAAAAAATTAAAAAGAAGAATGAAAAAGGAAGAGACGTTTTATTAGTAGCCCGATTTGTTCTTAATCTAGTGTGACTTACGTTCATCATTTTATATAAAATCAATTGCGTTAATATAGTTTACCACTAGTTGTAGACAATAATGATAATGATGATGATGATGAGTTGTGCTGGAAATTTTGTAATTTTTAAAATAGTCAATAGCAGCAAGATTATGCTAGTGAAGATATGTAAAGAAAATTATTTTGAATATAATATCGATTAGATCATTGATCAATGATGATTATTATCATCTCGTCAATTCGATTAGAACAACAATAACCAGCTATCTATGTCTTGATTAAAATGGCTGCAAAATGGCTGCAAAATGGTTGCAAAATGGCTGCAAAATGCTTGCTACAAATAAAGTTGTACAACAGAACAAAATTAAAACTAACGAAAAACTTCTATTGCATTAAATCCTGTGTATCACATGACCCAATTTGAATAAAACGTTTATCCAATTTAATTATTGAGACTTAATTAAGTAATGAAATAATGAAATAATAGAACAATCAAGTGGGGTCTGAATAAGAGTTTAATATTTGTTGGTCTTGCATATGAGAACTTTTCAAAATATGATATTGGCGATTGTAAGTAAAAACAACGCTACCAATCACGAGCCTAAATATACGAAAATTGACATTCCAGTGTCGTATTTTCTGTTATCAATGCGACAATCATTCAATGCGACAATCATTTTCATTAATTTGCAACGCCTAATTAATAATAAATTTCTTTACTACTCCATACCTAATTTGCATTCATTCATTTTACATGGCACGAAAAGCTACAAATACATTAATATTGACTAATTTACAACCCGAACTACTATATGCTCCAAAAGCATTAATACAATACATACAAAATAAAAATTACTTAATTCAATTAATTGTCCTAGTTAAATTTTCAAGAATATTGATTATTAGTGAAACTCCAACTATTTCGAAAGAAATATTCAAACATCTACAAGACTCAAAATTTGATTTCAATATCAGTTATAGTTTAAAAGACAATTACTTTAGTTTTAATTCTAGTGATTTAGATGAGATTATTGGTTGTGAGAAAGAATATCTTGAATTACCTAATGATTTAGAATCAAGAAGGTTTTTAATCAGTCCTCCCCTTAGTCCACATTCTGAATGGAATGATTGGAATAAATTAGAAGATGGTCCAAATGAAAAAAGTGTTTATAGTCCTAATGAATTAAGTCATTTATTATGGGAAAGATTAGGTGGGTTTGAAAGTGATATTGTTAAGAAATTTCATAAACTAGAGGATAAAAATGAAGAAGAAGAAGATGATGATGATGAAGTCGATATTTCTACGGAACCTGAGTTGTTGTTTAAAGATATTGAAAATGGTGTGCCTGCAATTATATTAAATCCGACCAATAATAAAGAAAGCGACCAGCCTATGCCAAGAACTACTTTACCACCAACTATGTAATTCAAGTCACAATAGAGCAGTAAAGATTTAGAGCATGGTATAAAGATCCTTCAAGATCAATTTAATCACTTTTTCAATTTTGCTAAAACTATAATACAATGTTCAATTCGACCGTAACACCGTTAACCAAAAAAAAATTTCAGTTGTAATTATCAAGAATCAACCCATGTGAGCTTTAATTTTCAATAAATTATCGAAGAGGCTCATCAAACTAACTCGTTTTGGTAAAAATTCTTTTATTCTTGGTCAAATTTTAGTATAATTTTGTTGTAAAATTAGCTACAACCTTCAAACTAACATCAATTGTAAATACAACCACATTGGACATAATTTCAAGCAAAGCGCAACTAAGTCATTTCATCCATAGATCTTGCATTAACACAATATTCATAAATTCAAACTCGTATATTGTATATCGCTAATATACAGGATTTTTCTTATACATTATATTTTTTCTATAGAGAGATGAGATGAAAATTAAATATTATCAAACAGCATACCATGGCTAAAACAAGATCAAAAGGTGCCGTTGCATCTTCACCCATCTCAAAATCACCAAAAGCATCACCAAAAGTAAACAAAGTAAAAAAACCAACAACCAGAAAGACAAAACCACAACCAAAGAAAGAAACTCCAAAACAAGAAGATGCCACTCCAATAAAACAAATTCCAGAAACACCAGATATAGAGTCAACTACATCATCATTCATACCTACAAAAGTAACAACCAAAGCAATTTCCGAACTATTAAAATTCACAACTAGACAAAAAGAGGAAGAAACCAAACCCGAAAAATCACAATTATTCGACTCTGACGAAGAATCAACCACAACACCATTATATTTAACAATTGACTCCAAGGTATATTTCTCATCTAAACCACAATTCAAACCGAAATTACTCCCATTAAGCAAATCTATCAATCAAAATCCAAACATATGTTTAATTTTAAGAGATGGTTTAGTTAAAGAAAATTCAGAATTGAATGCATTAGAATCGTTGAATATTAATCAATATGTACCAATGAAATCCATCAAATCAGATTATAAGAATTTTGAAAAAAGAAGAGAATTTCATTCCACTTATGATTTGTTCCTCGCTGATGAAGCAGTATTAAACATCTTACCTAATGCCTTGGGAAAAATATTCTACAAATCTTCCAAATTTCCAATTCCTGTTAAGTTGACAAGTTCAAATGCTCCTGAAAAGTTGAGTATCACAACCTTAAAAAATCAAATTGAGAAAGTTTTAAATTCGACTTGGTATTTACCTCCCCAGGGATCAAATATAAGTATCAAAATTGGATATTTGAATAAGTTTTATGATGAGAATGATTTAGTTAAGAATTTTGAATCTGTTTTGAGTAAATTTGACAAAAATGGGTTGAAAAGTGTTATGATTAAAACTGATAAATCACCTGCTTTGCCTTTATTTTATACTGATAAATTATATGATGATAAGGATGTTATTGAAGAAGGTACTGATAAAGAAGTTGATATTGAAGAGGGTGATGGTTTGAATGATTTTGAGAGAGGATTATTGGAATTGGGTGATTTAGAAACTGTCCAACAGGTTCTTGGTAAGAAATTGAATCAAAAGAAGACTACTAAAAATGCTAAGAAGAATGTTAAGGGGAAAGTTCATAAATAAATGAATATATAATAGATAAATAATTGATAAATTGCGTTTTTGAAAGTATTAAACTCTTGTCCTCGAATAATTTACTTTTATTCGTCAAATCATTGTATTGATTAACAGACTTGACCGTGAAATAATCCCCACAAACTCTGTTTAATTAGCATTGTTGTTTAAGGGTCAATTTTGCAGCCGTTTATTGATTCACTTGGTAGTGCTCTCAGTAAAAATCGAAATCAAATCAATCAATAATTTGTTTCAGAGTTTAATTATAGATCTATGTGGATAATAAAACACGATGAAGACAAACTAGGAGGTAAGTAACGCCCTAATTCCATCAACCAATGCATTCAAAATACTAACATTCTTACCATTAGATATTTTAACCCATTTAAAACCAAATAAATCATATTTAATAGGTAGGAATGAAGAAGAAGTAGATATATCATTCAAATCACCAAAAGCATCACGTCAATTATTACAAATAACACCAAATTCAAACTCTTTAAAAGTCAAATTATTATCAAGGTCAAAAGGCTCAATAAATAACAAGGTATATAAATTGAAGAAAAATGAAGAACCTTACGAAATAACCTTTCCCGACTCAGAAATCAAGATTGAGATGGTAGAAAGTGATGAAGACAAACCGATTATACTCAATTATTACAAATTGACATTTTACAATAACAATCACCCATTTTTGAAAGAAATTGATGTTGATGTATCTAATAATATTGGGAATTCAATGTTATTATTTCGTGATGTTGATGATGATTATCGAAAGGCTGTTGTTTTGGGAAGACCAATCTTGAGTAAATCATGGATTAAAGATGTTAAGACCGGAAGTATACAGGATTGGTTGTTTGATTTGAGTTCAAATTTGAAAAAGTATAGTCCTTTTGATTCAGGTCCTAAAAATAGAATGCATTTATTTGAAGGTATGAAAATTGTAGCTCCTGCTGGTTTAAACTGGATAGATAGTGCTAAGGAGATCAAAGATGGTGGTGATAAATTCATACTTGTTAATGATTCAGATGTTGATGATTATAAATGTACTAGTGAGATGGCTTTATTCGATGCTGTTTTAAAAGAAGATATTAGCTCCATACCTGTCAATACTAAAAGGACTAAAAGAAGTAGAGAAGAGCCTAGTAATTCAGTTAGGAAGAGAAGAAGGTATGAAAAAGTAGATAATAAATTGCATTTCTTTTCATTAAATACAGAAAGTCAAACTCAAGAACAATCAATAACTCCAGAACAACCATCAATACAACCATCAGTACCAGAACCAATTAAACTACTAGAATCAACTCAACTACCAGACCCACCACAACCTGAACCAATTAAACAAGTTGAATCAACACTAATACCGAAATCACCACCACCACCACCACCACCAACAACAACAGAAACATCAACAACCGAGACAAAACCTAGTCTTAAACGTAAAGCATCATCTGAAGAATTAACAATAACTCATACACAGCCAAAAAGTCGAAAATTTATACCCAAAGTGACATTTGTAGATGCTGTATTACAAACCAAAAAAGAAACTCGTAAACAAATAAATGAAAAATATGGAATAATAGACGACGAAGAAGAGGACATGAATCAAAACCTTTCCAATTTAGCCATTGTCGAAATTGTAGATATGAAATTAAGAACACCACCAAAGAATACAAGAGAACCAGGAGAGATTGATCCCAGGTATGCTAATCGTAAAAATTTCAAAACGTTTAGAAAAGTGCAGCCTAAAAAGACAAGAGAGTATGTTTCTTTTAGTGTTGTTAACGAGGGTATGAAAAAGAGAAGTAATGAGAAAGAGGAGAGAACTTTTGATTCTGAATTTGATGGATTGATGTCTAATGTTAGAGGATATAAACCTGATCCAGAACCTTTGTTTATTCAAGATGATTCTGATGACGATGATGGGTTTAAGAGTAGGACTGCTAGTATACCTAATTCAAATTCAAATGGGAAAACGAGAAATGCTGCTTCTCGACCTAATTATAGAACTAATAATAATAATGATGATGATGATGACGACGATGATGATGATGATGATGATGATGATGATGATCAACCAAAATTTGGATTTACAAGATAAGGTCAAATTGTATTTTCTAATAAATAAATTGAATATATTAACAAATAGCTATGACCAGCACCTCCAGTTACTTTACAAGTATCTAAATTTTCTAAGATGAATCGGTTGTAGATGATGATAAAGAAGCAACGTTTGGTATTACATGAAAATATCAAATTGTACATTACAGATAGCTATTTAAGAATGACCAGCATTCCTAATCACACCACACGTGCCCAACCTCCTAAAATAATTCAAATGAATATTTAAAAACTGATCATGATTACAATGAGACCTAAAATCATTTTCAATACATTCTCCACCATGACAATTTAAAGTCTGATCCAATCTTGGTCTATATTCATTCTCGGAAATATTCAAATATATCTGAGTTTTAAACTGAGCGTATCCATTCTCAACGAGACTAAACTCCATAGGCAAAACAGTAACAATATCTAATTTATGAACAACCCTATGAAACTCAACATCAACACTATCTACCCAATTAACGAAATCAGCATTTCCAACTAAAGGTGATCCAAACGTAACTATCGAAACATTTTTATATCCTAAATCCATGTAGTTTAGACCTATGAGTAATCCAATGGCACCACCTAACGAATGGCCCAAAATGTATAAATTATCAAACTGAGTTAAATACGGTTGAACTAATTCCAAAGTGCTGAGATAGTATTCATGAAATCCACGATGTATTTTACACTCCATACAATCAGGTAGACTTAGTCCCATATTCTTATAATCAATCATATCCATTTTCAAATCTGTCAAACTGTCAAAAATTGATCTAGTTCCCCGAAGACTTAAAATTAGTGATGGTGACTTGTTATTAAGGAAACAAGGAGGTGTTCGAGCAATGTATCCAGTTATGCTATTATCATTTGACCACTGGTCTAACAACGTAAAATTTGGAAACTTCTTCTCACAATTTAAATTACATTTGAATGGATATTTTAAATGATGATATTTAGATATGCAGTAACTTATATCTACTAAATGTGCAAAAGTGAATAAGTTAGAATATAGATCTGGATCAACGGGTACCAATTCTTCGTAATGAAAGATGATTTGTGAATATATACATGTTATGAAAACCAATGCAACTAAATTCATGAATGTGGAGGTGGAAAAAAATATACGAGATCTTTAATTTTATATTAGAAATATACAGATTTTAAAAATTATTAAACCAAATAAAATTCCAGTTATAATGGGGATGATTAGAAGCAAGTACTTGAAGTGGTCTGATTTTATTAATTGGTTAATTGTGTATAGTACCATTAACAATGAAGCAATGATTAAATATTGAAAAATTAAGGAACTTTGACCACTTATTGATTTGACTATATTGACTGTCTGAGTCATTAAGTCACCGATATACTCTCTGATTAGAGATAATGTGTTTATAAACTTCTCAAATTGGATATTCATGATGTTTATGTTTGTTTCAAGGTTTTTTATCTTATTCTCTAATTCATTGATGCTTTCATTCAAATGAATTTCGAAGTTCTTGACTATTTGAAACGATGACTCGTTCCAAAATTGCTCCATTTGATAATTGAGATTGTTTAGCATCATTGGAATTTGACCTTTTATGAATGCAGTTTGATTTTGCACCATATTTGAGTTCTCAGATATGCTTGAATAAAATTCACTCATTTCAAATTTAACAAATTCAACCTCTTTGTTCAACTGGATGATAAGATCACTTGAAGCATTGAGGTTCTCATATATTTCCTCAGTCTGTTTTAAGATTAACTCATTATTTCCCTGTATTTCCTCTTGTTTTTCATTCATCAATTCAAACATACCATTTTGCATTTCTTTAAATTCCAGATAAAAATAACTTAAGTGCAGATACAAGATTTCAAAATTTGAATTTATCCCGTGGTAGTTTTGTTTAATTAATATCATTGCATTCTTTAAAGAATTTTCAAAATTTGAATTAAAATCCGACCATTGTTGATTTGATAAATTTTGATTTTCAACACTGGCTGAAACCAAATCATCCATGACATTAATTAAGCCCTCGAATCTCTCAAACATCTCATGTTCTCTCTTATCGTTTAGATTTGAAGCATTGATATCATTTAAAAATTGATGATATACTACCATAATATTTTCATATATTTCTGTGATCTCTGACAGTGAGCTTAACTCTTGAAATAATGGACTTGTAACCGATGAAAACACAACACTAATAAAGAAAAGTAATATAATCATTGAGTTTTTCTGAAAGGGGTTAGATTTCTATTTTAGCGGTGGCCCTTACATTCTGCAATGAAACAATTTGTATACAGTTGATAACTTGGCTGAGTTATATCATAATCTAGATCTATTACAATACAACTCCCATTTTATCGCTCTTAAAACAGCGCATAATCTATTTATTGTATTGTGCCTTAAACCTTTATAGTTTGAGCTCTAGTTGGTGATGATTTTTCAATTTTTCAATTTTTTTTTTCAACCAGATTATGAAACAAATTATACGAAATCAATTAATACGAAACTATTCCAATAAGATAGACTTCATATCAAATGAAGTTAAACATATATTTGAGGTTGAAAAATTAACACCAGAAGAAAATCTAGCTGCTATTCCTAAAAAACCAATAATTCCTAAAAATATAACAAAATTTCAACATTCAATAATTAAACCAAAAGATGTATTGGATCTATATACTAAATTTAACTTAAATGATGTTTTAATATCAATACTATCAAAATCTAAGAAATTGCATGGAGTTGAAAACTTTCAAATTGTATCTAAAGATGGTATAATTCCAAATATATATTTTCCAAATTCTGCCATTATTTTAAAGTGGATAAAGGCATTCAATAAGAAAATATACAGTTTGAAACCCATCCCAGTAGAAAATTACATAAACACGACTTTAAAAAATGCAGAATTGGAAGATTTGGTGAAGCAGTCACTGTTTGATAAAATTTTTAATATTTATAGAGTTATTAAAAGTTCGAGGGATTTAAAATATGGAAACAGAGTTGAAGAAAATGCAATAACTTTAAATAATTTGTCCATGTTGGTTCTTAATCAATCAAATGAAGTTATTGAAAATTATTTAGAATATCTTATGGAATTAACATATGTTCAATATTTTACATTACACGGATTAAAAGATTTCATTAATCAACTAAGTTTGAATGGAGATATATTGAATCTTAATGAGTTTATAATATATTTAAATGGTGAAATTCCACAATTATTCAATCATATGTCTAGTGAGTCATTGGATAAAATATCTGGATTCATTGAAAATAAAGAAATATCAAGAAACGCATTAGAGATATTGATCAAGAGGGGTTATTTACCTTCTGAATCATCAATAAATAATCATTTAAAACATTACATAAATGAAAATGATCCAGTGAGATTAACTACTGAGTTGACATTTTTAAAACCCGTGTTTCATAAATTTTCAAATGAGTTGATTGTTTCTATTTTATTAAAAACAATTACTAACATAATTGAATTTGATAAATTTATACAACTACTCAAGTCATTCAATGATCCAAATTTGTTAAATAAGTATCAATTATCATTATTTAAGAAGTTGATGTTATTGAAACCTACCAAATTAGAAATCGCCCAATTTGTAAATATTTCAAAACTGAACAAGATAGAAATAAATCAAGAAATTATGGAAATATTAAATGAAAGATTTAAATAAATGTAAATATATATGATTATAGAAAGTTCAAATGGGAATTATAAATGTAAATATATATCATCGTAAATCATTAAATATTGTCTATATGATAACATCCGTATTTTGTACATATATATTATTATAAGTCATTAAGTTCTATTTTTGTCATTATACTGGATCTAAGAATTGCCCAGGGCATAGATCTAGAACTAAATAGACCCTGAAAATGCCCAGGGCATAGATCTATAATGCCTTGGGTTTACGAGATCTAATTAAATTATAGGCTGGCATCTTTCATCTTTATTTGCATACTTACAGTATTAGTTTGGAAACCGCAGACGTCAAAATACTTTAAAGATGAATTATATGTTGATTGTTGATTATAGCTTTTAATAATCTACCTTTTGATTTTGTTAGTTTTCTAGCTACATCATGAAAACTTTAAATGTTCATTACATCTTTAAGTAGACTACAATTTCTCATAATCCAAATTACAATTACCGTCCAAACTTTTTAGATTCTGCAACTTTACTAACACTTCAAACGAGTATCATAAATGTAAATATATATTATCATAAGTCATTAAATACTGTCTATATAGCATCTGTATCCTGTACATATATATCATCGTAAATCATTAAGTTCTATTTCTGTCATTATACTAGCATCTGTATTTTCAGGTCGATTATTATTTCGTCGTCTTTCATCTTGATTATTTTCAGCACCTCTAGTATAAAATCCATCAGTATATACATAAAATCCATCATCACTTAAATTATCATCATCAGAACCCACTACATTTGGTTTATTCATCATTCTCATATCATCATTTGCATATTCATTATTATCTTCAAAAAATTTTCTTGAACTAATTGATCTTTTAATAAAACATAACATTGAAGTAATTAAAGCCATTGAAACAATAGGAACTAATTGAATCCAACCAAGATAAGATAAATTTGGAATGAATAATAAAATATCAGCAAGAAAAGCTAATAAAGTAGTCAATACAGAAAATAAAGTTAATATAAGCATGATATTCAAATATGGAGTTAGATCTCTTTTTGGTATTGTTTTAGGAATTCCTTCTTCATCATATTGACCTTTTAATTTCTCAAACTTGAATTTATCTATTAATACTGTAGTTAGTAAACTAGCGGTGACTATTAATAATAATGACGAAAAACAAAAATCAACTACGTGAACCACTAATAATTTAGATATTGTATATCTAACCCTAGAAGGTAATACAACACCACCAAATCCGAAATTTCTATCTGGAGCAGCATTGTAAAATGATGAATTTGTTGATGGATATCCAATTCTCGGTGAACTACAGATCTTTTTCGTTTGATCACATATACCAAATACACCAAATTCATAATTTTCATAAGATGATAAATAAATATTTAGCAGCGGTGAAGTTATTGGAACCAGTATAACTGGTAATAATTGTATAATCCAACATATAATACATAATGATAGTAGTGCAAATAATGCTTTGTACATGTCAATTTGTTTCAGATTGAAAGAGAGAGAAAAAAATACCAAAAAAATCTGTTGATAATGAAATGAAGAATGAAAATGAAATGACGAATGAAAATGAAATGACGAATGAAAACGAAATTACGAATGAAAATGAAATGACGAATGAAAACGAAATGAAGAATGAAAATGAAATGACGAATGAAAACGAAATGAAGAATGAAAATGAAATGACGAATGAAAATGAAATGAGAATGAAAATGAAATGAAGAATGAAAATGAAATGACGAATGAAAATGAAATGAAGAATGAAAATGAAATGACGAATGAAAATGAAATGACGACTGATTAAGTTGTTATAAAATGGAAGTAAGAATTGTGGGATTATCGTATCGTAGAAACGTGTCTTTTCGGTCTTGCAGCCTCAATGGCTAGCATGAACCCGTTTACGTTGCACGTAGAGTTAATCGGACGTGTTTTGATTTGGACTGGAAGTAGCATGAATAATACTGGATAGCCTTGTACCACTAAATAATGCTATTTCAATGAAGCAAATTTGATTTCTTGAATGGCTTAGTTTGACATGGTGTAATATGAATCTGTTATCCGAATATGGAGTATAATATAGGTATATAGACAACCAAATCGATTCAAGATCTGTTGTGGTTAAAACATAATGCGGTCTTAATTAGATCCATTATAGCCATCACTAAAGAATCGAATTGAAGTTTGATACTCAGTTCAAATTTGAAGTTTATATCTGATGTGGTTTCTGATTATCGATTTTAAGTAATTTATTTCAATTGAAATCAAATTACTAAACTATAAAACCTGAATTTGATGAATTGTCAAGAATATGAGAGTCTTGAAAGAGAATTTGGTCGATTAATTTTGATAGTTTCCATCACTTGATGTTAATTTTCGAAGCCTTGTGATCTACTATAACGTTCACAGATTAGATATAACTAAATATACAAGAGATTGGGATGATATTAACGGATGATAGATATTAAGTCTTACGCTGTAGTTATTGAGTAAACCAAGTCTGCTCTGTTATATTGTGTTATTACCAAATTTGATTTGCAACAAAAACGTGATTTCGATAAGAATTGCAAAATAACCGAATAATACCATCTTTAGCTCATCAAACTGGTCAGAATAAACCAAAATCGACTATTAATCTCTATTCTAGCTCAATTCCTCTGTTTTTAGGTCATTTTCTAGTATATTTGAAATTTTTCAAATTCTGAAAAATTCGCCTGCCGTTCTTTATATTTTATGAAATCAAATTTTCATAAATTTTCATATATTCTTCCAATTTTAGTGTTGTTTTCATCAATAATATTATATAACAAATTCATATTCAGAATGTCAATACATCCATATCATAAAGAATTACAAGTTGCTACATTAGCAATTAAAAGAGCATCATTATTGACTAAGCAATTATCGGATTCAATTCAAGAATTACAAACCGTTGGAACAATTACAAAAAATGATAAATCACCAGTGACCTTGGGTGATTTTGCAAGTCAAGCCATAATAAATTATGCTATAAAATTAAATTTTCCTAGTGATGAAATTGTTGGTGAAGAAGATTCAAAAGATTTACAAACCAACTCAAAACTCAGCTCCCAAATACTTGAACTAATTGAAGATATCCAAAAAGAAACTAAAGACTATGACTCTGTTCTTGGTTCTTTAAAGACTGTAGACCAAATTTATAAATCTATTGATTTTGGTGATTCTTCCGGTGGTTCTCATGGTCGATTTTGGGCATTAGATCCCATTGATGGAACAAAGGGGTTTTTAAGGGGTGATCAATTTGCTGTTTGTCTTGCTTTAATAGAAGATGGTCAAGTCGTATTGGGAGTAATTGGATGTCCAAACCTCAATGAGGTGATAATTTCAAATACTGAACAAAAAGGAACCAAAGGTGGTTTATATTCAGCTATAAAAGGGGTTGGTTCTTATTATTCTCATTTATTCGAGCCTGGATTCATTGAATTAAATAAGCAAAGAAGATTGAAAATGTCAGAAAATGTCAAACCTGTCGATTTAAAAGTGGTTGAAGGGGTTGAAAAAGGTCATTCTTCACATGACACCCAATCTAAAATCAAATCTCAACTTGGTTTCAATCCAAATACCGTTTCACAACAGACTATTAATTTAGATTCTCAAGTTAAATATTGTGTTTTAGCTAATGGGAATGCTGATTTATATTTACGTTTGCCCATAAATGAACAATATAGTGAAAAAATATGGGATCATGCAGCTGGTAATATATTAGTTACTGAATCCGGTGGTAAAGTAAGTGATATAACTGGAAATGAATTAAATTTTGGAAATGGTAGATTATTGGAAAGTAAAGGTGTTATTGCTAGTAATAGAGAAATATTTGATAAAGTTATAGATGCAATTAAACAAGTGACTTAATATAAAGAAATTTAATTAAAATAAGTGATCTATATATTCTATCATTCTATAAGTTTTTCCTGAATACTTGTTTTTCCAATTATACCAGGTGCTATTTCTTGTATCCAAGTCATTTCTATTTTTGATACATTACGAGCATATCCTTTAGTAGTAAATACATATTCAATATACATAATTACATCTAATGATTTACCAAATAATGTAGAAGAAGGATGAATACTTATTAATTGACCATTGTTGAATGTTCTATATGAACGATCAGGCATCCCAACTGCCGTATTTGTAAGAAAACCTTTTAAGAAAGATTTCAAAACATTTTCAACATTTAATTTATCATCTTCGGAATCTAATTGTGCTTGCATTTCATACAATTGTTGATTTTTATCATCACAAGACAAAGTATTGTCTTGTTTTACAGTGGCTAACATATACTCTCTCAATTGTGATTTTATCTTCATTACATTTTTAAATCCCTTGAAATTGAAAAACATATCAATACACCATTCCTTACCTAACGTTTTAAAAGTTTTGAAAAATTCATATAATGCAATTAAATCACCATAATCATTACCTATTGGACAAAATTGTTTTCTTTTAAAATTTATCTCATCTCTTTTCTCACCAGTAACATTCAAGATTAAATTATCAATAGATAAACATGAAATTATATCAATAACGGGATTCAATACTTTTAATTCAAATGCAGTTAATAATACAATTGATAATTGTGGTTGTAATGGTAAAATGGACATTTTGACACCTAGATTAGTTATCTTTCCTGAGTCGTTTAATGCATTAAGTAAGTATAAACTTTGTAATGCTTGTAATATACTTTCCCTCCCTGGATATTCTAACCATGTCCAATTTAATAAATCATCAATTCCAAGTTTTTTCAAAGTTAAAATTGGTAATATTATATCATTTCTTTTTATTTCTGATTCTTGTTGTTTTGGTAATTCGTTAAATATTGATTCTGAATATAATCTAAATACTTTACCTTCACTTTCTCTACCTGCTCTACCTGCTCTTTGTTTAGCTGAAGCCTGGGAGATTGGAGTCGTTAATAAAGTACTTAAACCTAAATTATGTTTAAAAATTTTAATTTTACGTAATCCTGAATCAATAACATATTTAATCCCACTTATAGTTATTGAAGTTTCGGCAATATTAGTAGCTAATATAATTTTTCTTTTATTTTTACCAACTTTTTCAAAAATTTTCAGTTGTTGTAATGGTGATAATGCAGCATATAAAGGTAATGCAACTATGAAAGGGGCCTCTTTAGGTAAATCCGGTGCTAATTGATTCAATGTCTTTACACAATTATCAATTTCTTCTTGACCTGGTAAGAAACATAGGATATCACCCTCAGGTTCTGACATATTTAATTGTATTATACTTTTAGTCATTACATCATTTATATCTTCATCTTCAGTATTTAGATAATATTGTCTAACTGGGAATAATTTACCTTCAATGTATAAAATTGGAGCATTATTGAAAAATTTCGAAAATAATTCAGCATTTAATGTAGCTGACATAATTACAATTTTTAAATCCGGTCTATAACCTGATGAAACTAAAGATTTTAAAAATCCCATAATTAAATCAGTTAAAATTGTTCTTTCATGTGCTTCATCTAATATTATTGTAGAATATTGTTTGAGGGTCTTATCTAACATTATTTCTCTTAATAACATACCATCAGTTAAATATTTCAATTTTGTTTTGAGGGAAGTTGTGTTTGTAAATCTAACTTGATAACCTACCTCCTGTCCTAATTTACATCCATATTCTTCACTTACTCTTGAAGCTAAAGATGCAGCTGCAACTCTTCTTGGTTGTGTAACTCCAATCATTTTCTTATTTTCAGGGATGAGAAATTGTGGAATTTGTGTTGATTTACCTGACCCTGTTTCACCAATAATTATTGTAACTTGGTTTTTATTAATATATTCTAAGATTTTAGGTTTGTGTTGGTAGATTGGTAATTTCTTTCTTGTTTCGAGTAATTGTTTAGACAATTCAAGTAGTTGAGCTCTTGATTTATGTGAAAATTGATATGTATCTTCTTCTTCTTCATCATCTCCTTCATCTTGATATGTAACTATTTTGGGAGACTTTTTACCATCTTGTTTATTTGCAACCTTATCTAATTTTTCAAATTGTTTATATTTAACTTCACTTGATGCGGATTTTGATTTACCATTGGATAGTATTGAGCTATCTTGTGTAGATAATTCAGTCTCTATTTCATCTTGAGCATCTTCATTCGGTATTATTTCATCATCTTTAATTTCTGGAATGGCATCATCATCAAATTTAAACTTTTTATTGTGTCTGTTTTCCAGCACCGCTTCATCTTTAGTAATATTCAGTTCTATATTCTTATTCTTTCTCTTTCGTTTCCTTTTCTTTGTTGTACCATTAGCTAAATGTATATTATGTATTTCATTTACACTCATCTGTTAATTTTCAATGGATGCAAAAAATAAAATTATGAGATCTCAATGTTGAGAAGACTACCAAGAAGAACTATACTACTAAGTAACAGATATCAATCTACCACTAGAGATACAGTAACTATAATACCAACAGTTTATGAATTAACACAAGATAAAGATTTATCACCAGAATTAAATCCTGAAAATTCATTAATTTCATATTTAAAATCAAGAAATTTAATTGAATCCATAACTGATGATAATTTATATACAAAGACTAAGAAAGATGATATAAAACATTTTAAACTATATTGTGGAGCTGATCCAACTGCTATAAGTTTACATTTGGGTAATTTATTACCATTAATGGTATTATTACATTTTCAATTAAATGGTGCAAATATTGTTGGATTAATTGGTGGTGCTACTGGTAAAGTAGGTGATCCAAGTGGTAGAAAAGATGAAAGAAGTGAAATTGAGCAGAATAAACTACAAAATAATATTGAAAATATAACATGTCAATTTCAAACATTTTTCAAGAATGGTATTGAATATGCTAAAAGTAGACAATTCCCAATTGAAAATCATGGAAATTCACAAATATTAAATAATTTTTCTTGGTGGAAAGATATAAAGATGTTAAATTTCCTAGCTGAATTTGGTAAATATATTAGAATAAGTTCAATGATTAATCGAACATCTATTCAATCTAGATTGCAGTCGAAAGAAGGGATTGGTTTTAATGAATTTACATATCAAATATTACAAGCATATGATTTTTATCATTTGTATAAATCTGAAAATGTAAATATTCAAGTTGGTGGAAACGATCAATGGGGAAACATCACGGCAGGTACAGATTTAATACAAAAAACATTAAGAAAAGAAGCTTATGGAATTACAGTACCTTTATTATTAACTCTCAATGGTGAAAAATTTGGTAAATCAGCAGGGAATGCAATTTTTATAGACTCAAAATTGACATCTCCTTATCAAATGTATCAATTTTTTATAAATGTACCTGATGAAATGGTTGGTAAATTATTGAAAACATTCACATTATTACCTTTAAATGTTATAGAAGGAGAATTATTACCTAAACATTTTCAAGATTCAAGTTTAAGAATTGCTCAAAGAGTATTAGCTAGAGAAGTTGTTGATTTAATTCATGGTGTTGGAATTGGAGATGAAATGGCATTTATAACTGGATTTTTATTTCCTACTCCTGATCAACCATATAATGATAATTTATCAGCTGAGAAATTGATTAAAAATTTTAAAAATCTGGGAATATTATATAAATATGATTTGAAGAACTTGGAAGAAAAAGATATTAAATTGAGTAACTTAATTGCTGAAATTACAGGTAAATCAAAGAGTGAAATAAAGAGATTAATTAAAGCTGGTGGATTATATTTAGGGTTAAATAGAGATCAATTTAATGATCCAGATGATGTTGTATTATTTGATAAGTCAATTCATTTAATAGATGATAAATTAATGTTAATAAGAATAGGTAAACATCATTATTACGTAGTTGAATTTGTATGAAAGTGTAAATAGAGTAATTTGACAATATATACTAGAACCTATGGAATTTCCTAATTGGGATTAGTGAGGCTGGTTTATGATTATAATTATAATTACTAACCATTAAACAATATTGACGTTATACATATAATAACCAAGACTACTATATAATGTTACAGATACCATTACAAGCCATCGCGTCGTCTAATTAGTTGACCACGTTACCTGTATGTGCTATATCGAGAGAAATTCGTTTATTATTATATAGCATTTTATTCATTTTACTATAAATATAAAATAATTTCCACATTTTTTATCATCTCCAAATTTTTTCTTTTCTTTTCTTACAGCAATAGCAATAGTTCACATTATGAGTTCATTTTATGATTTAAAACCATTAGACTCAAAGAACGAAGCTTTTGATTTTTCACAATTGAAAGGTAAAGTTGTTTTAATTGTTAATGTAGCTTCAAAATGTGGATTTACTCCGCAATATAAAGGTTTAGAAGAATTGAATCAAAAATTTAAAGATTCTGGTAAATTTCAAATCTTAGGTTTTCCATGTAATCAATTTGGTAAACAAGAACCAGGTTCAAATGAAGAAATTGGTCAATTTTGTCAATTAAATTATGGAGTTACATTTCCTGTTTTAAATAAAATTGATGTAAATGGTGATAAAGAAGATCCAGTATATAAATTTTTAAAATCGAAAAAATCTGGTTTATTAGGTTTAAATAGAATTAAATGGAATTTTGAAAAATTTTTAATTGATCAAGATGGTAATGTAGTTGAAAGATATAGTTCTTTAACTAAACCTATTGATATTTCTCCAAAAATTGAAGAATTGTTACAACAAAAGATTGTAAAATGAAAATTATAATATTGTGAAAAATTAGCGTACGGTATTTAATATTTATAATGATTAATTGTGTTAGTGTATAGTGTATAGTGTTTTTAATATATAATGATTAATTTTGATAGTTTGTAAGTGATTAATGAAAACCGAAGATTATAAATTACTAGAGAATATAAGCTAACACGTATTGTATTAATCAATCTCAATTTCATGGCTTTTACAAAAAGATTCACCAAAGTTATCTGATAAATTAAACTTGGTTACACAGTTTTTTGCAATAAATCATTATTTAAACCTTCTGGTAAAATCAATTTGTTTCTAATTTCAACTTTAATCAAATATAAATTCATTAAATTAGGAGGTAATTCAAAATCTTCATCTAATATTAACAGTTTTGAAATTAAAATTAAAATTTCCAAATTTCTAAGAAAAACAATAACAATATGTTATTTAAAATTCCATGGATACGATGAGCCAATTTGATCAAATAAAACATAAGTGAAGTTAGTTAAATTCTGTAATGGATTTTTATATTTTCTTAATTTTTCAGCGTATAGTTCAAAAGCCCAAACATTATTCAAATTAGCAAAAAATAAATCAGAAGGAAATCTACTCTGTTCATAAACTAAAGTTTTTGAAATCTACTCTGTTCATAAACTAAAGTTTTTGAATTTGGCAATTTCCATAGATGAACAGATGTAGCAAGATTAGGTGCATTCAAAAAACCAATTCTTTCAAATTATAGGGAAACGCAAACTGTTTGATTTGACTGACATTTTCGCAGCCAATACGTAGTAATGCGTCTAAAATTGAACATATTTTCAATATGCGTTTAAATGATTTACTTATCGCATTCAACTTTAATTGTGTTAGACTTTAAATCTAATAAGGAAAGATTTTTCATACGGACTAATTTTTGATCCTTCGGTGTTTCTAGTTTTTTCTCATTGAATTATTCTAATAATTTGAAATTCAAAGGTATATATTTACAAATAATGAATAAAATTTACTAACTTAGAAATTCAGCAGCTTAATCTCAGTTATGCATATCTTTGATTCTAACTTTTGAGACCAAAACTCTTTCGAGTAAAATTTCTAAAGCTTTTGAATCATATAAAAATGGTACTAATAATGATTTATCAAAGCATTTTAAAATTAATTTAAGAATTTCATCAGGTAATTGATGAATTTTTTTTAATAATGAAATATAGTTAAAAATTGATTTCTAGTGCTCAAACAGTTTTCGAAAAATGTAATTTCTACATATCTTTTTATTTAAGGCCAGAATTTTCAATTAAACAATGAATTATGCATATTGTACCTCAAATTAAGGTGTTTGACTAGTTTTTATTCGATTTAAGCTTAAAATTGCAAATTTTCAAAATTATCTCTTAAGCATGGGGAAAATTGAATAAATTGACCGTACATAAAATTTAATTCCACATTACAAATTCAAACTAGAATATGATTAAATTGTCCAGTTTTTATAATTCTGTGTTTTAATAAAGTCTAGAAGTTTTAACGTTAAGGTATTCAAAAATTGGAAAAGCAATTTTTTCAAAATTGAAACGAAATATGAGAAACGTTCTCAAACCAATTTTGAAAATAGTTTTATAATTCTGTGTTTTAATAAAGTCTAGAGGTTTTAACGTTAAGGTATTCAAAATTTGGAAGAGCAATTTTTCAAAAGTGAAACAAAATATGAGATCAAATAATCTTTCTCTTAAAATATTATTAGATAAATGAATTTTATAATAATCATGAGAAACATTCTCAAACCAATTTTGAAAATATTATAGGGAATATCTTCGTGGTTGAATAAACGAAACAAGTATTAAAAGTTCCTACACGAAATCTAAGTATCGAATACCTCCCAATTAAGCGTTTTTTTTTTTTTTTTGCAATTTTTAAATGATGAATAAAATCACGAATATTAAAATTAAATTGACTAAACCAGAGTCAATGTATTCTAAAATCATCAAATATAAACAATAAATCTACTTTGACGATATTGACTTAAATATTGAGGGAGTAATTTACAATTTAAATTTTGAGATCTATCTACTATAAAGTCGCATATAAGCTACATATATCTCAAAATTATTTATAAAAGTGTTTGTCTTTATCAGTAGTGCGAAAACCATGTGTGAACAAAAATAATTTCTCGCGCTAAATTTAGGACGAGCGACTCGTACCAAGCTTATTGTTGATTCGTAACTCCTGAACAACACATTTTCATGAACTGAAAATCAGTTATATGAAAAATCATGAGAATTGGGTCATATATCTCACTTAAGTAAAGTTTGGATATTTTTTGAAATTTTTTTTTCGAGTTGTCATGTTGTCGGTTTTTCCTCATACAAAAATTTCTCTAAAAAATAAAAACCCTAGGTATCTTTTTTATTTAGGCGCATAATCTTCAAACAAACACCAAATTATATATATATATTGTATGTACCACCTCAATTGAAGATGCTGGACTTGATTCTAGTTGCTCTTGCCCAAAATTGAAAATTTTCAATGTTTTCAATAATTTCTCTTAGCTATGGGGAAAATCGCATAAATTGACTTGACAAAAAAATCTAATCCCACAATTGACAATCAAAATAGAGTATATTGAAACTATCCAACTTTTTAGTTCGGTATTTTATTAAATCTTGAACATGTTTGTTTCAAGGTTTTAAATTGGAAAATAAATTTTTCAGAAGGGAAACGAAATTTTTACAAAATGAGTTTGAATTGAAAATATCATACATATAGTCTTTAGGATTGAATAAACCAGATAATAAGCAATATCAGAAGTTGATAAATGAGGTTTAAGCATTAATATTGTCTCGTAAAATTGCGTTTTTTTTTTTTTTTTCCAATTTTTGAATGGAGAATAAAGTCATCCAAAACTATGTTACTCTGGCACTTATTAACATCATACAACACTAAATGAGCTCGCTCGCTCGCCTTTATAATGAAGATAGTCTGGAAAAAGAAATATTGGATATTGATGGATTTATCAACAATTTAAAATTTGAGGTCAATTTTGTTACGAGGCTAGGACGCTAGGACTGCATATAAGCGAAGTATCAATTATATTCGTATGGTCTTAAGTGTGCAAATACAAGAAAATGGCAATTGAAGTTTTCATTCCATTTCATTCTATTCCATTCCATTGATTGCTAATTTGATGATAAAGATTATATAGAATAAGAGATAAGAATTGAGACGTGTAAAAAGTTTAAAAAAAGCAGCTTTAATACGAATTGATAAGAATAACCAGCGTGTCAAGTCAATTTCGTTTAATACGGATTGATAAGAGTAACCAGCGTGTCAAGTCAATTTCGTTTAATACGAATTGATAAGAATAACCAGCGTGTTAAGTCAATTTCGTATAAAAGACGGTTATGTTTGTTGAATGAATTAAAATATTTAAATGGAAACGGAAACGGAAATAGAAATGGAAATGGAAATGGAAATTGCGTCCAGCAAATTAATTGAAAAGAAACGACTGAAAAGTGGTGTCAATTTAAAACCAAGTCGTGTTAAATCTAAAACGAATATCAAAATTTTTATTATCGTGTGATTTAGATATGAAATTTTACTGTGGAGAGATTTTTAAGTGTCATGATAAAAATAATACACTACTTTACTTTATCTAGAATATTCTTTCAATTAGCCGAGAAAATTACTGAATCAAGTAAGTGTGCGGCTTATTTCTTATCTAAATAATTACGTAATTTTTAATCTAATCAAAATCAAAATCAAAATCAAAATCAAAACTAATTGAAATAAAAACCTTACTTCAAGTATTCAGATTACCACACTGTGAGATTATAGATTATAGACTATAGATTATAGACTATAGATTATAGACTATAGATTATAGACTATAGATTATAGATTATAGATTATAGATTATAGAGATGATCTATCTCTAAGAGAGTGATAAATGCTGCCATAGTTGTAATAACATTTTCAATAACCCCCTTTTCTTTAGATGGAAGATGAGCCATACTAAAAACTCTAGAACTCTAAAACTCTAAAACTCTAAAAAACTCTAAAAAACTCTAAATAATGCACAGCGCGTATCTTCTTACCAAATTGGAAAATATTAAACAGCTCAACAAAAAAAAAAAAAAAAACTATATTTTTTCTATACATATATAAATAATATATAGGAATAATATATAGTAGTAAATCAATCATATATTCTATACATTGATTGATTGATACCACCACGTAAAACAAATTACAAGAGTAATAATTGAGAGACTATACTAAACAAATCAATTCTAATAATTCTAATTCTAATCCTAATCCTAATTCTAATCCTTTAATTTCTTATCCCTTTCTTTATGTTTTATCTATATATATATATATATATATACAATAATATAAATGTTTATCTATTGTTCTAATTTAGTATAATAAAATCGTAACCTTAATTTTATATAGTTAATATTTTATTTTTATTTTTTTTTATTTTTTTTTATTTTTATTTTTATTTTTATTTTTATTTTTATTTTTTTTTTTTTTTTTTTGTTTGTTTGTTTGTTTGTTTGTTTGTTTTGTTAGTAAATAGAAATTCATATACATTATTCTTATTATTATTATTATAGCGTTAATTATATTGTTATCCTGCATATAAACTAAAATAGGAGTGCGGTGTTCAAATATTTCCACCTATATATAAAAAAAATCACTATATAAAAATCACTATATAAAAATCACTATATAAAAAAATCACTATATAAAAATCATTATATAAGAACCAAGCAAATTTCTTATCAACGAAATTCCAACAGTTTTTTTTCTAGCGTTATACAAATTTTTTTTACATTCCATATAATTTCAATTCTTATAATTAAATCATTAAATTTGACCATCATCAACAACAAAAATAATAAAAACAATAAAAACAACAAAATCAATAAAATCAACAACAACAACAACAAAAACAACAGCAAAAACAACAGCTACATTTGTTCATGATGCTTCAAAATGAAGAATTTAAATCTTATGAAAATGGTAAAAGTTTATTAAATAATAGATTTAAATTTATTAAACATTTACAATCAGGTTCTTTTGGAAAAGTTTCATTAGCTTATGATGTTGTAAATAGTATCCAAGTTTCTGTAAAAGTGATTCCTAAAAATTTCCACTCTTTACAAGAAATTCAATATTTAGAAAGATTGAAAAGTAATGAAAGTATATGTCAAATTAAAGATTATTTCAAAATTGGAACCACCAATAAAGATTCATATTATGTTTTAATCCTTGATTATTACTCAAACGGAGATTTATATGATTTAGTGCATACACGAAAATTGTCACGTGACGAAATTAAAAAATTATCGAATCAATTAATATGTGGTTTAAAATATGCTCATTCTTTAGGTATATATCATAGAGATTTAAAACCTGAAAATATTCTTATTGATTATGAAGGTAATTTTAAAATTGGTGATTGGGGTTTAGCTACAAGTATAAGATTTAATAATGAATTTAATATTGGAAGTGAAAAATATATGTCACCAGAATTAAAAATAATTAATGATAAAAGTTGTGGTACAATAATTGATTGTAAATATTCTGATTATTGGTCAATTGGTGTAACTATTTTAACTGCAATTTTAGGTTCTTGTCCATTTAAAGAATATTATACAATTGAACAAAGTTTTGAAAATTTAACAAATTTTAAAAATAAAGATATATTTACAGATTTATTAAAATATGGTAATGATGAAGAGATTAAAAATCGAGATTTAGATTTATTTTTACAAAGAATTAATGATGTTGAAGATGGATTTGATGAAATTGATGATGAAAAAATTGATGAAATTAATGAAAAAATTGATACTAAAGAAAAAATTGATGAAAAAATTGATGAAACTAAAGAAAAAATTGAAGAAATTGAAGAAACTGATGAAATTGAAAGTGATGATCATTTGTTTTTCTCAATGGATGAACAAGAATCTTTTAATGCAGGAGATTACAATACTGAAAAGGTTGATTTCGATATTGATTTACCTGCATTAGTCAAAAATTCATATCAATCTGCAAAATCATGGTGTGATTATGATGATGATTTTGATTTCGAATTAGAAATTTCAAAATTAAACTTAAACAAATTAAATACAAATAATGATAATGACAAGAAACATAACGACAAGAAACATAATGATAATGAAATTAGAGTAATGGAAACTGAAATTTTTGATATAATTGATGTATAGATGAAATATAATTTAAATAAACGATTAATGATTTAACGATTAATGATTTAACGATTAATGATTTAGCGATTAATGATTTAACGATTTAATGATTTAATGAATAACTTTTACTCCACAAATAGAAGTTCAAACGCCTATAATGATCTTCTATTTTGATCTTCTATTTGTCAATTAATCATTGATCCTTGTCACGCGACGAGGCATTCTTTATATCTATCTTATCAAATGATCATAAACGCATTACTACATTTTTGTACTCATTCCGTTAAACCAGTAAAGAATGAAAAATTTCATACCGATTTCAGGCCCTGTAATTCTCCGTTAGGGACAGATGAGCTTATATGCAGTACACGAATAATTTGTATGATTCATTTTTTATTTTTTTTTCAGCAAATTTTTCAACATATAAACTCCTGAAAATTTCTAAATTTCTAAATATATTTTTCAAAAAACTTCAGAATATTTTATTCAATTATGTCATTCAGATCAAATTCAATTAAAATTGCTACTAGATTAGCTTCACAATCAATTAAACCAACTTTATCAAAAAGAACTTTAATTACTTTAGCTAAAGCATCCCCAAGACAATTTTTAAAACCAACTTTTACTAGAGGTGTTAAAACTATCAACTTTGGTGGTACTGAAGAAGTTGTTCATGAAAGATCTGATTGGCCAAAAGAAAAATTATTAGATTATTTTAAAAATGATACTTTAGCTTTAATCGGTTATGGTTCTCAAGGTTATGGTCAAGGTTTAAATTTAAGAGATAATGGTTTAAATGTTATTATTGGTGTTAGAAAAAATGGTGCTTCATGGAAACAAGCAATTGAAGATGGTTGGGTTCCTGGAGAAAATTTATTTGATGTTAAAGAAGCTATTGAAAAAGGTTCAATTATAATGAATTTATTATCAGATGCTGCTCAATCTGAAACTTGGAATGATATAAAACCATTAATTAAACCAGGTAAAACTTTATATTTTTCTCATGGATTTTCTCCAGTTTTTAAAGATTTAACTCATGTTGAACCACCAAAAGATGTTGATACTATTTTAGTCGCTCCAAAAGGTTCAGGTAGAACTGTTAGATCTTTATTCAAAGAAGGTAGAGGTATTAATTCATCATATGCTGTTTGGAATGATGTTACTGGTAAAGCTGAAGAAAAAGCTATTGCAATGGCTATTGCTGTTGGTTCAGGTTATGTTTATCAAACAACTTTTGAAAGAGAAGTTAATTCAGATTTATATGGTGAAAGAGGTTGTTTAATGGGTGGTATTCATGGTATGTTTTTAGCTCAATATGAAGTTTTAAGAGAAAATGGTCATACTCCATCTGAAGCTTTCAATGAAACTGTTGAAGAAGCTACTCAATCTTTATATCCATTAATTGGTAAATATGGTATGGATTACATGTATGATGCATGTTCAACAACTGCTAGAAGAGGTGCTTTAGATTGGTATCCAAGATTTAAAGATGCTTTAAAACCAGTTTTCCAAGATTTATATGAATCAACTAAAAATGGTACTGAAACTCAAAGATCATTAGATTTTAATTCACAACCTGATTATAGAGAAAAATTAGAAAAAGAATTACAAACTATAAGAGATATGGAAATTTGGAGAGTTGGTAAAGAAGTTAGAAAATTAAGACCTGAAAATCAATAAATTAATTAAAAATTAATTCCATGTTCAATATTAATATAGTCATGAATGACTGATTTCAATTCAATTGTATTTTTTTATCATTATTTATATATTTAATTTTTTATGGGATTTATAAGTTGCATATAGTGAAGACATTTATAATGTTTGTTGAATAAACAATAATGTTTTCGTTAAAAAAACATTTCTAAAACACATTTTGGTTAAATCGATGAAGCTATTGTATTGTAAGCACAATGATTTACGAGCCAATATTCCTGATTTTAACTGGTATTAGGAATTTATCGAATCACTATCAATGTTTTTGAAATCCACTTGGTAGCATTTTCTTGTTTCAGAATTCTAATATTAAAAATCTAGCCATTGGACGATTTTAACCTTAAATTCAAACCAAATACTATATCAGATTGGTGGGGATTAACTGTTAAGTAGGTCAAATCAGATATCAATTACTCTTATTTTGTACTTTAATTAATTATATTCACTTGGTAGTGCAGTTCTCTTAGATCAAAATAGATAAATCTTTCTTAATTTAATACACACATTGCATGATTCAAAGATTTAATTTAACAAGATTGAAAACATTGCGACCATTTAAACTAAGTACACTATTAAAATATGAACCAATAAGACTAAGTAAACTCAATAACAACAATAATGGACTAGATCCAGAACGTCAAAACAATTTAAACAATCTAGTAGAAGAATTGAATACCCACATACCCAATTTCCTACAAATGTCAATTCCTAAAAAACATTTATCAAATCAAATTTATCTTCGTATTTGTCCATTAATCATGAATGAAACATATTTGCCCAAAATCCAGGGCATAGTGATGTATTATTCATCAATTAAATTTATTCAATTCATTATGACTCGATTCATACTAAATCAGAATATAAAATTACATATTAATTCAATTAAATTCAGTGAAAAATATGATGATTGTTGTTTATTTCCCAAAAGTCCAAAGATTTATTTAAGATGGTCTACTTGTGAAACTGGTTGTTTTCATTTGAATAATGAAAGTACGATAAATAAAAAATATGATAAGAAAGAAAGTGATGGGTTTGAGAGGGTCATTAATGGGATCTTTATATTTGAGTTGAATGAGGAATGTAATAAGATTATGGTCCATACGATTGAAAATTTAAATATTATTGAAAAATTAAATCCTGAAGAACAACCAGCATTGAATGTGTGTTGACGAGAAGTGACTAATTGTTTATTAAAAGGAGACACAAGTTTCCACTGAGAACAGTCATTCGACTCAATGGCTCAGGTGTCAAAAATTGAGAAATTTCTTTCAAGAAATAGGAGAATGTTTAGTCTATTTTAGTTCATTATTCATAAATGCTTTTATGTATATATTAATAACATTGTATATATTTATTTAATTTATATTTATTAATATCTTGAGGTGATAAACTTGAAACTTGTAATGATATTAACAATTTTGTTAATTTTCTATTTTGATACAACTCATAAAATATAAACAATTGTAAAATAATAATGACAAATAATACATAAATAAATGAATTTCGTAAATCATAAGACGTAGTAGTAGTACTGACTGGTGGTTGAGGTAATACTTTTAGATTATTTGATGGTTTCTTTTGTGGTTGTGGTGGTACCATTATTTGTTGTTGTTGTTGATTAGGAGCATCAATGAAGTACGTATTCTCTTCAATTTCCTTTTTTAACTCTTCCATCATTTCCTTCATGATTTGTTTCAGACCCAGTAATGATGATTTTTCAATGACTGATTTCATCCAACTCTTACCTGACCATTCAACAAAATGTTTAACTATTAAATTTGTACTGTTATTCTCAGCCCATGTAAATATATACCTTGTTTTGACTTGAAATACATTTCCAGAAGGAACATCCGGTGTTGAGGTGACAGTAGTTACAATTATATAATCGGAATAATTTAAATGTTCGATGATTTCGGTAACTTCACATCTTGTTGATTTTGGACCAATTGAATAACCTAAATTTCGACGATAGTTATATTTACGCTCCATTATTGTTGGATCATCTTCATTTGGATGAAACTCATCATATTCTGAAATTTCAGATCCATCGTGAGTTTTTAAAAAGCTAGTTTGAAAAGATGTATTTGAACCAAATAATATATCAAATACTATACCCAATGGTGCACTTATTATCTCATCTATTAATTCAATCTCATTTGAATTTGCATCATATTCTGCAGACGTAGGTAGATGGAAATCAGGTCCTTTATTTGTGTATTTTGATTCTGGTTTTAATTTAACCAATTTAGCAACAACATTAACTTCTACATTAGATATCTCCCGTTCTATTTCTCTACCTTCATCATCTCCATCTATTGACATTATATAACTTTCAATTTCTTTATTTTCTTCAATTTCATTTGCTGTTTCTTCAATTTTTGTCTCATCTTCTTTTGTTAAATCTTCATTTGTTTTACCCGTTTTTCCCTTCCATATAGTCAACATTAATTCATAAGTTGAATCTCTACTTAAAAAACTAGCAAATGTATGTACTTGACCATTATTAGTCTCTATACTAATCCCATTAGGAAACAACCCCGCAATTGATTTCTTTTCAACTTTGACAATATCATTAAATTCAAGAATCATATTTGTAACCCATCCTAATAAATTTGAATTAAAACATATATAACTTTCACTAATATATATCCTCCCTTGTAATAAGATTTCCCTACTTAATGCACATGCAAAATCATCAAGTAAACGATCAGTTAAGTCCAATTTTTTAAATATTTGATGAAATTCAACATTACGCTTCATTACTGCGTATCTAAATTTCAGATCTTTATAAAATTCATCAACATATAATTTATTATCAAATTTTGGAGGTGACGTGACTGAATTTGATGTTGGGATAGTTTGTGAAGTTGGTGAAGAAATTAACAGATCGAAAGTTCCTTCACTTACCGTTCGTTTAGATTTACGATATGCGATAATTTTAGGAGACGCTAATAATTTTGAACTATCTTCGTCAACGGAAGAACTTTTTTGCAAATCATTATTCCCATTATGTTCTATTTCATATTCTTGTAAATCTTTAAGAAATCGATTATTTTGCTCCGGTTGATTATTATCTTTTGAGTCTTTTGAAACTACTGAATTTGCATCTTCTTTTGTAGTTAATGGATCCAAAGGAGTTTTATTAAGTGTTGTAGTTAATGATAATTGTGATTTATGAGGTTGTGGTTGTGATAAATTTGAATTTGTTGTTGTTGCTATGGTACTTATTGGTGGATGAATCAGTAATTTCTTTGACCCTGAGCTTGAATTTCCTCGTTTTATTAATTTCTGTTTACCATCAAGTGATTCATTAGAAGACATTGAGTCCCAAGTATTATCATCATCATCTATTTGTTCCAATGGCATAATTTATAAAGAACTTGGTAGTGATTTTCGTTTAATCTTTTTGATTTTGATCGTTTATAATAAATTTAATTCGGGTTACAAAAACGGCGGATCGAATAAATTTGGGGCCCAAAAAAATAATATTAAATGGTTCTGAAACCAAATGCGTCATTAAATCATTGGAACTAATGGTACTTTTCTTATTATATATTTTAAGCTTTATAATCTATAAAGTTTCATAAATCAATTCTCTTATTCTATATTCTTCATTTGCGTCATCTATTTCTTGCCAATTTCCAATAAAATCATCTCCTCTAATTACTCCAGGTAATGTTTTACCATTTGATTGTCTTTTCCAAATTTTTTTAGCTTCTTCATCTGTACCTAAATCTTTATATTCAAATTTAATACCATTTGCTTGTAAAATTGTTGCTAATCTATTTGTTCTTGGCATGATTTGCATACCTCCAGCTAATGAAGTATAAATATAAACTGGTTGGGATTCTAAATGTTTACGGAGTTCTTCTGGTGAAATTTCTAAATCGTCCAAATCATCATCACGAGATGTTGAAGCTTTAGCTGTTGATTTTTCGTGTTTAAATTCAGCTTTTTTGGTTTCTTGTTCTTCTTTTAAATCCTTGTCAATTTTTTCTTCTTCCTTGGATTTGATTTTTTCTTCTTTTGAATCAATTTCTTGTGGTTTATCTTCTTCTTTTGTTGATTGTTCTTGTTCTTCTTTTGGATCTTTCACAATTGGTGCTTCTTTATCATCAACAGAAGCTAAAGGTACTTCTTCATCTTTCTTTTCTTCTTCAGCTGCTTCTTCTTTCAATTCAGTATCTAGTGGGTCAGCTTTTTTAATTTCTTTATATTCTTCTGGATCTTCTTCTTTTTCATTTTTTGTACTTGTTTCACCAGTCAATAATGTTTTAACTTTTTCATTCTTTTCCGCAATTTCTTGAACATCTTTTAAATCAGTTTCAGTATCTTCTTCTTTATTTGAAGTATCTTTTGATTCAGTAGCAATACCTTCTTTTTCCAAATTTTCTTGGTCTACATTTTCTAATGGATTAACATTGACTATATCATCTGAATTTGCATTATCTTTTTGATTATTTTTTTGTATAATTGCATCTTCTTCAACTAAAGATTCATGAGTTGTTCTTTCTGTAGATTTTGATGTGAGTTCCTTAGGTTCTTCTTCTTTATCTTCTTCTTTGGTTGATAATTCTTGATTTAAAGCAGGTTCAATATCTTCTAATCCTTTAACTGGAGCTGATGTTTCTTCTGGTTTAACGAGATCTGCTTCTTCAGTTTCTGGTTCTTCGTTATCTGGTTCTGTAATTAGATTATCTTTAGATTTTTCTTCACTTTCTAAGTCAATCTCTTTTACATCTTTTGTATTTACATCCTCTTGAACTTCTTTATCCTCACTTTTAGATTCTTCTTTATTTGTAGCTTCTTCTACACTTTCACTTTTATCATCCAGCTTTGACTCTTCTTTATCTTCATATTTGGCATTTTCCTTCACTTGTTTCTCTTCATTCTTTATATCTTCATCTTTTTCAATTTGTACACCAGTTTGTTTAGTCTGTGAAGTATTATCTTTTGCTTCTTTATTTTCATCAACATGCAAAATCTCATCAATCATATTTTCCAACTTATCAAAATTTGATAAAGGATCATCACTAACTAAAGCACCTTCTTCCACTAATGTATCTGTATTTGCGTCATTTTTTTCATCTAGTGTATAACCCGCATTAACTTCTTTTTCACCATATTGCCTAACTCTTGATCTTGATCTTGAAATTGATCTTAAATAATTCTTTGAACTTTCTGATCTAGTAGCATATAAATTATTTGTATTTGTTAATTCAATTCTTGGAGAATCAGCTTCAAAATTTGTATAATCACCAGTTGTAATTAATGAAGGATCTCTAGTTAATGGAGTATCATGAAGACCATTTTCCTTTTCAGCTTCAATTTTAGCAATTGATTCACCCATTGTAGGTTTTGTATGTCTTCCACGTCTATCATCATTATCATCTTCTTCATTTTCTAATTCTTTTGCAACTTCTAAATTTGCAGGTAATTCATATTTTGTAGGTTCTTCAGAATGAATATTTTTATAAGTATCACCTCTTGCTAAATGTGGATTTGAAGAATTGATTGATGATCCTGATGATGATCTATCTTGTTTTCTATTTGTTGGTGGATTGGCTGATCTTGATCTTGATCTAGCACATTCAGTATAAAAATAAGTCGGATTTAAATTTGGATTTTCTCTTTCTCTTTCCCTTTGTTGTTGAATCGGTGATGGAGTAACTAATGGTTTTGACTCATTATTATCCTCAAATATTTTAGAATGGGGTAATTTGTGATAATCATGAGATTTAACTGATTCCAAAAAGTTAGAATGATCTTTAATATCATTATCTAATTGATATTCCGACAAATTTGGAGTTGAATAATCTTCTTGTTTATAAAAATTACCTTTAGTGACCTTGGGTTTACTTTCCTCATTTACATCTTTTAATGGTTCAGATTCTTTAATTGATTTTTGGATCTCCTTCTTTTGATTACTTTTAAAATCATTTTTCAATTGATCAATTTCTTGCTTTTTTAAAGTTTCATCATCACTATCACTTTTATCTTCTTCTTTCTTATCTTGTTCACTACCTTGTAAATATTTTTCATCAAAATATTCTTCACTTGTAATTAAAGCACCTTCTTTAATTAAATCATCTAATGAAGCATTAACTTGTGATGTTAAACTCTTATATCTATTTTTACTTTTATCTTTTGATTTCGAAGTTTTATACTTTTCAGGGTGAATATAATTGTTATGAATAGAATCATCAGCAGATCTAATAGAAGCACCAACTAAAGAAGGACTATCTGATCTTTCCGTAGTTTCTAAACGTTCCTCAAAATCCATAATGAAATAGTGTTTCTGGTAATAAATTGGTTGTCAAAAGCAATAAATGTTACCAACTGATAAGATTTTAGATAATTTCTCCAACAAAAACACAAGTGAGAAAAATAAAATATGGAGCAAACACAACAATGATTGAAAGGAGTTCTATACATCTGTTATATACATCTATATAGCGCATTATAATGCATATGTACTGTTTATAGAGAGACGTTACTTCACTCGTGGAAGTTGAGGCATTTTTATTGACTGTTTTAGCCAACGTAGAACCATAAATTGTCTAAAATGACCGATTTTTTTATCAAGAGTAAGCCAATCTTTGAGTTTTACGGATAAAAATACAAGTCTCTATTAAAATATATGACTGATCAAAGCGATTTGTACAAAGAGATCCTCAAATGATTGATTGTATGTGATTACATTATTCTTTGATTTGATTGGGTAAAGTGCGCGTCCCAAAATGGAAATGCTGCAAAATTTTTTAAGATCCAATGGAAAATGGCTGCAAAAAATGAAATCTATTAAAGATCTCGCCACGGAAAATATATCCCTTGACATAAAATGATGTAAACTGAGATATAGACGACTATTCTAAACAACTGAACCACTAAACCACTAAACCACTAATTATCAAATTCTGAAATGTGGAGCTACCATAAAATATACGAGAATGAATTTCGCTTGAATCTACTAAAAATAGATAAAGTACTAAAATCATTCAGAATAGTAGTACTTTGACATAAAACATTCCAAGTTATTAAGAATAGTAATAATAGTAATAGTAGTCAAAGGATGCAGCTATAGATAGTTATAGATACCACTGCTGTACTAAAAAGTCTAATAACTCCGTATAAATGATCATATATTAGTTAAATATGGTAGTGTACAAAAGTCTAATTTTATTCTAGCACGTTCGCCACCAAAAAAAAAAAAAAAAAATTTACTATATAAATCTGTAGAATAGTTTAAAAAATTTCATAGTATTAAATAACAGTAACATAATGCCTAGACAAAGAAGATCAGCTCCTGCTCCAAGACAACAAAGTAGATCAGCTCATACTGCTGCTGCTCCATCATCATATCAATCACATCCTCAACAATCTCAATATCCATCAGCTCATCCAGCTCATCCACAAGCTGGTCAACAACAAAGATCTCCAGGTTTATTTGGTCAAATGGCTTCAACTGCTGCTGGAGTTGCTGTTGGTTCAACTATTGGTCATACTTTAGGTGCTGGTATTACTGGATTATTTGGTGGTTCATCTCAAAATCATGCACCAGTTGATCAAGTGCAACAACAACAACCATTAGATCAATATCAACAACAACAATCAACTTTACAAAATGAACAAGTAAGACATTGTGATGCAGATGCAAGAAATTTTACAAAATGTTTAGAAGATAATAGTGGTAATATGCAAATTTGTGATTATTATTTACAACAATTAAAAGCATGTCAAGAAGCTTCAAGAAGTTACTAAAAGCATGTCAAGAAGCTTCAAGAAGTTACTGAAAGCGTGTCAAGAAGCTTCAAGAAGTTACTAAAAGCATGTCAAGAAGCTTCGAGAAGCTTCAAGAAGTTATTAAACACAACTCAAATAATTCATGTTTATAGAGTAGATATTTATTATAAAAAATCGATGTAATTTATTGTTTATGCATTGAATATCTCTCTGTTTAATTGTTTAAGTTTTGTCTATTATTTTTTCGCAGCTTTTGATGAGCTTGAGCTGAAATAGTAGTATCCGGCACCTCCAAGTCCCAAAACTGCTAATATACCTAATCCAGTATTACTACTACTACTTGTATCATCCTTCTTTGTTTGACCTTCATGATTTAGATTATCATGTTCTAAATCTTCAACAACTGGTGATTGTTTAACATTTTCAATTTTATGATCAACATCACCTTCACTTAAATTATGAATATCGCCTGAATTGATTTCTGGATTAACTGATGATTGAACATATTTATCGTGATTTACTGATTTTTTAAATTTAGTTGAATTTTTTGCATTTGGATTAGTAACATCAATTGGTTGACTTGATATATCTTCTAAATATTCCGGTTCTGTACCAATTGTTTCACCACCATGTAAAACTTCAGCATTATTAGCTTCTACTTTAACTGATGCATTTGATTCTTTTGCAAATAATTCACGTTCAACAGATTTTGCTTTTTCATGAGCAATATCTTGTTTGACTGCTTCTTTTGATATTGGAGGTATTTTAGGTTCTGAAGTTTTTGGAATATAATCATACTTAAATTCCCATTCATTAATTGAAGTTTGAGATGGTAATCTAAATGAATCAATTGTTGACTCATCACCCTTGGCTAATCTCATACATGATGTATTGAAACATCTAATTGAAATAGTTTTGGTACTAATTGATTTGATTGAATGTCTTATCATAATTGTCTAATAAATATAATAACGAATAGTTAACCTCTTTATATATAAATGAAAGATGGTTGCCTTTTTTTTCGAATTTCGGCTTTTACTGTGAAATAATATTAAACGAATTTGGTTATGTAATTATGGTCACATTCATTATGTAATCGGCTAACAAAAGTGGGGAAGAATGTTGCAACAGATTTTTTTTTTTTGCAGCCATTTTATAAAGTTTGATACGCTAGATATGAATAGAGTTCGACTTGTAGGAATGATGTTTTGATGATTGTTGATTGCAATTGTTTGACACGGCATTGATGTATGTTTGATTTTTTTTGAAATGTTGTTGAAATTTTGAAAATTTTGACGAAATATCAGACTTATCAACATACAACATTCAATATGGAGTCAATTTTCTATCATAACTTCGTTATTCATTAGATTATATACATATTAGTAGAATGGACACCAACCAAAATAGATTAATGCCAAGTTTTGTGGATCAGTAGCTTCTTGAATCAATTCAGAAATAATAGCTTCTGTACTTAATCCATTAGCGTTTAATTTATCAATAACATTGGAAACAGCTCTACCAGCTTCAGTACCATCATCTTGAGGTTGTAAAATAATTTCACCATCTTCTTCATCTTGTAGTCTTTTCTTTCTAATCGGTGAAATACCCCAAGAATATAAAGGATCCCATCTTAAAACATCAAGAATTGAAATAATATGATCTTTATTCAACTTTAAAACTCTAAATGTATGTTCACAAGATTTCTTAAATATTCCTTCTACTCCAGTTATACCAAATCCATCAATTATATCTCTTGTTAGTCTAAATGGAACAGTCTCAGGAATTGGTAATCTTTTCCCTTGGTCAAAAGCAACTCCTAAATCAATATGAATAGGTTCTCCTGAAGATTTATCTAATAAAATATTATTACAATGACGATCACCAAGTCCTAAGATATAACCCACAATTGAAGAACTAGCTATTCCATGAGTATATTTAATTCTACTTTCAAACCATGAATCAGGAGTTAAAAAAGTATGTTGAAAAAATAAATGTAGAACCGGTTTAATCTTTTCTTCAATTTTATTAAATTCTTGTAATCTTTCAATTTTTGATTTTGTTTGACTTAATTTCATAAATTCTCTTGCTTTTTCAATTTTCATCTTATCTAAAGATTGATGATATGGTTTAATTACATCAATTAATGCTGTTGAATTAGGTACAAATTCAATAATACCAGCTGTTGGGCCAATTGGAATTGCATTATAAGTCCGAATTATTAAATTTCGCTTATTACATTCTCTATCCTTTTTAAATATATTGTTAACTTTCTTAAATACTTGTTCCATGATTAAATCTTGCCTTAAATCATCAGTACCATGTTTAAATAAAATACGATGTACCATTCCATTAGATAAATAAAATTTGGCAATTTTGGGTAAACTTAAACCAGAAGAAGCAATAACTATTTTATTATCTATTCTTTTAAATGTTGGAATATTCTTATATTTCATAGTTGGATCAATTGGTAAATCTTTAGTTGGTGGTGGTATTGCAGGTAAATTTGAAATCCAAAAATCTCCAAATGAATATTTTTCTAAATTCATAGTTCTACCTCTTCCAACTTTTGTTTCAGCTAGTATAACACACTCATCACAGAATAAAGTAATTGGATTAAGGATATTGGTTATATAATTTTGGTCATGTCTCATTAATTGACTCCAAATTTTATTAACTGCCGAACATTTACTTGTTAATAATGGATTATCTTGTGCACTATCTTTATGTTTACCTAATGAAATTAATAAATATAATGAATGATAAGGATGATCAATACACATATTAATAATTAATTTTTGTAATATTTGTTGAAATTCAGTAGTTTCACTACCCAATCTTGAAATTAATTGAGTACACCAAGTGATTAATTTATAAGATGGTAAATTTAGGATCTTATTCTTTATATCATTATTCAATTGTCGGTTATTTGATTGTTCTAACCATAATGCAAAAAATTTATCTAAATTTTCTTCATTGAATTCTCCAACAAGTATATTATTTAAATAATATTCAGCTGCTTTTCTACCAAATAATTCTTTCCTATCTTTTAATGATTTTAAATCATTATCTTCTGAACTCAATTGCATTTTCAATTTTGTATAAAAACGTTGAACCGATTTCTTTTCCTCTGCAGATACTGATATTTTACTATAATGATTTTTCAATTCATCAATTTCAGCAATTTTATCATTAACTCTTTTTGTTAATTTTTCAACTTGTTCACTTAATGATTTTGATTTATATTGAGATTCACAAAATTGAGCCAATAATTTAAAAATTTTAGATTGTTGAGGTAAATCCCGAACATTTTCAGCCATTGAAGCAGTTGATAATACATATTTATCCATTATATTTGTTGATAATTCTTGATGTGATTCACTTAACCAATCTATCATCATAGCTTGAATTAAACACTTATCAATTGAATGATTCAGAAAATTAATACCACCATTATTATAAACCTCTTGTAACATTTGAATAGGCATTCTTGTATAATTACCTTGAGACCATAAAGTTTTTGCAGACTGAAATAATGATAAATTGTTTACATTTGTTATTGTTTCATCATCTCCAAATTTATCACATAGTTTATCTAGTAAAACTGTTGATGATACTGTTTTTTGAAATTCATTACACATTCTAGCTAGGTCATTATATCTAACCAATTGATTGGCAGCACCAAACCAACCATTATTTAATGTTCCATTATCATTTAATAACTGAAATGTAGTTTGACGAGCTAACAATACATTTTCCAACATGTCAAATTCACATAATTCTTCAACCCATCTTGTCTTTTCACTGAATATACTAATTGATTGATCTGCATTTCTTTCAACATCAAGGATTGATGAAACTGAAGCAATGGTCTTTAACCATTTTTTATTGTGAATTTTGAAATCTTTAACACTCATTGATAATTTATTTTCTGCTATCTTTTGATTTAATAATTCCAACATTGATGATTCACTCAAATCTATCATGTTATCTGGATAATCATTAATTTGTTTCAATACTTTATAAATCACTTCATTTTCAGATTTTGGTGTTTTAGGTATTGGTAAATCCCATTTAGATAATTTCCAACTCCATTCATATGGTTCTTCACCGATATTCAAGTTTGTTAAATTTTTACTCATGATTCTAGAAACACCAAATAAACCAGCTGATGAAATTGATTTCAAAATATCATTATTGAATGATTGATTCAATTTTAAATTTGCATCTAATAAACCATTACTATATTGTAATTTCTCATTATTTGTTCCAAATCGTTGAATCATTGATAGGGTATGTTCCATGCTTGTTCTTTCAGGTAATCCATAAATTAAATCATCATCATCTAAATTCTCATAAATATGTTGTAATTTAAGATAATCATTTTCTAAATTAGCTGGTCTATCTTCAAATAAGATCAATGCAATTTTGTACAATTTAACTTCAGTAGCTAGCTCACTGTATTTTGATAAGTTTACATTGTTGTAGACTTCTTTATAACTTGGAATATTCAACTTTGTACCAATTCGAATTAAAACAAGCACATCAAGGAGTATCTTAATTGATAATTTAGATTTACTTGAACATGATATAAAATTCTCAAATAATTTCACAATACTAGATTTTGCTTCTTTTACCAATTTTAAATAATATCCAATTAATGAAGGAAGTGCCTCTTTTGCGAATTCAGGTACTTTAATTACAAAAGTACTAATCAATGATACAATACTTGTAAATGATGCTAATTCTTGTAATATAGCAAGATATAATTTAGTATACCATTGATCTTCTCTTAAAAAAACATCAAGATTATTAATTATCTTATTTAAATTATCACCTAAATGATCAACATTGGAAGTGTCATTTAATAAAACACAAGTATGAAATTCAATTGGTATTATACTATCCTGATATGATTCAAGACGTGTATTAACTTGTAAATATTTAAGCAATACATGTGGATTAGTATTTTGTATATGTATCAAAACACCTAATACTGATTCAGCACAAGCTGCAGCTTCTGAATTATCTGAATTAACATATTCTAAAATCATCTTGAATGTGTAATCAAATGAAGATACATCATTTTGAAAATTTTCAGTTGGAATTCCAATATATTCATCCATTTCGTATAATTTATCATATTCACATGTACCTCCACGTAAATAAAAATCAGATAAATATTCAAATATCCATAATTTAAAACTCTTGGATAAATCTTGTAGATCATTGTTGGTAATGGTTTTGACAACAGTTATACTACCTCCTTTATGATCTAAAATTGTGACTTTATCAAATAATGTAGACATTAACTTCATGATTAATTCAGGATTTAATAAATTAGACTTTAAACTATTTTCAACAAGTGATGAATTGATGGTTGTTGGTTTACCTTTAATTGAATCAATTGCAAGTAATAATAGATTCAAAATTGATGTATCAAAAACTTTTTGTAACAGCCTTAGATATCGTTCAACAGCAATTACTAACCTTGTATTCACAGATTTAACATTTAATAAAAATTGAACAATTTCTAGCACTAAATAAAACCCACCACCAGCATTTAAATCATCATTGTACAATCCTTTGAACTGTAAGAATATCAAACTTATATCATCTGTTAGTTCTCCGTATTTTACTAATGGTGATAATATCTTGATTAACAATTTAGTAACATCATAATTCATAAAGTCATAATTTTCACCTAATGCCAATATTAATTTTATTTTACGTAAATGTAATCTTATCTGATCAATTAATTGAGTTTCTTTAATTAATAAATCAACACGTCTAATTAAAAAATAAATTTGTTTAGATGACCAAAATGATTCACTATATTTCAGCACCAATTTCTTAATCAACTCCACACTTGAATCAAATGATAATTTTATATCCCCTGGTTTTTCAATAATTTTCGTAATTGAAGAATCAACTAAATTGAAAGCAATTTCATTACCTGGAAACAACTGAAGAAATAATTTCTCATCCAACACATCCGTAAACCTGATTATTTCAAGCACGATTAATGATAATTTATCAATTAATTCTCCCTTGAATGAATCTTGTAAATATTCAATTAATTTTTGAAATACATCATTTCTTGCACCTTCTTTAGTATATGATAATGGAATAATTAATGACATAGATTGACTTATTAAATTCTTAACGTTTGTTTGTTTCAAATCTGTCAATGTTTCAAGTAATTGATTTACTGATTCAAGTTTCGATGTTTTCGAAGATAATGCAATTGCAATTAATTCTTTGTAATTTTCACGATAAAATGTATGTAGATCTGAGTATCCAAATAAGGTATATGGAAATTGATGAACTAAATCATGTCTCCACCATGATTTTAAAATCTCGAATTTTAATTGTTTGAAAACTACTAATGGTGATAATACATCTAGGATTTTGCAGAATTTAGTTAAGCAGATTCTTAAATATGGAATGAAAAATGAAAATCTTGAACATTCTAATAGATTAAATAATGATAGATGTAGGATTTGTCTTGAACCAGATGATAATTCAGTGAAAAATATAGCATAGGTACCTCCACTTTCAACTGATTGTTCTGGATTAAAGAAATTTTGAAATAATTCATTGTATAACCTACTTTGATGTCGAAGATCTAAAATTTGGATATAATTCACAATTGGTTTGATTAATTTATATTTGATATTATTCGGACTTGTGGCAAATTTGGTAAGTAAAGTAACTTTTAATTCAGTATTGGAGTATAATTTTTCATCATTATAAATTATAAACTGTAACAAAAACTTGCAATATTCAATTGTGGAAAATTCAGTTGGAATCAAATTTTTTAAACCACATTGATAGATCCAATTGCATATATCATTAAAGTCTTTGATAAATCCTTCGTCTATACTATCTTGAATCAATGGAAATAAAGTGTATAACAACTTTGATACAACAACTAATGTAAATTCATGTCTTTCATAAATTTGATTAGATAACAAACGATCACCAAGTATTCTAGTTAATTTAATCAAAGATACAGTTTCAAAATCACCTTCTAATTTGACAATAACATTATCTATAATGAATAAAATTGCAGGTAATAAATCATCAGGTTTTAAATTTTCAATATAACTCATTAATGGAACTAATTTATCAGCTTCACTTTTATTTTGAAATTCACTTATTTTTAATATAAACTTTAATCCTTCCAAATTTGAATTTGTTAAATTTTTAAATTGTAAATATGAATAATTATCTTTAGTACTTGTTAAAATTGGACTTGTTATATCTCTAACGGTGGAAAATTCAGCATCAATTCCATTTGCTTCTTCAATTGTTCGTTTTCTAGTAATTGGTCTAACTTCCGGATAATCTCCTTTTAAAGTACTTATCAATTTATCAAATGGTAATTTTGTAATTATAAATTGTCGAACATTTTCATAATCTATATCAGTGTTATTAAATATATGAAACATCAGGAAAATATCTTCTGAACTTAAACTTATATCTGATATTGATTCTAATCCAACTTGAACTTGATATTTTAAAGCAAATGTTTCATTTGTTAAATCTTTCAATGTAATGATTTTACTCAATATTTTGCAAATCGTCATTATCCATTTAAACGAGCATGAACTATCAATTGATTCATTTGTGAATACTGAATTTGTTTTACTAACTTTCTTCATAAGTAGAGAAACTTTATCTCCAATAACAATACTACCAATTTCAATAGGTGCTAATATTTCAATTGAATACTCTTCTTTCAAAGTCAAGAATGATTCCACACTCTGATAATGTTCTGAAAATAATGCAACTTCATTCAAACATTCATCATATAAATCATGTATCTTTTCGGATCGATTATAAATAAGTGAATTTCCAGATAATATCCAACACAAAAACAATTCAATTTCAATATTTTCAAATGATTCCATTGGATTGAAAGTAGATTCCCATTTTGCAATCAACCAATCTTGTATCTTAGATGATAACTTATTCTTATTTGCTAAATTTACATCAATTGATAATTTATGAATTGCGAACCAAAATTGAAACCCCTCATTTGAGATCTTCCAAGGACCATTAATTTCAGATAAATCTATTATACTTTCCAATTGATTCATAATTGAGTCATCGATTATATTTGAATAATTTAAATCTAAATTCACCAAATTAAAAATCAAATTACACGCAACTGGATATAAATTAGGTAACTTAACTGACAAAATTGAAACTTTCAAAATTTGTGAGATGAAACTATCTCTTAATTTATTATTCAATAATGTTCTAGTAGCTAATAAACTCCAAAAATTTAATTCTTGTTGATCAAAAGTTTCTAATACATTTTTAACTAATATATTTACATCACAACGAGAACCATCATTACTTACAAAATAATCAAATGTAGTTTGTTCATGCTCTTCTTCATCTGAATCATATAAATTTGCATCTTGTACTTGTTGCAGACCATTTTCAAAATGAAAAATTAAAAATTTTAAACCTAATAATTGCAATTCTGACGATTTACAACTGGTTAAACGATTGAGAAACTCAATAAATGTTGAGGAATTAGCTAATGCACCGTTTAATGTGTTTAATTTTTGTTGTTTGCCTCTGTTGACAAAAGATGTAGTTAATACGTTCGATGGATTTGATTGACTCAGTACGGAAGATTTTAAATCAAAATATGTATTTAATAATTTTGTAACTCCAAGGTATAATAACCAAGATTGATAATTGGGGGATTTTAAGTGGATCGATTTTAATTTATACCATGTATGGATCTGACCAGTGAATGTAATTCCAATATCTTCAAAGTTTAAACTTGAACCATTATCTAGGAGTTTGTCAATAAGGTTCTGTAGTAGTATATTGAGTTTAGATATGAAATATTGATTATTTTTATCATGGTCGTTATTATTCTCATCATCATCATCATCTTCAGTAATTATTGAATCTTCATTTTCATTTAAAAATAAATTATCACCAACCAATTTGGGCAACTTTGCTAAGTCTATTAGGTTATGAGTAGGCTTTAAGTTTAAAAATATCAAAAATTGATCTTGTAATTTCTCAAATTTAGTATGATAAAACTGGTTCATTAATAAAATACCCAGACTAATTAACTTATTTACAACTTTGAAATTGACTGTTGATAAAATAATTATCAATTTATTCAAAATTCTCATGAGATATACCATTAATAAACTATCCTTTTTGAAACACTCCAAAATTTTACTAATTATAGATAATAATTCAAAATAATTATCATTTTTATATAAATGTAAGTAATTTATAGACACTGAAGATTCACAATGTAATAAAAATTGTAAACTATTAAACAATTCAATCATAATTTTCTCATTATTTCTAATTTTTAAAGCATGGGTAATCAGTTTAATTAAAAAATTATAAATTAATTGCCATTCGTTTTTATTTAGATGATCTTTAACATATTGTAAAGATAAAATAGATGAAGAAATCTTAATAAAATCAATTGAACAAGGTTCTAAAGCTTCATCACCATAATAAAATATCTCCTTTACATTTAATAACAAATCAATGTACGTGCGGTACCTTACATTGATAGTTGAATTTATTGATTTTTCAATTAACAACCTCAAGTTATACGAACCTTTTGATAATCTTGTATCTACTGTTGATGATTTATTAGTTGAACAAATACCAGCTTCTAATTCAATTAATTTTAAAATTGCAGTAATTAATGATTTGAATTGTTTTGTTGATAATTTAAATTTTGAAATTGTAAAATTTTCTAATTCATTTAAAGCATCATTTCTGTCTTTGATTTTAGATGATTGTAATAGACCAGTAAGTTTGTTTATATCAATTAAACTTGTCATTTATATCATTTGGAATGGTATGAAATTATGAGACACGGTATAAAAATAGTTTTTGCAAATATTGATCTGATAAAAAAAAACTATAAAATAGCTGCAAAATTTAAATCAACACTTTCATACGGTACTACAGATGAATCAGGGCGTTTTGCTATATACTGGACTGGAATGATGAGGTATAACTTATGAAACGAGCTCTACTAAATTAAAGTTTTTTAATATTGCAAAAGATACTTACATTGTGCCGTCCCAATTTGGTAATTTTGAAAAATCTGATACATCATTGTCTTGACAACAAAGATTTCAAAGGGTTTACGAAAAACTATTTAAGAAGATGAAATGTATCTTGAAATTCATTAATTAATTAGTCTTTCACTTTCATGTCAAAAGATAAATCAAATACAAATTTAACTACTGAAACAGTCATTGAACAATTAGAGTCAGAGGATGAAAAAGATAGTCAAGATCATTATAATTTAGTTAGTTTAAACATCTGTAAATGTGATTCGTGTATTAGATGGTCGACAAGATATCAACAACAGTTTTCAATGTCATATATTATTTTAGGTTCATTATTTCCATTAATTTGGATTTATTATTCGATTATTATTTTTAGTTTATTAATTAATAGGTATAAACCAATGTCAATTGCTAAATTTATTGAAATTCATACTGGTAAAAAAATTATTCCAAAACATTTTGGTGATGGTTATGTTAAAAATCACAAATTAAATCATGGTGAAATGATTGAATTATTAGGTTATAATTTATTAGCTTTTACAATTTATGGATTCATGGTTATATTATTTTGGTTCGCTTTTCAAAAGTATACATTTGTAGTTCCACCATTTGATGCTGAACATACTTATGCTTATTAAAATTAATATACATCACAATGCGGGAAGTCAAATTTGATGACTCTGAATCATCTTTCACTTTTTCACTCGTGAAAAAAGAAGTCAAAATTTTTCATACTCTCCACATAATAAAATTTTTTATACCAATAGAATAAACTATTCTTAAACTATTCACATTGAAAATTGTCAAGATGTTGAGATCAACAATTACCAGAAGATTATATGGTACTTCTCAAAACGTATTAAAAAAAACTCCATTATATGAAGCTCATGTTGAATTGGGTGGTAAAATGGTGCCATACGCTGGTTTTGAAATGCCAGTTTTATATAATTCACAATCTCATATTGATTCACATAACTGGGTTAGATCTAAAGTTGGTTTATTTGATGTTAGTCATATGTTACAACATAAATTTTCAGGTAAAGATTCAATAGCATTATTACAAAAAATTACCCCAATTGATTTAAGTTTATTACCTATTAATAGTTCAAGTTTATCAGTATTATTGAATGATCAAGGTGGAGTTATTGATGATTGTATAATTACAAAACATGGTGATAATGATTTTTATATGGTTACAAATGCTGGTTGTAGAGAAAAAGATGTTAATTTTATTAAATCCGAAGCTGAAAATTTTAATGATTTAAAGCATAATACGTTTGAAAGTGCTTTATTAGCTATTCAAGGTCCAAAATCACAACAAGTTTTACAAAATTTTACAAATGAAGATTTGTCAAAAATATATTTTGGTCAAACTAAATTTTTAACATTATCTCCATTAGGAGGTGCTCAAATTCATTTAGCTAGAAGTGGTTATACAGGAGAAGATGGTTTTGAATTATCCATACCTTCAAGTAGTGCAGAAGAAACTAAAAATTCATTAAGCTTTTTTAACACTTTAATTCACGAATATCCGGACTTAGTTAAACCAATTGGTTTAGCAGCAAGAGATTCATTAAGATTAGAAGCCGGTATGTGTTTATATGGACATGAATTAGCTGAAGATATTACACCAATTGAAGCGTCATTAGCATGGTTAATACCAAAAACAAGAAGAAGCGAAGATAGTAAATTTAATGGTTCATCAATAATATTAGATCAAATTAAAAATAAATCAACTACAAGAAGAAGAATTGGTGTTAGTTCAAAAGGTCCATCTCCAAGAGAAGGAAACAAAATTTTCAATGAAACTGGTAGCGAAGAAATTGGTTATATAACTTCTGGTTCTCCATCACCTACATTAGGCGGAAATGTTGCACAAGCATACATTGATAAAAAGCACAAAATTGGTTCAAATATTAAAATTGAAATTAGAGGTAAGAAAAGAGATGGTATAATTCAAAAATTACCATTTGTACCAAGTAAATTATATAAACCATAGATAAATTGTATCATTTTGATACACAAATATACCGATAACAATAATCTCAATTTGTATAAATTATACTTTACTTGCCCCTGTGAAATTTATCACAAAACGATTGAAAATCGTGATAATTTATTTTCTTAACGTGTTGAACTCTATTGTATTATAATTTCGAGAACAATAACGACACAATATTTTAAACTTTGATGAATTATTGCTTAAACCATTTTGGCTTAAACCATTTTTGCTTAAACCATTTTTGATATCAACTTCTTTGCAATCCTATCAATTAACGTCCGTTTTTACCTATCCGATCTACAGTTATACACTCAGATCTCGAATATTGCCAAATCGGGATTGAAGAAAAATAAAAAAAAAAAGACGCGTTTTAAGATCTCGGGATTTAAAAGCGCAAACTCGGTTATTAAAAAATACACACAAGTAAAAATTGAACAAATAAACGAATAAGATTTCAATAAACTTCGCAACATTTTCCTTTTAACGTTCAATTATACTAAGAAATTGATAACCATATTATTTAGTCACAATACATCTTATTCAGTTGAAGTACAAAGTCTAATTTGACTTAATTTTATTTGACTTAATTTAATTTCATTGGTATATTTTTTATTATTGTATTCAATTTTAATCAATCACGAAAAAACGAGAATTATAATTTAAAAATTATCGTTTTTGTATTACATTCAAATAAATTTTTAAAGCCTTTCAAATTGGTTCATGATTATTTAAGATAGTCAATTTCCTAGTTAATTTCAAGTCCTCAACAATCAAGTTTGTTCTTTTCTTTTTGATACCCTTCCATTAATTGGTTTAGATTTATTTTTGTTATCCCCCCCATTTTCAATAGTATAATGTCATCAACACCTTCTTCACCATCTAAAAGGTCAATATTATCTCCAAAACCATCAAATATTAACACTTCACCAATTAAAAGACCCTCTTCTTCAATTTTGCTAAAATCTCCACCTAAAAAGTTTCATTTTAAGTTATCACCATCTCCGAAAAAAAAAACAAAAACAGTAGGTTTTACTATATGGGAAGATAAAATAGATGTATCAAATTCAACTCATGAAATAATTGGAACAAATACAACAAATGAATTAAATCATAATGATCAAGAGAATATTTTACAAAAACATCAAATTAAAAGAAATGGTAATAGGACCGTATTAGGAGATTTGGACATTAATGAATTTAAAGGTTTTATTACTTGTAATGGTAGATGTGAATCATTGACTGATTTATATCAACCTATAAATTTCAATAATGAATTTAAATCATTACATAAATATACAAATTTACCAAATTATTGTACACCAATTAGGAAAGATAAATATATAATGAAATCAAATAATGGTTTCAATGAAGAAGATGAGATGGAAACATTATTAATTAAAAAACAACAAATTTTAACTAATCAAAATAAAACTAACTTAATTAGAAAACATAAAAGATCAATGTCAGTAGGTAAGAATGAAGCTAAATTAAATTTAATTAGAAAGAATAAATTTAGCATCTTATCAAACTAGAGAGTCCAATGAAGCTAAATTAAATTTAATTAGAAAGAATAAATTTAGCATCTTATCTAACTAGAGAGTTCCACGTTTATCATATACCCAAAATTTCAATTCAATTCTGTAACTTTATAATTTTAAATACCCTTTTATACAAACTGTATCATAATATTAATATATATTCATCGATTAAAAAATTATAATAAGGAACTGAATTCCGACGTATGCCTTGGCTTCATGTTTTCATGTTTTCATGTTTGCTCAACAGATCTTTTCGAATTTGTTTTGCTATCGAGACTTGATTAATAAGCAGCAAACACAAAATTGAGACAAACTATGAAATACATTTGATGCTGTTTCTAACTAAATTCTTGAATGATTTGGTTAGTTGCAGCAATTTAAAACAGAATATAGGTCTGTATGCATATTTTGGCAAACGATAATAATTTTTTCGCAGCCTAAATTTTTCAAATCTCGATATTCGCCTTTTGATTTACAATGGTATAAATAGTGAAATAGATATCTGAAATAAAAAGATCTAAACAAATTAAATAATTAAATAATACTTTTAATATGACTACAGATTCAGTTCCAGAAAAATTTCAAGGTTTTGGTGTTGATAAAGCTGAGAATTGGGATAAACCAAAATTAGTTTCCTACGAACATAAAAAAATCAACCCATATGATGTTGTGATTAAAAATGAATGTTGTGGTGTTTGTTATAGTGATATTCATACTATTCAAGGTAATTGGGGTAAATTAAATAGAGATGATTTAGTTGTTGGACACGAAATTGTTGGTAAAGTTGTCGCTGTTGGTGATAAAGTCACTGAATTCAAAGTTGGTCAAAGAGTTGGTACTGGTGCCAATGCTTCAGCTTGTAGAAAATGTAACAGATGTAAAAATGATAATGAACAATATTGTCCAGAAGCTGCTCCTACTTATAATGGACCAGATGTTAGATCTGATGGTTATATAACTCAAGGTGGTTATGCATCTCATTCCATTGCCGATGAACAATTTGTTTTTGCTATTCCAGATGAATTAGAATCAAAATTTGTTGCTTCACTTTGTATGTATTACTTGAAAATTTGATGCTACCGACTTGCAAAATATTTTTTTAATGAAGCTAATACTAACAAGAAACACCTCAGTATGTGCGGGACTTACAGTCTGGCTGCCAATCGTCAGAAATTGTGGATATGATGCAACTGGTAAAACCATTGCTATCATTGGTTTAGGCGGACTTGGGCACTTGGCTGTACAAGAGAGTCATGCTATTGGTGCTAAAGTTGTTGTTTTCTCAACTACAGCTTCAAAAAGGGAAGAAGCTTTAAAATTGGGAGCTGATGAATTTGTTGCAACAAAAGAGGATAAAGATTGGTACAAAACATATTTTGATACTTTCGATTTTATCTTAAGTTGTGCTTCAGGTATCGAAGGATTAGACTTAGAACACTATATCTCAACTTTGAAGGTCAACAAGAAGTTTGTCTCAGTTGGTTTACCGCCTTCAGATGAAAAATTCAGTGTTTCACCAAATTCTTTTGTTGCACATGCGGCTTCATTTGGTAGCTCCTTATTAGGTAACAAAAAAGAAGTTTACAAGATGTTAGATTTAGCAGTTAAGAAAAATGTCAGACCATGGATTGAAGAAGTTCCAATCAGTGAAAAATCCGTTCCTGAAACTTTAAAAAGATTTGTTAAAGGTGATGTTAGATATAGATTTGTTTTAACTGACTTTGATAAATTCTTCGGTGATCAAAAAGATTAGATTACATAGAAATGATATAGAGATGACATGGAGAATGATTTGATGAGGGATTGTAAAAGTTATTGGGTGTAGTTGTTTAGATGTTAATAGATGTTTTATATTAATAAATCAAGTTTTTTTAAAGTTTCAAATAAGAGAATATCCTGCCTCTACCTGTCATGCTGGTTTTTTGAGATTAATCTGAAAGATAGACAATATCGTGGTAAATGTCATTTGACATTAAAATCCAACTAAACAAGAGGGCTAAAACACATTCTAAACTGTAAGGATGCTTTTAAATAGCCTTTGATTTACACTATCAACTTCAAAAAATTTATTTTACACTTGGTAGCTACCGATAAACATTTGATCAAAATTTTTGTTAGGTGTTTTAGATGTCCCAAATAGGTAATTTTACCCAAGGACAGCATATTGTTACGTGTTTCTGATGATCCAATTAGGCAATTTAGAGCCGCAAAAAATTATTCTATTCTATTATACAATTAAACTCTACATATCAAGTAAACTTTGAGCAATATGACCAATAGTTGTATTATCAAAAGATTCTGCAATTTCAGTCAATACAACTTTATATTTATAAAAGTATTCAAAAGTATCATCACTTATATTAGGATACATTATATTTTCAATTCTTGTAGTATGAGAACAACCTTTGACTGGTTCACCACCCTCAAACATTTTCTCTATCCACGTCCAAGCTGCAGGGCCTCCTATTAACTGTTCGCTAATATGCCCATTTAATAAATCTTCAGCAAATTCTAAACTTTCAATTCCCCTAGAACACCAATTATCAACAACTACCCTGACATCTTTAATTGGAACAACTTCATCAAAAGTCCCATGATATATAAAAATTGGAATTTCAGGTAAATATGTCTCATTTAAATTCATTAAACAATTTTCTTGAACTACCTGATTCACGTATGGAATTTTTAATAAGTCATAACCACCAGGAAAAAATGGATCATCTCCCATTAACATTTCATCACCCATGAATGCAAATACACTATCCACGAGACAATCTTTCTCACCTTCAGCAAAAGTTTCATTCCATTTTGGACTAATTTTTTCATATACTATTTTTTGAAATTCTGGATATTCATTACTTAACCCATTTAAAGCTAATGCAGTTAATCCTGATAACAACCCTCCATCAACAGCACTAGCAGTTGCAGTAATATTTGTAACAAAACCACCTACACAAGCTCCAATTAGATTTTCCTTCAATTCTGGTGCATAAGTACTTTGTAAACTTGCTGCCCAACCAGTAGCAATTGATCCCCCCAGATAACCATGTAACATTACTTGAGCATCTGAATCAATACCTGTTATATTAAAACTTTTTAAAGCTGTTCTAACTCCATCTAATGTGGCCCTTCCACTTTGCCAACCAGCAGTAAATGACGATTTTGGACCTTCATAATCGGGAGATATCACATAGTAACCTTTCATTAAAGCAGGTCCAAGAAAAGTTAAATCTATTTGTGATGCAATTGTCGAATATGGTGCATTATTTTGAAATCCATAACTTGGAGAACAGTCAATATTGGACAGATCTTCAAATGTCTGATACAAATAAACTTTACTAGGATCGGCATTATATGGTTCCATTACGGTTAATATTATTGCAGTTGCATTTCCAAATGTATCTTCTGATCTATATTGAATTTGCCATGAATTTTTTAATGTAAAATTAAAATAAAATGAAGTTATTAATTGTGGAGTAGGCCTATATTTTAAAATATCTCCCAATTGAGCATCTTCATATCCTGGAGCAGGTTTATAAAAATCGTCCTGAGAAGGAGGTATCAATCTCAAAGTAGCCGAATAAACTATGGAAAAAAATAAAAACAAACTAATAAACTTCATTGGAACCAGAAAAATTAGATAGTTTGACTTTCATTCTTATTAACAATTTATTGTATATGTCAAACTAAGGGGTAAGCTTAATCAAACATATAAATTCATTTAGTATAGATTTTTGCTAAATTAAGATACCGCATTTGGTAGCGATGTCGGTCTATGTATATTGATTTAAAAAAATGTGGAGAATTGATGAATTTTGCAGCAATTAAAATTTCCTAAAATAGAGATAAAATCTTAATGAACAATACACAAAATAATGAAATTGGTTGAAAGAGATGAATCGATAGATTTGTAACGATAAGCTACTGCTAGCGGAATAACGGTGAATGATAATCAAGTTAAAATTTTTTATGTCTTGTGATATAAAGTCGCGAATAGTGATGGTTTGGAATAAAGTTTTCTACCTACATTTGATAATAATTCATCTAGATTTAGTAATTCGATATGCAGAATTGAGAAACATCCATATCGAGTAGTTCTGTACTTTTCCAATCGTACCTTATTATAGTAAGTCATCGAGAAAGTATTAGTTGCACCCTTACAGAGATCCCACGGATGATATAATTACATGTGTATTAATCTATTTCTTCTTTTAATTTGCAGATAATCGTGTAGTAGTAATAGAATTTGTTGTTGTTGATTCATCTTGAATATCATTTGTTTTCATGTTAAATTAAGATGTAAATTTTAATATAAATACATCCATAATCTATTTCTTACCCTTCTTTTTCTTCTTTTTATTAGCAGATGATTGTGTAGTATTTGTATTTATATTTGTATTTGTTGATTCACCTTGAGTATTATTCACCTTCTTCTTATCCTTCTTTGTAGGTTTATAATAACTTCTTAATTTAAGTGGAATCCATCTCTCATCATCCAATTCAACTTCGTCAATAGGTTTAACAACTTTATTTTTGCCAAATTTAGCCTTTTTATGTTTTTTAACCACTTTATTCAATTTTTTAACTATTGGTTTAACTAATTTGTTATTAGGTAATAATTCATTCATATCTATATTTAAAATTTCATCAATTGGTTTCAGTGAGATTAAATCTTCGATTGGTAATAATCCATCATTTTTACTTTCAAGAATCAGTTCAATTAAATTATCATTGGGATTAATTTGATATAAAAATTCAAATAATTGACGTGATGATTCTTTCAATTCTTTATAATTTATAGATTTGAATGCTATTATTTTTGCTGTGTTATAATTATCAATACTAAAACTAGATTCTGAAGTGTATAAAAATTTCTCAATGAGAGTTTTGAATAAATTGACTAATTTTGTAGTGAGATGTTTTGATTCATATATGGTGATTAATGAACCTATTAAACTTGGATTTATTGATTTTGAGTTTAGATTAATTTGAACTAAGTTTTCTAAAATAGGTAAACCTTGATCATAATTATTCAATTTTGAATTTAAATGAATTAATAACAATAATGGAATCTCTTTCTCCTCTGTACTGTTTATATACTTGATTAATTTCCGACCAGTTGATTTTGGATTCTCCGTTAAATCTTTATAATCTATACCCAAATTGATTAATAATCTATAAGCTTGTAATAATGCATCACCTGGAAATTTATCATTATATTCCTTTATGAATTTCAGATTCAATTGTGATTTACTCAATGTACCAGTTTGGAATCTTAATAATATTGAATTTTTTAATATGATTTCATATTGTACATTAGTCAATTTTTGATTCAATTTATGTAAATTTTCCAAATAATTTAAATCACGATCTATAAAATTGGAGTTTTTCAACTCTTGTTGTGAATATTTATTGTTTTTAATTATTAACCTAATCATAAGATCATTAATTTTAGAAACATCAATATCTTTTAATATATTATACAGTTTTTCAAATTGTTGATTGATTTGGAATATATATGAAATTGTTAATTTAATAGGTAATAATTCATTTTCCAAATCTGATTCATTTAAATTTATAGATTCACATAATTCAACTGCTCTATTTAATAAATTTAAAGATTTTGAAATGTTAAAATTCGATAATTCAATTAATGCTTGGTTAAATAATAAATCATAAGAATCGGTAGCTGAATCATAATCAGACTGAATTTTATTACCTTGTTGGAAGTTGAGGGCTGATATTACTGCTTTTTCATTAATTATTAAATCTAATGCATTATCAAAATTATTATTTTGAATCAATTGTTGATATAAATTAAGAGACTCTTTGTAAGATCCAATTTTATAATATGTCTGAGCTAAAATGTGATTTAAACCTATCTTTGCAACTTCGTCCAATTGTGATTCATGTTTTTTATATAATTCAATTAATGATTTATCGTTACCTAATTTATAATAAATATAACCAATTTCCAATATTAATGAAGATTCATATTCTTTTGGTAATTTTTTTAATATTTCATTTGCTTTATGATATTTATCTAAGTTTATTGATGCCACCAAAACATTTTTAAATGCTTTTAAATCTTGAAAATGTTTAACTTTTGATAAATATTGATATGAAACATTGAATATATTTTCATGATCACCTACTGTAACATCATTAGTAACTCGTAATTTCTTAAAAGCGTCAGTTATACTATTACCACTCATTCTTTAATGGTTGTTGAAAGATTGAAAAATTTTTGTACGTGCGTGCAAAAAATCTGAAACATCACCAACTTTCACCAACTATCACCAACTATCACCGACTGCTATGATTAGAAGACTACATATACTGAATATAAGGTATTTTACTAGTTGTCAAAGGATAAGTAACCAGTTGAGAAGAAATGATGAGAAATTAGAATCACCAATTGAATTAGCTAAAGATTCACACTTCCCCTTTATTAAACAAAATTTGTATAAAAAACAACCAAGACAACCAACTAAGAAAGCACCATTTTTATCAGAATTAGAAGATGATCCAAATCATATATATTTAACGAATTGGAAAAAAAAATTAGGTCAATTTGTAATTTCAACATTTAATATGGATATGGATAGAACAAGATCGGGTCCAGTTGCTGGTGGTATTTATTTTGCAGAATGTAAAAAACAAGCATTATATTATCCAAATGAACCATTATCAAACACTGCTAAATTTTATTATGAAACTTTAAGATTACCACAATCATTTTCACAACAAGTTCAAATTATTATATTACATTATTGGATTTTATCAGTTAGAATGAGATGTTTACCATATAAATATTCAAAACTATATCAACAAAAATTAGTTGATCGTATATTTGAAGATTTAAATAATAGAATGACTATAGAATTAAATATTAAAAGTGGTAGATTATTAGAAGGCAATCTAAAAGATTTTCATACTCAATTATTAGGTTGTGTTTTATCATATGATGAAGGTTTAATGACAGATGATATAACTTTGGCAAGTGCATTATGGAGAAATATTTTTAATGGTAATGAGAATGTTGATGTTAGACATGTTGAAGCATTATTAGTTTATGTTAGATCACAATTATATGTATTAAGTAAAATGACTGATCGTGCTTTTGGATTTGGTAAATTTAAATTTGTACCTCCTGATCAAATAGTACAACCAATTACGAAGGAACAAGAAGAGGTAATTAAACAAAAGACAAAGGAAGAGTTTCAAGATATGACATTACCAAGTCAAAGAAGTGTATTATCAATGGATGAATAAAAAACTTGTATATATTATAATTTATTATTATTATTATTATTATTATTACTATTATTCTTATTATAATTTATCATCTTTTTATCTTTAGTCCAATCATTTCCTTTTGAACCTCTAATCATAACATTCATAATTGCATAATCTTTACCAACAATTGAAGTTTCTTTAGTGTTATCACCTAATAAGATATTTTCAACTATATGAAATCCAAATTTTTCATAAATTGGAATATTTAAAGGTGATGAACTTTCTAAGTAAGTTAAATTGTTGCCAGTTTTATCAATATAATTTTCATTCATATATTGGAATAATTTACGTACATTTCCTTTACCTTGACTTATTTTAAGACTACCAACATAAACCAAAGTATAAATATTTTTATTTCTAAATCTTGAATCACTACTGATAATTCTATCAAATGAATTATGTAAAAGTGGTAACATACCGTAAAATACTTTATTTATGGTATTTCTATCAAACATTTCCCATAATTGACCATAACCAGATTCCATTAAATTATTAAATGATTCCAACCCATTCTTTGAACTTTCAGGAGTAGACCAAATTGAAACTGTTTCAAATATCTCGGTAGTTTCATTTTGACCAAATACTAAACCACAATTAATATGTTGTAATAAATAACATTCATAAATTTTTAATTGAAAAAATTTACGTCTTGAGTCATCTGTAATGTGGCTGACTAGGTAATTACTCAATGAATCAAATTCAAAAGCTTCTAATAAAGTTTTAGCAGCCTTGGGAACATCTTTAGCAGATAACTTTCTAATAGTATGAGAAAAACCTTTAACAACAGTAGCAGAAGCGGCAGAAGCGGCAGAAGAAGCAGCAGTAGTATTAGTATTTGAAGATATAATTGACATCTCTAGTAAAGCATAGTTTCATAAATCAGGAGGCATAAGTATTCTCTATTTATACTTTATTGATTTTTTGCAATAATTCCTTTTTCTTCTAATTGAAAGAAGCGCATCTAAAATTACCAAATTAAGAAACACACAATATCATCATCATCACTACTATCAACCAATGTTTAGTTCATTATTATCACCACCACTTAATTCAAATTATGATCCAAACAATAAAATAAATATAGAATCAAATCAAACAATAATAACTACTGAGAAACGAATACTTCCAGATCGATCAATTTTATCATCAACTCAATATGATAAAACAATTCCGTTAAAGAAAAGATATCCAAATTTAATCCACAACTTCCCAAAAATAATAGATGAAGAAGTAATAGAATCTACAAGACTATTCGTAGAAAATCTAATAAATGGCAGTGGTGAAAAGAAAAACGATTCCAAATATAATGATCCAGTGTTACCACCCTCGACTAAATTACAAAAAAATCGTCATGTAAGATTAAATGAACAACATGCACCAATAATGAAAAAACAAATACAAATCACCAAGGAAGAAAAAATGAAATGGGAAATTCCGGCAGCTATTTCAAATTGGAAAAATAATCAAGGTTTTGCTATTGATTTAAGTAAACGAATGATAAATCAACCTCAAATAGATCAAGAAATTAATATTGAAGGTTTTGGTAAATTATCTAAAGCTTTACATGATGCTGATTTACAAGCTAGAGAAGAATTAAGAATTAGAAATGAATCAAGAGAAGAACAAATTAGAAATGATAAAAGATTAAGAGATGAAAAGATAAAGGAAATTGCAAAGAGAAGAAGGTATCATTAAAGTAGGGTGGTCAAGAAAATGAAATAAGAGACAATTTAGGTTCAGCTTTAGGTAAGTGCCTATTACAAGGATACAACTGAGCTACGATGCTAGTGAAATAGAGGTTAAAAGTATGGATGCTGATGAACTGAAGATTATCTCATAATGAAGAAACAAGGTAGAGAGACTGGTTCTTTTAAAATTCAAATTGGATTGATACTCCGTCTATGGTACAATTGTGATATATGACAACAATCAATCTACACTTGTTATACGATTAATAGCAATAACAAGCCGCAAATCTATAATTATTCGAATATAAGAGATTAACAAGAGTTTAAAGTCTGGTCATAGTTTTACTGTATACATTTAATGATCATTTATTATAGTAATACATAGTTGTCTTATCATTACTCGTCTTTTTCTTTCTTTTTATCTTTCTTTTTACTTGGTCTACCTTTATTCTTTTTATCACCACCTTCATATAAACTCATACCGAATTCATCTAATGCTTTTGAATTTATCCATTCGGTAACTCGAGCCAATTCACGTTGATATTGCCTTTCATCCAATTCTTTTTGAAATTTATCAATCCAATTTTTTCTATCTTCTATATCACCAAATTGTAAAACATCTTCAATTGAATTCAATTTTTGTTTTTTTCTAGATGAATCTCTAGTTTTCAATCTCCTTTTTGTTCCTATTTCCTCATTTTCTTCTTCATTTTCTTTATCATTTCCATTTTGATAATTTTCCAATTCTTGTATATTTTTCTTCAATTTTATTTCATCGGAAGGTAGGCAATCAATCCATAATGCTTTTCTTCTAGCTTTCATTGAAGATATAATTGCTTCTTTTGCAGATGATAATTCTTTACGTAATGAACTTTCTCTTTTCCCCCATGGATTCAACCAAGATATAAGTTTTGATATTTCTTCTGGTGAATCGTAATATCTCCAATTCAGTCCATTAAGTAATGGATCGGGACATTCTTCAATTAATTTACGTTGAATGTTGGTTATTTCATTAAGGGGACGTAATAAAGATCCCTCATGATTTAAAATAAGATCAGAACTGATATTTTCTTTATCTTGAACTTGTTCTTGTTCCATGTTATTTGTACCATTTTTTTCAATTATTTCTTTCTTGATATCATTTACTTTATATATATCAGAATCATGAAAATCTAAATTAAAATTTTTCAATACCGTAGATTTAAAATTGGGGGATAAGTTTTCAAAATTCATTTTTTTAGGTTCTCCTCTTTTCAATGATGGTTTTAAAATTGATTCTTCAATACCTTGAAAATCAAGTAATTCATCTATTTCCTTTGCTTTTTCTGGATCTAATTTGAAATTTACATTTAGGTCATGATCACAAGGACCTTGAACCCATAATCTACCCATTAAATAAGTTTCATCTTTAACTTCATCATCTGAATCAGAACTAGAATCAGAAATATCCTCTTCTTCTACTTCTTCTTCTTTTATTTTTTCTTTTGCATTTTCATTTTCATTTTCTTCATCTTCATCTTCATCTTCATCTTCATCTCTTCTACTATGTTGTAAATTTGGTAATCCATTATTTTCAAACCACCAATATCGATTATATAATCTATCTTTACCTAATAATTTAACTCTTTGACAATCTAATTCAGTTAATTTTGTTTCGTAAATTTTTTTATCATTTCGAATTTGATTCATTTTATTAATGGATTCAATTCGAATATTGATTTGTTTTTTAAATTCAGGATCAGATTTGGAAAGTTCTAATTCTGTTGGATTTAATTCGAGAGTAGTACTTGGAGTAATTCCTTCAGGTAATTCTGATCCAATATAATCTTGAGCATTTCTTAATAATTCATATGCAATTCTATATTCTTTTAAATTTTCTAATCTTTGTCTTCGAATTGCAGTTGAATTTTCCAATGATTCATCAATATAATTCCGAACTAATGGTGATGATGTCATAATTAAATCAGTTAAAATATTAATAGCTTTAAATTTTAAATTTATATTTAAATGTTGATAAAAATTTCTTTTTATTGTTGTTGGATTTGGCTGTTGATTAGATGGGGCTAATGTTTTATAAATTTCTTCTATAATTGGTTTATAAATTGAAATATGCTCAACCATTGATAAAACACCAAGTAATATACACTGCCAATTTCCATCTTTAAAATTTCTTCTTCTTAATTTTTCATGCCATGGTGATCCATGATTCATTGCTTCATAAGCATTATGATTTAATTTGGGTTTTGGAGATTTTGTTTTCTTTTTGTTTTTTGGTGACATTTCTGTTTCAGATTTTTCATCATCATCATCATCATCATCATCATCAATTTCTAATGCTTTTGTTTCAGTTTCAGATTCAGATTCTGATCCATTAACTTCATCTTCATCTTCATCTTCATCTTCAGAATCATTGTTTTCAATCGGTATATTAATATTTAATCCAAATATTTGATCTTTTTCTTTACTTTTTAAAGCTTCTTTTGGAGATGGTTTTTCATTTGATACAATTGAAGATAAAATACAACACCAAATTTCATCTAATAATTCACAATTTCCAATTTTATTAAATTGTTTTAAATTCCAACCCATTGCATAAACATAATCATCAAATGTAAAAGTATCAATATTTAAAACATTATGATAAACATTTATAAAAATCCAAGATTGTAATGCCTCTGATATAGATGTCAACTTTTGTTTGGTGGCGGTGGAGGTGGTGGAGGTGGTTGTTGTTGTTGTTCTTGCATTTTCTGGTATATTATACAATTTAGGCTTTGGTTTTGGATTTTGTAAATCAAATTTTAAAGTCAAATCTTCAACTAAAGTTTTCTTAGTTGGTTGAAATTGTGATAATCCTGATGGTGTCCCTTTTATATCATCTTCTTCCATTAATTCTTTTTGATAAATCTCTGGTATATAATGATTTGGAAATTTTCTTCTATAAGGTATATTATTATTTTCATTCATTATATGAATAGTTAACTCATCTTTAATTTTTTTTCTTTTTTCAGTATCATCATTTGGCTGAGGACCTCTTTTTTTCTTTGGTTGAATATAACTAATTTCTCCAGTCGGAGTCGATTCAATAAATTGTTTTAAATCGTCAGGATAAATCGTGGGAATTGAATATTTTTTCGCATATTTTGTTTTAACAACCCAAGGTGCACCAACTTTATGAGACCTAGACATCGTTAATTTTATAAACGTCTTAATTAACCATTTTGTAAAATGATTTCTATCTCTTGAAATATTATGAGATGAAACAATTTGTTGCTGACCATTAATTAAAGAAATAACCAAATATTTTGTCGGCTGATCTTGCGAATATTGAACTTTTTCTCGAATTATCCCTCTTGATTTGATACTCGAATTGGTTGTAACATTTAATTGTTGACTTTGTAATTGATCTAAATTTCTCAAATATATTGTTTCGCCTGGGAAATAATCATTTTTAAACATCGTATAAACTTTATCAACTAACTGATCTAATCTTGTGCATCTATTAAAATTTAAATACCTTAACAAATGCTCTTTTAAAGCTTCAGGGAAATTCTTATCAACTTCTTTTTTCTCATGTAATTCTGAATCAAAAGCTTCAAAATATGTTAAACATGAATTACCAGTAATTTCACAAACAAATTTATTTTGATTATAATAATCTAATCTTGACAAATAATCCTCATAACTAAGAAACCATTCTTTTGTCTCATTAATAACCCATACTTGAGTATTTAAATCCCGAGGTACTGGCGGTGGTGGTACAAATTTAACTTGTTTTCGTTTATATAAAACCATCACAGTTTAATTAATATGACTAATTTATCTATATTATACTAAATTATTTATATTATTTATTTATATTATTTATATTACTGTAAAAAGAAAATGTTATATAAAAAAATCCGAAAACAAAAAAACGGAAATGGTGATGTTGAGAAAAAAACTACTTTATGGTTTTTTTTATTGAAGTTGAAAATGGATATGCAATTTTTATTATTTTTTTTTTTTTTTTTTTTTTTTTATTTTTTTTTTTTTTTTTTTTTTTCTTCTTTTCCTGTTTTAAATATAAACATAATTTCTATATTTATACCACCAGTTGATATTTTTGCAACTTGGTAGTTACCTTTTGTTTTATTTATAAGGAAAATGTTTAGTGAATTTAGTAAATTCTATGGTATGAGTTATTATTGTACTCTCATAGTCAGTGCGTTAATATTAATTTGTTTCCCTTAATTAGGCTGCAAAATACGAATCAAATTAAATATTAAGAGATCTGGATCAATTTTGTGACACATTGTTTCTATTGATTTTGAAAAATAAACATATAGAAGAAAAATGTCTTAGTTTAATGTTCTATGATCCTGGTTAGTCTAGTATAACTATTTAAACATAAATGTTGTTCTGTTTAAAAGTAGTAGAAAAAAAAAAAAAAGTTAGTTCGTTCTAATTCGTTTATATTTTTTCGTTATAATTTTTATTTTTTTTTTTTTATTTTTTCTTTGTCCATATAAAGTTTATTTTTTGCAGCAATTTATTTTGGTCCGGGACACGACTAATTATCTCTAATTTTTCAACAGTTTTACAACCTAACGCGCACTGTCATGTTTAGATGTTTTTCACCCATTGATTTTTTGATAATTGATTCAAAAGTTTAATTAATAATAACACACTAAGTATATAAGAAACTATGTACAATATGGTACTCATTTTCATCGCAAGATTTAGTAGAATAAAACTAGATGATTTAAAATATACTTTGTCGTTTGAAATTTCTCTTAATTGCTTGATTTATAATTCAAATGTCGAAATCACTGAAAATTGATAATATTTCATCTTATAACGGGCCTTAAAGCTTCTCTTTAATTTTTTAGTGATTTTAGATTAAAGATTCATTATAATTTCAATGCTAGTGTCTAAAATCTAAATCGTTTAATTTTTTTGAATTTTTGTCAATGATGGAATTCGAAGAATTCAAAGAATTCGCGGTTAGTATAATTATTATAATTGTACTTATAATGACAAAATAACTTTATTTTTGCCCTGCGCTTTCGAATAAAGGATTAAGGATTAATATCTCATCATCAAGTGGATTTCACTTGAAATGGTCCATATTAATAATACTCGCAATTTAATGCTCTACATAGTGATATCACTCTTATACGTAGATGGAACAAGTTTTTGATTTTTTTTTTTTCTGTTTTTAAACCATTATTAGATTCGCAGATCCTACTACTAATTATCATTGCATCACAACTTTTACTGATTACCCTGATTACTCTAATTACTCTCGTAAAGAAGAATTTTGCATCAGATCCTACCACTAATTATCATCGCATCACAACTTCTACTGATTACCCTGATTACTCTCGTAAAGAAGAATTTTGCTTCAAATTTTAAGAAAATTTTAGTTCCAATTAATATCTACTTTTTCAATTTCTATTCCACATATATATTTTATTTTATTTTATAAACCTATTATTTACTTTTATATTTTATCTTATTTTATAAACCTATTATTTATAACTCTAGCAATTTTTCTAATTAAAGTAATCCATATTTGGAAAACCCACATAAAGAATGGATTAATATGAATATTTCTAATTTTTTGATTAAAGTAATCCATATTTTTGACAAGTTTGGAAAACCCACATAAAGAATGGATTAATATGAATATATCTAATTTCATTTTCATCAACTTTGGCATCAAATTTAGTTTCATCATCAAGTACTCTTTTTTGTCCAGCAAAATAGTTAAAATATTTATAAATAAAATATAATAATTTTTGTTTTAAAGATAAATTTATACTTAATAAACCATCCTCATTATAATAATCTTTACTTTCTGATCTAACTAACATTTCTTTCCCCATTTCAATATTTAATTCTTCTTCAATTGTCTTAATTCTAGACATGACGTCAGGATAATCTGTAATAATTCCATACTCAATCAAATTTGACAATCTACCAACTTCATTAAGATAATTGAATTGAATCTTATTATTGATTGTCCATGAGTATAATTTCAAATTTTGTATTCTGAGTAGTGGAATAAATTTAGTTATGAATCCAATTGACCATGTACTTAAATAAATCAAAGAAATTCCCGTTAATTTAATTTTGATCCTCTCATTATGATTCTCATCAAGGTAAAAATTATAATTTATATAATGAATTGAATCTCTCCAATTTACACTAATATGAAAAATATCAAATTGAGAATACCCAAAATCATTAACTTTACAACCTTCAAACACTTTTTGAAAATATTCATTTTGATTCAAATATTTTAAAAAATTTAAATCCCATAATCCAAATTGAATTCTATGAAACCAAAAACTTAACGAATCATTGACAGATAATAAATCTTCAATAACAAATTTAAGTATCTTTGGTTGATTGAATCTTTTTATATCCAATTGTAGTTTATATTCATTAGAATCAGGTTGTGTTTCAATATAACTTATAAACCAATTTAATACATCTTTAAAAGTCAATAATGGTTCATTCCTCTCTTTTGTTCTTAATGATTTCAAAATTGGATTATAATCAGTTTCTGGAATTTTATAATTTGTTTCTTGACCTTGAGCATCTACAAATATTCTTTTTGTGGATTGATCATGAGATATCACGATTACATTATCTTTACTCAACCATAAATCGGTTTCAATCACCTTAGCTCCAGTCTCAAAACATTTCTTAAATCCAAATAAAGTATTTTCCTCATATTTAGATTTAAATCCACGATGACCTACAATGACTGGAGATGTCGTAGTTGAAGAAGTGGGTGATGATAAATTTGAACTCATAATAATAGCCACTTTTAACACCTTTTATTTAAATAGCTATAGGAAATATGTTATTCCATTTATACTCTTTTGATATACCCACGTTTTTCAAAAAGTTAAAAGAAACCCCAGATTTGGAACAATGCTACTGAAAAAAAAAAAAATATTAATAAACTGTGGTGCGATAAAGTCACGCGAGACATGGAGCGACAATATAATAGAGTTGGGCCAAGCCGGATGGGAAGGGGGACCAATTCGTTTATTGTTTGACTGCATATGATGCGAAAAAGAAATCTCTTTGAAAATTTTTTAATACCGAAAGGAAATTGGGAAGTTGGGAAATTGAGAAATTGAGAAATTGAATATTTTATGCACAATTACACAATTGATGTTTGAGAATTATAAAAATGTTCGAGATTTAATTAGGTTCTAATTAACGTTAGTGTAAGTGTTTTTTTGGTAGTCAATCTAAGTACTTCTAACTCCTTGGATTTTGACTGCGAAATTTTTTCCGAATTCTCTAAATTTAGAATCAATTCAAGTTTTAAAAACTTAATTGAAGGTTATGTTTGACATTAATTGTTATTGGACTCGGAGTTTAGGGCTGTATTGACAAGTTGCAAGCTAATAAAAGTTTATGTAATGTTGGGTGTTATTAACTCTAATCTCGAAGTGGTTTACAATAATGATGATGTTCTGCAAGTTTATTGGACTTTTCTTTACAATTATTAAGTGTTGTTCCCGTCATTAAATAATCTAGTTCGTTTCGAACATCTTCATTGTTGGTTTTATATTCTCCATCATTTTGAAAAGCTAAGACTTCAATTTTTAGCTTCTTTAACACTCTTGTAGTTAGACTGTTCATTACAGAATTCGTTCATATCTACATTAGATCATTTACCACGTGATATAATACGGTCTTTATGGTTAATACAATGGCACTTCCACTGCCACAGTGCGTGTTCGAATCACGTTTATCGTATTACATTATATTGTACGGTTATGCTACAACTACTTCACAGTGCGGGTTCGATTCCTCCTATGGTCTTTAATATTTAATATATTATTTATATAAATATATCCTTCTTTTAGGTTATATTAAAGATTCTGTTGATCTTCAATAAATCTCGGAGTCGAACCTTCACGGCTAATGCCCAGACATCTTAAGTGTCTTATGTGTAATATTAAAATAAACAGAGCAAAACAAGATTGATTTACAAAGTATTACAAAGTATTACAAAGTATCATCAATTCATACCTGGAAACTAAACAAATTTCAAATATAATCGATACCCTTGATTTATTAAAAGGTGCAAAAGGTGATTATTTGCGAAGTTATGGGATTTGTTCTGGTGGAGATTTATATACTTTAATTACTGCTTTGAGTATAATCAACTATAGGCTAGTACTCTCGCAAGCTCTTGTTGTAATAAGTCTATAAAGTCTATAAGTTTTGAATATTTTGAAATCATTAACTAAGTGTTGTTTTTATCTTGTTGAAAAGTTAAGACAATCCAACTCTGTATATCTCTAATTATAAAGCCTCTTCGAATAATTTAGAGAATCACAGCACTTGTGTCACCAAATTGTTTTTAAAGTAGTTATAGTCCAATTTACATCTAACTCATCTAACTGGACTCCAAATTGTTTTTAAAGTAGTTATAGTCCAATTTACATCTAACTCATCTAACTGGACTTCAAATTGTTCGATTAGTTTCTCTTTCATATGACACCTATTTTCCAGTTATTAGTTATTTTATTTACAACAGCTGTCATTAAAATGCAAGTAGTTCCATAAAACCAATCAGAGAAGTATATGAACCAGATTCTGACGGACGGTTTGAAATCATTTCTGATAATCAAGAAGAGTTTGACATATTAAGAGAAAGAGTAGCTGATTGTAATAAAAAATTACAGACAAATTTTACATTAGTTGCAACTAGCAATGGAGTCTGGGAATATTTGTCATAAATATGGATGAAGATGAGTTCGTGGGATTAATTAAGCCATGTTTTGACTGCATTAATAATGATGGATGACGATAGATTTAATGTTCTTTTAGGTAATCGAGAAACTTATATGATATACCAGGAGTAGATAATGGAACACCATCAGAATTACGACCAGATTATGTTGAAAATCAAGGTAGTTGGTCAATATATTGGCGGCAACTTGAAGAAGATGAAGTATAATATATATTCTATTCTATAACTGCATCTATTTTCAATTATAATTTATTCACATTTCTCTTTTCTTCAAATTCTTTGGCTTCATCAACTGCTAATTTGATCAATTGGAAAGCAATAGATTCTGGCATAGGGATAATTATTTCTTCTGGATTCCAATCTTCATCTTTTGCTTCATTTGGATACACTAATTTTCTAACAAAATCAACATCAAACCATCTAGCATCACTTAATTCATTATCATGACCTAAGTGTATAATTTCATTTTTATTATTAAATTCAACTTCAGCGAGACATCCAATCATTAAATTAGCAGGAAATGGCCAAGGTTGAGTCATTTTAATATTTATAGAAGAACTCAAAACTCCAGTTTCTTCCCAAATTTCCCTTTTTGTTGCAACTTCAACGGTTTCTGAAGGTTCCATAAATCCAGCAGTACAAGTATACATTTTAGTTATTTCATATCTTTTATTCAAACTTAATAATATCTTAGATCTATCTTTATTTACCACTATTGTTATTATAACCATATCTGTTCTTGGAAAACATACATTTGAAACAGTTGCATTTTTAACTTTACATATATAATCTTCACTTTTCTTCTCTTCATTTGTACATTGTAGTTTACCACCAGCATGAATTGGAATCATTTTTGATCCACAACCAACACAATATCTATTCTTATTAAGCCAATCAAAATACATTGAAGCATGGGAAAATAATGCAGCCTCTTTGGAATTAAAACTAAGATAATGTTTTCGAGAATAAGTAAAAAATAATTCTCCTTGAATTTGACCACTAATGAAATTTAAAATCTCACTTTGTAATTCTTTATTTGGTGTTAAGTCAACTGCATAATACGCAATACCTTGGTATCTACCTTGATAATCAAGGAAATTTTCACACTCACTATTCTCCATTTTTAATTCTTTCAAATTTAAACCCGTTGATTCATCTAACAACCCCATAAACAAAAAGACCGGCTTCTTATCATCCCTTATATCTTTATTTTGATTTTTGTTATCATTGATGAATCTTTGTAGAATATCATCCCAACCTTTTAAATTTTTCAAGCCTAGTGAAATTGAAATTGTTTTTTCTTCATTTGTTATTTCTTTAACATTGAACTGATTATTCTCATTAGTTAAAATTGTCAATTTATTATCATATTTCTTATGAATTAATGGTTGTTGTTTATTAAAGAATATGAATCTTGTACTTGGATGCAATAATGATTTGCAAATGAATTCATTATCTTCTCTTAAAAACGAGATTCGATTTAAGAACTCAGTACCAAAGTAAATATCCTTCTGAAGATCCTTAATTGATGAATGTATGGAATGGGACATTATATTCTTAGAGAACAATCTCTTAATCAAAAAATTCGTCAAAACAAAAGGTGAAAATTTTAAAAAAGTTTATCTTCTTATCAGATGAAAAATTATTTGGTGGAGATAACACGAATTGATTACACCGAGCATTGAAAAATTACAGGGTCCAATGGAAGATCGATTATTAGTAAGTATGTTATATAGGATTTATCGACCATGAATTATAGAAGTAAATCAGAGTTACGTTGAATTCATTAATTGTTATTTAATAGAGAGAGAGAGAACATTGTATGGTGTAATAAATTTGAATTTAGCACTAGCATTGGTACGAGCCGTGGTATTAGCTCTCGCCTTGAGTTAAAATTTCTTCAACTGGACTCTCGCTCTATCTGGGCCGAAAGATTTTAAATTAATAAAATTCTCAAACGAATCTCTGACTTATATGCAGTCTTGTAGTAGTTAATCATAGAATTTAATTTGCAAATTACTCCCTCAATATTCAGGCTATAATTGTCAAACTAATTTTGGAAGAGTCAATGAATCTATATTAAGCTATTATTGATATCTATTGGATCTACAAAATTTTGATCAATTTATTCGACGCTTAAAAAATGGAGAAAATATGCTATTTTGCGAGAAAACCAACACTTAGACCTTATTTATCGAATTCTAAGATAGCTGGTATAGTTCAATTCATCCTAAAAATTGAATTGATAGTAGTTTCAAGACGTTAACTTTATTTTGAATTTTTTTCAAAAGTTTCGAAACAGGTTTAAAAAATTACTTTTTGAATTTACCTTAGCACCAAAAAATTTGAAGAATATCAGAACAGGGAACTACAAAATTAAATTGTTTTATTATACTTTAATGTGAATATTCCTTGTGGTGTAAAATTTTTCGTAAGCTCAATTTATTCGATTTTCATCATAGTTAAGAGAAAATTTTGAAATTTTTCAGTTTTGGATTACAACACTTGGAATAAAGTCAAATGCATTAGTTTAGTCTTAAATATGTATATTACGTTTTTTAATTGAATGTTATGGCCTCAAATAAGACGTAAATTGAGTTCATATTTTTAGAAATATTTTTGTAGCCGAAGATAGGCCAAATGACAACTCAAAAAAAAATATTCGAATCAAAGTCTGAAAAATGTATAGACTATATAATGGAAGGCTTTTGATTTCATATAACTGGGATTAATCTTGAAAGAATCTGTTGTTCATGACATATAAATCAATATACGTGGTACAAGGTCGCCTTGGAGTTGGGGCGAGAGAATATTTTATCGCGCCAAATCTTTCACATCGAAAGAGAAATACACTCAAGTTGTCATAAATATTATTCATTAATTATGTATTCGAAATTTAGAAAAATTTGTCTCAATCTTTTCCAGTATTCAATAGAAATTGCAAATTCCAATAAATACAAAGTGTAATAAAATTGAATTAACTGATTTACCTGAGTCGTATAGTCTATTAAACCATTTAAAAGGTAAATAGATAAAGTTAAATCTCAGGATGGAAATCTACAATAAATAATTCTCAATAAAAAATAACCCTTTATTCACTATGTACAAGCTGGAATAAGTTAGTAATAATTCCTTTATTTTCATTTCTGTCAGATAATTAAATTTAGACTTTTCGATCACTTTGAATCAGAAGTCAAGCGTTCTTTTGGTCTATTTGTTGTTTCATCATAAAAATAAATTGTTTTAACATACCCTAAATATCATTAACATGTCTCATCATCATTACATCATAAACTAAATAGTTAGTAAATAACTCTTTGATTTTATTGTTCTCAGCTATCTTAGACATTTTCTTCAAATAAAATCAGAAGTCTAACGTCTGAATAATATCTTTTGAATCATCATTGGAACAAGATCATTATTACTTACACTTCATTAACCAATTCTAAAACCTCTCAATATCGCAGTATTTAATCCCTTTACAAAATGTTTCTTTGATTTTTTCTTTGATACAATTATAAATACCCTTCCTGATTGATTCATCCTTCCTGTTCTACCTAATCTATGTACAAGATCAACCGAGTTCCTAGGAATACCCATTAATATCACATTTTTTATCCCAATAAAATTCAAACCACGAGCTAATAAATCTGAAGTGATCAATATTTTCACTTTTGAACCATCTGGATCCTCATCTATTGGCATAGCAGGTTTGATAAATGGTTCAATCAATTCTTTCCTGTCTGATATCTTAACCCTTCCATTAATTGCAACTATATCTTGAGCCCTGATTTTGAATTTCTCAATAAGTGTCAATTTCAATATCTCTGTTTCTTCTTTTTCATTCACAAATATAATTATTCTCTTAACTAAATTTGGTTCTGTTCCATCTTTTGATATTGCATATATGCATTGTGCCAAACAACGATTAACTGATCCATTATATGGTGGCAAGTCAGCATCTAAAGTCATGATCTTGATTCCTTTTGGTACTTTATGTAAACTTGGAGTTTCAATACGTATCAATGATTTATAATCTGGAAACAATGATTTTATGGTTTTTTCGAATTCTTTGGGAATTGTAGCTGAAACCAATATAAGATCTAATAAGTTTGGAAAGTTGGTAATAACTGATACTGTCTCATCCTTGAATGATTTGTCAAATAAAGTATCTGCTTCATCTAAAATACAATATTTTAACTTCTTAAATGGTTTGAAAGGAGATTCAATTTTGGATAATTTTGAAAATCCAGTGATTTTACCAGGTGTGGTAACCAATATATCTATTCTTCCTAATTTATCTAACTTTGTGAAGAGATCAATTGGTGGATCTCCATGTGCTAATTTTGCAATATGTAAATTTAGCTTATTTCCATCTTCGTTTTGAATAAATGATTTATAACCAGCGGCAATACCATCCATATTATTCAACTCAGTCTCATTTGCCCTTTGTAATACATTATATACCTGATCGATTAATTCATGAGTAGGTAATAATATTATAGATCTAACATATTTATCCTTCTTATCATTATTAAATTTCAACCTATTAGCAGAATACAATTCCAAATCATCAAATTTCAATTTAGTTAATAATGAAGACAAATATGCCCATGTTTTACCACTACCTGTTTCAGCAGCAATTGTAAACACCTTAGTTCTTGATAATTCATTTTGTAATTTAATGTCATCGAGGATAGATTTTTTTGAATCACTAGAATCTGAATCAATAGGTTTTAGTTTCCGCGATTGTGTAATCTTCCTAATTGAAGATATTTGAACAGGACTAGGTTTAATTTCGATTTCTTCAATTGGTTTATTTGCCGTATTATTATATTGTGATTTAATTTCTTTAATCATTGCATCTCGAACTGACGGAAATATTTTCAATTGGTTAAAATTATCAATTTTATCTTGAATGAAATCTTGTTTAACCGGTTTATTATACAATTTTGAAAATTTACCAGATTCAAATATCAAATTAGATGAGCTGCCACTCGTACTATTTCTTTTTCTGTCCACTCTTTTTGAACCCTGTTTTTTTACCAATTTCCTACCATTATGTATCAATCTAATATAATCACATCGTATAATTGTATCATATGGTTGTCTTAATAAACTAAACATGAAAAGAAAGACTTCTTTTAGTAGTGAAAATTTTGTTGCAAAAAAATTTGTATTGGTCTTCGAATTGGAATAAATTTTTTGTCGTGTAAAATTAACGAATCAAATTTTCAAAATTTTTCTGACCCAAGGTATAAAGAAAGAATAGTCGGTTGGCTCAAATGTTGAGGTTTACAGTCAGGAGTATAAATATCATAAATATACCCATAAGATGTTTATCATCTACCAATATAGTTTCCGCTCCATTTAAACAAAAAGAGGGTAAAACTAAACAAAAAATGGTTACTAAAAAAAATGATAAAGTTGATGTTAAAAGATCAACAAATTTAACTCATTTACCATTTGGTGAAGCTGTTAGAAATTTACAATTTGAAAAAACCGCTTCAGAATTAAAAATAGATGAATTGACAAGTGATTTTTCAAGAGGTAAAGTTTTTATATATCCTAAAAAAATTGAATCTAAATTGAAGTCAATGGGTGGGTTTAAAAAATTTCAATTTCAAGAAAGTTTTGCAAAACCGATTACATTGACTACTTCAAATACAACTAGAATAAATGAATTATTTGTAAATAAACTAGATGAAAAGTTTGAAAATAACAGATTATATATTGATGGATCTAAAGGTATTGGTAAATCAACTTTGTTAAACCAAGCAATTGCCTTATCATTATTGAAACATAATCATGATATAATAGTGTTACACATGGATAATGCTGAAGTTATAGGAAATGGATCATCTAATTATATTTTCAACAATAAATTATCAATTTATCAACAACCAATGATTACAAGAAGATGGATTAAAAAGATATTAGCTGCAAATGAAGATACATTCAAAAAAATGAAACTTACACAAGATGTTAAATTTACAAAGGATAAATTGGAAATTAAATTAACTGCTAATAAACATACTTTATATGATTATTTATCACAAAATTTTGAATTTGGTAAAACTGATCCACATACGCATTTCAAATATTTAATTAATGAGATAAAACAACATTCAAAGAACATACCTGTATTGGTTTCAATTGATAATTTCAATGCAGTTACAGATTTTTCATTAACTCAATATAAATCACCAGATTTTAATCCTATACATATTCAAGAATTTGAAATGGGTAAATTTTTAATAGACGTTGCTAATGGCTCAATTGGATTTGAAAAAGGTGGTGTATTATTAAGTAAATGTAATGATTTTGCTCCAAATAGAAAAACAATTGAAGTTGCAGTATATCCAGAACGTGAATATAATTTATATATGAAACAACCAGAATTTGATTTAGAATTGGCAAGAAAATTACAAGGTATAAAACCATTTGAAATGACATCTTTAACAATTGATGAATCAAGAGAATTGATGAAAATATGGAAAGATCAAGGTGTATTAATAGTAAGAAAAGATTTTAATAAAAAAGATTTCAATCAAGAATCTAGTCAAGTTGTTGAAGTAGATATGGAATCACAATTTGAAAAAATAGTATTAAATTCATTTAACACATCTCAAGGTAATCCAATGGGTATGTTTAAACAAATAGCATTAACTTATTAAATCTGTATATAAAAGTCATGACAATATAAAATCTATAAAGCTTCGTAAATCTATGTAAATAACGTATCTTCTTCTCTCAAATATTCGCCTATATCACCCTGTCTAAATGCAACTATACCTGTTGGTGGTAAATTTCTCGCTTCTTGTGTTGATTTTGCACTTACACCAAAACCTAAAGGCACATCATTCATTGAATATATAATAACACCAGCATGTTCAGGTATATCATCTGACATTTTACCTATATGAGCTTTTAATACATGATTACCATATAAAAATGGCATTTCACCATTTGTTTTAATCCAAATTTTAAATTTTGCATATTGTGAAAGGTAATTTAATGAAGTTATATGTAATTTGAATTTCCCAGTTTTTGTAAATTTACCAAAACAAGTCCCAAGACTCATCAAATTTGATCTTGATACTGACGTTGCAAATTTTGCAATTTGTTCTGAAACATAATATACTCTATCTTTTTGTAATCTAAAAACATACGGACTTTCTGGATTATCTATAAGAAAAGTAATATTTCTACCTATATAGTTAGCTAGTTTTTCAAATACAACTTTAGTTTCTTCTTCAGTTAATGATCTCATATTATTAGGTGGTTATTATTGATAAATGTTTCAAATTTGAGATGAGAAAAAAAAAAAATCTAAATTTACGAATCAATCAATGATAAGATGGTTGAACAAAATAATAAAAGATCAATTAATGAAGAACAACACAAGTCAGAAACCAATAAGAAGTCAAGGAAAGAAAAAATTAAAGAAATTAGGGCATCCAGGAACTATACAATTACGTAGGTAAGTCAAAGGAAATCAATAAAAAGCTAAAAACTAACGATTCTCCTAGCGAATTTAAACCATTATTAGATGAGAATGGTAATCCACTTCCTAAATCAGAAAGAAAACCAAAAAGGAAATGTGCTGTTATGTTTGGTTATTGTGGTACTGGTTATAATGGTTTACAAACTCAAAATAATGATAATGTGAAAACTATTGAAAAAGAATTGTATACTGCAATGACTAAAGCTGGGGCAATTTCAATTGAGAATTCAATAGATCAAAAAAAATCAAGCTTTCAAAGAGCTGCAAGAACTGATAAAGGAGTCCATGCTGCTGGAAATGTCATATCCTTAAAAATGATAATTGAAGATCCAAATATAAAAGATAAGATTAATGAAAATTTACCTGAACAAATACGAATTTGGGGTATTCAAAGAACTACCAAGGGGTTTGATTGTAGAAAAATGTGTTCTTCAAGAATTTATGAGTATTTATTACCTACTTACGCATTATTACCACCTAAGAAGGGCACTTCATTATCAAATTTGATAGATGAAAAGAAACAATTGTATCCTAATTTATTTGCAAATGATAATGGAGAAGGTGAGAATTGGTGGAAAGAAACTGAAGAGAAAACTAAAGATGTAACAGAAGATAAGAAAATCAAATCAATTGAAAATCAAGCAAGGAAATCATATCGTATATCTAAAGAGAAATTAAATGATTTAAGAAATGTGATTAAAAAATATGAAGGTACTAATAACTTTCACAATTTTACAGTAGGTAAAGATTATAATGACAATTCAAGTAAGAGATTCATAATGAGTGTGAATGTCTCAGATCCATTTCTTATCGAAGGTACAAATTCTCAAACTGAGTGGGTATCAATTAAAATTCACGGTCAATCATTTATGTTACATCAAATTAGAAAAATGATTGCAATGGCTACTTTATTAATTAGATGTAATTTGCCACATGATTTAATTTTAGATTTTTTTGGTCCAACAAAGATTAATATTCCAAAAGCACCTGCTTTAGGTTTATTATTAGAAAATCCAGTTTATGAATCATTCAATCAAAAATTGAAAACCGGTAAAGAAGGTTATGATATGATTGAATTTGAAAAATTTTCAAGAGAAATGGATGAATTTAAAATGAAGTATATTTATGATAAGATTTACGATGAAGAAAATAAAGAAAATGTGTTTAATGCATATTATAATTATATTGATTCTTTTGATGTTGTACCAGATGAAGAAGGTGCTCCTGGTTATAGTAAAAATAGAGTTACAATATTTGATTTTATGACAAATTACATTGATAAACATGGAAAAGAAGTGGAAGAAATTAAAGAAGATAATGCAGAAGCTAAGGAGGAAATTAAAGAAGATAACGCAGAAGTTAAGGAGGATGTTAAAGAAGAAAGTAAAGATTAATAGTTGATACATTGTAAATAGACAATACAATATTAAGAGTTCTATTTTTAACAATTATTCCTAAATCGAATTTAAATTTATATTAGCCAATTAATTATATATAACCTAGATATTACACCATTAGCAATTATTTTTGTATTATTTATTATTATGTATGAACTAACAGATATGAATCATATCTTTATTTAAAATTGAATTACACATTATATGACATCTGGAACGATTCATTTAGTTTCGTGATTTTCACAATTTTAAACCTTTATGCTTATTTAAATTATTATATTATTTATTGAATTAAATTAAAGCCATGCTGGATTTCCTTGTTGTTGTTGTTGAGGTGGTAATTTTGATTTATCTTGAGGTTGATATTGATATGCATTTCTTTGAACTGCTATTTGTTTTTGATCTGATGGTACTTGTTGTTGTTGTGAAATTTGTTGTTGATTTACTTGCTGTTGTTGATTTGCTTGTTGATTTGGATTTGGATTTGGATTTGGTTGTTGTTGTTGTTGTTGATTTTCTTGATTTTCTTCATCAGTTATTTTATCTTGTTGTCTTTGTTTTTCTTGTTGAAATTTATACAAAGTCCAATCAAAAACATAATCATATCTATAATTTTCCTTTTTAAATAAATCTCTAAATAATTTTCTTAAATATGGATAATCTGGTTTATCATCAAATCTTAAAGTCTTAATATAATTCATATAATCTAAAAACTCATTTGGTAAACCTTTACATAAAATATTATTTGGAGTTGTCATTTTTTTTTCCATAATTCTATCATATTTTTGTCTTTTAGTTGCAGCTTTTAAACCTTGCCATGGTAATGAACCTCTACAAAAATAAATTAAAACATAACCTAAACTTTCTAAATCATCTCTTCTTGATTGTTCAATACCTAAATGAGTATTAACTGATGCGTATCTTGCAGTACCAGTTAAATTTTTATTTTCTCTATATGGAATATGTAAATGAGTTCTTGGATCTCTATATTTTTTAGCTAAACCAAAATCAATTACATTAACTTGTGAACCTCTTCTACCAATACCCATTAAAAAATTATCTGGTTTGATATCACGATGAATAAAACATCTTGCATGAATATATTCAATACGACAAATTAATTGATCGGCTAATAATAAAACTGTTTTATAAGTAAATTTTCTATTGCAATAGTTGAATAAATCTTCTAATGATGGACCTAATAAATCAATAACCATTGCATTATAATCACATTCAGTACCATACCATCTAACAAATGGGATACCAACACCGCCACTTAAAGCTTTATAAACTTTTGCTTCATATTCTAATTGTGGATGTTTTGCTTTTGTATTTTCTAATTTAATTGCAACTTCTTCACCTGATATAATATTTGTACCTAAATAAATATCACCGAATGAACCTGAACCAATCTTACGTCCAATACGATATTTTTTACCAACTCTTAAATCCATAATGATTAATTAAATTTGATAATAAATGTGTTGAAAAGTTGGCGGTTAAATTTTAATAAATTATGTTGTTAATTTCGTTGAGAATTTAATTATTTGTGATTAAATTCTCGACGAAATGAAAAATGGGTTGAAATGATGAAAACTAAAATGATGATGGATATTAGTTTATATGATGATGTAGTTCAATATGGTTAAATTGATCACAATATGATGATGAAATGATATATAAATTGGTTGTTGTTTTGTTATTTGTTGTAAAAGATGTGTAAATTTTTGTTTGATTATTTTTTTTTTTTTTTTATTTTGATTTCTTTTGTTTCCAAGTAACAATGTACACGACCTTGATAAATAGCTGCAAAATAAAACAAGCAACAACTGGTATAGAATAAGCTGATGATGTCAATATATTATTATGAATTTATGCAATGCACTGGGTGTACATGGAAAAATACAATAATACGAAGGGAAAGGCAAGATCTAAATATAAATCAATTTTCAAACTTAATTCAAAATGGCAAATTATTTACAATATTTACACCTCTTATTCTTCTATGATTGCACGATTTAACGGTCTGCAGTTACGTCTTGGTTATGTTTTCTTGGAATACGGAGTTCCGCATCGTAATTTGATTTCGATAATACATTGATTTATTAGATCATAAATTTATTAGATCATTGATTCATCAGGGGTGCATCGTTGATTAATCTCGAGGTAATCTTACGAAACCCCATAGTCGGCTATATATGCAAGTATTTGAATGTTCAGTGTAAATATATGTTAATTGATTTGTATATTTGACTATCCAAATAGCAATTTGAGCATTTATTAACCAAACTTCATTTGGAGAAAACATACTGTGATCGGGACTGACTAATAAAGTTAGTACTGTTTTGACGTTTGCGAATTTTCAATTGCAAGGACTTTGATAAAAGTACGAAATATTTTCAGATTAGATTTTAGAAATCATGGTTCAAACAATGTTGGTGATCTAACACTAAGCTTTATAGTGTTATGTTGTTCTTTAATTTACTCTGTTTTTACCAATCTCATATATATTCATTATACTCGATTGAAAAAAAAAGTCACCTTTGACATCTCTGAACTTATACACATATTCCAATTTTTGGCCAAAAAATGTTAAATCTCAAGTCAATTTAAAATTAAGTCACATATCAAGCTAAAATACAATCGGTTTTAATCTTAATAAATCAGTATATGTAGATCAATTAAGTTGTTATTTGTTTTGTGCTTCAATGTTTGTAAAGATTAACATTTGAGGAGTTGTGCGCATTTAAATTTTGGTTCCAAAAACAAAATTAAGTGGCTAAAAAACCGTTTGAGCATTAATAACCGAGCAATATCAATACAAGAAAGATACCAGTCCCCGCAAATAACCGTTTTTTATTGTTAATTGCAGTGGAGATTGAAGCGTTAGCTAATTATGTTGCAATCTAGCTGCTCTCTTTTCGTCAAGAAAATGGCCGTCTTTTGATTACCACCTAATATATCGAATTGTATCGAGAAAGTATTCCTGAGAACAATCATGTCTACTGACTCCGAAGATATCCAGTATGTTACTTAGTCACGCCAAAATACTTTAGTTTCATTTTAAGACAAACAGCATAAAGAATTGTTTCAAATAATCTTTAAGTCACATTTTATAAAAGCCCACAGCCGTATCCCTATCCGTATCGAAAACAGTAGAAAAACAAAGTATTTACAATAACAATAGAAATAACAATAGAAATAACAATAGAAACAACATTATAAAAGATTGATTAAATAAATTATATATTAAAAATTAAAGGCAAAATAATAAGTAATAAAAGACAAACTAAAATTATATAAAAGAATCAAATGAAAAATTCACTAATAACAAACAACTCGCTTATATAAAAAAAATTAAAATTAAAATTAAAAGGACACACTGATTCAAAACTTAAGCAGCAACAACATCTTTACCTGATGATGATTTTTTGAATTTGTTTAAAAATTTTCTGAAGAAATCATTCTTTTTATCAGCTTTTTCGGTTTTTTTAGATGATTTTTTAACATGATCTTTAGCTTCTTTAGCAGCATCGTTTTCAGTAGTTTCTTCGACATCAGCAGCAGCAGCAGCAGTAGTAGTTTGTGGTTCTTCAGTGGTAGCCGCAGTTTCATCAATTGGAGTTGATTCTTCAACAACTGGAACAGCTTCTGCTTCAGCTTCAGCTTCAGTTTCAGTAGTAGTTGCGACAGTTGGTCCTTCAGTTGATGGTTCAACTGGTTGTGATGGTTCAATTACTTCAGCATCTTTTTTAACTGGTGGTTGTTCAGTAATATCTTTTCCTTCTTCTTTTTGTTGTTGTTGTTGTTGTTCGACGGGTTCAGTTGTAATTTCTCCTTCTTTTTGTTCTTGCTCTTTAATTTGTTTATCTAATGATTCTTTTGATTCTGATGAGAATATTTTTGAAACTCTTTTAACTTTATCTTTAATAGCCATTATTGAAATAAAAATAACTAATCAACTAAATAATAAAAAAAAAAACTAACATAAAAAATTGAGGTAATTTTAATAAATATTTATATTCAAATTTAACATATAAAAAAATTATAAATTACGAAAAAAGTAATTTTAAATTCAACAAGAAAATAATATCACAAAATTAATATTATAAACTTAAAATTAACTACAACCTTAATTGAGAAAAACCAGAAGCAGCGCATTGGTGTGGATTCATTGGACTAAAATTTTGACTGTGAAGTTGAATGATTTACATCGATTAACAACCAGATAACTATTATTTTTCCAACCGATTTTTAGCACTAACTTACTACTCTCCTCTTTTTGACAGACTGTTGGTTGTTAACTTTAATTTTATAACTTAACTGGATTGATAAAACACTTTCACTTTCACTTTTTTACGTGTTTTTGTACTCTGGCTTTATTGTCTTAAAAATTTTGTTTATTTGTTTTTGGTTAACCAGTTTTTATTACACGGCTAAAATATATTACACAAAACTGAATTTTATTTTATTTTATTTTATTTTATTTTATTTTTTTTTTTTTTTTTTTTTTTTTGATTTTTAGTTTTTATTATCCACCACTTTTTTCATTGAATTTCACACGATAGTATTGATAATAATTTATTATTCAATGTCATTCATCAATATAATAAAATTATTATTATTATCAGTGAAGAGTCATTAGAATTTATTATATGACGAAAAATCAGTATAAAATTTGATCATTCATTTTTCACTTCGTTGTTAATCTCTAAATTTAAATAATTTATCATTCCGTAATTGAAAATTTTTTTCTCATCACACAATATTAGAGATAAATTGTTCATGCCGTCAATTTATGGATTTATCGTCAGATAAATGTTAAATTAAGTTAAAAGACACAGCCGCAAATGATTCAATATTTATTATTTTTATTGTAGTAAATTGTATTGTTAATAAACCATTTTTAGTTTTAAAATTGTAACTGAATCTAGACGAGACATATTACGTGGGCTGGCTCAAATATTTTTTTGATGTTTTTTTTTTTTTTTTTTTTTTTTTTTTTGGTTTAGTTCGATTTTGGTCCGATTTTGGTTCGACTTTGGTTCGATTTTGGTTCGATTTGGTTTAGGTTTCACGTCACTTTATACCATCTTGTAAAACTTCAAAAAAAAATACCAACGCAGTTGTTGACCAAAAGAATCACATAAAAATAAAAATTTAATCGTATCCTTTAATATTTATTGTAGTTTCGTCTATTTGATCCTACAATGAGCGATATAGATGATGAAATATTTATCAATATCCCAATTATACCTTAATTGACATTCAAAAGTGTCACTAGAAACACTATTGGTCATCAGGTAATTATCCAAAAATTTTAAGTATGTTACATTGACTCGATTTCTTACATAGATTGACACGTAGTTTGTCATTATGACTATAAAGAAAAATTCTTGGCTTCTTTTATCTCAAGTAAAATACGAGAGAGATCTAGAGGGATCTTGCTCTACTAGGACAATGGATGTTGTATAGTTTTGAAGTCGATATTGAGACCAATTACAAAAATTCTTTGCAATTACTTTACAGCTCAATCTTTTAGTATCTTTCAGTATTTTTCAACGATTGCAAAACCATACATGACTAATTTGGTGCTACCATCTGGCACTACCATTTGGCACTACCATTTGGCATTACCTTCTGGCATCATCTGGTGCTACCATTTAGCGCTACCCACTCCACATTTTTTTCATTCTCAATGGTTTTTTTTAAATTGGTCAATCAAATCAACTATGGTCCACGCTGATTATTCAAATATTACAGGTTTAACCAAAGATGAAACATTACAACATATAATTGATTCATATACAGCATTAGAAACATCAAACTATGTCTCAAATTTATCTAATCTCCTGAGTTTATTATGGTATGCTTATCATTCATTAAATGTGAAAGTAAACTGGAGTGGTTTTTATTTATTAAATACAAAAAATGAAAATGAATTAGTATTGGGTCCATTTCAAGGTAAAGTAGCATGTCAAGTAATTAAAATTGGATCTGGTGTTTGTGGGACTGCTGCAGAAACTAAGAAGACTCAATTAGTTCCTGATGTTGAAAAATATCCAACTCATATTGCTTGTGATTCTGAAACTAAAAGTGAGATAGTGGTACCTATAATTAAAGATGGTAAATGTGTTGGTGTAATTGATTTAGATTGTTTGGAATTGAATGGATTTGATGAAGTTGATCAAAAATATTTAGAAAAATTAGCCGAATTGATTACAAAGACTTTATAATGGTCCTGTACAAACTATTACATGTCTTTTGACCGTGACGAGATGTCTAAAATGTTGTTGTATTCAGCTAGAGTTAGGGAAAAAGTTTGGAATTAAGTAAATTTAGAATTGTGAATAACCTTGTGGAGAACTTAAAAATTCACCACTATTAAGATGAAAAAAAAAAGATGCTATCTAAGCAAATGACGCTATTGGATTTGTTATGGTTTCTTTCAGATATGCTACATTTGAATATAGATAGTCTAGACTTAAATAAATGTATATGTATGAAATTTATGAAAACTTCATTATATATGTAACTGGCGGAGAATGCTGAAGCCATAATTATCACATTTTTCTGTCTCTTAGTAACCATTATCAAAGAAATGAGGCCATTCAAATGGCTAGCTTAAATTCAAAGAAAATGATGCCATTCAAATGGCTAGTTTAAATTCAAAGAAAATGATGCCATTCAAATGGCTAGTTTAAATTCAAAGAAAATGATGCAATTCAAATGGCTAGTTTAAATTCGAAGACAATAAAACTCTGCTGGCTGTGTGTGCAATCGTTCCATGTAAACCGACTATCTCTCGCGTCAATAAAAAACTTTACGGCTGCATTTTCGCTTTCGAGCTCTCGCCTTGATAATACCAAAATTAGGCCATAATTTTGTTCTAGAGCGGTCGAAAATTATTATGAGTTTTGCCTGAAGAATTTTAAATCATCGAAATTAAATAATACAATAAAAAGGAGCTATACAAAATGATATTTAAATTTAATGTTGTTCTTGTTCTGCTCTTCTTTGTTCTTCTCTTTCCATATTATGATACAATAAGTTTTTAGCTTTTTCAATTGATTGTTGAGAACCTGTAATTGTGAAAATTCTTTCATTTTTACCTTCAATTGGTTCAGAAATACCAATATTAGCACCTGATATTTTACGAACACCTTGAATTCTTGAACCATTTTTACCAATTAAAGCACCAACCATATCATTTGGGAAAGATATTGAAGCAGTATTTTTTCTAAATCCATTAGAACCATTTGTATTTGTTGAAGAAGCAGTATTATAATGTGATCTTGGAACATAATATGTAGTATTTACAATTGATGAAAAATCTTCAATTAAACATCTTGATATAATTCTTAAAGCATCATAAAGGTCATTAACACGACCTTGTAATTCAACAAGTCTTTCTTTTGAACCCGGTAAGAATGATTTTGATGCAATCATTGAAATGTTGAAATTATTTTGAATTTGTTGAATTCTTGCACCTTTAGAACCAATTAAAGTTCCCATTTGTGAGTTTGGAATTAATAATCTAAGTATAGTTGTCTCATTTTCAATACATGGTTGTGATGATAATTGTTTTAATGGGAAATAATTATATGTTTCAATTTGAGAATTACATAAAGCTTGAGCAAAGAAACTTAAAGCTTTAGCACAAGAATCTATTTTACCTGAAACAGTTAAAATTCTTTCACTACTACCTGGAACTAATTTGGAAATACCAGCTTTTGTATTGGTTTCTCCTCTAATAGAATCAATAACTTGTCCATTTTGACCAATTAAACAACCAGCTTCTTTTGCTGATACTAAAACTCTATAATTAATCAAAGCGTCGATATTTGATTTATCAACGAGCGACGGTAATGTAGTTGATTGGTCATAAGATTGTTGATCATTATTTGATGAAGATGATGATTCACCAACTTGTTGATGTTGATTTGTTGCTGCTGCTGTTGTTGTTGTTGTTGTTGTTGAATTTGATGATTCTGATGGTTTTGATTGTTCTTTTGGAGTTGATTTTTCTGTAAAATTGGTGTCAAATAATGATTCAGTCATGATGTTGATGGAATTGAATTTAACAGTGAAATTTGAATTAGATTAGATTAGGTTAAGTATAATAAAAGACAATGAATTACTAGTAAATGTTAGTCTTTTCTGTTTCTTTTTCGTATGGTGGTTTTTTTTTGTAAGATGGAAATTGCAAATTTTTTTTGTTGTAATGGATTCAAAAAATTATTTAGTATGGGGTACACGACTTCCAACTCCAATTTTAATTTTGATTTAGTTGAACGATCAAAAAGAATTTTATTGTATTAATGATTGTTAAATTCGTTCGTTGTAAGTGCGATTGACTTTTACCATTTCCATTAAGTTGTGTTGTTCAAGGGATTTGATTTTTTCAATATATGGGATGTCTGTTGAACTTTTCGTTACATGTTGGAAGTTCTTGTCGTTATTTCGTGGTGGGTTCAAAGTGAGCTTTTGCGCTGACTACAGATACAGTGTGACAGAAATGGTTTGGAGACTGTAGTTTTTTAGGTACCAGCGTGAACCTAAAGTTGTGTCAGAGCCAGTTTGGCAATTTAAGTCGAACATATATAACGGGAAAAAATATGTTTTTCAAATAAGGAGACTTCCCACTTTTCGAATCTTGAACCTATTTTAAACACACGTGTGAAGTAGAAGTATTAACTGTGGGAAGGTATTCTTGAAGTTCTTTTCTAAAAAGACTGTAAACACTTGAGAGATATGGTGGGTTCAAATATTGTGAATAGAAATGAGCAAGTTCTATATTTCATAAGTTTAATTCAAAGTATCTGTTACTTTTTTTAATTGTTCAAGTTACCTACAATGTCATTGAGGTAATTTGATAAGTTTAAAAGTAGTAATTTTGGTTAATTAATAGACTTGATTAGCTATAATGTTAAAATAAGCTGTCAAATCAACAAGACATTCTGGTAAATTATCTTTATCATTTGAGGAAAGAGGTCCATCAGCTCGAGACCATTAATGAAAGTCAAATCTTTTTGATTAACAGTTTTTATGGACAATTTGTTAATAAATAAAACTAAATAATAGCAGTCTACAAAAATTGACCAAAATGGATTTTTTTTATGAACAATTTGTTAATAAATAAAACTAAATAATAGCAGTCTACAAAAATTAACCAAAATGCAAGTTTTTTATGTCATTTCTCTATTAATTAACATAACTCTGAAATTGGTTGTAATTCAAGAACTTCATTACAATCCTAAATTACTAGTTGAACTGTCTTATTCAAGTTTCTTTTCTACTAAATATCTTGGTGCGACAAAATAAATTCTTGCGGTAGAGATGAGGCGACTCGTACTAAACGTATTGGCTTATATCTCATGTTCAGCGCATTTTTCCGAGATAAATACCAATCTACTAAGATCAGAAGCATTGAGTTATAGACTCTACATAGTTGAAATTTCACAATTTGAACATTATTTTTTTGAGTTGTTATTTTGGCAATTTTGTTTTTCACTATACAAAAATTTTGCGAAAAATGTGAATCAATGTATCTTCTTATCTAGTTCCAAAACTTTCAATCAGTCAACGGATTATAAATATCATACCTTAAATAAAGCTGTTAGACCCTTTTTAATATTAGTGGATCTGAACTAAAACTGAGAAATTTCACAATTTTCTCTCATCAATATGGCAAAAATTGAATATATTAGCTTTACGAAATAACTAATTCCACAACTTAGTTCGAAATAAAAGTGTGGTAGATCTATCAAGATGCATAGTTCCCTCATTCTAATAAATCTTGAAGTTTTTGTGTTAAAATATTTAAAATTAAAAAACTGATTTTAGCGCCTGTAAATTACTACCAAAAATATCTTTGATGTTAAATGAGTCAAATTGGATATTCTACGATTCGATAAACGAAGGTTAAGTATGGTTTATCTCGTAATTTAACGTATTTTTGCATTTTTTAAATGAGGAATTAATTGCTCAAGATAATGTTTTATTGATTGACTCTAGCATCAGTGCTCAGAACAAAATGAAGTATTTCCGAAAACAATTTGAGAACAACAGATCAACTTTTGAGAGAGATATCAACAGATTAAGTTTAGATTATATTAATTACCATGAGACTGCATATAAATTATTTGTTTCAGATTTCAAAATAAGCTGTCAACCGATACCGCCAAACAAGTTTTTGATCCAAGGCCATTAGTGGTACCACTAGTCGTGTTGCCTATGGCCATGATGTTATTTTTTGTAGGTATGAGAGCTCCAACATAGCAGTAATTTTCAAGTCTCTTGCTTTAAATAGACATGATGCTAATATTTTATCTTTTAGAATTTGTTAGCATTAGAAAAAACATTTTAAAGGTAATTGACGAATGCAAAATTATTATACTATTGCGCTACCAATTCAAGGGTTGAAAGCATACAAAACATCGAATTGTTGTTAATATCAAGAGCTTATAAGTTATTAATCTTACAAAAGTTATCTAGCATGAATCATTTATATATTTATCTTTTTTGTTAAATAACACCAATATAATCTTTGGCATTTACTGTGGCATAAGAGCCTCTTCTAGTATTACTATTTGAATTTTGACTTGTTGGACTTATTCCATCATCTTTATCTTCATTTTTAATCATTTCAGCAAATGAATAATAATTCAAAAATTGACAATTACCTCCTCCAGCACTTGTAGCATTAGTATTTTTTTGATTTATATGATCTTTTTTCTTATCTCTACTATATGCAGTTGCACCACTAAATGAACTAGCTCTTTTACTTAAAGGTCTATTATAAGCAGCAGCAGTAGTATTTAAAACATTTGATGATTTAGATTTATCCAATTCTTTTCTAGATTGTATTTGATTTAAAGTTGTTATTAAATTTTGAGAAATAATTGATCTACTTCTTGGTCTAAAAGCTTCTTCATTATTTCGCCCCATATATTGTTTTGGAGAAGTACCATAAATTTCTTCATATTGCTCATCATCATCATCATCATCATCATTATTATTATTATTATTAATATCTGTTTTTTCACCATCATCATCATCATCATCATGATCTTCTTCTTCTTCTTCATAACAATTAAGCTTTATATTGTCCAAACCAATTTGAGGATTTGAACATATTTCAATAGTTGAATCAAGAATAGGACTTGTAAAATTTTCTAAATTAAAATGTTCAGGAGTTTCTATATTTGCTAAATTTGAAATTGGTTCGTTTTTAATTAATGACCTTTCAAAAATATCTGAATCTGAATTAGAGCTTATACAATCCATATTTATATTATTACCTGTTGAACTACAACAAATTGGAGTTAATTTTAATTTTGAAATACATTTTTTATGATGAAATTTTTTATTATTATGACTACTAATATTAATATTGTTTGATGAAGATGATGAAGCTGGTGGTTGTGGTGGTGGTGGTGGTGGTGGTGGTGCGCGTGCACAATTATTTTCTTCCAATGAAGAAGTTGAATTACTAAACAAATTAAATTTTGCCGAATTTGTAATTGGTTGTTGTTGAGTTTTTGACATTTAAAATGATAATTGAGATATGATATATGAAATATGAGATGTGGATGAAAATTGAAAGTTATAAAATGAAATTTTAAAATTATTTATTTATATGACAAGAAATTAACAATAAAGATTGAATTATTATTATTATTATTATTATTATTATTATTATTATAATAAAAGTTAAAGTGTTAAAGTGTTATAAGTATTAAACAATGTATTAAAATGTATTAAAATGAAATGTATTAAAATGAAATGAAAATGAAATTGAAATGAAATTGAAATATAATGAATATACTGAAACTTTGAAAATATATTAAATATATGTTTAAAGTGAAAAACGGAAAATTGGTTGATAATTTATAGATGAAACAATTCAACAATTAATACTGTGTGTATAATTTTTATCTGTATATATAATTTTTAAGGTTTAATGATCAAAAATAAATAAATAAAAATAAAAAAAAAAAAAAAAAAATAAAAATAAAAATAAAAAAAAAAAAAAAAAATAAAAAGTATTCAATTTTGCAATTGCAAACAAAAAAAAAAAAACAAAAAACAAGACACTTTCAAACAAAAGAGAAATAGAAACTAATAATAATCACTTAATCTATTTCAATGTTTCACCATATTCATTTTTATCTGGTTATCTCTCACCACAATCGACTAACTTTTTTTTTAATCTCTTTTTTGAACTATCCTAATCTAAAAAGTTTATTTATAAATTTTTGATGCCCTTCCCTTTTAATTAAAAATCAACAATCAATGTTAATCCTTGTGAAAGAAGAAAGAGTGAAAGAGTGAAAGAGAGAAAGAGAGAAACAGTACACAATATACTGTTGTTGGTCAATAAATCTAATAATCTAGTAGTATATATTATTAATTTGCTAAATTGAATGTATGATCATCAACAACTTATTTAGTGTTACAATATTATTTATTATTATTAATTGGCGTTTATTTCTTCTTTCGAGGGGAATGATCAAATTTTATTAAAATCGAGTGATTTTTTTGAATTTAGTGCGTTGAATTTTTTTTCACTTTCGTGCCTCGAATGCCGTGCCGCCCCCAATTTGGAACGAACTTAATAAATTTGCTATTGCATTATTAGTTAATACGGTTTTGAATATCAAAGTCGACGCATCAATAGAAAATTTGTACGCCCGCCCTATATGATCAAACGAACGTTTATAACTAACCAACTATAAACTATTCTATATAAATTTAATTTACTATCTCTCTGCTGATTTCAAGTTCACCCTTAATTTCCATAATTTCCATAATTTAAATATCAATAGTTTGAAAAATATTAAATGAATATAAAATTGAATGCCAGTAGCATAATAATAATTTTTGTTTCGTCACGTAGTGTTCTTATTCATTCCTTAATAAATCTAAATTACAATTGTATCATGTTTATTTTTAGCATATACTTTTTTAAGCGAATCAGATAAGAGATTAGAGTCGAATGTTTGTAATATATTAAATTTATGCAATTTATGATATTTATGCTATTTATGAAATTTATGATATTTATGCTATTTATGATATGTATGATATTTATGAAATTTATGTATGGAAGGAATGTTTCATGTATAGTGATTATTTTATTGTAGATCTTTCGATTTTTTTATCGATTTTTTTATCTATTGATTCAGCCCTAAAAAAAAAAATGGCTTTATTTTGAAGGAAGCTGCTCACAACCACTAAAAAATTATTGGTTCATTTTTCGACATTCAAGGAATGTATGTTACAATTCTCATTCTTTAACTTTATCTTTTTCTGATATTAAAGATTAATGACTGACTATTTTCTTCTGCTCAACGTTTTTTAGTGGGGGTCTATTTGTTCATGTTACATTCGAATCAACTTGTATCAATTTTTAATTACATCATAGTGTTTGAAAATGCCGCTTCCTGAATAGGAGTCATGCAACAAACAAAAGTTGCCGCACTACTAAAGTCATACAATAGGAGCATTTTGTTTTTTGAACACTAAATATTAAATATTCGTTTGAGCAATAATACACTACTTGTTTCAGATTTTTCCTACTCTTCCAAAAACGGTAATTTTGTTTTTCCGCAGAAAAAAAGAAAAAAAAATAATTAATTAGATTTATCGAATTCATCAATGGATTCAATTTCAATATCGTGTAATGAATTAATTAATTATTATACTACAAATTATAATGAACCATTGATAATAAATAGACAAGAAGTAAAGAGTAAGATAATAAATTCATTGATTCATGAGCCACGACAACAACAAGAACAAGAACAAGAACAAGAACAAGAACAAAAATCACTACAACAAGGAACGGAAATTGATTTATCTACAATTATAAATGATTACTGGTCATTAGAGGAAAGAATTGAGACAAATGTTGAAAATATCAAAGATGAAAATGTATTGAAATTTATAGAAGAGCAGAAAAAACATAAGGAGAATTTTTTGAATGAGATCAAAGAAAAAGGTTCAAAATTAAGTAAAGATATTGAATAAATTTCTGAAAAAACATGTTAAAGAAGTTATTGAAGAAATAGAACAAGGACGAAGTTGATGCCAAAAATGGTCATCAAGTTCATCAAGTTCATCAAGTCTGGGTAAGATACCTTATGAAGATCGGGGAAAACTTGATGACCTTATAGATGAAGAGTTTAATCGAATGATGATAGGTACTATGGGCTCACGAACATATGAGGAACTCAATTGACAATGTGATTATATAGGATCCGACGCGCGCAAGAAAATTCAAGAAAGGAAGAGGATTAAAAAGAATCAATATAATAACAACAGGAATATAAATAATAATAATAACAATAATAACAATAAGAATAAGAATAATGGTGGTAATAATGGTAATAATGGTAATAAAAACCTGAATATTAAAGGATTTCCCAACCCTTCGAGAATGAACTACTGAGTATTATTATTACAAATATATTCTCATGATCTGTGCTGTTTTAATTGGCTTTATTAGAAAATAAATCAAGCATATATGTCACTAAGTTCTGATAATATGCCGGTGGGGTCCAAAAACTAATTGCTATATTTGAACCAAGGAGCCTGAAGTTGGTCGAATCAAGCTGGAGATTAATCTCATACATGCTGCAAGTTGCAAATTGATTTCATTAAATATGTAAATACATAACTACGATTAATCTTCTTTACCAATCAAAATCCAAGGTTCAATTCCTATACCAACAGCAATATAAAGTAAGTAAGTTTATGTTTATTGATCAGAAACTCTCAAATAAATAGTTTTTAAATTCTGTTCTTAATTATGTTTTTAAATTCCGAGACTTAAAGTAAAAAATTGCGCTTTCAATTGGTAGCAAAATTCCATTTTTTAGATAAGCGCAAGGACAAATAATAAAATCAGATCAGAAAGATCAAATTGCATTAGCCATTACAACTAATCCACAATATGACATTATCACTATTAGATTTAGGTGAAGATATACTATTACAATTATCAACACATTTAACTCCATCACAAATCTTCAAATTATTTACTTTAAATAAACAATTGTATTCAATATTCAGCCATTCAAATTCAATCTACAATCTTTTATATCGTAAGTTATTCAATACAACTTATCCAATAACTTCGACTCAAAATTGGAAAGAGATATTTTATACTAGAGTATCATCGCAACAAGTATTCACTTGGGGAGAATCAAATGGTGGTAGATTAGGTTATTTATCAACTTCAATTCCACAAGAGAGTTTAATTCGTAATTTCGGATGGTATGTACATACACCTTCACACATACCTGAATTTGATAATTTTATAATCATTGACATATTGGCAACAGGTTTCAATTTTATCTTTTTGTTAGATAATGGAGAAATATGGTATTCGGGAATTGCAAGAAATGGATATAGGAATATTTCACCTGGTCCAAAAGAAAAAGATTATATAGGAAGAATAGAGAATGATCATGTTGCAGCGAGAAGAAACTTGGGTGTTATTCCAATGCCATTAATGTCTCAAAGATATCAAATTCCAAAAGATGAAGAAAATAATGATCTTAAATGGAGACAAAAATCAAAAACTGTGCCCTCAAATAACAATTTCCTTTCTAAATTTGAAATTATGGGACATCCTCATGTTGTTTCTATAAGTTGTGGTAGAGAACATTTAATTGCATTAACGGATACAAATGAATTATATACTTGGGATTCAGGAAATTCAAACAAGATAGGTATAAAATTAACATTTCCAAGTATTGATTCAAGTTATACTATTCTTAAAATATGTGCTGGTTGGAATTCAAGTGCAATTTTAGTTGAGAATGTTGGGTTAGTTATTATTTACAGAAGGGAAGCTTTAACTAAAGAACAATTTGAAAACCATCATTTTACAACAGATGCTAAATACATTATACTTCCAAACTCCAAAAATAACATTGTTGATCTCACAGTTGGTAATAATTACATTTTATATATTTCAAAATCAGATAATTCATTATGTATGTTTACATTTAATCCAGATAACCTTAGTTCAGAGACAAGCATAACTGAATTAAGATCAAGTATTAAAAAATTGGACAAATTTAATAATTGGAAAACTCAATTTGAAAAACATATCGAATTTACTAAAGTAAGTTCAAATTTTAATAATTTTATCATATTTACAAATCATGATCAGATTTTATTTGGTCATTCTGAAGATGTGGAAAATATAATTGTGCACGATGAATTACAAGGAAGAAATATAGTCAGTATCGAAATTGGTGATTATCATTATTTAGCTCTCACTTCATCTGGTGACATTTTTTCTTGGGGTATTGAATCTAAATGTTGTGGATGCTTGGGATTAGGTTCAAAAGAGGAAGTTAAACAGAAAGTAACTGATGAAACTATTGTTATAGATGAAGGTAATGGATTGAGAGTTACCAAACCTTTGATTGTTAAAAAACCTGGAAATGGTAAATGGATTGGTATAGCTGCTGGTGGTTGGCACTCAGCTGGTATATTTGTACCTGATGAACCAAAGAAAGAGCAAGAAAGTGATAAAAGTGAAGCTTGACTAGTTGTTAGTGAAGATAATAAAAGAGTTTTGGTAATTTTATTATTGTTGGTCTCATTATACTACATCCTTATAATCTAGGAATAGCTGGTATACTTGTACCTGATGAACCAAAGAAAGAGCAAGAAAGTGATAAAAGTGAAGCTTGACTAGTTGTTAGTGAAGATAATAAAAGAGATTATTGTTGGTCTCATTATACTACGTCCTTATAATCTAGGAATAGCTGGTATACTTGTACCTGATGAACCAAAGAAAGAGCAAGAAAGTGGTAAAAGTGATAAAGGTGAACCTTGACTAGTTGTTAGTGAAGATAATAAAAGAGTTTTGGAATTGTATTATTGTTGGTCTCATTACACTACATCCTTATAATCTAGGAATAGCTACAAGTTGTTACTCTGTCGATCAATTCACCAGAGCTGGTGTGTTTACTACCTTCGAATACACATTTTCTTCTGAAAAACGATCAACCTGCGTTCCATATCTTTATTGGTCAGATAAGCCCAAAGCGAATAAAAAAAATTAGACCAAAGCTTAAATTCAAGGCACCACTTGAGATAGCAAAGTTTATTTCTCCATTGAAGTCAAAATTGTGTAATTATTAAAAAAGCCAATATAATCAATTATTTTGCAGCTAAATTTTTCAATATTTAAAGTGGCAAAATAAGTACATTTACACAGTAATTGCTGCCGGTTGGATTACAGAGCTTATTCCAGACAACAAACATCTAATCAATCGATTCTTTACTCCAATTCTCAGCATAATGGCTAATCTATACTTCAAATCATTTCTAATGATAAGAATAGCCCTGTAGTTTTCTTTTTTTCTCAATTTTTTTTTTTTTCTTCATCCATTGAGTGAGTGACCAAATAAAAAAATATAGAAAAAAACTAATCTATTTATTAGTAGCATCAATAGATATTGAATCCCCGATCAACATTATTCATTCCAATTATGAGTTTATCGCCCAATTCTAGAGATTATTTATCACCAGACATTAATTCGTCAAGTCAGTATATAAGAAGAAATTCAAATATAGAGAACATAAATCAACCATCAAATCTACAATCTTCATCACAACATGCTCGTAAAAATTCAATTAATGGGGATTTAACTCCAACACCATCTCATCAACCAGCTCATACAATAACTAGACCAAGACGTTCTTCTTCAATAATACAACATTTGGAACCAGATACAATAGATACCAAAATTGATCAAGCTTTAAATCCAAATCTTAATGCAAATTGGGTGAATCAAAAAGGTGCGTGGTTAATTCACATAATTATAATAATAATTTTGAAAATCTTCTATAATTTTTTGAACATTCTTAATAATGATTGGAAATGGACAATGACTAATTTAACGTATAACATTGGATCATATATTATGTTTCATCAAGTTAAAGGAACTCCATTTGAATTTAATTCGGGTGCTTATGATAATTTAACAATGTGGGAACAAATAGATAATGGAGATCAATATACTCCAACAAAGAAGTTTTTAATGATTGTTCCAATTGGTTTATTTTTAATTCTGACTCATTATTCGAATTATAATTTAAATTTATTTTTATTGAATGGATTGAGTTGTTTATGTGTTGTTATACCTAAATTGGCAATTGCTCATAGATTAAGAGTTACATTATATTAGTAACTTGTGACACTGAGAAAGAAAGAGAGAGGGTGCTTTATTATTTATAGTGAAATTGAATATTTTTAGTTTAATTTTATATTATATTTAAATTTGTTGATTATTGATTGTTATTGGTATAATTTGATCTTAATGGAAGATGGAATCAATACCTATTTCTTTAAAGATTTCTAATTTTAGAGTTGTGAGCTGTATCTTATTAGCTCAAGATTGACGTAGATGTCATTCTTGCAATAGATTCATCGAGGTTTATATATTCCGTCTGTTGATAACTCAAAACCAAATTGTAGGTCTTCTTTTTAACAACTGTCTACCTCGAAACGACTTAAGAATGCTAAGAAAGTCATTTGTAGTTGATAATTTTCAAATACTTCATCTTTCATGGATGACATTTAAATTGGCGATGTGATAAGATGGTGATTAATTAATCGAAGTTGTGGCCTTATCTACGATGAAACAATCTGGGTACCGAAAAATGATTTTGAATGTTGAATCTTTAAGTAAAAAGAATTTTGAATCTTTAAGTATAAAGAATTTTGGTTGAATATTCACGTATTTTGCAACTACTTACTCTGAGGTATGCACTTGGTAGCTATACGGCAGATTTGGTAGCGATACGTTTTCACTAATGAGAATTAATATTGGAACATCCTTCAAAACTTGTAACCCAGATCGAAACCTTTAAAACCTAACATTGATATTTGATACTTGACTAAATTATGTTACTCACAAATTTTAATTCGTTTAGAAAAATCAGTGCTGATGCATCATCTGATAAATTTTTCAAAATTCTTAAATTTGTAGAAGTTATAAATGCTGATTAAAGCAGCATGCTCGAAGGGAACTAACTCTATTAGTTGATAAGCCAGTTCTTAAATTTGTAGAAGTTATAAATGCTGATTAAAGCATGCTTGAAGGGAACTAACTCTATTAGTTGCTAGGCTAAATTTGTAGAAGTTATAAATGCTGATTAAAGCATGCTTGAAGGGAACTAACTCTATTAGTTGCTAGGCTAAATTTGTAGAAGTTATAAATGCTGATTAAAGCAGCATGCTTGAAGGGAACTAACTCTATTAGTCGCTAGGCTTTTATAACTGCCAAGAATGCTTCAGGTTATTTACTGTATCGTAAGATACGTAAAAATTCTATAAAAATATTCGTACCATCCACCTTTCACCTTCCGTATTAGAAATAAGTACTTTAGCGCAAATCAAACAAGTCAGAAGAGAATAAGCTAAATCTCTATGAGTTTCAAAATGCGTATTGGCGTACTCGTAAAAATCTGCCTGATTAAGTTGCAACCACAATTGTATAAAATAATTTGGTCTAATGCGACAAAATTGAATAAAATTTCAATTTATTGTATAAAATAATTTGGTCTAATGCGACAAAATTGAATAAATTTCAATTTGAAACACAAGATGAAATTGAAATTGTAGATCATAAATAGGCACATTTCAATATATGCATGATCCGCTGATTATGAACTTGTAACTAAAATTTGAATGATCGACAATTTTAAACAAGGCTAAATAGGCATATTTCAGATTAAACGCTCATATGCACTCAAAATAAAAAGAAGCCATCTATGACATCAACATCAAATAATAATAATAATAAATTACAGAGATCGGCATGATGTGAAGAATGTTCTATGATGTGGTAGACACAATGCATTTATATACATTTGATTTTGCAGCCAAATATGCAGCATAATATGATTCTTAATTCATCTCGGTTATTGAAGGAAAACAAATAAAGGTGAAAATTTTTTACACTATAAACTTTTATAAATCATTTGTTATATTTTTTGACATTGATAATGAAAGGCTGCAAATCTGCAAATCAATGAAAACTAAACTAATCACAAAACTGGCCGATAAAACAGTACTTTAATATACATTTTGAAAAGAATTCAACACCTTAGCGATCGATCCGATACAAGTGATCAAATAGATTTGCATTATTTGAAATTGAAACAAAGAGTAGATTATACATTAAAACAAAAGAAATTCAAAAGGGGGAGACCTCTAATTATATTAATGCATTAAAATTTCTTTTTGTGTAACAGCGCGAGCGCAATTATAAATATTTCCTAAAATGGATTAAATTGACGTGATTTTGGATTTAATGGAATTTAATAGATTTAATAGATTCAATAAATATAATAGATTTTAATGACGACCTTCTTGCAAAATAGAGTTTTATAGATTAAAACTCCATTGATTTGAGGTTGATCAATGCAATGAACCATCATATAAGCGTGTACGATCATTATTATAACCATAAACACAAATGACGATGGTATTTATTGTTTTCGACAAATTTTAAACTTTTAAACTATCTGATCTCCGAAGGAATAGGTAGTAATTGAAACTTTCTTTGCCTAAAAAATCAAATCTGTTCATTATAATAACAAATGGAGAATAATATAATGACATGATCAATTATAATTATAATAATTACAAAGATCGAGGGTACTGAACAATAATAATATAACAAACTTACCAGTTAATCGTATAAAACTTCTGTTATTGAATCAACCTAACAAATTAAGCACAATTTATTCTATAAATAGAAATCAACACCAGATAATTTATCAATAATACACGACCTCCGTTTAAAATAGTTATTTATTCAATTTACGTAAATTTTATTTTTTTTTTTTTTTTTAAATTTATTCAAAAAAAAAAAAAAAAAAAAAAATAAAGAAAAATAAAAAAAAAAAAATTTAAATAAAATAAAAATATAGAATTTATAGAGAAATATATCATCCATTCAACATTCCTTTTCTATTTTACATGAATGAATATTGCAACTCCCAAACATCATCAATATCATCAACATCAAGAATTATCTATATCTTTGCCACCTCCATCTACAAATTTAACACCTTCTAGTTTTAGAAAACACGTACATAAACGATCTCAAGCTATACTGGGAGATTTTGATGCTATTGGTCTAGGGTTATTTAATTCACCACCACCAGCACCAGCACCAGCACCACAACAACAACAACAACATCATCAACAATATATACAAAGTCCAATAAGACAAGAAGAAAATACTTCAGATCAAATTTTCCATTTTAATAATGAAAAAGATTTTTGTAAGTCTCCAAAGAATTATTCATTTCCAATAAATCAACAACCAGCAAATCCACCTTGTATTTCATTTTCACCATTACCACCGCCATCATCACCATTTAAATCTAATAATAATAATAATAATAATAATAATAATAATAATAATAATAATAATAAAATTTTATTAAATTCACCTATAAAAATCAATCATAAAAGATCACTATCGACAAATACGGCAAAACCAAGATTTTTCCTTACCGAAGATACTCAGTTTAATAATTCAGAAAATGTGCCTGATGCATTAATAGATTTAGATGAAATACTTAATTCAAATTTACATATAGACTCAGAATCCAAAACATCATCATTTCATAAACGAACAGAATCTGCTCCTGCTAATTTTTTCAACGATGTTTCATTTTTAGGTAGTCCATTCATTAAAGATGATGCAATAGTAGAAGAAGAAGATGAAAAAAAATCTGAAAGTTCAGGTGCAAGCTTTTCCGATGAACAATTACCACCACCAACTATTTATTCAACAAGTGCAAATAGTTCAACATCATCATTTAAAAAAGTTTGTTCAAATCTGTCGATTAATTCTCCTAATCATATTGTAAAACATAAAAGATATCAATTAATATATGATAAATCAAATAGAGTAACTAATGCAATGAAGAATAATCAAAATAATTCCACAGAAAATATTTCATTGAAGAATTTAAATCATTCTTCATCATTGCCAATATTGAAACATAAACAGTCATTAAGATATAATATTATTAAAGCATCCCCGTCTTTGAAATCACCAGATAGATTTAGTCTAGAGAATAATAATGCTACACCAACGACAATAATAGAATCAGATACCAAAACAATGGAATCGTCTCCAAAGATAATAATAACTGAATCTCCAAAAGTGGTGAAAATATTAGAAGAGACAAAACTTGCAAAACCTTCATTCATGAATAAATCAGAATATTTGAAAAATAAAAAAGAAAAGGAGAAGAAACTGGAAAAATTATCCAGTTCATCAGAATCATTAATTGAGAAACCAAATTCAAGAAGGTCATCATTTAATTTCCATAGAAGGTTGAAATCTACACATCCAAATAATATTGAAAATGATAATGCTTCAATAAATTCAAAGAAAAGTATAAAACTTTTTGACTGGCTCAAAAAGAAACAATAATATAAAAGTAAATTTAATAAGTAATAATAATATAGTATACATAATTTTACAATGCATTTTTAAAAATTCGGTTACAATGGAAACTATTGTAGTTGATCATGGATTTTGATCCGGATAAATCGTGACGATTCAAATGTTAAATCTTAAGGTTTAGTCTCTCTTAGTTTATGCATTACGTGATGTGCGTAGAATAAATAATAGGGATATATTCATACACGGCTAATATGAAGTCTAAATTGCAAGGGCCCTGTAACTGTTCGGATAAATGCTAATAAATTAGATAAATTCGGTATGAACATGGTAGCGATAGATCTTAAAATTAAATCCCCCTATCAGTCAAAAATTTTGGCACCATATCGTGTCAAGAATGGTGCGAATGTTTATTTTATAGTACTAAATCATCGCATTAAAGTTGAGTTCAAATTATCACTTAGTAAAATTAGATATGTAAAAACGTAACACATATTCTCTAACAGTAAGCGGTTGACATTAAGAATTGTATTTCAGGGTGTAGCATCATTCTAATTTTAATTGAAAATTTCTGAATTCTATATGCTAATCATGATAAGCACCAGATGATAATCCTGAAACGAAATTCCTTATATGCAGTCTCATAGTAGCTAACCTCAAAACTTGATCTGCTTGTAACTAAATGGTAAATATATTATTCTCAAAATTTGCTAACTAAACCTTTATCTAGTTTAAAGTAGATCAATTAGAAATTCTTTCATTGAAATATTGTTTTGACCACTGTATTCCTCATCTAAAAAATGCTAAAAAACGCCAAACTGCAAGATAACTAATATTTAGACCTTATTTAGCAACTTTTAAAGTATCTGATTTTGGTCATTTAATCTCAAGAATACTTCTGATGCTGGTTTGCGATCATTGAATTTAATTTGAATTGTTTTAAAAAATTTCAAATCAACTTCGAAAAAATTATATTCCATTTTCGAATACCTTAGCACAATAGATTTTAAGAAATATCTTAATCAGAACTACAAATCTGGGTTATTTTATCATGTTCAAATTTGAATAAGGAAAGTGGAATTAGATTTCTTGTAACGTCAATTTATTCAAATTTTGCCATACTTAAGTGAAAATTTTGAAGTTTCTCAATTCTAGTTGAGAGCAACTCGAAACAATTCTAACATATTTGATTGATGTTCTATTCATATAATCCGTTGTTATATAGGGAGTTATGGTCCCAAATCAAAGAATAGTTAGGTCCAGATTTTTTGAAAAATTTTTGTATGATGAAAAAAGCCCAAAACTTCAACTTCAATAAAAAATTTTTGATTTTGAAATTTTGAAGTATGTAGGATTTATAATTCAAGATTCCTAATTTCATATAACTGATACTTATTTTAAGAGAAGTTTCTGGTCATGATATATGAGCCGATATGTCAAATACGATTTTGTACGAGTCGCCCTAATCCTTGCTCGAAAAATATGGTAGTAGATTTTACTTTGAAAATATATTTTGTTGATTGTATTCGCTAAAAATTAAGCGACACCGTGGTAGAATCAACACGAGATATATTTCGACAGCGCGAAAACAATTAGCACGAGGAGCTGGCCAATCGTAGGCGAAATATTTCATTGATTGACATTTGTTTAACTACAAATACTCTGAAACGTACCGATTTAAACAAATTGTAAGTCGCATAATATATATCAAAATGCACTATTCTTCACTTCTAATTCAATAAACTGAATTTAAAAGGTCTCACTTTCCATAATCTGAATAGTTTGGTATGTTCGATATCAAAATTAATATAAACCATTTCACATCTAATCTTTTGCAGCCATGTTAATTATCATAATCTACCTCCTACAATCTATCCTATCAGAATTCATCGACCTAGAGGCACAAAATTTCAACAATATATCATTTTATTCAATGAATAATCCATCAATATCAACCCTAAAATCAATCTATCACCACAATCCAAAATCAATAATCTACAACCAAAACACAACAATACTACCCATAGACTCAATATTATCCTCAAGCTATGACAATCTACAAACTTTAACAGAATTAGACCTTTATGAAATAGAATACACGTCATACAATTCCATAACTCATGACATACCAATTTCTCCTTGCCTAATAGGCACAAATCTAGATTTAACAATGACTCATCGTACATTCATTACTAATAGATATTATGCAGCTCTTGGAGGAACAACAGCTGAAGGTATGTTAATGAACACAACTACATTAGGAATAACCCTTGGTTTCAAATTGAGTATTAAATTTCAAAATGAAAGGATGGTTGATTTTACTTTGGGTTGTTCTTCGCCAGATACGAGTGTTCGAATATTTGGAAGCATTCCTATGTTAGAATATAGTTCTAAATTTCGTAAATTGAAATATTTTAAAAAAAGAGATATGTTTGAAATTGAACCTGATTGGATTGAGAATAAATCTCGTAAGATAATGATTAGGAAGATGATTTCTACTTATTGTAAAGGTGGAAGTGAAGCTGAATTGAATTGTGATGCTCATACTGGTAGATTTTCAGAATATACTTGGTCAAACATTTGATTACAAGCCCAGAAAGATTATGACAGATGGTTTGATATTTACTTAAAGCAAGATTAGTCGATTTTACTGAATAGTTAATATTTGTTGCATCATTACGACATTTTTATCGTCTTTTGCATCCTTAGTTCTTGCATCCTCACTTTTATTTATATGGTGTTTTGCATCCTTACCTTTTAACCCCCACTTTGCAGCCGATCAAAAAATGGGGGATAATTATACATATACGTTGAAATACATATCATAGCAATTTTTATAATCTCTATGTGCTCTTTATTTTCATTAAGTGGTAAAGTTGCATTATTAACTGGTGGAACTAATGGTATTGGATTAGGTTATGCTAAAGGATTAGCAAGTGCTAATTTAAAACAATTGATATTAACATATAGATCAAATGAGAATTTACAATTTGCAATTGAAGAAATCAAGAAAGTAAATGATTCAATCATAATTGATTCTATTTATGTTGATTTCGTAAAAGAAGATGAAGATGAGATAGTTGAACGTATCACATCCGAAGCTTATAAATTAAGTCAAACTGGTAAAATAGACATACTTATAAACAATGCAGGAATAACAAACAGATCAGCATTTGAGTCATTTGAGCAAGAGAAATTTGATCAAGTTATCAAAGTCGATTTAAATATCCCTGTCAAATTGACAAAATCAATCGGTTCAAAAATGTTAGAAAACAATACCCAAGGTAAGATTATCTTCACTGCTAGTCTTTTATCTTTCCAAGGTGGTATGAATTCTACTCCTTATGCTATTGCAAAAGGTGGATTAAAACAATTTACTCAAGCACTTTCAAATGAATGGAGTTCAAGAGGTATTAGAATAAACTGTATTGCTCCTGGATATATTGAAACTAAATTAACTAGTAATATGGATGAAGAACACCGTAATTTAGTAAATCAAAGAATTCCAATGAATAGATGGGGGAATTTAGAAGATTTTATGGGACCTATTGTATTTTTATGTAGTGATGCACTGAAATATATTACTGGAGAGACAATTTTGGTTGATGGTGGATGGATGGGGAGGTAAGTGCAAGGATGCAAGTAAGGAATGTCAATGGAAGGATGCTAAATAGCACTTTGAATATTATATATATATATTAATATGCATTAATTTTTTATATACCACCTGCTTCCCTATACCATCTAATACCTCTATCAAAACTAACAACACATAAACCTTCATTATTATCACCACCTAAACCACCTCTATAACCTTTTTTAATAAATTTAACACCACTAGCTATACTTTCATCTTGTTCATTCTTTTCATTATCATCTAAATCAGTAATACTTAAATTAATAGTAGCTTCTCTCTCACCAGTTGTTAAATTCCAAACTCGAAGACATTTATCAAATCCACAAGAAACTAAATTTTTCCCATCTTCATTAAAGCTTAAACCCAAAATCCAACCTTGATGAGCAAACCCACCAACAATAGATTTAGCAGAATGTGAAGGAGTAGTTAATGCACCTACATTTTCTCCATGTTCAACATCATATAAATTAATTGAACCTGCAGCTTGATTATCTCTAGCAACAGCTAATAAAGTCCCTCCAGGACTAAATTCAAGAACTCTTGGAATTGATGAACTTTGACCTTTGGAAACAATTAAATCAGTTGATCTAAAAGTATAAATTGTTTTTAAATTGATAAAATCAAATAATAACACTTCACCATTAATATAACCAACAGCACAACGAGGGATTGTAGGACAAACAGCCAATGACATAGGAAATGAAGAATTTCCAGATTTTAAACTTCCATAGGTTTCAAATTTAATACTATCATTATCATTATCATTATCATTATCTAAATCATTATCTAAATCAAATTCAATTTTGAAAATATCTACTATACCATTTACTTTTGATATTATTAAATAATCTTGTTTATTATTTGGATCTTTGTAGAATTTAGGTATCCAATATTTTTGGTAAGAGTTTGGAATATCTTTTATCGTATCAATATCATCATTTTTATACCATTTAAAATATAATTTTCCATTAAAAGTAGCAAAAGCAATTAAAGTCAATTTATACGATGTATTTGGTAATATATTTTCATAAATATCAAATGAATGAATACCTGATTTATCTAAATATATTGATTTAACATAATCTTTAGGTTGATGTATTTCATCTTGTTTATTATCCCAAAATTTGGCTGTACCATCCAGTGAAATAGTAATACTATACTTACTAGTAATATTAACACCTAATATATCTGATTGATGAGCATTTGAACAACTGACCGTTGTAATATATTGTTTTCCCATTCTATGTACTTTGGTTGATTGGTAGCAGAAGAAATGAAAAAATTATCACCAACTTTATTACCAACCCATACGAAACAACTATATAGCTATATAACTATATAACTATATAACTATATAACTATATAACTGTATAACTATATACCAATGAGTAGTAATATGAATACTGATTCATTCATTAAACAAATTACATCACAATCGTTATTTAATTTATTCAGTCATAATAAATTAACTAATTCAATACAACAATTAAACAAATTAATAATTAGAAATAATCAAGATTTATTCTTTGTTTCAAATAATGTTGTTAGATGTTGTCAGATTAATCCATATACTATAAATTATAAATTAGTTAATATTAATGCTAGTAATTCCGGTTATTATGAAATTCATTCTATTTTATTAAATCAAACTGGAAACCTTCTTGCTATAATTGGTTCTTCACAAATTGATATTGTTAATCTACCAAATAATTTGAAAATTGATGGGTCAATATATGTAAATAATTCATCTTATAAAATAACTAACATAAAAGGAGAAATAAAGAAGGTTATATGGCAAAGCATTGCTCAAAATGATTGTATATTGGTAGTTTTAAATGATCAAAACCAAATTTCTGTATTTGATATTTCAAAATCATTAAATATTCCTCAATTGGAAGTCAATTTGACAAATAGACTACAAGGTAATATCACTTCAATTACATTTGGATCATCTAAGAATCTTATCGGTGGTTTAACATTGTATATTTCAACTGATCAAGGTGTCATATATTCAATTTTTCCATTTATTGCTAAATCTACAAAAATTGCAACTACTGAATCAGCTATAGATATTGCATTAGATGATACTAAATCAATAATGAGTTTAATTCAAGACAAATTCCCTACTAATCTTGTGGATATTGCTTCTAGTCCAATTAATAAAGCAGTTTTAAAACAATTTGATTATTTTCAATTTTTAAAAAGTCAAATAAATAAAGGAATAACATATAAAGAAGTAAGAAATTTCAACAAACCTTATGAACTATCCGTTGTTGAACAATCACTTAATGGATATCACGATATTTCAATACAGGGACCATTAGTATCCAGTTTTAAAATTGATGATTTGACAAGTATTTATGATAATGAACAAGTTACTTTATTAGTTTCAATTGGAGAAAATCTGACAATTAATTATTATGCACAATTGAATCCATTATTAATGAAATTTAAATCAATGGAAGAACAATTAACAACCACCACCAAAAAATCTTATGTTAAGCCTCGGAAAGGATTCGGATTTATTGATCCTCCAGATACATTAACTGAACAAAAGCAATTCTGGGATACTGATCTAGCTATTTTAGATATTTTACAATCTGATAAATTGGATATATCACCTACTTCCACTTCTTATTTTCAAAAATTAAATGATGAAAAAATGGCAATGATAATAGATAATAAATTCATATTAATGGATCTAGAATGGTGTAAAAATCTAGTTGAATCATTAGAATCAGAACCAACATTAGAAATTTCTACAAATTATGATATTGCAAGTTCTGGAAATGAAGTAATTAAAGGAAGTGGATACATTAAAGATGAAATAACCTCAACGGGAGAGTATCTTATTATATTAAGAGATAAAGAAATTGACGATCTTGAAGTAATCACAATCTCTTCAACTCAAATTGAACCTGAAATTAAATTAATAACCGACATTCCAGAAAGAAAACAAATTAAATCAGTATCAATTTCAAAACCATTTGAAGAAATTGAATCAGAATTGGAAAAATTAAAGAATTTGAAATTAGAAGGAAGTGGAGAATTAGATGGGTCAATTAAAAGTTTGGAAACTTTGAATAAATTATCAAATGATACAAAAAAGGTTTTGAGTTCTTATACAATTTATGGAATAAAACTACAATCTAGAATATCATCACAACTAGAATTATTGAAATTACAAATTGATAATATCTCCAATATTAAATCTAAAAATTTCAATACAGAACAACAGAAAAACATCACCCAAATTAATGAGAAACAAGACAAGTTAAACAAGAAATTGGAATCATTACAAGAGAAAATATACAAAAGTTTGGTCAAAATTAATTCAAATCGATCTTTACCATTATCAAAATCTGAAAAATCATGGATTAGTGAAATGAATGAGATGATTGAGGAGATAATTAAAGATGATAATAGTTTGACTAAGCGTGTTGAGAATTTAGTTAACCAGGTGAAGATAATTAAGGATAATAATGTTGAAATTGATGAGTTGGAGGCTATTAAGTTAGATAAAAGGTTGCTGAAGATTGTTAACTGGTTAAAATTGGAAGATGATTCAATTATAAATTTAAAAACTAGTGTTAAAAACTTGACCACTAAAGTGAACTAGGTTAAACCATTATGATATCAAATAGTTAATAAATATTTGGCCCGTCCTTATATTTCTTGCATTTGTTTATTGCATCCTGTTAAACTTACTTGCAGTTGTACATTTATAAATCTAACAACAAATATTTAAAATGACCACAAAACTTGAAATTGTTTTGAATAATTCAATTATAAATCTGACAACATATATTAAAGCTACAAAAGTTGTTTTAATGCATCCGTATATGTTGTTAAGTTGTTAAAGACATCCCCACTTTTAATTAGTGGCATCCTTTCTTATATTATCTTAGTCTCAAGTTTCAATCCATCATAATATCGATTGTTAAATTTATTATTTACCATTTCACAACTTTGCAAATCATCAAATTTTAAAATTATAGTTTCATTTTTGAATTTTATATCCAATAAATGTGAGTTATCAACAAGCAACAGCACTTCTTCATTCAAATCAGTGATTATATCCTCTTTCAACTGATCATCTAACTTTCTAAACATATTTTTAATTAGTAGTCGAGGTTCATTTGAAAATTTTGCAATTTCAACTTTAATAATTTGATTCTTGTACTTTGTATGATCTAGCATTTCAATTGCAATATCACAACTCTCATGATTAGTATAAACCACTAAAGCCTCTCCTTTGAATTTCTCACCATCATAGTATAATTTGATCCCATCTTCTTTAATCTTACCATATTTAGTGAATAAGTCTTCGAGTTCCGTTATATTAGTTTTTGGTAGATTACTTATAAACACACCACTCAGTTGTTTCTTGAAACCTTTCAACTCATTTACTTCTTTCTTTATTTCCAGTAGTTTATCTTTCTTTAATTTCTTTATATCTTGTTTATTTAAATCATCATCATCATCATCATCATCGTTTAATTCAATCCATCTTTTCTGCTTGTTGTTATATTCATACTCAATACCATTCATTATAATATACCATTTCTTATCCTTCAATATTAACCGTTCATCTAGCTTTTCTAGCTCTAATCTGTCTAGATCTGTTGTATTTGGAGGTATTGGTAAATCCATATTCAATTGGTAGTTCGCTTCAAAAATTATCAACAAAAATATTTACCACCACGGAGTATTATAGTTGAATAGTTTTATTATGGCTACTACTCCTAATGATTACATCCTATCTTTATCAGATGAACAAATTGAGAATGATCAACAAGTAGGTATCAAAGCAATTAGATTGTTCCTTCAATCAAAAACATCATATGATGTATTACCAGTGTCATATAGATTAATAGTATTAGATACAACATTATTAGTTAAAAAATCATTAAATATATTATTACAAAATAATATTGTATCTGCTCCATTATGGAACCCTCAAACATCAAGATTTGCTGGGCTTTTAACTGCTTCTGATTTCATAAATGTAATTCAGTATTATTTTCAATTTCCTGAAAAATTTGAATTTGTGGATCAATTGACATTAAATGGATTAAGAGATGTTGAAAAAGCAATAGGAGTAGATCAAATTGAAAACAATCATATTCATCCATTTAAAAGTCTTTACGAAGCATGTATAAAAATGTTGGATTCAAAGGCTAGAAGAATTCCATTGATAGATGAAGATGAAAAAATTAAAAAAGAAATAGTAGTATCTGTCCTCACTCAATATCGTATATTGAAATTTGTGGCATTAAATTGTAAAGAAACAAAAATGCTACTCAAACCAATCAAAAACTTAAAGTCGCTAAACGTGTTAAATAAAGAAATTTCGACTGTCACAATGGGCACTCCAGTAATTGAAGCTATTCATTTATTAGCTCATCGATCAGTTAGTTCCTTGCCTGTCGTAGATGAAAATAATAAATTGGTTAATGTTTATGAAGCATTTGATATTTTAACCCTCGTCAAGAATGGAATGTACACTGATTTAGATTTAAGTATTGGAGATGCATTATTAAGAAGAAGTGAGGAGTTTGAAGGTGTACATACATGTACGTTGAACGATCGATTAAGTACTATTATGGATACTATTAGAAAATCAAGATTACATCGTTTATTTGTTGTTGATGATGATGGGAAATTAATTAGTGTGATTACGTTGAGTGATATTTTGAATTATATATTGTATGGGGATGATTAATGTCAGGATGCAGTCAGGATGCAGTCAGGATGCGGTCAGGATGTAAATTAAGAAGATCAACAACGCAACGATGCAAGTAAAATACCGTTCAAATCAATATACAACTTCATTAGAGCCAACCACTTCTTATCTGTCTTCCAAATAGTGAGAATGCAATCAGGCAATGATGTCAATCAATCATTTAAATATATTCAGTTACCAAAGTGCATCATTACTGATATTTTACATCGTTACCTATCTTCTATACAATTACCTAATCAGGTAATAATTTCCGCCTGTCGTCTAAATAAATTTTCAGATACAAAAAAAAATATATATTTTGATTGCGAAAAAGCACCATCTCGATTACTAATTGAAACCACACTATAGCACAGAATAATGTCAATATGAACCAAATACAAGCAGTCGAAGAAGAAGAACAGAACAACAGAGACTCAATGATGCAGTTTAGAAAATTGAATCAACCTCAAGTTACTATAAGGTCAATAATTGTTGGTATTTTCATAGGGTCCATTATTTTGATTTCAAATTTTCAATTTGGTTTACAGACTGGTTGGGTAAGTATGATGTCGTTACCGGCTGCATTACTAGGTTTCACTATTTTTAAACTAAGTGGGTTTAGTTCTAATTTTACAGATGTTGAAAATGTATTTATTCAGAGTCTTGCTGTTGCTGTTGGGACAGGACCATTATGTTATGGATTCATTGGAATAATTCCAGCTATTGAAAAGTTTCTAAGTGCGGACGAAAGCGGACTGGGCAAATTAATCCATTTTAATTTGAATGAGTTGATGTTATGGAGTCTTGGGTTAGGTTTATTTGGAGTATTTTTTGCAATTCCATTAAGAAAACAAGTTGTAATTAAAGAGAAATTACCATTTCCATCTGGATCAGCAACAGCTACTTTAATCTCAGTATTACATGATGAAAAATTGATAAATCTAGAAATAACATCTGAATCTGAATCTGAAGAGGAAATGGAAGCTGAAGCTCAAGATAATAACTACAATTCAAATATTAGATCACTATTAATAACATTTGTCATATCTTCAAGTTATACACTAATATCATATTTCTTTCCTATACTTAAAAATATTCCAATTTTTGGAAGGGTTGGTAGTAAATGGGAATGGGATTTTCAACCCAGTCCAGCTTATATTGGACAAGGTATAATTATGGGATTACCTACTGTTTCTTATATGTTATTTGGGGCAATTTTAGGATGGGGTATATTAGCTCCATTATCTAATTATATGAAATGGGCACCTGGTGAAATATCAGATTGGAAAACAGGTAGTCGAGGATGGATATTATGGATTTCACTAAGTATAATGATATCTGACTCATTAGTAAGTTTCGTTGTCATTAGTTTCAAATCAGTACTTCAATTTTTGAAAGATCATCAGAGATTAAAAGACGATTATGAGATTCAGAGTTTGTTAGATAAGGATGATGAAAAGAATGAAATTCCAGAAAAATATCTTGTTTCAAATACAGTCACAATAATAGGAATAATCATCTCCACTATAATATGTATCATTTCCTTGAAAATCATATTCAAGTCATTAGTACCTGTTTATGCCATATTCGTTGCAATTGTACTTGCAATGTTGTTTTCAGTATTAGGTGTCCGAGCACTAGGTGAAACTGATTTAAATCCAGTTAGTGGAATTGGTAAATTATCACAATTAATCTTCGCCGTTATAATTCCAAATAACCATCCATCAAAGATACTTATCAATTTAATAGCTGGTGGTATAGCAGAAGCAGGAGCACAACAAGCAGGTGACTTAATCCAAGATCTCAAAACTGGTCATTTAATAGGAGCATCTCCAAAAGCACAATTCATAGCTCAAATAATAGGAACATTTTATTCAATATTCTTAAGTTCAATAATGTACAAGGTTTATAATTCAATTTATGAAATTCCAGGAAGTTTATTTAGGATACCTACTGCAATTATATGGATAGATTGTAGTCGATTAGTCAGCGGAGAAGGTCTACCTGAAAAAGCTGGAGTTTGTGCAATCATTTTCGGACTTATGTTTGGTGTTATTTCATTAATTAAGAATATTGTTCCAAAAAAGAGTAAATATTATAAATGGTTGATTTATTTGCCTAATGGAGTAGCTGTCGGTATTGGGATATACAATACTCCAAACTTCACAATTGCTAGATTTTTGGGTGGTTTGATTGCTTATAATTGGAGATTGTTTAGTGATCGTGGTAAAATAAGTATGATTATTTTGAGTTCTGGTTTGGTGCTTGGTGAAGGATTGTTTAGTAGTGTTACTATGCTACTTACTAGTCTTGGAGTTAAACAATATCAATAGATTATTTATTATAATATACAATTTACTAGAATTTTATTAGATACATTGTCGGTTATTTGTTGCATCCTCACATGTTATTTTAGAAGTTTTTGAAGAATATAGTTTTAACATCATAGCTTGGAATATATATGGGAGTTTTCAACAAATATAAAATACTTACAAAAGACTGCATATAAGCGAATATGTTATAGATTTAATTTGATTCGACCCAAAACGAATAATTTCTAGCCTTGGAGTTAAGGCGACACGTACTAAATTTAATGGCTTGTAAGTTATGAAAACACATTCTCCGAAATAAACATTATTTTAAATGAATCCGAAACTTGAATTGAATATCTCAAGTGTCTTAAACTTCACGATTCATATATTTTTTTTTTTTGAGTTGTCATTCTGGCTATTTTTCATGATAAAGAATTTGTTAGAAATGAAAATGCAAGGTATATTCGATTTACTGCCATAACTTTCAACTAAAGAATGGATTATATATATTGAGCTTCGCTATAAAGTGCTCGACCTGTTTCTACATGATTTGAACTAAAATTGAAGAATTTCAGACATATCTCTTATGTCTGGGAAAATTTGAAAAAAAACTGACCTCATGAAAACTCTAATTCCACTTCCCGAACTGAAATTTGAGCATGCTGGAATAACCAGAATTTACACTTCTTGTTCGAGATTTCTCTTGGAATCTATTGTTTGAGGCATTGAAAATCCCAAAGGTATTTTTTTCAAATGTGGTTCGACAATTTTGGAAAATTTTCAACCGTTTATGGTGACTGCAATCCATTACTAAAAGTATCTTTGATGTCAAATGAATCAAATCAAGTCTTCTAGAAGTTGGTAAATAAGGTCTAAGTATTGTTAATCTTGAAATTTAACGTCATTTTGCATTCCTTGAATGAAAAATTACAAGATCAAAATTATGTTTTACCTATAAATCAGTTTCAGGCTGCTCTAATGTGATTGAAGTATTAATGAAAAAACTTTGAGGAATACAGCTTGAGTATTCAAAAAGTTATACGCCACTTAAATTTGAAGTTTAAGTCATATAAGACTGCATATAATCCAAAATTATTTTAGAATTCTTTCTCAAAATTCGTATTTTTTGCCGCAATAAATCGCGCTAAATTTAGGCGACTCGTGCCAGACAATTGCAACTGTATAGATCTATAAATCTTGAATAAAACATTCTTTCAAGATAAATTTTAGTTATATGAAATCAAGAACCCTATTTTATATAATCTACTTACTTTAAGTTCACAATTTCAAAGTTTTTTTTTCAAAGTTGAATTTTTGGGCTTTTTTCATCATACAAAAATTTTTCAAAAAATGTAAATTCTATTTATTCCTTATTTACGGCCATAACTTTGAGTTAAACAACGAATTACATATATAATACATCAGTCTAATGTATTGGACTTCATTTCAGCTGATCTGCTCTAAAATTGAAAAATTTTGAAATTTCTCTAAGTATGACGAAAATCGAATAAATTGACCTTTCAAAATATTTGACTCCACAAATAAAACCGAGATAAAAGTATGATAAAGGTATTCGAATTCGCAGCATTGGAAGTTTTAGAACGAAGCCCAAGTGTTGATTATTTTCAATTCGACATTTTTTGCAGTTTCCAGAAGGACGAATAAAAAGACCATGATAGAATATTTTTAAAATTTATTAATACGAATATACTCTGATTTGAGTAAGAATTTGAATGAAGTGATTCTGAAACCAAAGGCTTGAATAATCTTGGGGTTACGCAAGATTTAAGTTTTAAGGTTAAGCATGTGAGGACCGCATATAAGTCAAAACTGACAATTTGAAACTTTGATTCTGGGGTAGGTTTTGGGCCGAAGCTAGCCAAGAAGTTTAAACCGAACTCGGTTGGAGAAGTCTTCATTTTAAGCGAGAGCTGGTGCCATGGTTCGTGCTAGTTCAAAAATTTTTATTTTGCATGCCTTTCGAAGAGTAGAGAAAGGATTAGTCAAAAATTATATTTATTTATTACTTATACACTTAACTTAACAGTTTTTTAAATTCTTATCTAGCATTTCTTTCCCTATCTGCATTTATTCTTTGATTAATTAAATAAATTGCCATATTAAAACTTTCTGGAGTACCTGTTAATGTCAATTTTCTAATATTAGTTAAACCTTTACCTTTTACCATTATTGATTGACCCATATCTGGTTCAATATCAACATATGAACAGCCTGAATTAGTTCTAATATGTTTTATATTATTACCACCTTTTCCAATAACTGAACCAATTGAACTATTAGCTACAAATATATCTTGATTAAATTTACCATTACCAATTTGAACAGCAGGTTTTACAATAACTTCACCAATCATATTATTCCCATACTCATCTATATATTGATTTTGTTGTGGAATTGAAGATGGTACTGCTGGTTGTTGATTCATACCCATACCACCCATTGGTGCTTGTTGTTGAACTGGTTGTTGTTGCATATATGGATTTGGATTTTGTTGTGGTTGTTGAGTTTGTGGGAATAAATTTGCCAAATTAAAAGGTTGAGTTGCTGGTTGTTGTTGCAATTGTTGAAGAGCTGCAGGTATACCAGGTGCTTGACCATAAGGTAAAACATTAAAAGGTTGAGATTGTGATTGTTGAGGTGTAGTAGTTTGAAAAGGTAAAGGATTTGAAGAACTAGCTAAATTAGAAGTTACCGAAATTGGAGCAGTAGGATTCGAAGGAGATGAAGGAATTTGTTGATTATGTTGATAATTTGCTGGATTATATAAAATTATCTTATTATTACTTTTTTTTAAAACATCTTTATGTTCTAAAATTTCCAACGCAATATAATATAAAGCTATATGAATTGCATCAGCAACTCCTTGAACTGATAAAATTCTATCTGTAGAAAATGCCAATGGTTGTTCAGCAGCTTTTAATTTTGATGCTGATTCCTCTTCAATTTTACGAAATGTAGAACCTTGTTTTCCAATTATAAAACCAATCATTGGATGTGGAATCAATAATTTTAAATTATATGTTTGTGAATCAATTGTTGCCGGTTCATCTTCTGGTTCCTCTAATATTGTTCTTACAATTAATCCAAATGCTCTTGCTACGTTTTCAATTGATCCTTTAACAGTAACAATTCTTTCTGGAACACCAGGTAAATTTTCAGATACAGATACTTTAACATCTGCTTTTCTTCTAATATGAGTTATTGTTTCACCTTTTTTACCAACTATAGTACTTGCTTCTTTAACAGGACAATACATTCTATAAGTAATTTCATCTTTATGAGAAACTTGATGTGATGATTCTTGATATGTTTCTTGTTGTGGTTGAAAAGTAATTTCAGAGTCTGATCCGACTGGTGGAAGTTGTTGTTCAATTGGAGTAGGTTTTGATTCTTTGTCTTCTTCTTCTGACTCTTCTTCCCCATCTTCTTCTTCTTCTTCCTCATTTTCTGGCTCTTGGAAACTAACACCTTTCTTCTTTGGTTCTTGTTCTTCTTCATCATCTTCTGGTTCTTGAAAACTAACACCCTTCTTCTTAGGTTTTTCTTCAACTACTTCGGCCTCTTCCTGGAATTTAACACCTTTCTTTTTCTTCTTTGGTTCTTCTTGTTCTTCAAATTTGACTTCTTTCTTAGTTGGTTCTTCAGTAGCAGGTGAAGATTCTTCTTGTTTAACTTCTTCTTTATTTTGAGATGAATCTAATGCCATTCTTTTACTACTTGAATTAGAACTACCATCATTGAAATTAATATTCAATTCTTGCTCATCCTCTTCTAATTTTCTTTTCAATGAATTATTAGTCTCTGTACTACTAATATCAGACATTATATAGTTATTATATCTGGTTGTCAAGTATAGTATAATTTTATTTTTCTCAATTACGATTTTTCGTTCTTTCGATGTTTCTATATTGGTAAATACACTACTACATCTTTCATTGTCGTAAGACATTAGAATATACATTTATGACATTGAAACTATATATTATTTAACTGCTTCCTTTTCATTTCTTCATCTTTTGCAAGTTTATACAATTCATCTTTTCTATATTCTGAACGTTGAAGAAAAGCTTGTTTATCTAAATAACCACCTTTATTATGTTTTTTCAACTCATCTCCAATGTCACGTTTATCTATAAAACTAGCCCAATCTAACCTTGATTTCTCCAATGTAGATAACTTCATCTTTTTATTATTATTCAATAATATAAACTTGTCAATTAGACTAGGTCTCTTTAATTTAATCCTTAGATTTAATTTCTCTTCTGGATTTAATGGATTTGGTCGTATTATTTCCACCTGGGATCGTTTAAATGGCATACCTTCATTAGTTGACGTTATTGAACTAGTCGAATTCAAGTAAGCTTTAGCTTCTTCTGAATTTTCATCGACATATTTCGATTCAGTGATTAATTTACCTGCAAAAGTATAATTTATTTGAATTTTAATCTTTTTGGAACCAGTATTGACTTCTTCTACATCTGCAACTTCTCCTTTCTTCTCAGGTAGCTTTATACTCGACTCTTCTTTGTATTGTATTGTATTATTCTTTAGATCATTAAATATTGAATCAATATCAATAGAATTTGTTTCTTTGACTAATCCACGTGAATCTAATATATGATTTCCGATAAATTTAGATCTTTTTGATTCTTTTATATTCAATCTTTGTGATCTAGTTTTGACTTGAGAGGTGGTTGATTCTATCTTTGAATAATCTGGTATATTTTTATTATCAGCTTCATCTTCACTTATATCCTCCTGTTCTTCATGTTTTTTAGATGGATCAAAATCTTCATCTTGGGATTCATCATAATCATCATCATCTTCTACATTATTATTAATAATTGACTCTTGTTCTTTGGTCATAGTCATAGTATTAATCCTTTTATATAAATGGCACCAAATACCAAAATTCGCTTTACGAATTTATTTTTTGGTTTTCGTATAAAAAGCGAAATAATTTCAGAGTTATCGCCAACGGTTAGAAAGAACAATTAGGTAGTTATGTCTGAGTTATATTATGCTGATACTGAAGGTCCAATTGTTGTATTATCTGCAACTAAACATTTCAATCAATTATCAACTCAAAATTCAAAATTGTATGCTCATTATTTATCAAGGGCAAGTTTTAATGGTTCAAGAGCTGTTTTAAGAAGTGTTTCACCTGAATCAGAATCAATTTATGATTTAATATTATCTATTCATAAAGCATTAAATGAACCAAAATCAAATGAGGAATACTATGATGCTTTAAAAGGTTTAGATGAGAAAAATGTGTTGTATTATCTCGAATATGCTGCTCAGTTTTTAGATAATTTGGGAAATTATAAATCTTTTGGTGATAAAAAATTTATCCCACGTATTAAACAAACTGATTTTGATAAATTAATTGAAATTGTTAACAATGATGAAGTTAAAGGGTTGTACGAAAAGGTTAGATCTAATTTGTATTCTCTTGATAAAGTTATTTTAGGATATCCTGAAAATGGGCACTTAACAAATTATTATCCAAATAGTGAAAATATAACTAAAGTCGAAATTGATTCAATTAATAAAACATTAGCTGATAATGGAATCATGCCAGAAAATACAAGAGTTGAAAAAGTTTCAGATTCTGAATTTATTGTCCATGTTGCTTCATCAGAAACTAGTAACACAACTACATATTACAAAGAAGATATTGTAACTCCAGAAGGAGCTAAAATCACTTTCAAGTTTGGTGATCATTTTGCTGAATTTACTAAAATTGTAGACAATATGACTAAAGCTTTAAAACACGTTGCTAATCCAACTCAAGAAAAATTAATTAGTTATTATATTGAATCATTTAAAACAGGTTCAATGAATGCTCATAAACAATCTCAAATTGAATGGGTTAAAGATTTAAAACCTGAGGTTGAAAGTAATATTGGTTTCATTGAAACTTATAGAGATCCAGCTGGTGTTAGAGGAGAATGGGAAGGTCTAGTAGCAATGGTCAATCATGAAAGAACAAAGAAATTCTCTACTTTAGTTGATAATGCATCAACATTCATTAAAGAATTACCATGGGATAAAATATATGAAAAAGATACATTTACACCTCCAGATTTCACATCATTGGAAGTTTTATCATTTGCGGGATCTGGTATACCAGCAGGTATAAACATACCAAATTATGATGATGTAAGATTAAATTATGGATTTAAAAATGTGTCATTAGGTAATGTCCTTTCAGCAAATCCAAAAAAACCAAAAAAGGAAGAAGTAATTACATTTATTGATGAGAATTTACAAGAATTATTTAAAAAATGGAGAGATGATTCATTTGAAGTCCAAGTTGGATTACATGAATTATTAGGACACGGATCTGGAAAATTATTACAAGAAACGGAACCAAACAAATTTAATTTTGAAAACAATGGAGATATTAAATCTTGGTATAAACCTAATGAAACATGGAGTTCTGTTTTTGGAATGACTGCTGGTTCATATGAAGAATGCAGGGCAGAATTAGTTGCTTTATATTTAATATTAAAAAAACCGTTAGAAGTATTGCTTATTTTCGATATTACAACTAAACAAGATCAAGAAGATGTTAAATTTATCGCATCTTTGTTAATGATTAGAGCCGGTTTATTAGCTTTAGAATTTTGGGATCCAAATTCCAAGAAATGGGGTCAGGCTCATATGCAAGCTAGATTTGGAATAATGAAACAATTACATCAAGCTAATGTTTTTAATTTTGAATATACTAAGGAAGATTATTCTGATCTTAAGATTGTTATAGATAGTGTTAAATTGAATGATGGTACTGCTGTTAATGCACTTGGTGAAATGTTACATAATTTACATGTTTATAAATCTACTGGTAATAAAGAAGAGGGTATTAAGTATTACTTGAATAAGACTAATGTTGATGATGAGTATAAAAAGTTTAGAGATGTTGTATTAAAAGAAAAGAAACCAAGAAGAAAAATTATTCAATGTAATACTATAATTAATGATTCTGGTGATGTTGAAATTATTGAATATGATGAGAGTGAAGTTGGTATGATTCAAAGTTATTATGATAGAAATGTCTAGAATTAAAATATATATGCTTTGATTGTCTTATCAACTCAAGTTTTCTTAATTTGTCTTCTTGATTCTTTCAAGTTACATCCTGACGGAGCTTATCACTTTTAACTACATCCTTACAATGATCATTGCTTCTTTATTGCATCCTTACCTTTGTTTACTGCATCCTTACCTTTGTCTCTGCATCCTGACTGTTGGTTGCAAAATTTTAACGAGACGAAAAATTATCGAAATATCGGTTTTGATTATCACCAACAACCATTCTATGTTTGTAACATTATTAAAATCATGTATAAGTAAACCACAACCAATACGACTGTGTCTACTACAGAGAATCAAAACTATAGAACCAAACACTATACTATCTTTTAAATTTACACCAATTTTATTGCAACAAATTTCATTTAAATCCACCAAGGCTACCAAGGCTACCAGTCCAAAACTTTCAGATGTTCAATTAGACAACTCTGTTAATTCACATTTACAATATTCAATACTAAAACGTAAAGAATTCGATTTAAGAGAAGAAGAAAAAGCCAAAGAGAAACAAAGAACATTTAAACAAAATTTCAAAACTATTTCAAGAATTATAAAATTAGGTAAACCAGATTGGAAATTATTTCTTTTGGCTATTGGATTTATATTCCTTGCTGTTTTATATCCTATGGTTGGTGTACGATTAGTAGGAGCTATTTTAGACTCATTCAATTCTGGGAATAAAGATGATGACGGGAATTTACTAGTTTGGGGATTCACTTTTAAGACTTTAATCTCATTCATGGTTCCATTTATGTTAGTCTCTGCTGTATGCTTTTGGTCAAGAAATTGGATGTTGAAGTTATTAGGGGAGAGATTAGTTGCAAGGTTGAGGAACAAGATAATGAAGAGTCTATTACGTCATGATTCGAAATTTTACGATAATGATAAAAATAAAGTAGGTGATTTGATCAGTAGATTATCTTCAGATGCTTTTATAGTTAGTAGGTCAATTACAAGTACCTTACCTGATGGATTAAAACAATTATTATTTGGAGTTTTGAGTTGTTTTATGATGTATTGTATTAATCCAATTTTATTTGGTACGTTTTTATTAATATCACCTCCAATAACTATAGGGTCAGTATTCTACGGAGAGAAGATTAGAAAATTATCAACTAATTTACAGAATGCAACTGCTAATTTAACTAAAGTTTCAGAGGAGACATTGAATTCAATGAAGGTTGTAAAATCATTCACTGCTGAAAAGAATGAATTGAATAAATATAGTCAAAAATTGAGAGATGTTGTAAATATAGCCAAAAAAGAAGCATTTGCTCAATCAAATTATAATGTTTCCATATATACTTTATATCATTCTGGTTATCTTGCTTGTATTTCAATTGGTACTTATTTTATGTTGAATGGTATAATGACAGCTGGTGATGTTATAAGTTTTACATTTTTTGCAGAATGGTTTAACGGGGCATTGTATGTATTAACTGTTAGTTATTTGGAATTGATGAAAGGAGCAGGAGCAGCTGTTAAATTATTTGATTTAATTGATTATAAACCAACTGTTGATCCAATATATGGAGAAAAAATAGAACCAAGTACATTGAATAACTCAGTTGAATTTAAAGATGTTACTTTTGCTTATCCAACAAGAAAGAAAGAATTAATATTTAATGAATGTTCATTTAAAATTCAAGGTGGAACATCTACATGTATTGTTGCACCTAGTGGTGCCGGAAAATCAACAGTTGCTTCCTTATTATTAAGAAATTATAATATTCAAAGTGGAGAGATCCTAATTGGTGATAAAAATATAAAGAATATTCAAGTTAAAGAACTTCGTAAAAAAATCATTGGTATTGTCCAACAAGAACCTATATTATTATCAGGAACAATCCTCGAAAACATTATCTATGGATTAACCAAAAAGGAAATTACTAAATTATCAATGGAGGATATATATCAAGTTTGTAAACAGGCAAATTGTCATGAATTTATAATGACTTTTCATGATCAATATAATACCATAATTGGAAACAAAGGTGCTAGTTTATCAGGTGGACAAAAACAAAGAATAGCAATCGCAAGGGCCCTAATTAAAAAACCGAAGATATTGATCCTTGATGAGGCTACATCTGCATTAGATTCCAAATCGGAAAATCTCATAAATGAAACACTAAAATCATTGACTACACAAGGTAGAATCACAATCATATCTATCGCTCATCGATTATCTACAATTTCAAAATCAGAATATATTATAGTATTAGGCAAGAATGGTAAAATTATTGAATCTGGTAAATTTATTGAATTATTTAGTGATTCAAATTCTGAATTGAGTAAATTGTTAGATGACAAATCAAATAATACGGAAAAGGATAAAGTTGAAGAAAATGAAAAAGAAATGGAAGATAAAGAGGCATTAAAGATTGAAAATTTACAAAATTTAAAAAATGAAATTAATAAATTATCTACAGATGCCAAACTGGAATTAATTGAACAAATTAAAATTGAAAATGAAATCGAAATCGAAAATAAAAGTCATAAGTTGTAAATAGTAATATATATTTATTAATTGAATAAGTTGTTTCTAATTTGTTCTCGAATGGTCAAAATTGGAAATGAAATTGAGAATGAAAATAACAAGTTGTAAATAATGATATATATTTATTAATTGAATAGGTTATTCTCTAATTGTCAATTGCTTTCAATGGTTTTGCTTCACTAGCTTCACCATTTTTATAAGTTATAACTTTTGCATCACAAGCACCTCTTCTTTCAGCAGCAGCTTTAAATTCAGCTTTTAATGAGTTTCTTAAAGTTTGAGCCGCAACAGCTAATGCTTTATTTAATGAAATACCTGCTTGTTTATATGCTGACATGATAAATTCTTCAATAAATATTCAAATATTCGTTATTCGGTTTGAAAAAAAAATTACGCTTGGTTCAACTTCTAATTGGTAGAGAAATTGGGCCAATTACACTACAAATATGCTACCAATTGTGTTCTATCTATTTTTTACTATTTATCCAATTTATAAAATCTATAAATAATGATGAGGAGATCTTTGAATCCTCATTTAATATCCATGACTTCATTGAGTCAAAATACACATTCATGATCTTTACCAAGTTTTCTGAATTTATGAATAATAAATTTTTGGATATGATTATACAACTTTGATTTAATGCTTGAATTGCAATATTATTACCTGATTTGATACTTCCATAATCATTCTGTAAGGCTTTCAATATTCTGAATAAGTCTTCTTCGTCCCCTTTTTCTAATTTAGTTTTTGAAATTCTGGTCTTGATTAATTTATGTGTCTTATTTCCTAGATTTTTATCAGTTGTAATTGTCATTAATCTGATTAAAACAGGTAACATAACCAAATTAAATTCAGAATTGGGATTCTTAATAACGAATGTTTCCAATAAATTTAATACCCTGTTTTTGAAATATATGATTTGATCTTTTGCTTCTAATTTTTCCAATTTTCGTTTATTCCCAGTTTGGACATTATTTAAAATATCTTGTCTATCTTTAAAAATCTTACTTAATTGATCATCCATCGCCATCATTTGTTCATCATCCATTGAGTCTGATTCATATTCATCATTTGATGATAAATCATCTAATTCATCAAATTTAACCTCACCGGAATCTGAAGTAGGTATACCGAGAGCTTTAGCAAGTTTCAAATTCGTCTCTTTATCAATCTCAGCCAACTCATCTCCCTCCAGCTCCTCTTCTTCTTCTTCACTTTCCTCCTCCTCATCATCTTCATTTTCTCCATTTTCCTCATTTTCATTTTCTGCTCCTTTCTCATCGATTTCCATTTCATCTTCACCTTCAAATAATTTCTGTTGACCTTCTTTATTTTCTCTAGTTTCCAAAATATCAAATAATAATTTAAAACATTCTTCATTTAGTCTGAGTCCATTTTCATCAGATTCACATAAATAACCTTCCCATACAATATTTGATAATTCTTTGAATAATGGGGTTTTCTTACTCAAGAAACTTAATAATATTTCAGTCAACATAACTGAATTAGTCTCGGTATTCTTGCTATTTTCATAGATGTCTCTTAAATCATTTATTATTTCTACAACATCTGGTTCTTCCATATACATCTGGATCAAACACATAGAAAATAACAATTCAAAAATGTAATCTGATGACTTTAAACCTTTAATTAACTTTCTAGTATCTTGTTCTATGGTGGTTATTGATTCATCAAATTCAATTAAACATTCTTTGGTTTTCTTATAGCTTTGTATTTTGTTATAAACGTATAATGACCAACTTTGAGTTCCATTCTTACTTGATACAACTGCAGATAATATTGAGTTTAATTTCTCTTGACTTAATTTCACTATATTATTACTTAATTTAGACTTAAAAAATGAGTTCAGAATCAACATGTTTAGTATAGATTCTATAGTATCATTATCAATAAATTTTGAAGATTTAACGAGATGTCCTATCTTATCCAAGTACCATTTTAATATATTATCATTTGAGCTTTTTAGTTGATTAATAGTCGATTGTGAATCAACAAATGAGTTAAATTTGGAAATGAATAATATAGTGTAACTATTGACATATTCTGATTTTATGTTCAAAATAGTATCTATCGTATTTGTCTTTGTAATTAAATCAAAATTCCAACAATTTGAGATCAAACAATCAAGTATAATTGAAGATACCTCTGGTTCCGCTTGACACTTATTTACAATTTCCTTAATAGTTGATTTTGCAATTGAGTTAAGTAATCTATTGGATTGAGATACTTGATTAATCAAACATCTTAAAAAATTACCAGTGAATAAGTATTTCACATCTTCATTGTCTATCAATTTTAAAAATTTTTGAAATATTTCAAAACCCCAGTACTTTCGTTCATGTGATGATTTTTCACTAAACAATGATTCATCAACTACAATTTTGAAAAATTCTTTAATTGTCACTTCTTGTTCCATTTTAACTCTTTTCTTACCATTTGAAACTGATTTCTCAGGAGTATTTATCAATTTACTGATTATTACATCCCATACAAAAGGCAATTGAGCTGTCCAATTTGATTTCTTATTATTGTTAGATTCTTCTTCTTGTTGTGGGACTTCTATGTCTTTTAATACTTTAGATAATAAATATAAGTTGTTTTTATTTAATGGATCTCCATTCTTCCAATTAATTTTGGCATTAGTTAATTTAGACAAGGTTTCTGATCTGATTTCAGGTTGGATAATTAAATAAATGGCACATGATTCGGTCGATAAATTTAATCCATGATTATTCAATGATTGTAATACCTTCAAAAGCGTTTCCTTGTTTTCTTCTTGGTCCAAATTTTGAATAAACTGAAATAACGTAAATAATGAACTTTCCCTTAACCAATTTTTAAAAATAGATAATTCAATTAAGGAGTTAACAAACTTATTCTTCTCTTCAGTTTCAGCTTTATATATCAGTCCATTATTAATTAAAATTTGTAATCCAAATAATTTCCCAAATAAGTATGCTCTTTCTTCTTTACCTTTCAATGAAGCCTTCAATTGAGTAATATCATTCAATTTATCTAAATAAGATCTAATTGTAATCTCTTCCCTAGCTAATAATTCAGTAACGATCTCACCTAAACACATTGAGAATCCAAATTTAGCAGATTGACGAGTTGTTATAATACCCTTGAGTAACCTATTTAATGCATATTCCCATTCACTCTTTTCACTTTCATCAATTAAATTCTGTATTAAATTCTTAGCTGCTTCTATTCTTTCTTGTGGTTTTTCTGAGCCTAATTTATAGTAATAATCTTTTGAAACTGCCATGGCCGTATATACTTTTTATTTTCGAGCGATGAGATTATTTAATTTACGAAGTCATCAAGATTCAATTACTTATATATTGTCAATTGGAAGTTATATTTATAGTGGCGATAGTGTTGGGAATATAATTAAATGGGATTTGATATCCAGAAGACCTGTGTTGAAATGGAAAGCTCATGAAGATACAATTGTTACTTTGTTAAAATATGAGGCTTACTTGATCAGTCATGCGAAAGATTATCATATAAAGATATGGAAAGATGATGAGATGGTATTTGAATTTCCGGTAAATCTGTTGAATTTTACTAATATTTTACTTGTTGATGAATATTTGATTGTTCCTGCTGCTTCTAATTCTGAGAATATCGATATTTATAAAACTGAAACTGATCCATTCAAATTTATTCGAGTTATTGAGAACCTAGACCTATATCAGCTGAATAATTTGAAAATTGAAGAGATTGGTAAAAGAGGTGGATATGGTATAATTATGAAAATTTTCAAATTGAATGATTTGATTTTTTTTGGATTTGAAGATGGTACAGTAATTGGATGTAAATTGATAAGACCAAGTGGTAAATTGATAACTGCAAGGAATGAGAGTACATTGATTAATCGAGATTTAATATTGGAAGTAGTATATGAAAATGATATGCATAAACCAAATCCAATAATTTCATTAGGTTCAGTTCATAATAATTTGATATCAGGATCAACCGATAATAAACTAATAACACATGAGAAACCAGCTAAGGTTATAGATTTGATTGAGTCTGGTATTCAATCTATTGCAAGTTATAATGATGATATTTATGCTGGGAGTTGGAGTGGCGTAGTATTAAAAAATAATGAAGTGCTTATACAACGTGATCTACCTAAAATAGATACTCCTGATATGAAAGTCAGTGTTAAATTAACTTACATGAGTTTATGTCAACCGAAAATAGAGAGTTCAAAATCTTTCAATTCTAAAAAACTTAATGAATCAATTTTATTAATTATTGGGTATGAAGATGGAAACATACTAGTCTATAAAATAAATTAACGAATAGGAAGTTTAATTAATTGCAAAATTTTGATCTAAATTTTGTGAATTTCTATTATTTGGTTCATTATAAGTTGACCTTCTTCTATTTTGTTTAATATTATTATTACTTGAACTGTTTGAGTTGTTGCTGGTTTTTCTATTAATTGAACCATTTCTCCTTATGTTACCACTATTAGAATACTGTTTTTTATGATAACCTTGACCAGGGTCGAAATTATTTTGATTATGATTATTCTCAAAATTTTCAACATATTGTCTTGGTGTAGTTGGCGGAGTATTTAACCTTCTTGTATTAAATTGTTTTTGATAATAATTATTCTTTGGTAGATTTATAATATTATTATTCAATTGTGGTTGTTTCTTTGATATTGAATTATTTTCCACTATAGCTGGTGATTCTTTCAACATCATTGAATTTCTCTTATTCTTTCTCTTTTTAGCAGTTAAATCAACTGGTGCATTTGGTTGTTTATCATCTGAACTTGTACTATTTATAGTTGTTGTTGAAGTATTTGAATCATCTTCAAATGAAATAAATTCCATACATTCTTTTGAATCATTAATTATCTCCAGCATATTAACTTCAATATTATCATGTTTTAATAATTTCTCATCCAAATCAGGATATTTCTCCAATATTAATTTTAAAACTTGTAAATTTTCATCAAGTATATTTTTATTCTCTTCACCATTTAATTTAATCAATTTTGTTAAATTTGTCAACATGATTAAAATTTTATTATTCTTTTGATTATATATATTATCCATTAATTTCTTTTTATTCAGTAATGAATCAATTAGAAATTCAATATCTGAATTATTATCACCAATTAATTTTTGACTATTTTCCCAATTTTCCAACAGTTTAGATTTATATTCATTTAAACTAGTTGAGAGCTTATCAATTTCAGATTTATAATGTTGTTGATAGGCCAATAATGAACTTTCCAAAGTATCATAATTAACTTTTAATCTTTCCAATTCTTCAACCGATGACTGAGAATTCTTTTGTAAATTATCATATCTAATCTTTATTTGTTTTTGTTGTAAACTTAAATTTTCATTTGATTCAACAATGGACTGATATTCATTTTCTAAGTCTACTATTCTTCTCTCTTTTCTTTTTAACAATGCATTTAACATGTCATTTTCATGTTTGATATTTGCAACTTGATCCAAAAATGATGAATTTTTACTTGATAAAATTTGATTTTTTTTAGTCAATTCTTGATTTGATAGTTTTTCATTTGTTAATTCAATAGTTAATGAATCAATTTTAGAATGTAAATCATCAATGACCTTAGATGATGATTTGGTCTTAATTGGTGAAGATTGATTTGAATTCATAATGGGGTGGGTACAATTATAAAATCTTTAGTTGTAATCTAACAAAGTTTGTAAATTGTAAATAAGTATAATCTATGAGGTTAATGTATGATATTCTCTATTAATATTGATCCATTAATCAGTTAAATAGAAAAAGGAGTAAGTGACTGGTTGGCTGATTGGTTGGTATTATTTCTTCAAATTATTTATATCAAAGAAATTTTTAATGTTTTTTTTTTTTTTTCTATTTTTTTTTTTTTTTTTTTTAACGAATGTAAACAAACAAACAATTTTAGACACTGCGCTACCATGTGTGATCAAGATTAAAATCATGAACTTATATAGGAAAATTTCATTGTGAAACCATGAAAAATAGATGAAAATAATATACGCAGCTGGGATATCAGGATTTTAAAACAAATAGACACTCAAATCGTCCCACTACTGCAAGATCTTAGAATCTCTCTCATTAGCCTCGTAATGGTCTGTGTCTAAAAAGTACGTGTTTTTTTCCTAATTGATAATGTGGCAAAAAATATAGTATTAAATATTATATGCAGTCTGTCACATGAAAATTTGGTATATCTATAAACCAACAGTCAACTAACAGATAGGATTGAACGATTAGGACTTGAATTGGTACGAGAGTATCTATTTAAACTTTAATTTGAGTTTGTTATATTGGTTGGAATGGTGTCAGTAAAGTTCAATTACCAAAACAAATTTTTGCAGCCAATCATGTAGCATCAAAAACTTATCTTGAGCAGGTGGAAAATGCTATTATATGTAGGTTGAATTACCCTAGCTCGGTTTGAATTAGAGTCCTACAGAGATTCAATTGAGCATAATCCCACTTATTATAAACTTTAAAAAAATTTAATACATTTAAAAAGCCCAATTCAGATGTTGCCAGTTTACAAGCTACATTTTTATAATTCTAAGAACACATTTTTTACACTCTACTTTCAGAATGACTCTATCATTCCTTGAGTTCGTGGATAGTAAGTAAATTTGATTTCGGTCGAGTTTTGGTCCTGCACATTACAAATTTTCCAAATTTTCTCACAATTTTTTCAATACGAATTTTTGAGATTGGTACGAAATGAGGGCAGAATAATCAACAGACCACATGAACCGCAAAACTTAACACGACAAGCTCTCTTGTTAATGCCGATAAAATGAAGAGAGATTGCTGGAAAATATTTGAAAAAGTTTGAGAGCGGATACTAACCAATGGTGGTAAATAAATTGAGATTATACTAATTGAACACTAGTCATGGTCGTATAATTTTTCAATTTTTCGCATGGTGAAAAATTTCAACGTTTCACAAATCTTTATTCGTTTTGTTTAAGACTTTAAAATTTATTCAAAAACAACATATTATTAGAAATTTACATTCTTCAATTATGTCCTCATATAAACTTGTTTGCCTTGGTAATCCATTATTGGATCTTCAAACGAACGTTGATCAATCCTACTTAAAAAAATATGATTTAAAAGATAATGATGCGATTTTAGCTGAAGAAAAACATTTACCAATCTTTAAAGAAATCATTGATAACAAAGATCTTATTTTAGTTGCTGGTGGTGCTGCTCAAAATACTGCTAGAGGTGCTCAATATATTTTACCTTCAAACTCAGTTGTTTATTTTGGATCAGTTGGTAATGATATTTATGCCAAAAAATTAAATGAAGCAAATGATGAATATGGATTAACTACTAAATATCAAATTCAAGAAGATGTTGAAACCGGTAAATGTGCTGCTTTAATTTATGACCATCACAGATCATTAGTTACTGATTTAGGTGCTGCTAATCATTTTAAAGTTGATCATTTAAAAAAACCAGAAAATTTGGAAATTATTAAAAATGCTGAATTTTTCTATATTGGTGGTTTCCATTTAACTGTTTCACCAGAAGCTATTAAATTTTTAGGGGAACATGCTTCTCAAGAAAATAAACCATTGGCTTTAAATTTTTCCGCTCCTTTTATTTGTCAATTTTTCAAACAAGCATTAGATGAAGTATTACCATATATTGATTACGTTATTGCAAATGAATCTGAAGCTGAGGCTTATGCTGATTCTCATGAATTAGGTACTAAAGATATTAAAGAAATTGCAAAATATGTTGCTAAATTACCAAAAGAAAATTCAAAAATTGCAAGAACTGTTATTTTCACTCAAGGAACTTTACCAACAATTTCAGTTGTTTATAATAAAGAAAGAGATTCTTTTGATATTAATGAAGTTCCAGTTAAACCATTATCAAAGGAACAAATCGTTGACACAAATGGAGCAGGTGATGCTTTTGCTGCTGGTTTTGTTGCTTCATTAATCGATGGTAAAGATTTAACCAAATCAATTGATGTTGGTCAATGGGCTGCTTCTTTATCTATTCAACAAGTTGGACCAACTTTCCCATTTCCAAAACAATCTTATACCAACTAGATTAAAAATCAATTATTCCTACATTTATGATCTTTTTTTCATGATATTCATTTCAACATGGGTTATTTAGATAGTACTATTTATTGTTTGATTTATTGGTTGGTTATACAATTATTATTTTTATTACTTACTTTTTTTATAGATTTGTTTTCAGTCATTTGTAAATATAAAAATTTCAACAGTTTTTAGATAACATTGGGGGACCTTGATTGAGTAGGTGAGAGCGAAAGTTGATTATATTCTAACGTCTACAGGCTAAAGTTGGTTCAAGGTTGTGTAAATTAAGTCGCTCATAATGTTTCTTGTTGTCTTCTAAACATCTTGCGTTAAATTTTTTAAGCGCATTTTTTTTGCAGCCAAAAAAAATATGTACTCAGTCACTTGTTACTGAGTGATTTTGCTGTGGGATTGTGTAGTTTATCCATGTATTAAAGTTACGTTCCATGTCAAACGTTAATTGACTCTAGTTTCAATTCGGAAAGATAATATGATCATTTCAAGCACGAAGTGAGTTTAAGGAGATTGCAACAATTTCACAATTTTCTGAAAATAACTTTGTAAAGACCACTATTTTCCACAGCTTACACCAATGAATTCTTTAGAGACTTACCTAATGAATTGATCGAATTAATACGTAGTCAATTGCCAGTATTGTACCTTAAGTTGTTAATGTATGTAAAAGAATTTGAAATCTTAGCAAGAAATGAATTCCTTAAAATAATTTCGATTGAAAATCTGAAGAACAACTCTTATAGAGTACAGATGGCAAGAAACGTTAAGATTAGTAGAGAAACCAATATAGTGCTTCCATCTTCACTAAAATATTCAAGCCCGGCTTTTTTAATTTAGGCCCATTTCAAAAGTTGCAGAACATGACGAAATTTAATATTCACTGATATAAACGGTCATTTCATTTGTACAACGATAACGAAATTGCAACAATTTTCAGTAACATAGCGTACGTGATAAAAATGACATGGAAATTTTAATTGAGTTGGACTTTAAAATTGAAGCAACATCTCGTTTAATTGACCTTACGTTGATGAACAGTAACATAAAAGATATGACGTTAAAACTCAACATTAACTCGATTGATTTATCAAATTGTAAATCTTTGAAAGAGTTATTCATAAACTTTGAATCTCCAGAGAATTTTGATCATCAAGATGTTGATCCTGTTGACGTTAACAATGACTTATACGTAAAGTTCGAATCTGAAACATTTCACGTTTACACATTTCGTTCCAAATTTACAAAGTCGTGTATTTTTAAGAATTTTACCAAATTTAGTTAAATTGAATGGATTGAAATTTATAGCATATCGCGGAAAAAACTTAGATATGAGTTAAATTCCAATTGGTGTTAGAAGATTACACCTTCAAGCTGAAAGTTTGAGATCAAACGGCTGGAGAAATTTAAAGTACATTGAATCTTTTAATTTAGAATGTTGCTGGATGGAAGCTGATATGTTTTATCTTGCGGCCATTATTAAAGTACTCAAAATTATCAGCAGTTCATAATTTTCAAAAGATTGATTTTAGTAGGTGTAAAAATTTAGTGAAAGTAAAGCACAATTCTTTTTTTTTAGAAGGGCCAAAATTAAGCATACTTCATAAAAGGAAAGTAATCAAAACGATATATCAAAATAAATTTGAAACCTTGAAGTATTTTAGTATTATACATGAGAGTGAATATCAAAAATTGAAAATGGAAAAATAAGTTAAGAATTGGTTAGAATTATTGTTAAAAGATCCAAAGTTTTTCATACTTAACGAATGTCCAGAAAACAATAAGGAAAAGACTTTTAAAATACCTTTAAAATGAATATATATTTGTTGAATATATGCCTATTTAATCTTGTATTTATTTAATCTTGTATTTATTTAATTGGACTGTTTATGCCAAGAAATGTGTCAAATTTAAAAGCGCAATTTTTTTTGCAACCAAAAAATATTTTTCAATATTAAAGACACCGTCTATTTGATTTATGTTCATTTTTATTATACAATTGTGTAACTTCTGTTTCTAAGGCGATTATGATTACTAAACTAAACTTTTATGATTTAAACTTTGAACCAATCCGAGTCGGGATAAATCTTCAAACTATAAAATGTAAGATGAGTTAAAAAAAGTAGGCTTAAAACTAAAAATTTTATCTGATGAAATCTTATCAATTAATTCAATTAGAAGGTTTACGTTGATTAGTATGGTAAAACTTCTAATTGTGGATTTAAACTTTCGTTTCTACAAATACCTGATCTTAGTGTTGTTTGATTGGAGTTTATTGTGTAGGTTATTGTTCTCAAATTGGTTACATTTTGCCTATTCTGATATTTAAACCACATGTTTAATAATCGAATGAAGTAGTCAATACTGTATAATAAATGTTTATTCTATGCGTTCATAACTCTTTTATTACTTACTATCCCTTGTTAGTCAACTTTTAAATTTTTAAGCCTATTTTTAAATTGCAATAGAATATTTTACTATTGGCTAAACGAATGAAAAAAATAGCCTTATGGTTGTATTCCATTAGTATATATATCAACCTACTTGTCCGTTACTTGAATTTTCTTCTCTTCTTCTTCTCTTCTTCTTTTCTTCTTCTTTTCTTCTTCTTCTTTTCTTATTTTCTTCTTTAACCCCCCTTTAACCCCCGTCTTTTCATATTTGAGATTTCATTTTAAACCATGGTTAACGTTTTTAATGTTCAAATCTTTTTCATTGTTTTTAGAGAATGTTTAGAAGCAGTTGTTGTTGTTTCTGTTTTATTAGCATTTTTAAAACAAGGTATTGGTAAATCAACTGATGATCCCAAAGTTTATAAAAAATTACGAAATCAAGTTTGGTTTGGAGCTATTCTAGGGGTGATTATATGTATTATAATTGGTGTTATTTTTATTGCATTATTTTATACATTAGGTAACGATATTTGGTCAAAATCTGAAGATTTATGGGAAGGTATATTTTGTATAATTGCAACTGTTTTAATTTCATTAATGGGTATTGCAATGTTAAGAATTAATAAAATGAAAGAAAAATGGAGAGTTAAATTAGCTAGAGCTTTAACTAAAGTACCTGATAAAAAGAAAGATAGATTTAAAATTGGTTATTTGACTAAAAAATATTGTATGTTTATATTACCTTTTATTACATGTCTTAGAGAAGGTTTAGAAGCTATTGTATTCGTTGGTGGTGTTGGATTAAATTCTCCAGCTACTGCTTTCCCAATCCCTGTTATTTGTGGTTTAATTGCTGGTATTGCAGTTGGTACAATTTTATATTTTTCAGGTTCTTCAGTTTCATTACAAGTATTTTTAATTATATCAACTGGTATTTTATATTTAATTGCTGGTGGATTATTTTCAAGAGGTATTTGGTATTTTGAAAATCATACATTATCAGTTAAAACGGGAGGTGATGCTTCAGAAAATGGTTCAGGACCAGGTACTTATGATGTCTCAAATACTATATGGCATGTAAATTGTTGTAATCCAGAAATTGATAATGGTTGGGATGTTTTTAATGCTTTATTAGGTTGGCAAAATAATGCAACTTATGGATCTGTAATAAGTTATAATATTTATTGGCTAAGTATTATAGTTACTTTATTATTAATGTTATATGAAGAAAAGAAAGGTCATTTACCATTTTTTAAATCATTAACTTTAAGATCATTAAATCCAATGTATCATTTTAAGAATAAAAAACAAAATGAATTAAGTGAAGAAGAAAAGAAAGTATTATTTGAACAATTACATCATACCCAGTTTCATAATGAAGAAGAAGAAATGGAAGAAGATTGTATTATTAAAAATGAATCAGTTATTGTTAATTCTGAAAAAAGTTCTTAATTTCACACACACACAACTAATATAAGAACATTTTGGGATTGACTTTAATCTTCGTATATTGCAGGATGGGGGGGTTCATTCTATTTTCGTTTTAATTAATATATACCAGGATTAAAAACAACTGAATTGATTTCTTGAAAATTCGAGATTTTCTTCGAGTATGATATCAAAATCTGATTTATTGTAGTTTATACGTGGTTCAAATTCGTTAAACTTGTTTTCAATCTCATTTAATAATAATTGGAGGAACTTGTAACAGCTATCATTGATTTGTAATAATTTGGACTTATCAAATACTTGTAAAAGGAAATTTGTATCTAATTTTAAATTGATCAACACAAAAGGATTAGTAAATTTGAAATCTGCTCTTAGATTATCAAGCATTGTTTTTATAAGTTGTATTTGTAATTCATTAATTATAGTAATAAATATCTCTTCACTAGTTAATGGTTTAAAAATATTTACCAATTTAACAAAATGTATCAAAATTTCAAATATAAATGAATCAACTTTAATCGCATTAATTTCATAATCTTTATTAAAAAATTGATTAACATTTGTAGAAATGTATAATTTTTCATTATTTAAAATATCATCAATAATAGTCAAACTTGCCTTATCTATATCAGAAAATAGTTTCAAATTCTGTCTTGATAACTCCTTTTCAAAATTTTTATCAAATTGGGCTATTAATCTAGGATATATTATCCTTGACAATTTATCAAAATTATTCATTGTTAAAATTTTAAAAACTTCTAATGTAGATGACGTTTCATTTCTTTCATTATTATATTTTTTCATTAATGAATCAACTATGATATTTAAACTTCTCATGAATTGAATTTCAATACTTACTAACATTCGTTTACTTGGATAAGATCGAACAATTTTAAACTCACTTGAATTTTTAGGTTTAACTAAATTTGATAATTTCATAATTATGTATAATTGATAATATTCAATAATTTTAATTAATTTTGTACTTGATCCTCCATTATGTGTTTCTTCAATATTCCAATCTTCTAATTCATAAAATTGCATACAATCATTTACCCAAGTAGAACAAACAGCTTCAAGAATTTTTTGATTAATTTTTAAACTTGATGCTTTTAAATTCTTGATCTGTTTATTTGTATCTTCAAATTTTGAAACATTTCCAATCTTGCCTACAATCTCACCTAATTTAGTCATGATGTTATTCACTTTAACTTGAACATTACCAAGATGATACATAGTGGATAAAGAATTAGTATAATATGGTAAAAATTGTTTATAATTCTTTGGTGAACTTTCTAATTGATTATTATTTCCTTCATTTTCATCATCGAATAAAGTACCAAGAACTAAAACAACTTGATTAATAAATTTCAAAAATGATTCTCTGATTTTTCCATCATTATCAATTCCCATTTTAATATAATGACTATAGTTGTTAAGAAATTTGAATGAATTCTTTAGTAGTAAATTATCAATATAATTTATGAAATTGTATAATATTAACCATGACTCATTAATCAAACTCAAATCTAACAAATCATCACTTTCAAAACATTCTTTAATTATGGACAATTTCTCTTCTTGTGTTGCTTGTTTTATATCCTCTTTATAATTTTCATATTTATCTTTTATATAATTTACATGACTTCCATTTCTTTGTTCAACATTTAATGAAGACATATATTCAATTAATTTATTTTGCATAATTAAAAATTTATTATCAAATTTACCTACTTGATATTCAAAATCTTCATCAATGACAGTAATTTGTTTAGTTAAAAAATCAGCAATAGGATTAATTTTTTGATCATGATCTAATTTTGATAAATTATTAACTAAGGATATAAATTTTGAATTTGTACCATTATCTGAACTTACTTCATGATCTAAACTAAGTAATTCTTTATAAATTTTATCTCGATATTGTGATGCCAATTGATCAATCTCTTTAAATACAATATTTATAATTGTCAACTTCATTTTCTTTTCATCTCCAATTGATTGTAATCCTTTATTGTTCTTTTCTTGGGTATATTTATTCTTCATATCATTATATTTCCTATCTAAATGTTTTAAAAAGTTTCCCTTTTCATCAATATATTTAATATAATCATCTATGAATTGAATATTATTATTTACAGATAAATGATGAATTAATTTAGATGGTAAATTGAAGAAAAATTCATTAGATTTAATAAATTCAATCATTTTATAAATCTTTTCTTCTTTTGCTTTATTTTCATTAATTGGACGAATTAATAGTGAAGTCGTGGTTGTTAAATAATTTAATGAACTTTCTAATTCAGATGATAACTCATTCCCATTTAATTTAGTTTTATGTTTTTGAGGATTAAAATATTTCAGATTATCTCTATCTTGTTGTGCTTTTGATTTTGAATTTAAAAACTCATTTAATGCATTATCAATCTTAGTCTTACAATCTAAAAATTGTAAAAAATTGAATTCAATAGCTTGTTTAAGATCTTGTTTATATGCTAAAATATTCTTTTCTAAAAAGTTTAAAGATTGATTCAATTCATTCAATGAAGAATCTTTATGGATGGTAGTTAAATACTTAAATGAATTGAAATTTTGCGACCCTATTAAATAATTTCGTATTATTGGATCATTTGGAGTTGAAACTATTCCCTTTTTAATTAGTGATGATATAACATTTGAACCTTTACCTTTTAATGGATCTTGAGCATCATCTTCTGATATTTTATTTAAATCTAATTTAGTACTTGATAATTCATATTCATTTGATTTTAAAACTTTACTTAATAAATCAAATTGTTCTTCAACTGATAAAGCCCGTATATCTTCAGGATAACCATTATTTGTTTCAATTGCCAAATCCTCTTTCTTTACAGGATGTAGTGTTTTTAAATTGTATAAATTTAACAAAGTTTCATTATCAGGAGTACTAAATAAATACATGGCAGTTGTTGATAATTTTGAAAAATTAAAAAAAAAAACGCTACCAATTACATATCACTCATTATATATTCATTATATTCATTATATTCATTAATTATTAGCTAAAAATTCATCAACATCATCAGTTATATCTCTTTTTAAATCATCAATTAAGTATTCAATCTGTTCATTAAAAGATTTATCATTAATTCTTGCAGTTAATTGTTCATGTAATAATTTAAAATCTATTGATTTCCAATTTGTTTCAAATTTTTTGTTATATTCAATTGATAATTTATCCCAATCTATACCTACAGTAGATTTAAACCCATATTTTTTAATTCTTTTCATTATCCAATATTTTGTTTCTTTTCCCATTGTTTTAATTCTTTGTCTTGATTCATTTGCTCTTACATTTGTAAATTTATATCTACATTGAATTCTTGATCTAACACCATTCATTTTTTCAGATACAATTGTCCAATTTATATTCTTTATTTTTTCATCTTCTGTTTGTCCAGGTAAATTTGATAATATTTCATTATTAATTATATTTAATAATTTTTTTTCATCAATTTTATTCCATCTATTTGAATCTCGATTTTCACCACATTTTGCATAATTTCTCCATCTATCTCTACAATCTTCAGGCATTCTACCCATGATTTCACCAATTTGCTTCCATTTACCAGGATGCGTAATAGCTAATTGATTTAATTTTTCTTCTTCTTCTTTTGTCCATTGTGCTCTAATATCAAATATATGATATCTTCTTCTAATATGTTTATAAATCAGTGATTGAGATCTATAGGGAATCATAGTTTCAATTCTTTTCCAAAATTGATCTTTTTTACGATTATTTGACCAAATTCTATTACACAAATCTTGTCTTGACTTTTTTTCAATATGACACCAACACGCAAAATAATAATCTAAAACTTCATCTTCAAATTTATTAAATGGTCTTGGTTTACCTTTTGTATCTGGATTAACATTATTTTCATACCATGCAGTTAATTTGTTTTGACATTCTTGACGAACTTGATCAATATCATTAATATTTGTAAAATCATATTTTGGTAATTTTGGAGATTCAATAGGTTGTACAGGTCTACCAGAAGTAGCAGTTTTTTCATTTTCATTTTCAATTTCATTTGTTTTATTAGTTTCAGTTTCAGTTTCAGTTTCAGTTTCCGCTTCAGCTTCAGCTTCAGCTTCAACTTCAGCTTCAACCATTGCATTAGCAGCAGCTAAAATTCTTGCTTCTTGTTGTGGGTTTAGTTGTAAATTAGAATTATTGCCTTGTTCAATATCTTTTCTAGCATCTTTAATAGCTTCTAATAATTGTTCTTGATCTAAATGAAATTCTTCTTCTTCTTCTTCTTCTTCTTCTTCTTCTTCTTCTTCATCATCATCATCATCATCATCATCATCATCATCATCATCATTATCATTATCATTATCATTATCCTTATCCTTTTGTTTCTTTTTATCTTTTTTCTTTTTACTTTGTTTATCCCTTTTTTTTTTCTTTTTTGGTAGTGTTGTTGTTTCATCAGGTATAATGTGTTCATTCAAAAAACCAGTCCATTGATCTAAATCATAATCGTCAACAACAATATTAGAAAACTTTCTCTTTTTTTTGGAACCGTTATTATTCCCATTTAATTCACCACCAACATATTTCATAACAGCAGTTTCAATCGCACTTTTAGTAATACCATCTCTATCAATTTCCTCGTCTTCTAAATCATATTTTTCACCACCCGCAGTATTCAAAAATTCATTAATTTCATCTCTTTGAGGTAATTGTTGTTTTGAACCTAAATTTAATAAAACTTGAGCACCATCGATTTCTTTTTGATCATCTGTCATAGTTAATAATTTTTGCAGCCAACTGTAATAGATTGTTACCCAGCTAAAACTTCAATCGATTTGGTTATTTATTTTTAACTTGTTTCAGATTTTTAGTTGATTTTTTCTTTTACACGAATTTGTCAATTTTACACGACTTTTGCTTTATTAGCAAAATAAAATATAATGAAGTTGCAAAATTATATACCATTGGATGTTAAGAGACAACAATTATTACAACAATCTATAGATATAGTTGATAATATTAAGAATTGGGAATTGGTTAAATCTACCGATGATACAAAGATTTTAAAAACTACGTTTAATGACGATTTTTGGTGTGGTAGAATTAGTCCACATTTGTCATCAGAATATTCAAATAAATTAAAAGAATTGATTATTGGTCAACCAATTATTGGTAAAACTCATTCGGATTATGAATCGGATTATATGAATGAAGTTAAATCAATCAAGGTTGAAAATTTACAATCTTATGATTTTGGATATTCTTATCAATTAAAAGCAATTTATGATTTAGGTTTTCCTTTAAAACATAGAGTATTTCATGTATTGATTCATATTTGGAATTTTGGAAATTATGGAATTGTAACTAGTTTACCTATATCTGGTAATAATGATGAAGGTAATGTTATTGCAAAATATATTTCTGTTGAAAAAGTTAAAATTAATGATGATGGTTCGATTGAATGGATAATGGCTACGAGTAGTAATCCATCTGGATGGATTCCTCAATTTATTACAAGAGCTGGAATGCCTGGTGCAATTCAAAAAGATGTACCTAGTCTTTTAAAATATATCGATGCTCATCCATAATCTTTTTTATGTATAGTATAATTTATGAGAGATCTACTTATGCGATTTGAAAATCTTCTAATTTATTAAATGTAAATACAAAGGGATATCACAGAGAATGACCGACCGATAGACACTTGTATTAAATAAAGTTTAAATTGTGTATTTAAAACTGTTTATTAATAAAATGTAAAGGATACATTATTGTGTCTAGTGTCCCGTTATCTTTCTTTAATTGACTTGACCTAACCAATACTTTATATCATCAGTTAAATTCTCAATAAATCCTAAACTACCATATTCATAAATTCCATCAGACAATTTATCAATCAATCCTTTCTCAACAACGACTCTCTCATTAACCTTATGATGTTTATTCTTATTCTTAATTATAATTATATTTTTATTCTTGTATTTTAAATAGTAAAACATCCAATTATTCAATTTATTAGTCGTACATTTATGAAAAAATTCATCAAATTGAAAACAATTCATATCGGCAAACAAATTAAATATTTGGTTGTGTAGATAATATATAGCTGTCCAGTATCGTATTTTCTCATTCTCGAGATTTGTAATGTATGGTAAATAAGGTAATGAAGTCTGGAATGATTTTGAATCTTTATCAAATATGACATAAAAAAAATCTGAATCTATTTCTTGTTGTTGATTATTATTATATATTGATTTCAATGATGATATACTATTTGATAAGTTTGATTGATATTGTATTAAATCATCAATTATTAAATTTAAATGTGGTTGAAGATCTGAGTAAAATGTAGGATTGTCTACATTTACATTACTTGATTCATAAATTAGTGTTATGTAAAAATTACCATTCTGGAATAGTATTAATTGATATTCGTCTATCTCTCCACTGATTGATTTGATATATACTATCTTTCTACTTATTGACTCTTGATTTAATCCAATAAGATAAGTTCCTGTATCTTCCGTCGCTTCTGAATCTTGTGATTTTGGTAATGGCTGTTCTTCATTTGTAGTAGTCAAGTTTGTGATAAATTTTGGCATAGTTAACCAACTTGAAGGTTCATTATAAATATTTGAAACACTTGAAACGGTATAATTTAAAGGTGTGACTACTAAATTATGACCCAAATTGACGGGATTTAACGTTTGTAAAGCACCACCATCTTCATAAAACTTCTGTTTTGGTAAATTTGAAATAAATTCATTTTCTTCAAAAGTTTTAGCATGATAATTATTAAACTCAAGCCAGTTAAATATATCAATTAGTGAGTCATCTTCAAGACCGGAAGAATCTTTATATATAATTCCATTCTTTTTTGTAATTTCATCATTAAAACAACTTATAATTATACCTTTTGGTGTTTGATCGATATCTTCAATTCTCTCTTTTAGTTCTAAATTATTCAATTTTGAACTTGACGACTTATAGTATGGAAATAAACCAAGAAATCCTTTGTAATTAAGATTATTTATCCAGTTTAAGGTTGGAGGATACTTTAAGTATGATGAATTATAGCAATTTTTAAAATTTGTCCAATATGAAACTAGACTATCTCTTAGCACATCTTTATCAAAATCATAGAATAAATGTAGTGGTTTATTAAATAACGTGAATCGTCGATTTGTTATAGCTATTAATTCACTCAATTGATGTAGTATTAATTTGTCGGTGGTTGAAATATTGAAAATTATAAAATAATTAGATTCTAATTGGATAACGATACTTGACTCAGTTTCAGATTTTATAATTAATGGTTCTTCAGATTCTGTAAATTCATTGACTAAACTTTGTATACCTCTAATTAACCCCACTATTTTCAATTGTTCAATTTGACCATGCGTCTTATCATTAATGAAGATAATAATTTGTTTTAATAATTCTTCATTTGATTCACTAGTTGAAGAAACCAAAGTAGGATTAAATATTGATATATAATTTATATTAGGATATGCTTGCTTAGGTAATAATTCTATAGTATTATTTGTTGTTTCATAATTATTGAATGTTGGTATATATTGACTAAAATTCATGAATAGAGAAAAAAATATATACGACACTAAATTATATTTATATTTACGACACTACAATTTGATAAAAACCCATAATGAACAGTTGGTATTGATTCATTATGACATACTGACCATTGATTACTATAGTTATACAATAATTGACCTTTTTCAATTTTAAAATCTCTTGATTTATTACCTCTGGGGCATAATTTTAACTTAGTTGAATTTGTTTCGACTCCAATAAATTTGAAACCGGGTGTATTAGTTACTCTCAAACTTGAATTGTGTAACAATTCAGCTTCTAATGGAGTCAAATTACCTACTGTCACGTTAGCATTTACATTTGTTAAATTTGTAAAATTATTTGATTTTAGATCATGTACAATTAAACGAAAGGCGGTAGTTAAACCAACTAACCAAATTAAACGGAGCATCATCGTTTAGAGACAAGAAATCAAGAATAAGTAAGTGATTGAGATTGATCATTATATTATAGTCCAGTGCATATCAAATTAAAAAAAAAAATCTATACGAATATTATACTACTATACCAAAAATTTTACTATTTTTTTTATCTAATTTATTCCATTTCAACAAAAACACCATTAAAATGTGACATTGTTAAATGAATTAATTTTTGTGGTGGATATTGTTCATCTTTACTTTTTAAAGTTGGGAAAATTTGAGCTAATCTTGCAATAACATAAGATGCTTCAGTTAATGCAAATTGTTGACCTAAACAAATTCTTGGACCACCATTGAAAGGAACATAAGCCCAACCTAATCTTTTTATATTTTCCCATCTTTCAGGTTTAAAATCATAAGAATCTTTACCATAATATTCTTCTAATCTATGAGTTTTATAAACAGTATAAGCAACAGTTGAACCTTTTGGAACATAAATTGGTTTATTACCATCTTTACCACCACCTCTTGGTAATGTAGTATTTTTAGTTGAAGTTCTAAAATTAATTGGAACTGATGGATATAATCTTAAAGTTTCATCTAAAACAGCTTTCAAATATTTACATTTTTTAAGATTTTCAAATGTTAAATCTTCAACTCTTGCATCTTCACCTTCACCAAATTCTGAAACAATTTCATGTCTTAATTTAGCCCACATTTCAGGATTTCTTGCTAATTCAAACATTGCAAATGATAATAAACCTGCAGTAGTATCTCTACCAGCAACCATAATATTTAATAATTGATCTTGTAAAACTTTTGGATTTCTTGTAATTTTGACCAATTCATATAAAAAGATATAACCACTTGCTTTTTCTAATTCTTCAGGACTTAAACTTAATGCTTTATCAACAAAATATTTTGCTAAATAATGAACTTTTGCATTACATTCTCTAAATTCTTTATTATTAGTTAACCAATAAAACATTTGTGAATAAGATCTTGTAGCTAAATAATGTTGTGAAATATTAAAAGCTTGAGCAAAATTTTCTCTACCAGGAATTTCATTTGGTGGTCTAATACCTAATTTTTCATCATATAATGAATGAACAGATTCTCCAAATAAAAATTCAGTTGCTGTATCAACAGTAAATCTAAAAAATAATTCTTGTAAATCAAAAGTTTTACCTTTATTCAATTTAATATGTTTTGCTAAAATTTGAATATGAGGTTCTAATGATTTAACATGAGCAATTTGTTCTCTAGCAAATTGAGGTCTTAACATTGATCTTGAATGTTTCCAACCTTCTCCATCTAATGTAAAAATACCATCTCCTAATAAAGGTTTAAAATGCGCATGTCTTGTACCTAAAGAAAAATCATTAAATTGCGTAGCCAAAACTGCTTTAATATTTTCTGGATCAACTGTAAAAACAATTTTTAAAACACCAACAATAGTTAAATAAAATGTATTATTTGGATATTCTTTAAAAGTATCATCACCATAATCTGCTAATCTGCCTGCATTTTTAGCTTTAACAACTTCCATTAATGTAAAAACACCAGTCCAGCCAGCTGTTTTTAAATATTCTGGATTTTCACAACCTAATCTTTTAGCATTTATATAGTTTGATAAATTTATAGCTAATATATAAACAATCCCAGCGATTGTAACAACAGAATACCATTTAGTCAAATAAGGTATTATTGAATCAACAACTGATTCTACTGTAATTGGCATGATGAATAGTTAGTTAATAATAATTAATAAATAAATAAATAAGTAACCAAGTAACTAAGTATCTAAGTAACTTAAAATGCTAAACCCTAATAAAGAAAAAAAATGATAAGAACAAAAAAAAACTCCTGATAGGAAATTTACTTCTTTATATATGAATTGGTTATTCTATTATTATTGTATCATCACTATTCATAATAATTGATTATATGAATGTGAAAAAATTAAAGTCGCAAAAAACTCCGATCGCAGCAAAAAAAAAAAAAAAAAAAAAAATAAAATAAAATAAAAAAAAAAAAGATATATAAGAATGTCGTACAAAGCTAGACTTAGACTTCTAGTATGAAATTGGTAGTATTGTGGGGATATACATTTAGTTAACTATGGTAGTGTCGATGATTAATTTATTAATTTCCTATTTGGGTGAGCAAATCTTAAATCCTGCATTTAAATAGAGAGAAAAAGCGTTAAAAGAAACAACGTTAAAAGAAACAGCGTTAAAAGAAACAGCACAAGAAGAAGCACCACAAGAAGAAAAAACACAAATTTCACTTAATCAAAATACATTTCAAATTGAGTTGAAATTTCATCAATTGTTGATCTGTATTGTTAAGTACTTTATAAAACTGTTGGTTGATAAGGTGTAAGCCAATTTATTGTTATAATAAATAATATTGTTGCATTTCTATTTACTTACTTTCATATGAAAGGGAATAATTTATAGTAGTAATATTGCAGAATAATATTAATTATAACTAAAGTAAACTAAACTCAATTAAACTATATTGTCGTCTACAATGTATAATTGTTTAAATAACCTTGCAATCTATCAACAACTCATTCACTCATTCAACGACTCATTTATTATAATTGACTGTTTTAATGAGTAAGGATTCTTGATTATACGTAACTAATAAGTAAACTAATAAGCTTTAAACTTAATCTTAAGTTATAAACAGTTTCATTTAAAGCTTTCAGGTAGTTGATGTAATCAAGACGACATTTCTATAATAAGATCATCAAAGCATTATTTTACGAGTTTAACTCCGCGTCGAAATCTTAACCTTAAAATTTGCAGTTTATCGCCTAATTTTTTTTTTTACAGTTTATTCCGGATTTTATAATTTGGGTTTTAGATTTTACTCCTCTTTTTGGATTTTGTGTAATATATTACGCCAACCGACATTAGCAATTGTACACTTCTATTCTTGTAACAAAAAGACATTTTTATACGAGTTGTAAAGTCCGCAAAAGACAGTTAAGCTTTAAACTAGTTAAATTGAAAATTTGAAATGGTGGTTGAATTGGACCAATAATATCGCGTAGAATGATAATACTGGACAACTACTCTCTCTACTAGGAAAGTTGAACTATCGTCTACTTGAGGTCTGATTTCAGAACATAACATCTCTATTTAATATACCTCATTCTACAGTATTCTCTCCATATTTCACTTCCATATTTCACATGGAAATTAAAATTTTTTTCAACTGTTTGTTATTGCGGTCGACTAAATTAAGTAATTTTAAGGCACACATTCTAACTATTAATAGCTTCGTCTAGAACGTTAAACGCAGAGTAAAATGTTTTGTGTCCGTTATTATTGGTTATAATTTAATAGAGAGAGTGATCAGACCATAATTTTGTGAATTTTTTGAACATTCCTAACCGTTGAAATGAATAGTTGGGGTAAATTTTGGATCTAATTGCTTAATATCCCGGGTTTTTAAAGAATGTCTATGATAAATCTGAGATAGAATAAACCCTGATTTTGTTGCGAACACCATTGGTGGTTGCAAATTATCATGTTTACACATTTTAGATTTTGGTTGCGAAAAATTAAAAAAATTTGAAAATTGTTACAAATTTCAAAAAATAAACTAATATATTAAACAAAACATTAGTTCTAATGTAAATATATCTAACTAATTAAGTGAATTATTATCGTAGTATTCAATAGGAACTAGTTTTTCTTTATCTAGTAGTTCATCAACAATATAAACCTGATTATAGTAAACAAGTTCCTTTAAGTTAGTCAATTGATCAGCCAAATAAACAACATGAGAAGGAAGGCTGCCTTTATAAAGTTTGTATAAATTAAATTCTTGATTAAGACAGTCACTGTTTATCATCAAATATTTTAAAGAACTTTTGTGGTGCATAATTACCTTTTCGTCTACTAAATCCCTTGGACCAAAACTAAGTACCTCTAAGCTATTCTCCTTTAGGTTTGTTATTAAGTCATTTATCTCATCCCATTTTGATCTGATGTGTAGGTGCCTCAAATTTATCAACTTGTTAGTTAAATTAATTAATTCAAAATTTTTCACATTAGTATTATAATTTAAACTTAAACTCAAAGTAACAATTTTTAATGTGTTAAATATGAATGGTAAATCAAATATTAAATCATTGGAAGGTGAACTCAAACTTAATTCAGAATTATCGCCATTTATCAAAACATCTTTACCAAATTTGTTAGGGATTTCAGTCACTCTACTTTTTTTCACATCAAAAGTGTCCGACTCAGGAATAAATATTTCACAATTCGAATGTTCCAATAAATAATTTGTAACTGCTGGTGATTCAATCTCGAAATAAACTCTATGAATCAATTTAGAATCAATTTTTCTCAAATGTTTTCTAAAATTATCGAGACTCAAGATTGTAAAACGTTGATATACTGGATTTCCATAGTATGATCTTGGAATTATTTATCTCCCTTGTAGACATATATTGAATCATTCAAGGACTGATTGACAACTCCTTCGAAATTACGATGCATTAATGCACAATGTATCTTATCTATCTGGTTAACATACCTTAAAATCATCAAAATGATTTCATTAGGCAACTTAAATAACCCTTGGTTTAAATTATTTTTGCATTGTATTGAGTTAAGGATATTTTCGCAGCTATTCAAAGTGATCAGATTAGATTCAAATAAAGTTAAACATTTCTTTAATAGTTCGTTGTTTTCAACTATACTTTGAATTAATAGATCTTGACCCATGAGAAAAGAAGTGGTCGACAGTTGAAAGATTTTAAACTCAGGTTGGCTTCAAGGTAGTCATTTATATATGGAGAACCCTTTAAAAAGTGGAGATTATTAGTATATAAACTTTTATATATGCTACCAAGTGTTACATCAAATAAATTTCATATTGATTTCAAGTTGAATTTGCCATTTATGAATGAACAAGGCAGTTTATAGCACAGTTTGGTAGTTTATCAAGTATTTAAAAAAATAAATTAGTCTTCCATATTAGTTTGAGTAGAGCTTGCGTAAACTTGTGTTGCAAATTAAGACTTTCAAAGCATCAAAAGTTTAACTAATCAAAACGTTTACATTACTAACAAATTTATGAAAAAAGATTTACTAGTACTGTCAGCTATAATCCTTTCAAAAAGACAGCTTCGAAGTGTTTATTCATAGTCGGGTACTGTATATTAGTTAGGAAATAAGCATACAATTTTGTAATTTTCTTTGTTAAGTAGTAGCTAATTCATCTAATGAAACTCCACTAGTTCAATACGAGGAGTTGATATAGTCTATTGACTGTAAAAAGATAATTTCTATAGATAATAAACTCGAGAACCTCAAGTTGAGTAGTGTTATCAACTCGATCCTGTAAGATTCGTCAGGCTTTTTAAAAAGTACAAAAGTATTCCTTTCAAAACGCAGATACAAACTAAGTATCCTCAGGCTACGGCCATGATAAGCAATATTTTTTAAAATCTCCTTATCTAAAATAGAACTATTTGAGTAATAACTGACTAAGCTATCTTTTTTCAAATTTATGAGGAAATGATGCATAGTGGTTTTATTAGCATTAAAGCAAAGGTGCTTCAACCACACTAAGGCTAATTTTATTGTATCTGGCGTTGCTAAAAAATTCTGTTCTTCTGGACTTGTAGGGTGACTATTTATTTAAATGGAAGCTCATCAAGTAATCAAAAGTAATTGAAATAATGGGGAAATACAAATAAACTGCCTCAGCTTCTGGATTAGCATCAATCTTGGAATAGCTGTTTCCAAAATACATCAAGTAATTGTACGATTGTTTTTTTTTTACCTAGTGGTTTCGTGTAAAATCTACGCATTTTCTCTTCATCCAACACCAGTCTAACAAAACCTGGTCCAGCACAGTCAAGGCTGCAATTTGAGTTACCGCAAGTGTTTGTTGCATCCTTACCTCGAGTTTCTACTTCAAAGTAACCAAAAGAATAGCCTAAGGATAATTTCGATATTATCCTAAATGATGCAATATTAATTTATTTCTTAATGAATCACCTTCTTTTGACATCAAAATAATGTAGATCACGAAGTATACAATTCCAGCTATTGAACCAGCAATTCCTAAAAAATCATTTAACCAATTTAAAGTTAATCCAAAAGAAGCTAAAGCTAAAAGTATGAATGTATTAGCCAAGGCATAATTATCGGGTATGGCATTATCATAATATCTAAATTCATCAATTTCTTCGTATTGTATTGCATCAATTCTTAATCTCCATCGTATATGTCTCTTCTTATTATAAATACGACAATTACAAATAGTATTGGATACTAAATAATAATGAATATCATCAGAAGTTTTTACTATTGTTGATTATTTTTTTTTTTTTTTTCTTTACGATTCGTTGCATCTCTATTTGGATGTGGCTAATGCAAAATTTCGAGATCTTAGTTGGTGCTAGCATTTAAATCAAGACTACTACTTTACCTTGAGCCTAATTTGCTTTGAGCGAGATGGAAAACCCTTTTACTACAGGCATAGGTAACCAAAGTCTGCTAAGATACAAAAATTGAAGTAAAATATTTCCATATATTCAACTATGATGTAATCATCCGTCGAGTCCTCATTGCGAAGTTTTACACAATTCTAACACCTACCATAGTTCGCTGATTCCTTTATTGGAATTGTAGCCCCTCTATTGATCTAATAAATGCTCTAAATTTATATCCTTAACTTCCGAAATCACATATTTGCATTTACTTATTCAATATAATTCTAGCTGATGAAACACTGGCTAAACAACTAACACCAGAACCTAAATACAAAGCAATCTGACTTAAATGATCAATAGGTAAGCAAATTCCAATTAAAAACCAAATAAATCCACCAATAGTGAATAAAACAACAGATGTAATTTCATTAGGAACAATATAATCAAATACATTCAAATCCTTCTCATATTTCACCGGTTTAACTCTTTCATTCTGTCTATTTGCTTCTATATATATGACAACAACGTTGATTATCGACAGTATCAAATAAATTGGGATGGGTGAAATCATTACTGGAAAAAAATTACCATAATGTCAAACATAAATTGGAAAAATGTATTTACTACATCAGCATCATTTATATCTATAATACTATTGATTAAAGAACTACGAAGTCTATATAATAAAGCAAACAAATTAACTTCATTACCTCCAAGATCTCGCGGTGTTGAATCATTAATTGGTAACACTCCATTAATTGAAATTAAATCATTATCAAAATTAACAGGATGTAAAATATATGCAAAATTAGAATTAATGAACCCTGGAGGGAGTGCTAAAGATAGAGTAGCTTATGAAATTATAAAACAAAGTGAATCAAAAGGATTGATAAAACCAAATGAAAATAATATAATATTTGAAGGAACAAGTGGATCAACTGGTATTTCATTTGCAATTTTAAGTAATGCTTTAGGTTATATTGCTCATATTTGTTTACCTGATGATACATCACATGAAAAATTACAGTTGTTGACTAGTTTAGGTGTTGAGATTGAAAAAGTTAAACCTGCAAGTATCGTCGATCCAAATCAATATGTAAATGTAGCTAGATCAGGGGCTGAAAAAATAAACAATTCAAATACTAATCAAAAAGCAATATTTGCAAATCAATTTGAAAATGATTTTAATTGGAGAATACATTACAAAACAACGGGACCTGAAATCTATAAACAAATGGAAGAGAAAATAGATGTATTTATAAATGGTAGTGGTACTGGTGGTACTATAACTGGAGTTGGAAAATATTTAAAAGAAAAGATACCAGGTGTTAAAATAATACTAGCTGATCCTCAAGGTTCAGGTTTAGCTAATAGAATAAATTATGGTGTAATGTATGATACAAAAGAAAAAGAAGGAACAAGAAGAAGACATCAAGTAGATACATTAGTCGAAGGAATTGGTTTAAATAGATTAACATGGAATTTCAAACAAGGAGAACAATATATCGATGAAGCAATTAGAGTAACTGATGAACAAGCATTAAAAATGGCTAAATTTTTATGTAAAAATGATGGATTATTTTGGGGTTCTTCTGCTTCTATAAATTGTGTAGCAGCAGTTAAAACAGCTTTTAAATATGGACCTGGCCAAAAGATAGTAGTCATTGCTTGTGATTCTGGTGAACGTCATTTATCTAAATTTTGGAATCATGCAAAAGAATATGAAAATGTGACATTAGATGAAGTATTAAAATAAATGTTGATATTAGAATTGTCTATCTATAAACCTTTCTGAATTTCTTGTTCAATCATCTTGTTTTTTGTTTCTCTATAGAGTTTAATTGTACTTAATACGGAAGCACTTATACCCATCCAAATTTGCCAAGTATCAAAAGGTAATGCAATATTGAAAACTGTATAAGTATTAAAACCCAAATCTGATAAATTTTTATATATATCAATCCAAGCATTTGATTTTTTAAATTGTATATTTTCCAAAGTTTTCAAATCATCTGAGTTCCCGTTATTATTATTGTTTGTAGTTATTATAGTGACACCACCTAATAATTGTTTTGATAATTGTTTTGCTCTACTTTTAACTTGAATTTGTATCTTTATATCCATTTCTTGTTGTGTTAAATTTTGTAAATTTTCATAAGCATTATATAAAGCTAACCAAGTTTCACAATACCAACCATAACTTTCATGTTTAGTTACAAATTTTTTATAATTTGGATTTGTAAGGAAATTGAATTTATATAATAATATTGATTCATCATTTATACCATAATATAATGAAAAAAATTCACCCAAAGTTTTCCTATTGAACAAATTTGCTTGATTTATATAATTTGATTTTAAATTAATATTATTTTTAAATTTTTCATATAAATCTCTTATTCTAAATGGTGTTTTACCAAATCTTAAAAGTTGTCTATACATAGATAAACCAGTTATCACACCAGCAACTCTTGATTTAAAAATTGAACAAATTAATATGACAATAATTTTGATGAAGTCTCTTGGATTTTTAAGGAAATTTTTAATCAAATCCAATTGTTTCTCTGAATTGTTATACTTTAAATTTATAGATTTGATATTTAATTTATCATCACTAAGATAAATTTGTGACTTATCAGCATGATAAACTAGCAATCTTAATGTATATTGACCCACTTTTGCCATTTTATCTTTTCCTACAATATCATTCAACATTGACCAAAAAATTTTCCAACTACTTATTTTAGGTAATTTCGTAATTGTAGTTGTTTCTTCAATTTCAAATTTTTCTGACATTGGAGTTATATATTGAAAATTGTTAACTTGTTTTAATTTTGAAGGAGTTTCAAATTTAGAGTGTTGTTGTTGTTGTTGTTGTTGTTGAATAGCTGTAGTTGTTGACATTTTTTGTTCTTCTATTATTTTCGACAATTTAGATGATGACGGTGAATTATCTGGAGAATTTAAATCTTCTAACCACTCTGAATTAAAAATTTGTTGAGGTTGTGCATATAATTTTGAAGTTGGATGTAATGGAGATTGTCTATATTGTGGTGAAGGATTCAGACTAGTACTTTGATGTTGTTGTTGTTGATTATGATTTAAATTATATTGTGGTTGAGTATGTAGTAGATTATTATTTGATCCTACGCTATTTTGTTGTGGCTGTAATTGCTGTTGTTGTTGAGGTTGAGTAACTTTCGAATTATTATAATATTGAGGAGGTATATGATTAGTATATTGAATTGATTCAATATTATTCATTATAAAAAAAGGACTATAAAATTGAATTGGAAATCAATTTATATTTAAATGAATATTAAGTTTGTGATATTAAGGAATAAAAATTGTACGTAATAATGATTATAAAACTTTAAAATAAATTAGATGAATAGCTGCAAATGGAATAATAAACTTCCAATAATAATACAACCACGACGTACCAACTAAACCTAATGTCTCTTCTTAGTTTGTCTTATTTTGTTTTGGTTAAATTTTTGTTGTGATAATTTTTTTTTTTTTTTTTTTCTGCCTTCAGATTGAAACAAGTTAGTTGTAAATCAATTCCTATTACAGTAAGAACTATCATTTAAGAGATAGAGATAGCTTTGACTAAAAGAAATTGAAATATACGATGGGCATAACTAATATTCTGTAGTAACCCTTGAAAAAGATCGAAAGAATTAGGTGCATTGCAACGTTTCATTTTAAAAATTGCAACATTGAAACAATTTGCAGCCTAATCAAACTCATCTTTTAAACTACAAGACACCGTAGATCTGACATATTTTATATATATTATGACATGAGTAAACTATATTATGACCAAGTAAACTATATTATGACATAACCGTTATTTTAAACGAGCACAACTAAAACATAAACCTCGTAAGTCACCAACTTTTAAAAGCCCCACAATTCAATCTTCTTTCAATGAATTTTAAAGCAGCACCAATTTACAACTTAGACTGTTTCAGCTCAGAGCAGCACTAGATTACAATTCATCTCTTGCTCTTGCATCCCCTGCTTTTGGTGGAAATTCACTGGTATCAGCACCAGATTTAGATTCACATTTACACCAATCACTTTTTGGATATCCTGATAAAGCTTGAGGTTTATGATCTTCAGATAGTTAGTACTAGCCCACTTTAAGTCAAAACCACCTCAAATCGAGTTGAATTTTCGTTATGCATACTTCCACAACCATTCCAGGTTTTTCCTTTACAAATTCCACAATCAGTTGAATAACACATTATCACAATAAGTAATACTTTCAAAAAATAAGTAAATAACTGTATTTTTGCTTTGATTTAGTATATTTTTTCACTGGGATTTCAGCGCATTTATATGATGAAATCGCTACCAAATTTTCATAATCAGTGTATATATATCTTGCATAATAACGTCGGAATATGCATCGTCGTGTATTGCAGGTATAACGTACATAATGAATAAATGTAACAAGACCAATTCCCGTGTTTCAAAAAATGATTGTTCCATTGTTTCAATCAATCCCCATTAAACACTTTTTTTTCTCTTTCTTCTTCTAATTTAATCATTTCTTCTTCATCATCTACTAACTGTTGTTCAATATCTAAATTTTCTTGTATTGTCCATAATTCTTTATATAATGAATCACAATTTAATAATTCTTGGTGTGTACCTTGTTCTTGAACATGACCTTTATTTAAAACAATAATTTTATCAGCATCGGCTATTGTTCTTAATCTATGAGCAATTGAAATATTTGTATTTTCATTAATTCTAAAAATTGATCTAATTGTTTTTAATAAACTTTGTTCAGTGTGAGTATCTAATGCAGATGTAGCTTCATCAAAAAATGTAATTTTTGAATTTTTTAGCAATAATCTTGCAATTGCTAATCTTTGCTTTTCACCCCCACTAATCATTAATCCACGTTCTCCTACTATTGTTTGTAAACCTTCTGGTAAATCTTTAATTAACTGATCTAGTTTAACGAAATCAATAACTTGGTTAATTTCTTCTGATGTTGATTTTAAATTTCCATATTTAATATTTTCATATATTGTATCATTAAAAAGTGGAGTTTCTTGTGGAACTACTCCAATATTCTTACGTAATGAGTCTAATGAAACTTTTGTTATATCTTGTCCATCAATTAAAATTCTACCTGAATCAATGTCATAAAATCTGAAAACTAATCTTAATATAGTTGATTTACCACTTCCTGAAGGACCAACAATGGCAACTTTTTCACCAGGTGGGATTATAAATGATACATTTTCTAAAATTGGTCTTTCTGGATGATATCCAAATGAAACATTTTCAAATCTAACTTCACCTTTAGTAACTTGTAAATCTGGAGCATTTGGAACTTCTTTAATTTTAATTGGAACATTTTGTAATTGAAATAAGTTTTCCATATCTAATAAACTTTGTTTTAATTCTCTATAAACTGAACCAAGAAAATTTAAGGGAACACTTAATTGGAAAACTAATTGATTAATTAAAACTAAATCACCAACAGTTAACAGTTCAGTCGCAACACCTTGACAACCCATATACATCATTGCAGTTAAAGCACTTGTAAATATAAAATTTTGACCAGCATTTAAAAAAGCTAATGATGTTGCAACTTTAACACTTGCATTTTGATAACTAGTTAATGCTGATTCATATTTTTTAGCTTGATACATTTCATTATTGAATATTTTAACACTTTCATAATTTATTAAAGAATCCAATGCAACTGAAGCAGCTTCATTATCTGCATTATTAGCTTGTCTTCTGAATTTAGTTCGCCAAGCAGTTGTTCTAATTGTAAATAATGAATAACCCAACATTGTAATCAATGCCATTGTAGCATACGGTACCCCATAATTATAACTTAAAATACCACAAACAATCAGAATTTCAAATGTAATCGGTATTATATGAAATACCATAGCTGATAAAACATAACTTATCCCCTTTGTACCTCTATCTATTGCTCTTGTTAATCCACCAGTTTGTCTACTTAAATGAAAGTTTAAATCCATATTTAATAATCTAACAAATGTATTATATGCAACTCTTTTTATAGCAGATTGGGCAACAGAAGCAAATATAGCATTTCTTAATTCTCCAAATAATACAGCACCAAATCTAGCACCTCCATAAGCTAAAATTAAAGAACCGACCACGGTCGGAATTGTACCAACTTGATTTGTCCAATCTATATTCATTTCATCTATAATTTGTTTAAAGAAAAAAGGTACTTGAACATTGAGTACTTTAGATCCAATAAGTAATGATAATGCAATAATGACTCTAAATTTGAAGTTAGCATTATTCTTTGGCCATATAGTTTTGAATAATGATTTAAGCATAAATGTCTCAGAAGTTGAAATTTTTCTACCAAATAGCAGTGGTTGTGACAGTTGAAATTTAGTTGTAGATTGACTTATAAATCTGTATTGTATTGGCCTTATACATTTAATATTATTCCTTAGTAGTGGTTGTATAAATCGAAATTGAAACATTGGTCTATAACTGTTGCAAATATTTCGAACTGTGGTTAACGAGGTTAAAAAAAAAAAAAAAAAAGCGTATACCGAGAATTGAAATTGAAAATTCATGAATAATACATAATTGTATATATTGTCCATTGTTCAGTTAACTATATAAGCGTCTTATTGTTGTAATTCGTTTAATGATTCTTCTAATGCTTTTAATAATTTATCAATATGTCCTTCATAAACTGAATATCCCATATGTCCAACTCTAAAATACTTACCAACTAATTGTTTATGAATACCTCCTGCAACAACAAATCCTTTTTCATTTAATTTCTTTAATAAACCTGGTCCATTAATGTTATTTGGGAAATAAACTGCTGTTAAACCATTTGCTGCAACTTTTGAATTTAATGGTAAAATTTTTAATCCCAATTCTTCAACTTTTGATTTAAATTTTTTAGATTGTTCATTATGTTTTGAAAATCTTGTATCTAATGATTCTGATAATATTTCATCTAATGAAGTTTTTAAAGCAGTTATAGTTTGAACAGCTGGTGTTGCAAAATATGCACCATTACCACTTTCATACGCTTTCATTATCGGAGTCCATCTTCTTAATGATGCAAAAAATGTAGTTTCTTTTTCTTTATTTAATGCTTTACCTAATGCTCTTTCACTTGTATAAAAGATTGATAAACCAGCTGGTACACCAATTGCCTTTTGTGAAGCAGTTAATACAAAATCTAATCCCCACTTATCAAATTCTAAATCTTCAACACCAACTGAACAAACACCATCAACAACAATTAAAGTTTCTGGTGATTCTTTTTTAACAATTTTTGAAATTTCTTCAACTGGAGAAACAACTGAAGTTGAAGTATCAACATGAGTTATAGTTACACCATCATATTTCTTTTCTTTTAATGCTGATTCAATCTTATCAAATGGCACAACATCACCAACTTCAGCAGTAATTACATCAACATCAATACCATAAATTTTTAAGCATTCAGCAAATGAATCTGAGAAAAAACCAGTTGATAATACTAAAACTTCATCACCAGGTTTAAATAAATTTGATGAAACAATATCCCAACCTAATGTACCACTACCACTTAAAACAAAACCTTGAGTATTTGGATCAGTAGATTTAAATAATTTTCTTAAATTTTTTAAAACAGTTTGAAAAGTTGAAACAAATTCTGGTGAAGTATGAGCCTGTGAAGGAGTGGCCATGGATGCTAAAACATCATTTGAAAATTCAATTGGACCAGGAATTAAAGTCAATTTATGTTGTGGTTGTTGATATTTAAAAGGAACTGATGAAGACATTCTAATTATATTTCTAATACTTAATGGTTTGATTGATGTTAAAAATCTATTCATACAATGTAATAAATGGAAACTTTTATTTATCGAAAAACGTCCAATGAAAAATAAGCCTGATCTTTGAAAAGGGTAATGCGGCTAATTCATTTAGCAAAATAGGAATATCGACCCCGGATTATCATAACTACACGACTCATAAGAAAAAGGATCTGAAGAGTCAAGATTTAAGATTCAGAGTCATTTTGTATATTGTTATTAGTCCTATTATTGTACTATCTTAAGTTCATTATCTTTTTCATCCTTTTTGTTTCATGATGTTCATCAAATTCATTAATATTATTCAATTCTCTTTTCTTATCTTTATATAAATCAAATAATGACCAAAATTTCAAATTTTCATCACCTGCAACTGTGGCTAATGTTAAATTATCTGGTGATAAAACCCCATTTAATATTCTTGTATCATGAGCATTATTTATTTCACCTGTCTTTTGTAATGTTGGATAATTAAAAATTGATATGTCATTAGTTGGAAAACCATGAGTTGCTACAATTTCCATTCCAATTCCATTTGCATAACCCCAATTTAATGATGATATTTGTGATCCAGTTTCAATTGTATTTACTCTTGATCCAGTTGATGTATTCCAAAAATGTATTGTTTTATCAGTTGATCCACCTCCTGTTGCTAATAAATTAGGTTGATATTGACACCATGATAACGCTTTAACTGCTGCTTTATGATTATTTTTTATAAATAATGGTTTATCAGTTTTCTTTATATCCCATATACAAACTAAATTATCATTACCACCAGATGCAAATTGTGAACCATCTTGTTTATATTCTATACCACAAATTTCAGCTTGATGTGAAGTTAACGTAGTTGTTAAATGTTGTGCAATTCGAACATCTGAATGATACATATTACCCATTCTTGATCCACTGGTTAAAACATGATTACTCCATGATTGAGATGCGATTCTTGTTAAATGTCCACTTGAAATTGTTCTTAATTTTGTATTTGTTTCAATATCCCAAATTTCGATTATGCCATCATCTTTACCAATTGATATATATGATCCATCTTGACTCCAGTTAAGTGAAGTAACAATAGTATTACAAACACAAAGAAGGCCAACAGCACCTGTTGATGCATTCCAAACATATACTGAATCTTCAAGTCCAATGGCTAAAAGATTGGTGGAAGACCAGGATAATAAATTTAAATAAAAATCATCAACTATACCTGGTGCATCTAATACTCTTTCTGGTGCAGTTGGAACTTTTTTAGCTCTTGCTGATGCTTGTGAAGGTGTTAATCTATTTGAAGTTTTGTTTGCAGGAATTTTGTATAAATCAATTGCTTGTTTTTTAGTAGGAGGTTCAACATTATAAAGTAAAATTTTTGATTCCAATTTTAAACCAAAAGCATCAGCAACAAAAGATTTATAAAGTTTTGATGTTTGTGCTTTTATATGACTTTGAGGCGATGCATTTGGTAATGGTTCTTCATTCGATATTTCCAATTTACCGGTAACTGAATTATGTCTTGATGGAATAAAACGATCAGTTGTTGCTTGTGGTAAATCAGCTGATGATGATAATGATGCAGTTGAAGATGATGGTTGTATTAATGAATTAGTTCTTCGTAATTTAAATGGATTATTTGTAGATTTATTTGATGAATTTGATAATGTCGATTTTGATCGTATATTTAATGAAGGTCTAGTTGTTGATAATTGTGGTCTTTGAAATTTTGATTTTGGAGTTTCAATTGTTCTTGCTACATTTGGACTTACTGGTTGTAAATAATTCCTTCTTGGTGAATGATCTTTGTTTGGTGAATGTCTTTTCTTAATAATTGATAATTCTCCAGTAGATATATTTTCATCTTGACGTAGTACATTGTTACTATTATTATTATTCTTAAAGACTATTGATTTATTTGGAGATACAGTTGACATAACGCCAATACAACTGTCAATATTAAATAATTAAAACTGGTTAATATGAATTGAAATTGGTAATTGTAATATTATATTTTGAAATGATTTTTTACTGCAAAAAAAGAAAAAAAAAATATGTATGTAATTTATTATGTAATGAATTTAAATTGTTATTGTTTACAAATTATCCGAATCAAGTAAAGTAATTTACTAGTAAATGATAGAAGTAGTGTATTATGGTTGAAAATTTTGCAACCATTTTCATTTTTATTGTGTGAACTGTTACCATGTATGTTGAAACGATAAAAATTGTAGCAATTTATATTTGGTCTAGATAAATTGGAGTTGCTCTTTAACGTTTTTATTACATTGGCCGACATTACTATAATAAGAAGAATTACAAACATATTTACGAGATTAATACGAATGTTAAATTATTATAGTATTCCTTTTATTTGCCTAATTATACACCAAATGTAACTTTTTTACCTGATACTTTACCTTCTTTTAATATAGTATAAGCTCCATTAACTGAGTTTAAACCATCTTTTAATATTCTCAAATTTGCGTGTTTAATCTGATCAATAAATTTGGGAAATTCATTAAACCACCATGGTTTATAATCATCAAGTAATCCTTCTGGTTAATCAAAGACGGCACCATCAAAGTATTTAGATCTCATTGTGACATTATCAAGCAATTGGTCTTCCAAAATGAACTTTATTTCTTGTAGGATCAACATTTTTGGGGTTTCATCAAGATTTAATAATGAGGAAACATAAGGTTCTGAAGTTTCCTTTGTAGCATCATAAGTTGATTGAAATGTAGATTTAGTATTTGCAATTGCATCTAATGCAAATTTAATTTTGTCATTACCAACTTTTCTAATTTCTTTCTACTTCATTTTTATCATTATAATCAAATACATCATCTGAACCTAAACTTTTTATATAATCAAAATTCTTTTGACTTGCAGTTGCTATAACATTTAAACCATACATTAGTTTAGCAACTTGAATGGCTAAAATACCCGTTGCGCTAGCTCCACCTTATAATAACACTTCCTCATCTTTTTGAACAATCTTAGCTTTGAAATAATGTAAAAATTATTCCAAGAGTTGCTAAACCTAATGTAACGGCATCAGCACCTTGGAAAGTGTCAATTGTACATACCACAATTTTGAAGTATCATCCTTCAATTTGCGATCGTATTCAGTTGTGTAATGGACCTAAAACAACATATTCTGCAAAAGCACCATTATTTGGATAATTATTACCAACAACCATAGTTCCAACAAAATCACCAACTTTGAGATTTTTAACATTTCAACTTAATTTTTCAACAACTACAGAAACATCACAACCAGTTATAAACCAGTTTTACTCATGTTTGGAACTACTATATGTTTCCAATCCGTTGGGTTAACAGCAAATGAATTAGACTCAATTAGATTTCATTATCATTTGGTTGTAGAATGGTATATCCGATTTAACTTCAGTAAATTGACCTTCTTTTAATGATATAACAGCAGCTCTCATTTTAATTATGATAATTTCAAAAAATTTCACATATGATCTAATTGTTTATTTATATAACAATATGGCAAGTGTCAACCTCATCATTTCTTATTCTTTATTTGTATTTCACTTAAAACTTTAATTTGCTGAATATAACTTCGGCCGAACTCATTACAAATTAAGTAAGTCCGAGTTTCGTATTTTAAACCATTCGGAAACAGTTCAACTCCATTTTTTAGTTAAGAGTAATAACGGCTATATACTGAGATATAGGTTCAAACATTAAGTACTCATTGTTACTAAATATGTCGTAAATTTGTGTGTATCTGTTTCTATTGTACCTTAGTATGAATTTGACGCGTTGCATGATTTGGTGAAACAAAAAAAGTTCTCGCGCAAACTTTTGGGCGACTCATTTGGTAAACATATTGGCTTATTTATCATGAACAGCACAGGTTCTTAAAATAAAACCCATTTATTTGCAATTAAGGACCTTGAATTATATATCCTACATACTTTGAATCTTTAATTTTTGGGCTTTTTACATCATACAAAACTTTATCGAAAAATGTAATTTAAAGTAAGTTTCCATTTAGGACCATAACTTTCAATTAATCAACTGATATATATTGTACTTCGATCAATGGGGCTGGACTTGACTTAAGATGCACTAAACCAAAATTTGAAAAATTTTGAAATTTTCTCTAAAGTATGGGCAAAATCGAATTTACAAAAGATCTGATACCACACGTAATATTCATTTTTAAAAGGAGGAAACTATCCAAATTCGTAATTCTGTACTTTAATATGCTGTAGATATTTTTGTGTTAAGGTATTCAAAATTAAAAAAGTAATTTTTTAAGAGTGTTTCGAAATTTTCACAAAATTTTCAAACTAATTTTGGCGTCTTGAAAACATCATAAAAATACAAATCGGGGTCTAATAAACCTAAAAAAGCAACCAAATTAAACGTTGTTGATTCAGGTCCAAGCGTTATTATCTTGCAAAATATCGTTTTTTTCCATTTTTTAAAAGAACAATAAAGTGATGAAAATTATGTTTTATTCTAGGAAATATTTGTCAGCTAACGCTTATCTATCGAAGATTTCATGAAAAAAGTTTGAGACTAATGATTTCAATACCGAGGGAGTTATTTACAATGCAAGTTTCAAGATTAAGTATTACAGAACTGCCTATAAGCCAAGTTGTTTCAGATTTAATCTTGAAAGTAGCCATAATTTAATGCCAGAATTTAATGCCATAATTTAATGCCAGAATTTAACGCGACAAAATAAATTCTCGGACTAGTTTTGATGCAACCTCGTACCCAATTTATCAGCTTATAGATCGCAAACAAAACATATTCTCGAGATAATATTTATTATTAAATGTTGATTTAATGCCAACTATTACCTAAAATGTTCGACAAAGTATCATTTGGCTTGTGTATTCTCTTTTTGTAATTGTAATTTGTTGATTATTTGCACTTCAGAAACATATGGTAGCACTTTTTCAACCCTGTATATAATTCATTTATTCCACTCAAATCAACAAAATTCAATTAATCTATAATCATTCATTATGCCAGCTTATCATTCAACATTTCTTGCAGAAGATTCACAAGATAGAGTAATTGGAAACTTATCGTTATTACCAATTCATACTAAATATAGAGGACCAGCTTATGAACCATCAGAATCCACTGATGGTAGTAATTATGATATAATTGATGAAATTTTAGATTTATTTAGAGCAAATTCATTTTTTAAAAATTTTGAAATTAAAGGTAATGCTGATAGATTATTAATATATGGAATATTATTTATCAGTGATTGTTTAAATAAATTAAATAAATTTACAAATTATAAAGAAGCAGTTAGGGTATTAAATAATTTATCACTTGATAATTTTAGTTTACCTGGTGATATTGGATTTCCATTAAATTCATTATATTTACCACCAAAGACAAAAAATGAACAAGATTTATTGAGAAGTTATTTACAACAATTTAGACAAGAATTAAGTGATCGATTATTAAAAAGAATTTATAAAGATGATGAAAATGTACCTAGTAAATATTGGATGGGATTTCAAAAGAGAAGATTCATGAATAAAAGTTTGTAAAAAAATTGAATATTTAAAATATATAAAGTATTGATTTTGTTGAATTTTTATAATTTATATATCGTTGACCATAAAATTTTGAAATAAGGACTGCTTCTTCATATTTGATTCTAATATAGAAGAAATAAAGGAGTATAATTGTATCAAGAATCAAATTGATATAATTATTTAGGAACAATTGAACTCCTAATACAAATAAAAAGAATCCAAAATATGATGGATGTTTAATATATGAATATATTCCATGAGTGATTAATTGTTGTCTTCCATGATTAATTTCAATATAATGACTAAATGAATCACCACAAGTCTTCATTGCAATAACTCGTAATAATAAGCCCATGATCAAAATGAAAATTCCTAAAAAAGTAGTATCTATCTTATACTTGCTTTTGTATTCCCATATTGTAAATAATTGCATAATCCAGAACTGTTTATTTCCTTTATTTCCATAGATTAGAAATGATTTTGAAGTAATTGTAGTTGGTTGATATACACAACTAGTAACAAATTCTAATATGAAAAAGAATTGTAAAATCATAAAATATATCAACAATTTAGTAGCATGTTTAATCCATATTAGTTCTAGTACTGTTAATCCACCAATAATAAAACCAACTATGAATATCTCTAATATGTTAATTTTGCGATGATCATCATCATGATTTCTCATCAATCGATATAATTAATTTTTCACTATTATTTAATTTTTCACAGTCAAATGAATTATGAATTATGAACCAAATAATGTAAATTTAATAAAAGTAGTTGGTAAATCATATTTACTTGGTATAATATTTACATGGAGTATATATTTAACAATCATAAATGAATATCATAGACCATTGACTAATTATTTTACATTTATTTCAATTTTTCATTCTTTAGAATTTATAAATACTTATTTATTTAATAGATCACAAATTGACGATGATTCATTCATATTGGAAGATTATGAATTGCATGGTATTTATTTATGTTCGATACTAGAGCATTATTTTATAAATTGGAAATTTGAAACTTTTTACCTTGGGTTGATATTGATTATATTTGGTCAATTTATAAGAAATTTAGCTATGTATACAGCTAGAGAATCATTTAATCATTATATTCAAAGAGATAGTAAACCAAATCATAAATTGATAACTCATGGGATTTTTAAATATGTTAGACATCCATCATATTTTGGTTTTTTTATTTGGTTTATTGGCATGGAACTATTGTTGAATAATGTTATTATATTAGTTGTTGGTGGTTATATACTATGGAATTTCTTTAAGAAAAGGATTGTGTTTGAAGAGGGATTATTGGTGAATTTCTTTGGTGAAGATTATATAAAATATAGATCAAGAACTAGAACTTGGATGTTTATATAGAATAAAGTAGAACAAGGATAATAAAAGTAATGGATTAATGATATCTCAAGTTTCAATAGTGTAAACATCATTCTGTTCACGATAAGAGCGCAACTTTTAGAATCGATTATTATTACTATCTCTTAACTTTTCTATCTATTATACATTTATATAAAAAAATCAATAAACCTAAATTACTGTCTATCATTACTTTCTTTCCTTTTTTGGATCTACTCCAAATCCATTTAAATTTCTATACATTAAAACTCCATTATCACCATCAACAAATTGACACATTCTTGCACATTTCCATAAAGTAACCCACATATTTTCATCAGAATGTTGATAATGTTTACCCATAACTTTTTTAATTTCTTCACTTGCTTTTCTTGCATTATAAAATGGAATTCTTGAACAATAATGATGTAAAACATGAGTTTCAATAATATCATGAAATAAATGTTTACCAATAAATCCAAATTCACGATCTATAGTAGCAGCTGCACCTCTTGCAAAAGTCCATTCATCATTAGTATAATGAGGCATTTTGATATCTGAATGTTGTAAAAATGTAATGAAAACTAACCAATGATTAACAAATAAATATGGAATAAAATAGTTAATTACAAAATTAAAGGTACCAAATTGTTTATACCAAATATATAAAATAGTTGATTGTAAAATTATACCTAAATCAGATAATAAAATATAATTATAATCTTTTTTATCAAATAATGGAGAAGTTGGATTAAAATGATTAACTTGATAAAATTTATGATTTGGATGTTTTTGACCACTTAAGTTTAAAAATAAATGACCAATCCATCCCATTGTTTGTTGTAAAATTAATTGATATAATGAATAAATTGGAGAATCACCTAATAAATCATCTAAATCTTTAGCTCCTCTACTTTCGATAAATTGTTGTTTTGTTTTTGGAACAAATACCATATCTCTAGTTAAATGACCAGTTGCTTTATGATGTTTTGAATGAGTATATTTCCATGAAAAATAAGGAACTAATAAATATGAATGTAAAAACCAACCAGTTAAATCATTAACCCAACCATAATCAGAAAAAGCTTGATGACCACATTCATGAGCTAAAACCCAAATACCAGTTAAAAATAAACCTTGAATAAAACTATACGAAGCCCATAAACAACCTCTAATTATTTGTGAATCAATTAATGGAATATAAGAATTTGCAAAATAACCCACGGTCAAAATTAATGCGATATCTCTAAATACATAATAAAATGAAGTTATCAAATTACGCTTATAACACTCTGAAGGTATAACTTGTAAAATTTCTTTTATAGTAAAATCTGGAACTTCAAATTTATTACCAAAAGTATCAATTGCAGTCAAATTTGATGAAACATTACTTGAAGAAAAACCAGCTATATTACCTGATTTTTTTATAGTTGTTGTACCGTGATTTTTACCACCATTTGAAGAACTTGTGAACGCAGTCTGAGCTGATGACATTACTTACCTACTTACTTACTTAAATGAATGATATAAATTATAAAAAGAACGAATGATATAAAATTTATAAAAAGAGAAACAACCCGTCTGTGAAAAAATCGTATAATAATTATTCAAGATTTTCTTATAAATTTATTCCATCTAAAAATTATGCAAAACAATAAAAATAAAATTATGCTACCATTTGCATTTCCATCCCATTTCCATCCCATTTCCATCCCATTTGCATTTGCATTTCCATACAGTTTCTATTTATCAAAAGAAGTAATAATCTTAAAAAATTTGTTGAGCATAAGAGAATTTTATAATTTTATAATTTTACAGTTCTTACATTTAAAATTAAGACACAAAGCTTATAATTTGTATCAGATAATGTAAATCATCAAAGTTGTAGTAAAAAAAAAAAAAACAAAAAGATAAGATAAAGAGAGTGGATATACATTACTTCAAGGTAGAAAGGAAGAACGTAAGGCTAAATGAACGTAAGGCTAAATGAACGTAAGGCTAAATGAAATGAAACAAGCAGAGAAATCCTTATTGTATTTTATGTAATATTCTGGTTTGTTGTTCTGGATTGAATGCCATTCGTCGTTTAATTTATTTTTCGATGAGCGCTAAATCAAGACAAATAAAAAATGAAAAAAAAAAAAAAAAATAAAAAAACAAAAAATAAAAAAAAAAAATATAAATATTTTTTCAATTTTTTCGTTTATCAACGGAATAATTTTAAACGAGTGTCGCTTGTGTAAACCCGTTGATAATAAATCGTGTCATTGAGTGTTATTTAGTTATGCTCTATTATGCTGTAACAAACTATATTGAACTCAAACTAAGTAAACTGTATCTAACTATATTAAACTCTATCTAACTAAACTCTATCTAATTATATTAAACTCTCAAAGCTAAAAGTTTATAGTTTTTTATAAATGGTTACAAATTGATTAAAAACGTTCATCTTGAGAGGCAGAATAAATAAATGTAAATGTAAATGTAAATGTAAACGTAAATGTATCTATGGATTAAAGGATCAACTATGAAACAATCTTACTCCTTTTGGCTTAGTTTCATTCCTTTTTAATTTTAATGTAGAACTGTTATTCGCTAATTTCTATTTATTTTGTATGTGTGTTCATAACATAATAATTTAAATTTCTATTTTTGTATAACAGCACCACCATTCGTATATGGAAAGAAACACTGAATGAAAGAAAGAAAGAAAGAAAGAAAGAAAGAAAGAAAGACAGTCAGTCCGTCCGTCAGAAAACACCTTGAATTGTTAGTAATATTCTCTTACCCTTTGCTTTCTTTTCAACTGCTTCCTATTGGTCCCGGCATATCGTTCATTTTGTATCAATGCATAATTACTTAAAAGGGGAAGAAAAAATGAAAGAAAAAGAAAAGAAAAAAAAAAAAGAAAATTTCTTTTCATTATAGTAAACCTTAAATCTTACCCCTTTAAATTTTTAGATTTCGTTCTATTTCAATTGTTTATAGTTATAAAGTTGAGTTGATTATTAGTTTAATTTAACAATAGAGACTGAGTCAATCTTGGCATCTTGTTATAACTAACGGAGCATATGACATTCAGTTGAATCTAACTTCAAAACGTTTTACTATCATTGATTTTGCATCCATGAAAAATTATTTTTTTGCACCCCATGAATGATTAATTTTTGCACCCATAAATAATTATTTCGCACCCAAATACTTCAGAGTATAGTTATCTTTTGCTTGGAAACATATGCCTCTAGTTACTTCAGGCTCAGCTGATTTAAATCGATCGACACTGAATGGTTTCAATCAGCACCAAGACTTGAAAACCTCGTAAATGTTTCAGAAAAGGATCTATTGTTTCAGGCTTGGCTTAATTTGGGCGCACTGTCAGTTTAGAGTCACTTTGCTCTGGTTCATATTAATAATTCTAAAACCCCAATTCTAAAACCTTTCATTTTATTTTTTTTTTGCTAATGTTTGCTGAAATGTTGGCTAATGAAGAAAAAAGTCGAATCGAATTGAACTTGAAAAAAAAAAAAAAAAAAAAATAAAAAAAAAACCGAAAGATATACTTCTAACGTATATTACTTAATCTAGTTGAATTCATATGAACATTTATATCTAATTTATCAGCATCTTCTTCAATTTGTCTTAACCTAATATTTTGTTGATCAATTTCAGTATTTATAGCTTTTGCCTTTTGATTTAATTGACTCGAATATTTACCAATTTCATGTAAATTATTTGCAATTTCAATTTCCATATCTTCATCTTCTGAATCACCTTCAAATCTATAACGTTCTGATAATTTTAAATTTTTAGCATCGCGATATTTTTCCAGTAATTCTGAATTACCTTCTGTTATACCTGCTTTAACTCTTTGTTCAGATTCATAAATACCTCTTCTGTGTTCTTCTCTAAGATATTTTTCTTGTAATTTTTGATTTTTAATTTTCTCTTCTTGTGCTCTTAATCTACTTTTACGATTAAAAGGATTACCATAAGCTGGTACAAAAATTGATCTATTAAGTCGTTTCAATTCTTTGACTTTTTCATCGGCAATTTGTGTTTGAGTATCAGCTAATAATAAATTTTGTTCTGCATTATATAATCTTTCACTTTGTGATCCCAACATACCTAATGTATTGGTACCTGATGCATTTGCTTCTTGAGCCATTGTCAAGGTATTTCTAGTAGATTGAACTGATTCCTTCTTAACAAATCTTATATCTTGTTTAATTGCTTCTACTTCTTCATCTTCTGAATTCACTTGTTCTTGTTCTTCATCAATATCTAAATTTAAATCATCTTCTTGATATTCTTCATTCAAATCTATTTCTTCATTATAAACTTTTCGATTTATTGGTTTTTTACCCGTACCAAAATCAATATTTGAAGGTATTTGATTTAAATCTAATGATTCACTATCATTATCATTATCAACTTGTTTGTAACTTTCTTTTCTAATTCGTTGTTGTTGTGGTAGACGATGTTGTTTAGTCCTTGGAGGTGGTTGAGACACCGGTTTTGCTCTAGCATATGGTGAATTATATGGTGAATTATTTCCATATGGTGATGGTGATGCTGATGGTGATGATGTTGATGATGGTTCGGATTTATTTGGATTTAAATTTGAATTGGAGTTGGATCCATAAGGATTATTATTTGAATTACCACCATATGGATTATTATTGTTATTATTGTTTGGGTTGTTATTCTCATTACTATATGGATTACCACCATTAATATTACCGTCTAAATTTTTATAAGGATTTAAAACTGGTCCCAAATTTTGCCTATTCAGTTGTCTTTCTTGAGCATAATTTTTAAAAGCACCAAATTTTTCTTCTCTTCTATGACCTGATTTTGTAGAAATACCAACTCTATTTAATTCTTCTCTTATTTCTTCCTCTGTTGGATCTTTCTTCATAAACATTTTCTTTAAACCCATTTTGAATAACTTTGATTTATCGAAATAAGCCCCAAGCGAAATAATATTATTTTATGATCAGAAAAAAAAAAAATTCTAGTTGATGATAAAAATAAATTTGTAAGAAATGGCGGGGTGATTACATAATATTAATTAAAATGGTTGCAAAATTGATTCAACTCTTATTTATTATTTTATACAATGGATGTAAGTTGAAATTAAATTCATTCTTTGGTTTCATAAATTCATCTTCTAAAAGTTCTGCTGCTGTTGGTCTATAATTTGGATCTAACGTAAAGCATTTCTTTATAAAATTTTTAGCACATTCTTCAATTTCTGGATTTATAGGTGGATGACTCTTCATTCTACCTATATTATAAATAGCTTGCATTGCTCCAGTATTATCCCATGGTCTTTTACCGTTAAACATTTCTAATACAACACAACCTAATGACCATATATCTATTTTTGCTGAATATCCATCTTGATTTTGTATAACTTCTGGTGCCATCCAAAATATTGTACCTTGAATTGATCCATTTTCATTTTGATAAGGTCCATCTACATTAATTGTCTTTTTAGAAATACCAAAATCTCCAATTTTACAAATTCCATCTAATTCTAATAATAAATTATCCGCTTTTAAATCTCGATGAATAATATTATTTTTATGTAGATAATTTAACCCTTTTAATACTTGTTTTGTAAGATATTGAATTAATTCCAGATCAAATTTCCCATAACTTAATAAACAACTAGCAATTGATCCACCAGCTACATATTCTAAAAATAAAGAATACGTTGTTTTTGTTTGTTGATATCCTAAATATTGTACTATATTTAAATGATCTAAATCTTTCATTGTTTCAACTTCTTTAATTAAAACATCTAATCCAATTGAATTATATTTACATTGTTTAACAGCCAACATTTCACCTGTTGTAACATTAAAACCTAAATATACTTCTCCAAATGATCCTCTTCCAATTAATTCTCCTTTAATCCATGCAAATTCTTGAAAATTACCAGTTTTATTACAAGTTTTGCTTATAAATCTATCAATTGACGTAACTTCTGTAACTTTTTGACCCCACATTTTCGTCGTATTAGATCTAGATAATGATACTTTTCTTTTAGCTTCATTTGCAACTCCTCTAATTGTTTTCATTCTTTTAACTGGTGTATATTCATTTGCATTTGAAAAAGTTCTTGAAATTTTTGAATCATCTATAATTGGTTGATCCAAATCTGTATGAGGAAAATACTTCTCAAGATTATTATAGACTTCCTCAATTGGAGGTCGAACATTCATTTTAACCGATTTCATAGGTTTCATGAAAAATTCATCTTCTTCAAATTTAGGAGTACTACTAGCTGGTTTCATAAAATATTCATCTTGTTCAATTCTTGGAGTAATTGTACGTTTCATAAAAAATTCATCTTCTGTTTCTTTTCTCTTTATCGGTGGTGGTGGGGCTGCACGTTTTGCTTTTAAACTTTTTTTTGTATCATTTATAATTGTTGATGCACTAATTGGAGATTTTTTTAAATCTGAAACTGAACTTGAATAAATATTGTTAATTAATGTTGGATGATTTTCATTTGAAGATTTTCTTCTTCTTTCATCAAAATCAATTTCATTTTTCCGTAAAACTCTAAATGAAGGTTTAACTTGTAATGGTGGTTTTTCTTTATTTGGTAATTTTAATGGAAATGGTTTTGAATCTCGAAGTGGTAAATTTTTCTTTTCATTAATTCTTGATAATTCTTTAAAATTCCAATAATCAACTTTTGGATCATTTTTATTTTGTAATAGATATTGAGGAGTTGCAGGATATGTTTTCTGACTACCTTCATCAAAAGATTTAGAGTCTGATGAAGTTGTTGAAATGTTTGTACCTTGAGGTGATCTTAATTCTTGTTTAACTAATAATTTTATACCCTGTTTGACTAATTTAAATAAAATTTCATCGGGTAATGCTTCACCTTCTTTTGAATTAAAATCAGTTAAATGGAATGTAATAGTTCCTATTTCAATAAGACCTAATTGATTAATAATACTTGATTTTATATTTGAAAAGTCTACTTTTATTGGAGTGAATGTTCTATTTTCCTTTGTAACTAATATCATTTGATCATTTCCTTGTTGTTTAGGTAAATATTTTTCATCAATAGATAAAGATTCAATTGAAAAAGTTGGAGATATGGGTGATTGTTGAATTTGTTGAGGTTGCAATTCCAATGGTTCAAATGAAGGTATTTCCAATGCTGAATTTCTGTTACCTTTTGATTTAATTTTATCACCACCATACTTTCTAATTGTATTTAATATACCACTTTTTCTATATTCATTTTTCATTTGATCTTTATGTTTTTTAAAAAATGATGGTGATACTTCAGAACTACTAATTGAAGAAGTTGATTTATGATGCCTTCGAGTTTCTTCTTTTGGTTCTTTATCTTTATCCTCATTTCTCAATAATTCTATAAACCTATCTATTGAATTCAATGCATCATTACAATCTAAATATTTTGAAAATTGCTGCCATATTATTGAATCTTTTTCAAAATTTTCCAATTCTAAAAATCTATTACCTGAAATCTCATTCCTTCGAAAAGTTTCCTTCCATGAATTATTAAAATTATGTTTATCTAACCATTTCAAAACGTTATTTATATTCCATTTACTCAGATGATTATTTGATCCCATAGCATACCGCACAAATCTTTTATCCTTATTTTGCTGTTCAATTGAAGAACCAGAAACAGTTGATGATTCGGAGTTTTGTCGATTGTGTGAATAATCTATAGGAGGTGGAGCGGGTGGCTGTTGCTGTTGTTGTTGTTGTGATGATGATTGTGTTTTTTGTAAATCTACTGAACTTTTTGAATAATTATAATTTGAAATTATTGAATTCACGGCATTTGAATTTAAACTTTGAGTTGGAGATTCTATTACAGGACTAACAAATTTAAAATCATCTTTTGATATGCTATTATTATACATTATTGAATCTGATGTGACTCTAGGTTGTTGTAATGTTAAATTATCTTTTGAGTTATTTCTTGAATTTATAGTTGTATTAGTACTTGAAGATGAAGATGTAGTTGAAATCGATATTGGTAGAGGTGGTTTTATACGTTGATATTCATAACTAATTGATCTTCTATTAACATCTTTTATATTCTTAGATGTTATATAGTTATTATTGTTGTTATTATTTATTGAATTCATTCATTACCTTTGGTATCTTTCTATTGATGATTTAAATTTAGAAATCTATTTTTAAATTTTTATTTTAATTAAAAAAAAAAAACCGCAAGGGGAAAACTAGACTTAAAATGAACTGTTATAGTTTAATAGCCGACTTAACTAAAGATGGTTATACGAGCGGCTGCGGATTTACTCGATTAGGAAGTAAAATAAATATATTTCAATACTCATCAACAATTTATTACTTTTAAATCTATAGTTAAAATCATGACTTGGTTTGAATTTTAAAATTGTTAAGCTAGGTATTGATGTCTATTATCCTTCGTGATCGCAATAAAAAGTGAGAAGAATAACATTTGTCAGGAGTAGGTCAATGTAAACAAATCTTACAATTCAGTTAACAACGATTAACATAATATATTATTATTCTAAACTCAGTAGGTTATAAACTTTTTAAATAAACTAACCCAAATATTAATAACCATCATAACCAAAACACTAAATGAAACTTTCATACTTTTACCAGACATGTTTTTTGAATTTGTTTGAACGTCACTGTGAGTAAATATATTAATATTGAGCAGTAAATAAAGATTGAGTACCATTTGATATAGTAACAGGAACTAATCCAACAGCTTCAATAGTATAAACACCACCTGAACTTAATCTATAATCAGTTGCATCTGATCCATTTACACCATGATGCCAAATGGTGGTAATACTTGGGTTGATGAACCATTTATAACGGTATTTTTAATATTCAACTATGTTAGTTGACCATATAGTATTGTCAGAATGTTGTAAACATATATATTTGGTAGCGCAATAGTTAATATTGTACCAATTTTCAATGCGACGATCTTGGTGGTGCAAAAAAAAATTCTCGCGTAAGCCCTGAGACGACCTCGTACTAGACTTATTGGATTATATCTTTTTAACAACGCAATCTCCCTAGGAAAAGCTTAGTTATACCAAATCAGAAGCTTTCAATAATCCTTTTCTTATACTTTAAAGTTTAACAGTCGAAATCCTTTTTTTGAATTGCCATTTTGGCATTTTTTAATCATACAAAATTTTTGCAAAAAATATAACGCAATGTATGATTTAATTGAGAGTTATGTTAAATTTTAAACTAGCATACTAGATTTGTTCTTGTTTGATTCAAACTAAAATTGAAAAATTTCGGATTTTTTTCTTAAGTATGGAGAAAATCGAATAAATTGACCTGACAGAAAATCGAATTCCGCAACCAAATTGCTCATGAACATATATAATGAAAGTATTCAATTTTTGTAGTTCTGATCTATAATCAACTTCCATATTCTCCATGGGAAGGTATTCGAAAATGGAAGAGTAATTTTACAGAAGTGGTAAAAATCTTGCAAACTGCAAAGTAATATAGAATTAATATTAAAAACTAATGAGCCAAATTAACCATTTTAGAAGTGCTAAAAGAGGTCCAAGTATGGATTATTTGTCGATTTGTCAATTTGTTGTTTTTTGCCATTTTTCTGATGAAGAATTACGTGATCAAAATTAGCTTTAGCAAAAAGTTCATATGTCCAAATTATTCTAATTATTCTGAGGTTAATATGAAAGAAGTCTGATTATTAGAGGTCAATTATTGAAGGAGTTATTTACAATTTAAATTTCGAGCTTAAGTACTATGAGACTGCATATAGGTCGAATTGTTTCAGATTCAATTTATTTACATGTATTTTTCGAAGCGATACTTTAATGCGAGTGGAATAATTTCTCGCGCAAGGTTCAAGGCGAGCTCGTGCTACATAGATGGTAGCAATAGGAGCGCAATAATTTCGGTGAGATACGACTGATAGCAGTTTAAAAAAGTTCAATCAAGCCTTATAGCAATGGTTAATGAGGGGAACAGCTGCATTTAACAAGACTCCATTGAATGTCTTCAATTGTTGAGTTAAATTGAGCTCAACAATCTAAAGCTTAAATTTTGCGGCCATTTTATAAAATCTTTCTAGATTCCTAAACATCCCGATTCCGGGATTGAACATATTTGACTGCAAAAAAAAAGGTATAAACAAATGAGCAATAACCATGAACAGATCGATCAATAGTTTGACAAACAGTCCAAAGAGTAACAAAACAACAATGGCACTAATTTGATTAGCTTATCCTCCATCTGTCAATTTGAATATATGGTTCAAAGCGTTTTTACTTGACTCCTATCTCAATTTAACTCAACTCTGCCCCTCGTAAATCTCATCTACCAAATATTATTTTGATTTATTATGGGGAAAAAAAGAACGAAAAAAAAGATATTATTATTGAATAAATTTTCAACAACTAATAACTAACTATTCCAATTATGAGTTCACTGGCTGCTATATCTCCTCCAAAGATTGAAAAGAAACCAGTTAGTTTTTCTAATATTTTATTAGGTGCTGGTTTAAATATGGCTGAAGCTACTACTTTAGGTCAACCTTTAGAAGTTGTTAAAACTACTATGGCTGCCAATAGAAATTTAACAATGGCACAAGCTATAGCTAAAGTTTGGTCAAGAGGTGGAGTATTAGGATTTTATCAAGGTTTAATTCCATGGGCTTGGATTGAAGCCAGTACAAAAGGTGCTGTATTATTATTTGTTAGTAATGAAGCTGAATATGTATTTAAATCAAAATTTGGTGTAAATAATTTTGTTGCAGGAATGGGTGGTGGTATTGCTGGTGGGTTAGCTCAAGCTTATTTAACAATGGGTTTTTGTACATGTATGAAAACAGTTGAAATTACAAGAGCTAAACAAGCATCATCAGGTGTTCCAACTCAAACTTCATTTCAAGTTTTTCAAGAGATTTGGAAAAAAGAAGGTATTAGAGGTATAAATAAAGGAGTAAATGCAGTTGCAATTAGACAAATGACTAATTGGGGTTCAAGATTTGGTTTTTCAAGATTAGCTGAAGAATCAATACGTAAATTAACAAATAAAAGAGAAGATCAAAAATTATCAGCAGTTGAAAAAATTGCAAGTTCAGTTATTGGTGGTGGATTATCTGCTTGGAATCAACCAATTGAAGTTATAAGAGTTGAAATGCAATCAAAAACAAATGATCCAAATAGACCAAAAAATTTATCAGTTATTGGTGCGTTTAAATACATTTATCAAACTAGTGGTATTAAAGGATTATATAGAGGTGTTACTCCAAGAATTGGTTTAGGTGTTTGGCAAACTGTTTTTATGGTTGCATTTGGTGATATTTTTAAAAAGATGTTAAATACTGATGGAAGTGGTCATTAAAATTAGACTAAACTTTTATATTATTTATTAGAATAGATATTTATTAATACGAAAAGAAGTAAATTAAATTAAATGTCTTACATTATACTATTGACCGAATTTATCATAACAGTATAAACCAAACAACGTTATTGCTAAACCCATAGTTTGTAAATTTGAAAAATTTTTACTTTCATAAATAAAACTAATTAATATAATGAAAATTCTTTTTAAAATGTTTGCAATGGAATAATTTATTGGATTAATCATACCTAAAATTTGAAATGCTAATAATGATTGTAAAAAATGACTTATACCATTTAAACAAATCAATGCTAAAACTTTATTATTCAATTTTAATAATGAAAATTCATAACATTCAGAAACAAAATAAATTGGGAAAGTTAGTACAAAACCAATAATGGAACAATAAAATAATATAGTTAATTTATCCAACGTTTTACAATGTTTCTTCATTGTTGGTAATAATTCGCTCTTGTCTATTGTAAGTCTATTTTTAGCAAATATATTTTGAGAAACAAATATAACCATTGAAATAAATGCAAAAAATAATCCACTAAGATACTCATTTGAATTTATGGTGTTGTTTGGTTTATAACAAGTCAACATTATACCAAAAACAAGTGGAATTAAAGTAATGTATGTTCTTAATTTATAAGTCTTTTTGAAAAGACATCTGTAAACTATCACAGTTAACAATGGAGATAATGATTTGATTGTATGTACTAGACTAACTGGTATTCTTGAAGTTGCGTTATGACTAGTTAAATGACCAATAAATTGAAAACATCCCATGGATAAGGTTGTAGAAATGATATGTTTAGTAGGAACAATAAAATTCAGTATGCTAATATGATTTGGAATGAAACCTATTGGTAATGACTGTATTAAATTTTGATTTTTGTTGATAATTGATAGAAATAAAATTGATAATATTATATTTAATAAGAATTGAAATTGAGTTAAAGTAATTGGGTAATTGAAATTATTTAATATTAATTTAGTTGAATTAGATGATACAATTGAACAAATATACCATAATAAACATAAAGTAAAAATTTTATAATTAATTGATGGTATTAAACTTTTGATTATTGAAAAATAACTTGAATTTGGTTGTGATATAGGTTTATAACTTAAAAAATCTGGAGATGGAGTTGATGATAATGGCGGAGTTAATGGATAATTAAATTGAGAAAAGTTTGTAAATGAAGGAGTAGTAGATAATGGAGGAGTTGGTAATTGGAACGACACATTTTCTTTATTATGTTCAATTTTTGATAAATTAGTTAACGAATTATTTGGATTAATTTGTGATGATTTATAAAAATTATGTAAATGAGTTTGAGAAGATTGAAGTTTTAGATCTTCAATTGAAGGATTAACTTTCTTTTGATACATGATGAAATATTAAATATTAAATATTAAATATTAAATATTAAATACAGATCTTAAATAAGTTATCGTATGTTATTGAAATATAAAAGCGAATGACAAAAGTTTGGGGAAAAAGCTATAATTAGCAACTAGGAAACAACAACAACAAGGGATGATATGATGTGATGAGTGGTGGTAAATTGAATTGTAAAAAGTTGTTGATGATAAATATAAAATTAAAAATAGAAAATAAAAATAGAAAAAAAAATAAAAAAAAAAAAAAAAAAAGAAATTTTGCAACTAAAATTATGTAAGATATTACATAATCTATAGATATAGTTTGAAGATTGTAACTGAAATTTATTATTTTCTTATGTGGGCTTGCAATTGTTAAATTTTTAGACTATTTCATAAACTATTGAAGAATTATCAATGAGAGAGATTTCTTACGGTTAAGTAACCAGCATATATATTGATAGATTATACTATAAAATGATATAAACCATTCAAATTGTACTCCCAGATTGTAATTACTCGATTAAATTTTCAACTGCGAGATAAGGCGTGTTTTGCATTATCTTGATTTTGTGTCCTTAAAATCTCTCGACACGTTTTATATTTATACCAAATAGCGCGACTCATTTTTCGTATTGAGTGCAATTTTAGGACTGGTGCCACGTCCAAAGATTTATACCATCTTACCACGAGACGGGTCGTAACTTAATATATAATACAATTATTTTGAGAATCACCTTTCCCTATTCTTTAAAACTTTAATTTCCTTCATGCAACCTTGCTCAATAATTTAGAAAATCTGAGGTTACATCTTCTTTTGATAATACTTTATAGATTAGTTGGTTGTTTAAATTTAAGATCAACTTGTCTATTGCAATTCGTTTTTTTTTTTTGTGTTTTATCAAGTAATCTTTTTTCGCATGAAGAACGATATTGATATCACGAGAGTGCGATTCCTTAGTTCGACCTTATCGCCCGTAAGGTTCGTAATGCTTATGCTTATACAGAAAAAGATGGCCCTTTCGAATGTGGATTCACATTAGTTTTATAAATTCATTATTGTAAAAAGGGAATAGTTATATATTACTTATTAGTTACTACTCCAATGTAGTATAGAGTGTTCTCTAATTTTTAAATTGACATAATGGAGTCTAGTTTCATCTGTTAATTCTTTATTAATAAATACTATTTTATTTGATTCTTTTACTATATTTTCCATTAGGTTCGATTGATAGTGATGTAATTTTATTGAGGTAATATTAAAAACCAGAAGTGACATTTTAACATCCGAAGAGTTAAAGTCAAATGACAAATGACCGATTGTAAAAGAGAATGAAGATCTTTGTCTTTGCTCTTTACTACCAGTTTATTTCAATAGATTCAACTTACGAAATTTGATTGTTTAATTAAAAAATGTTCTACTACAGTCATAAGTTTACCCGGGTAAGAGACTATATTACTGGAGATATGTCTGAGAGAATTTGTTAAATAAATACATATATAAATAAATAAAGGGGAACTCGGTTATACTTTGGACATTATCTCTTATACATTGAAATGATAAGGAGGCCTTTGTCTAAAATATCTAATTTGAGACACTTAGGTTAAAACATGAGAGAAAACACGTTCACGTCTAAACCAACATTTAAGGCTAACAACAAGCATATAACATTATCTATCATGTTCAGCTACGAACGAACAATATTAACGAAGCTATTTACTCATCAATTGCAACTGTTTGATATTATTTTGCAACCAAATTTGAATGTCATTTTTTAATTTTTTCCGTCTTTATTCAGATTTTGATTTCAACAGAACAAATTTATTTTTATCAAACAGATTCAATACTTTTTGTTTTACCAACGGCATTTGTAAGAACAATTACTATACAATTAGTTTCAAGACTCCATTATTAGATTAGATTATATTACAACTTGTTTCAGTCATTCTTTTTGATTTAATATTTTGCTGTTCAATAGTTATTTTTACAATTCGAACTAATTCAATTTTTTAGTCAACAACAACTACATATTACATTTCACACATTTCATAATTTATGGTTAGTCTAACTTTATATCTAACTAAACTTCTAATCAAAAGAGCAATATTAGATGATACCGATGATTCACCCGATCTATCTACTCCAGATGATGATCACTTAGATGATTCAAATCCAGTTGAAAATGAAATATTTTCAAGTTGGGCATTATTTATTTTATTATTTTTATTAATGAGTGCCTTATGGTCATCATATTTCCTTCAACAAAGAAGAATTAAAGCAATCCATGAAACTGTATTATCTATATTTTGTGGCATGATTGTCGGATTAATTATTAGATTAAGTCCCGGTCATTATATTCAAGATGCTGTTAAATTTAATCCTGGTTATTTTTTTAATATCTTATTACCTCCAATTATATTAAATAGTGGTTATGAATTACATCAAGCTAATTTTTTTAGAAATATTGGATCAATTTTAACATTTGCCATACCTGGAACTTTTATGAGTGCACTAGTAGTTGGAATTATATTATATATATGGACTTCAATTGGTTTTGATAATGTTAAATTAGAATTTGTTGATGCTTTAGCTGTTGGTGCTACTTTATCAGCAACTGATCCAGTTACAATATTATCAATATTTAATGCTTATAAAGTTGATCCAAAATTATATACTATTATATTTGGAGAAAGTTTATTAAATGATGCTATTTCAATAGTTATGTTTGAAACTTGTCAAAAATTTCATGGTCATGCTGTTCATTTTTCAAGTTTATTTGAAGGTATCGGGTTATTTTTAATGACGTTTACAATTTCAACAATTATAGGAATTTTAATTGGAATATTAGTTGCTTTAATTTTAAAACATTCACATATTAGAAGATATCCACAAATTGAAACATGTTTAGTTTTATTATTTGCTTATGAATCTTATTTTTTTTCAAATGGTGCTCATATGAGTGGTATTGTAAGTTTATTATTTTGTGGTATAACTTTAAAACATTATGCTTATTATAATATGTCAAGAAGAACTCAAATTGCAACAAAATATATTTTTCAATTATTAGCTCAATTGAGTGAAAATTTTATATTTATTTATCTTGGATTATCTTTATTCACTGAAGTAGAATTAGTTTTCAAACCATTATTGATTATAGTTGCATTTATTTCAATTTGTGTAGCTAGATGGTCTGCAGTATTTCCATTATCAAGATTTTTAAACTTTTTATATAGAGCTAGATTTGAAAGATTTTCATCACAAACTACAATCAATAATTCAAATTCAAATTTATTACCTGATGAAATTTCTCATAGTTATCAAATGATGATATTTTGGGCTGGTTTAAGAGGTGCTGTTGGTGTTGCTTTAGCTATGGGTTTTGGAGGTGAAGCTAAATGGACTTTATTAGCTACTGTTTTAGTGGTGGTTGTTTTAACAGTTATTTTATTTGGTGGTACTACTGCAAGTATGTTGGAAATTTTAGGAATTAAAATTGGTTGTATTGATGATTCAATTGATTCTGATGATGAATTCGATATTGAAATTCCAAGATTACCTTTACATAATAACTTAGGATCAAGAAGGTTTATGATGAGATCAACAACACCAAAATTCAAAGATTCAATATCTAAAAATAGTTCAGTTAATAATTTATTGCTTAATGAAGATGAAATAGAAAATGATAATAATGATGAATTAATAAGTGATGAAGATGTATTAAGTTCAACTACAAATAATAATAATAATAATAATAATACTAATAATAATAATAATATTAATAATAATGTAAATAGTAATAATCAACAAGGTGTACTTGGGGCATTTCTAAGTGCTGAAGAACATGCTAAATGGTTTACAAGATTTGATGATGAAGTTTTAAAACCGGTATTATTAGATAATATACCAAATAGTGAAGAAAGAAGAGATTAGAAATATACAAAACTTTTATTATATTATATTAAGTACCTCAATTGTTTAATTGCAACTTTACCTTAATTTTTGTGAGTTGCATTTTTTACCTTTCCTTTTGTTTTTGATCAGCAATCGCAATATCAATCACCCATTTAGCCAATTTATAAGTCCTAGGATTCAAAATTATATCATTTAATTTAAAATTATAAATTATACAAATTTCATAAAATTCATGCATTGATAAATCATGTAAAATAGCAATTAAATTATGTTTAATTTGAAATTTATTTTCAATATATATTGATTTTGGAGGATAATCAACATAATTAGTAGTTGTACGAATGACCTTCTCTAACAAATTTAAAGTATTAGATAAGTCATAAGGAGTTGTAATGTTTAATTTATCCAATTCTATTGATTTTTTAACTATGTTTGAGATTGAAATAATTGAATTTCCAAAATTGACGGAATTTAAAACTCGTGATTCTGCATCTTTCTTGGGGGTGATTCTAAATAATATTCCAAAATTTGATGATAAAAAGCTATACTTGAGTTTGATTAATTGGGACTTAAAGTCCTTGATAGTTAATGATTTATTAATATTTGTGACTATATTTAATTGAATTGGATGTATGTAGGAAATCCACTTTGACGATTTTGCTTTTTCAGGTTGGATATAATCTTTAATTGGTTCTGATTTAACTTTTCTTTGCGAATCAATTGAATTTCCAAATAAATCTATAGGTTTATTACTTAATTCATCTTTAAATATATTTAGACTCTTTAATGCTTTTAAATCCGAATCTGATCTATAATTTATTCTCTGATTAACTGATGAAATTTCATCAACACATAGGTTATATATTTGATTCCAATAATTATATTTCTTCAGTCTTTGAGAAAATAATAAATTTCTTAATTTTGAAGCTCGTAAATCTGAAGATGTTGATAAATAAGCCAATTCTTGAAATGCAGTTAATTTAACTAATTCATTTTCATTTTTTAATCCATTTATTAAACATGCTATTGGATCACTTGCAAATGAACAAATTGATTTTTTACCATCTATACAACCAATAATTGAATAAACATTAAATATATGATTTTCAAATTCCCAACTTAATATAATTAAATATGATAGATAACTTAATTTGAAATATGTACTTATTGTAGTGTTATTTTTAGGAATTGTTGTATCTAAATTAAGCAACCAAATAAGGATAAAATTAAACTTGTAAAAATACGGTTTAATGAAATAGTATACAATTGGAGATAAAACAGTAACTAAAATATTGATTCCAATTGATTGTGACACAATTTTAACCAAATTTGTCGATTTAAATAGCGTAGTTTGTGGTGATATTCTATTATCTCCATATTTAAAATTGAAACGACTTCTTTGAAATATTAATTGCATGAAATTATAAAATAAACTTAAAAATAAACAATTGAACCAATAATATATAAATTGATCATTTATTAATGATTTTGATCTATATTCTTTAGATAATAAATAATATTGAAATTTAAAATTGAAGTTGAAAATATAAAATGAATAAATTAAAATCAGTGAAATTAAATAAAATAACCAATTTGAAAAAAATGATTTACTTGTTAAAATATGATAAATTTGTGATGATAATGTTTTATAAGGTGAATAATTTATATTTGAATATTTCTTCCTAACTTGTTTAATTAAAAATAATGATATGAAAATTAATGGAGTTTTAATTAAAAAGTTGGATAAAATTTCAAAACTTGTTGTATTTGATGAATTAAACGGAAATTGATAAATATATGGTAGTATTAAGGATATAATTAAATTAATATTCAATACAAATCTCAATCTTTTATTATATATTTTCTTAAAAATTGATTGATAATTGTCATTCCTTATGCTACTACTATTCATTAAGTTTTGTTCTTTTGTTAGTTAATGTTTCAGAATTTATTGATGAGTGGAAAATTATATTTGAACCTCGCGTTGCTACCAAGTGTGTTATATATATATACATTTTTCTATTTACATATCATTTACTTTTGCTTGTCTTTTATATTCTTCTTTTTTACCATTTAATTGATCTTTTATTTGTTCTAATCCTGGTTTACCATTTATTTCACCCATTATATAATCTTTTATATTTAAATCATTTTTATCAAATAATATTTGTTGTGATTCTTTACCTTGTAATTTAGATTCAATTAATGATTTCTTCTTTTCATATTCATGTAAATTAACTTCAAAAGCTTTATATATCGCATCTTCTAATTGTTCTTCATTTATTATAAAATTTGAAGCTGAATGATATAATTTTAATAATTTTTCAAGTTTCTTTGATTTTTCGTTTAAATTTGTTAAATTTCTGTTCAATTTTTTTTGTTTTGAAATTAATTCTTTTTCTTCATTGGATATAGGTTCAATCATTCCATTAGTTAATGCTGATGTTAAATTTGGTAATGTATTCAATAATGAATTGGATGATGTTTCTTTAACATGTTCTAATCTCATTTGTTCGTCTTTTTGTAATTGGTTTTTATATATTCTTTGTTTTAATACATCTATTTCTTGAATTCTTTTCTCTTCTTCAATAAATGATTCTTTTAAAAAATCAGCTCTAAAATATGCACGTTTAAGAAAATCTCTTTCATTTTTATTTTCAATTTTATTAATTTCAGCTAAGGATTTATTTGGATATTGTATACGTTGAATTAATTCAGAAACTGGTAAAAATTTATTTGATTGATCATTTTTATTAAAACCTTTAATTTTTGGTATTGGAACATTTTTATAACCTTGTTCTGCATTTTTATCCTTAGCTAATTCATATTCTAATTTTGGACGTATTGGAGCTTTAAAAATTGGTTTTGTTTTGGGTAATATACCTGATTTACCACCAAATTTTAATACATTTTTACCCATAATAAAAGATTAAACTTGGTTGTAAAAATTTTATCTTTGTTGATATTGAAAAATTTACACGAGAAAATGAAAAATATATGCTACCAATTGTATATTAAGAATTATTATGTATGCTACCAGTTGTATATTTAGAATTATTTTTGTATGCTACCAGTTGTATATTAAGAATTATTATATATGCTACCAGTTGTATATTAAGAGTTTGTATATTAAGAATTATTACCCCATATATCCCATATTTTTTCACTTAAAACTTTACCTATTTTCTTATTTCCAATTTGATCTTTAAATTCATCCATTAATAATTTCTTTTGTATTTCAATTGGTATTAGTCGATTTTTTTGATAATATAATAATAAAGATTTTGGAGTTGGGAACTTTTTTTGAATTGTAATTGCTTTTTCTAATGAACAACCTCTTATAGTCATTAACATTAATATAAACATTTCTTTAACAGTCATTTGTTTTGATTTAACTAATAAATCTTGAAAACTTGAAAATAAATGAACACATTCATATTTGCTACTTTTTGAATTTTCAAATTTATTTCTAAATGATAATAAAATATCTAAATAATGATCTTGATTTTTAATATCTGATGGTTTTAATACTATTAAATTTGTATTTGAAAGTATTTCTTTTATAACTTGAGTATTTCCATTTAAAAAATTAACAGTTTCATCAATATTTGAAAATCTTCTTAAATAATAGTGAGCATTAGTCATTGTTTGTGAAATACTTGTTTTTATAGATTCCATTAAATCAATTACATGATCTTTATAAACCATCATTTCTTCAATTATATAATAACAATGTTTCATTCCTGATTTTGACATTCTATTTTTTTGTTCTTGAAATCTACCATCTTTTATAGAGTCACATAAATCATCAATTCTTTTACGTTCACAAATAAAATTTAATATTGATTCATTTTTAGTTTTTAAATTTCTTGCAATCCATAAAGCATCACCAGATGCTAAAGTTTTAATTTCACATTTTATTGAACCCAAAGATAATCTTTTTTGATAATAATCACGTTCATTTGAGGATCTCAATTCTCTATTATCTATATATAATATAATTTCATAATCTTGAGGTTGCCAAATTTCATACCTAACATTATTAAAACATCTATTTTTTGAATCATGTTGAAATTTATTATTATTTAAAACCATATCATTATTTAAATTATGATGATTTGTATGAAACTTACTTGAATTATTATTTAACTTGTCTAATTCATCAAGTATAAATTTATTACTATGTGCTGGATTATGTAGCTCCCTAATTGGTGATGATGAATCTAATATACCAGAAGAATTTAATCTAACACCATTATCAAAGGAAGTATCGACATAATTATTATTTGAAATTGGAGATGAAGTAATTTCAGTTGTCGTTTTTAATTGTTTTGCTAATGATTCACCTTCATCAGTTAAATAATATAATTTTGGTGATCTACCACTAACAACTACCAAATCTTGATTAATTAAAGTTTTAATTGAATTCCAAGCAGAATGGAATTCTTTACTTGATGGATTTGAAATAAAAGATTTATCTGAATAAGGAGTAGCAATAGTTGTAATTTGATCTCTAGTTAAACCTTTTCTAATTTTATCTTTTAAATATAATGCAATTAATATAGCAAATCCGCCAGATCTATTTTTTGGAACATATTTTCTCGTAGTTTTAGCACGTTTAGTAGGTCTTTGATCTATTGAATCACCTGGATTTGAATTCCGAGTATTTTTTAAATTTAATGAATGTTGCTCATCTTTTTCTAAAAAACCCAATGGTATAGACCAATTATTATCATTACAATAATTATCTATCCTTTTTCTTAACAATGAAACTGTTTTTTCACCAACAAATTTAATCAGTTTTAAAGTTTTTAAATCATTTATAGGTAAATCAAATGTTCTTAATTGATCTAATGATTTATTATATAATATAGCTAGTTTTGAACCCTTTTTAGTTGCTTTAATAGCTTCATCTTCAATCCATTGAATAAATAGTGGTTTAAAATCACTTGGAATGGAATTGTTACTCATATGAAACACATTTAAAAATCAATCTAAGAATCCCCGTCTATCTGTTTATATCTTTCAATTCGTAAAAATATCAACACGAAAAAAAAAAAAAAAAATATATAAGAATTCTGAAATACTAACAAAACTAGGAAACTACCATGTCATCATCATCAACAACAACATCAACAACAACAGTTAAGAGAAATAACATACCTCCTATTAATTTATTATTTCGATATTTACAAGAGAAATTAACTGTTTCTATTTGGTTATTCGAACAGAATGATCTGAGAATTAATGGTAAAATTGTTGGTTTCGATGAATTTATGAATTTAGTTGTAGATGATGCTATAGAATTAACAGGTGATGGTAAAGAAATTAAATTGGGTAAATTATTATTAAAAGGTGATAATATTACATTAATTTCATGTTTAGATATACAATTATAAACTTTAATACTAACTTTAACTTTATACTACAATTGATGATGAATAATAGCCTATTTCCAGTCTACGTTTTATACTTTGGAGAGCACCAATTAATCAGTAGCTATAATAGTTGATGTAGTGGTGGTGCTGTCAAATGAAATAGAAACCAATTCGTGTGGTGAAAAATGCATTTTTGCTGGAATATAAAAGTAGATAGTCGTGAATATACAAGTATCACTTATACCAGCATGCAAGACTAGTCCAGCGTTTGACTTATTGAACCGTCTAACTAATTTAATAGCAACTTTTCGCCTATTTTGTTTTAAATTTGACTTTCTTCTTTGTTGGACTAGATAATGAGTCAATTTGAGGTGGTGGTGGTCGTGGTGATATACTTGTTCTTTTCATATGTCTTAATTCTCTTTCTTCTTTTAATTTCAATTGATTATAATGATTAATTTGTAAATTACGTTGTGATATAATTTGTTGTTTTTTAATTGGAGATTTAATATTGATCTGTGATAACTTAATAGCAGACAATACTTCTTTTGATAAGTTAATAATTACCGTATAATCATCTAATATTGTAACTGTCATATCATCATATTCATTATCATCACTTTTATCGCTTGGTATAAATAAATTATTGTCCAAAAAAACACGACACGTCTTGAAAAAATAAAACACCAATTTATCTTTTACAACCAACCAACCAACCATTAATATGAATGGTAATAGTAATCAACACAACCATAACCATCAACAGAGGAATATAAATAATAATAGAATATTTACTACTACTTCAAATTATCAAAAATCATCAATAGATAATAATAATTTTGGTTCAATACCTTATTCACAAGAAGAACAATTTACAATTCAACATAGATTAAATAAGGTTTTAGGTCCAGAATATGTTAGTTATCGTCCAAGTGGTGGTAATCAAAAAGTTCAATATATTGAAGGTTGGAAAGCTTTAAATTTAGCAAATGAAATTTTTGGTTTTAATGGTTGGAATTCTCAAGTTATAAGTTGTAATGTTGATTATTTTGATACTCATAATAATTCAGGTAAATATTCCTTAGGTATAAGTATAATAGTTAGAGTTACTCTAAAAGATGGTACTTTTCATGAAGATATTGGTTATGGTTATATAGATAATGCGAAATCAAGACCAATGGCTTTTGAAAAATGTAGAAAAGAAGCTTTAACTGATGGTTTAAAAAGATGTTTAAGATGTTTTGGTAATGTATTAGGAAATTGTTTATATGATAAATCAATAGTTAAACAAATGAAAAAAATTGAAACTGAACAAGTTGAATATGAATTAGATAATTTTCATAGAGATCCATTATTAATTGAAAGAGAACGTAAAAAATTAAAACAAGAAGAACAACAAAGAATTGAATATGAGCAAAAGATGAAATTACAACAAGAAGAACAACAAAGAATTGAATATGAGCAAAAGATGAAATTACAACAAGAAAAATTAGAAAAGGCAAAATTATTAGCAAAACAACATCAAGAGAAGATGAAATCAAAAGACCAAAATACATTTATAACGCCAAAATCACCAAGTAAAATATTGAATTTACCTCCTCCATCACCACCACCACCACCACAATCACAACCAAGAGATGATAATGTACCTGATGATGAAGAAGATAGTTTTTTATTTAGTGATGATATAAATGAAGATATATTTGATAAACAATCACCAAGAAGATCACCAAGAAAACAATTACAACAACAACAACAACAACAACAAGAACAACCATCAGAAATACAAGAGAATACACCACCAACATCAACATCAGTTCAAATTGGATTTGTTCCTGCTAGAAGTGCAAATTTATTACAATGTAATAAAATCAATGAATTAAAAGAATTTGATACATCATTTATACCACAAAGTATAAGACATACAATAGATCAAAAGAGATCATTCCCTATCAAAAGATCAGATATTAGTTTAATTACTACTACTACTACCACTAATAATAATAATAATAATGCATTAAAACCAAATCATTTACATAATAGAATAAATAAACCAAGTATAAATCCATTAAATATTGGAAATAATAAAATATTAACAACCTCATCACAACAAGATATAATTACATTCAAACGACCAGTAATAGAAGATATAAATAATGATATAAAACGACCTCATAATGAATAGAATACCTAATATATACTATACTAATTGTTCCTTAATTTGATTTTTGTTAGTGTTTCGGATTTTCAATTTCGGAAAAATAAAAAATAAAAAAAAAAAAAAAAACGCGACATTAAAAAATAAAAAAAAAAAAATAAAATAAAAATTGATCTCTTAATTAAAGATTAATTATTACTTATCAATATTGATCAGTTAATCAGTTGGTTTATTATGAGAGATCATTCTTCTGTTATTCCATTATTGAAAACAATTGGTCCTTTTAATGAAGTAGCAGATGATTATAATTATCAATCTGCTTGGGATAGATTATCAACTTCAAAAATTTTAGTTATTGGTGCTGGTGGTTTAGGTTGTGAAATTCTTAAAAATTTAGCATTGACTGGTTTTAAAAATATTCATGTTATTGATATGGATACAATTGATTTATCAAATTTAAATAGACAATTTTTATTTAGACATAAAGATATTGGTAAAAGTAAAAGTGAAATTGCTGCGAATTTTATAAAACAAAGAATAGGCGAAGATAATATAAATATAATACCATTTTTTGGTAAAATTCAAGATAAATCAATTGAATTTTATAGTCAATTTGATTTAGTTATAAGTGGATTAGATTCAATTGAAGCTAGAAGATGGATAAATGCAACTTTGGTAAATTTATCATCATCAAATAATAAGATTATACCTTTAATAGATGGTGGTACTGAAGGTTTTAGAGGTCAACTGAGAGTTATAATCCCAAGTTTTACTTCTTGTTTTGAATGTACTTTAGATTTAATGAGTCAAAAAATTACATATCCAGTTTGTACAATTGCAAATACTCCCAGACTACCTGAACATTGTATTGAATGGGCTCATCTAATTCAATGGAATATAGAATTTGGTCTGACAAAGAAGTTTGATGCTGATATTCCACAACATATTCAATGGATGTATGAAACTGCTTTAAATAGAGCAAAAATTTTTAAAATTGAAGGTGTTACAAAACAATTGACTTTGGGAGTATGTAAAAATATTATACCTGCAATTGCATCAACAAATTCTATAATTGCAGCTAGTTGTTGTAATGAAGCATTTAAACTTTTAACTGATTCAAATCCTTATTTAAATAATTATATGTCATATAGTGGTGATTATTCAATTTATACATATACTTTTGAAAATAATAAACGATCAAATTGTTCAGTTTGTGGTTCATTACCTAAAAAGATATATGTTGAAAGTTATAAGACTCTACAACAATTTATTGAAGATATTAAAGATAAACAAGAAATTCAAATTAAAAATCCAAGTATAAGTTCAATTAGTGGTCCATTATATATGAGTTCACCAACTGAATTACAAAAAATAACTAAAAATAATTTATCAAAAAAACTTAATAAATTAATTTCAAATGGTGATGAAATTGTAATTACTGATGTTAATTTACCTATTAGTTTAAGATTAATTGTATATTTTACAAGTGATGAAAAAGATCCAGAATTAAATTAATTAAATTAACTAATGAATTATTAATGAATTAATTAATATATATTAGAGTCTATTCTAATTGTTTCATTTCTTCAATTATCATTGAATTAAATTTTTCAATATTATCTAAATAAATATGATGACCTGAATTCTCTACAATTTTAACATCTGAAAGTTGTAATTTATGATAATTATTTATGATTTTTGAACATAATTCTCCTCCTTTTTTATCCATCCAATCTTCTTTTCCATACCACCAACTAATTTTGAAATTAATTTTATGTATTCCTCTTTCAATTAATGGATATCTTGCATTTGCTCCTGGTTCTAATAAATAATTTAGCATATACTCTCCTGATCCAGGACTTGTAAAAATTCCATAACTATATCTGTGTAAATTTTCAATCTCTTTTTTACTCAATTTGGCAAATCTACGATAAGACCAACCAGAAACTAATTTTGAACCAAGTGGACCAAATTTACGAACTAATGTAAATGGAGAAATATTTCTTTCCCATAATTTTTTAAAATATTCTGGTACAAATACTGGTTTCCTATGTTTTATAATAGCACCAGGTGAAATACAAATTAATTTTTTACAAAAATTTGCATCCTTTTTAATACCATATGATGATAAAAGATAAGCACCCATTGAATGAGCCATAATTAAACAATCATCGGGATTAATCTGCTTATTTTTTAAATACTTTTCAAATGAATCATGAAACCAAGCTTCAACTTCTTCTAAATTATTTGGATGAAATATTGGTCTTGATGAACATCCATATCCAAATAAATCAATTGCATGAATACACCAATTATCAGGTTTAGAAATCTCATCAAAGTTTTTTAAATAAAAACCAAGACCTGCTCCGTATCCATGTATCATTATTAAATGTTTCATATTGGAATTTTTATTCTTTGGATATATTACAAATTCATTTATATAATTTCCATTTTGATCTATTTGGATTTTTAAAATTTCAGAAGATCTACCTAATTTATCACAATTTGGATAAAATGGAAGTAAAGATAACAAATCATGTTGGAACTTTAATGGATCACATTGTTTAAAATCTTTAAATGATTGTTTTATAGACAAGGGGAAATTATTATTAAAAATTTTATGTAATGGAACAGATGTAGGATGTGTTGATCGTTTATATCTATGGTGATTTCCTTTATCTATAATGATCCTTTTTCTTTTAAAATTATTAAATATATTATTTATGTTAATACTTGAAGAATTTAAATTGATGCTTGAAATTGGAATAAATCGTTTATACATAATGGAAACTAAATCTTAAACTTAATGAAAAGCAAAAACTTTTATGAAATTAAATCCAAACATCTACCAATTTGAATTTGAATGGTAGATCTATATGAATAGTTGATCAAACTTTAAAAGATTGAATGAATGAAACGAATGGTATAATAATTGAAAAAAGAAAAAAAAAATTTATTATGTGTGATGAAAAATTAATTGATTTAGTGCGGCGTAGGATGGCTTAATTTTGATCGGCGTAGGGTGGCTTTATTTTGATATTTTGAGGTCCAGCCTGATGAGTAAAATCGAATTGGAGTTTGTGCGTGTTGGGCCAGAAAAATTTATGAATCGTGTTGCAAATCAGAACTTCAATACTGATTAGATGCTAATCAGATGTAATCATTAGCTTGAAGTATAGCTAAATTCCTTGATCTATCTTTAGGAGCAAATGGTTCAATCAAAGAAATGTGCCTTGACCCGCTTGATCTTAATTTTTCGAATTAATTTAGATAACCTTTTAGTGGTTGTATAAGAGAAACTATAAACCAGAAAGGTACTACTATCCAAGATAGGAGTATTTGCATGCAGTACTCTTTAAAACTATATCGTATACTTATATAAATCTGTTCACAATACTAAATCACGAATTTGAATTACATTTGATTTCGTAGATAATTCAGTGCGACAAAATAATATCTCGCCCTAATTTCCTCAAGGCAACCTCGTACTACGTATAATGGCGTATATGTAATCAAAACCTCACTCTCACGATCTGAGACCAGTTTAATAAAATAAAAAGCCATGAGGTATATACTTTAATTACTTAAAGTCTCAAAATTTAAAACTTTTGTTTTTCTAGTTGGATTTTTGGGCCGTTTTCACAATTCAAAAATTTTTCAAAAAATGTGATTCAGTATATCTTTTTATTTAGGTTCATAATTTCCAACTAAACAATGAATAATATCAGATAAACCGTAAGATTTCTTGTGTTTACGGTTTCGAAATTGAAAAAGTTTAATTTTCAAAATGGTTGTGGCGTTTTCAAACTAATACTGCTAAGATCTTTGTGGCTAAATCAACCGGATCAGATGCTTTAGAAGTTGCTAGATGAGATCCAAGTTTTGATTCAATCGCAATTTAGTGTTTTTTTACATTTTTTCAAAATTGAATAATGTGATAGTAATTATGCTCTAAACGATACTAACAGTAATCACTTTCAAGTTTTTTGAAGCTTCAACGAAATAATTTTGAAAATAAAAGCATGCATATTGTGGGAGTGTCTCACAAATTAAGTTACAAGATTAACTTTCAAAGGGACTGCGTATAAAGTCAATTTGTTTCAGATTTATTTTTAAAACTATGTGTATTTTTCCGTGCAGTAATTCGAGCGCAAAAAAATAATTTTCGCGTTGGCTTTAGGCCGACCTTATACCATACTTAATGGCTTATACATCACGAACCAATTAAGTTTTAACCGTATACGAAATGGTCAGTAAGGCGAATGCAGTAGAATTATAAGCTCAGAGTAATCCAAAATGCAGAAAGGATTTAAGAACAGTCTTGTAACTTTATTTCAAATGATATATAGTTTGATTAACAAAATCTTCAGTTTTTAAATTGCCCAAATTTAGATTCAAATTCAAATTGTTCCCATTGGCACCATTTACACCACTCAAAGCTTCAATCACAGCTTTTACAATTTCACCAACTTGATCACTAGCAATATTAAAAATTTTCATAATGATTGAAATAATCAATGGTAAATTATCAAATAAAATTTTAAAAAAATCAGCATTTGAAATTGAACCAGTATTTTCAATAGTTGTTCCATTCATTGAATTAAAATTTGCAATTAAATCTGCATTCTTATTTTTTAATTTATTTATACCATTTATAATCTCAATAATCAATTTATTTAATTCTGGAAAAGTTGCATTTGCAACCTTCATAATTGTATTAAAAATTGTAATCAAAATGGGGATTAGTTTCATGAATAATTCATTTGGTGAAGCAAAATTGATATCTTGTTGTTGTTGTTGTTGCTGAAGTGAGATCAAATCATTCATTGTTGATGGTTTTGTTTCTTGTGTTTGAACAGAAAGCAAGTCGTTAGTTATTGGCTCATTTACTGATTGAATCGTAGCACAGTTGACGATAATAACAAAAACAAAAAGGTTGAGTATTTGAAATAACTTCATTGTTGAGTTTTGTTTCATCTACATGGTTTACTAACATCATTACTATTTATATATGGTTTAAAATAGAATTATAGTATCCTAATTAATGAAGATTAAGAGTTACTACAATCTCTGGTGAACTCAAAACCAGTTCAAACTGATGCAGCAATTTGCAGCCAATTACATTATTGCATTTGTTTAATAACGTTAATCAACAAAAAAAAACTCTAATGGTTCCCACTGACCTTATAACGTAGGGTGTATTCAAATTCAAACTCCATCACAAGTCTTAGTGTTCTGTTCTGTTATTCGTATCACAATATTTTATAAGTTAATTTTCACATTAAGTTAGTATACCTGTAATTGAGAATACCAAGAAATTTAAAAGTACCAGTTGTGGAAAATTTAAGATTTCATAATTTGTAACTAAAATAAGCCAATCTTAAGAATCCAAAAAGATGGAATTTCAAGAGTGATTGCAATCTTGGTATTTGAGAAAGTATGTATTGCCATGTATTTGGCAGTAAAAGTGTAAATTCTTGTACAACAGAATCATATTGAAAAAGTAGACTAAATTTTAAAGTTTCGAAGTGAAATGTTGGGGGATTCAGGTTCAAGGGGATTTTGAATAATAATAGTTTTAGTTTTCGGAGCATTTAATAAAATACAGTTAAAACAAAAAGTGTCAACTTCATTGATTCATCTGATAAATTTTTATTCTTGGCAGGACGCAAGAACACAAAACTAATAGCCAATAGACAACTGCATGTATAAATTAAAAATTAAACGGCTATAACCAAATTTTATTGGAATATTCATCCAATAAACGTTTACTTTTTTTAACATTAGCTTTTTTTTATAATTATACGTCTACCATTATCAAATAATAGAGTTTGAGGGTAATTATTAACTTCCAGTCTAGTATTATGAGAGAATATACATTATAATAAGTTATTTTTGAAAATTTCACAACCGTAATTTACTATTATATTTCTAACAATAGAATTAACATTAACCTTTAGAAACAATTTACTTTTGCGTGGTCGTGTACATATTACAAAAAAGTCTAACGTACTATGCATAATCTTTAGTGAAACGGATAGAATTAGGTAATAGAATTGTTGAAGTATCGAATGTTACCTGAGAATATAACATATTAAAAACGAACAATGTAACATTATGCAATAAAAATTATATCTCGATTTAGGCAAACAGTACCAAACAAACTATGGCCTTATTTTGAAGTTAGTGGTTAGTCTTTCTTTCGTTAACTTTGGGATTAAATTTTGGTTAATGAATCTGGGCCAATAAACTTGGAAATTAGATGAGATTTCCAATGAAAATTTCCAACAATAGTATTTGATGCCTTAAGACATCTAAACATCAATAGTTTATTTTAATATGAATTTGCGAATCGCTTTATCAGATTCATCTATTTCTGTAGTATTTTAACAAATACTACAGATTTAACAATTGAAATAAATTTTAAACTACACTAAAACAAACAGAATCCATAAATTGTCTGGAATATTTTTCAGATGCTACTGTAAACGAATTATCCTACTAACACTCTCTCATAGAGCTATGTTTATTGGGGTTAAGCATATCGTATTTTTTTCCATAAATTAAAGTTTAATAGTTTAGTAGTTCATAAAATAAGGTGGTTTTCAAAAATCAACTAATTATATTGGAGCATTTTCAGCCAATTATAATTTAGTATTAATATAATTTTAAGTTGTAATACATTTATTGGGATCAAACTACACTAAAACATTATAAGATTTAGTGTCTGCATAAGATGAGATAGATAACTTTATATCTATGTCCTTTTACTATCTTGCAATTGGCTGTTCTAATAATTATGTTAGCATGTCGACCTGATATTATTTCATTGGTATAATTGACAATTCCTTAATGCTACCAGATGTTTTACTTATTTCTTTTTTTTTTTTCATTTTCAACTACTTTTTTTTTACCAATCCTTTATCCAAAGTTTTATTTCATTTAATGTCTGCCAAGAACAAATCTTCAAATTTATTATAATTTTACTATGCAAAAGCACCAAATTACTAAGAAAATTTTTTTTATCTTTTCCATCAGTGAATCCTCTCAATTCTTCAAAGATATAAAAGTTAACCAGTTTGAGTCAATTTGGTTTATCCTTTTTTGATCTTTTTCTCTTCTTTTCCTTTTCTTTTCCTTTTCCTTTTCTTTGGGTTTCTTTGTTTATCATAGTCAAGTTATTAATTCGAAAAAAGTACCACATTAAATCAAATTTCATATCATATTATAGTTAAAATTACAAGAAAAATATACAAGGGTCTTATAATATGAGAAATTTATTTTTAATTACATTTTTCATATCTTTGATTTCATTAGTTTCAGCTGAAACACATACTTGGTATTTTAAAACAGGATGGGTTGATGCTAATCCAGATGGTCAATTTGATAGAAAAATGATTGGGTTTAATGACACATGGCCATTACCTACTTTAAGAGTTAAAAAAGGTGATAGAGTTAATTTGTATTTGATCAATGGTTTTGATGACAGAAACACTTCATTACATTTTCATGGTATGTTTCAACCAGGATCTTCACAAATGGATGGTCCAGAAATGATTACACAATGTCCAATCCCACCTGGTGAAACTTTTTTGTATAATTTTACTGTTGGTAATCAAGTTGGAACTTATTGGTATCATTCCCATACTTCAGGTCAATATGGTGATGGTATGAGAGGTGTATTTATTATTGAAGATGATGATTTTCCTTATGAATATGATGAAGAAGTTGTTTTAACTTTAGGTGAACATTATCACGTTTATTCAGATGAATTGCAACCAGCATTTTTAAGTAGATTTAATCCAACTGGTGCTGAACCAATTCCAGAAGCTTTGTTGTTTAATGAAACTTATAATGCTACATGGAAAGTTGAACCAAATAAAACTTATTTATTAAGAATTGTTAATATTGGAAGATTTGTTTCTCAATATTTATGGATTGAAGATCATGATTTTGAAATTGTTGAAGTTGATGGTATTTATGTTGAAAAAAATACTACTGATTTATTATATATTACAGTTGCTCAAAGATATTCAGTTTTAGTTCATACAAAAAATTCAACTGATAAAAATTATGCATTTATGAATAGAGTTGATCCAGATATGTTGGATGTTCCAGGCAATTTAAGAGAAAATTCAACAAATACAATGGAATATGATGCTGGTAATGCTCCAGTTGAAGAAAATATTTTAGAAGGTGATAAAAATGAACAATATTTTGATGATTTTTATTTAAAGCCATTGTCAAAAGAAAAATTATTAGACGATGCTGATTATACAATTACTGTTGATGTTCAAATGGATAATTTAGGTGATGGTGTCAATTATGCTTTCTTTAACAACCTTACTTTTACTCCTCCAAGAGTTCCAACTTTATTAACTGCTTTATCAGCTGGTGAACATGCAACAAATGAATTAGTTTATGGTTCAAATACAAATTCTTTTGTTTTACAAAAAGATGATGTTGTTGATATTGTATTAAACAACCTTGATCCGGGAAAACATCCTTTTCACCTTCATGGTCATGTATTTCAATTAATTGAAAGACATGAAGCCATTGATGATGATCAAGACCCAGTTGGTTATAATTCAACTGATCATGCTGAATGGCCAGAATATCCAATGATTAGAGATACTGTTTATGTTAGACCACAATCTTATATTGTCATGAGATTCAAAGCTGATAATCCAGGTGTTTGGTTTTTCCATTGTCATATTGAATGGCATTTAGATCAAGGTTTAGCAATTCAATTAATTGAAGATCCAATGGGTATTCAAAATAATGAAACTCAACAATTGACTGAAAATCATAAACAAATTTGTGAAAAAGGTGGTATTCCATGGGAAGGTAATGCAGCTGGTAATTCTGATAATTATTTGGACTTGAAATCAGAAAACTTACAACATAAAAGATTACCAACAGGTTTTACAGCTAGAGGTATTATTGCATTAGTCTTTTCATGCGTTGCAGGTGTTTTAGGTTTAATGGCAATTGCATTTTATGGTATGAATGATATAGCCGATGTTGAAGAAAGAGTTGCAAGAGATTTAGATGTTGATTTAGATGAAAACAGTGATGAGTTTGTAAATGAGGAAATAAGTTCATCATCAATTGGTAACTCATCAACCAACAAACATTAAATTATACATTGAATTAAGTTTTGTTTTATTTACAAATGAATTGTATGAAAAATTGTGTGTGTTTGAAAGATTTATTTAACCTTGTGAATAAAGGAGATCTTTTTTGAACCATTCATTTGTGAAAAGAAAAACTAATCAAATGTGAGATTATTTTTTTAAACTAATTTTTAGTTCAAACTTTGCTTTTAATGATATTATTTTTAATTTTTATTTATGGTACTTTAATGACTTGACATGATGAATAATTTTTATAGAAATTCCCTTAAAAACCCCCTTTTGTTTTGTGTATAATTAATATAAAACTACCCGTATTTTCAATATGATAATACTCTTTAAATTGGCTGCAAAATCTTTTTTATTCCGATATCAAAACAAGTCGTGTGTTGCCTATTATCAACACTTTTAAACCACCTTTTTCAAATTTCAAAATTTGAGGAGGTTTTTTAATAATAATATACCAAAAAAGTAGTATACATCTGACACTAATAATTATCTTCCTAACAGACAGTAATAGGTTTTGAGACTGCTAACAGCTGGAAGTCTAATATATTAAAAGAGGCTTTAAGTTAAAAATAATTGGCTTATAATTGGCTTATAATTGGTTATGCTTACAGATTAATCTGATAAATAATTTAGTCAGTAAAATTCTGACATTAGAGTTGAGGAATAAGTGGAATAAAGTTATGAGCTCATGTATTACTTGTAAATTATCAGTATGATTGAAAAGAAGAAGAACGAATAGAAAACATTTATATTAAAAACGAGGCTTTAAATTCAAAGTTTAAAGTTGGTTGGTTAATTTAAGTAATTAATTTGATTTAATCAGATAAGTCAATAATATTCAACTAATGTTGCATATTGGTTTGTTTATTATTATATACAGTTTTATTTTATTTTTTTTTTTTTTTTTTTTATTTTTTTTTATTTTTTTTGGTTTTAATAAAATTTCAGAACTTATAAATTTCAGCGAATTATCCCTTTAATTAGATGTTCAATATTACTTCACTTTTATATTCACATATTCTCTTGTACTTTTTTGATAAAGTTTGGCATTTCGAATTGACAATTTAAAGATTGAATTATTAATTTGAATTCAATTATATTTTTTTCCCCTGGATCAAGTTTGACACATTTTGCAAATTTTGCTTGGCATTTTTGATTTGATAAATATCATTAGTTATACACAAAATTAAACAATAATTCAAGAAGAAATCATTATAAAAATTGGAAAAGAATTATGAATTTTTTATATTTTTTAATTATATCAATTTTGCTAACAATTGTCAATGCTGAAACTCATACTTGGTATTTTACAACTGGTTGGGTTGATGCCAATCCAGATGGTGTTTATCCTAGAAAAATGATTGGATGGAATGATACTTGGCCATTACCTATATTAAGAGTTAAAAAAGGAGATAGAGTTAATTTATATTTAACAAATGGTTTTGATGATTTGAATACAACTTTACATTTTCATGGTATGTTTCAACATGGATCTTCACAAATGGATGGTCCAGAAATGGTTACACAATGTCCAATCCCACCTGGTGAAACTTTTTTGTATAATTTTACTGTTGATGATCAAGTTGGTGCTTACTGGTATCATTCACATACTTCAGGTCAATATGGTGATGGTATGAGAGGGGCATTTATTATTGATGATGATGATAATCCTTATAAAGATGAATATGATGAAGAAATTGTTTTGACATTGACTGATCATTATCATGACAAAAGTGTAGATTTAATGCCTGGTTTTTTGAATAGATATAATCCCACAGGTGCTGAACCTGAACCAGATAATTTATTATTTAATGAAACAATGAATGCAACTTGGAAAGTTGAGCCAAATAAAACATATTTATTAAGGATTATTAATGTGGGTAGATTTGTTTCTCAATATATTTGGTTTGAAGATCATAATATGACAGTAGTTGAAGTAGACGGAGTTTATACAGAAAAGAATGAAACAGATATGCTTTATGTTACTATTGCTCAAAGATATACTGTTTTATTAACTACAAAAGATACAACTGAGAAAAATTTTGCTATTCAAACAGTTGTTGATGTTTCAATGTTAGATGTTCCAAAATGGTTAAACACAACAAATAATTTACAATATAATGAACTGGCTCCATTTCCTGAACAACAAACTAAAGAATCATTAGATGAATTTTTAGATGACTTTTATTTAGTTCCATTATCTAAAGAGAAATTATTTGATGATCCGGATTATACAATTACCGTTGATGTTCAAATGGATAACTTAGCAAATGGTATTAATTATGCATTTTTCAATAATATTAGTTATACAACTCCAAAAGTTCCACCATTATTAACTGTTTTATCATCAGGTGACATGGCAACAAATGAATTGATATATGGTACAAATACAAATGCTTTTGTATTACAAGGAGGAGAAACTGTTGATATTGTATTAAACAACCTTGATACAGGAACTCATCCATTTCACCTACATGGACATGTTTTTCAAGTTATTGAAAGATATAAGGCTATAGATGATGATGAAAGTCCAGTTGCATTTAATGCAAGTGATCATGAGGAATGGCCAGAATATCCAATGCAAAGAGATACAGTTTATGTTCGACCACAATCATATTTTGTAGTAAGATATAAAGCAAATAATCCTGGTGTTTGGTTTTTCCATTGTCATATTGAATGGCATTTAGACCAAGGTTTAGCTATAGTTTTAATCGAAGATCCAATGGGTATTCAAAATAATGAAACTCAACAATTGACTGAAAATCATAAACAAATTTGTGAAAAAGTAGGTGTTCCATGGCAAGGAAATGCAGCAGGTAATTCAACTGATTTTTTGAATTTATATGGTCAAAATGTTCAAGAAAAGAGATTACCAACAGGTTTTACAGCTAGAGGTATTATCGCATTAGTATTTTCATGTGTTTCGGCAATTTTAGGTTTAGCTACAATTGCATATTATGGTATGAATGATATAGCCAATGTTGAAGAAAGAGTTGCAAAAGATTTATTTGTTGATTTAGGAGAAGAAGACGAAGAAAATGAAGTCGAACAAGTGCAAATAGGAAGTTCTTCGACTGCTTCTTCAACAGCAAAACGTTAATTATTAAAGTTTATCAATTAAATGTCATGAAGAAATATGTGTGTGTGAAGAAGATATTGAAAATGAATCGATCAATATTTTCTGAGAAGTAACTTTTGATTGATAAGACTAATTAACCTTTTTACCTCATCCCCCCATCCTGCATTATTACCTTTTCAGTTCGATAGTTTGTATAGTTTTAATTTATAATAATTTCCTGGTAATTTAGATCTTTTCATATTCTGTCGATAAATTTGTTTCAAAACTTGACAACTTTCACTATTTTTATCAAATAATTCATCGTGGCTCTCAATATCTTATTCAATTTCTCTCCCATTCACGTACTTTTTTTTGGTCTAAATGCAAATTTAAACTACAATGTTTAAGCTAGGAAATATGAGAATTGTAAGGTTACCAAAATGTAGTAATCTATATATTAATTGAATGTAATTTCTTAATCACTTCTATCAAACTCTAATATCAACAGAAGAAGTTATTGTGTGAAGATATAAATATAGTATTACGCGTTTATTCAAAATCGAAACTATTTCAATTCACTTAATTGTATCTCGTAAACCCAACGCATATAGGTCTATGCCCTGGGTTTTTTCAGCTTCCATTTGATTGTATCTATGCCTCAGGCATTTAAATCCAATTTTTCAAATAAACCAAAGACAATACGTATAGATGTTTGATTCCTTTAGATTGCTTTTAGCAAATGCAAAAATGCAACTGAATAGATATTTTTGACACTGATAAAGAGGCCGATAACCAAAGGAACACTATATATATACTAATACTCCGAAGTGTCGCAAGTAACATAAGTGGTTTATGTATGGTACTAAATTATCGTCTATTGATCAATATACAATTTTCAATTTTCGGGTGGGCTACCGTTTTTTTTTTTACAACCAAAATAAAATGAAATGATTGAAGGTTTATATATTACAAATTTGAATAATACATTAGTTTACGAATATATTAATGATTTATCAACTCCAAATTTTAAAGCTTTATTATCAAAATTATTACAATTAAATAATCAAAATTCATTTAAAATTGATTTAAATTCAAAATTTTATTTATCAATTCATAATTTTAAAGAATTCAATTTAATAATTTATCTTTTATGTGATAAAATACAATCAAATCCTTTAATTCCATATGTTTTCGTTAATAAATTAATTGAAGTATTACAAGATTATTTCGGTGAATCTTTAAATGGAAATAAAATCGAAATTAATAATGATATTTTAACATTGATTTTATTTCAAATGATTGAATCCGATCAACCATTTATAACAGATGCAAATAAATTAAAAGATTTGGTAAATTATAAAAGTTTATTAAATAAAATTTTAAGTGGTGCAAGTCAAGCAACTCAATCAATTACAAATCCTTTAGAATTATCGAAATCAAAATCTAAGGAAATAAATGATATACCATGGAGAAGATCAAATGTTAAACATACAAATAATGAAATGTATGTGGATATAATTGAAAGTGTAAATATTATAATGAAACCTTTGAATAATTCATCATCTCAACAATTTGATTCAGCATTTTATTCATCCAATTTTAAAAAAAACGCACAGAATTATATAATTAATTGTCAAATTTATGGAGAGATTATATTTTTAAGTAGATTAACTGGAGTACCTACTCTAAGTTTATCTTTAAATACTGTTTTTCCATCATCATTTTTTCATAAATGTATTAATGAAAAGAATGGAGTTTTAACATTTATTCCACCTGATGGAAAATGTACAATAATGAAATATGGAATGCAATTAAATAAAGAGAATTATCATTTACTTAAAAACACAGTTGATATTGAGTTTACCTACAATGAAGAAGAATCTGATTTTGAAATTAAAGTGGTAAATCTTTCACAATTGGGTAAAATTGATTTTATAAATATTGAAATATATTGTGAAAATCCATCAGATTCAATTAAATTAAATAGATTAACTCAAGGTGATTTTATAAATAAATATGATGGTAAAGGAGAATGGAATTTAAAAAATATAAAAAATAATAGTATACTACCAATATTTCATGGATGTATAATATCAAAAAATGATGATCAAGAAGAATTGACAAGTAAATTATCTAAACCAGCATATTTAAAAGTTAATTATAGTCATAAAGGTTCAGTTCCAAGTGGATTAAAAGTTGAAAGTTTAAAAATTATAAATTCAAAAGGTTTGAATGATAATGTAAAACCTTATAAAGGAGTTAAATATATTACAAAATCAGCCAATTATATAATTAGGTCTTAATCAATTCTTATATTTCCTAACAAGTTAATATATATAAATTCAATTAATCATTTATAGAACTCACTAATTATTGAGATTTCTTTTTACTTTTTTGTTTTTGTTGATTCTTGATTAAAACTTTACCAACAAATATACCAACAAATAAACCACTTAATAATAATAATAATAAAGGTAATTTTATAGCATAATCTCTTGGTAAAAAGAATTGTTGTATAAATGAAGATTCATTAATAAAAGGTAATATAAAAACCCAAATTGAATAATATAAAAATACAAAAGAAGCAATAAAAATCATTCCAACACCAATTGATTTATCCAAAGCCTATAATAATGTTAGTCCATATATATTACTCTTGGTTAAAAGTATATTCATACCATTTTGTTTAATAATAATTGATTGACGTGGTTGATAATATTTTGTTTAATGAAAAATTATCTTGTATATAAAACAGTTGTGTTTCTTATATGCAGTACAACGATAAATTATCACCAAAATGTTTTCAAAATTTAAGTCGAAGAAACCTCCATTGTCATTAAATCTGGTATCAAATGCTATTAAATCTCATGGAAATAAAAACTTATCACCAGATGATTCTGCTGTTAATTATAAAAATTTTGATATTAGATTAATTAATCAATTGGGTATTCCAAAAAATTCAATTGTTGCCGTTGCTTACGATCCTGTTCAATCTTTATTAGCTATTTCAACTAAAAATAATGATGTTAGAGTTTATGGTCAATTAAATGTTGAAGTTGTATTTGAATTTAATTTAAAACATCCAATTACTTATTTAAAAGTTGTTAAAGGTGTTTATTTAGCTTGTGCTTCTCCTGGTTCTGGTTTAACTATATTATCATTATATTCCAAAAAAATTATTGGTACTTTTTCATTTCCTGGTTCTGTTACTGCTGCTGAAGCTGATCCTTCATTGGATTTTTTAATTTTTGGTTTAGCAAATGGTAGTATAATATTTTATGATATTGATAGATGTAATTTAACACCATTTAGAATTGATAATTTACAAAAAAAAGTAATGCCAAAGGAAAAATTATCATCTGTTATATCTATAGAATGGCATCCAAGGGATATTGGAACTTTATTAATTGGATATAATCAATGTGCAATTGTTTATTCATTAGTTACAAATGAAATTAAATCAGTTTTAGTTTATCAATTATCAAAAGATCATAGAGCTTTTCAATATTCACAACATATATTAAATAATGGTAAAAAGAAGGTGTTTGGTAAATCAAAAGATATAATTGTTGATTTAAAAGAAGCTCATTATCATCCAAATGGTTTACATGCTGTTACAATTCATGTTGATAATTCAATTGTATTTTGGGATATAGCAAGTGGAAGTATATTAGAAGCTAGGACTATATTTGAAACAGGTATACATAAACCTGGTCCATCATTAGAAATTCCTGAGTTGTTTAATCCAATTGAAACCGTTAAATGGGTTTGTGCTGATGATCCAGAAGACACTAAATTGATTATAAGTGGTGGTGATATAAATACAAATTGTTTGCATATACTAGATTTTGGTTATACTTTAAAATATCTGATAACTTCATTACAGAAACAAGGTGAATTTTATGCAAACCCACAACAAGGACAAAGAATTATACCAATATCATTTTATTTAAATAAGACCAATGAAATTGAAAGAATTACAAGAATAGTTCCAATTACGGAAAATGGGTCGCCATATTTTCACAATGGTCATGATCCTACATACTTGTTGTTAATATCTAATCTTGGTCAAGTTTATATTGTATCATTCAACCAAGGATCATCAGATATTGGATCAACAATTTTACCAACTTCATTATCATTTATAAATCCACCATTATCGGTAATGGAGGTGCAACAAGTTTTCAGAATGGATTGGTATAGTATTATGTCTCATAGAGTAAGTCAAGGAGTAACATCAAGAACTAAAACCTTATTATATGGTGGTGCACCGGTTTCATTAACTGGAGTTTCAAAATCAATAGGTCATAATGATTCAGTTAGAAATATTTTAATTACAGGTCATGAAAATGCTTTGATTAGATTTTCAGATGTTACTAAAGGAGAACAACTGGATATTGAAAGTGTTGTACAAGTTAGTCTAAAAGAAACTCTATATGATTATGGAGACTTAAAATCACTACGTGTTACATTTGTAAGTTGCTCATTTGAAAATAGGGAATTGTTAGTTGGATTAGCAAATGGTGAAGTTGTTATTTGTAAATTTGGTAAGAATAATGTTAGAAATCATGGAATCCATACTTCAAAAGACTATTCAGAATGTTTAATTCAACATGAAAATGGTGATGCAAAATTATTGGATATTTCAAGTAGAATATCGGGTTCAGTAACTTCATCTTCAGCATTTTTACCTGTTAATTTATTACAATTAAATGTACCAGAAGAAATTTCATTTATGAAGATGTCAAATGTTGGATTTGGTGCTATTGGATTTAAATCTGGTAGATTAATCATTTGTGATATTTCAAGAGGTCCAGCAATTATATATAATCAAAATATTAAAGACAATTTAGTTTCTATTCAGAATTCATGTCATATTACATGTATGGAATTTTCCATTATGGAGAATGCCTATGATGGCTATTCCTCTATATTATTGTTTGTTGGAACTAATGGTGGTGGTAATTTCTTAGTTTTTAAAATTCAACCAATGGGTAATGGTGGATTCGAAGTTGTATTTGTTGAAAAGACCACTCATTTAAACCATAGATCTAGTGATGATAATCAAGAAAATAGTAATATTTCACAAATTATACCAATAAATGCTCTTGATGGATCTTTAGCGATTGCAAATATGACAAATTTTAATAAATTAAGTCATGGTATAAAAATCCCTGGATTTATATTAGTTTGTTCAAATAAAGATGTAAGAATATTAAGAACTTCAAAACAAAAGTTGGCTCATAAAGTAATTGATGATACATGCATAAAAAGTGCAATTATTAATTATCGTGAAAAAGGTATATTGTTGGCTATACTTACGAAAACTGGGTTTATAAAATTTTGTTCATTACCTACATTATCTGATTTATTTAATATTAAAATACCTAAAGAGATTTTTAATAAATTAACAAATTCTTTTGAATCAAATTTATCAAATCAAAGTGACTTTTTGAGTAGTGGTGAATTATTTGTTAGAAATTCAAAAACTGAATCAATTTATTTATCAATTTATGAAAAAGGTAAACGAGAATCCAAGAATGATGATAATTTAACTGATGCTTTATTTAATGAAAATGCAATTATACCACCAAGGCCAAGTGCATCAGCATTAAGTTGGGCAAAAGGAGATATTAGTTATGTTAGTTTACAAGATTTAAGTTTATTGATTGCTGGACCAAATAGAAAACCACCGAAGCATAAAGAATCAGAAATTTCATACAATATAAGTCCTGAGGCCAATCCTCAGGTAAATTATGGTAGAAAATCTCAATCTCCAACAAATAATCTTGAATCATCAACGTCATCACCTTATAAACAGCCAGTTAGAAAAGCTCAAACTCAAACTTCATTTGGTTCTAAAGGTTTCTTAAATAGTTTATCAAGTGGTTTACAAGGTATGGAAGAATCAGTACATGAAGGTTTGAATTCTATTGGTCAAAGTGTAAATGAAGGTTATGAAAATCAAAAGAAAGATTTGTATAATTCAGCTATTAAGAGTAAATTTGGATTTTGAATAAATATAAAGTTTTCAATCGTTATTTTTAAATACCCAAAAGGAAGTAGATACGATTCAAGTCACATGACCCTGTGAGTCGTGTAATATTGTTAATCATGGGCTGACTTTGATCCACTGTACACGTCTAACTTACATCTTTTATCTATAAATAACAGCTGATTTATTCTTAATTTTTTTCAGTATTCTTTTACAATTTCTAAAATGGCTGAAATGGTTCATTTGACTCTAAAAACTAAATGTATCATGTTTTCAAGGCGTCATTTTCGTTTTGAATTTTTTTCAAAAATTTCGAACCACTTCTGACAAATTAATTCTTCAATTTTGAATATCTTAACACAAAAAAACTTAGAATTTATCGGCTTACTAGAACTATAAATCTGGATAGTTTTACCATATCCAAACCTGAACGTTGATTGTGGAGTTAGATTTTTCATAAGATCAATTTATTCCATTTTTCCTATAGTTAAGAGAAAAATCTGGAATTTTTCAGTTTTAGATTAGGTCAGCTAGAGTTAAACTCAGCATTTTATTTCGATATATAATACATATAATTGACTGTTTAATTAAAAGTTATGGCCGTAAATGAAGTGTATTCTGCAATTTCAGTTTTAGCAAATTGTTTGTATGACGAAAAAAGGCCAAAATGACAAATCAAAAAAAAATTATTTGAAATACGAAATGTGAAGTATGTAGAATCTATATTTCAAGGCTCCAGACTTCATTAAAATGATACCTATCTCAAGAGAATGTCTTGTTCATGACATATAAGCAAATCAATTTAGTACACGAGTCGCCCCAAAATTTCCACGAGTAAAATACTATGCTGGCTTCAAATTTGGGCGAAAATTGCATACTTCAAAATTACTTTTGACACAAATCTGGCGTATATGCAGTCCCATTATAATCAATCACAAAACGTAAATTGTCAATTACTTTCACAATAACCATGCTGTAGTTGTCAAACATTTTTGGTTGATGCTTCAACAGGAAAATCAAGTAAGTATCTATATTTTTTGATTTAACGTAATTCTGATCATTTCTACAACGAAAGAATGGTAAGAATCAATAAATCGTCAGATATTTTATACTCAGACCTCTTTTCGCAACTTTTGAAAAAACTACTCAGTTTTATTTGACGCCAAGAGTTGTATGTATAATATTCTAAAGAAGTCATAATGGTCTCAAAAGTTTTACAAAATTTTAAATTCTTTTCTGAAAAATGGTACTTATTTTGAATACATGGCCCAGAAGAATAATTGATTGTCCGCGAGAAAAAAGCCCCTGTAATAAATACGAACTAAAAAAGAATGGTTCGTATAGCTTTCTATTGATGGAATTATTGATGAATATCAGTTGAAAATTTTTTTGACACTTTGTAGCACATTAAGATTTAACAGATTTAACGTTTTGCAACCAACTTCTTACACAAATACCTTTAATTTGTACGAAAAACTGGATTATGCCAATATTTACCACCAATAAACTCTATATTTTGACCTCCTCCAACATCAATTACAATAGCCATAATTGCGGACCCAACAATCCAATTCATAACAGATTAAAGAGAGTTAGCTAATTTTTAGTAGTACCAATTTACCCCAAATTGACAAAATATATCAGTGAGTTAGGCATGAAAGCAGGATCCTGGTAATTGAAGGATTTATTTATGAATTAGATTTTGAGTTTAATTATATATTTATAAGACTGCATATAAGATAAACGCGTTTCAGAATTTTATAATTTTTTTTTTTTTTTTTTTTTTTTTTTTTGAATATTTAAGATTGAATTATGAATGATAAGGAACACCATATTGAAGAATATTTTACCAATTTATACAATCAGTTATACAACATTGAAGTAAATACAAAGCAATTATTAGTTGATATAGACCAAATATATACTAGATCAAAAGCAAATAATGAGAATTTGAATTTAATTTTTGAAAATTTAAAAGATTATTCATGTAAAGAAACTTATAATGAGTTGAAAACAGATCTTGATTTAATTAAAAATGTACTTCTAGATAATGAAAACTCAATAAACGAAATAAAGAAAAGTTTGCAATTCGAAACGATCAAAGAAAAAGATAACAAGTTGCAAAATAAATATGATCAGCTTGTGAATAATTACAATAATAAATTTCAAGATTATCAACAACTACAAGAAAAATATGAAACATTAATAAATCAAATAAATAATGCAAGTTTACCATCACGTTGTTCATCATCAAAAATGGAGAAAATCAGAAAGTTGCATAATAATAATCTAAAAGACATTGATAATAACAACTTTAATTTTGAGCAATCAAGTAAAAGAATAGCCAGTACTCCAATTCGAACCAATAAAGACTTTATGAATAATTCTGATAATGAATAAATATACTAATTTGGAACTATATACTCTTTGTCATCCATATAAGGTTGTAAAACTTTTGGAATTTTAATTCTATTCGTGACTGGATCATAATTTTGTTCAATTATTGCAATTATCACTCTTGGAATTGCCATTGCTGTACCATTTAATGTTGCAACATGACCAATTGCCTTTTTACCAACTATTTCCCCTTCATCTAAATTATATCTTATACCTAATCTACGTGATTGATAATCTCCACAATTTGAACAACTTGTTAATTCTCCCCATGCTTGCTTGCCAGGCATCCAAGCTTCGATATCATATTTTTTCATCGCTGGAGATCCTAAGTCCGAACTTGGCATATTTAAAACTTTAGCTTTAATATTCAAATCATTGATCATGTCAATTTGAAGGTTCAACAAATTTTGTAATTCTTGTTTAGATTTAGATAAAGTTGTAAAATGAAATAGCTCAACTTTGGTAAATTCATGCACTCTATATAAACCTTTTGTATCTTTACCACTTGAACCAGCTTCTGCTCTATAAGATCTTGAGATTCCAACATATTTAATAGGAAATTTTGTCCCACTTTCGAAAATCGTTGATGAATGGAAAGCACCCAATGGAATTTCTGCAGTTCCAGTAAGACTTTTATTTTCGTCTTCTATTTGATAAATTTGTTTCTCATTATTATTATCATTTGGTTTAAAGCCACAAGCATTTATAATTTCAGATTTGACTATTGATGGAGGAGTGATAAATTTGTAACCTAATCGTCTTGCTTTTTTTAAAGTATATTGTATTAAAGCTTGTTCTAACAATGCACCATCTCCAATTAGAAAATACCATGAACTACCAGATATTCTTGACGCAACATTAAAATCGACTATATTAAATGCTTCCATAATTGATTTATGATCATATTGAGTTGGTGGTAGACTGGTTAATGCATCTGACTCGGAATTGCAGTTTAAAAACTTGACCACTTGTTCATTTAAAGGTTCTTCAGGCACAGAGTCGTCTATCAAATTAGGTAATGACTCTGCTTTAATGTATAAATTATTCTCTAAATCATTCAATTCTTTTTCTAATGGTTTTAACTCCAATTTTATCTCCTTTAATCTATCCTTATTTATATTTATACCTTGTTTCAACTTGACTGATAAATCATCTCTTTCTTTTTTTATATTATTTATCTTGACATTAATATCAGCTTGAATTGGTCTATTTGTTATTATAAAATTTAAATTTGCAAGTAAATTTGATGACAAACCTCTTCTTTTAATTGACAGTTCAAATAAATTCTTATTTTGAATTATATAATTTATATCTAATTGTGCTCTTAATAATGTTGAAGTATTCTTACTTGAAAATCGTTTTACCACTCGTATCATTAAATAAATTTTTCGCAGTTCAAACAATTTTTTTTTGCATCATAGATTTTGTGTTGAATAACCATGAAATTGAAATAGTGCGACAAAATAATTCCTCGCGCCAGCTTCGAAACGACCTCGTACTACACATATAGGTTTATGTGTCATGAACAACTAAATTTCTCAAAATAAATACCAATATGATGAAATCAGGAGCCTTGAATAATATACTGTACAAACTTCAAATACTATATTTTAGACTTTTTTTTTTTGGAGTTGCCATTATGGGCTTTCATCATGCAAAAGATTTGCAAAAAATTTTCAAAAAATGAAAATTCACTGTGCATTTTATTTAGGGCCGTAACTTTCAATCAAACAACGAATTATATATTATATTTCAAACTAAAGTGCTTAGCTTAATTTTAGCTGACCTAGACTAAGATTGAAAGATCTCAAAATTTTCTCTGTGAGGTGAACATCGAATAAATTGACCTCACAAAAAATATAGTACTACATTGAATATTTGTATTTAAATATGATGACACTATATTAATTGCTAGTTCTGCCTGTTAATAACCTTTAGATATTTTTGTGTTACGGTATTTAAAATTGGAAAAGCGATTTCTCAAGGGTGAAACGAAATTTTTACAAAAATTTCAAAACGATTTTGATGTGTTGAAACCATTGCCACTGAGTTTCTTGTCCTAATTAAACCTACTCAGCTATCGTAGAAGTTGCTAAACGAAGTTGAAGTATAGTTTATCTCGAAATAGAGCAGTTTTTACCTTTTTTTAAATAACCAGTGAATTGATCAAAATAATGTTTCTTTAATAAATTTTTAAATCAATCTATTTATGGTTAGCTGAAGCGCTAATGAAAAAAGTTTGGGATTATCAGTCTCATTATTGACGGAGTTATTAACAGATTAACTTTCAGCGTCTAATACTGTAAGACTGCATATAAGTCAAATTGTTTCAGTACTATATTCTTTGGTACGTATTATTTACTGCGACAATTTGGCGACGACAAAAATAATCTCGCTTGCATTTAAAAAACATCGCGCTTTTCAACTACCTGGCGCAACAAACTACAATTTTAAACTTTTCACAAAACAATTGAATTATCAATTAAAATAAAATACTCCATTATTCATTAAAACTAAACATCGTAAATACATAAATCTATATTTAAACTGTTCTTATGCAAACATAAATTTCAACCCTTTCTTCCAAAATGGCATTCGTTTCCAATTATCTTTCTCTTCTTCTTTTTCTAAATTTAATATCTCTTCATCAAAAATTGTTCTATCTATATTAATATCAATGTCTTTTAAAGGTATATATAATGACCAATTTCTAGTATATAATTTATGACCAACATAAAATAAAATTAAAACAATTGCCCCAAGATAATTTTGGAAAAAATTGTTTGCATCTGGTTTCTTAGCACCGACAGGATATAATGCAATCCAAAATTGAGCAATTAAAATCAAAATATACCAAATAATTGCATAATAAGAACCAATAACGCCAGTTGAAGCTTTATAACCTAATGAATCTGTTGAAATACCATTAAATTTCAAAGCTTGTCTAAATCTTACATGCGATAAACAAATTCCACCCCAAGTAAAAATTTGTGATAAACCTGAAATAGCTAATAACCAATCAAATACAGTTTCTTGTTTTCTATACGCAGCGATATAAGCAAATAATCCTAAAATTGAACATACTACTAATGCTCTTGCTGGTCTACCAGTACGATCAATATAATTAAACCATTTTGGAGCAAAACCTTGTTCAGATAATGACTGTAAAGTTCTTGAAGATGAATATAATGCAGATGATGCAACAGAAGTCACAGACAATAAAATGACAGCATTAATAATTGATGGAACTGCTTTAACTCCGTGTAATGAAGCAGCTAACACAAATGGTGATGCATGTGTACTACTACCTGAAGCACCCATCAATTGATCACTAGTATAAGGAACTAATAAACCAACCATAGTTAATGAACCTAAAAATAAAATTAAAATTCTCCAAAAGATTAATTTACAAGCAGTAGGAATAGCAGATCTTGGATTTGGCTAAATCAAAAGTTAGTATTCAAATCAATCGATAATTAAATATTCAAGAATTTGGAATCCCAAGAATTCCAACTTTGATATCAACATACTTGCTCTGCAGCACTTAAGGCGACAAATTCTGACTGCCCGAGTGAAAAAGCCCCTGTAACAAATACGGACTAAAAAAGAATGGTTAGTATAGCTTTTTATTGATGGAAATTTTGATGAAAATCAGTTGAAAATTTTTGAACACTTGGTAGCGCATTAAATTTTAACAGATTTAACATTTTGCAACCAACTACATACACAAAGACCTTTAAAATTTGTATAAAAACCTGGATCATGCCAATATCTACCACCAATAAACTCTTTATTTGGACCACCACCAACATCAACTACAATAGCCATAATTATAAACCCAACAATCATCATAATTTTACAACTACCCAATATAAATTCTCCTTCACCGTAACCTTTTGCACCAACCCAGTTAATTAATAACACAACAACAAAGAAAATTGTAACCCAGACATCGGCATTGACAGTTGTAATCCAATATTCTATAGTCATTGCTGCTGTAACTAATTCAATTGATATCACTGATAACCATTGTATACAATAATTCCATGTAATGGCAAATGCCAAACTTTCATCAATAAATCTTCTTGGATAATTATTATAGCCTCCTGACAAATCTGCATAATTAACAGCCATTTCACCTGCTGCTTGTAAAGTAGGAAATAAAAATGAACCAACAATTGCATAACCTATAATTAAAAATAATGGACCTGATTTATGTAAGACACTTCCCGAACCAACCAATAAACCAGTACCTATACCAGTTACCAAAGCCATTAGAATAAGGTGCCTTTTTGATATACCTTTTGCTAAAAGTTTACCTACATCCTCTGAATCAACTTCTTTCCTTCTAAAAGAATCAACAAAATTATTCCATTTTGATTTTATTCTTGAAGTTGTTATAGATGATGATGATGTGATATATGGAGATCCAGTTTCATCAAATGATTGAAAATCATCTGGCTTTGTTTCAATAACTGTTTGTTTTTCGTTCTTCCCCCTATTAAACATAACAAAAAATTAAAACAATAATGAATAAAAGAATAAGAATTAAATTTGATGAAATTTTAATAAATGAGAATGAAACAAATAACTAATGGTTTAAAACTTAGGAAATGATTAATTTTAAATATGATTATTCATAATTTTGGGGAAGCAAAAGCGGAAACTATAAAGAAAAATGTAACTAAGTCAAATTTGATAAGAAAATAAGATTGAAATCGACGCGTGATGACTAAATAAAAGATCAGTGTGTGAAATGTATTTGTGGGTATTTGTTTTAGAAGCATCATCTGGTAAGCAATTAGTATGCAGCGAAATCGAATTGCTGCAATTTTATTTGTAAATGATAAAAAAAGACGGAAAGATAACCACAAAGGATAAGTAATTTAAGATCATAAATCGAATGGAGTAATAGATTAGAAGATCATTATTCATTGTACCTAATTTAAAAGGCATTTCAAACTGGTGAATAATGAAAATTTTTCAATAAACTACAACCATAAGGTGTTTTACATTTTGTGTCACAAATGTTTGTTTTTTTTGACATAATAACCCATCTTCAGAGCACTACCAAGTGTGTTTACTAAACTGAAATTCAACCACTGATTAGATGAATTTCTTTTTAATTTGAATAAGCCACTATGTTAGGGTCTTTGTCACATCTTTTCACTACGTTATGGAAGATAATTTCAAATGAAACAGTTTGAACCATTGGGATAATATTCACTACTTTGGTTTATTAAATCGTTTGTTTTAATCTTCGATTTACTTGGTGGTACTCAATGTTTTAGAGATTATACTCTTTAATATGTACCGTCTCTCGTCGTTGCAAGCACTTGTAGTTTTTAAACCTTAAATTTCTTCTATATGCACAATGTACTAAATCGGAAAATTTGAACGGCATTTTTGACAGATTTTTGATCTCCTAAAAATTTTGCCGTTTAGATTGATTTACAAATAACCGCTAAGCACGTCAAGTGAGCTCGCACTAAGCGGAGATAGTTTCAATGTTGAGGTGGTATCTATCTATTAGTATCTATTTACAAACTAACTTTGTAAGTTACTATCTTGTCCTATAATTTCCATAGCCCTTGAATCTCCTTTTGACAACTCCTTATTATCTAAACAATCAGCTAGACATTCCCATGGATCCTTTATACCTCCCCATTTCAAAATTGAATTTTTATACTTCAACCCATTTTTCGAGTTCCATGGATCTTCTTTAAATAAATAATTATAAACTTTCTCTGCAATTGCTCTATCCAACAAATATGAATAGTAAACAGCTCCATAACTAAATAGATGGGGGAATTTACCATGCCATGTTGACCATTTATCTGCAAAAACTTTTAAATCTGCTTCAATTTTATGATAAATCTTCGTTGAATCAATTTGATCTAATTTATTTTCTGAAATTAAATTTACAATATCTTCATTATGCAAATATTGATCTAATATAGCCATTTTTGATTGCATAAATGCTTCACAAGCTTCTAAGGAATTTCTACTTTTGCTGAACTTTTCGATTAATTCTTTTGGAATTTTTTCATTTGTTTCATAATGATATCCTATTTCTGATAAAACTCTAGTATCTTTACTAAAACTTTCCATTAAAACGGATGGTAGTTCAACAAAATCAGTTGAACATCTAGTTCCCGATAAATTATGTAGCTCTGTTCGACCAATCATCAGATGCACTTAAATAGTTAGTAATAAACACAAATTTCATCCTTTTTACATACTTGCATGGCCCATTTCATGGAAAATAGTATCAACTTGATCTAATGTTAATAACGTAGGTTTTGTATTATCTACTCCAGCAAATCTACCAATTAATGAATTTGATTTTTTAGTTCCATTATCAAAATTACAAATCACTGATATTACAGGTAATTGATAATCATCAATAATTTGTGATTGCTTTCTTATTTCCTCTCTTGATTCAGTAACATTCAATCTTCTGGAACAAACTATTGTAAAATGACTTGGCTGGACAGTTGACCACAAGTCTAAATAGATAAAACCTAAGGTTTTATCATTAGAATGGTCAACAGCCTTTATCTTCCTCACTCGTGTATTATCCCATGTTTCACCAATTTGAGTTGGAACTGGAACTAAAGATATATTAAATAATTGTTTGCACAATTTACTGAAACCAGCAATTACATTACCAATGGTGAAATATTGTGAGATGACTTCATAATCCTCATTTGAAGTCTGTTCATGTTCTTGTAATTTGGTCAATAAATAATCTCTATCCCACGGTTTCAATTCTTCTATAATTTGATCATCAGAGAGTTCCTTGTCTGTTTTATATTTTATCAAATTTTTCATTTCGATATTAACATTTTGAAGTGACTTCTGTAAGTTATGCAAAAAAGTTAAAACATTTTTTGGATTTTTTGCCATTTTATGTTCAAGCTGATAATGACTAAAAGATTGATATCCTAACATTTTTGATAATATACCTCTATACGTGATAAACTTATTGATTTTTTTAATTTGATCCTCTTTAGCATTGTGCAAACATAACCAAACCTTTTTTCTTATTGATTCATTATCAGTTAATAAGATTTGATAAGGTAACGAACCATTAATAGGTATCATATACTTTGAGTTATTTGATACTATTACCTGATTTTTAAAATGGACTGGTAACTTTTCATATTCATCTTCAGTTATATAAACTTCATAATCCTGAAGTATATTGATATCATTATTGAACGATGATCCTAGCAATGAAATGTTTTGTGTTATATTAACAAAATTATTTCTTGTTTCAGGATCCATATGAATACCAGAACGCTCAAAATCTTGTTTTAAATATTCACCAACTTTAATTTCTTCATCTGATAATTTTTCAAGTATTGCTTTATCTTGTAATATAACTTTTAAATTTTCGTATAATTCAACATTTGTATTCAATTGATTCATATATTCAAACATTATTTCATGAACTTTTTGAGCCAGGTTTTGAAATTTATTTGAAGGATGTACAAATCTTATAAATTCAGCAACATCAATAACTCTACATAATAGATCTGATAATTGATCTAATTTTTTAATATAATATAACTTACCCTGGGGTGAATTTGAGACACTTTGTAGCATATCATCGACTAAATCTTTTGCATTTTGTAATGATGTTTTGGAGAATTCAATTAGACCATTTGCAGATGTTAGATATTCATTTTTAAATAAACCAGTACGTATATTATATGAACTCGATGATTTATTAAAATTATTAAAATACTTTTGGTTGTCAAATACTTGTTTTAAATGAGAATCTAGTTTTGGTAAATGTAGGTGTGTATATGTATTTTTCAGTGATGTTTGATTACTTGTAGTAGTTATATATCGCGATAAAAAATGTAGTTGCTGTTGTCTATTTCGTAATATTCGATTCGTTATCATTTGCGGTCTTGAAACTTTTCATTTAATTTTTTTAGTTATAATGATGAAAAAAAATGCGACACTGTATTTTAAAGACATTGATCTTGATATTCACTTATTTTAATATAATCGATTTAAATCGAAGTTTAATGACATTATAAAAGCATTAGCTATGATAACTAATACAATACTTACTATCGATCTAATATCCAAGGTCGAATAAAATGTACTTTTCTATTTGACTCAATTTGTAATTATAAAGTTGAGTTTCGCTCTTTCAGCTTTCCATCTCCCAGAGTTCGTAGTAGATCCTATATTTTTAATCAAGCGAGTGTTGCAAACAGAATACACTAAAAGTTTGAATTATTGTTGTCCAGTTGCAGAATTCAGATTATTGTTGCATAAAATTATGTAAATGTCATTAAAAATTCTCTGAACAATTGTCAACCCACTTTTAGTATCTTTATGGCCTTCTAATGGTCACAATACAATAGAGAAACCCTAAGTTACAGCCATCGTCTAAGTATTTTCGATTTTAGGGATGTTAAGGTAAATTTAATTGGGATTTGCCGTTTTTAGTCTCAAAATCAATTATATACACTGTCTTAAATTTCCCTTCAAGACCACAAATTCAATCATAATAATAATGAGATGTTTTAATCTTACTTACACTGCTAAATACATTGAGTTTCCAGCTCCTGGACCTTTAATAATCATATACGGATTAGTCACTGCTTCATCCAATTCACTACATCCTAATTTTGCCCATTTACCTTCTTACAATAGACAGTGGACAACAGAAAACATTTGCAAAATTTTCAAAACAAATATCTTAAAAACATTAAGGCTACGATATTTGAAGTTGAGTGAACCGATTCACCTAATTTAAAAGTTGCAAAACGAGGTCCTTAGGTCAACAGTGTTCAGAGTTTTGTAAAGACACTAGCATATTATTACTAATAATAAAAATTAAGTAGTGAATTTCGAAATGAAGCTTTCTTAAAACTAAAAGTAGTGAAATTTTGACTTAAATTAGTTTTAGTCTCAATTTCAATTATAATTAAGGAATAAGCTGAGCTGTAACTAAGTCTACATGCATAAAAAATAACAAAGATCGAAACTAAAGTGGAATAGTGTACAAATTTATTGATTGATGTTGCTGATTTGAAGATGGCACGTTTGTTTCAATAGTTCTATACAGGTAAAATTTTTTAATAGGTATACAAAAATTTTGTGTGTTTTAGAACCCTATATTAAAACTATTAATGTAACTTGTTCTCTAATCAAACTCAAAGTGCTGCACCGTCTTTAGTTTGTTAAAAAGTAAATTGATAAAGGCAAGCTCAAACAATCAAATCGAAAGTTTAATAATAAATTTATAACGGATGTATGTCCTATTAAGGTAATGGATATACTAATGACATTTATCAAGAAGTGTAATTTACATTTCTTGTCGAAATTCAACACCAAACTCCGAGTATCTGTAGCATTGAAAAGAAACGAGACAAAAAGGAAAGATGCATAAAAGAAAGATGCATAAAAGAAAGATGCATAAAAGCTTATTCTTGATATTCCATGATTACCTGAAATTCCGATAAGTGCAGTTTTGCGCTGCGCATCGAATATGAATTATGTAGCAAAGAAACGCACTAAGTATTGATAATAGAATGGAAATTGAGCGGATGTTCGAAAATCATTATAAAGCTTAAAATACAGTCGAACTCAAGTGTCAGTTTGAACTCAACCTCGATTTCTAAGGATATTTGTCAGAATTGTATATCGATTAGAATAGAATCGAACATAATTATCTCCAGTTTAAGACATAACTTACATTAAATCTTCTTTATTTTTGCATTTAGTTCAATTATTTCAATTTCTATTGTCTCTAAAACTAGGCTTGTTTAAAAAACTTCACTTTCAGAAGTTCAACTCAACACAAAACCTTAAACTTAAAGTTTAAAAGAAAATTCGGTTAAATTATTTTTGTTTTGTTATTTTTTTAGTTAAATCAATGATCCTATAAAAAGTTTAATTTTAATCATCATTCGGTTCTTCTTCTCGATTATATTCCGTATTTCATTAATTTCCATTTTTACATAATTGTTATAGCCTTCAATACTTTGCTCAAGTGAAGGTTAAGTCATCATCTATATTTATGCGATTGTTCAGTTGACGTATATTTATAATTACGTATAATCCTATTAATTAGCATCAGTTAAAACATATTCGTCATCTAAACTATACTTCCGATCATACGATTACCCGTATACCTAAGTAGAGAAGCGCATTTTCTGACAACTAAGGTAGAATCACAAAGAAGATCAAAATAGAAAATTACAATTTAATCTATTAATTTAAGGACTCGCGGTTAAGCTCGCTGTTAAGTTAACAGTAAACATATTTGCAATATGTAATTATCAACCTTATTGACTGTAACAAACTGGTCCATCTGTTACTTCACCCACAATCTTTTGAAAAAAAAAAAAAAAAAAAAATAAAAAAAAAGAAAGAAAAAGAAAGAAAGAAAAAAATAGATCTACGATTAAAATTAACCGAGGTGCATTGGATATTTAAACGCTGTGCTTATAAATATTAAAGTTAAAAAGCGCTTGATATGGAGTCTTAGACTAAACTAAATGCTAAAAATGGTTATAGTCTAGTGTCTAAGTTTAAACCAACAATGAACATTCGAATGATAAAAGGTTTTCGACTTGAGTGTGTTGTCAAACATCTATTATTCTTTTAATTTCAGGGTGTTAATATTGAATTATTATGATTATAGTTTTTTCACTTGCATTTGACATCTTGCATTTCAAATCAACTATTATTTTCCTTAGTATTTTATTTTATGTCATTTGTGTTATTATTATATTATTAGTTATAGGCTAAGTTTGAATTTCAATTTCAGGTTTTTTTGTTGCCACCCCAAAAATGCACTTCATTGATTATACATATAAGCTTTACACAAATTATCTGTAATTAGAATATTGTAATTACAAACACATATTATATTTCCATTATCCATCATATGAACTTTCAATTTTAATCTTGCCAAGCTATTAATTAAATTAGTATTTCTCTTTCTTCTTTCTTTCGTTTAGATTGTTTGTTTATATATCTGATAGATTGACGTATTCTACATTTACGATCATTTTTTTTTCCTATTGTTCATTGTTTGTAACTAGAATTATAATCAAGAGTCCAATAATACAAGATTTTACTTAAATCTTTATCAACCACCTAATTACATTTTAAATAGGTCCAATAGTGTAATCACATTCCACAAAATTATAATTAATAAGACTTGATACGTTTTTTAGAAATCATTCACAAGACGAATTTTTAATCTAAATCTTCAATAGATTAATTAAGACTCAAAATTAAGTATGCAGTTATACAAATTGCCAAGGACTAATCATTTATCAATCATAAGTTTATCATCAAAAGATTATTTCTATTAATTGATAGTGTTTCTTTTTTAATTATCGATTATATTTGGCAGTAATAGAATTATTATATATAAAAGGGCCAAATATTATATTTCAGTTTTTATGACATGTATTGATACATAATACAACGTTGTATAATTTATATTCAAATATTAGCTGATAATCATAAATAATAATCATAAATAATAATCATAAATAATAATTATCATTTATTAATATTCAATTGGAAATTAACTTTATCAAATCGTATGTTCACAATTTCAATTACATCAAATAAATATAAGAAGATATCTTTATAATAAATTGCGTAATAATCAAATATTCAACTTATTCAAATTTTTGAAATAAAGATAGATCATTTTTGAGATATATGAATAAGTAAAATATCAATCTCACTCAATCATAGTACATATTACATATCAATCAAAACTTATCAAATAATTGTTTCATATATTTCATATTGCAACTAAATAAAAGTTATTTCACACAAAGTTAAACTTTAATACAAAATCGTAAATTCAAAGATTTATAAGACATTGAACCCTTTAATTTATATTAAAGATCTTATATTAATATTTTATAATCTACTAACTCATTTATAGCATTTTCATTAGTATTTTAAGATCTCCTAGGTTTCCACATGAGTAGTGATTCAGAAGATTCGTCTACCATTGATGAAAATATTTATCAAGTGTCAGATCTATATAAATTATATCGTCCATTATGGGTTGCAAAGAGTATAGATCAAAGTTATTTAAATAAACATAAAATTTTCAGAACAATGTGTGATTTCAATATAACGCATGGTTTTTTAATGAAGAATTTGTTGAAAAGAAAGATAAAACTTAAGGATCTACATGCAACAAAGATAAAGAATATCGATGGTCTCATCATAACAACCACGGAAGAAAATGAACAATTATATTATGGGGCAGTAAGAAATAATTTGATAGAATTTTGTCCAATTTCGTCTATAGCATGTTATTTATTTTCAAGGTTTCATATAGCTGATGAACATGGAGCTTATGAATTTAACGAATCAAACATAATTAACTTGCTTGATGAGATTTATTTGTTAAAGGGTAATAATAAACTTAATGCAATATCATACTCACAACAACACAAATCAGCAATAAATGCATTGAGTTTAAGTGGTCTCAATTATAAAGACATCAATTTATTAAAACTTTTAACTACTCATACATTTGAAATCAAAGAAAAATTACAATCAAATTCTCCTAAAAATTTACCACTCAACCTTATTTTTAAATTATCAGGGTTCAACTCAATTGAAGACTACCATATCGAAAGAGATTTAATACAACCACCGGAAGCTCTCACAAGAAAGATTTTCCCTTTTATAAACAATTTAGATGATTCCAATCAATTCAAGCAGTTAATTTCGTTGTTAAGAATTTGTTTGTGTCAAGATATGATCATCATTAAATTTAAATATCCGCAAAACGCAATATCTACCCATGCAATTTTTAATTCCGAAGAATTTGATGAATATATTAAAGAGGTTCAGAGTAATGGAAAGTTGAATAGTATAATCCAAAAGAACTCAGTCTATTCGATAATTGCTGAAGATACGGAAAGTGAAGATTCATCTGGCCGCCGATCATCAGATCGATCATCAGATAATATAGCAAATGAAAAGACTCAGATAACGAGTTTAAATATGAAAATTATTCAATTGAATGAAAAGCTTGAAACTTTATCAAAAGAGTCGTTGGATCTTAAAAACTTATTGATATCATTTGTGGAAAAACAAACCGATGTATTTCAGAAACAATCAGAAAACTTTCAAATCATACAAAATTCAATTAACGGGTTGATTATATTGATCTCCACCAATAACAAAAATTCCTTACCTTTAATTCAACAGTCATTATCCGAAACGTCAAATTTCATATCAAATCAAGAGCAAATGAATATAAAACTTGGGATAAATAACACTATTGAATTATTATCAAAATTGAACCAAGAGCAACATCATCAACAAGCTCATCATCAATTCCCACATCAACTACAACCACAATCATTTTATTCAAAATCTCCAAGTATGCCAATTTTACCACCAAGATCAGATTCTTTGTCACCAGAAAATCAAAGTTTAAATGTATCAAATATACCATTAACACCACAACAACAAGAAAGGCAAAGAATTTTGAATAAAAGATTATCTAGACAAGCGACAACATTATTTGAAATGTGGGATGATTTCAAAAATTTGGAAAAAGAGTTGAAAGATTATGATATCACAGTTACTGAATGGCTAAAAGTTCATGGTTCTTCGGAGAGACAATTTAGACATACAAGATTAAAAATCATAAAGTTTATTGAAGAGGAAGCTGAGCGGAGAAATTGTTCAGTTGAATTGATTAAAGAGAGGCTACATAATAAAATGAGAAATAGGTTGAGACCATGGACTTTAGATGAAGTTCAAAGAATGTTAACTTCAGGTAACAAAATTGATTTAGATGATACTAGATGATTTCATTGTTGTTTATTATATTTATTTATTTTCAAAAAGTTTAAATTTGATTTTTGTTGTATATTTTGTATTATTCTATAGGATTTTTAATAATAGGTGATTTAAAGAGCGTAATCATGTTGTGAATTGTTGATTTTGGGTGATTTTGGGTGACTCCAGTATAATTTCAAAATTGTCAAAAATTAGTACGTTTTTGATGAACAAATGATTGAGTAATAAGTCTTTGATAGGCTCTGATGTGGTTTTTGGATTTGTAGTATGGGATATCATTCTGTAGATGTTGTTTCAAATGGTTTTGAATCTTCAAAATATTTGATTTCAAATTAATCATACCAATATTGATCAATTATCTATAATCGATGTATCTTGGGTGATTTAATTTCGACCAATTCATGTAGAGTTTATCAGGAGCTCCATTCCAATCTATATTAGTCACATCTAATTATTCTGCTATAACGACACCTCTTTGTTCTCTCAAATGTGATCTTAGTTGACATTGGTCGATAGAATATTATATTCTTCAAGTTGAATGATATCCAGCGTCAAATCAATTTGAGTTTTTCCAAAACATTAATGAGTATTTCAAAGTTCCTTTAAAGTTCCCAATTCATGCTCTAAGTTTTTCCAAAACCATAATGAGTATTTCAAGGTTCCTTTAAACTTCCCAATTCATGCTCTAAGATTTTCCTTTTAGTAAAAAAGAATAATTGAATAAATTTTAAAACCTTGCGGCAACAAGATTTATGTGCAAAATGTTACATGTGGAATTTGAGTCAGCTTATGACTCCACTGTTTTACGTTTTGCCATTTATAGCTTAAAATCAATAAATATCTCTGGATTTAACCCGATTATTGATTAGTTTTATATTTTTTTGACGTGTCAAATTACAATGTCGCGAATTATAAAAGGTATTAGATCAATGATAAAAACAGTCAAAGGTGTAATCAATCTTAGATCGATATGCGGATACAACAAGTCTGCTGCTATAATTGATGATTCTTCATATACATTATATTGTTGAAAGCCGCTTAAGATTTTTTTCCCTCCTAACAGAATTATACTTTTGTGTAATGTGAATTTTATGTTTTTATTTTTTATTTTGGCTGCAAATTTTGCAGCAATTCTTATTTTTTTTTTTTTTTTTTTTCTTGTTTGTTTGTTTGTTTGTTTTTCGGCTTAGTAAAATTTAAATTTAACACCATGTCGTGTCATAAAGAATGAATTTGATACGCGCAAATGTTTGTTGTTCGTATGGTCAAGTTTTATGTTTGTATTGTCAAATTTTGTGTTTTATGTTTCGTAGTGGAGAACTTGCGTCGGTTAGAAACATTTTTCATCGAAGATGATTGCTTTTATGCTTTGACGAATTAATTAATAGCTTATATTATTAGAATATCGATGACAGTTTCTGGTTGGTAAAATGATTAATGAACCTCAGATTTGAGATTATGAATTACAAGTGGTCAGATAGACAAATGTTTAGATCATAATATTTTATAATATTTTATTAGAGCAAATATTCAAAAGAAACAAATTATTAATTAAAATATAACGAATAGAATATCAACAATCAAAAATGATTAATAGTATCTAGATAGATCTGTATTATAATCTCTTTATATATCTATTGATTTGAAATTAAAAGGTTCAAAAGCATAACCTTCACCTTCAAAAAATTTACTCATTGCCTCAACCCAATGTAATCTCAAACTATGTAGCATTGCCGATGTACCTTCCATTAAAATCAAAATACAAACAGTCAAGGTAAACCACATTGCAAATAAAAAAAAAGTAGCTAAAGTTCCAACAATTCCAGTTTTACCAAATGCATTTTGTATTGTCATTGTCCATAAAACACTTGATAATTGAGCATGAGCTAAAGATAATGCCCATAATCTCAAATATGAAGCTGTGTGGGATATACCATTTAAACAAAATTCAATAGTATGAATTATTTGGTGTATAACTATATCACCCACGTTCAGTTCATCATGACTTTCATCAACGGTTGATAAAATCATTTCGTGAGGAAATGCATAGTCATTCTCTTGAATTTCATCCTCCAATTCAATTGCACGTTCTTCTTCTTGTAATTGTATTTCATATGATCTCAATTGACTATAACCTCTATTTCTTATAAGCATCAATGGTTTGTAAATAAGCATTTGTGGTATACATAGCAATGCTATACATACGAGGAAGATTTGAATATATTTCTGACCGGCATATAAAGGTTCTTCAATTGTGCCAGGACTTAAAAACATATTTATCAACATATTTAATAAACCAGGAGGTTGTTGACCAATTTTCAACCAATCCACTGACCATTTATAAATTATACATATTGAAAGATATCCAAAAATTGATGTCATAAAAAGAATTCCGGGTATGAAGTTACCAATTATATCTACTTTACTTTTAAAAAATAAATAATTTACCAAACTGAACATCAATGAATAATTCATATGAGTATAACCCATTAAAACTGATAATTTCATTTTATATGAATTTGTAAATAATAAATTATTTTCAGTTCCATGCCATATCCAATCTAATCCAAATGGATAAACTCCTACTAATTCAGCAACCATGGTGGCACCTTGTTTATAATTTTCGAAATTAAATTTCCAACCACTAGGGAATATTGCCACTGACTTTGAAAATAAATCATTGTATATCAACCCAGTGTACATTGAAAATAATCCCATCAAGAGAAGGATATAACGACCATTGTAAGCCATATCAAATATTTCGTCCCTATTCCGCATATTACCAATTGAAATTTCATTTTTGATCAAAAATAATGCAGCTAATAGTACTATAAATCCATGACCTAAATCTCCAAACATAATGGCAAACATGAAAGGGAATGTTATAATTGTGGCTAAACCAGGATTTACTTCTTGATATGTTGCTATTCCATAAGCATCAATAATATTTTGAAATGCTTGAGTAAATTTATTACATCTGAATAAAGTTGGTGGTACTCTATTTGTACTTAATTGATTAACAACGGCCATAAGTTCATTATCACTTGTAGTATGATCAATTGAAATAAATGATGTTTCGGTTTCGGAGTAACTATTAGTTTCATCACTATCTCTATTTAATTGTCTTGTTTTCTTCCTTATTAAATTATGTAATTTTTCACGTATCAATTCAAAATCACTTGTTGGTATCCAACCTTCACCCACCAAACATCTTCTAGTACTATCTTCATCAAACCTATTCAATGTCTCATAAATCATTTTTTCTCTCTTTACCGTGTACAAATAATCTGCATAATTGACTTGAAAAAACATCAATTCATCAATTAATTGATTTTTAGTAGTGAAAACTATGTTTTCATAATCACGAATTTGTGTATTTAAATCACTTAAATTAATATTTGGTAGTGACGCACCACCTTTTATATAAATTGAACCATCTAAAGATTCAATTACTTTTTCAATTTTATTTTTCAAAATTTCTGAATGTACATAAATCAAAAATACATTAATTTTATCATCTTCTTTTATTTCAACTTCATTAAAATAAGAATTTCCTTTTGAAATTCTATATATTATGGTTCTTAAAATAGGTATTTTTTCTTTAGATATAGTACCCGAAAGTACATTGTATTCATCTTCAAAAACATCTATACCTTGCTCTAACCTATCAATTGTGAGCAGAGTAGTTTCATCATCAATTTCATCAAAACTAGATCTAATTAAATCTGAATTTTGAAAGTCATTTAATATATTCAATGTATATCTATGCTCAATTAATTTTAATCTTTGTTTTTCTAAATGTATAAAAGAATTCTCTAATTGGGTAATTTTTTGATAAGAATTGTTTAATTTTACTTTTAATTCATCCATCTGTGATATAGTTGGTAATGGTTTTGTATCAGCTTTTAAATGTGAATAAATATCAATTTTTTTCATAATATTTTGTTTCAACATAATTGAATATAGATGATTTAATTGTTGAATCATAGAATCAATTGATTTAATTTCATTTATAAAAGTTCTTTGAAAAGGAGTTAATTTTGAATTTAAATCTCTGAATTGTACAATACCTAAATCTCCTAAAACACCAACCATATCCCTAGCTAATTCAATTGTAACATAAAATTGAACAAGTATCATAGGAGCGGATCTAAATATTGCTTCATCTTTTTCTTGAAACTCATCATTATTGTCATTGTTATCTAATAAACTAATAGCCATATCCCGAGATCGTTTTGATATCAATTGGTGAATGAAAAAATATCAGAAATGTGTCAAAACCAAAATCACCAAAATATTTAATGTTACTAAGAATACTACTATTGACATGCTTACTGTTAGTACTAGTGGTTAATGCAAATGATGATGATTATGCTCAACTAATAAACAGATTATACAATTTATCGACGGATAACAATTATTTATATACCATTGATAATATAGAAAATAACTTATATATACCCTCCTACGATTCAAATTTGCAAGATTATACTACAATAGATAAATTAAATACACCACCAAATGAATTATTAAATGATATAATACCTTCATTAGAACAATATGCTAATTATGGTTATTCCGATGCTTATTTAAAATTGGCTGATTTATATCTATTTGGAAATTTTTCGTTACCTACTAATTATCAAAAAGCTAAAAATTATTATGAAAAATCAATTGAAATTCATCCTAATGGTCATGGTTATTTTATGTTGGGTTTTATTCATTCTACTGGTCTTTTCGGTGAATTTCCAATCGATTTGGAAAAAGGTTTATTATATTATCAATTTGGTGTGGAAAATGGAGATAAAAATGCATTATTAGTAATGGCTTACAAGTTATTTAAAGGTATTGGAATTCCGTCAAATTGTAATTTAGCATTATCTTATTATACTAGGCTATCAAATTTAGGTTATAATTGGTTAAGAGAATGTCCTACAGGCAGAATTAAAGAAACTGATTATAACATTAGAATTTCAGATTTTAATGGAGGATTATATGGACCAAAGATGAGTGAAACTGGATCTTCAATTGAAATTCAAAGTAAAATTTTTAACGACATTAAAAATGAGATTGAAGAGCAACAACTTAATGCAAATGATCACGAATACATGAATTATTATTATAAAGGTATGGAATATTTTAAAGGTGATTATTTCGCTAAAAGCAATTATTCAAAAGCTTTTAATGAATTTCAGAAATGTGTTGATTTAGGAGAAGAGATTTATGGAGCTAGAAATTATGAAAAATTAGAAACGATTGATAAAATATTTTTGTCCTATTGTCAAGTGTCTTTAGCTAGACTTTATTTCAAAGGTTTAGGAGTTGATCAAGATTATAATAAAGCGCAAAAATTTTTAAATCTTTCAACTAAAATACTTCCAAGTGCTGAAGCTTATGTTTATTTAGGAAAAATTGAGGAAGATGGACTAATCAAGCCAGCAAATTATTCAAAAGCAATGAACTATTATGCTGAAGCAGTTAAAAAGAAATCTGCAATAGCAAATTTAAATATTGCTTTATTATTAACCAAATTACATGGTGATCCACATAAATCTGAACATGGTAAAAATATTTATAGTTATATGAAGAATGCTGTTTATTATGGAAATACTGAAGCATTATACCACTTATCTGATTATTTTCAAAGTGGATTAAATATTCAAATCCAACAAGATTTAGATATAAAATGTTCAAACATAGTTTATTATTATCGAACTTTTATTTCAAGATTGACAGATTTTTATGCTCCACATTTAAAATATGCATTTGATCAGTTGGTTCAAGGTAATTTTAAGAATTCTTTAATTGGTTATGCAATTGGTGCTGAGCAAGGTTTTGAACAAGCTCAAATATCAACTGCGTATTTACTATTTCAATTACAACCCTTACTACCTTTACCTTTTGCATCTAAACCTAAGATAGAATTTTCAACCGATAGAATTGAACTATGTATGAAATACCTTGAACGTGCTTCAAAGCAAGGAAATATTGATGCAACTATATTATTGGGAGACTTATACCTCAACTTTTCAGACTATAACAAAGCCTTTAATTATTATCGAATAGCAAGTGATAAACATTCGTCTCATGGATCATACAAATTGGGTGAAATGTATGAGTATGGGCATGGTGGTGATTTAATAAATAACTCAATAGATTATTTTCTTGCAAAGAGACATTATGATAATAGTTTGCAATACAAGGAACGAGTAGATTTGAGTAGAAACTATAGACACGCATATAGTAAAGCTCATATTAATTGGGCATTATTAAGATTAAGATTTAAATATTTATTTAATAAGAAAAAATTCAAACAGTCAAATGAAAATGGTTGGCTAAAAGCATTTAAAAAATTAGGTAAAAAACAACATGAAAACAAAAAACCTGTGGAGAAAAAGTTACCATCAAGAGCTGATGATCATCATCAAGGTACTTCATATAATGATAATTATGTTGAAGATTATGATATTGGTGATTATTTAGTTATTGCTTTGACATTTTTATTTTTTGTTGTATTTTTCATTCAAAATGTAATTAGACAAATTAGAAGAATGAGAGGTAATAATAGAAATGAAAATAATAACGAAAATGAGCAAAATAACAATAATAATCAAAATTTTAATGGTCAATTCAATTTTAGAAGAGGAAATTTTGAGTTTCATTTTTTTGCAATTTAAATCATGTATTTAGTTCATCAATTATATTTTTTAATACAACTTTATTCTTCATTATTCTTGATTCCCTCTTTTGAGATTTAATAGGTGACGAATTTACTGATTGAGGGAGGTTATACAATTTATCACCATTTAATGGTAATTTATAATACCATCCCTTTGAATCAATAAAATCTATAAAAATTTTTGTAACATTGTTATTTGATAGTGTTGTTCTTGATCCAAGTATTATTAGTTTTGATTTTGCTCTTGTTATTGCAACATTCAATCTTCTCCATTCTTTTAATAGCTCTCCTGCAACTTTTTTATCATTCGAACGAACCAACGATATTATTATACATTGTTTATCTTTTCCTTGATATTGATCAGCAGTTAAAGTCTCAATCTCAGTCTTTGATGATAATAATTTTTTCAATAAATTTAATTGTGATCTATAATATGACATCACACCAATATGTTTTTCTTCAACTCCAGACAATACCAATGTTTTAACAATTTGTTGAATAAGAAATGCTTCTGTGGGATTTTTTATTGCCTCTCCAATTTGAATTTCTTTAGCATCTAATAAATCATGATCTAAAAATAAGACTTTATTGTATGGTTTAATTATATCATCCATCCATCTTAAACTTTTTGGTATCCCATCACTTATTGTTGTTAAATAATCCTTAGGAATAGTTAGACTTTGATTTGCAACCTTTTTGGAACCACATTTGAGTTTATTTTCATAAACTAATATATTTGATAATTGCATTATATCATCACACATTCTATATTGATATGTTAATTCACAAACAGATTCTGGATGAGTCTCGGCTAATAGTTTAAATAATGATCGACCTAATCCTTTTTTAACTCTTGAATCTTGATGCAAAACTAATGGAGGTAATTGGTAATGATCACCAACCATAATGAATTTATCAGCAAATCTTAATGGTCCTAAATTTATGGGTAATGAAATTTGAGAAGCTTCATCAACTATACAATAATCAAATTTATTCCTTAAATTAAAACACGTATCGGTCACTCCTAAACAAGTAGTTGCAACAATTTGTGGCAGCATGTATGTTTGAAAATAATCACTAATTTCTTGTTTATAACCTGGTATGTATTCATGAATATCTGGATGAGTTCTTAATGGATATCCAATTCGTAAAAAGTCAATATTCATTTTCTTTAATTTGATTAAAATATTATCAACTGCTGTATTTGTATAACTTGTAATTAATATTGATTTACCTTGTGCAATTAATATTTTTATTAATTCTGCTATTACACTGGTTTTACCCGTACCAGGCATACCAATAATCAACAAATAATCTTGTACTTGACAAGATTTGATTATTGCTTGATTTTGATCTAAATTTAATTTACTTACAGTCTTAATTGAAGTATTTGTCGAAAATTTTGGTTTATCCAAATCAACAACTAATCTTCTAGTATTTGAATCTCCTCCTGGTAAGAATAAATTCAACAAATTAAATCTAGCTAACCCCATACCATAAAACATTTCATCTTTATCAATACGAAATGACTTTTTATTATCAATAGCTTGAATAGATTTTCTTAAAACACCTTGATGAACTTGATTATTTGTTTCTTTGTAAGTATCTAATTTACAATCATGAGTTAGAATCCTTCTTCGAGTTGATATTATAATCTTTTGTTTTGAAATGTGCTTAATCAAAGCATTGGTTATTGCAAAATGACCATCTTCATCACTTACAATCACTCTATCACCTTCATTAAATTGGGTATGTAAAAAATTTACTGAATCTTTCTTTTCAAAAGTATATAAAAAACTCTTTCCATTTAAATCGCCATGACCTGTTGTCATAGTAATTACAGATGTTTTATTATCATTTGAATCTACAATTTTCAAATTTTCCAAACATGTACCTTCACGTTTTTTAGGGTCTACTAACCATAATTGCTGATTCTTAGTTCTCAAAAACAGTTCTTCTTGCGATAATAGTTTATCCCATGAACTGAAAAATAAACTATAGTTTTCATTGTCTTTGATATCTTGCATTACTTTATTGAAATTTAAATCAGAACACCAATCATTTTGATTCCCATTCTCTAATAATAGATTTGTTGTCATACATGCAGTCTGAACATTACATCTTTCACATTGTGAATTCTTTACTACAGGAGGTAAACTGATATTTGATTTAAAATGTTGTGATATAACATTTCTAATATGAATTAAACTCTTGATATCTTGAAATTTAATATTACATTTTTTAGTCAATTGTTCTTTAGTGTAAACTAATAAAAATGAATCAATATCTAAATCGTAACGATCTTTGTATAACAATGAATATAAAGATGCTTGTGCATAATGTTCAATATATTCCTTACCCGTTTTTATTTCCATTGGAATTAAATATTTACCTTTCATATTGTTATTCAAAAATTTAGCAGTAATTGTAGCATCAACTTTACCTTTCATACCAAACATAGGTGACTTAATATCCTCTTCGATATCTAAAGCTTCTTCTAATGCAAACATTATCTTTTCTTTTGATGGAAATTGATCGATGTAATTACTTGAATTTAATTGCTTTTTATAATACTTTTGAAACCAAGTTTTTAAATACGGTAGATGTTTATTAATTTCTTCTTTTACTTTTTCTTTAGTTTCATTTATACTAAATAAATGTAATAAATAATTATCAATCATTGAATCTGCTAAATTATTCATAAATGAAATATCCCAATTTTCATCTGCTAAACATTCTTGAAAAATGAAATGCACAATTTCTCCAACAATTAAAGGAATTGAGTAAACTCCAGGAAATTTATATCTTGACATCAAAACTGTTTTCCTAGAGCAACCAATTTGTTGAGAAATTGTAGTTGCTGATAATAAAATATCTGGATTCCATATTAGAAAATTATTTGAGTCATCTACTAGATGTGGATTGTGTTCATTTGTTATAATTAAATGGATAATATCCCCAATATTGAAGGGTAACAAAGTGTTTTCATCTCTTACAATCAATTTACTTTTTTTTTCATCACCATCAACAATATCTAGGATTAACTGTTTTTTATTGTGTTTAAAGTTTTGAGATATAATGTTTAAAATTTTATATCTTTTAAACATGGATCTTTTAAATAGAAAGTTTAATGATTCCTCTGCCTCTTTTGAAAAATTATCACTATCTGGTTCTATTTTTATTGTATTTTTACTTTTGTTCAATATATTTAACAATTCTGGATCATCATCATCATCATCTGAAAATGGATCAGATGATTCATTTTCCACTTGTTCAGATTTAGGTTTTGTTAAATTTGCCAGATTCATTGCTTCTATAATTTCCAAATCATCATCAGTAAATGGATCATCTGAATTTGATGTATTAACTGGAGACAGTTGTAATTTTATTTGATCTTCTGGGTCTTTCTCAAATTTATGAATCCAAGTATTTAAACTATTTTGAAATGAATCTGAAACATTATGAAGTATACCACCAGATTTTGCACGTTGCAAAGTAGGAGACGGTTGTGATGATGAAAATTTTTTGTATTTACTTTCAGTAAAACTTAAATCGGAATAAGTTTTATTTATTCTTGGAGTAATTGCAACTGAAACATTTCTAAAATTACTACCATATTTTGATAGTACAGTAGTTGTAGAATTCTCTGGTAATAATAAATTATTCCTATTTGATTTTATATTTTTTAAAGGTGACGAAGCAGGTAATATATCAATTTGTTTGTTTGGTTGTGAATATTTATTTTCTTTATTAGATGGACTTTCTTTCCATTTAATGCCATCAAAACTATCATCTGAACCATCAGGCACAATATTTAATTCTTTAAAATTTTTTTGAATAACTAAACTTTTAGGTATTTCTTCTACTGGTTTGATTTTATTATTCAAAGTATTTGTATCAACAGATTCAAAAGGTTTAATGTTAACTGGAGTTGTTTTTTTCAAATTATCATGGTTGTTATTATTATTAAATTGATTATAATTCGTTAAATTATTAATTGGAGTAAAATAAGATTGTTTTTTAATTTTTTTAATTGGTTTTATTGATTCAACATCTTCTTTCCTTTTCTTTTTTATAAATGATTTATTATCATCCATTTAGATATGTAAAGTAAAACACGGTTAAAGTGAATAAATGAAATATTCAGTATTCTTAATGTCGCATTTATTTTTAATTTGAAATTGAAAAACGCGTATGGTGATAAAAACAAACCATACAGTATTAATATATTACAGTACTATCATTATTAGTACTACAATTTCTTCTATCTTACTTACTAATAACATATTAAACTATATATATATGATCATAATTTATTAGCACTGGTTTACAATTAATCAGTATAATAAATAGGAATAGATGGTAAAGGTACACAATGAGTTAAAATGTCTACCAATAGTAAAATAAACAAAGTTGAATATCTACTAAAGCGCTACCAGCTGCAAAATGTTTGTATGCAGGTACTAGCATTTGTAATATTTTACTACTATTATCACTTGTAATATATTCACTACTCACTTAATAAACTCATTACAATAATACAGCAGTAGATAGATATAATTATAGATATAGAATTAGTAATAGTAAAATAAACAAAGTTGAATATCTAAAGCGCTACCAGCTGCAAAATGTTTGTATGCAGGTACTAACATTTGTAATATTTTACTACTATTATCATTTGTAATATATTCAGTACTCACTTAATAAACTCATTACAATAATACAGCAGTATATAGGTATAAATATAGATGTAGAAATAGTAATAGTAATAGTATTGGTAGTTGAATACCTAGTAAAGCGCTACCAGCTGCAAAATATTTATATGCAGGTTTTAACATTTGTAATATTTTACTTCTATTATCACTTGTAAGTTATTCACTATTCACTTATTAAACTCATAACGATAATACAGTAGTATATAGAAATAGAAATAGTAATAATAATAGTAGTGGTAGTTGAATCCTACTAAAGCGCTACCAGCTGCAAAATATTGTATGCAGGTACTAACATTTGTAATTTTTCAAGTCTCATCTCATTAAAATTTTTCAATTTTATTATTCTATTCTTATCAGTTTAACTTAATCAATAACCAACTGAACACTACCACCACCCCTCCCTTCACTCATATACATATACATATACATATATATACAAAATCAACTATGGCTTATGTATTAACTGAAACTGCTGCTGGTTATGCTTTATTAAAAGCTTCTGATAAAAAAGTTCATAAATCTTCATCTTTAATTGAAGATTTAAATACTTTAGATAAAGTTTCAAATCAATTTAAAATAACAGGTTTTGAAAAATTTTCAAATGCAAGTTCTGCGTTAGAAGAAATTAATTCAATTATAGAAGGTAAAGTTTCTGAAAATCTTAAAAATTTTTTATCAAATCATTCAAAAGATGATAAAAAATCGACTTTAATTGTTTCAGAAACAAAATTAGGTAATTCAATTAATAAATTAGGTTTAAATTTTCAAGTTATTTCTGATGCTGCTTCTTTGGATTTACATAGAGCTATTAAAAATTTTTTACCAGATTTATTACCTGGTTTAAATGATAAAATTTTAAATCAAATGTCTTTAGGTTTAGCTCATTCAATTGGTAGACATAAATTAAAATTTTCTGCTGATAAAGTTGATACAATGATAATTCAAGCAATTGCTTTATTAGATGATTTAGATAAAGAATTAAATACTTATGCAATGAGATGTAAAGAATGGTATGGTTGGCATTTTCCTGAATTAGCTAAAATGATTACTGATTCAGTTGCTTATGCAAGAATTATTTTACATATGGGTATTAGATCAAATGCTTCAACTACAGATTTATCAAAAATTTTACCAGAAGAATTGGAAGAAAAAGTTAAACAAGCTGCTGAAATATCAATGGGTACAGAAATAACTGATGATGATTTAAATAATATTAAATCTTTAGCTGAACAAATTATTGACTTTGCAGAATATAGAGTACAATTATCAGATTATTTACAAAGTAGAATGACCGCTATAGCTCCAAATTTAAGTGCAATAGTAGGTCATTCAATTGGAGCTAGATTAATTGCTCATGCTGGTTCATTAACGTCATTAGCAAAAGCTCCAGCTTCAACAATTCAAATTTTAGGTGCTGAAAAGGCTTTATTTAGAGCTTTAAAAACAAAACATGATACTCCAAAATATGGTATATTATATCATGCTTCATTAGTTGGTCAAGCAACTGGTAAAAATAAAGGTAGAATAGCAAGAGTTTTAGCTGCAAAAGCTGCTATTTCATTAAGATATGATTGTTTTGATGAAGAAAGAGATGATGAAGATGAAAGTTTTGGATTAGAAAATAGATCAAAAGTTGAAAATAGATTAAGTCAATTAGAAGGCAGAGATTTAAGAACGACAACAAAAATAAATAGACAACAAAAGAAAATTGATATAAGTGAAGCAAGAGCTTACAATGCTGATGCTGATGCTCCAAAAATAAATGATAATGATAAAATAGACTCAGATGATGAAGAAAGTGAAACTGAAGAAGTTGTTGAAGAAAAGAAAGAAAAGAAGGACAAAAAGAATAAAAAGGAAAAGAAAGACAAAAAAGATAAAAAAGAGAAAAAGAGAAAAAGAGAAGAAGAAGATGATGATGATGATGAAGAATCAAGTAAAAAACTGAAGAAAGATAAAAAAGAAAAGAAGGATAAAAAGGATAAAAAGGAAAAGAAAGATAAAAAGGATAAGAAATCCAAAAAAGATAAAAATTAGATTGGAGATTTGTATATTATAATAAAGAATGCAGTTAGTCCAATTCTCCCATTTCTACATCATCTCCAGATCTTTGATTTGAATCTTGAGTTTGATTTCGATCTTGATTTTGTTCTTCTTGATTTTGTACTTCTCGATTTTGTGGTTGTTGATTTGTATTCGTATTTGAATTTTGAGTAGTTTGTCTTGGTGGATAAACTTCTCTTCCATTAATTATAACTCTACCATTTCCACTATTTGCCATTCTTTCAATACCTTGTATTAAATTTTGTGGAAAATTACCTCCAAATATATCTCTCATTATACCACCATCTGGATTTGTAGTTTCATTTGGACCCTGACCACCCTGACCATTTCTATTTTCAGAAATGAAATTTCTGAACAATTCAAATACGTTTGAATTACCTTCATTATTATTGTTATTATTACTATTATTATTAGTGATATTATTATTATTACTACCATTATTATTATTATTCTCACCACCATTCATCATTCCCATAATTATATCAACAGTAGATCTATCACCACCATCAGTATTTGTAGTTCTTGTTTCATTAGTTCTTGGTTCATTAGTTTGTTGTTCATTATTTGTCGTTGTTGTAGTGTTTGTTACTGGACTAATTTCAGAAACTTGTAAACTATTTCTTGTTAACATATTTTGTGAAACTTCTGAAGTTAAAATATTTGGTCTAATAAGATTTGATCTTTCACTTAAGGTTCTTAAATTTGAATCTCTATAAACTGGCAAATAAGTAAAAAAATCACGATCTTGATCAGAACTAATTGCTCTTAAATGAGCTAAAATTCTTATAACTTCACTAACAATTTTTTTTATTTTATCTTCTGGTTCATTTTGTTGATATGATCTTTTTTCAGTTAATGCAATAGCTTGACTTAATCTTTGAATAAATTGAGGTAAAATTAATTTCAACTTATTTTGTTTAAAATCATCAATTAAATGTTTTGGAAAATTTTCAATTGGATAAATTTCACCAACGGTAGTTTTAAGGGCAATTAAATAACAATTTAATGCAATTAATGCATTACCCATATATAAATGACAATAACCTAATTGAGTCCAAGCTGGTGTAAAACATCTATCTAAAATTAAAGCAGAATTTAAATCATTTATAGCTTCAGGTACACAATTTAAACCAATAAATGAAATTGATCTATTTGTATATAATTGAGGAAATTTCTTTAAATTGATAGTTGTAGAATATAAATTTAAAGCATCAGTATAAATCTTTATAGCTTGAGCATAAGCTTGATTTGACATTAAATTATTACCCAATTCTCTAAATTTATTAATTTCTAAATCATTTGAGTTATCGTCATAATCATTAGTTAATAATTTAAGTTGGAAATTTAATAATGAACAAAATGATTGGTAAAAACCATCTAGATCAACATTTTTAGTACCTAAATAATTTAAAATTGAATCAAATTGTGATGAATTATTACTCTCGGTTATTATAAATTGACTAATATAAGAATTTATATCTTCTAATTTGAAATTTGAATAAAAATTGAATATTTCATGAAATAATAAAAGTAATTTATTTAATATATTTTCTTCAACTATATTGATGTCTTGATTAAATTGTTGATTATTATTTAACTTTTCAATTATATCAAATGTTGTAACTTTTGGTAATTTTAATTCTTTATTCCCATTTAATAAACTAACCACCAAATCAATTTTTGAAACTTGTTTTATATTAAATTCATTGATTATATTATGATCTGCCTTGTATAATTCGGTCTTCTTCTCATTAAATAATAAATCTAATAAACAGTTAAATTGATGTTTCAATATAATATGATGATTATTAACAGTTGTTAATAATGGCAATAACTCCTTCCTTATATAATACTCTATTACTGATATAAATAAATATTTACTGGCATTTTCATTGATTTCCAACTGAATCATTTTTTATTTGGTATACTTTTTTTTTTTTTTTTTTTTTTTTTACCGTTCGAATCTGAAACATATTTATACGAATCGCCACTGAATGCCACCAGATGTTACTTAAACAACAATCAATAATTGAAGACAAAGAGAGTAATAATAGTATACCAGACAATTTATTAACACCCAATAATTGTATATCTCCAATTAGAATTAAACGATTTTTAGAATATTCAAGACATTTAACTGATGATTCAATTAAACCTCATTTGAATGAAATATCACTCAAGAATTGTCAATCTTATTTTGAGAATGAAATTATACCTCAATGGAAATTAAGACTGCAAGTTCTACATTATTGTAAAGATTTTACAAATAATTTAAAGCATACAGATGAACAGATCAAACTAGATTATAATCAATTTGATTTGAGAACTAATCCATATGCATACAAAGATTATCAAAAATCTCAAAATGAAAAGAATGAATTATATAATAATATAACAAGATGGGTTAAAAATGAAGAAACAATTGAAAATATTATAAGAGATCAAACTATTCAAGTCTTAAATGATAAATGTTTATATCAAGATTGGTTTAAATTATTTAAAAAAATTGCATATAATAATGAATAACTTTGTATATAGTACTATAATGTATATCATTTTTGATTAATTTTCTATAACTCTGTATTGTTGCATCCTTAGGCATTCATTTTTGATGAATTCCAGCTGCTGCTGCTGCCGCATATGCAAATTTACTCTTTGTTGAATTTTTACGTTGTGGTTGTGGCTGTTGTTGTTTAACTGATTTGCTTGATGATTTTCTTTTTGTCATTGATTGTTTTGTTTTGGTCTTATTTTGTTGTTTTTTATTTTGTTCTTCTTCAATACTTATTTCTCTTGCTATTAATAGACAATCAATCCATCCATGATTTTGTCCAATTATAATTTCTTCATTATTTTTATCAATTACTTTAATATCATCAATTAATTTACTTTCAGTTTCTTTTATTCGTCTAAGAAATAATAAATCACCTCCATCTTTAATTAATTCAATTATTAACCATCCATATGCATTATTATTTATAATTTCTCCTTCATCATTTACGGAAGTTTCGAATTCATAATCATACATTGAATAATCATTGCCCTTATTTGATTTTAAATCAATTAACATAACATTTAAATTTATATCTATGAAGAATACTCTTGCAAAATTTGTAATTACAGTAATTACAATTTTTGTATTTTTAATCAATTGTGATTCATTTGTTGAAATTAGGTGATCTAGTATTGAATCATCTAGTGTTTTAGATGTGTTTTTACATTTTGTAGATGGTAAAATCAGTCTATAAATTGTATCCATTTTTAAAATTTTTTCATTAGAATTTAATAAACTTGAAATTTCTTTAAATTTGATAGCATTTGTATTTTTACGTGGTTCTTGTTTTATTACTGGTGATGAATTTTTAGGTTTATGTACTTGAGTATTGGCAAATGCTGCTGCTGCTGCTGCTGCTGTTGTTGTAGTGTTATTTTCTGGTACAACATTTATAGGTTTTGATTGTTGACTTGGTTTTGAGGCAACTGGTTGCTGTGGTGGAGGTGGTGGTTGTACATGTGGTTTAGATTGTACTTGTTTAGTTTGTATTTGTGATTTAATATATGAATTTTGTTGTTGTAATTGCTGAGGTTTTACTTGCTGAGCCATTGGTGGTTGTTGGGGCAGTACTCTTATTGAGTGCCCATTTGTATAATTGACTTGTTGTTGTGGTATTGGCTTCCTTGGTGATATCTGTTGTTGTGGGGGGACTTGAACTTGAAAATTTGAATTATAATTTGTTGTATTTGATACTATATTTCCTGAATTTCCATTTATATTCTTTTTAATTGTAGTTGGAGGTTTAAATGATTTTTTAGCAGCTAATGTAGGAATAAAATTTAAATCTGAATTATTTTGAATTTGTTGTAATTGTTGATATGAATTTGATTTATTCATATTTCTCGTTGATCCATTTTTCAATAATGGAGGTTGACCATTTGAACCATGTGAATTAATTCCATATGGTTCAAATCTTGGAACTTTTCTATGCCAAATATAATTTAAATCATTCCATGGAACATCATTAAACCATTTAGAAAGCATTATTTGATCCAAAGTCCATCTTTCTTGTAAATCAAAGACTAATGTTGATTTAATAATTTTAACAACATCAATAGGTAATGGTGGATTCAGTTTAATCGTAAAATCAACATTTATAATTTTTTCAAATGTTAAATATTCAGTTGAACCTTTAAATGGTGGAATTCCATGAAAAAATTGATATAGTATACAACCAATTGCCCAAATATCACATTCAAATCCACATATATTATATTTTAATAATTCTGGTGATACATATTCAGCAGTTCCTACAAATGAACCATGAGATTTAGATTCACTTGATATATCAATATTATTATAATTTATTTTTTCATCATTAATTAAAATTTCATCATTTCCTAATAATTTGGCAGCACCAAAATCTGTAATTTTTAAATTAAAATCATGCCCTACTAAAATATTTTCTGGTTTTAAATCTCGATGAATTATACCTTTTGAATGAATAAATTTAACCGCATCTAATATTTGCAACATATAAAATTTTGAAACTTGTTCACTTAGAGATCCAAATTTTCTAATTATTGATAATAATTCACCATATTCAGCAAAATCTAAAACAAAAAATAATGAAGATTCATCTTGAAAAGTATAATATAATTGAACTATACCTGGATGTTGTTGACCTAATCTATGTAATGTTCGTTTTTCAATATTTACATATTTAATTTTATCTTCTTTAACTATATGTTTTTTACTTAATACTTTTATTGCAAACGTTTTATTTGAAAATTTATCTATGGCAGAATATACAGTTGAATATGAACCTTCACCAATTTTAGAACCAAACTGATAATCATTAGCTGTTTTTTTTTTGTTTGGTGGTTGTTTTGATATATTATTCAGATTTGTTAATGATAAATTTTGAATATTTGGTATATTAGACATAATAAATCATTTGAACAAGATTTATAAAGCCTTGCGATATTCTACTTTTTTTTTGCACTGAAAATAAATTAAGTTAGATCAATTGATAATGAGTATTATAATAGTGAAAATATGATAATGCAATACTAATACTCTGCTAATATTAAGTGGTTATCAATATGTTGGTTGGTTATTCTTTTGAATATTTGTTGATAATTTTTATTTTCTATTTTTGTTTTTTTTGTTTTTTTTTTTTCTAGTTTTTGGTTTTTCGGTTTTGTGTAATTTGTATATGGAATGATAAATTGATTACCCACCAACTCAAAGAGATTTTGATGTCACAATAAATGATATAAATATTTATAAATATATACAATACAACTATCCCAAAAAAAAAAAGAACTAAAAAAAATACCATAATTATTCATCATCATCATCATCATCATCATCATCATCATCATCATCGTCATCGTCATTTTCAACTAAATCAATACCATTCAAAATCATACCTTTTTTAACTACATTCTTAATCAATATTTCATTTAATTCATTCGGTAATAATTTATAATTTAACCATCTTCTTAAATATTTAATTATATTATCTAATACTTGATTATCTTGAATTTTTAAAATATTCACTAGTTTATACAATGCAGTAAATGAAATTAAATCAATATTTGCTGAATCTGAAAGATTAATATAATTGAGCAATTTTACAACTTTTTCAATTTCATCATTTTGATAATAATATAAAATTGATGAACATACAACAACGATAAATTCTGATTTGTCAATCAAATTTAAACTGGAAATTAAACTTTTATAAGGTTTTAAAGAATGATTTTCATCCTCTTCTTCTTCTTCTTCTTCTTCTTCTTCTTCTTCTTCTTCAATTTTAAAACTTTCCAAATCTGTTTCTACTCTTGATTTTAATTCTTCAAGTAAATAATGTGAATTATTTTCAACAAGTATAGCTTTAAATAAATCAATTTCTTTCTTGATTATTAAATCCAGACTGAAAATATCTAATATTTTCAAATCTATATAAATTGATTTTGATTCTTTTTTAAAATTGGATAAATAATTTATGGTTAAACTATCAAGTATATTTAAAATTCTGAAATTTACAATCAATTCAAAACAATTTTTACTATTTTGAAAATAATCAACATATTTAACAAAATTAACATCATTTGAAACATTGTAATTAATTGACAATCCATTAAAAATATTAACGAATCTGGTTATTAAATTTTTATCTCCAAATAAAGCAATACCATCAATTTTACCAATTAATTGATTCAATTTAATTAAATCCTTTGATTCACCATTATATTTTAAATTTGTAATTAAGTTTGCTTTTAAATTCATTGCATGAGATATAATAGGTGATGCAAATTTATATTTTTGTTTAAGGATAGCTGCAATTAATAAAAGTAAAAAAGTACTTTCAAATTTTAACTCACAACTGTATAAATAAAAATATTGTGAAATTAATGTTTTGTAATCACCTTGACCATTAGTTAACGTGTATAATATATCATCTTGTTTCTCTTTTGTCAATATATTTGGTAATTTAAAACCCATGACAATTAAAATGAAATTTAAAAATTCTAAAGGATTTGCAGGTTTATTTTTCTTTGATTTATTTGTCACTTTCTTGAATTCTATTAATATACTAGCCAATGCTGATAATATTAATATTATTTTAGTTATTTTCCAAAATTGATATACTGGTAAAAATGGAACAAATGGAATACTTGATAAACTTTTGAAATCATTTTCTCCACTACCTCCAAATAATGAAGTAGCCATAACAGCAGCCATTCCACCAAGTAATAATTTATTAGGACCTTTACCACTTTGTTGAGATTGTTGTGGTGATTCTGATGTTGATTGACTTTGTTGTAAAGTAGTATTGAAATGTTGTTGAGGTGGATAAAAACCACATTCTCTTGAAGGAAGTTGTTGTTGTTGTTGTTGTTGTTGAACTTGTTGAACTTGTTGTGGAACACTTAAATTTGCTTGTTGTATAATTCTAATCAATTCTGAATTTTGATTCTTCAAAATTTCATTTTTATTTTCCAAATGTTTAATATATTCAGTTGCTTTAGTTAATACGCTTGCTTTATTTAATTTTGAAGCAGGAGTTAAACCTTCTAAATCGGCAATAGTTAAATCATTACAACCAGCAGCTATTCTTAAGCTTGGAACAGCATCTCTCAAGGCTAATATTTTTGAATTAATATTAGTTCTATATTTCTTTTCAATCATATTATGAGTAGTTTTATTTTTGGTGGTTTTAGTAATTTTAGACGGTTTTTTAATATTATTAATTGGTTTTGAAATTTTCTCTATTGGAGGTTCTGGAGATGTATAATTGCTTGAATTTGATATCGGACTAATTTGTTCTGTTGAAGTAGTTGAACTTGAACGTTGTTGATCTTCAATTTCAAAATTATCATTAATATTGATATTATTATTACCATTATTAATATTATTATTATTATTATTATCATTATTATTATCATCATCATTATTGACCAAATTATTATCACTCAATTGTTGTTGTTGTATAATAAAATCATCTTCGTTCGAAGATAAAGGAGAATAAATTAAATTATTAATATTGTAATTTGAATCTAAATTATTAAAATTGTTAAAGTTACTCGTTGAATTTGTTGGCAAAACACTACTAATTGAATATAAAAAATCGTCAGTATTTTCAAAATCAAATTGATTATTCAAGGGAGGTGGTGGTGGTGGTGGTGGTTGTTGATTATAATCATTTATATAAGCATCGGAATTACTATTATTACTATTATTATTATTATTATTACTATTAATTCCTAATAATGTTTCATAAGACATATTGACCAACTCGTTGGATAATTGAAAAGAAGTTGATATAAGAAAGAAAAAAAATATAAATAAGAATGAATTTGTAAATGTAACCAGGAAAGAAAAAGAGTAGGAAATAAAATAAAATAGAAAGCGATTTATTCCATATGCCAATTGAATAGTATACAATACAGTATGTATGTATGTATGTATGTATGTATGTATGTATGTATGCTTGTATGTATATATGTATGCAATGTATACGATTAACCGTATTAAACCCGCTATATAATTCCCCAGGGTAGGGGCGTGCATGGCCATAAAAATTAAACTTAACCGTGCGTGGCCGCAACAGAAGAAAAAATAAATATAAATACATAAATAAAAATCAGACCACTTTTTATGTTTAAATCGTTTATATTAAATAAATTACACGCTTAAATATAATTGTATAATACAATCAAAACCCATGATTTTTATCCAATGTTAAATGATACGATTCAAATTAAAGTTTAATTATTGTGACGCTTGTGTTTTTGTGTTTCTTATATCCGATATAGCACATTTCTGCTTTATTTATAAGTATATACTTTCTTCTTTAGTGTATATGTATTTATATAATCGGACGGGAATTATAATTAACAAACATCATTATAAAATAAAATCATGCATTATTGGTGTTACCAATAATAATAAATTAATTGAATCAAAGTTGAATCATTCAAATTTATTATAATTTAATCCTTTCAATTTTAAAGTTTTATGATCCGTTGTTAAACGAAGGAATAATGACTAATTTATGTAATTTATGTAATTTATGAAATTAATGTAATTTATGTAATTTATGAAATTTATGTTTCATCTCCGGATTATTAAAGGTAAATCGTTATCGATTCTCGTTTATGTTGAATTAATTAAATTTTATGTCATGTGGGTCAGAGATAGCTATGGCATATGCCATAGCTGCCATAGCTATCTCATAGCTATCTCTGGGCGCAGTTCGAAATCTTAGGGCGAGGATGCTACTAATATTCAAGCGATGTTATACGTAAATCAACATAGACCTCGTGTAAAAACAACACCAGATATTTTCTTGTAGCACCAAATTGATCTTAGTACCACAAAGTCTATTTCTTTTGACTCGTGAAAAATTACACGACTAGTGGCGCTGTATGTATTTCGCTTCGAAAAAATTGTCCTTCGTTCAACTTTCTCGTGTCGGATACATAGTTCCGATACGAAATAAAAATACTAAGATTTTTATATGAAAATTACTTCACAAACATCAATTTTCGAAACAGAAAGATTATTTTCATATATGTAAAAAATTCAGGGGGGATTAAATTGGTAATTGACCTCAAAATTTAAAGTTTCCAAAATTCCAACTATCAAAAACTCGATCTGAAGTTTCATTTTTTGTAATGATATATTGATTTTCAAAATGAAGCAATCAACTTTGGACCAGTATCATATAATTGTCTAGTCTGAGATGACATATACATGCAAACGGGATTTTGCCACACTAATTATTCATCAATTTATTCGTGAATTACGTCATCGCCATCTTGCCGTAAAGCTTGGCCGATGGTTAACACCCAAGATTGTTTTCTTCGCGTTAGTTTCACCCAAAAAAATGGCTCAAAAGACGTTCAAGCTTCTGTGTGCGATCTAGATCTTAATTGCGTGTATTTACGAGATCTAACAATCAATTTCAAATTAATTTTGAAAAACTACACGAGCTGATTTGACGAGTGTTACTTTCTCAGCTACAAACTTACGAGAGAAGCCAACAAAAGATGCAATACTATACTAAATGTGTTGAGTATTCAATGTTTTTGAAATGGATTCCAATTTATTGATAGCACCACTTAATTTTATTGCAATAAAATTTCCAATTTTTAAACTAGACGAAAGTTTAAACTTACTCAGATGCAATAGTTAGCAACTAAAGTATACGGTCATAACAACTTTTCAAATGTTAATCATCGAAATCTTGACTAATTACAAGTATATATATATATATACTAATTTTATCGCCACCAATTTAGCCACTACTACAACTATGCAAAAAAATGACCATTTTTCAAACTAGAATCAGCTTAAAACTTATTCAGGTGCAAATTTTAACAATAATAACAACTAGTCTGATATTAATCTTCGAAATGTCGATTAATTTTCCTCAAGAATGTATCTAGTAATTACCAAAAAATTTCAAAACTAGAAAGTCTTTGAGTACGCTTTGGGAAGATATGCAAACCATTATCGGGATATAGAACATCATTTAGGTAATACCGATCTTTTAAAGTACAAATATCTAGTTGAAGTGCCATAATTTGATTTTAAATCTAATATATTATGACGTGTATCGCTACCAAATGTATTATTCAACTAAACTATAGAATTTTTAATATAAAATTCTTGATCGCAAAGATCTGCAAAATTTACTTAATAGCACGTACGTTTTGCTACTGAATATGTGGTACACTTTTATCTATCTATTATTGTTACACTTTTGTATGAATATGATTTGATACTTGATACATGGGAGCGAGAAGGTAATATTTCGCGCTAGCCTTGAGCCAATTTCGTATGAGATTATTGGCTAATATCTCATGAACAACGCATCCTTTCGAGATACAAACTACTTAAATGAAACCAAAGGCTTTAGTTTTGGTACTAGTATATATATTAAATTTTAAAATTTGAACATTGTTTTTAAAAGTTGTCATTTTGGCATATTTTGCCAAAAATAAAAATGCAAAGTTATTTTATTTAGGGCCATGACTTTCAATTAAACAATGGATTATATATACTATACCTCAACCTAAAATACTGAATGCAATTTTGTCGGATTAGAACTAAAATTGGGAAATTTCAAGATTTTCTCTTAAGTATAGAAGAATTTGAATAAATTGACCTTACGATAAATTTAACGCTACATTTGATACTCAAATTAAAACATGATAAAACTATCCAATATTGTAGTTCCTGTGAGCTGATAAACCTCAAGCTTTTTTGTGGTAAGCTTTTCAAAATTTTCAAACCTATTTTGGCGACCAAATCAGCTATCCTAGAAGTTGCAAAATTAGATCTGAGTATTGAAAAACTTGCAATTTAGAGTTTCTTGCCATTTTTTGAAAATAACTACGTCATCAAAATCATATTTTACTAAATGAAAAAAACACCAATTGTTGTAAATTGTATGAGGATTTAATGAAAGAAGTTTGAGATGATTTGCTTGAAAATTGAGAGACTTACATACAAATTAAATTTTAAGGTTAAGTACTATGAGACTGCATATAAGTCTAATTGGTGATGAAAATGAGATTTTAATTTTGCGCGAGCCACGTTTTGATTTGCGTTTATTTACGAGGGGATCAACATAAGACTAGTCATAGCATATATCATTACGAGGTGTTCTTCCTCTATTATCTACTAACTTACGAGCTAAACTAACAAAATCAAATATTGCTAACTCTCCAAGTCTTTTCAGTGCTGGTATGAGCAATAAAGAATCAGTTTTAGAAGCAAGTTTCCAATTATCAAAGTATTTACTTAATTTATATTGGTGGTAAACTTTTTCTACATACTGGACATTGAAGTTTGTATTTCATCCAACTTTCCAAACATTCATTATGAAATAAATGATTACATGGAGTTATCATATAATTCATTTTATGGTGTATTAATTTCTTTTTCAAATCTTCTTGTTTATCATCATTTTTATTCCAAACGGGTACTATTAAATCATCATTCATACAAATTGGACAGTTAGTTTTATATTCTGTTAGTTCTTCAAATGCTTTTGAATTGTCAGTATTTATGGACAATTCTCCCAATAAACTTTTTGTTACAATTCTATGATAATCATATTGTTTCGGTAAGAATTTTTCATTTATCCAAAATCTAGCACCTAATTTGAATTGTAAATAAAGTAAAAATAATTGCAAGATTAAATATGTAGATATTACAATTGCTAGTTTTGGATCATATCTATGTCTTAATGGATTAGATTCTATCAAGCAAAAATAACATATTGGTATTATTCTTAAAAGACTAGTTCCAATTAAAAATTCCCATTGGAATGAATGATTTCTATTCTTTAATGTGTTTCTGAAAAATTGTGGAATCCAAAATGAATTAATAAATATCAATCCAATATATTCAAATATTTTACGATATTTTATTCTCCAATTAAATGAAGAGAATACCATGAAAATTGAAATAATGGCAAATATCAAATTAATTGAAAATATACTGTTTGAATATGAACTATCTGGCAATTGTGGAATATCTGGTTCAACTTGAGGTTGTTCTGGAGCCAGTGTCATAGGTATAATTGCTCCAGTATCATTAGGTGGTGCTGAAGTTGCTCCCCTTAAAATTTCCCACCACGTTGTTCCTCTTTCATTTGCTTGAGTAGATAAAACACTAACCATAAATCTCATTTCAAATACACCACAACATATAAATGCAATAGTTGCTAAAGATGCTAATATCAAATATAAATTATAACTAATAGTGGACAATAGTAAGCATAGTAACGCGATTAGCATATCCTGATACGATAATAAAAATAATGTCTTTGATGAAATTAAACTTAATGAACCAGGTGTATTACTATGTTTTATCAATCTTATAATTAAAAACAATTGTAACGAAACCAAAACAAGTATACCAGTAAGAACATTTTTCATTTCTAAATTTAAAACTTCTGATTTCTTACCTACAAATGATTTATCTTCATTTTTTTTGATAAGTATCCCACAATCAGGTGAATATATAATGAAATTAGAAACTTCAATTTGAGGAATTTGTTTTGGGATAGGTTTTCCTTGAGGGGAGCTAATTTCCTCTTCAATTGAATGCAATTCTTCTTTAGAATATTTTGTTTTATCTAATTGAATATACATAATGACTTCACATTGTTCATATGATTTCAAAATACTTGAATGTAGATCATCTAATGTTATATCTCTATCATTAATAGAGTTTCCCCATTGTAATATCAAATTATTTACATGATTGAAATTTTTGTCATTCATTAATAGATGAGATAATCCATAAGATCCATAAAATTTGGCAGAATTCGAAGTTGCTATTGCACTACCCCATTCCGGAAGATACACTCCTGTCAAATCAAAATTGTGATTTTCAATCTCTTGATAATCCTTTAAATTCAAATCTATGCCAATAATTGTATTATTCTCATGATGAAATCTATTACGCATAGAAATTGATACTAATCCATTAGTTAAATTAATACTTTTATCTGCAACTTCTTTTTCAGGATTTTGATCTATGGATGAATAATAATCTTTTAAGTATTGAGGTAATTCCAAATTTATCCCTTTGATTTTTTTATCTTCTTTATCAACTTTAAATTCACCATCAGCTCTACCTGATATATTTAATAAATATGCATTTTCTGGAGTATTTCTTTCATTTCCCCAAAAATTTTTGATATAATTAGATACATAATTTGGTAAAATTGAAAATTTTTCATCTTCAACAAATGGACGTTCGTCATTAAACTCATGAAACGGCCAATTTTCTGCCTTTTTCCCTTCTTCTGAATCTTTATAAGACAACTGAAATCCTGTTATGTTCCCATACCCATCATTATAATTTAGCTTCGATATTATATTTGTTGAATTTAGCAATGATTGTTGAAAATCCATTAAAACCTCTCGTTCTTTTTCTGAATGTGGTTGTTCATTTCCAGCAGGTAGCGATAGGAAAATGAACATGATGATAAAGAATATCAACGTCTGTCTATCAATTGCCATTTTGGCTAAGTCACTTTATAGATATATTGAATTTTGTGCGACAAATTTTTTTGGGGCCAAATTTAAAATAGTAGACTAAATCTATAGAAGAATTCATAATTATGATGAAACAACTCATATATAGTTTAGTAGGAGTTGAATAAACTCTTTACTTGTAACACTTTAACCTATAATACGTATTTCCACTAATACAAATGAATCTAGAAAGAATAATAATTGATCTAATCTAATCAGAGGTCGCATCAGTCTATAATCTTGAAAGAAAATATATAGTTATTCCATTCAAATTTGGTTACATTAAGTCTTTTTATGGGAGCATTAGATTTTGTTTTCGTTCCAGTTTCGTCGATTTTATGAAATATTGAATCCTCCAAAAATAAGCTCAATTAGGCAAAACACCACACATAGCCTAATAAAAAAAGAAGCTTAGCTTAGTTCAAGACAGTAAATACAGATAGTAAGTTAATCATGGGAGTTTTGAGGTGTTATTACAATGTAGAAGTCATTAACATCACAGTTGATTTTGATTGGTCAGCCCCCTAACAAGTTGGTTAGCCCCCTAATAAATTGAATATTCAGTATCAATATACTAATTTACAAAAATTTGTTCAATCTTTAAAATAGTAAGAGCACGATTAATGAAAACTTCGAAAAATATATAAATAGTATATCATTTTTATTAAACTAAAGGTATTAAACTATATAGGTATAAATTTTATACCCGAAACCGAATGTAATTAAAATCAATCAACAAATAGAAAACTATAAAACTGGAGTTTTTTTTCAATTTTTATTAATTATCTTTCCCTGTTAAATTTTGCCCTGCAATTTAAATTTAAATCATTAATAAACCTAATGCTCCCATAACACCATAAAGTATATTATGATTAGTATTTTTATTACCACTACCAGCTTGTGTTACCGATGGATTAGCTGTTACCGAAACAGTTTCAGATGTAAAAATTGTCGATATTGAATTAGATACAAATCTTGATTCTGCAGCAACTGTTTCAACATCTCTTAATAAAGTAGCTGCTTGTAATGTTAATGGTGATGTTGTATTTAATACAGCTGTTGATGATGGTGCAAGTGTTGTACTATTTGTAAAATGGAATGAAGTAGTTTCACACTCATCATCATCTTCATCGTCGTCATCATCTTCATCTTCACATTCACAATCTTCAAACCATCCACAAGTTGATGGATATGAAGTACCGGTACCTGATGATGATGGGAGTGAGCCATCATCATCACTGTCATAACCTGGTTCACCAGGACAAATTTGATCACTACCATCCCCAACAGATGAACCTGACCCTGAACCAGTACCTGATGAGCCTGAGCTTCCTGGTGAACCTGAGCTTCCTGATGAGCCTGAGCTTCCTGATGAGCCTGAGCTTCCTGATGAGCCTGAGCTTCCTGAGCTTCCCGAGCTTCCTGAGCTTCCTGATGACCCAGAACCACCAGCAACAACTGTTTGAGTAGAATAAGAATATTGAGTAGTTGTACAATCACCATCATCTTCTTCTGCCCATTCCCATTCATCATCATCATTTGAACTTGAACCTGATCCAGTAGATCCTGATCCAGTAGATCCTGATGAGCCCAGTACATAATCTTCATCATCTTCATCTGGGTAAACAGTATGAGTAGCAACAATTGTAATTGTAGTTGTAACAATATTACCACCTTGAGCTACAGTTGTAGTTGGACATGTAGTTGTGATTGTATAAGTTATAGTTGATGCACATTCTTCACCTGATTGAGTAACATAAGTTGTAAAAGTTTTACCAGCACCAGTATATTGAATTGTAACAATTTCAGTTGCAGTTTGAACATAAGTATGACCTGGTAATTGAGTAGTGATAGTTTGAGTTGTACCTTGACCTAAACCGTTTGTTGTTGTGACAACTTTTGTAGTTTGGAAAGTTGTATCTTCAGCATCTAATGTTGTGTGAGCAGTAGCAGTTGTTGGTACAATTGTTGGTTCATTACAATCCGTTTCATCATCATCACCATCATCTGGATCCACAGAAGAAGTTGAATTTGGTGCTGGAGCTAAAGATGTTGGATTACCAACATTATTATTTGAATTTGTTGTTGGATTATTTGTTACAATAGTATTTGTTGGATTATTGGTTACAATAGTATTTGTTGGATCATCGGTGCAATTTTCATCATCATCATCATCATCATCATTACTTGATGTTGGATTGGCTGAATTACTTGAAGTTGATGTTAAACCTAATAATGAACTTAAGAAATTTCCGCCTGATGTAGTGGTTACTGTACTTTCTGGATCGACAGTACCTGGATTATTATTTGTAGTGGTTGGAATGATGTCTGTATTTGAGGCTAAGGATGTTGTAGTTGGATCTTCACACTCATCATCATCTTCATCACTAGAACTTGAATTTGGAATATTTGAAGTTGCAGTTGTTGAATTATTTGAAGCGGTCAATGAACTTGGAGTTGAAGTAATAGCTGGTGGATCTGATGATACTGAAGATTCAGCAGCTAATGTAGTTGGATTTGATGAACTTGATGGAGCTGATGAAGCATTTTCACCTGGGAATAAACCTGAAATAAAACTGTCAAATGGTGATTGTGACGTTGATGATACTAATGTGGTTGGTAATGAATTAGTTGGATTATTAGTAACTGGTGGAGCTGTAGTAGTTGGATCTTCTTCGCATTCTTCATCTTCATCTGTTGTATTTGAGTTTGGTAAAGAAATTGAATTTGATGGTGAGTTTGCTGAAGCAGATGATACTGAAGATTCAGCAGCTAATGTAGTTGGATTTGATGAACTTGATGGAGCTGATGAAGCATTTTCACCTGGGAATAAACCTGAAATAAAACTGTCAAATGGTGATTGTGAAGTTGATGATACTAATGTGGTTGGTAATGAATTAGTTGGATTATTAGTAACTGGTGGAGCTGTAGTAGTTGGATCTTCTTCGCATTCTTCATCTTCATCTGATGTATTTAAGTTTGGTAAAGAAATTGAATTTGATGGTGAATTTGCTGAAGCAGGTGATACTGAAGATTCAGCAGCTAATGTAGTTGGATTTGATGAACTTGGATTTGATGAACTTGTTGGAGCTGATGAAGCATTTCCACCTGGGAATAAACCTGAAATAAAACTATCAAATAGTGATTGTGAAGTTGATGATACTAATGTGGTTGGTTGTGAAGTTGGTTGTGAACTAGGTTGAGATGAACTAGTTATTGAATTTCCAGTAGATGGTGGAGATGTAGTTGGATTTGATGAAATTGAATTTGATGATGATGGTGAATTAGAAGATTGATTTAAAATTGGAGCACTTGAACTTGGAATTTCTTCTTCACATTCTTCATCTTCATCTGGTGTAGTTGAAGCTGCTGCTGCTGCTGCTGCTGCTACAGCTTGTTGAGCAGAAGTAGTTGGTACATTTGAAGCTGCTCTATTTTGAGTTGAAATTGCTTGTGCAGTAGTTGGTGAATCTTCTAAACCCAAAAGTTGTGCAAGAAACCCTCTCTTCTCAACTTCAACAGCATTGACTATTGAAATTAAAGTAATTAATAATGGTAATGTTGTAACTTTCATTATTTTTCTTAATTACAACTTCTTCCTTTGAATTAATCACCTTTATAATTCGAAAATTGTGAACAACGAATGAATGAATTAAGTTAAATTTGGACTTTAAGGAATATTTTATTATAAATATTTGGATTTTACAGCTTATTTATTAAATTTAACATGGTAAATTAAATAATTTTGCAACAAAATCTAAATTACCAAATTGGGAAAAGTATCGAAAATTGGTAAAATTACACTAAATTTGTTATTTCTCACTTTGGAATCTATTTAATAACTATTAGAATGAACTAATGTATGTAATATTGTCTCCACTAAGGTTATTTAATAGTTTTGTCCGTATAATATTGTTTAGTACCAAACTTTCTTTCTATATGTTTTTTAATTTAATCTTTTTTTGAATCTCGACTAACTGTAAATAATCGTTCCATGATCTGACCCGAGATTTGATTGGATTGATAGTTGAAGTCTGTTAATACAAAAAAGAACAGAACATAAGTATGTGATGAGCATTATTCAATAGAAGCCAATAAATGTTAATTCTCAATCTCCAACCATTATTAATGTCTTGTTCAATTTGGTTTCATTAAATTGTTGACGAAATTGGTTCGAACTAAAAAAAACAAAAAAAAAAGAATCCTTACATAATATAATGTACTACCGATTATATAATATAAGTCAATTTGCATAATTACTTTAACAAGATATAAGATGTTATAAGAGAACCCTTGATTTTCAAATCTCATAACTATCTTTATAGTTGTAGATCTGTCACTTTTTTATACTTGAGACATAATATGCTTTCTAATTACTTTAATAATTTTAAATTCCCCTTTTGAAATCTGAATCTAGATCAAATTCAAGTCTACCCCATATAATATTCAATTAGCGTTCGTTCCGATTAGTTGATTTTATATTTGACACGTTCTAGAATATGAATGTCAATGATCAATTCTCTTTAAATTAGATATTTAAAAATAATCAGTTTATGGTAAAAAGTTTGAGCTTTGATCGGTTTATTTAAATATATTCTAGTTAGAATCGATTCAAGGATTGTTTTGGAAAAGCCACTATATGATTTACTTTGATTATCTTTGATCAGCATATCTCTTATTGATACAGAAGATTATCAAGAGAGGCTACTTAACTTCAGCTTTGCTTGGGTCTTACAATACGAGAACAAAGCCAAATGTCGAATCATAAGCTAACTTATAGTCGTGTAAAAGAACAAAAATTTAAAGATCTCCAACTGACGAATCTGTTTGAATTTTTAGCCAAATTATTAAAAATGGCTGCAAATTTTCAAGAATCAGAAAAATTTACTCAACAACAAGCACAGAGTGCAGCTTTGAATACAAACCATGGACTAGAAATTAAAACAAAACATTCAATTGGTACGAATTTTGCTCTTGCTGTTCTTTGAAGCAGTCACAGCAGTTATTAGCTACTTCATACATTAATATTTTGATCAATTTTCCACGACTTCGATTATAGAAAAATAAACATCGTAAATTGAAAAACTTTTTCTACTTTTCATTTCTACCAAAACTATTCAAAATTGTATGTTTTTTTATTGTTCAGTATTTCATTCTGTTTTTATGATGAAAAAGTTATGCCTATATCGATTATCAATGAGAATTAACCAAACTATATACCAAGATCTGTTCTGAAAAAAACAAAACAAAACGTATTGAAAAAATCTATATATAATGATACTAACTATACATTAGAGAAAGTGAGTATGAAAATGTAATTGTCAGGAGCTCAATTCTTTCTGATACTATGATTAGCTGAAAGACTAGTTCTGCCTGTATTTTCAAACTCTTGGCATCAAAGCTTATTTATGATACCCTAAAATGGAATTAAATGGATCGATTTGGGTTTATTATAAATATCTCTTTAACTCTAATATAATAAAGCTCGTCGTTTTGAAGTCGGAGATTCTCTATTTTAATCATTAAATATCTCATATATTAAAGGTATCACTTATTTAACTTTTCAAGTTACTTTGCATTATATTATCTCTTTTTGATTGTATTTCGGCCTTCTTTCTTGCAATTACTCTATTAACACTTGATCTAACAGCTTTTCTAATTTCTTTTTTACTTATAGTTGATCTTTTCTTAAATTTTGGTGTACATGAACCAGTTGAAGAACCTGAAGAACCACCAAAAATTGATGTAAATAAAGTTGTAAAAACATCTGAAATTAAATCACTAAAACTTAATGATGAACCACCAGAACTTGATGAACCACCAAATAAATCTGAAATTAATTCACTAAAGAAATTACCTGACGATCCACTTGAACCTGAACTACTAAATAAATCATCAAAGATTTCTCCTGCAAATTGAAAAATTGCTGATAATATAGCTGATCCTGAAGTACTCAATAAATCTGAAATTGCTTCTTCTCCAAAATCTAATATATCTTCCCAAATATCACCACTTGATGAGCCTGATGATGATGAAGTTGAATTTGATGGACTAAATAATTCATTTAATAATTCATCAATGAATGAACCTGATGATGATGATGATGATGATGAAGAATTAGTATTTGAAGTTGAGTTAGAACTATCTGAACCACCAAATAAATCATTAAATAAATCTCCTAATATATTATCTCCCCCAGTTGATGATGAAGATGCTATTGAAGTTGTGGTTGAAGCAGTATTACCTGAATCACCGAATAAATCATCTAATAAACCTCCTAAGAAATCATCAGTTGAAGAAGATACTGTACCAGCAGCAGTTGTAGTTGGAGTATTTGCATTCGCAGTTGTTGAATCACCACCACCAAATAAACCATCAATTATATCACCGAATAAATCAGCCGAAGTTGAAGATGTAACAGCTGTATTTGCAATTGTTTGTGAACTGGTGTTAGCAGTAGCTCGTGTTCCTAAAATTCCATCTAACAAACCATCTAAGAAACCTTCACTTGATGATGCAGCCTGAGTTTGTTGTTGTTGTTGAGTATTTGTATTTATACTATTAGTTGTAGTTGTTGAACTTGATTCAGAACCACCTGATAAATCACCAACTAAAGCATCTACTAAACCACTTGAGGTTGGAGTAGTAGCAGTAGCAGCAGCAGTTGATGTTGGTTCTTGTTGTGAATTTGTATCTATTGATAGACTTGAAACAGCATTAATTGGTGTTTCAACTAAATTGATATCTGATAATGAAGTAGTAGCTGCTAATGCAGTACCAGCTATAAATATGATTGATGAGTATTTCATTTGTAAAACTATTAAACCTAATTTAAAAGAATGACTGGTATATGATTGAAAAAGAAAAATTTATGAAGATGGATTTGCAAATTTAAACTTACTGGAGATTTACATTTATAAATTGATAGTTTTGGAACCAAAATCATACAGTAACACGGGACCAATGAATAGAGTAATTATTAATTGTTGTTCTATTTAGTTCTGTTTTTTTTTTTTTTAGAAAAAACTAATTACTCGATTTGGAAATAATTCAGATTTAAAACAACCAGGGCTTCATAACCATGATTTTTTATGGTAATTTATAAAAATAAAAAATTTTGCAACCATAAACAAATATTGTGTTTGATTAGTTAGAAGATATCTATTAAATATTGTATGATCAATTGATTTTACTACAAGTTATTGTGATCACCATCCAGTATTGTGTATGATACTCTTAATTGATTTGATTTTTAAACGATTATGGAGAGTTCTTGAGTGAATATTCTACATTGAAATTGATAACCTCATTTAGTATAAATCTTAACTAATTAATATATTAAGCCTAAGAAGTTTGTACTGTAAATGGAGAAAGCACAAAGCTTAATTAGAAGGATTTAATTAAACATTCTGTTCAACACTGTTGATTATGGCTTATCTTGAAATACACTTTTTAATATGAACGTTGGCAGTACAATAAACAATAACAGATTGAACATAACAACAAGTTGATTTATTGAACTAATCTATTCAATATGATTGTTATTATTGCCAAAATTAGCTCATATAAAAGATCCATAAATGCAAATACCTCCCTTACATTGGTCAATTTATCAACATAGTCAATTATTGACTTCAAGTAATGGCAAAGTTATTAATAGTTATCCCTTTTTATTCGTTTCTATTCGTTTCAAATTTAACTTCTTCTTTATATATCAATTCCATATGCAGGAATTTAACTTGTTCTTTATATATCAATTTCATATGCAGGAATTTGAAAAATTTAATATGTAACCAACATGAAACCAAGTTTGATTAGATTAGTAAAGCCACGTCGTCCAGAACATGCCACCTCGGCAATATTACCACCTATACCATTATATAGAGCAATACTTAGAGCACATGTTAGAAAATTACCAAAAGATTTAAGATATCTTGGAGATTCCTATGTTAAAAAAGAATTTAAAGATCACAAAAAAATTGATAATCCATTACATATAATTGGATTTTTAACAGAATGGCAAGAGTATCTTAAACAAATAGATGATAGTAAATATTTACAAAATAAATTAAGTAAACAAGATTTAGAAAAAATGTCAGATGAACAAATTGGTCAACTATATGAATTAATGGAAGCAACAAAGAAAATTGGTGAACAACAAGTATGACTGTCTATTGTATATTTATAATTTATAAACCTTTACCATAATTACCTGATTGAAAGAAATCAAAGATAATCTGAACAATTTTTTCTAAACTTTCTAACCATTCTATTAATTGTTGATTAACTTTTTCTTGATTTGAACCCAATTTTTCAAAAAAATCAGATCTATAAGGACATGCTTTCATTGCTAATTTAAAAATTGGTTTAACTAATATTCCATGAAATTTAGATAATGTTTTTGAATAAGCTTGAGTAAAAGTTTCAGTTAATTCTTTTGAAGGATCATTTATTGTTTCTCTCATTGCTTGTGCAGTAAATTGTAAACCTCTACTTAACCATAATAAACCTTGGGTTGCAGTTTTAGTTTTTGTGGTTGATTCTGTTAAGATTAAGTCTTGTAATGTACTTGATCCCAAAGGATCTTGTAATAATTTAGTTCTAATTTTATTTATATTACCAGTCATATCTGATTTAACAACTGTAAAAGCAGAACTACCTAATAAATCAAATAATTTAACTAATGATTCACTAGCTTCTAAGAAATCAGTAGTATCTATTTTATTATCATCAGTGACTTTAGCATCACTAAATGATTTTTTCATTTCATCAAAGAAAGTTGACATGTTGAATAATTTTGGTTGAATTTGTTGGAATAATTTTTTTTTTCATTTTCGTTTCTACGCGTCGAAATAATAAAGAAGAATCAACAAAAATTATTTTAATGCCATTTTTTTATGTCCAGTTTGGTCCAAGTTGAGTAGAAATTAAGTTTTGAGAGAAAGTTAATACCAAAAAGTTATCAATTGTGGCCTACAAATTGTAGATGTAACCATTTTAAAATCATTAAATTATTATATACTGTTCATTGACTCATATTCATACATATACAATTACTGCTCTAATTGATTTGACCATTTTACACTTTTCTTCCTCTTTTCTTGTGATGGTAATGGAGTACTTGTTTCTTCTTCTTCTTCTTCTTTTGATTGTTGTTTAGTTTTAAACATTCTAATTATTGCCAATTTTGATGCCTCATCATTTGTTGGGATTTGAACTACTTCATTTTCATGTTCTGGAAATGGAAATTCTTCACCGTTTGAACCATTTAATTCAGTACCATATTTAGTAGCATCATTAATTAGACCAGTTGAACTCTCAATTAAATAAAAATTTGACTCTCGTTTTAAAAATGATGATTTTAAAGGTTTTGAATTTGAATTTGGTTGATGAATTCTATTTGGAGATTGTAATAATGACTGTAATTGAGATTTTGATTCAAATTTCTTTTTTGGAGATGGTATTGGAGTATTATTATTTAAAGGTTTTAAAACTTGTGATGATAAATTTGATTTTGAATTTGATGTTGGATTCTTCTTCCTCCTTTTATTACTGCCGAGATCCTTATTTTTATCTATTATATTATCATTCTCTTTATTATTATTAAAATAATTATCTAAATCTCTTCTAGTTAGTTCTGAGGATTGATTATTTTTAAATCTACCTTTGAAAACTCTTGTTCTCAAAACATCATCCAATTCATAATTTGAATCCTCTAAATCTTTTTGTTTTAATTCTTTAACTATTTTCCAAACTTTATCATTATTTAATCTCCTACTCTTGTGCTTGAATTGTTGTGGTTTTTTTTGCTGTTTTCTTAAATTGTTTGTAACTTTGAATAATTCATTTGTAATCGAATTTGTTGTGTTTGGATTTGGATCTAATAATAAATTAGAAGGTGGAATGATATTAAAATCAATTATACTATCTTCGTCAGACATAATTATGAGATCTATACCTTGTTATATGGTATAGAGTATTGATCTATTTGGTTTGTGATAAATAAAAAGTTTTGATGTTTTTTTTTTTTTTTTTTTTTTTTTTTGGTTGTTTATAAATTAACCAAAATTGGATCAATCATTATCAACTTGTTGTACCAAATAAGTGTTGATATATATAACAATGAGACCTCCTCCAAGTTCATTACATGAATTTCTATATAGAAAACTAATTGACTCTCCTGGTTTTAATAATTGGGTTAGAAAAATACATGCAAGAATTAATAGAATTCCTTATCAAGAATATCCTGATTCAGCTCATTTAAAAGAATTTGATAAACATAATTATAAACCAACTAGTATCCAAAAATTGAATGCTTTTAGAAGAATTTGGTTACAAGAAATGAGAGACACTTTTAGAATTTGGTAGAAAGGTTGGAAAATATTTATATTGCTAATTTATGGATTAAGAAGCATCTTCGACTTAAAACAGGAAAGAGCTTCATTACTGGACCTTATTAGGGTTAAAATAGGTATATCTGAGGTAAAGCTTAAGATTTGAGAATCAAAGCTAGTTTTGAATAAGATGTGATCTATTATCAGAATTTATAAGATGTAAATCACACAAGGATGTCACACAAGGATGTCATACTACTTATTGATTAGTAGGTTATACAAAAGTACCTTTTTATTAGAGTGAAAGGTATCATTCAGGTCGAATCAAATTGACTTTAAGTTTGCGTATTATAATATATATTAATTAAAGTATATAGATCAGTTGTAGCTAGTTGAATATTTTCTTTGGATTGGTCAAACTACGTCTATTAACCATCAGTACATCATCTTTTGAAGCCATTATAATATTTTTTGAATTAAATTTGAAATTATCAGCAATAATATCTTGCTGATATCTTTTAACTATATAAGAATCTTTATTTCCATTTAATATTTTCTTTAATGACCAACTTATAATATATTTACCAATTGATGTAACTATAGTTTCTTCTTTTGCATTTAAACCAGTATTAAAATAACCAGGTGTAAATTCAATTGGTTTATTATTCTCTCTTACTATATAAGCTTCATGCTCTGGTTTTAATGATAATCTTTTTGGAATTGGTTTTTTATCTTTATCAAAATAATTAGTAAATCCAATTTTACCTTGATTTTTACCATTATTTATAGTTGTATCAATTAATAATAAATAATCTTTACATGTTGCAAGTAAATATTTACCATCTCTTGAAACATCAAGACCAATTATTGCATCTCCTAATGATGGTAATGCAGTTTTTGCTTTTGATCCTAGTTTATCATATAATCTAATATCACCTTTTCCTGTACCTAATGCAATAAAACCTTGTTCTGTTGTAGTTAAAGTTTGAAATTGATTATTTTTAGTTTTATAAATCTTTTCATTAACAATTTTATTGCCTTTTAAACGTGGATCTAAATTAAATACAGCATTATTTGAAACACCGGTTAATGTAGCTTCATCAGTTAATTGTGCAAATTTACTATTTGGACCATAATTCACAACTGGTAAATTTGTATCCCATTCTTCAACAACACTACCACGATTTAAATCCATTTTAAATAATTTATTTTCTTCTTCAGGATTTGATAAAATCATGTAACGATCTTCTTGATGTAATAAAAGCTTAGAAGGAATGAATGTTTTACCTTTAAGATCTGATATATTGCTGATTGTTGTTTTAAATTTCAATGAATTTTCTTCTTCTCCAAAAACACCAAGTTTATTACCTCTTGAGACATAACTTCGATCTTTATAACCAACAGCTAAATTTTTATTTTTATCTTTAGAATCAAATTCATATAAAGAATCAGGTACTTCACTATCTACTTCGTCTTCCTCTTCTTCTTCCGATTCTTCATCTTTTTCCTTATCTTTTACATTTAAATCTGAAAAAGCATCAACAAAGTAATCTTCCTCAACTTGATCCCATTCTTTTTGATTCAAAGTTTCATACATTGATGAAAGAAACTTATTTTGAAATTTCGTTAAGTCATTGAATGAATCAAATTTAATTAAATATGAATTTGCTGTAACTGGATCTGATTGATAATTGAATATATTAAAAATAAATGAATTATGTTCATAATTAAACGTAGGACTCATATTTTTACTTAATGGACAATTTATGTTTGTTTTCTTTATAAACAAACTATATTCAAATTTATCCAACTTGAATATCTTTACATTTTCTGTACATACAGGTAAAAATGTACCTGATATTGCATCATATAATAGTAATGCAACGTCTTTAATTTCATAAATAACTTCACCTTTTGGTTCATTATTCTCCTCTTCTTCTTCAGATTCTTCTTCTTCCTCCTCTTCAAAATCATCGAAGGTAAATAATTCACTTTTTGGATCATATTCAAACTCTTTCAATTCTTCATCGCTAGCACTTATTGAACTTTGACGATATTTGTTTTCATATAAACATTTATAAATTGTCATTATAAATTGCTCTATATCATTTTTTCTAACATCTTCATCAATTATAAATTCAAATTTATCACCTAAGTCACCTTGTAAATCATTCCAAGCAATAACTACAGAACCATCTGATTTAGTGAATTTATGAATTTTTAAATCTTCAGTTAAAGAAAATACCCATTCTTCTTTTGATTTTCTCTTTTGATGATCATTTGATGAAATACTAGTTTCATCTTCCTCATCTTCTTCATAATCCGAATCTTCTTGATCATATAATTCAGCTTCACCTTCTTGATATATTCTTGTAATACAAAGTTGATAATAAAATGGTCTCGTTGTTTGTTTAATCGAGCCTAAGGCATCATTATAAAGACATTCTATAGCACCTTTTGGTGATTCCTTCAGTCTAGTCAAAAAGAGTTTCCCACTTGGTATTGATGCTATTTCATCTGTTGTTGTTGTACCTAAGAATTTTCTAAGAAAATTCATTAAATATATTGATAAGAAAGATCAATTGATAAACAATTTTTTACGTAAATTAATTTTTATTTTTAATCTTTTGGTACGCGCACGAAGTTGGTGATAAATTAGTTACGATTTAACAAAGCTATTCGGTAAGCTTTAGATCTTATTTAGCACTACTGCTCATTATAAACAGCTTCTAATTGACTATAACGTTTGAAAACATGATACAAAGAGCCTGTAAGGTCAATTGAACCGAATTGAATGTCTTGAAAATTATAAAACGAAATCTAAGAGTTATTGAGTTATCAGGGAGGTTTCTATGCAAGATACCAATATCGGTTTAATCCAAATTAGTTGCATTTCTTAATATACCAGGTTTGAAAGCAATAACTTGAGTATAAAGGGAATTACTTTCAAAGTTACATTAGTTGTTATAAAACTGCATATAAGTTAATTTTTGTTTTAGATTATCAATGCGAAAATTTGGTGCTTAAAAATAGTTTCTCGCGCTAACCCTGAGGCGACCTCCTATTAGATATATCGGCTTTTATGTCACGATTAACTCATTTTCTCGAGATAACCAATAGTTAAACCAAATCAGGGCATTTATACTATATATCCTACATATGTCAAAACTCATGTTTCAAATTTTTTTTTTTTTTGTGAGTCGTCATTTTGGCCATTTTTCATCATACAAAAAGTTTTCAAAAAATGTAAATCTATGTATCTTCTTATTTAGGGCCAAAATTTTCAATGAAACAGCGAATTCTATATGTTATACCTCAACCAAATATGCTGGACTTGATTCTAGTTGCTCTTAACCAAAGTTGAGAAATTTCAAAAAATTTTCTTTTAATTATGGGGAATCCCGAATAAATTGACCTTACGAATAATGATTACACATTGAATTCTCAAACTGAAATATGATGAAATTACCAAATTTTGTACTTCTACATTATGATATACGTAGAATATTTTTAAGCTAAGATGTTTAAAATTGATACAGTGTTTTTTCAGTGGTGTAACGAAATTTTTACAAAAATTTCAAGCCGATTATGGCACCTTGGAAACACTATGAATATTCTTTTTGAGTTTGGATAAACTGAATTAGCTGTATATGATGTTGTAAAACGAGGTCTAAGTGGTGCTTATCTTGAGATTTAGCGATTTTTACCTATTCTATCGAAAACGAATATGGTGACCAGGGACAGGTTTCATTGATGGAAAATAACACCAGTTTACTCCAAATTAGTTGAAATACTTAATGAGATAAGTCTGAAATCTATAAGTTGAATATTGATGGAGTTATTTACAATTTAAATTTTGAGATTTTTCATCACGAGACTGCATATAAGTCAAATTTGTTTCAGAATTGTTCAAGGATGTAAATTATTTACATGAATTTTTCCATCAAAAATGTCGAACTTAATTTACCGTTAAATCAGTATCCAGGTATTATTGAGACTCTTGCAATTATGTATGTTGTATAGTAATTATATTATCAATTTCGAGGGATAAATTACAGGGATAAATTACAGGGATAAATTATTGATGTAAAGTAATTTTAGGGGTGTGGCCAATCAGAAAATTTCGATATTAGATATTAAACTGCCCCTAAATGGAAATTCTACAAAAGAACGATCGAAACCTTATAACTTAGACTCAATTTTACATCAAACACATTAGAAATAACTAAGGTTACATAATCGACTATTGAATCGTTAAACAATTCAATCTTATGTATGTCTCAGATTTAGTACTTAATGTAATGCGTTAAGTAATGAAATTTCTTTTGATTTGCAACAGAAAATAACCAATGAACACGAATCAATTAATGCTTATCTGGTAGCTAAACTTGACATCAAGACATCAAGACATCAAGACAACTTCAAAAATGGTTGCAAAAAAAATGAAGAAAATATTGTTGCAATTATGAGATAATATTCAGAAAAAAATTGTTTTGAGAGTATCATGGCAATTATTAAAATATCAATTTAAATCCACAAAATCCACAAAATCGACATTATCGACATTATCGATCAAAGCAGGGGTGCAATTGGTATAAATTTAATGTCAACGTTTTTCCGATGAATGGAAATATCGACAAATCAAGAAATCTAAAATATGAAACCATATTAATAACAAGAATAGGAATTATGATATAATAATCCTATGGAATATGATGAAATTTTACTTTGAAACTTGTAGTGTAACGTCTTTTATATATAATATATATATTATGTAATGAGCTCATCTTAAAATCTATGACGTTTAATTTGACACAAATTTAAATGCCTAAATAGATAATAATATAATAACTAGTGAAAAACTAAGACACAGTTCATTCGGAGTTTTTACAAAATAAATCAAGTAAAACAAATAAATCAAATAATGAAATAAATCAGTATAGAAAATTATATATGAAATAAACATATCAAAAGAATTTCAGTTTTATTTCTAGAAAAACAACAAACAATAACAGAATTTATAATTAGAACAGAGAATAGCGTTAATTACTCCACATGGGTTTGAATTCGTTCAGTGATAATCGTTAAAAGTTATATCTTCCCGTTAATACATAACAGTATACATAATAGTAGTTAATACTAACAATTTTATAATCTTCCCGATAAAAAAAAAAAAAAAAAAAAAAAAAATAAAAATAAAAAGAAATAAGAATATAATATATAACAAGATCAAATATAAAAAGGTAACAAAGGCGGTCATCTTTATTAAAAGGATATATTTAATTGTCAATTGATATAAATATCAAGAATTATCCTTTATTCTTTATCTTTTTTTCTTTTATCTACTACAAAAATTATTATTAACGAAAATGGATTCACAATACTATAATTACGAAAATGTTGTACCATCATTTAGATTAGATGAAAAACTTGTTATTCTTACAGGTGGTTCAGGTGGTTTAGCTTCTTTAGTTGCAAGAAGTTTATTAGCTCAAGGTGCTGATATTGCATTAATTGATATGAATCTAGAAAGAACTCAACAAACTGCCAAAGAAATATTAGCCTGGGGTGCAGAAACATTAAAAGGTGCAAGAGAGTCACCAATTGGTCAAGTTTCAGCTTGGTCTTGTAATATTGGTGATGCAGAATCTGTTGATTTAACTTTTCAAGCTATAAATGAACATCATGGTAAAATAGCTACAGTTTTAATTAATTCTGCTGGTTATGCTGAAAATTTTCCAGCTGAGGAATATCCTGCTAAAAATGCTGAAAATATAATGAAAGTTAATGGTTTAGGTGCTTTTTATGTTTCACAATCATTTGCAAGACCATTAATTCAACATAATTTAAAAGGTTCAATTATATTAATTGGTTCAATGTCAGGTACTATAGTTAATGATCCACAACCTCAATGTATGTACAATATGTCAAAAGCCGGTGTTATTCATTTAGTAAGATCTTTAGCATGTGAATGGGCTCAATATAATATTAGAGTTAATACTTTATCACCTGGTTATATTTTAACTCCATTAACTAAAAATGTTATTGGTGCGCACTCAGAGTTGAAAAATCAATGGGAATCTAAAATTCCATTAAAAAGAATGGCTGAACCAAAAGAATTTGTTGGATCTATATTATATTTGGCATCTGATTCAGCTTCAAGTTATACCACTGGTCATAACTTGGTTGTTGATGGTGGTTACGAATGTTGGTAAATGGGTTTAATTTAAAACTGGGTAAAAAAATTAATTATATAATAGTTTGTGTTTTAATGTTTTTATAGAGGATAAGTTAATATAATTATTTATTATGAATTGAAATGTAGTTTCAGTGTTGGTGCTGATTATTAAATGCAGAAGATGTGATTCAATTATACCAAGAAATCATGATGAACTAACGAACAAAAGCAGTCAATACATTGAAGAATGAAGAAGGGTAGATCTAAAATTACAAATTTTAAGTGATCTGATAGTTTACAAGACTTATAAAGTCTGACCTATAGTTTGAATAGTTGTTCAATTATACGATTTTTAATTTACAATACCATACGCTTTTTGAATATCTATACAATACTCAAGAGAATTCATTGATTATATTTGGGAACCCCAATAACCAATAACTTCAATTTAGTCAGATACAGTAAAGTTTACTAAACACGATTTTGTGAACCAGTTAATGATGAAATAGCGTGGGATCAGAAAATGAACCAATTTTGTGTTTCATTTCAAATCTATTAAACCCCAGCATTGAATCAGATTAATAAATCAAAATCATCCAGCAACTGATCCATATATTTTTAGTTCCTGGTTGATTTTTATGATTTCAGGGTTTTTAGATTTGGTAATAAAATTTATGCTGGTAAATTTCAGGATGCGAAATAACAAGTAGTTAATGAATCTCACCAATAATGCAATTTTAAAAACATTACTGACTAGATTAATAAAATTAGTAAGTACAAAATCTTTCTCATTCGTATAAGGTAACAAAGCCGTATTAATTGATTGTAATTATTGCAATCTGATACGCGAAAATCACGATCCAGTATTTGTTTGTTTTGATTTTTGTATACATTAAAATTGGAAATTTTATCGTAATTGATGCGAGAAAAAACTTTTGGTAATTACACGAACCTTATCTACTTGCAAAATATGATATAATAGTTTCCTAAATTGGAATACCAGTTCAAATTTTGATATTTGTTTCTATTTTTATCTTTTAAATTTTATTTCTTTTTTTATTTTTTTATTTTTTTATTTTTTTATTTTTTTTTTTCCATCAAAATAGGCGATGCTCATTAAATAAAATTAAACGAAAAAAAAAAATAAATCGCCTTAAAAAACCTTGATTCTCGACCAAATAAAATTATCACGCGGTAAACCTCGAAATTTATGGAGATACAGTGGATCTTTCCGTCATAAGATTTCAAGAAAAATAAGATAAGAGATATTTAGAGATGAATAAATAAAGTTTGATTTAATATTCACACGTTGTAAAAGCAATTATTATACTGGACCATTTAAGAAAATAGGTCAAAAATTATTATTATTATATTACTATTATCTTTTAATCTGTTATTAATTTAAATGATTATAATATAAAACAATGTAACTAGCATAAAATGCTAAAGTATTTGTTATTATTATTTCTTAAAATGGTTGAAAAATATTTAAAAATAGAAGTTAAATTTAACCCATCGTACATATTAAATCTTGACTACGTAAAAAAAAATAATTCTTAAAATTTTTCATCAGCGTGAATCTTTTAATATTGAACCAACAAAACAACAATGCCTCTTCATTAAATTCCAAATGAAAATTTTTATTATAAATTGATGATGATTTCCCATGGATTTATAAATTTTTCTCTTCTCTTTTTTTTTTTTTTCTTCTTCTTTATTAACAAGTTTAACTTTATTCACTCGCTTAATTATTCAAAATGAAATTTTCAACTATTGCTTTATTATCAGCTGTCGCAACCGGTTCAATTGCTGCATACGCTAACGGTACCGTTACTGACATTGCTACCACTGTTGTTACCATTACTTCATGTGAAGAAAACAAATGTCATGAAACTGCTGTTACTACTGGTTTAACTACAGTTACTGAATTAGAAACTACTTACACTACTTACTGTCCATTACCAACTACTGAAGCTCCTCAACCAGCTCCATCCCACAACTCAACCGTTGCTGGTGAATCATCATCAGTTGCTTCATCAACTCAAGCTAGTGTTACTGCTATTGAAGGTGCTGCTGTTAAAGTTGCCGTTGGTGGTGTTGCTGGTTTAGCTTTAATTGCTGCTTTAATCTAAGGATAATTAATTTCATTATTGTTTCGTTTATGTTTAATATATAATTTAATTTTTAATAGAGAAATAATTATTTGAATTCCGATAACTAACTAGTTAATCTCGGTTGGAAAAACGAATAACCGGGGAAAGATTAAAATTATTGAGCGTATTTATCATTAAATAAGTCTTTGAGCGATATACGATCTCTAATAACTTTGACAATAGATTGTGCTTATATCTCAGATCTGCTCAGATCTGCTCAGATCTGCTTGATACCCAATTTACATTGTTGCTTTCGAGAAAAATTGATGTGTAAAATTTGGAAACCTCGGTTCAATTATATGTTCAATTGTATAAGCAGTAGAGGTTACCTAAGTCGTAAACTAGCGTAAGTATAGCTTGTCTACAACTTTAGATTATATTGTAATTTTTCTATGTTTCTCAAAAGTCGATTCTGGATATTCTTACTATATTGTATTGTCGATCTTTCGTAATTTCCGTCACTTGGATCCAATTTTATTGTTTGGAAATAGCTTACTTGCATTTTGAACTGTGTTGGGAGCTTTCGGTCAGAAAGAAGTAAACGGTTTCAAACTTTTTAGAGAGTAATTTTTCAAACGAGTCTGTCCGTAGAATTTACATCGTCATTTGAATCGTATTGCTCGAGAAAATCACTATGTAAGATACATAATTTAAGGCTCATGTGATTCTAAATAAAAGGCCATCATGTGACGAAAAATTGAATTATAAGCCAAAAAGTTTAACACGAGTCGCACCAAAAAGAGTGCGAAAAATAAAAATCTGTCGTGCCGTTCCGAAGCTATTCTTCGCCAATTGATACAATTTCTTTATTCAATGTTTATATTATATTCTACTATATAATAAAATGTATGCATTTTTGATATTATTTTCTTCTTCAGTACCACCATTCATAACTTCATCCTCATTAATTTCTTTTATTACTGTATCATCAATTCTATACCATTGATCATTAGTTTGAATATCACTTGTATAGTGACCAGCATCAGCACTTGAACCATGATGATAAACTACTGAAACTAATTGATATTCTTCATCTTGTTGTTGATTCGATAATAATTCTTTTGGTATTATTAATTTATTATTATAATTTATTCTCTTTTTGACTTTTTCCACTATTCCAGAACCTGCATTTCCATTTGAATTACTTTCTTCGTAACTAAATCTCTTTAAATGAATTATTAATACATTTGGTAATTTTTCAATAAATGTTTGCTTTTTAATTTCAATTTCTTTATTATTTGAATTTTTATAATTTATATTTTCCAATTCATTAAAATGAATTAATGCATCTTCTATACTTTCACTTTTACTTAAATCTAATTGAACATGTTGAAACGGATCAAGATTTATTTTAGTTCCTTTTGTTAATGTTAAAACTGATTTAAATTCTCCACCAAATATAAGATTTAATGGAGTTGGTTCAATTTCAATTTTGGTGATATTCTTTTTTGAATTATTAACTTCAACCCATTCATCATCGTCATCATCGTCATCATCACCTTCTGATTTCTTTATCTTTTTTAAGGTAATTAAAATGTTTGATAATTCCAAGTCATTGTAGTTTTTTGTTAATTTTTCAATTTCTTCAGATTTGATGTTTTTTATGGATTCAATAAATTCTTCATTTAATGCATCAAGGTAATATCCTAAAAATTCTTCTGCATCTTCTTGACGACCCCAAACAAGGTGTTGAAATTTTTGAATATTTTTTATTTTATTATAAAATACTTCTGGTGAAATATTTTTAGATTGATTCATTGAATAATTTTCAAATAATTCTACAGTTGATTTTATAATGGGGTATTGATTTAAAGATTTTGGAGATTTGATTTCAATAATTTTCATCAATTTATTAAATGGTAGACAGAAAAATAAAACTTGTAATATTGAATTCATAAAGCATATATTCCCAGTATTTGTAAATCCTTTTGGTTTTGAATTATAAAATTGTACATTGTTGTCTTGAAATATATTATATCGAGGATCATGAAGTATTTTTAATAAAATGATTCCTAAAGATTCCTCGAAATCTTTGATTAAAGTTGTAGGTGTTGAGTTCGGTATACTGGTTATTGGTTTTATTTTTGCAATAGTTGGTGATTTTTGATTAGTATTCTTTTTCAAAACAGAGGCCCAATTTTCTGTGGGTGATGGTTGTGGATTTATTACTGGTTTTGGTACTTCTGGTTCTTCTTTCTTTATAATGGTGGTATCTTGGTTTATGTCTATAATTTTCATTAAATTTGTATTTATTATGAATTCATTTGGATTGACATTCTTTATAATAGTAGTGGTTGATTTATTGGTTGTAGATTGTAAATAGTCCGTTCTGTTTGTGTTTATATAGTATGGAATTGAGATTTCATTCTCTTTTTTTTCATCTTGTTCCTTCTTTAGTATTTCTTTTTCTGATGGATGATTTGGTTGGTCTGAAATAGGTTGTTGATGTTGACCTGAAATAGGTTGTTGATGATTATTTAAAGGCAGTTGTGGTTTTTGTTGAGGTTGTTGATTATTTAGTGGCTGATGATGTTGATGAGGTTGATGAGGTTGTATCCGTTGATTTGGTTGTGGAATTTGTTGAATAGGTTCCGGTATCTGTTGCATAGGATATTGTAAATATGGATATATCATTGGCATTGGTTGTTGATAATATAAATATGGTTGTTGTTGATGATGATGATGTGCCGCTATATTAGGATGATAATATTGATATTGATGATGTTGATGATGTTGATAAGGTTGTTGCTGATTAATATGACTTGGTGAAAAGCTAGCTGCATCTACACGAAAACGTGAAGATCCAGAATTTGTTGATGATGCTGACATTTTCCAAAAGAAAAATAAATAAAATAAAAAATAACAAACGTTTTCCTTTTAATTGTGAATCATAAGTTTGAAAAAAATAATACAAAACTTGATAATTATGTCTGATATTTTAACTTTCTCTTGTTTATAGTGTATTGGAATGTAATGTATGTTTTAATCTGGTATGTTAAATGATAATTTTTATAAATTGGGTTGGTGGAAAAAAAAATTGAAAATGAAAAAAAAAAAAAAAATTTCTTAAAAAAACACATCCTAACATCAATACAATTTAAATGGTTGCAAAATGATATTAACTGTTCGTATATTCCTCGAAGAATTGATACTGATATCTTACTCTGATCTTCAATTACTCTAGAATAAGTGTTATTTAATGTAGTCAAACCATGTTCCATCACATCCAACCAGAGTTGATCATTAAATGACTCATTTTTACGTATTCCAGAGATAAGCTTTAATAATACCTTTTTAAGCTTACAACTCTTATGAAATCATTCGAGTTGTCCGATTTCAATACTCTTGTATTTATTGAGATGTATACATTGTAATTAATTCTGTTCTGTCGATTATTAGTTATAAAATTGTCCTAAACAATGATCAAGATTTTATCATTTCAAACATCGAGTTGGACGTATTACCATCCACTAAATTAAATCATATAATGAAAGTTTTCGCGGTGAATAGCTCTCATTCAAGCAAACCGAGAAAGCATTGTATATCGAAAGCGAAATTTGGGCCGATGATGCAGTGTAAAAGGCATCGAGCTAAAGCGAATTTCATATTTTTAGCGCGAGTATAGGGCTAAATGTTGAAAAATCATCAAATAATTTTTGAGGCGAGCCGTGGGCCCAATTTATTCATTCGAGCCAACAGGGCGAAGGCTCGGTGTTTTTAGTTGGCCCATGTCTATGCAAGAAAGGCAAAAATCTAGTGCGAAGAAGGGCCATTAATTAATATTATTGTGCAAGGTAATGATGCCAACGGCTAAAATTGGACGAAGTTAAGAATCAAAGTCTAAAGTTGGCTGATGTCTCTGGCTGCTATTGATAAGAGGAATTGATATAAGTGCATCATGTATATTAACTTAAATCTAGTCTTTATTATTATTTATGTGTATTAGCATAGTAAGTAAATGATGACATATTGGTTTCAAATTTTGAAATTGATTTGTATTGGACGTTACTAATGGATTAATAGTCAATTTCATATCATTTGAATATGATTCTTGATATTCATAACATGGACAATACCAATTATTTAAATCAACTTCAATGATTTCTTGCAAGTGATTAGAATAATTATGAACACCTTTGATTAATCTACCATGTTTTATAACTAATCCTAATTTACCTAGTAGATTATTCTTATCACGTTTAACAATTGATTTAATTATACCATTTTCAATATCTGAATTTAAATATAATTGTAAACTCTTAAAGTATAATTTACCAAATATAATCGATAAAATTAATGATTTATCTTTATTAACAGTAATATCAGTAATTGATCTATCAACATCCAGTTCCAATTCAATTAAATGAGATTTGAGTGAATCATCTAATGTATCTAGTAATATATTATATATTGAATCATGAATGATCAATTGATTGAAATCAAGCATTGGTTAAATAATTTTAAAAGTCACGCGTCTAGTCACGCGTCTAGTCACGCGTCTAGTCAAGTGTAACGTCATGTGCTTGATCACGTGCAAAACATAATCAACATTTTTTATTTCTCGTCTAAAAATAAATTAAATAGATTGAATAAATAATGGACTGGTTACAACAATTACCACATCAATTACAAGATCAAATTAAATCTATAATTAATAAAGATCAGTCAAGTATAGAAGTATTTAATAATCTATATAATTTTTTTGCAGATGATGAAGAATCACAACAAGATTCAAAAAGAAAGAAATTAAATGATGATGAATCAATAGATCCAAATGCAACAATATTTGAAATTGATCAAATATCAATATTTAGTCCAATCAGAAAAAGAATGGATCTTGTATTTCATTTAATTGAGGATAATCCAAGTCCTGTTTTATCAATTGTAAATCCATCAAATAATATACCTGAATTATCATTTTTAAATTTAAAACAGCTGATTAAATTATGTTTGATTTTACCAATTTTAGGTAATTCAACAAATCCACAGAAGAAAGGAATAGCATTATTATGTTTTTGGATTAATGATGATCAAAAAGATCCAATTATATGTCAATTAAATTTAGATGTTATTAAAAAACAAATGTTAAAATCAAATAAATTACCATCAAATATTGATCAACAATTTGATTGTCCAAAAGATTCAGTAATTTTAAATCCAATACAAGAAAGAATTTTGGATTATTTAAAAAGACAATTTAAATTGTGTGATATAAATTTAATAAGTTATTTACCATCCCCGACAATTTTTAAAAATAATTTTATTGAAAATGATGATGTTGCAATTGTAATTACGGATAAAAAAGAACCTTCAATTATAATGGTTGAATGTCATAAGGGAGCAAAAGATGGTGTTTTAATATTTTTAGAAAAAAATGAAGTAAATCCATCTTATTTAATATTTGCATTTAAAAAACCTATATTAGTATTTGAAACTACAAAAATTAAAAAAGCAAGTTACTCAAATGTGACAAGTTCAACATTTTCATTAACTATAGTTGTATTAAATGATAGAAATGAAAATAGAACAATTGAATTTTCAATGATTGATAATAAATTTTTTGATTATATTGATAAATTTATAAAACAACATAATATAAGTGATGATTCATATAATGAAAATTTGAAGGAGAATGGAAAGAAAGAAGTTAAAGAAGATGAGGATGATGATGAAGAGGAAGATGAGGATTTTAAAGAAGGCAGTGAAAGTGATGTTGCAGAAGAATATGATAGTAATGTTGAAGAAGTAGAAGAAGGAGATGTATTTAGTAAAAATACAGAAGCTATTTAATGACTCCATGAGTTGTAATAGGTTTGAAGAAGATATTGGGAGTGATAATGCAGAAGAACAAGATAGTAATGTGGACGGAGGAAATGTATTTATTAAATACAGAAGCTATTTAAATGGTTGACTCCATGAATCATAATATCTGAAAAACCAACCTCTATCTTGTGGTTTAAATATTCTATCATCATTTTTGTTTAAATCATCATAAAACTCAATTTGTTCTTGTCTTTGGTCTCTTAATTGTAATAATCTTCTTTGTAATAAATTTGAAGTATGTTGTAATTGAGGTTCGATACCAAATATATATATACCAATTGATGTTGAAATAAATATACCATAACCAGCTAATTTAGAAGTAAATTTAGATGGGCTACCACTAACACCAGTTTGTATGAATCTAGCAGAAGTACCTAATAAAGCACTATATAATAAACCACTTATAGTTGGCATTGTTTAGTCGACAAAATATTTTTTTTTGATTGGATATGATTAATTTTTTTAAAGGCCATCCAAGCAAATATTTACTACCATTTGATGATATAACTAATGCTTATGTTACAGTGTTAAATAAAGATTATGATGTATATGATACTGATATAAATAACCAACATCCTTTACAATATGGTACTGATCCTGGTAATTTAGATGTTAGAAATGATATTTGTCAATGGATGAATACTAAGTTTGATTATATTAGTAAACCCGACGAGATTAATTTAACTAGTGGTGCTTCTTATGGTATTGCAAATATATTATCATCCGTTACTTCATCTATAACTAAACAAGTTTTTGTGGTGACTCCAACTTACTTTTTAATTAATAATGTATTTCAAGATTTTAATTTAAAAACTACTGCTATTGATGAAACTAAAGATGGTATAGATTTAGTATTATTAGAAGATAATTTAAAGAAATATAAAATAGATGAATCAATTGTCCCCGATTCTAGACGTGAAAGGAAATTATACAATTTTATATTATATATGGTACCTACTTTTTCAAACCCTGGTGGTATCACATATTCTATTGAAACAAGAAAGAAATTAGTTACACTTGCTAGAAAATATGATATGTTAATTATCTGTGATGATGTTTACGAATTTTTAGACTATACAAATTCAAAACCATTACCAAGATTAAATCATTTAGATAATTCAGTAGATTATGGTAATACAATTTCAAATGCTTCATTTTCAAAGATAATAGCACCTGGTTTAAGAGTAGGTTGGCAACAAACAACTCCAAAATTAGCTAAACAATTGTCTATTACAGGTGCAAATAAATCTGGTGGTACTCCAAATCAATTATCAACATTTGTAGTACAAGAATTGATTAAATCAGGAAAATTAGATGAAATTATAAATAAGTTTATCAAAGTTTACAGTGAGAGATCAGAGACTTTCAAAGCTTGTATCAAAAAGTATATACCCAATGCTGAAGTTTATGGAGGTGATGGCGGTTATTTTTTTTGGATTAAAACTAATGTAGATAATGATAAAGTTCATGCATTACTAAAAAATAAAGTTTCATTAGCTAAAGGTGACAATTTTGAAGTTACTGGTGATACAAGAGATTATTCCAATTCTAATAGACTTTCAATAAGTTATCTTTCAAGTGTAGAAATTGAACAAGGTATAAAAATTTGGGGAGAGACTATAAAAAAAATCACAAATGATTGATTTCCAAATAACCACATTACAAATTTCCGGGTTAAGCACAATTTCTTATGTACTTGATACATTACTTTATTCAACAATTCTTATATTATCAACTACTTTAGGTAGAAATTTACCTCCAAATTATCATGAATTTCTGTTATATGATATAAGAATTAGATATACATTTTTCAATCAAGTTACAATACCTGTTGGATTATTAGTTTTAATATCAGGAGTACTTCCAGTTTTACAATTTGTATTATTTGCATTTATAATTCCTGCAAGTTTAACAAGAAGATTATGGGATTTGTTTGCTGGTTGTTTATGTTTATTAGGTGCACAAGCTACTCAATTAATGACTGTTGTTTTATTAAAAAATATAACTGGACTACCAAGACCAGATATGATTGAAAGATGTGAACCATTTTTTACTGATGTAATTCCATTAACTCAATTATCAACAGTTGAAGTTTGTACTCAAGAAAATTGGAATTTAGTACAAGAAGGTTTTAGAACATTTCCTTCTGGTCATAGTTCAACAGTATTTTGTGGAATGATTATAACATCATTAAACATCGCAGCTAGATTACAAACATTTGATAATAGAAATAATTCATTTAAAGTATTTTTAACAATTTCACCTTTATTATTAGCTTCATTTGTTGCGTCTACAAGAGTAAGTGATAATAGACATTATTTATTAGATGTTATTGCAGGATCTTTTATTGGTTTTACAATTGGTTGGATTTTTTATTATCAATATTATCCAAGTATATTTAATTTAAAAAATCAAGGTAAAGCTTTTCCACCAAGAAGATTTGGTATACAAAGGTTTTTAGATAATGTTGGTGGATTTTGGAGAATTGATGATGACACTGAGAGGACTTTGGATAATGATGCAATTGAACGTGGGGAAAATATAGCTTAGGATGTAATATAAGATGCAATAAATAAACAATTGAGGTAGATAAAGCTCTGATCCAATTCAGCCTAGCCTATTCTCATGCCTTGAAATCTCTTGATAACTATATGTCAGAGTCATATTTACTTGTAAATTTTGACTTCTTAGATTATTATGTAATTTCAAATGTATTCGTTTATTTCGCAATCTATCAAAATCTGTAAATTCGTGAGATACAATTTGACCTTAGCCAGTCTCTTTTGCTACTAACTTTCTTCGATTTAATGGAATATTCGAGAGTTGTAGCCTGCTTTCACGGATTTCTGTCTCTCAATATTTTGTTCAAATTTTGAAAATTTTTGATATTTTTGGTGAATCGATAGGAAAAAATAATTATGTGTAGTTTTCAGACTGCAAGGCATTTGGATACAATAAAAGTAACAGGATAGTTCCAGCGTATGAGCAATGGTGAACTTTGATATATAAGCCAATGAGTTTGATACGAGCTGCCCAAAAGCTAGCACGAAAAATTATTCATATCGCACCAATTTCTCGCATTACAAAATACATGCTTTCGTGCATAATGTTGAAATAAACTCTCTTATATACAGTCCTGTCATAGTTAATCTTGAAATTTGAATTGTGATCGTCGTATGAGATTTTATTTAATCTCAATTTAATCGATCTCATACTTAAAAGAAATTTTGGAAATTTTTGGAAATTTTCAATTTTACTTTAAATCTAACAGAAACGATACAAAGGTTATAAAGTGAGCTATATTATATATAATTCGTTGTTTAAATGGAAGATATGGCCCTAAATAAGGTTCAATTTCATTTTATCAAAAATTTTTGTATGAAGGAAAATCGCCAAAATGACTACTCAAAAAAAAAATGCTTGACATTTAGTTACTAAAGTGTGTATTATATATAATGTAGTACGAGTCGCTCTAAGTCTAGTGCGAGGAAAGTATTCTTATGGCGCGAATTTTGGGCGATAACTCAAAAAGAAAAAGTATATGCAGTCTCATCATAGTTAATCTTCAAATTTAAATTGTAAATAACTCATTCAATATTGAAGTTTTATTTCTCAAACTAAATTCATGGAGTTTATAATTATATTTAGAGTCAAATGATATTAAAATACTTTGGAAAAACATAGTTTAGATGAGTTTATTCTACTTTTCAAAAACGTAAAAAAATGTGGAATTGCAAATTAATCAATACTTAGACATCATTTACTAACTTTTAATATAGCTGACTCAGTTCAGTTAATTTTGAAAAATGTATTCATAGTGGTTTCAAGACGTCATATTCATTTTGAATTTTTTTCAAAAATTTCGAACCACTTTTGAAGAATTACTTTTCCAATTACGATTACCTTGACATAATAATCCTTTATCAGCTTCCAGGAACTAAAAATCTCGATATTTCTATCTTACCCTACCCTCATCATGAATTTTATTGTGGACTTAGATTTTTCGTAAGATCAATTTATTCGATTTTACCATAGTTAAAGAATATTTCGAAATATTTCAATTTTAGTTTTAATTATCTAAATTTAAGTTAGTTGCTTTCTTTTGAGATCTGATATATAAAATCCGTTGTTTATTTGAGCATCTTGGTTCTAGATAGATTGAACTCCGCGTTTTCATTTCTAGCAAATTTTTTGTATAATGAAAGTCCAACAAGACAACTCAAAAATAAAAAATATTTGAAATCTGAGTAATGAACTATTTATTATATACAATTCATGGTTCTTGAATTCATAAATTTGATTTATGTTCCATTAGATTGCTTTGGTAATGAGATATAAGTCACCATGTTTAATACGATTCGCCCTAAAGTTAGCGCGAGAAAAATGTCTCGTTGGCATCAAAATTAGCGAGAATTAGTACAACAAAATATCTAATTATATCTACTCAAAAGGGAAAAACTTGTTTTGACACATCTACGATCAAAGCAACCAAATACTGACCTATTATAATAGAGGTCCAAGATGTTGCAGAACGTTAGTCTGCTGTAATACGAAGAGCGAAATCTCTTCGATCGATTCTTTTGAATTATCACAATTCAAGGATCCTTCCTCTTACTAAGCATAGCATAGCTGATTTTGAGTCATAACAAGTCAGAGTTGTTTCAATTGTCAAGAATCAAGCATTGTTACAAAACCCCATAGTTCCAAGAAAATTAGTGATAATAAAATCGTTATTATTTAAGATCAGTGGAGTTTAAATTTAGCGTATACTTACCTAAGTTGGGCGCGGCTGAAATTGGATCAATAATTCCGATAAGATCAATATAAATGTAGTTTTAAATCTAATTTTCTCATTAAAGATGTCAGTTACCTTAAGACCAATAGAAGAAAAAGATTATGATGAATGGTTAAATTTATGGACTGGACCAGGAGGTTATATTGAATTTTATAAATCTTTACATAAATTGACCCCAGAGATTTCTCAAACTACTTTCAAGAGATTTTTAGATCCAAAAATTCCAGTTTATTCAGTAGTTGCAGTTGATAACAATTCTGGTAAATTAATTGGTTTTGCTAATTATTTAACTCACTATAATACTTGGACAATTGAAGATGCTTTATATTTAAATGATTTATTTGTTGATGAAAAATGTAGATTACATGGAGTTGGTAGAAAATTGATTGAATATATCTATAAGGAAGCTGATAGATTAAATGCTAGGAAATGTTATTGGTCAACTCAATTTGAAAATCATAGAGCTCAATTGTTGTATACTAAAGTTGGTCAAAAATCAGGATTTTTATTATACAGAAGACCAGATAATTAAATACAGATGCTATGAGATTGATATTTATGCTTGATTCATGTTAATCTGCCTATCTCCGTTTCTCTACATGTTTTAAATCTCATTGGTATCTGAGTTTCCACCTTTCAATATCGAAACGAACCATGCCTTCAGGTATTTTGCTTGATTTATCATATTTTTTACTTTAAGTATAGGAAGCTGACTATGCTCACATGAGTTTGAGTAACTCTCAGATCTGTTATTTCCACTCATGTATATTGTGTATGTATACATTTTGCATCCTTACATTTACATCCTTAATACTTCATTATATATTCATAAACTCTAATTACTCAGATTCTAAATCAGTCTCCAAGTCACACATTGTCCTACAATTTGGGCAATAAAATTGTGGATAACTTTTAACAATAATTGGCCTTATACATTTGTAATGCCACGAATGAGAACATGGACTCACAAACCAAGCTTGACAAGGTTCTATTTTCATTAAACATATAGCACATTCACCATTATTTGTATCATCTAATTTTAAATCTTTTAATTTTTGATGAATTTCTAGATTAAATTGTGAAACTTTTCTTTGCCAACTTCTATTAAATTCACATCTCATTTTAACACATCTATATACTTCTTCAGTACCACCTCTATAATCCATACCTAATTGTATTATATCACCATCACATACAGGAGTTAAAACTGATTCAACATTTGCTGATGATAAACGAATATGATTCAAAAAAGTACCACTTGAACTTTTTTTATCTTGAATAAACCATTGACCATTTTCATTACATTCTAATTGAGCATGCGTTCTTGAAACAACTTTTGATTTAAAAACTATTGGAGCTGAAGAACCTTTTGATGAACTTGCTTTCATTTTTTCAGTATACCTACAGATTAATAAAGGTTCACCATGTTTAACTTTTCTTATAATTGGAGCGAAATATAAATTTGAATTTGAGCTATGATCAATTAATGGTGTTAATCTAACTGAATATAATTCATCTTTTGATTCTTCCACTATACCAGATTCAATAAAAGTTGGTTCTTCATCAACATGGGCATTGATATTACCTATAGTTGGACTATTTGATATATGTTGATCAGAGTTTCTAAAGAATGGTAATGATGGTCGTCTTGACTCTGCCATGAATATTTGGTGGTTGTTGATAATAATCTGTTTAAATCGGTGAGATAAAAATTATTAATATTTTTTTTTAATTTTGTGTAATTTAATCATCACACTAGTTTGGAAATATTTACCAGCTCGTGGCAGGTTTGCAGGGTTTATGAGAGGTTAGAGTTTATATGCTTACAATTTCATCCTAATATTTCCTTTCTCCTATTAGTCTTAATAACAACTCCGACAATTGTGCTCTACCTTTTGCACTTTTCCAAATAAAATGATCACTATTCTCAGCTATAACCCATTCAGCTGTTCTATCACTTAATTTACCCAATTCCCTTTGCCATTTACCCCAATTTAAAGACTTCTTTATCATAAAATCAGATGAAATAACACCAACTTGTAATCCATTTATATCAGCTTGTGTAATTTCATTATATGATAATATGCCACTTACTAACTGTTCTTGACATCTTGCTCTAAGGTACTTAGATTGATAATACATATCCCTACCAAATATTCTACTTTTACTTGAAAATTTCATTGGATGTAAAAACCAATGTAAACTTGGTTTAATACCTAATGGACTTATAAAACCTTTTGCCCATAATTTAAAACCTTGTATATTATCCATAACCTCCAAAGAACCTTTAAATACTTTTGTACTTTCATTTTTTTTACCATTGAATGGCCATCTTTTCAATAAATCCGGATGCCAACTATCAACAAATAATATAGATTGAATATTTGCTCTATTTCTATTAGCGAACATTCTTGCATATAATCCACCAATATCAAATCCAACAACAGCAAATGGACCATTGATTTTTTCAGTCCTTAAAGCTTCAATTAAATATTCAGTTATTATACCAATTGATTGTGGTGGAGGTGCAGAATCACTGAAACCATAACCAGGTCTATCCCATATACAATATCTTTCAATTTTATTTAAATGATACAATTCTTCAATCCATTCTTGAAATGCTTCACTTGAAGTTAATTGACCACCTTCAACTAAAACTATAGGTTGTGTACCATTATTCATATCACCAAAACAAGCTAAATGGACTTTGAATTGATTATTATTAACCGGAACTAATTTCCCCCATGGTTTTTCATGAGTATCAAAAGCCAGTAACCATATAGTTAAAGAAATACACCAAACAACCCATAATAAAAATAATTGGAATAATGTCTTAATAAATATAACAAATAACTCACCAACAGTTTTTCTTTTTTCAACTCTACCAGTTAGTCTAATTTGCTGATAATTTGTACCTTGTTCAACCCAATAATCAATAAAAGAATTTAATAAAGTATTTAAACCAGTCCATAAAAGTAATAAATTACCTAAAATTCCATAAGTTTGACGTAAACCAGGTACAAGTAATATCACAATTAAATCTAAGAATAATAAACTTGATATAATATAACCTAATATCCTTTCATAATAAGCTGGTACAACAAATGTAATTTTATTTAAAAAATTGACTAATAAACAAAGTATAACCAAATCTAACCCTAAAAATGATTTACTACCGTAATTAAACCCAGGAATTGCAAAGAAATCACTTGCTAATAAAACAATTAGTAAAATGAAATTAATATAAACTAATACTTCAGTTGTTATTTTTAATAATTTGATTTTTTCTAATTTTAGAACTGAAACCTGAGGATCATCAGGATCTAATAAAGGTTGTGATTCTAAAGTTGAAGACGATTCTGGTCTTTCTGTAGCAGCAGGTTCCGGTGCTCTATCTTGTTCTTGTACATGATTATTTTCTGTTGATTGATAAGACATGGAAAGCAATTTAAAGAATAAAAAATATTTTGCAACAAAAATTATAATTTATAATTACGATTGATACTGGTAACGATATACTACTATTATTATACTACTACTATTATTATACTATCAAGAATCAGTTGACTTCATTCGTTTCAGTATTGTGATAATAGATGTGAGTTTCTACATGGGAATCAGCGCTCAAACCTCTTCTTACCAGTCAATTGATGTACAGAAAGATTAAGCGGTTCAATTAATTAAGTATACACCTCTTGGGTTAGCTCAATTTTGTGAGTAGTTCTTCAATATCTCATAATCTTCGTATATTAAATCAAGCCAGGACCAATTTTTCATTATCAACAGTTTTTTTTTTCTGTTACCAAATGTCAATTGAAATTCTATCAGAAGAAAATTCATATTATAAGGTTAATATTCATATTCCATTGAGATCATACATTATAAAGAAAAGATATTCTGATTTTGAAACTTTGGTTAATAATTTATGTTATGATTTAGGTATAGATGTTAAAGAATTTCCACATCAGTTACCTGGTAAAAGATTAAATTTTATAAATAAAAATAAGATTATTGAAGAGAGGAAAGTTGAGTTAACTAAATTTCTAAATAATTTAATTCAAGATAAAGAATTACAAAATCATTTGCTAGTTAAAGAATTTCTACAACTACCTAATAACTTTCAATTTAAAACTGATTCATGGTATCCGAAATTTAAAAAATTAAAAATTGAATTAACTAATGAAACAAGTAAAGGATTAACACTACGAGAAAAGATTAATAAATTTTATCAACCTCAATTAATTGAATTATTGTGTGATGATGATAAAGAAAAGAAAAAATTACTACAACAATTACAGAATAAATTAGATGATTTGATAAAACCTGAAATCCAGTTGAAACCAAGTGGAAGAGTTATTGGTAAAGAAACTGAGTTAACTATACCATTAACTAATACAGAGTTATTACAAGAACAAATTAATATCCATCAATCACAAGATCAAGAAGTTGAACAACTACGGGTTTTAATTTCAAGACAACGTCAAATTGCAGAATTAATAAATACTGAAGTTGAAGAACAAAATGTTTTACTAGACCAATTTAATGAAGAAGTGGATCAAACTAGTGATAAAGTTAAAAAGGCAAGAACAAGAGCTAGGAAAATTTTATAATCTCATTAATGTATATTTTCAGTTTCTTTATCTGAAGTAGGTTTTTTCAAAGCACCAGTCACACAAATTGCTGCTCCTGATGCAATCATAGAAATATTTAAACCACAAGCATATTTGTTACTTTTTGAATTTACATGATTCTTTTCAATTAAATTACCGGAAGTTTGAAGCCATCAAGCTTAAATCATTTTACGATCTTGCTTTTAGATTACACGAGATGCATCAAATTGACAGGAGGTTAAACTAAAGCTATATGAAAACAAGCTAATTCGATTTAGTGTTAAAATTCAGGGATGAATACAATAAAATGGTACAACATCTTAAGCTATAGCAATGAGCTCAACCTAGCTACATTAAGGAGAATCATCAAGTTCTACTTTATCAAGTTCATTTTCTACACCGGTTAATTTTGTAATAATAATTACAGAGGCTCAATGGAAAAGAGCCTTTGGTGCTTTATTCTTAGTAAATCACTCAAAAGTGGTTATACACTCAAGCTAAGTCAATCTATCTAATCGGAATTGATGGAAGATTTTCTTTCCATGAAGCTTTTTGAATACAGGGGGGCAAACATCTGATGAGATTACAATTTTTAGAGTTGTAAAAGTACAGTTTGTAATTTCCTTCGTATATAGGGTCTAAATTTTGACCTTGTGTTTGAAAACGACCAATAATGAAAAATTGTATTTGTAGTTATTCACAAACCTTATTATCTGACTGTGAGGTGCATACGCATCTATCTTTAGTTGAATCTCAATTGTCAATTGATTCCCTCAATATCCAAGACCTAGATCTCATTTTGGGCTCATTGGAAACTGTAGCGGAATTCAAGTCTGTGTTTTGGTCTATACTTTTGCTCTTGAGTATCCGTCTAATAAACTTTTTATTTGAAAATTCAATTAATTGAAAAGTATCATTAGACCTCTTTTTTCCAAATTTGAAACATTATATTCGAATGCTGTACCGAAAAATAATGTACTTCGTTTATATACTTTTTTTTATTCATCAGAGCATTACAGTCAAATATATTCTAGGCGTATATTCTCAAAGATGATATGATGATGGGAATGAACCTAAAAATGAATTTGAGCCATCATTTGTAACTCCCCAACCAATTGCTTCCTTTTCAAGACTAACAGCAAAATATAAATATCTAAAAAAGAAACTACCTAATTGAACTTGATCATTTTGTCGAACAATAATTCTTGCATGTGGACCGGAATCACCAGGATGAATAATTGCATCTAATGGGAATTCTAAAACTGCACCATTAATTTTCAATTTTGAAGTTTTACCTTTCAATAAATCAAAATTTATTGTTTTTGAACCTCTTGGATTCTGAGGATCATTTGGTAATGAATCTAAAAATTGTTCATATTCAGCTTCTTTTAAATTGAAGTATGAACCACCAGTGTCTAAACGTTAGTAACTCTCGAAATTCATTTTTATTTACATACCCGCAGTAAAATCTCTACCAATTGAAACATTATGACCATTGATTTCAAATGAATCAATAAATCCACCAACGTTATGTCCAGTTAAATTCGCCCAATGTAAGTCTCCATTAATTTTACCATAATCAATAGCACCTAATATAATTCCACCTGGTTTACCATCAATTGTACTTAAATACATTGAATAAGCAGCTTGATTAATCAAATTTGCATTTCTTGCAGCCCATGAAATTGACATGTTTGTTTCACTTTTAGGTGGTTTTGAAAAACCAAAGAGACCCGCTGGCCAAGCAGTATTATTATAAACACTAGCAAATAAATAGTTTGGAATTTTAACACCATTGAAATAAACATCATCAATAACTGTAGTACCAGTATATATATAATTATATCCAAAATTTTCTATATGAGAAGTACCAATTATTTTGGCTGAAGTTGACTTTGTTGGATCATAATTACCAAATTTAGTACAGTTACCATGAGAACATGTAACATTAGGAGTTAAGATATTTGAAGCCCAAGAACCCGTGTCAACCATTAATGCAACGTCATCTTTATTAGAACCAACTTGAATTGTAGTATAATAAAATGATTGTGGAAGATCAGTCTCAGTTGTACCTTGAACCAAATCGCGCTTTTCAAGATCACTTCTTTTATGAACAGGCATTGAAATGTAACTTAATCCATTTTTTTTAGTAATGGCAAATGCACTTGAAGTAATTGCAAGGAAAATTGCAAGTACTAATTTGATAAACATTTTGATTATTTTGAAGAGTTGTAAAATTAGCAATTAGCAAGTTATTTATACCCAACGCCTTAGCCTACTGAACACATGGAAAAGAACTTCTTCTGACGCTTACTACCAACTCAACAAACGTGGTTCATTGAACCAATAGAATTAACGGTTATGTACCTTGATAGGAACAATAAAATTGAATTTTGAAAAATTTAGCAAAACCCTCTTTACCAACTAAACAGATGATGTGCTTATAATTCTTTTCTGAGTAGGACAACACGTTATAGAAATTTGAAAAACTTAGCAAAACCCTCTTTACCAACTAAACTAGATGATGTGCTTATAATTCCTTTCTAAGTAGGACAACACGTTATAGAAGTTTAAACTGACAAAATGGTTTTTGTATGAATCAACTGAGTAGAATTTCAATAAAATCTAGTTTTTGCTTCTTGGTGTAACAGAATTACCTTTGGCTCGTATTTTATTGTCTGCTGTTTTTCTTACGTCAACAATCTAAGCGTTGATCTCTTCATTGGTTGATTAACGGTTTGTACACCATGATAGAATTATACAAAACTAATTTGTATGTATTATATTTGTCTAATTACAAAATATGGTGTTATTACGAATCATTACGAATGTAACTAAAAACTGCATTCTCGTATCTATCATCTTCATAAATTGCTCTCGTGGGGTACGATATATAATCAAGTTTTATCCAATATTTAATCTTTCAAATTAATTTCAGATTACATTGCGAATTGTTGGTGCCGTTGATTCGAAAATTTCGACGATCATTTGTATCATGTATCTTAACCAACAATAGGACTAAACATTAGTAAAACAATTGAACAATTAGTAACTTTCCAAAAGTATCAGTAAAACAATTGAACAATTAGTAACTTTCCAAAAGTATCAGTAAAACAATTGAACAATTAGTAACTTTCCAAAAGTGTATGACTTACGGGTTGATCTGCGAGATGGTAAAAAAATTGAAATTATGGATATGATTGAAAAACCACAATGCTTTTGATAAGAGTGAAATAGAGGATTTTCCAGCATCAAGCAGAGTTTTTATTGCTCAAGCATCAATTAGTAAAAGATATTCTCAAATAGCGTCTGGTGATCTTTATTACTCAAAGGCATCTGGTTATATTACTCTGTTGATGTTGAGGTTGGATCAAATTAAGATAAAGTACAGGTCACTATTAATACGGGTAACTTTTATCCTACAATATTAGATGAAGACCGTACGTGTATAGATGCAACAAACACTTGAGGTAAGGATGCAACAAACACTTGAGGTAAGGATGCAACAAACACTTGAGGTAAGGATGCAACAAACACTTGAGGTAAGGATGCAACAAACACTTGAGGTAAGGATGCAACAAACACTTGAGGTAAGGATGCAACAAACACTTGAGGTAAGGATGCAACAAACACTTGAGGTAAGGATGCAACAAACACTTGAGGTAAGGATGCAACAAACACTTGAGGTAAGGATGCAACAAACACTTGAGGTAAGGATGCAACAAACACTTGAGGTAAGGATGCAACAAACACTTGAGGTAAGGATGCAACAAACACTTGAGGTAAGGATGCAACAAACACTTGAGGTAAGGATGCAACAAACACTTGAGGTAAGGATGCAACAAACACTTGAGGTAAGGATGCAACAAACACTTGAGGTAAGGATGCAACAAACACTTGAGGTAAGGATGCAACAAACACTTGAGGGTAAGGATGCAACAAACACTTGAGGTAAGGATGCAA